ACCTTTCTGACAGGCTATCTTCAAGTAGTATAGCTGATATGATAGAAGTTCAGGCTTCCCTCGCGGGCAATCTGCGGCAAGGCCACACGACCCAAGAGTCGCGGCTACAGGAAGATATGCATGACTTCTGGCTGCAAATGCTTTAATATATCTTTCGGCCCGATATATGTTTAACTTATAAAAAATTAAGCACATACGACCACAGGGTGTGGAAAACAGGGCTTCCCGTCCGCTCAGCCGTACTTAAGCCACACGCCGGGAGGTTAGTAGTTGGGTGGGTGACCACCAGCGAATCCCTTCTGTTGTATGTATGTTTTTTTTTTACCAGAAAACATGACCCCCTGGAGCGGAAAAAATTGAATATCCATCAATCTGCCGAGATCGTCGCCCAATTCATCAAACGTCATTCCATCGCAGGAAGTCGACGGGAATTAGGGATTGACCCCGAAGCACTTTATGGTCTGGGCGATCGAGATCGCCGACGGAATGCCTCATGCAGAAACATGAGATTGACTCGGTTAAGCCCATGACCCCATGGCGCTCTTCACGCGTGTGCTCGGATGGTCGGAGAATGATTGTCGGCCGTTGATTGCGGACGTGCAGGAGGAGTCCACATTCGAGAGCAGCTGTTTGTATACATGCATGTCATTCATGGTCGCAGGCCTCAAAGACATTCCCGTGGGGGGTATGGTTGTATAGACGAATTGTCTGAACTGGAATGTGCACAAGCAATGCATAGATGAAGATACCACCCTCAACTTGTGCCGCGAATCCTAGACTTCATCAATGCTTCTGAACCCGCACTTAAAATGTGCTGGTCAGCCCTGTGGTACCGGCTCGCGGTAGACATGGTCCGGCTGAGCATCCTTTACGACCAGGGCAGAGAAGTTATCGACTTTCGTCGAGCCAAAGACGCAGACAGCTTGCGTGATCAAATGCGACAAAACCGGTCATCGGTAATAGGGCTCATTTCGATCTTGGAGTTCAGCTACGGGCGTGATCTGGCGGTCCAGAGGAGGCGTGGTCGCTATGCTGAAAATTCTCATGGAAAAGCCATTTATCCTTCGCAAGCCCCTGTAACGTGCCTCGTGATTCACGATGGTCCAGTACGCCAGATGAATACTATCACGTTCACACTGCTGTATGTTTTTGCCCCTGATCCTCCCGCCTTTAGCCGTAGGAATAGATTGGGGAGGATGCTAGGACATATAAACCTCATTCATCCTCCTCGTGGTCCTCGAAAGGAAAATAACGGTGCAAAGCCAATCTTTCCGTCTCTGTGTTGCATTCTTCCATCAATCCTGCTTTGATTGCATTGAGGACCTCCAGCGACCTCTCGGACTGCTCATGAGGTATGCATCCAAGCGAGTCTGTTCCTATCAAGTCCCTCATCTCACGAAGCTCCTGAATCTTTCCCTCCTCTTTGCCGTGATCATATTCACACCTCTGAATTTCGTCTTCCGTGAATCCAATTGGGCAACCCCTCGGTGTGACAGATGATGTAGCATCCTCATCAACCAAAGACATAGGCCAATGCTTATATACCTTGTGGATGACATACTCTAGCGACAGGGGGTCCCCTTCCCACGGTGCGCCGGCACGATTGAAAACTTTAGCTCGGAGCATTGCATTTCCCTCCTCAAACTGTTAGAATGATCCGGCATTTGTCTCAAAGTCAGTGCAGCATAGTAGAAATGGACGATACGTGTTCGCCTTGTCTCGCGAATCGATTCTTGCTCACTCTGATTGAGCTGGTCGAAATTGTCTGGCAATTCAACGTCAGCTTGGCCAAGGTCTCTGACACTGGGCCCCCCCCCCAATTCTGAAATCAGAGAGATATACCGGCACATAAGCAAAGTGGCAAGACTGCAGCGTGCTGCCAATCGATATTGCCAATAATATTGTTCGAAGAATCCAGGAGAATATTGTTTAATGTGAGATCAGGGTGGCGCAGAACAGGCCGAGACAAGCGATGACTGGACGGTAATACCAAGTAGGGCGCAAGCTTTAGGTATTGCGCTAGGAGGCGGATGTGGTTTTCCGGTTTTGGTAGTTGAAAATTATGCAATTCTCGTAAATAACGCTCAACGTGAAGGCGGGGTTTGCCAGATTGCCTGCAAAACTTTGCTTCATGTTGTGCAGGTACTTCAAAACACGCTGAAAAGCTATCCCCTAAATATCTGTGTTAGTACCGCTTCCATAAATGACAGATAGATATAGCAGGTAACAGCAAACAGAACCGTACATGGACCTCGATCGATGTCTAATAATGCCCTCTCCTTGTACCACCACTGATGCTGTGCAGTGGGGTCAATGACAATTTGATCTGATGAAGGCACGACTGGTTGTCCAGAGATTGGGATAGCATGTTGCGATAAGTCTAGGTCCTTGCGATAATAAAAACTCCCACTTGCTGGAAGGGCTATTGTCATATATTGTTTCTCAATGTCCACGATCTACTTCATGATTTTGACCCGGTTTTTGTTGTCCATACCGAACCATTGGTCACTCAGAGGAATTCCTTCAAGCTTTTCTAGTAGCAAGTATGCTGTTCCCACAGCATTCTTGTGATCCTGTGAATAACCCAGCACTCTTGGGACCGGGATGTGACAGGGCCGCAGAAGGCCGAGAGTTGCAGCCTCGATGGGGACCGCGACGCCTTCTGGAACCGTGCTATTGTAAGGTATCCTGGCGAGAATAGTGTACCCATCGGCGAAAGTAGCCTGGAGGACGCGATTGAAGCCCCCTTCGGCGAACTTTGTGATTGAAGGAAGATCGGACACGGTTCGTCTAGCGGGATGGCATACAGCTTGTGCGAGGGCTTCAACCTTGATCTAGACTCGACGCTCGGCTTGTCGGATGTTTTCATTGAACCTAGAAAATGGAGCGAGTCAGCAGCGGACTCTACGAAGGGGATGTAAGCGCAGGGCACACAAGAACCGCCCAGAGGTGTACTCAACCAAGTGGTTGTCACAGCTTCTTGAACCCATTTTTCTCGTACTTAATCGACATCCCAGGAAAGGTAATTCTGCTGCAGACAGCATGGCAAGAGGAGAAGGCAATCCGGGGGATGACACACAGAGATTCAGGTGTGAAGCCCAGACATGTGCTGAACTGGATGGATGGTTTCGTTGCTGACGCGCGCCTAAGGTGAATTGAGTCATTGTGCCAAGCAGTTGCTGGGGACGTTTGAAGATGTGGCTGGATTCTCTCCTTCAGGAGGCTCGAGTAGAAAAGTGACTTGCCTGCCGTTGGAGTCGGCAACCAGGCAGGCATTAAACACCATGTCAGCAAGTAATTTGGCAGCCACCAATTCCATCATAGATGTTTCTACTTAAGGTGGATCGGTTATACCCACACCTGCTCACTCAATCTCCACTTGGCCTCCCTTAGCCCCTCTATCGATAGAACCTTGGCTATGCTGATAAAGCAAGCCCCAGATTCGTCCCCTGCTTTGACAGCAGCAAGGAAATCCATGGGAAACACGTATACCGCACCTCAGATCTGAAATCAGAATCTAAAAAGCAGCCCGGATTGTGAGATCACCCCAATTCCCCAACCACTGGACAGTGACCAGCAAGCAACTGGACTGCCTCCAGTTCTACATGATCCATGCTCGCATACTCACCCCACGCCAGCACTTCTGAATACCCTTGCCACAGAGTACATCATCAACATCTAGAAATGAAACAGGCCAACAAAGATCCGCACTCTCCGCATCAAAGAAATAGTACTTGTGAACCTGCCAGGGACCCAGCCAAGGTGTATTATTTCAATCTTAACATTCAAGTCATTCGTATTTGCTGAAGCCATGTCACTATCGAGTGGTAAGATGACAGACTGGCCAAAATCTGCTACCTTGGGCGGATCCGGGCTATTCGTGATTAAGATATTTCGCAGAGCGATATCGTCCACGAATACCTTGCGCTAGTGAATATGCGTAAAACTCTTAATCAGGCTTAACATCCGCTCGGTCTTTACAGTATTGTCACGTTCTGGATAATTTGCAATATAGAATTCAAGGTCTTCATTGTGCACGTGCTAATTCAATCACATACTGCGATGTCCGATAGCAAGTGATAATCCCTTTACAGTCTCTCAGGCGTTTCAAGACTTCGGTCTCATTCTGTAGACTCGTTTGATTGATCTCGTTCGTGTATTCCGCAGCTTCAGCATTTCGAAAGCCGAGATTGCTTGGCTTTCTTGACCACATGATCACTCCCCAACTCATAAACATCCCCAGTCATGCCAGTCGCAATCAAGGGGAGATCGATATAGGGATCGTGAGGGTAAGGAGTGCTGAGTATCATCAGACTGGCTGACAGGACCTCCAGGCTCATTGCTTGAGGTTGAGTGGCTGGATAGAATGGAGCGACGTGGCGTTTCTTTTCGGTTCAATGAGACTTAGTATAGACGGACAAGTCCCTTCAGCCACATTTCATGACTAAGTATGAACCATAGATGTACATATATATAAGGATATTCCTGGGACGACTTTCCAGCCACGGGCTTGGCTTGGAAGCGAACTCGGGAAACCGGTGCGCCATACATCTATCTTACAGAGCTAGATAGCAGTCTGTGTTAGGGAGAAAGCTAGCGAGCGTCGTAGGGATAGGGCTCAAGTTGAAAGATCGGGGAGGGGAAGTAGACCAACTCCAGAGAGCCCGATTATGTGTCTGTTTGAACTGGCCAGTTATGGTTTCCAACTGTCAAGTGCGACTCGGGAAGTTTAGCATCTTTACTGATCGCTCTTGCCTGCCTCACGTAAACCAGTCAAATAATGTCATCCGAGGATTTGAAATCTACACGAATGACGGACAGGAGAGCCAACAATTCCGAACATTATTCTCCAAGGTATAGTCACATTGCCTTTTGCCCTTTAGCCGACATGCCGCAGGAAACGTGCCTTGTGTGGTATGTTTAATGGTGGACCAAGCAAAACAGAGGTGATTAGAATGAGGTCTAGATCAACACAACGTGCATCACTTCTGCTCAAATCTTAGTTGAATGAAAGAAACCCCCTACAGGGCGATACGTTGTCTAACATATAATGAGCGCCTGGCGCTACTGTCTCATTCGCATGTCTAAATCTCCGGGCACACACAAGCCTCGCAGTTTCGGTTAATTCGGTGCGGCAGGAGTTAGGGCGGAATGCTGGCCAACGCACTCGAAAGCGAGCCAGTCGCCCCACCGTCAGCACTAACAGTCAACGCCATGCCTGCAATGCATACGCGAAGCTTGACGTTGGGCCGATGTAACGCTCCACGCATTTTAGTGTGGATTATTTCATCTCGTAGCCGTGTCATTAATCTAAAGATTCATTATCCTTGCCGCTTTGTCGGTGCGGCTAACCGAGCTGGTATCGACCCTAATCTAGCGCCCACACCAAGTCAACCCAAAGCCCGAATCCACATTTCTTGGGATTGTAAGGCAGACAATCATAAGGAGAATAGACCCTTGCAAAGTCCTACCTATTTCTAACCGATCGTGGAGTCAGTAATCTCCGGGGGAAGAGGATCCCAGATCCCGCCTGCCAATGATATAATTCCCGCAGGTAACAGGACAGGCCCAACGCCTGGCGCCTTTTCTAGAATATGCGCGGCCCAGTTTCTAATTAATGGAGTAAGATAAGAACAAAGAAAAGAAGACACAAAGAAAGTAACTTGTCAGAAAAGACTCGCAGCCATCCAACCTTTATGCCATATCTCGCCGATCGAAGCGCCTCGTCTCAGCTGTCGGCGGCGGTCGGCTCCGATCCTGCCCTAACACTGCCTGTCCCGGCTTAGGGAGGTGTGAAACCGTTACTTCGGTGGTCATCATAATAGTGTCGGTGTTATACGGCGAGAGAATGTACTCCTCGCTTGAGTTGTCGCTGCTGTCGTGGCCGGGATACGAAGTGGCCGTGGCGGTAGTGGTGGTGGGCAGCTTGCTGGGAAAGGGCTCGGGCTCGACGTGGCTGGGCTGGGTTTGAGACTGACCGTGCTGTTGTGAGCGCGACATGGAGCGTAACCGGTAGGCCTTGCTCCCTCCGTAGGTGTTCTGGTTGTAGTTGTAGGGATGCGACTTGTAGCGGGAGCCGTAGCTGCCCAAGACTTGCTTGAAGAGCGGTTTGAGAGTGGGGAGGCTGCCGGCGACGATGCCCATGTTTGATTCGACGCTGTATAGCAAGGATGTAGGTGGTTAGTTCCAATGCGGAGTGTGTGGAGAAGAGAAAGGGAGAGAGAGAAGCTTACACAACCCAGATAGTGAGGGTGGAGTAATCCCAAAGGAAGTCGCCTGTGCGGCCATAGTTGCCCAGCACTGTCAGTTTAACGATCGCGGCGGCGCAGGCACTGTGCATTAGTTTAGTTCGGTTTCGGTGGTTTTTTTTCTTTTCTGTGCCTGGCAGGAAGGGCCTGAATCTTACAAAATGCCTAGTCCCAGGATGCAAATCAAGGAGGCTTTGGTCCGTTTGTTGACTTGGAGATGTCTGGTGATAGAGTTAGGACCTCTTTTTTTCCTTCCTGCAGACAAGCAATCCGGGGCATACCTGAGCATGAAGATAGGGAGGATGGCGAAAATCAAGTCCGTCAAGATATTCAGAGCTGCAACTAAATCAGAGGAGACACAGAGACGAGACACAACCCCCAAAGAAGAAGGGCTGAATACCGGTATTGGTATAACTTAGTTTCAACAACTGGATCGGCGCAAAGCATTTTGACTTGACGGAAAAGTCCCAGATACTTCGCATGTCTTCACATTGAAAGATGAGCGTCTAGCACTAGTTAGTAACCTCTTTCCTATCTGCCAGACTGCCCAAATCAACGTACAAAGAAACAAATTGTTGTATAAATGAGCATCAGAACTTTTGAAGGCGTCAGATAAACAGACAATCATACTCCGACTGAACAGCTTCATACCAATCACCACCCAAATGAAGATGCGGTAGCCTTTGCGTGGCGCGAATCGCAGCAGGAACAATCCGATGGATATCTTGACGAGGCCGATGGCCCACATGTAGATCCCCTGAGTCGCAAAGTTCAAATGCATGGCCTTGGTTGCTGTATGTTCCACGTAGACAGTATGTCGCCCCGCGCCGTAGATGACTTCGGGGATGATAATTCCCCATCCGCTGAGAGACTAATTGTTGCAACGTCAGTATCGATAGCTGAGGCTCAAAGCAAATGGGGTCGTTTTACCAGCGCCATCGTCAACAGCATGGTGTAATCCTACGCCCTGGTCAGCGCGATTGAAGAGTTTTCACAGCAGTTAGCGAGGGGTCATGACTTCTCACATCAAAGCCAACATTGCGAATCATAAAGATCCGAACGTACATGCGGGCGAGCACGGTAATTGCAGCGCCCACCGTGACAATTGTCGTCGCAGCCAGGATACGCGGCCCTTGATTGTCATCCGCAAGGCCAGCGCCGCCCGGATGCGCGATGGTCGACATGGTAGCAGCAGGTGAACGCAGAACTGTGCTGCTTGCTAGGTGATGATCGCGAAGGTTAAGAACGATGGACGCAAGAGCGTTGGTCTGATCGTGACGCCAAGAATGGCTGCATGAACCATGGATGCGCCATTCGATCGGGGGAGAGTTCAGGAACAAAACATTCAAAGATAGAGCAGCACCACTAGCCCATGTAGCTTGACTAAAAAATTCGCCATCCTTCGGCTCAGCTACACAAAAATGGGCGACCGGTCGGCACCGGAAATGCAGATTTAAGTTCAGATCTCGGACGGACGATCCGATAGGGAAGCAGACCCTGGCTTGGTGGCTACGATGCTGGTGTGTGCCTGTGTGCATGTCTCTGCTTTTACTGTTCCTATCCTAGTCCAATTGCACATAGTTCAAGCCACAAGGATAGACCAAAAACCTGACCAATGGACCCTGAGTCAACAAAACTCCCACGGGCCAACTCCGGAACTCGCAGGCCGCGGGTGTTGTGAATCTCCCTTGCTGGTGCCACTTAAGCTGCCAAGCCGCAGGAGCCTCGGCTTCGATCGAGTTGTGTCTAGGTGATGTTATTGGACTCTTTAAAATTGGCGCAGGCTCGCATAGACTTTTCCGCCATAGTGGGGAGAGGGGACAAGTGGAGCAGATTGTATCTGACTGGAGGGAGAGAGCATTGATCATGTCTGTCAACCTGGCTCATTATTGCTGGTCCCGCCCTAACCCTATCCGAGGTAAAATTCATCTATCATCCCTGGTTCAACGCAAATCGTCCTCTCAATTATCAGAGTTTCCAGATTAAACCCCCACGGAACCGTCGCTGGCCTCGCTCTGGCCAAGCCCGCCCGTTGCTGTTCAATTAACTTCCATTGCCGTGTTTTCCAAACTGGGTAGTTTTTCCCTCGTGTTGTCTCAACCCATCGACCCCGGCCATTCTGTCCGCATTGCACCAAGTTGATTGCTACCATGCAGCTAGTTGGGTGGGCCGATGGACGGACAGGAGACGCAGATGTTGGATGTGACAGTTAAATTGGCAATCATTCCCCCTTTGAACCTACTCCCCCGCCCATTACTTCCCTACACCTCATCCTTCCCTCTTCCCCTCTTCTTTATCCAGGCGTGTCATTCATCTGCCGCCATGGTTGCCCTTCAGACTCTCACTCTGGGCCTGATGGCTTTGCAGGCCTGGGCGCTGCCCGCAGCTGAGACTGCGACGGCCACGCTGCCCACGAGCGCCTCCAGCTCCACGGAGGTCGCCTCGTCCCAGCTGGACCAGCTGGCGTCCTTTGCCTACAACCTCACTACCGACACGCTGACCACCAACGCGGACAGCAGCAAGCGTAGTGAGGGCCACTGTACGTTGGACAAGCTGCGCGTGCGTCGCGAGTGGCGGACCTTCTCCTCCTCGCAGAAGAAGGCGTACATCAACTCAGTGCTCTGCCTGCAGAAGCTGCCGTCGCGCACACCGGCCGACTTGGCCCCGGGAGCGCGGACCCGTTACGATGACTTCGTGGCGACGCACATCAACCAGACGCTGCAGATCCACTACACGGGCACCTTCCTGGCGTGGCACCGCTATTTCATCTTCGAGTTCGAGTCCGCCCTGCGCGACGAGTGCGGGTACAACGGGGACTACCCCTACTGGGACTGGGGTGCCGACGCCCACGATATGGAGAGCTCGCCGGTCTTCGATGGCAGCGAGACTTCGATGTCGGGTAACGGCGCGGCGGTCGGCGCGCAAGAGGACATCCAGCTCAACTTGGGTGATTACCCGGCCATCGACCTGCCTCCCGGCACCGGCGGTGGCTGCGTAACCAGCGGACCGTTCAAGGACTATAAGGTCAACCTGGGGCCGGCTGCGCTGTCACTGCCTGGTGGAAACATGTCTATCTCTGCCAACCCGATGGCGTACAACCCGCGCTGCCTGAAGCGGTCGCTCACCACCGAGATCCTGAGCCGCTACAACACCTACCCGCAGATCGTGTCTCTGATTCTGGACAACCACGACGTCTGGGACTTCGAAATGACCATGCAGGGCGTGCCCGGCAGCGGTTCCATTGGCGTACACGGTGGTGGCCACTACTCCATGGGCGGCGACCCCGGCCGCGACGTCTACGTGAGCCCCGGCGAGGTTGCCTTCTGGCACCACCACGGCATGATCGACCGGGTCTGGTGGATCTGGCAGAATCTCGACCGCAAGCGCCGTCAGAACGCCATCTCTGGAACCGGCACCTTCCTGAACAACCCCCCTTCCGCCAACACCACCTTGGACACCGTCATTGATATCGGCTACGCCAATGGCGAGCCCATCGCCATGCGGGATCTGATGAGCACCACTGCCGGACCTTTCTGTTACGTGTATATCTAGGCGGTTGTCAAGTGCCATGAATCGTGATTGGGGTCGAGTGCTCTTGAGCCATCGCGGGGTAGATTCCAACCTTGTTTCATTCACGCGACATGTACATATGTAGCATAGACATAGTCCGAAGATTAACCAGTTCAGAAGATTCTGGAATATACTTTGTCTGGAGCTTAATTTCGAGTAATACAATCTTATTATCAAATACTTTGTGCATGCATCAGGACGACGGCTATCGCGACTCTCTTTAACTTCCCCCTTTGCCTAACCCCGGTCATCTTCTCATATGACCTAAAGCCTAGCCAGCAGCAACCATGATCGGAGGATAAATTGGGTGGCCCCCACTGCAGTACAACCCAAGATGTGCATAGTGGAATTCACACGGGAATATTCGAGCGCGTGCAAAACTCAATTATACACATATTTGTCTGCTCGGAAATCCCGGATAGCGATGAAGGTGGAACGGCGTAAGTGACCGTTTGGGTCTAGATTAGGCTTCCTGGACCCTCATGGCCAGGGCCAAGGCCAGGCATTCGGACTATCGCTTTCAATTTCGGCCTTCAAACTCTGGACTCTACCCTAGGTCCAGGGTCCTTATCTGGATGTCTCACCCGCCAATCGGCAAGTATTACCGTGTTTATTGTTATTGTGTTGCCTCAATTATTGGCTATGCATCGGTGCTGCTCGATTGCTGTAGCTTCCATGTCCTCTTCCCCTTCGACTTGAGTCATATAATCGTCCGGGTCTTTCAGTGTGCTTCTAATCTTGGTCCGGTGGGTCATTGCCACATAGAAGGGAAGAGTTTGGGCCATCCACATGACAAAGTTTGGGCGGTTTGAGTATATTCTGCTAATGGCATCGGGGATTGTCCCTTCTCGAAAAACTTTCGAGCGGCGATGTTCACTGGTGTGGTCTTTCATGTCTAGGAAATGACCCAAATTAGTAAGTGAATTGTTCTTGTTCTAGCCAGCACGCCTTAGCACATGAGTACTTCGATTGCAGACTGTATATTGTAGAAAGCAGACTTCATCACTGTTTTGCCCAGCCTTGGCCTCTGCTCTAGTCCAAACCATAGCCAAATCCTTTCAGTATTCTACCACGCTCGATTATGGAATCCGGCAGACCCAGCAAAAAGCACTTAATACAGAATGAATTCATAGATACAGCCCTCATATTGAGGAAAAGTCCAACATGGCGCATGGGGCAAATGGTCTGATCGTTGCTGCTGTTTTGAAGAAGTCGCATAGGTCATGTCGCACAGGGTCAAATCGTGAATCGGTTAATGTCGCATTAGCAAGTCAATAGTAGACGAGAGGCTCAGCTCGAGAATCCTCCCTCTGCACCCTCCCGGTGAAAATAACACTGGCGCATGAAGTTCAAGCGGCCCCCGTCTTCTCCAAGATAACCAAGCGCGCCTTATCCCAACCCCGCCGGTAATCTGTAAGCTCGATCCCGACTACCCTCACCAGCCCCTCAGCAACCAGCCTCTCAATCTCCGTATCAAACCCCATAGACACCCAAACAGCATCCAAAATCGTCGCAATCACCAGTCCTCCCATTTGGACAATCCGCACGAACTCCCGCAGAGCCGGATCCGGCCCGACATGGCCATGAGTGAAAGTGCCGCTGCAAGTCACGATGTCATACGCGTTGTCGGGTCTATCGATTGGCTGCGTCAGGTCAGCCTCAGTGAGGCTGCGATACACGCCTGTCTTAGCGGCGACGCGCAGCATGTTGGGCGACAGATCCAAGCCGTCGATAGCCGTAAGCCCTCCGCGCGCGAGTGTTTCCCCGACGAGCCCGGTTCCACAGCCGGCGTCGAGGATCGTGGCGTCCGGGTTGGTGTTCATGCGCAGCACCGTCTCCGCCACGGTAAACGGTGCGACGTAGTTCTGGGAAGCGTCGGTCAGGTCCTGGTTGTACGACGTTGCCCACGAATCGTAGAGGGCCTTGCAGTCTTCCTTGCTGTTGCTGGCGCGTGCCTTGTTGAGGTGGACGTTGTCGACCTGGAGTTGGGTTGTCATCCTGAAGCTGGTGGTGTAGAGTGTACGGCTCTAATGACTAGAATGGTAGGAATGATGTTATAAAAAGCGCCCCTCGGGGCTCTGGACACTTATATATTTTTCCCCACATGTTGGACACTGACATTATGTTGCTAAGCCGCGACATATGAGGGGAAGTGAGGGGTAAAATCTAACAACCGGAGACCAATGCAGGCCCGAATCCTTCACTGTTGTTATGAATCCAATCGTAATCAGCAACCAGCCCATGCAAATCCAGCGCTTATCTCCACCGGCAACTAATTCTAAGGCTGGGCGTGGCACTTACCACCGATCAACGTCATTACCTGCATATGCCAAGCCAGTATCTTTACCCCTCAGTTAGCTAGCGCAACCTGACCCCGCAACCGCGCGGGGTCTTTTTTACCGACTTCTCTTGCGTTTATACAATTAAGCTTACACAATGCAGCGTTAACTATGAGGGACATGGTCTGGGGCACAATATGAAAAGTTGACGAACCCAGCTTATCCACCAACTCCTGCCGAACAGTCTCCGCCAGAGCCAGAAGGGATGTACATCGAGAAATCGTCAACACGCTGACCTCCACGCCGCGGCAATTGTGCCGAATCCAATCCCGAAGCTCCATTGCCACGAGTGAGTTGAGACCAATCTTGGCCGGGGCGCTGGCGACGTCGATGGTCGCCGGGTCCTTGACCAGAATCTCCGCCAGTGCAGCCCCAAGACCTCGCGCAATCGTACCCACAGCATCGGGCGTGCTGTCACCGTGAGCGCCAGTCCCAGGCTGAAGAAGTCTTGGCGTGCGGGACGCTGCATCGATGAAGGTCTTGAGGCTGCTTTGCTTGTTGTCCAGGGGGGTCCTCGACGCCGCTGCGTTAGTAGCACCCGCTCCCTCGTGGAGGTTGTGGTAGACGGCCATGCGTCGATCATGTTTCCAGGTCACCCGGCATTGTAGAGATTCCATGGGAATAGAGGTGTTGACTCTGAGGCTTATCTGACTGCGGTTTATGTACGATGACTGCGTTTGTTGTGATCTTTTGGCGGGGAGGGCTTCCGGGATCGGTCTGGCTCGTCTGATGGCGAGAGTCATGGCACCCAGTAGATCGCGCACCTGCATGATATGCATTCCGCTCGCGCGAAAGCCATCTAGGAGCTCTGGGTGTTCTGCGGCGCGACAAACCTCTCGTATGCCGCCGATGTCGAGCACAGACGCCGGCAGCCCTAGGTGATGTCGGTACCGCACAAAGGCGTCCAGGAATGTGTTCGCTGTCGCGTAGTTGGCCTGTCCAATCTGCCCGGTCAACCCAGCAACAGAGGAGAATAGGACGAAAAAGTCTAGTTCCGTGGAAGGAATTGCCTGGTGCAGGTGCTAGGTTCCACCGACCTTGGGTTCGACGCATTGTTTCCAGTCGTCCCAGGTCATTCTGGAAAGTAGCGTGTCCTGTCGCCTCGCGTTAATGGTTGCATTCTTGAATTCTTATTGAACAATAGACCTACTCTCAATGTTATTGCTAGGTTTAATACATCCGCAATCAGCTTCACGGCCTCTCGCACAGCCCTTTCCGCATCCGCACGGTTGATTACACCGCCGCTTACGAGTTGAACTTGACATTTTTGAGATTCGAGTTCGAGGAGGAACGGGTCGTCATGTCGTGCGAAGCGAGACAGGAGGATCGGCTAGCGTGCTCTTTTCTCCACCATCTAAGTGGTAACCGCACGCCTAAGTCCGCCTAGGCCGCCAACTGGCAGGTAACTGCAATTGGACAATAGTAGGAGAGGGGGCTCGGCTGGGGCAGACTTGAGGATGACCGAATCTTCCGGCATTTTGATTGCGATCTTTCCGATATGTTGTCCGGACTGCATGAGATGAAAGGCCTGTTCAACCTCCACAGCTGAGAATATGCGAGCTGGTGGTGTTGGTTTGATCTATCCATCCGCGATACTCTTCGCGCAGCGCTCGAGCAGACTTGCCAGAGTTAGCCAAAGCTTGCCTATAATTATTATCGTTATAATCAATTCGCAAGGAGTGTTACCTAGAGACTCGCGTCGGGTGGCTTTTTTAACAAGGTCAGCCAGATCCGGACTGATAAAGTTCGGTTCTTCTTGAACGATTCTGAGCCTAGCTTGGATCGCTGCTCAAAGTCATGCTTGCTAATTTTGATTATCATGCCATATTCCTCAACACAGCGTCACGAGGACTGGAGGATCTCGCCGGACAATGAGTTCAAAACGACATTGACACCTCTCCCGTTGGTAGCGTGCATCACTCTACTACAAAAGGTCGAGTTGCAGGAGCAGAAGATCCTAGCTCGCTCAAATTGATGATGGTCTACCAGATACTGGACTCTCTTGTCACTTCCAACTGTGCAATAGATCTGGCGATTGTTAGCATACAATGTCCGGTCTAGGCAGTAGGTTTCGGGAATGAACCTCAGCTCTGACTTGTCGCGCGACCTGGATGGCAGCGAGGCCAACGCCTCCGCAGGCAGCGTGGATAAGTGTACTCTGTTCTTTCTCAAGGTATTCTTTATCGACCAACGCCATGATAGCAGTACTGTAGACACATGGGATTGTTGTATCCTCTTTGTAACTTATAATATCACTGAGCTTCATGCAAAACTCCCTTTTGATATTGGTATAAGTGCTGAAGCACCCTCGTCCTATGAATCTTGATCGCTAACGGATAAATCCACTATCCTAGAGCCAACAGCTTGAACAATACCTGATTCTTCAAGCCCTAAATCAACAGCAGTGATGGCTCCTAACGCGCTGAGGAAGTTCTAAGAGTAAATGTGTTAATCTGACTCGTTTGAATTTCTCTACTGGAATTATGGGTATGAAACCTCTCTGGAGTTCAACCCCAAAGCTTTAACTTGAACCGATACTTCATTTGGTCCTAGGCCATGGCTCCGGTGATTTGTCCATCGGACAGTTTGTAGCAAGCCGGGAGACTCAATGTCGAGGACTTTCCTCGTTGCAGCAGTGCCTTGACTGGACTCTTCCACATAGGCGTCGGCTATCGTATGCCAACGAAATCGCGCAATAAAGACTTCCCCATCCGAGACCGCAAATTCCCAATCGAGGTCGAGACCGTTTGTGTCGGCGAGAGGCGTTAGGGTTCCTAGCAGTATCTGACAGATGCACTGGGCGGCGGACGTGGCGGACGTCAGGCTGTCCAACTCCACCCTGAAAAGTCGATTAGATGATTCTCGGCGGGCAGATCTCATAAACCCCAATGTCATTGCCGTTCTGGGGTCCTCGCAGGATAATTGGGATGATCTTGTTACCCAGGTTACTTGTCTCTTGTTTGCTATATCAGGCGCGGGACAAGGGGCTCGAAGATGTTTTGCGATATGCTATGGATAAGCGGCTCCTGGAGTTCGAGCCGGGAGATAATGTCGTGTGACGAGGAATCTATATGCTCTAATGTACGGAGGTCAGCCACGATCTCGAGCTCCCTTAGACGCTTGAGGGTTGCCCGGACGTATGGTCCATCAGGAGAATGGCAAAGTGATGTGATTAGGCTTGGTTATTCTGGTTCTTGCAGAGGCAATAATGCCCGTACTCAGCTGATAGGGCCGAGTACTATCTGGGACAAAAGCATCCGGCCTCTCAAGGCCTGCTGCCTCCAGCTCTTCGGTCCATCACTCTACTGGAATGTATGGCTTATTAATGCGCCAGTCTTCGTCTCCGAGCAACCAACCGGGGAGGAAACCCTGTGCTGCCCATTAGTATTCTTATTCGTGATGAAAGAATACATGTATTGATTTTCCTAAAATTCGGCGTTTCACGCCATGATATGATTGATGGAATTCCAATCTATTGTATCCGTTAATAACCGTACGTACCTTTCCCTGGATCTGTATCTGTATCTGTCAAACTCATCTGGACACAGCTCTGTTAAGAGAAGGCGACAACCAGGATGAAGTAAGCGTCGTAGTGGTAAGACTCGTGCGAAGCGAGGGTGTAGTATGGACCATCTGTATAAGGAGTATGACCCTTGACCAATTTATGGGCTTAAGAGAAAGATTAAAACTACTCATGTTCGACCCGATGATCAAATAATAGCTCTCTGGCTGGAAGCCTTGCGCTATGGGATCTTGCGTAATATTGAGCACGGCGCATTGAAGTCGATTAAGACCATCAAACCGTGCCTTGGCAGCATTTATAAAGCCACCGCTTACATTGGTGAACATGTAAGAATGGTACATAGGCTCCTCCCACTCAGAAGCGATCGCTGCAATTACCTTGACCGTCCTGCCCCTGGTGCCTGCGCCCTCCTCAAACACCTCTAGTCGTAGGTTTGTCCTTGCGATGGTGCGAATGAAACTGGTGTAGTCTAACCGATCTGCGGGATTGAGAGTGCGAGGTCGTTGAGAATCGATTGTATTCTATGCAGTCTCGTGCTGTCATCAAGCTCCCACAGCATTTCTCCATGTGAGTTGAGTACCCATGTTTGCCATCCTTGATTCCAGCAGCTCATGCGGCGGATTCTCACGAAAGCGCCACTACCGTGAGAGGCGCGAGTCGTTGAGATAGGTAGTGTCACGATTTCATGGGTAAGGAGGCAAGTCTGGAAGAAATCGGCCCCGGGGACAGACGACAGCGTAGTCTAAATTGACTCACTCTTGATACAGCTTCCCTGCCAGATGTAACATAGAATTCGTCATCTGGCTATTTCATTCTAGTGTACTAGTAAGATGGATGACATTCGTGGCACGATTACTGTCTCGCAGGATCGGATGAATCGGCGCTTTCGGTGCTGGGTGTGGACCTATCTCGATCACGAGCATGGATCGAAAGGAAGTATTGAAACGAACTGTATTTTCTAGGTTCTGTCGCCAGTACTTTGCACTGAGACATCCTTCTCCATCCAGAGTATCGCCTGTAACCCCGGAGTAGAAAGGGATTAGCGGTTGTTTGCTTTGAATGTGCGGTTCAAGGAGCTTTTCGAATGTGCTTTTCGAATGTTGGTCCGGAATCTTTCACATGGTCTGTTCAAAGTCACTTGTTTAGCCTGAGTACGAGGGGTGATCACAATCCCATAGGGACATACCAGAGTGCCATGCTTTCTTCACGCGAAGCATGCGAGTCAGGACACCCGGTCGCTCTTGCTGTATCTTCGCGACAACGGCTTGCACCTGCTCCGCGTCTCCAGCCACGGTGACGCTACATTGACTGTTCTCGCAAGCTACAATCACACCAGGCTCCAGGTATTGTATTACTCCATCAGACCCTAGGCCGACCGCTGCCATCAGCCCAGACTGAGACGGGGTTGTCGAGCTATACGCGCGAAAAACCCATTCTACGCCATTACCATAAGTTATCCATTTTGACACCTTTCAAGGCCTGCACTTTTGCCATTGCGTTGATAGTCTCAATATTCCGACAGTGATGCAAGGTGATTTCCTTCCCTACACCACAGCTTGTAAACACAGAATCCCACCTTATAACCACAGGTCCTTGACTATCCGACAGAAGCATTACTCGCACTTGATTGAAAGACCCAGGAGAGTCGCGTCCAGCGAAAAACAGGTTTCCTCGTCGGTGACATCGTAGGAAGCGTAGAAACCGCTCTCGCACCACAAGCCGGTGTAAGTGTACAGCACTGGCGACTTGGTGGCGTCGCTACAGGTGCCGCCCGAGTGGACTGCGGAGATGGACTTCAAGGGGAAGCTCTCAATGCCGGTGCAGTAGCCTTCGTAGAGAGTGGCGGTGGTGAGCCCACCAGCCGAGCAGTTCGAGTTGCCGTAGTAGGTTTCGATGGAAACAGCTGCTAGGTTGCTGGCCGTGGCCATGGCAACAGAAGAGAGCAGGGCGAGAGTCTGGGCGGTTGATTTAGTATACCGATCAACCGGATGATGGGATTGCAGGGGTAAACTGACCTTTGGAAGAGTGAACATCGTCGAGGATAGATGGCTCGGGGCTTTACGGGGCTTTTCGGGGCTTGATTGTGTTCGGGAAGGGGAAGCCTGGTTGTCTGATCTGTCACATTTCGTGGAAAAATGATCTCCTTTTGTATTTGACATCGCCTGCCCTCGCTTCAAAGAAACGCTGCTTCCCGTAGAGCACATACGCTCGTCACATCTCTCGGAGTCTGATGAGGTCCGAAGTTAAATTCCACATTCCGAGCGCAACGGAACAAAGACGTTGGTTCGTTGTCTGACATCCCAGAACATCCGACTTGAGGCCGGAATCCCCACGTCGCTCACTTCGACACCGCAGTCTGACCCCGAAGTAAGCTCGTGGCTGCTCATTGACGCAGTGACCGGCCACCCCGAGCTCGTATCTAGCCGGATTGAGGATGGTTCCATGCAAGGCCGGGTAGTGGGAGGGAAAACAGTGCAGGACGGGAGGGCTGAATGCATGCTGATTCGTGATATTCCCGCCAACGTCAGTCCCCGTCTCAATCCGAGGCGTTCTTCACGGACTAGCCCGCTAAGCAGCCATTCCACTCTCCACTAAATATGCATGAGTGGGATAGATGAACGGAATGGAGGTCTAGAGATTCTTCCCAAAAGCGCAAATGGTGTAGGCATTGCAAACTTGTTCGGATTGACTAATATAGGTCTGAACGATCGTAGAATTACAAGCAGTGGCATTCACTGAGATTTCTTGCAGTCTAGCTTGGCATCCTGGACAAGTATGGCAAAGTCAGACTTCTATGCCATGTTGATAGAGGCGAATGTAGAGGGTAAGGAGACCCATACTCAGAACTTTCCGCGTGGCAAACACGTCTGCTTGGACTACTTGTGAGTGGCCCATGTCCTCACGGTGCATGTATTTTTCTTTTTCCCCGTGGCGTCGTCGAATATATATTCCATGAGATGTAGGTTATTTCTGCGCAACATAAAGTCACCGTTGCCCAAACAGTACTAAAACTTACATCCTACACCACAGAGACCAAGGTTAATCAAGTCCCTCTCGATTTATGGTCTCTTTCTATAGCAGCGTCTGTTTTGGGCATGGTGTAGACTGTACAGTACTTTGTTGCTCCTTTTGTTGGGGTTGACAGGCGGGCCGAGGCGCAAATTTTCCCAATAAGGAAAAGTACCTCGCCGATGCATGCCCGTCAGTGAATGCCTTCATCATTTCTCGATCTTGAAATTCCTGGGAATCCTGGTCCAGGATCCACCTAATAAAAAGTATCAGTAGTAATTTCATTGAGAGTGACTCCTCACAGTTGGACGGTCACAGTTGGATGCTCAATCCCTCTAGGCTCGCCCTCGCGAGAACACCTCCTAAACGTGGTTCCACTAGGACAAGACCCATAACATGCAGGCAGTAACCCTGTCTGATCGATGGAGATCGGAGATAATATTCGCTTGTTGATCGCAAACTGGGACTAAATGTTTCAAAACCAAGTTCGTCAATCTCCACGCGCGTCTAACCGAACGCCTCCGGCGGTTCCGGGACTTCGGTTACGGCATTCGGCCCAGCCCGATGGTTCATGGCTGCCAACTTGGATGGATCGATGGGGAAAGCCAAGAACTACGAGTCAGAACAACCGCCGCTCTGACTCTTTTGATTCGCGCCCACAATCGGCGGTGATCTCGCTTCGCTCATCCAGGATCTCCCAATTTGCGCGTTTATCGTTTCAGATCTATATTCGCTTGCGATATCTGATCGGTAACAAGTTTGTCGGAGTCTAGGAGTAATGCTCGAGTGCTCAAGTCAATATCATGATGTTGTTCGATGGCTCCATAAAAACATAAATACCTGGGAAGCCGCTGGGAATAATGTCCAATCCATCCATCATCATCTTGTCGCTTTCCTTCTTCACAGGCTAGCCCTGCGGTCACTCTTTACCTCACTCCCACGTCAATTGTCCGGAACAATTTGACCTTTCCCTCGTTTTGCATATTTTATTTAAGTTTCAAACATCCCAACTCGACATGTTCTCCAAGTCCAGTGTGGTTGGTGCCACAGTATTCTTCGCTGCTGTGGCCCAGGCTCACATGATCATGAACCATCCTGTCCCTTACGGAAAGTCGTCCCTCACCAACTCCCCTTTGGCCAGTGATGGCAGTGACTTCCCTTGTAAGCTTCGCGATGGTGTATATGACTGGCCGGCTGAGGATGAGATGAACTACTTCGAGACGGGAGTGTCCCAAGCTCTGAACTTTACCGGCATGGCCGTCCACGGCGGTGGCTCTTGTCAGATCAGCTTGACCACCGACATGGAGCCAACCAAGAGCACTGTCTGGCAAGTCATCAAGTCCTTCGAGGGCGGCTGTCCTGCGAACGTTGATGGTAACCTGGACGGGGATGCGTCGACTCCGGATCCCTACCAGTTCAACTTTACCATTCCTACTGATTTCTCCGCCGGCAACTATACGCTGGCATGGACCTGGTTCAACCGTGTGGGTGGCCGTGAGATGTACATGAATTGCGCACCTATTACTGTTACAGAGGGCTCTTCCCAGAAGCGCGCCGTTGCCAAGCGGAGCAGCTACCCTGACCTCTTTGTCGCCAACATTAACGGCTGCATCACCCCCGAAGGCGTGGATATCCGCTTTCCCAACCCTGGTGACGTGGTTGAATACGACGGTGAGGCATCTCGTCTCGCGGCCCCCGATGCTGCAGCCTGCACAGGTGTGTCTACCGTGTGGGGCGGAGGCAGCTCCACCACAGCAGCTGCATCCGCCTCATCTACCACGACCACTGCGCTTACGGGCACAATAATTGCCACTGCCCCCGCCATGGCAATTGAGACTTCCGCCGCGACGTCATCGGCTGAGAGCCGTACCCGCACCACTACTGCTGCTCCAGCTGCTACTAGTACCGACACAACCGGAGCACGTCCCAACGAACACCAGCAGAATGCCGTTCACACCACCTCGACCGCCACGACGACTGCCAGCGACTCTACCTCCACCAGTGCCACTCTCTCAGGTGTACTCACCGGGGCCTGCAGCCCTGAAGGGTCCTGGTGGTGCAACGCTGGCGTCTCCTTCCAGCGCTGCGCTAACGGCGTCTGGACTCCGGCCCAGGACATGGCGCCAGGAACAGTCTGTATGGCGGGTCAGTCTTCTGATCTCACGATCTCTCTCGCTAAGAAGCGTCGCGAGGAGCAGCGTATGCGTCGTCGCCACCTTGCTTAAGTGATATCAGTAGGCTGGTGGTGTGAGTGACGAGTATGCAGGGGTTGATGACCACCCTTCCTTATTTCTTTGCCCCCTCAGTATAGGTCAGGAATAGCTTGTGCAGACTCAATCGAGATTTTTTATCCACAGACAGCCCGGATAAAGTCATTCAAGATCCCAACACGTAGAGCATAAAACAGCTTCGAACTATGCATAATGACAACAGGCTAGCCCTGAAAGTGATTGTAGAGTAGATAATGAAGAGGCGGGGAGCAATCCATACGCAAGGCTGTTTTGGACGATAAGACTATGCGTGATGAACCCATGCGACTAGATGACCAAAACAGGCATGCCACAGGATCCCGCATCCTGCAGTCTTCTTCTCTCATCAAAACAAGACCCTGTGAGCTCGAATCCGCCCCACCACCTGTCATGATAACCCAGCGGCTCTGCCATCTAAAAGCCTACATCCTAAACACCAAAGCCTTGGGTTCCGCTTAGTCCTGGAGCCAAGAACCTGTCAATAGCTGCCGGCCAAGCCGCGCATGGCCCAAGCGCGGGCTATGTTCTTGGGCGTTGAGCGGGCACCAATCCTCTCAGGCATGCGATACGAGGCGTTATCATCTGATAGAGGTTCTAATCAGCTTTGGCATCCAAACAAGCTCTATATAATTCATGTACTCCGACCTCCAATTTGTCTCTAAAGCACTTCTCAACCCGTTCTTACATCCTCTCCTCGTTCTCCTATAATTCACTAGTCTAAATTTTCACTCTGCCTTCGCTTCGCACACAATACCACTCATCAAGAACATCAAAATGTGCAAAACGGCCTTCGACTGCGGGTGCGCCGTCAACAACGGAAGCGGTTGTACGTGCAGTGCGGTCACCCAGCGCAATACTGGTTACTGTATCGCTCACCAGTGAGTGGATGCATCCTTTTCATGCTTGTATCTGACTGTGCACTATGTCTTTGGATATTTTTTGCTGCACTGTGCTATGCTATTTGTCGGGGATAAGACTTTGCTGACAGACCCGCTCTGTCCCAGGAGCGGTGGCGGTGGGGTCTACACGCGGCCAAAGGGACAGGCTCGTTAGACGCTGAGCAAAGGGGTGGGCTAGATTCCTTCCATGAGATGAACGGGTGCAGAGGGGACAAAACGAGGTATTAATGTGAGATTAGATCTGTGCACTCAGCCAGCCTAGCTGTTGTGAAGTGGATCAGGGATAATTAGCAGAGCTTCCATGACACTGGGAGGCGGGAAGTGGTTTGTGTGAACTGTTATGCTGCAGAGAAGAAGGCTTTGCCTTGTTAAGCAGTAATGCCATTGCTAGTTTCCGACCTTAGTATGGTGGCCTCGTCTGAGTTGCTGTAGAAGCCAGTGTAGCCTATATCAAGCCATCGGCAGCTTTCTTATAATTCTTGAAAACTGTATGCATGATCAGGAAGAATACTTGATTTTCAAAACCGTCAATATGGGAATCTCAATCGGTTCCTGGTTGGCCGCGCATACTCAATATGGGTGTGGCCCCATGGAGAGCACCACACTGCCAGCCGCCCAGTGGCGACGAGGGTCAGTTAGCGGGTCTTCCAAAGTGATGGTTGTTGATCTGAATCAGGTTGAGTTCCCTGATCAACTTCGTCCTTGGGAACCTCTTATCAATGGGCAAGGAGCCATGTCTTTAATGAATGATTTTAGGTATAAGCGCAACCCCAGGCGCAAAATCTTCTCAACTTCATTTCTGGTTGTCTGGACCGGACGAGAATGTCTCACTCAGCGAGCTAGATCATCCTGTTTCCGCGATGCATCAAGAAAGTATCGGAACGCCTGCGTCTACTACAGCTTCGAGCAAGATAGAAAAAGACCATAGGGCACAGAAGCCAACACAAAGCGATGCATTGAAGTTCTTACCTGGTTATATTCTTGTTGAAGTGCTCTCGGTGCCCTGCGATCCTGCGTCGTTGAACATCCCGCCCGAAGAAATTTGCAAAATTCCTTAGTAACAGCACTCAAAAGCCTGTCTGATGTAGAAAGTACCTGTTCTTTTCCACGTCATCATGTTCTAAACTCAGCATTAAAGTCAGCATTTAACTCCCCACAGACATGATTATGCTACTCATGCATTCGCAAGTGCGCCTGCATAACGTTCCCATCCTTGTGAAAGACCGCGACGCGCAGCTCTTCTCCCCCTGAATAGAGTCCTTGCCAAAAGCCATGCAAGTGAACTATTCTCGATCTCTTTACAACGGGACTGCAAGGCCGAGCCTAAGCCTGGTTGTCAACTTGCCGCCGTACCGCCAACGAAAAGCCGTAGGCGAAGTAGCCGTCGAAGTGCTCCCGGATCCGATTGTACTTTTTTCAGACTTGCGGGTGAATAGCCGGGCAGTTTCCGTGCTGGTTCGATATTCTAGCTTTGAGATCTCTTTCGACGAATACCCCATCAGCCGATTGCAACCCCCGAATCATCATCAACGTCGTCCGCCTCGTGCTCAAAAGTCCCGAATTCCTGGTGCACCCTCATCATCTCCTCTCAAAGATCATCGACTTGCCATTCACATCCAAGATCTTCAATCATAAGAAATCCCCTCAAGCGGGATTGGCAACACCAGTACACGTCCATCTGAAAGACACCGTGCCTGGCCCCGGCTACCACACGAACCCAAATGACCCTCCAGCGTCTTCGTCTGTGGACTAGCGTGAGTCCCGCTCGCAAACCTGCCCTTACCCTCGCAATTCCACGCAGATGCGCCTGTAGCTTCCACCCACACCAACGACATGCATGAAGTGAAACCAGTCTTGTCGCCGCACTGACTGAGGTCGAACGCCGGGTTCATTAAGAAGACGCCCTCGAGGGAAAAGATTTCAAGTGGCCTCAGAGTCGATTGGAGTCCCACACGAGCCAAATGCGGTAGCGAGCTTTTATCTTTGGGCACTCGTCCTCGCGTGCTGCGTATGCAGCCTGAACGCTGCGGAGCGTCTCGGGGTCGGCTGTAGAAATTGATAGGGCGTTCAGCCATGCGTTTTCTTCGAGATTTGTGCACAGGTGCTTTTTCGGTGCGGCGGTCGTCATTCCTTGTGAGGATCTGAGATGGGTTTGTCTGGAGGGTAGTTGTGGGGATGTTGATGGCTTGACCAGGGGGTTGTAAATGTTTATAAGGGGTCATTTGTAAAGTGAGTAGTAAATGGAGTTACTGCTGCTGATGTGATGTGATCTGATACGGGAATCCTTTCAGCGGAGTCATCAGTACGTCAAAACCGGGCATTGTAAGGGATGGCCTCCTCCCCATGGCTCTTTCAGTGCCGTCCGTGCTAAGAGCTAGAACTCATATGACCAAGGCAATGAAATTAGCCTGAGGCAACAATACCGTAGTCGACAATGCACCTGCAGTACGGGGTCAGTTTTTGAGTGCTAAGACACGCAAAGCTAATCTACCAGGTGGCTTGGTCTTCTCGAACTCCAGGTCTTCGCTGGTTTCCGTGTAGTACGGGAAGTCAAAATGAGACGGTAGATGCAAGCTCAATCGGCCACATGGATCGATGTTCTGGAACTGCACGGACTCTTCTCTCTGACCTTCTGTTCTCGAAGATCTATCCGAAGGCATGGCATAAGCGAACCGTATTCTAGAATCTCACGTGCGCGGATGTCTCACCAACGGCGGGAAGTTTATACTGAGACATCGAAAGTTTTACGAGATTTTCTAGTCTTCCACGCGATCCGGAACTTTACGCATGGATACGTAAACTCAATCTAAGTCATCTGGATTTCTAAAACGTTACACCATCCCGTGTCCCAATAAAAGTACCAAAACTCTATGCTAAGCCACGTGGGCCGAATTACAAAAGTACCTCCGTCTTCTAGAACAGCCCCGGATGTTCCTCAGCAGATACTGGTCCCGTAACTCTATATACACACGCTTGCACCTAATTCAACATCAACAGTTTGACCTTCTGGGATCTTCCAAACTCCACCCCAGATCCTTTTGTCTCACCGGGATCAATACGTCTCCACTTGGCCCATATACCTTCTTCTTGCAACTGTATGAAGCAACTGTCAAATGTTGTTATTGCTCGCGACATGGACCTGAGATGATTGTGCTATATGGGTACCGAGTGAAAGACAGTGAGATATGATCAGCTTTCAGCAAGGGTAATTAAGTGAGCCTAGCCACGATTGCACTCAATAGGCTAGGCCACCGGCCCATTGTCATGAGCCCCTGGATAACACTAAGACTATACACATTCTTGGGCGAGAGAGTGCATGCACTCATGACAGTGGATCATCAGACAACAGGAGAAGATGACACGACCAGAAGTACAATCAAAGGCCACGCCACGGCTGACCCCCGCCAGGCAAACAGCAGCTGAGCTGCTTGGTCTGTACTTCTAGGGCAGCCATAGCAGCCTAACCTGTCGCCAGGTGGCTCAAGAGAGATTGCTGGCAATTCCGTATTCAAGTTGGTGCGAATCTCTCTGGCCACGGGGCAAAGCCTTCATACGAAAAGCGCAAGAAAGGCAGCTATACTAGTGCGAAGATGAGTGGAGTCAAGCCAGCGCTGCTGGACATTACACGAAGAAGAACTTGGTCTTGAGCGTTTGGTCATAAACCAAGCCCAGATGTCGAAGACCTTCCCTGTGACTGAATGATCCAGTCCGCGGCTTCAGTACGGATAAGGTGGAGCAGTCAGTAAGACCAGACACCCGGAAATAGAATTCGAAGGGGCCTGACCTTGTTGTGTCGTTATTATTGATTACTGCAGCCCAGCTGCGGCTTGTAATACGAGCATCGCGATCCTCTCCACTGGGATAATTGACAAAACATCATCAATCTTGTTGTTGATCTTGTTGTAGCTTCACCTCTAATGTTTAGATTTGCTGAAGACCAGCTGAATACTTAGAGTCTCTCAGTTTATCTAGGTAGCAAGCATCCTGTTTAGAGTATATCGGTATCTTCACAAGCTAAATTTTGTGTATAATCTACTCGCACGACATTGTCTGTGAGACTGAAGGTAGCTGGTGAAAATCATGATTCACTATACTGCACAGCCATAGTGTGCAATTCACCCCAGTGCAGTAAGTATTTAACCCTTTCATTAATGGTTCGCAGGTTTACAAGCAGACGTGCCTATTGCTTAATATCTCTACGACTATCAACCTACAATTTCATACTGAGGGAGTAATAAGCTTGCGGGATGATTATTCATACCAGTATATAGAAAGTAGATCTCAAGCCGTATAAGATCTATTGATTCCTTGAAAGGCATTCAAATTCTCAGGGACTTCTCTGGCAAATCTGGTGCAGCCCACTGCTCATTCGTGTGTATATATCGTTCCCTCGATAGGTGTAAGTAGGTCGGCGGCACGTATTGTCCTTAAAAACCTCGTTTCTCTCAAATACCTAGCGCTTCATCGAAAGCAGAGTCATTCATGCAAGCCCATATCGAAGGGCGAAACCACTGTCCAAGGATGACATCCTCTTGTAATTCGTACTCTCGCACCTCGGGCCGGTCTAGCAGGGCTTCGAGAAGCCCTTGACAGGGGCTGAGCAACGCTTGCCGGAGCTCTTTGTATAGAACATGGGGCTTGTTACTGTTGCAAAATGCGTATTCCGCAGGCTCCTTTTGCAATGGACACCCTTTACGGACGAGTAGAATCGCAATATTCCAGTGGCGAAACTTCAGGGCTAGCTCAAAGAGAGAATAATGCTGAGGATCAACAGACTGCATGGACGAGAACCGCAGCAGATCTGGTTTAGCGTTCAAAATGTCATGAAGAAATTGTTCACAGTTCCATACGATGGCGTCCGATAGGACATTCCACCACCACCAAGGCTCGGCGGTGCCTACCGCGTTTTCCACAGCCCCCAATAAGAGGTGAGCCCCATCGTCAACCGAAAGCATTCGGTCGCTGAACTCGGTCAGATTGGTGGGTACGGCGCCGGCGTGTATAAGTATGCGGGAAATCTCAGCTTCTACCCTTTGGTGAAAGCGGAAATCCAGTGCTTTACTTTTCAATATGTTCTCTATGTTGGGGTCCGCCCCATGTTGCAGTAGCAGACTGACCATGGCCGGGTTCCCAGTCATAATTGCAAGATGTAACATCGGGATCTCCCTAAAATCTAGCCCATTGGGATCGACACCTGCGTTCAGAAATCTCTCGACGATGGTGTACTGGCCGTTAATGATGGCATCGCGAAAGCGCTGCCTTGGAAGCCGTACTCCATAAAATTCTTCCTTGCCACTGTACAGAGCTGCTTGAAGATCGGACGCAAAGTCTATTTCTACTAACTCGCGGTCTGAGTGAGACTTCCGAGACGGATCCGAGAGGACGTTAGCAACAACTTCGCTAAACCAGGTCGCACTCTTTCGTGGAATTGCGTAGGCATTAGCTCGCTGTCTCACAACATATTCAAGACCCACCCTGAACCTCTTGCAGGTAGTGGTAAACCGAACAAGTGTTTGATTGTCCATCGACTCAGCACAAAGAAGGAGTAACTCCAGAGGTATGCGCTGCCCGGCCGGAACTTGAGACATGCTGTTGACAATCCTTCCAGAGACTTGCGACTGGCTGATTCGTTTAGTTGAGAATACAAATCGACTAAAGAAGCACGAGGCATTTTATAGACATAGCGCCAGATCAATGAGCCTATGTTGTCCTGTCAATAATGTAATTTTACCCGGAGAGAATTCAGGGAGACAATGAACAATTATGGGAGGGAATCAGTCAATAAATGCATGTTCCATGATTTCTCATCCCTTGGAAGCCTAGGACGATTGTTGTGTAACAGATATTTTCATTCATAAGATATCATATTAATCTGACAATTCCATGACTCTCACCGTAGTACGCTCTTTTGCACCTTAAGGCATGCCCACAAGGACTTTCTGAGATGAGGTATTTTCTCTGGTGTCGACAGGGTTCAAAATCTCTTTGTATTCCGATCGATAATCCATTGCATTGAACTGTAGAGCTTATCCATTCTACCAAGTCAGTTGCACTTATTACTGCAATTTTCCGTCAGTTTCTGTATCTTACCTTTTCAATATCCCGCCCCTCTTGCTTTGTTTTCTTAATCTTCTTTCTTTCTTTCTTAATTCTGCCGGCCTCGTCTTTTCCAGACATTGACCCGACCATAGAAAGAGCTTGGACGGACCCGAACATCCTGCAATTCGTTCAACATGTCACACATCGATCGATGAGTGTCTGTAACCATTGTCTCAGGCCCTGTCGCATTTTAGGACTTGCAAATATATTTGCCACAGCTGTTGACATTACAGTCAAGTAAACTCGCGCATGTCGTCACCCTACATGGAGGGCTACTAAGATCGTACTCAGACAATAGTCCAGAGTCTAAAGCGTGTCATCTTTACTTCCAGAACATCCAGACTTGGTCCAAACTTGTCATTATGTAGTAGAAGATGGATTGTATGTATAGGAAAAGATGCAAACGACGACTACCCCACCGTAACCACGCCAGCCACTTACCACCCAGGGCGATAATTTCAAACCGTTTCCTCGTACCTCAGATACCTGCCCGACATCAGCCCAGAGATTGAACTTTTCTCGGCAATTTCAAAGACCCAAGGGACCAGTTTCGGTCGATCGGGCGCAACGGCATTACCGTGCGGGTCTTCGGCTGTTCATTAAATCCAGGTAGTCCCTCAGCAAGCCTTAGCCTCGGCTCAGTCTCAAGATAGTGACCAGCTTTGAAGCTGTATCCATCACTGGACTCAAACCCGAATAGCCGCTTAGTCTTTGCGGATGCCAACGTGCCGCCTAGCCGCAGTCATATCAGACTACAGAATTCCTTCCCACCGGAAGGTATAGTTCAGTAGGGTAGCATCCAATCACCTGTGTAAGCTTCATGAATCTGGCAACCGAGCCTTCCTCTTACTTCACAACCTTCTCGTTCTTGTTCTAACCAGATGTAATGCATAGATCAATCCTAGCAATTTAAACTGACATCCAAGATGCATGAACCATCCCGACTCATTGGTAACTACTGACCCACAGGTGCGGTCGAGACCGACGGGGCCAGATCCACTGTGGCTGGAGTGCTTCTGGAAAACGGCAGTTATACGCGAAGACAATACCTTTAACAATAAAGGAATAATATTAGCTAAAATAATTGATTGGTATTTTCCCATAGACATAAGAAAGATCTCTATCGAACTATGATTCAGGCAAAATTACATGTGCCTGAGGCAGAACAATAACTAAAAGCATTGAACACCAAGAGTCAAACCAACTCAACGAGCATGCACGACCTTATACGCTCGAAAAAGACGATCTCTCGCCAGTCTAATCACCCGCATCGTGACGAAGTAAACAGCCACACTCGCCAGAGTCTGGACTGCGTTCTCCATAGGGGTTCCATCGGTCTTTCTGTTCTGGAATGTGATTTCTAGTACTCCCGATCGAAGTACCAAGCCTCCAAACATATGAAAAACTGTAAGAAGGACCGGCGAGTCAAATGCAAATTGCTGGGCAAGGAGATACCGCGCTACTAGGGCCGAGTACACTCTGTGCGTAGACGGTGTCTGTGTGTTCGCCACGAATGTATCCATGAAGCTTGGCCTGGATCTCCAGCGACACCATCGGAGAATGGCAAATCCATCCGTGGCTGCTTGTTCCTCGGTTTTCTGCGAAGGGTGGAAATTGACAAGCGTTTGGAGCAAAGCGGGGTCGGAGACGGCAATGTTATGAGAGATCCTGTCGGCTTCTTGGTCGGTTGCTTTCATCTCGGTGGGTAGACCCTCCCACGCAGTCAGGTAGTCAACGATTCGGGTGTAGAAAGAGGGATCGAGAACCTCGATCGTCACAGTTCGTACCGCTCCACCGTCGATGATGCATGAAGGAGACTTCATGCGGATTGTCTCGTCCGAGAAAGCCCGACAGGGGATGTAGACGAGCTCGACCGGGTCTGGATAGACGGATACACAATGGGACAGATAGGCGCGGAAGAAGGGCTCAAGTTTTCTAGGTATGCCCGATCAGTAACAGCGTACGGGATTGCCGAGTAGGTGGGTAGCTCACCTCTCTGTCTTAGTCGGGTGACGCCCAATGCTTCCACTACGCACTGGCGTCTTATCCATCATCTTCATCAGACCCCGGAAGCGGATGCGCAAGGCCTGAAGCACAATATACGGCGTGGTCATCACACACGGTAGGGTCCATTGAGCGACCAAGCGCACCGTATCGCTGACCGTCATCTGCGACGGATCCAGCGGTGGCCCGCAGCTGGTCATCCTGGTAATCATCTTGACCTTTCCCGCCGGACTCAGCGTGTTCGTGTTCAGCAAGGTAGCGTTCGGCTTCCAGGCGGACTCATGCGCGAGATCCATGAAGCGATTCGCGATCGCACCATCCACTTTCTCGAACGGAGACGCGAAGATGAACTTCTGCCAGGTACCCTTGTAGAATGTGGACGTCGGCTTGGAGGACATGGTCCGGACCTTGTAGCTGTCGTCCAGGAATCGCTTTTCCGCGGCATCATCCGTCTCCGCAGCAGGGATCGTGTTCTCGCCGCGTTCGACACGGAAGAAGTAGTTGCGTTTCTCGTCGTAGGAGTTATTGATCTCCATGATGACTGCGTCGAGCTCGCGCTCCGCGTTGTACAGATACCACCACGTTACTACGCTGCGCGACCACCAGAAGAAGCGCGGGACGCTGAGCATGTACGCGTACGGCCACTGGGAAGGGTCTTCGTTCTGTTTGCAATTAGCTTCAAAGTATCACATCGATAATAGTGGGATGGCATACCTCTTTCTGCAGATACCGATCCAACTTGGCCCGCAAGTCGAGATCCTGATCCCCTCGATGGAGGTACCGCTCCCCATCGATCGTGAGCCAGCACGTAGCCTGCGCAAGGAATGACTTCCACGATGGTCCGTCCAGCGTCGAGTCCTTAAGTGTCAACCGTTTGTCGTCGATAGCAAGTAGGTTACCAAAGCGACAGCGCAGCCCGACCGGCACGCCGACCATGAGGAATCTGTTGGTGAACTGATCCTTGATTGGGTTGAAGCGCACATGGCTGAGTTGCATGGGGAACAGGAGGGGCTTGCCCAGGATAGTTTGGGGCTCATCGGACAGCGATACCAATTTGTGCGATACAAAAAAAAGGCGCAGGAGCATGAAGAGTAGAACCAGCAGTGGTGTCAACAAGAGCAGTGCACCGAGTGCTGCTGTACATTTGAGGAGGAAAGCCGCATTTTGGTGCCTCAGGCTCGAGTATAGGGCTAAGGTGAGGAGATCTTGGTAGGACATCGTGTCTTGGCGCTTTGACCCAACAGACAATCCCAAGGCAAACAGGTGGAAGTTTGGTGAAAGAGAGGTCGAGGTGTACAGTAGGAGAGCGCTACTTGGGACTGCACACAGCAGCTTTTATACAAACGGACAATGAAGTCTTTTTTCTACGGCCGAGCTGTATGTCGGAGATGCCGTAGGTGCCGCAGGCAAGAGGTCTTTCCTCTCTGACGCCTTGGAGGACAGTTACAGAAAACATCATCGATACATGCAAAATACCAACAGTCTATCTATCTCCAAATACAGCAAAGAATACGACCAAGCCACCTGCATAACCAACAGGTTGGACTAACCCGCAACGGGAACATGACATGACGCTAAAACTGCAAGCGACAAAAATGTGGCTTGGATCTCGCCAGCCGAAACGAGTTTGTTCAGCCAGCCCCAGCCCACGGAGTGAATTTACTCGGATCGCTCCGGCAACACAAAAAAGAAATTTTCATTAGCTTCACCGTTCGTAGATCCAGTCCGCCGAAATCTTCCAGTGCGTGGATCGCCAGAGGTGGAGAGAGTTCCACGGGTAGAGGAACCAATTTTTACCCGTCAGCTTGTCGATGAAGAACTGCGATCGTCGTCAGTAATGTCAGGATTTAGTGAGGGCGGGCACTACGCACGCTAGAGCAGGAGCTGTCGTGAACGGTCCGATCGATTGCTGCATGGAGCTCTTCGGTATACTCCTTCTCACTGCCGACTTTGACCTCCACGAGGGCGGCCTGGTTCAGCAGCACAGGTTTGATCAGGGTAATGATCATATCCACGTAACTGCTCACTCCGTCAGCATGACTCCCGAGTTACAGAGCGCCAGCTTCACGCTGCATGAGAGCCCAACCTTTCAATCTGGAGTGTGGTGGACGTATGCACCCCACCCGAGTTCGGGCCCAGGACGTAGAAGAAGTTCGGAAACCCACTCATGGCTATCGACTTGAAAGCCGCCTTGGAGCCATACTGTCGCCAGTGTTCTTCACGTGTTCGGCCATTCCGGCCCCGAAGCTGCACGTCGTACTGCGTCAGGGCGAATCCGGTAGCGAGGAGCTGTAGTAGTGCACGAGCACGAGTCAATCACTTCGTCGTTCACACGCTAAGCAGGGGCCGCTGCCAGTGGTGAGAAGCTTACGATCAGGTCGGCTGGGATTTCCTCCCCACTTTTAGTGATGATCGAACGTGGCTTAATCTCTGCGATGGGGTCGTTTGTTAGGCGAACATTGTCCCGATGCAGAGCTGCGGAATAGCTTCGGTCGAACAGGCGTCTCTGAATGGGGTTGTCAGTTCGGATCTTGGTTTCAGTTCAGCAAAGCCACAGCGCCCCGCCCTACCTTGCAGCCAAACTCGTATTTCGGTATTAGCAAGTCCCAGTATTTTTCTGCACGAACCCATTAGCTATACCCAGCAGGGTAAGCTCCCAATACCGGAGATCCGTACCTGGTGCAGCTTTGCGCACATAGTCCCGGCTCATTCTCTCCGAGCCTGCCCTATCGACACGGCCCTCCTTGGTGTGCTGGAACTGCGCGAACCCGGTTTCCATGTACACAAACATCGCCAAGCGGAGCAGATACAGCAGGATGGGAACGTAGCGGAATATCGCTCTCCACAGCTCGGTGATATTGAAATTCGTGCTCGGCACAATGTGGTGCGGTGTCTGCGCCACAGGTGTCAGTGTTGCCGCTGCGCCAGCTAAAGCGGTGGAGACTTGCCCTCATGAATTGAGTAACATGGCTTGCTTGTTCACTGATTGCAGGCACCAGCTGAATTGCAGATGCTTCGGTAGTCATCAGTATACGTCTGCCGGAAGAAAATGCTGCTTATTCCTACCTCCGTTGCCAATGACCGCCACATTCTTGCCCCGAAGATCCACGTCCTCGCGCCACCTTGCGGTGTGGATAATTTCTCCTTCAAAGCGCTCGATCCCTGGAGCTTTGAATTCAAGCGGATTGACAAGGGCTCCGACTGCCGAGATGAGAATCCGACACTCCTGGGTGAACTGCCGTCCCGTCGGAATGTCTTTGAAGGTGACCACCCACGTGCGCGTCCTGTCCTGCCAGGCAGCACCAACCCAATCGGTGTTGCCTGTGAAATGTTGAACTACTTCGTAGCGGTTTGCCACACTTGTAAGGTAGTTCAAGATCTCGGCCTGCGAAGGGAACCATTCTTTGAAGTCGGGGTTCTGGGCGAAGGAAAAGGTATAGCAGAAGCCTGGGACATCCACGGCACAACCCGGATCTGCAAGCTTAGTGAGACTATTTAGATTAAAAGCGCAGGGTTGACGAACATCGGTTCACCCACCACGTTCCCCCTACTCCTGGTTGTCGATCATAGATGCAGTAGTTGTCCAGATGGTATGCTCGCTTCAGTTGACACGCTGTGACCAAGCCTGAGATTCCTGCCCCGATGATGATCACGGCGGTAGGAGGTCTTGACGGTAGAGGCATTATGTCTATCTGTCGAGGGCAGAAGGTAGAACAGGGGGTAATAGTTTGAAACTTGACACAGAGCTCAAGTTCCTCCTAGACCAGCTATACTCCTTATATAGACCAAACATACTAGCAGGGTCCCAATAGGCCTAATGCTCAAGATCCTGAGGATGATATCCAGCTTTGCTGTATAGTTCAGGCGGGTCGGCTATCTCCTAGTGAGCTGCGAACTAGATGCTCAGGAACGATTCCAGTCAAACGGAGCAAACGAAAAATACGCGTCTGTAACATTGTCCGCACCGTTATCTGACAAAAATGCACAAGGCCGACACGTCACAAGTCCCCACTTTCTCAGCTGTCGCTAAAACGCCGCGATACAGCGAACCCTTCCACTACTTTCCGGGAGCTTGGTTCTCATCAAGAAGATGGACAATCTGTCCGTGCTTAGAGCGTTACCGACTTTGATTTCGGCTGCACCCAACGTCTTCTGCCAGAGCCCGACTATCTCGTTCTACAGTGTTAGCAAGCGGGGTGCCTATAGCGCTCGCTGTGCATGCAGGGAAAAGACCACGAACGGCTCAGCCAGCCACGCGCCCTGTCCCAAACACACGCTGCTTGGAATTTGGACGGACCTATCAAGGTATGCCTAGTCCAATGTTTCCTTAACCTAGACCGGCTTGGCTGAGCCCTGTCTGCCCTAAATGCAAAGCCACACTTACCGACCCACGCTGTATCACGAACTTGCCGTACAGATCCATGATGCCCCACTAAGAAATGCCTCCGCTGTCTGATTGAATACCCCAATGTATTCTAGAGAATCATCGAAAATGATTGGATATTTTGGTTTGAACATTCCTGGCACCTGCAGGCAGCCGCCGACGGACTTCAGCGGTGTACGTTTGGGTTATGCGAGTCGAAACGACAGAGACTGTGGGGACGGAGATCTCCGTAGTAGATATCGAGGCGATCGTTTGCGTGTTCTTGTGTGTCCAGGAATTAAACTACCGGTGGGTGCATTATTTGTGAACCCTCATCCATATGCTTGGATTAGGCCCACTTCAATGCTCTTCTCGGGTGATCTGTGCTCGTCGTTGAATAGACTCTTCATCTGTTGCTCGATCTAATAGATGTGCCGTAAACTAACAGAACTGTTCCGTTGCACGTCGTCCCGTATACCATGGCCTTTGAGGAGCCAGAAGTCAACCAACTCTCTCTCAAAAGGATGCCTAATACCCAGGCCCTCTGCGCATGAATCCCGATGTTCTCCAGTGACCAAACCCAAGTCCCCCAGCATTAGATGCCAAGTATGGAAACCTTCCGGTACACAGCAGAAAATCTCCATCAAGTCTTTATCCGTCACCGACGGAGCACGAAACAGTCTTTCAAGCTGGAGCGGAAATGCTCTATATAAAGCGAAACAAACGAGCCCCTCCACCTGGTAACACTGACTCTCGATTGTTTCCCAGCGAGCGGTACTCAGCCAAAGCTCTGAAGGCGATAATTCCCACAAAGCTATCAAGGTAACCCGACGCACGATGGCAATCCAACTCGGAGATCTCCCACCGGAGCTGATCATTAAGTGCGCAGAGTACACGGACCCGCAGTCGTTGTGGAACTGGGCGCGGACCTGCAAGGGGTACATGATTCTGTTCCGGGGGGTGCTGAAAGAGATACGCCAGTGCGCACTGGTGAGCTACCGACCGTACCTCTACACGTGGCAGCCGCTGCTGGAGGCCGTGAGGAATGGGGAGTACAAGCAGGTCGAGAAGGCGCTGGTGCGGTTTCATATCGACCCCAACAGCTACGACCAGAGCGGGCGGCCGCTGCTGCACACCGCGGTGCCCTGCAAGCAGCTGGAGATCGCGCGCCTGCTCCTCTACCACGGCGCCAGCCCCGATGACCCCTACTTCTACGGGGCCGTCGACTGCTGGTGCCGCAGACCGACCGTCGAGGACGCCTCCATGCTCGAGCTGCTGATGGACGCCGGCGCGAGGGTGAGTGGCCTGTCCAACCCGCATAGCCTGTTGCGGTCGCTGATTACTATCCCTTTCGAGTATGCGTTTCTGAATCGCGCGGTCCGGTACTTCCTGGTTCCTGATCCTCTTAAGTCCGGTGTTCTGGGCGTGCATTTCAATGTCGATATGGCCATCAAGCAGGGTACCGTCAACTTCATGAGAGTCTTTCTGACCTTGGAGCCGAATCTGCTACAGTATCGTTGGAAGAAAAGGGACAACCCCAATGAAGAGGACGATCCCATCACCCGGGCGATCAGTTATGACCGTTGGGATATCGCCCACTGCCTGCGCGAATTCGCCCCTCGCAATGCAAAGAATGAATCCTCGTAGACGATACCCGTTCTCTGGTGCCATCTGTCCTGGTCTTGTGTCTATTCAGACTACTTGGAATTACAGTAAGTACAGTACATGGCCTCTATGGTCAGGGGCTGTCTTTGCAGCGGCCCTCGTAACAGCACTGCACTAAGCCATACACACCGAGATTAACACACCCCATACATGGCTTTGCTAATCCATCTACATCACATAAAGTAATACACATGCGCTCTTGCTTCTGCTACAGAGTTCCCCAATCCAGCCATAACACAACTACAAATACCCCCATTCCCTCGCTCAACGCACATATCAAACCACCCAATCAACCACCCAACTAATCAGAAACCCTGAAGCCCACCAAATCCGCCCCGTAACTCTGCACCCCATCCTCGCCGCCAACATTCCCAACAACAACCTCATTGCCGCCCACCTTCCACCCGTCTACCGTGACCCCAAGCGTGGCGCTATCCCACCACCCCAGCCCAGGCGCGAACAACTCACTCGATCGTCCACTCAGCGGCACCTCGAGCCGCACAGGCGTGCCCCCGTTGACCGCGACGGTGAGATTACGCGCATTACGCCCCTCGTTCCACGCCGACTGGAACGCGATGTCGTTGTTGATGTAGTCGATCTCGAGATACTTCTCGCCGGCGGAGGAGGCGTGCACCGTTGTTTTTGCGGAACCTGTGGGCGACAGATACCCTATTTTCGCGCCGACCGGGTGGCAGGTTCCTGCTCCACAAGTTGTCAGGGTTGCGGGTCCGGAGAGAGTGAAGGTTGTTGAGGGGTAGTAGGTTCCTGCTGGGGGGGTGAGGTGGAGCGAGGTTATGGTGAGCGGGGTGGAGGGGTGGTGGATGGTTAGGCTTAGGTTGGTGGAGGCCGAGAGCGTGAGCGGGGTGGTGAGTTGAGTCGTTGAGGCGGGGATGCGGAACTGGGTGCTCGTTGCGTTGGTGCTGCCCGTCGTTATGGTTATGGTGGTCGAGCTTGAGAGGGGCTTAGAGAGGTTGATGGTTAGAGTGTAGTTTGTGCTTGTGGTGATGGCGGAGATGGGCGCGAATGTTGTGGTTTTTCTGGCAGCGGGGGTTAGACGGGATTGCTTCTGAATAAAATTGCCTGCTCAAGGCTTGCTTACCCAGTTATTGTGCTGAAGATTTCCGCAGCATACTCCCCCGAGGCTGTGGTATCATGCAACTCGAGCAGCATCGTGCCGTGCCCGGCGACCGTGGCGGTGTAGGACGTGCGCACGTTCTGCGCCACGCTCCCCTCCCAGATATTCTTGACAGTCCCGGCGTGTTGGAAGCCGATATCCGCCAGGTCGAGCGTCAGCTCGCGCGACTCGTTCCGCCAGTTCACCAGCGCCGCGACGGTTCGTCCGCCAGACAACGGACCACTCCAGACCTCGTAGCCTTCTTCCGTCCATCGACGACGCAGACTCGCGCTCTTGCCTAGCGCATCTTGGTTGAACGCTATCACGTCCTTCTGCTTGAGGATTGCCAGCGATGCATCGCTGATGGCAGTAGTCTCATCCTTCAGAGCTGCCCCGATGGTCAGCGGACTCTTCAGGATGGCCCACAGCGAGAAATGTGTCTGCTCTTCGGGTATGGAGAAGATCCCGTTGCCGACCTCCAGCATATCAAGATCGGGCCACTGCCCCGGCCCGGCAAAGTCCGTCTGCGGGGCTGCCTGGTTGATGATCCGGAAGATGGTGCGCCAGGCAGGGATGATGTCATTGCCGATGCGCCAGGAGTGGCCGAGGGAGGGAGCCCAGAGCGCAGGAAAGTCAACGCCCCAGTCGCAGATCTGGAACAGAACGGTGCGGTTCTGCTTGGCCAACGCTTTGGACATGATGGCATATCTGGATGACGGAGAAGTGCTGGGCGCGTAATTCACGTTGGGGAAGTTGGTGGCCGCGTCCGCGTAGCAGTTGTCATCTGCGTCGGTCAGCGTGTCTGCTTACAGTGAGAGAAAGGGGGTTCTACATTTCAAGGAGTCAATCTTCCATGATGCAAAGGTTGCAGCGTCTTGTTCTTCGTGGTCTATTACCCAACAGTTAGTGAAGTTTCAACCCACCTTGGCTGGTGGAAGTCATACTCAAACTGCCCGTGTTATTCGGGGGACTGCCGCACAGGAGTATCCCCGTGTCTCCGTAGACACCGAACAAGAGCCCCAAGCCATGGATATACTCTCCCAAGGCTGGAAAGCCCTTCGGAAACAGATCCTCATTCCACGTCAACGACCCATCGGCTAAGCGATCCGCAACAGTCCAGCCACAATCCGTCGTGACATAACGGTATCCGAGCGACGAGAGTCCGAGATCAACCAACGCCTTGGCATTGGAACGAACAATGGTCTCATTCGGCGAGCAGGAGTAATGGTTGTATGTATTCCACCTTTACCTTGTAAGCTATATGCAAAATCAATCAAGATGGTGGACTCACCCCATCTGCGGTGTCTTGGCTAAGCCATCCTTCAGTCGAGGCTGGAGAGACGGTGCAGCCGCAGCCGCGACAGCCAGCAGGGACACAGCAAGAATTCCAGACATTGTTCCGAGTCTCGGGTCTGGGGATTTCCACTTCACGCGGGGTGAACTCGCCCATATATGACCCCAATCCTCATACTGCACAATTTGAGGGGAAGCAGGGCAAGCTAAATTAGCCGATGGCTTGGATCGACGCATGGCCGTCACACTAGCCTATTTAACCGGGCCTGCAGAGATGAAATTGAGGGGAAATGACATCGTGCCACTTGAATACTGCCATTTTAGGATATAGTTCCCACTGCATATTCGTCACATATTCCACCAGTGAACATGCGCTGCACGGAACGATCTTTTCCAGCGCAGCAGCTTTGCCCCAGGACAACTGCAGCTCGGACAAATTTGATCCTCATGTCCTGCAGCACCTGGATGAAGCTGGTGGGTAGTTCTCGATCCTTTGGCCCCTGCTCTCCACCATACCGAAGAACTAGATCGGCAATGTGGCTCGAAAAAGCTGAACGACTTTCTGCACGTGGCCGCATTCCGGCATTGGCTCCTTGTTCCGTCCCTTCAAGATCGCTCATATGCAGAGGCCTTCCACGGTTAGCTATGGACAAACGCGCGAAGCAGTATGTGGAACCGCTTTCCGGACTATGCTCGCTGAACACTTCGACCGAAGGAGCAAAATTCCACCGCCGCGATGAGAATTCTGCCAATCGACGAAGAAAAGTGGCGTTGTCGAACTGTCGATCTCAGAGGTCGCCGATGTCTCGAAGGGCGATGTCCAAAGCTCAAACTGGACTCGAACCAGATCGAAATCTTCCGATATATCCTTAACTGCCAGCCTGTGCCTCAGTCCTGCCAGCTCCAATGTCCAGTCCGTCCCCCCTCACTGGATCTATACACAATCAACCCAGTGAGAGCAGCACCAGCACCTCGTCGTAAGTCGCAACAGCAAGACCGGCCACCCATCCAAGCAGAAACGCGGTGGTGCGCTCCCATTGTCTCAAAACATGCCCATGACGAACATCCCCCCGAGTTCACCCAGCTCAAACACCCCGCCACAGATTCCAAGACCTAATCATTCCTGTCCCGGGCCCTCGTGAGTATTCGAAAAATCCGATCGCTTTCTGCAGTCCGCTCTCCGCATCGGCGAACGGATCCCTTCTGCTCTTTAGTTCCCCTAGATCGACATTGTTTGCGTCCGCGATGCGATCCAGCGCCTGTTTCCACAGGGTGTAGAGGCGTTTGGCTCTTTGTTCGCTGCAGCCTTCCCGTGGTCAGGGCCACTGGGTTGGTGGTGGTTTCAAGTCGGCATGGTGCCGAAGGTTGCGATCGTAGGGATATCGCGCGCGACCGGGACGGTGGGGACGGTGGGCGCGCTCATTGGCGATAACTGAGGATTCGGCATCTGAAGGCTAGTAGTCATTCAGTGAAGAGCCTTCAGTGCATTAGTGTGAGATAGGCATGGGGTCCGATGAGGCTGGGATTCTGATTGTGCTGACCATGGATCAATGCGGGTCGGCGGGGGATTAGATCCTTGCGCGATCGGACGGTGGAGAGCGGCTTAAGCCGCACCTAGCGGAGTGAATAGAATGGCAGGAGGCATGGAGGAATGAGCGGACTGGGCATTATCCAGAAGAATGTATGTGCACGCTGTCTTTGGGGGCGGCATGATAGGATTGTTTGCGGTTGAACGAGTTGAGATAAGGATGATTATGATGGTATCCGGGGAAGTCTCGACCTCCCACTATTGGATCGGTGGGGCGGGGGAAAGTGGAGCCGTCAGTCAGTGGTCTGCCTGACTGCCTGACTGCCTGATCGGCCAGAAAGCACTACAACTGGAAAGCCGTGAAGGGGGAACTAAATAGGCACCTGGCAGTCAGGTACAAAATCTGACTGTATGCAAGGGTCATAACATTCAGTTCGAGTGCATGAAGCCCCCATGCAAGCCCTCAATCAGAGAAAGTGAGTAGTCAGTCATGTGATGAGAAATCCAGGACGAGGATCACATGACTATGATGGGAGGCTGACCGCCTGGGACTCGCCGCCCGGAAGTATCTTTCGAAGGCAGCAGAAAAAACTTTCCTGAATGTCTCGACCCAGGCCTGGCCCAGCGAAACATTCATACCCCCTGCATCATCCGTCTTCCTTTCTTGCCACAGGGATTTTCTGTCTTCATCTTGACTGAGCAACACGAATCATTACTTATCGAATCACTCGCTCCCTCCATGGCAACGATGCAGACCGTTGTTCGCAAGACGGGCGGCGTATCTGGGGAACCGCTGCCGCCGACACTGCCGACCGATACGGTTCCCGACCGAGTGAACGCGTCCAGCCTGGGATCATGGTCTCACTTGATTGCCGGCGCGTGAGTGATCCTCTGCCTGCAGCGCGCCATCAAGATCCAAAGCTAATCAGGGTTTAGGACCGGCGGTATGGTGACAGCCATCGTGACAAGTCCTCTTGACGTTCTCCGCACCCGGTAAGCGCAGCTCTGCCTGCATCGCCACCAGACCTCCCAGCTCACAAGCACTAACGCAACGCCGCACCAGCCTACAAACCGACTACTACCAAACGCAATCGAATGCACGCCTCGCACCGCATCCAAGCCAAATACGACAATCGTTCGTGCGGTCGTCGGTGAACCACTTCCGCGAGACGTTCGGGATCCTGTTTTCGATCCACCGGGTGGAAGGGTGGCGCGGGATGTTCAAGGGGCTGGGCCCCAGTTTGACGGGGGTGGTGCCGGCCAGCGCGGTCAAGTTCTACACATACGGCAACTGCAAGCGGCTGCTGCCGGAGGTGCTGGGCTGCGACAAGGACACGACGCTGGTGCACGCGATGTCGGCGGCGTGTGCGGGCATTGCGACCGGCAGCGCCACCAACCCGATCTGGGTCGTCAAGACGCGCCTGCAGCTCGACAAGGCCGGCGCCCGCCGCTACAAGAACAGCCTGGACTGCACCCAGCAGATTCTGCGCCACGAGGGCCCCAAGGGCCTCTACCGCGGCTTGACTGCCAGCTACCTCGGCACCATCGAGACCACCCTACACCTGGTCATGTACGAGCGCATCAAGGGCTTCATCGCCAAGAAGGTCGATCTGGAGGGCGATGGGCCCGAGTCCAACCATTTTGTGCAGGGCATGGCGCTGAGCGGAGCCTCGGGGTTGTCGAAGATGGTCGCCTGTTTGATTGCGTATCCGCACGAGGTAGGTTCTGCTGACTGACGACTTGGGACATTCACTTTTGCTGACTCGAGCTACCTTTCCAGGTCATCCGCACGCGTCTCCGACAGGCGCCCATGGCGGACGGTCGCCAGAAATACACGAGCATTTTGCAGTGCGCGCGGCTGATCCTGAAGGAGGAAGGGATGATCGCGCTGTACGGTGGACTGACGGCGCATCTGCTGCGGACGGTGCCGTCGGCGGCCATCACCATCGGGACATATGAGCTGGTTCTCAAGGTCCTTGAGCGACAATGATTTGGGGGTCATCAACATCCTCTCCCCTTCTCATGTATTATAGACTGTATGATCAAAAAAAGATGTGGCGCATAGATACCCTGTAATCGGACGGACGAGGGTGATTGTACAGGCCACGATTTCTGGTTCGGTGTTTGTTTCAGCGCTTCTGGGTTTGTTGTTCGGGTGCATCCTGGTGTCTGCCGCGTCATGCCGAAATATATTTAGATTAGATGATTAGCCAATGTCATGTGGTTTTGGCTGTCTTGAGTTATGATTTTGATACTATCCTTAAGATTGATCGAATCGTCGTCCATTGTTCGTCGCATCTTGCACTCTGGATCGTCCATTGCTGTTTTGTAAATCAAGCGACGCGAAGTATCTGGGTCACGTGGTACTCATGCTTCTCCCTTTGTCTTCAGCCCGCAATATGCTCGCTTGCTTTGTGGAGCACAGTCCATGACTTGGAGTGCATTTTTAGTGATATAGGCAGCGTCAACGATACTTTTTAGTAGACCAAGCACCACACCATATCATGCATGCAATGTACAACATCCAGAACCAAACCAGGTCCCAGCCTAATCCAATCCTCAACTACTGAATTAGACCTACGAGCACATCTCACAAAACCAAGACAGAAAAAATATCATAGCATTAACAGTCATTCATGTACATAAAAAAAAAAAGGATGGTATCAAGCCCCTTCATCCAATTAAAAAAAAAACCACTATTTACCCAATCCGTCCGAATCATCGCCGCACATCAAGCAACGTCAAATTTACAAAGCAGCCATGACACCGAGGACACCAGCGACACCAGCGGCACCGTAGCCGAGGACACCGGCGGGAGTGGCAGCAGCGCCGGCGGCACCTTTAGAAGTGGAGGAGGACTTGGCGGCGGAGGCGGAGCTGGCGGCGTTGCTGACGGTGGAGGTGTGGGTGGTGGTGCCGGTGGAGGTGGAGTCACCGTTGGTGGTGGTGAAGGTGGAGGTGGCGACGGTCATGCTGTCGGAGATGGTGGAGGTGCCGGTGGCGGAGCCGTTGGAGCCGGTCAGCGTGGTGGTCGAGGCCGCCCAGCGCGAGGTGGCGTCGGAGGCGACGCTGGAGGCGGCGGAGCGGGCATCCGACGCGGCGCTGGTGGCCTCCGAGGCGACACTGGACGCGATCGAGGTCACGTCCGAAGCGCCCGCTGCGCCTGCCGTCGAGGCGGCACTGGCCAGCGAGGTGGCGCCGTCAACGGCATCGGTGGCTGCCGACTCAGCGCCCGAGACGACATCGGAGACAACACCGCCTTGGGGAGAGGCCAGGGCGGCGGTGGAGAGGAGGGTGGTCAGGAGGAGGTTCTGGAGCTGCATTGTGGTGGTTGTGGTGTGAAAAGCTGATAGCGTAGCGATAGCGATAAAAGCGATGACTTTATTGTTTGCTGTACTTGAATGTACCTGACCCGGAGAGGAGTGGGATATATGCAGGAGAATGGATCGTGTGGAATGGGGAATGGATAAGACAGTCGAACTGCGAGGGGACGCAGCAGGGCTTTATATCCCATTGCCACCACCATGCAAACCTCTTTTTTACCCCTGCCCTTCCCTGTACCTGTCGGTCGGTCTGTTGACGAACAAGAATAGCAGCCATGATCCTTTGCTCCCCCACGTTGACCAGCAATTCATACGAATCAGGGCTGCAATCGAGGCTGGCTCAACCAGTCACGGCGATGCAGACGCGGCCCAGGCCCCACTATGATTCCATCACGGTCGCTGTCGCGGGCGTCCAGGGTCGATGTTCCTGTTTCCCTGCTTAGCAATGACGTTGCCTGGGCGTCTAGATTTTGGGACTCGGGGTGCTTCACTCGTCATCATTGGAGTTCCAACGGGGTTGAGTGGTGTTTGTCTGTGGCTGTCCGGGTGTGGCGTGCAGGAGTTACATTGTGTGTTGGGCTGTGTTGTGCTCTGCCTGCCCTGCCCTGCCCTGCCCTGCCCTGCATCGCATTTGCCCACTGGCACTCCCAACATGAGCCATCACACACACCACACAAAAAAGAGGAACCCAGTCCGTAGCTAAGAATAAGATTGTTAAACTTTGACAGACCCCCTTCTCTCCTCTCCAGGTAACCCACCCAGTTGATCCATCCATTCAACTCGCCACGCACAGGCACCAGCATTGACAAAAGTCCGTCCGTGTCACCCCAACACAGCGGTGGTTCAACCACGTCGATTCGCATCCTCCTGTTGGACATCAAACCTGCATCCTGCATAAGACAAGTGGTGCGTCATCAGCAACCAAATCCCGACGCGGTCGGACGGAAGAATCGGGCCGGGGGGAGGCAGGGTGGCAGAGTGGCAGAGGGCAGATGAGGATCGTCAGATTCGTGGGCCAGATCTTGGCTGGCGGCGTTGCGTAATCTTGATGCAGGGTAGAGAGGTTCGTGAGTTGGATTGATCCCACGCTAACCAGAAGCCCGTTACTACATGTCCTGAGTACTTTACTTCACTCAGTCAACTCGACTAGTGTGGTGATAGGAAGTCCAGCCAGGTTCCTGGACCCTGTTTTTCGACCTCCCACCCTGTACCTAGCCCAGTCTCTGGGGAACTCTGATTAGAAGGTCCACGGGGCAGAGTCATCCGGGGTAAAGATTCCATCCCATGGGCTAGTTATCTATAAGGCTGAAAGCCGAGCTGAGGGGAGGTGGAATTCCCTTATTCGGTAGATGAAGCGCGCAACTAACTACCGCGCATTGTACTACCTATTACCGTAGGTAAACCCCCGAATTGTCTCGAAGCTTTCCCTCCCCAACCAGCCAGCCCTAAGACTTCTCCTAATCACCAGACCAAAGAAACCATCAATCACTGAATAACCCAACCCAGCACCAACAACCAGTCCATTGAATAACATCCAACAAACTTGACGTCAAGCCTTACCCAAACCAAGTGGAGAGTGACCCCAACGACGATCCCTTCCTTCTCGCTCACCAATTTACCCGACCTTCGGGCCTGCCCTGCGACCAAACACAATAATTAAATATCTGCCCCAGTTTGACGTCAACCCACCCCCAGCCTATCGCCACTGTGCAGGAACCAAGAAACGTTGTCCGTCACAGGGACGCTTAATCCAGGCCAGGGCACATGCTATGGTGCTGGTACAATGCGGAGTTCGTGATTGATGCTCGTTCTTCGAGAGTTTGCAGATGATCGTGCTGCAGGGCTGGAGACAGCCTCAAATCATGGCCCGACCAGGCAGCGGTCGGAGCCGACGGTGGGTTAGAATTGCCACAGTGGACCAATGCCGACTAACCCTTGCAATTCTACTCGTGAGTCCGTAGTCCGTACAGGTAAAGAAGAGGAGTGCGGATACTCCTGCGGTGTTCAGGGGCGATGCCAAGCTAGACACTGCATTATACAAGTATCCGACAAGGGTCCGTCCCTATCCATCCTGCAAACCCGTACCGGAGCAGCAACTTAATAAGGCTGAGCACACCACTGCGGTACCTGTACCAACTGAACCAGACCACCTTACCCAACCCAATCGCAGTAAAAAATAATACACACGCAGATATAGTACTTAAAGTGTCATCTCATTACCATTAATCATACCCACCATCTGACATAAATCCCACCACTCTAGTCTAAATATATATAGTAAAATGCCCGCTATTCAACAAACCCACCCCACCAAAACCAAAAACTTTTAATGAGCCAGTTGCTACGATAGTTAGCCACAACCCAAACCAAATCCAAAGGAAAGACAACTTACACTGGCCAGCTTACTCTTCGACCGGATCGTCGGGCCGTAGAAGACCAGCACCCACGGAACGAGGACGAGGACGGCGCCCTGAACCACAATATTAGCGCGATGCCCACCGCTGAACAAACCCGTGAAGGGGGAGAGGAGAGACAGTGGAGGAGAACATACGATCGCGCCCAACAAGCTCGATGCACCCGGATATCCCAGGTTCGTGAACATGGCGTTCGTGACGAGCGGGAAGACACCGCCGAGGAGGTTGCGACCTGTGCGGATCGGATCGTCAGTATCGGAGGGGTGGGGGTGAGAAGGATGGGAGAGAGAAACGTACAGCATGATTGAGCCGCGATCGCTGAGCTCGCGAATCGGTGGTACGTATCGGCCAGGTAGTTGAAAACCGCCAGATAGACGGCGAAGATGCCCATAGTGGCGCATCCGATGGCCATCGTGGGCGAGATCCATGCGATGGACGAGTACGACGTCCACCCAAACCAGAATAGCCCGATCGGCATTAGGATTGCTTCGACGCAGACGAAGTACAGACGCGCTTCTGGGGTGTGCGGGAGGAGGTTGTAGCGCCGGCCGAGCTTGTCTTGGTAGATGCTGATGACGGTGATCAGGAGGGCGCCGACGCACATGGCTGGTTTGCGAAGTGGTTAGTATGTGGAGGATATTTGGTGGGGAGGGACACGCACAGGTGAAGACGGCGCCGGTCTGCTCGACGTTGAAGCCGTGGTTGGTGCGGAAGACCAGCGGGATGGAGCCGAACTGGAGGTACAAAACAGCCCAGCTGAACGAGACCCAGAGCGAGAAGAAGAACACCACCGGTTCGCTGACCAGCATATCTGCGCACGCACCCATTGATTAGCACAACCCCCAAAAACACCAGAGCACGGTACACTCACGAAAAGGCCGATACACCGAGATCCCGATCATGCGGACCAACGAGACTCGCTCCTCGTCGCTCTTCACGCGCCACCGAATGCGCCGGACCTTGCCCTCATCCAACAGGACCCCAAAGTGGCCCGCCGCCTCGAGCTGCTCATAGTACTTGTTGACGGCGACGGCCTTCCGACTCAGCAGCACGCTGCCGCGCGTCTCCTTGAAGAACAGGAAGATCACGACCACGAAGAAGGCAGACACGATCGCATGGGAGTAGTACACCCAGCGCCAGGTCGTGTGGTGGACGATCGCGCTCGATACCAGCGGCGCCAGCCCCGTACCGAACAGCGCCGCCCCGGAGAACAGCGCCATCGGCGTGTTGCGATCCTCCGCGTGGTAGATATCGCTGATCACGCCGCCCACCATCGTCGAGAACGTCGACGCCCCGATGCCCTGTAGGACCCGCGCGACGAGCAGCCCGCCGAAGATGTGTGTGCCGCCGCAGGCGAGGAGGGATGCTTCGAGGCCTTAATTAGAAAAGACGGACGATATCTAGGAAGAACTGGGAGAGAGAGCATACCGGTGAACAAGATCCCGCTGGCGACGAAGATCGGCCGACGCCCGTTGATTTCGGAAAATGGGGCCAGCACCATCGGGGCCAGGGCGAAGCCGGTGCAGAACACCGTGATCGTCAGGTTGTAGACCACCGCGCTGACGCCCCATTCCGCCGTCAGCACGCTCGACGCCGGGCTAACCTCGCCCGCTGAGTAGCCCGCCAGCGCGGTGACGGCGCACGCGATCCAGGTCATCATCGACTTGCGCCATTTCGGCCACAGGAACGGGGAGATGTATTTCTCGAGGCTCGGGGGCTCGGGCGGCGGTGATTGATTCGGGCCCGGGGGCAGGGTGATGCACGGCGTGGGGAGAGGAGTGTCGAGTTCGAGATAGCGGTATTGGATATCTTGCGTCGAGGGGTCGAAGCTGGGGTATTTTTCGTCGGAGAGGTAGGCGTTTAAGGCGGAGGCGCCGGTTTCGGGGAGGAAGACGGTGCCGGTGGTCGACGAACCCGAGTCGTCGAGAGGGCCCCGCGGGGAGCCCTCATGGGTATCTTGAGGCATTCTCGCTGATCAGGTCCTTATCCTGGTGCACGCTGAAGCTGAGCATGTGGGGGAGGAAACAGGATCGTGAAACAAATGTCAGCAGCACACTTGGCGTCTTCGTCACCAGACGCTTATGTTTAAGCAGCAGGGATGGGGAAGTTATTTAAGAAGGATGACACAGGTACGGTAGACGTGGGGAACACCAAATTGGAGAAATCCCCAAGGTTGTTCCCCGAGGGCGCGATACTGAGGCCTGGAGCTACATCCGGAGTTTGCCCATCCCTCCGCATTCTTTGCCTATTTCTGATATCGGTTCGAAGCTAATATACATGATGACTGCCGCTCTAGCGAATCTCGCGGGTTTATCGGAGCCGCAGTGGTTCTATTCGTTGAGAAAGCACCCAAAATGCTCTGATTGGGTTTGGAGCGCTGCAGCAGTATCGGCCGATAGCAGCCCAAGCTGACGCCGCAAGCGCAGATTTTGCTCTCCGTTGGGTTTTCCGAACCTCCACTTTCTCCAATTCGGAGAAGCCCTCTTTTGACTCATTCGGGACCCCAGCCAATCGCAGACTCTGTTCTTGCCGAATTCCGGACGCTGTCATTGGCCAGAGATTGCTTCCGGGTTCCTGCGATTAGATCGGGAAAGATAAGCCCGGTTAGTACAGTATGTGGTAGTAAGTAGTAAGTCATGCAAACATAAGTAGGTAGCCAGAGCCATAGCAATCGCCTACTCGGTTGAAACTGTCGGTATGGCTCATGATCTCTATAGCTGACAGGTCAATAGCATTGGTCCAGGGGCTGGGGTCCCAATCGGACTCTTAAGTTTCCTTGAGAGACCGGTTCCCTGTGACTGTCTCCAGATGGGATGAAGGGCTCGATTCATACCTTGCACAATTAATTCCTCCTGCACAATCATGGCAAAAGCCCTGTTGAACAGACTCTCACATCATACAGACGAAAGGAATGTAGACCGGGAATCACGGAAGTTCGGGCAGGCTGGATATGCTTCGCTTACGGATCATTATTGAATCGATGCAATTTGTAAGCCCTTCTCCATTTTGGGGACGACAAGATCATCACGTCGAGAGCGAGACATGTGGCCATATAGGGAAAACTTATGTTTGCGCCCGAACAGCTGTGTGTGTCGATGGTCTCTATTCGTTCTTCAGATTCGCAACATCATTCGTAGAACAAAGGCCAATCGATAGTGCTGAAGCTCAGAGGTGGGCTACCTGATTGTGCTCAACACCTGTGCTGACGAGTGTAGAATGAATGCCAATCACTAGTGCTGAGTCTCGAGGGTGCTTTCCGATTGTCACCAATCCCTATCCTGATGAACATGTCCAAATAGGTTTATGGGCGAAATGGAAATCAGCCTCGAGCAGGGGTTAGTCTGGATTGAGCGGTACCATCCTGCAGTGTCAAGTTCCTTCTTGGCCTGCCATGGCATTGAGAAATAGGCAGTGGCTATCGTGGTCAGGTGTGTCTTCCAACCAAGCTGACCTGAGAGGGTGAGCCTTATATGAGATGGGCTCTGACGGGCAACTGTATCTCGTCGGACTACATGATATGTCATGCTCGTGCCTTGGTCGATAGAGACAAACATTAGCTTTGCTAGTACAGAAGAAGCAGAAGATGTACGCTTACGACGACACGAACAGACATAGAGAACTATTCTGCCCTCATAGAAGGGGACACTATCTTGATTCAACTCGGCCGGCAGCCCGACAATGGACAGCTGTAGAGTGCCTACAGCACGACGGGCTCAACCGGACACTTCATCAATGCCGAGATTCTAAGCAGGAGATAATTCAGTGATTTTGTGGTCAGTCTAGTCATATTTAGTGATGAGCTTCAGAAATCCCCCCAAAGCGTTGCAAATGCTCACCAGGTATGCACGCTAAACAAGACCCTTCATACCACATAATGAACTGCCCTAGAGATATGCTCTGGGAACCCAAGTACTAATGGTATCACGTCCTAGTTATAGAAGAATGACCGTTGGGCAACGGTTGCGCCGCTGACTCTGGAAAGTCGACTCCTGGCCGAAACGGAGTCAGGGGCTCGCTCGGGCCGGCCCATGATCAGGTTGTTTGGACTAGTTCAACGGTCGCTTCACCATTGGAAGAAATCTAGACTTTTCGGTGGCTGTTTCTAGAAAAGCTCGTCAGTCCCTCGCTATATCAATGTAGCTCAAATAATGATAGTCTGAGACACGGTGCAGTCATATTGGTCAAGCCGCGATGCGCCGCGGAATGGCTGTCCGAACCGAACAGACAATCCTCGCTAACTACTCATGCTCCGTTTCAAGGCAATATGAGCGAAAAAAACATAATGTGAGACACCAAAGGTACGAATCATAAGGATAGCATCCCGTTTTATCGCTAGTGTCACGTTGATCATTGCATTGAGAGGGCAGAATGTGCTGGTCGCAGCAAGTCGTCCAAAAAAGGGATAACGCAGCCTATAGCTAATATGATATGTAGAGCAATCTCCAAACCATCACTACCTACCCCGCTCGCTAGAGAGTATATGCTCAGGAAGTAAGACACCAGGAATGATCGGCCGCGGCGACCAAGATACAGAAATGAGGCTTCGTACGCGGGCGTACAGTACACTGCGTGCACTATCTCGAGCAGCGCAAACAGCGACCCTCATCTGAGCGGAAGTGTTGAGCTGAAGGCATGCTGCAATGTGTTCTGTTCCTGCGACACGCGACGGACGTCGCCGGATTGTTTATGCACATAAAACAGAGGTGAATTGGACCGATTGGAAAGGGAGCGCGCGGAAATTGTCATTGTTTCACCCTTGAGTCGAATAAACCTCGCCAAGACCTACAGCACAGACGAGACCAGGATGCTATTTCGGGCGAATACATTGGTTTGTGGCAAGACTCGACTGCGGCTGGATTATGTTTTTTCGCGGACACTCTCAGCGCAGAGAGTCGTATCCGTAATCATTCTCGATGCTTCGAGAGGGGACACTTGTGAGACACTTCAGTTCACTCACGGCTAAGTTGCATCCCATCCGACTTCAATCGTTACACTTCTGCCTAACGCACAGGCACCCCCAACTGGACTCGGGCATCATGAGAGGGGAAAGATGGAAAGCCTAAGCTCGCCACAACAAAGGTAACTCATCCATGATCTTCGATGTTCTGAGACAATGTGGGGGTGGCTGTCCCGCAGTATTACCTCATAGTCAAGATTGCCCCTTGGGGAAAACGCGGGAATCCCCGAAATCGCGAAGACGCCCGTAGACGCCCGCCAACGGCTCAGCCACGGTGAGGCCGTGGTTGCAAATTGCCAGTCACTGACTCCAGCCAGATTGGACGAGCATGCATCAAAGTTCTTACGGGATTCGCTAGTTCCACAAACGATCGATCGATCCGTGAGGTACTATGGAATCATCCCACTTTTCGGAAGCGGAAGCGGAATCCCTGCCTCACGGAGTGTTCACTTGCCTCGAAATTGTTTAAAATGTGGCTGCCTCACGTGGCGAGTACAAACAAACCAGCTGAAGGTCCTGCACCTTGACTGCAGCGGTGGTTGGTACTGCGCAAGGGTTGCTGGTAACCGGCTACAGCTTCTTGACTACGGTAAGTCATTGGACCTCGGCTGGGCGGGCAGAACAGTCCATCTTGACGAGTGACAACATGCAAATGAGACATAGCCTGTAATGTGGGACCGATCCGGATGTGCTGCCAAAGCGAAAGAATGGGGATGTCTGTCGGGGTTACTATTTCTGAAGCGCCAATGGTCCAAGGCTCGAATGTCTCGCCCACATGGCAGAGTCAAGGCCAATTAGGGCATCGCTTGTCACGCCCCACCCGCCGCTAAAATTTTGGGGCTTCTGCGACCCCCAGAGACCCTGAATTAAATCAGTGAAGCAATATCGGGCCAAGGCGGGAATGACAGCATACATCCTGGTTGCACTGGCAGCAATAATGGCTGACTGCACTGCTTAGACATGAAATCAACGTGGTGGTCATGGCTTCCAAGTCGGTCCTGGACTGAAGTATAAAGGGACACTCCATCCCGCCATCATTGTCTTCATTCTCATCATCATCAAACACTTCCAATTTCCAACTCAACCAAATCCACACTTTTTTCTTACCACCTTTAGTCACTTCTCAAATCTACGATTTTCACCATGCAGCTCAAGAGCATCGTCCTCGCCGCCTCGGCCGCTGCCACCGCCGCCGCTCTCCCTGCCACCGACTGCAACCAGAGCGAGACCTTCGGTGTCGTCTCCATCCACTCCGGCAGCGCTGTTCAGTACGAGCCCTTCAATGCCGCCAAGAGCAGCCTCTTCGCCGGTCTCTCTAGCCAGAACGCCAGCTGCGCTCGCCCCAAGGAGCAGTTTGCCACCTTCTACATCAACGACGGTGCTCTCTACCTGTACGACAAGTCCGCCACTCCCCAGGAGTTCTTCGTCGACCGCTCCGGCATGGGTATGTCTTCCCCTTTTTACTTTCTAATCGAATATCATAACTAACACTCTATCCAGGCCAGGGTAAGATCGGCTACACCACCGGTGCCCAGCCCGCCCCCAAGAACAGCGAGCGCCAGGGCTGGTCCATCAACAGCGACAACCACCTCCAATTCGGCGGCAAGGACCTGATCGCCTGCCCCAACTCCATCGACGGTGCCTGGAGCATCTGGGCGGAAACTGGCGTGAGCAACCCCGCTGGCAACAGCGACTGCGTTGGCATCGCCGCCCGCGTCGAGAAGACCAACGACCCCAACGGCTGCAAGTACACCTCCTAAATCGACTCGTGTGCGAGCAGCAGTCGTGACTCTTGCTGGTCGGGGTCTGGGCGCGGTTGATCCAGGAAAGGCGGGCTGTTTGAGACAGTGCGCTGTACAGTCTGGACTGGTAGGCTTTGCGAGAGTCGTGACTGGGATTTGATATATAGTTGGAAAACAGTGGAGGGAGCGATAATAATGGCAATTCATGATAATTGAGGTTCTGGTTAACAGCAATACAATTCCATCTCCACGTGAACTCTGTCCGAAGTAATGGCTAGTAGTGTATCCTCGTATTTTCAAGAGTGTGTAATATTCTAGCATGCCTCAGTTATTTCAAGTTCCGAATCCTTGAACCAAATCTAAGAGATTAAGCCCACAAGCCACCAGCAAACCTCCCAGCCCTAAGCCGTCATAGACTCCAATCCCGTCGCAATATTCACCTTCAGCTCCTTAACCGCCACATCCAGCGTCTCTTTCTCCCAGCCCACCAGCGTCCCAAACGGCAAAACCTTCTCCGCGCCATGCTTCCTCAAGGACAGTCCTCACCACAAAGAAATCAAGGCCCAGCTCCTTCGCAGTCTCCTTTTCTCCCTCAATACCCGGCAGATAAACAAAGGCTTCCTCGGTGACAGGATTCTCACCCTTCAATCCCGCCAAAACAGCCTTGACAAACCTAAACCGAGCGTACGCCATGCATGTCGTGGCGCTACCAGCACCCTGTTTACTCTTGACGATCCCGTCGCCTCCGAATGGGACGTCTGAATACGTACACGATCAAGAAAGTTGTTCTACACAGAAGCAACGGGTGGGAAGTGACGTACGGTGGAGTTGACGGGCTTGGTCACTATGCAGGAGATTGCATTGGGGCTGGGGTGGTCGCGATGGCCTGGAAGATGTCGCGGATGATCCTGGCGTTGGTCTGGCATTTTGGTTAGTCTGTAAACGGTGTGGATTGTGCGGATTGGAGGGGGAGTGTTCACCTTGAATAGATCTGCGCGTTGGGTGTTGGCATCTTTTTCTTTAGTGGGGGGAGGGGACAGTATACGCACCGTCTCTTGTCATGCCGGGCTTGCGTGCTATGCCGGCCGTCACGACGACGATGTCTGCGTTGCTGAGAGCTTTCTCTAGCCCCGAGTCGGCGGGGAGATGGCCTGTCACTTCGGCTTTGGTGTCGATGTGGATGAGGTCTGTGGCGATGCCTGGGACATGGACCAGGTCGTATAGCGCGATCTCGTCGAAAGGTCGCTCTGTGGACTGGAGGGTTAGTCAGATTGGAGACTGCATCGAGAGACTCATGATATGCTGACCACTAACTGGTTTGCAGAGAAGACTCGGAGGCGTGCCGATTTGGCCGGCGGCGCCAATTATGGAGGTACTGGTCGAGGATTCAAGCAGGGAACAAGCATGAAGGCGACAAAGCTTGGTTGAATCTTTCCTGACATCCTTGGCAAACTCACTTTCTGTCTTTGAGGTACTCACTAAAACTAGGATTCAATTGAATTGGGTTGAGTATAAAGTGTACTCAGACTTCTCAGAACGCCGTGTATACTTGGATTGAGAATACTAAGGTCAGTAAATGATCGAAAGAGTTTCAATCAACACATAGCGTGGAACATTTGAAAATAACTTGCATGCAACTACAAGAACTAAATGACCAGCGGTAGAGTTAGGCTCTGCTAATGCGGGTTTGCTCTTGGATCTAAGCCGGTGCACTCTGGGATTCGGCGTGGATCCCAGCAATGCAGAGGTCAGAAACAAAATTTGACACCCGTGGAGATATTCGTTAATATTCCAATGCCAGGCTTGGCAGAGACTTTAATGCTGACTTTGTCAGAAGATCTCCCTAACTCAGTTACACACTTATTGACCGTCTGAGTCCGAACACGAAAGCTTACCTTGCATAGTCACGTGGTTTACCTTCTTTGGAGCGACGTGCGCCTCACATCCCCTGAATTACACATCTCCTCGAACCGATATATCGCCCACCTCCAAGAGCTCGTGCGAAGAATGCCCCTACAACTGTCCTACGACGATGTTGCGTGGGAGAAAAGCGAAGCAATTGCCGATTGGTGGATTCGCCAGTTTCTCGACCCCGAGATTGGACATGGAACCTATCGGCGACTTCTTGGTCCGACACCACCGTCCTGGTGATCCTGTCGAGTTCAGCTTACTGGACAAGGGCGCATACAACATCTCCTTCCAGATGAAGTACAAAAACGCTAACAACGCGATAATTTCCTCAACCTGGTGCGACCATGTTTCCGGAAGAGAAAGTCCGGAATGAAGTCGCTACCATGCGGTACATTTACGATCAAACCTCAATCCCTGTTCCTTTTGTCCACCACTGGGGCACAAAGAAAAAAAGTCCTCTTGAACTCAGTCCATTCATTATCATGGACTTTATTGATCACGAGACCAACATGTACGATGCTCTTAACACGCCTGGATGCCCAAGAGCAGAGCGTGGAATTCTTGACCCAGAGATCAGCGAGACAAAACTAGAGGCTCCTTTACGGAGAGGCTGCAAAGACTCTGCTTCAGCTATCTCGACTCTCTCTACCCCGTATAGGGTCTCTCGAACAGGTTGACGACTTCACCTGGGCCGTGACGAAACGGCCTTTATCAATCCCTATGTATACGCTTGTCGAACTGGGATCTTTACCCCAGTCGAAACTCCCAACCACGACATTCGATACCACCTCCTCGTACTTCGAGGCCCTAGCGGAGCTCCACATCACTCACCTCGTACACCAGCGGAATGATGCAATCGACTCCCCCGACGACTGTCGACGCAAGCTTGTGGCTCGCTATCTCTTCCGCAAACTCGCCCGAAAACGTCGCCTGACAAAGCACTTGGCGTCCTTCGATGGAGGCCCGTTTAAGCTTTGGTGCGACGACTTCCGCTCAGCCAACATCCTTCTGAGCAGGGAGCTGGAGGTTGTCGGCGTTGTGGACTGGGAATTCACATATGCCGCCCCGGTTGAATATTCGTTTGGGCCGCCATGGTGGCTTCTGATTGAGAAACCTGAGTACTGGCCTCGAGGTCTTGATGACTGGTGTAGCGAGTACGAAAGACGGCTCCAAACCTTTCTGCGAGCAATGCACCAGCGAGAGGATAAGGCGATCGAACAGGGCTGGCTGGAGAGTACGCAGCGGCTCTCGGGCCCGATGGGGGAGAGCTGGGCCAGTGGGGACATCTGGATCGCTTATGCCGCCAGGAATAATTTCGCTTCTGACTTGGTGTATTGGCGCAAGATTGATCAGCGGTTCTTCGGGTCAACTGCTTCCGATGCCCCAATTGATGATGTCTGGAAGCAGAGGCTTGAGCTTTTGGAGCCTGACGAGAGGGTTGCTATCGAAAAAACTGTGGCGATCAAGCTCAAAGAGATGAAGACTCGGGAGTTGGTTTGGGACCCGAATGATTATACCAAGGAGGCCGTAGAGAAGATCTTTGGGAGAAAGCCTGCGTGTAATTAATTCCGTATTCATACACAATTGGTAAGCTCAAATGTGTTTTGGGGGTCTTTTTTCTTTCTTTCTTTCTTTCTCTTTTTTCTTTTGGATAGGGTATTTCTTCACTCAAGCACATACATACCTCACTGTAAAAAGCGGTTTTCATCAAGGAGATGAAATGTGCATTGGCTACACTTATTCCCAATTAAGCTACATGCTTTGGGACATATTAACGCTCAGGCCATACAAGTATCGACTACAAATACTGTGTCCTGTTTACCCTCGGTTGACTCCTTTAAATTAGAAGGCTGAGTGCAACAGAGGCATGCAACGCGCGAATTATAAGATTATCTTCTTGATTATCTTTTTAAGTACCTCCTACTAAGCTAGTAAGTAAGCAAGTATGTAAATAAGTAAGTAAGGTCTCTTACCAAGCACCTCCCACCAAGTAAGTAAGTAAGCAAGCAAAGCCTTTTACCAAGTACGTCCCACCAAGTAAGTAAGTAAGTAAGTAAGTAAGTAAGTAAGTAAGCAAACAAGCAAGCAAGCGAGTAAGTGAGTAAGTGAGTAAGCAAGCAAGTAAGTGAACAAGTAAGCGAGTAAGCAAGCAAGTACAAGTAAGCAAGCAAGTAAGTAAACAAGCAAATACAGTAGTTAGTTAACTAACTAACATAATCGTTAAGCGAGTGGTCCATGTAGGCGAGTGGCCCAGCCCCGTATTCCATATAAAGTAGCTATTATAAAAAGCTAAATATCTCAACCATTTCTTATAAATTTCTTGTAAAACTTAGGATTAAGCTTAATATTATTATGATTATCTAGTATAGCCTAGAGAAAACCTGATATATATCTTAATTGCCTAAATATATATATATATATATTTTGAGTATTTTTTGTAATTTAATATAAATTCTAAATATTTCAAGAAAAATGATTTTCTAGTCTTTAGAAATAATACTATATATAGAGAATATACTTAAATAACATATATTCAAGTTTTATATTCTTAAGTATTGTAGTTGTTGAGATATTCAGCTTTTAATAATAACTATTTTATAAGGAATACGGAGTTGGGCCACTCGCCTACATGGACCACTCGCTTAATGTAATCGGTAAGCGAGTGGCGCGTGTAAGTGAGCGGCGCAGAACTGTATTTAGTATTAAATCTAGATATTTTAAACTTATATAATTCAAGAACAAGAATACCTCAAAATTTTAAATAAATACATTATAGAAGTAAGTAAGTTAATTCTCTATAAATCTTATTTAAAAATATCTATATCTTTTTTTAAAGAAGTTATTCTAGAAAAAGAATAAAATACGAAAGATACACTGTATTTCTCTGTATTAAGTCTTATTAAGCTTTAAACTAGAGATCCTTGATATGAGTATTAATTTATAGCTATTTAAAGCTGTATATAAGATTATATAGAATAATATCCAGAATTGGTAGAGATATAAGGGATTGAAAATTGCTCTTTTATATGGGAAATACAGCGCGCCGCTGGCTTACACGCGCCACTCGCTTACCGATTACGTTACCGATTACGTTAACGTAATCGGTAAGCGAGTGGTCCATGTAGGCGAGTGGCCCATCTCCGTATTCCATACAAAATAGCTAGTTTCCAAAGCTAAATATCGCAATAACCATAATACTTGAGAGATTAAGTCTATACTATATAAATATTAAGTATATTTTTTATATAAAATATCTTTTTTAGAAGCTCAAAGTTAATAATCTTAATATAATCAAAGAACTATCTTAAAATATATATGTTACCAAAAATACATATAAATTTAGGTAATTAAGATATATTAGAGATTATCTCTTGAAGAGTATAGATTAGTATGATAATCAGAATCTATAGAACAAATTCTATAAGGTTTCAATAGGAAATGGTTGAGATATAAAAAATGATTTTATATGGAATACAGGGGTGGACCACTCGCCTACATGGACCACTCGCTTACCGATTACATTAAGGCTTCTTACTAAGCACCTCAACCCCCCCCAAACCGGCCCGAGCTGGCTGACGCGGTAAATAGTAGCAGAAATCAAGTCACATGTCTCCTTGTGCCAAGTCTTCCTATAGCCAATCAGAGACCTAATTGCCAACCAATTAGAGGTCTTAGTGCCAGCTAATCGGAACCGAATACAGTTCAGGAGTCCTCCAGGGGACAGGACCTAGCATAGGGCTCCACGCTTACGCGCGTCGCAATCATATACCTTCCAAGCCCTTCGCTCACTCCGACAACCTCATCGTGATCAGCGGCGGCTCTTCCTTGAAGCGATTGATAATCTCCGCAAAGACCGCGAAGGCTGGCCGGGCATAGGTCTTCTTCCCATCACAGCCAAACATGACGGCATAAACCGACATGTTGCCCGTATCGATGATCCAGGCCCCGCTGTCTGCTTTTCTTCCTGATGAGGACAGGGCATACATGCGGCCGACGGGTTGCACGTCAATCGCTTTGAGCTTGCGAGTCTCAGTCCTCAGCAGATGGTGATGGAGTGTCACTCGCAATCGGCCTTCGGGGATAATACCAGACGAGATATAGTGTAAACGCGTCGTGTTCTCAAGGTGCACCGCTTGGCGGTCGAGCTGGACTAGGACCCAATTACCATCACAATGCCAGTATCGCGGATTTGGCGCGAAGGAGCCTGGCACTTGGGGGATTACCCCAATCCGCTGGCCGGTGTGGTACTCGTAAGCCTCGATTGCGAAGAACGAGTATAAGTCTGGGCAGCTGATGTGGTACGACTGGTGGGAGGAAACACTGGAAATGGGCGCGAAGAGGGCTTCCTCGCTCCGCTCATCTACCACTGGAGTCTTCGGCTCTCTGTAGACGTCATTCTGGTCTGGGTCAATGAGAAAAGGGCGGAGAACAGCCAGACCGTAATGGATGCCGTTAATGAAGAGGATCCCTCCGATGGTTCCTTCTCTCCGCGGATCGCCTTTCTCGCCGACGTAAAATCGCGATCCGCAGATGCCGGGGGCCATTTTGGGGACTGCCCTTGATCTGATTTGATGTGCAATACGCACTTGATCTGACTGGCGGAGACTGGTGGCGAGTCATGCTTTTATCTCTGTTTTGTTTCTTTGTACCTAGACATAGTATGACTTGGATTCCATTCATTGTATGCGTGTTGAAATGTTCCACTACGATGCTTTAAGGCCTTATCAAAGGCGATACATTACTCTGAGGTTCCGTATGCCGATCTCAAGGTTCTTTTCTTTGATCCAGGTCAAAAGCTGGCCATTGTTAAGTATTCTTCTGGAAGACCGAGCAGAATACCCAATCGAGAAAGGCTGACGGCAGACGGGAATCCTTGAAGGGCGCAACTGCTGCGCCTCAATTCTCCGCCTAAAATCTTCAAGTTGATCTCAGGGCTAAGCTCGTGCAAGGTTTTTTTTGACGTCTTGGAAGGTTTAGCACAGACTCACATCGTTTAGGAGGCTGGCGGTCCGAGTGCTTTGTCGTACTGACCAAGTTTAGCCGTCGAATGTGCTTATCTCGGTATCGCTCTGGTTACCCCATTCGGTCGCAACAACATTACCACTGCAGCTATCAACAATATGACAATGTGAGCGATGGTTTCGATTATTGCTAAGATAGGGGTATTTAATTCTCGGATGCGAGCGAGAGGTTGATGAGCCCAAGACACCTCACTGAACATAATTCACCAGACAACAAATCTGCTACATTGACTATTTCCTGGTTCTCATAGTTAATCACACCTGTTTCTCCTTCTTTAACTACTACAACCTCTGAAATATCATTCCGACCGAATCATGTGTCTTCTCCTCCACTTTCTTATGAAGAAACGGTCTCGCTCAGGCAAACAAGACCCGGCGCCCGCACACCCCCGCCCAGTTAGGGCTGAGCGCGAAATGGCATCGAGCCGCAACCCCCAACAAGAAGTCCCGCTTTCATCGCCAGAGAGACGAACTAGCACTGAGGTAGGGCTGTTCAGTCTTCATCTGAATCAACACTAATGATGCACCAACAGTCGACCTGCCGTCCGCACCTATCTTTGTGGAATGTCATGAGCAAGGGATAGAGCTAGAACTTTATATGTACAGTCTACAGATCAAAGCAGTGATGACACGAGCATAGATAGAATAATATATCCTAGATCGTCACTCCATTCCCTTGTATTCAAGAACATAAACCTTTTCCTACTTCCCAACCACCTGTGTCGAAGTCTGCGTATCGGGTCCACAGGCTGGCTTCTTGTGAGGGCTGGCGGTGATGAGGCGCACGTGGTAGCCTGTGCGCATTGGGGGGCGGGTGGGGGGGAAAGTCGAAGCCAATGAAGCCTATTGCGCCGGTTACGAGGACGAGCGGGTGATCATGGTTTTGTGGATGGATGTTGGCCAGGTATTGGACTTGTACCCCATTCGGTATGTAGTACGATGTAGTCGGGCAGTGTGCGTATTCCGCCCTAGAAAACTTTGTTCACTAATCATCTCGTATAGACAGTAGCACCGAAAGATTCACTAATCATAACCTAAAACCAATCACCTGACACCAATGTTTACGGATCGGAATAGATCACTAATCTGAATGATCGTCCATAGTAACTTTCTCAATAAACCCACCTAACTTCCACACCTCGATAAAGACCCCATCCCACCCCACAATCCAGCCCTACCGCCGCTCCACTCCCGAAACCTCAAGCACAGGTTCCACCCTCAATCTACAGTACGCTACGAACCACCTCAACCACATCCCATCCACCAACCCAGAACACAAGCGAAAGCGAATACAAGATGCCTCTCTGGCAAATCTACCACCAACGCGGGACCTTCCAAACCGCATCCGAGAAATCCGCTCTCGCTGCCGCCATAACAACCCTGTACACTACCCTCGGTCTCCCGGCCTTCTACGTGGTGGTGCAGTTCCATCAGCTGGACGTGGAAGACCTCTTCATCGGCGGGGCACTCGCCACAGACCAGGAACCCTTCGTCCGGATCGTCATCACGCACATCGCCATCCGGCTGCCGGACGCCGATGAAGCGTATCTCCGGACTACCGTGGGAATCAACGAGGTGTTGAAAACCCATGTTTTGGATAAAGGATATGGGGTTGAGTATCATGTTGACGAGACGGAGCGGCGGTTATGGCGGATTAATGGGATGGTGCCACCTCAGTGGCGGAGTGAAGAGGAGAAGGTGTGGGTGAGGGAGAGTCGGGCCGTGGAGTATCCGGGGGCGTTTCCTGAGGGGGAGGGAGGTTTGTGATTTGGGAGTATTATAGGAGGGAGGAAGGGAGGCAATGGTTTGATGGAAGACATGGTCTGTTTTATTGTTGTCTTCTATCTATCTAACGTCTTGTTCGTGTAGTCATAATCTTCTCTCATCATCTCCTCTTCGATCTGTACACTCGCTCTACTTGCGGAAGGCTACCGGTTCCGGCAGGGTGGCCGGGGTGTCGTTGCGGGCGCGTGTCTGGATCAGATGGTCGAAGGACGCTGCGTACTCGACCCGCGGCGTGAAAGGCTCGAAGTCCCACAGGTAGCCGAGCGTGCGCAGGATGGACGACGCCGAGTACGACACCGTCTCGCCCTCGATGTCTGTGCCCTTCTGCTCGACGTATCCCTTCCCGACCCACGGCGAGATCAGCAGGGTTGGAATCCGGCCGCCCAGACGGTTGAAAGGGAAGGTGTACTTCTCGCCGCTGGGGGTGGTGGCCGTGTAGGCCAGACTGTCTGGCGCAGGGGCCAAGGGGGGTGGCACGTGGTCGTGGAAGCCCCCGGTCTCGTCGAAACTGAGGATGAACAGCGTGTCCGACCACTGGGGTCCGTTGCGCAGAGCCTCGTAGACCTTCTTGATCAGCTTCTCGCCGTCCGAGATGAGGCCGCTGGGGTGCATCGAGTTGGTGCCCACGCCGCAGCAAGAGGGATTGAGGTAGGTGAACTCGGTCAGGTTGCCTGCCGCGGCGTCCGTGTAGAACTGCTCCAGCGGTTGGACCTGGCTGGTGCGGTCGGCCGTGTAGGTCCAGTCGTAGAACTCAGCATCCGGGCCCGTGCCGCCCGCCGTATCGTAGTAGTTGATCCAGCTGTGGTCCATCTCGCTCAGCTGCTGGAAGATGGACCGCTGAGGGAATGCGTGCTCGTTGAAAGCATTGTCGTTGCTGCCATGGCCGTATGAGGTACCCGAGGTCAGAGCTGCCCGGTTGGGGTCGGTGGGCTGTGCGATAGTCAGTCTCGATGCAATTGGGGCAATGTAGCAATGTGAGTTACTTACGCCCGGAATGTCGGAGTGCCAGTGATTGAAGACGACGTAGTTCTGCACCAGCTGGGTGAGGACTGGCACTTGGTCCTCGGTGTAGTAATTCATGACCTGGGTGGAAAGTTGCGTGCGGTTGGCCTTGGCACCGTAGATCCGCAATTGCTCGTGAACGAAGCCCTTCTGGCTGGGAGTCAACTTGCCCGACGCAATCGCTTCGTTGTCGGGAGTGAATGTGCCGTAGAACTCAATGTTGTTGCCGTACACTGCGTGGTCAGGGTCGTCGGTGACCGAGTCGTAGTCGTGGGCCGCGCTGCAGACGGTGCCCTCGGCTGGGTTGCTCACGTTGTAAGGGTTGCAGAAGGGCCCGTTGTTGATCGGGTTCTCAAGTCCCTTGATTGTTTGTCCGCCTAGCAGGTTATCGACAGAGCGATTCTCCATGACCAGCACCACAACATTTTTGATCTTGTCTTTGAGGTTGCTGATCGAGGCTTGTGAGTGGGCGTGCCGCGAGGCAGCGCCGGGCAACGCTGAAGCAGCGGCCGCAAAGGCCAGGAGACCGACTAAGGCGCTGGGATGCATGGTATTAGATGTATGATACTGATGGCAGTGGCAATGAAGGATAAGAGGACTCGATCCTTGCTATTTATCCCCCGAGGACCCCATTCTGACGAGCAGACTCCGGCTGTTCCCCATGATGCTCCCACGTGCCCGCCTGGCACGAATGATTGAAGCCCTCATCGCACCTGCACCTTTCGAGCGACTATCATACCACCACGCGAAGACGCCAACTGGTTGAGGAAGGTGTCAATCCCGTTGACAGACAGCCCTGACACCAATAGCAGAAATGATGATGACCACGAGCGCCGCCAGAAGCGAGTCCAGCCGATGTCCCTGAGGATCCCTGCCGTTTCGATGCAGAAGATCGGCAATCCCGTGGGTGTCCCAAGATTGCGCATTGGCCGGAAGAAGCAGGCCGGGTGGATGCATCTTGCCAAGAAATTGATTAGATTAAAGGTGCCAAGATGAGGAGAAGCTTGAGTTGAATGGGCTAGAATATGTACATGTGGAGGTGGATGTGGAGTCAGGGCAGTCTACTGTGTTGTTGCATCAAAACCAATCTTCTTCGCGCCATTGACCACCATGTATTCTCCGTGTTCTGGTTTGTTCGTTGCGAGATCCCACGGCATCAATTTTGAAGTTATCCCAGGTGTCCTGTTTCTAGCAATTGGCTATTATCTCAAGGGATAAAAAATGGAAAAATAGATAGTTTTCAGGGCTGATGGCTTGGCTGAGTAATCAAGTACCCCGCACCCAATTTTTGGTGCAACGAAAACAAACCCAACTTTTCTGTCATACTCTAATTTCGACGGTCCAAAAAGGTAAGGCGACGCAGATCGAAGCAGAAGCAAGAGTCAAACACAATTGAGACCCAGATACTGACCATCCACCCAAACCTTCCATTCACTACTCTCTCAATATCACTGCCAATAGGCCCCTCACCAAGCAAGCACCCCAGCCGGAAATGCTCACTTAAACCCCAGCTGCTGGTCGATCACCTCGCTCACTTGCTCTTCCATTCCCCTGAACTTCAATCCTAGCTCCTTTTCGACCTTTGACGTGTCGAGTACATAGCTCGTTCCTTCTCTCGGCTCCAGTTCAATCCCCACTTCGGGATATCGCACACGAACAAAAGCCGCAACATCTGCCCACGACCGGGGCGGTGCCGCCAAGAGATATGATTGCAACCCCTGTATGGAGCTGTCCAAGACCTTGACATGTGCTGTAGACACATCCTTGACGTGCACGCCCCGAAACTGGCCAGCAAACAGCTTCCCGGTCGTGATCGCCTGATATAGCATGCCGCAAGTGCCTCCCAGCTGGTCGGCTGATTCTTGCGCATGATTGTGGCCGAACACAAAGACCGGGTGGAGAGTCACCACATCGAAGTGTGGATGATGGTCACGCACAAAGTCCAGGGTTGCCTTATAAGACGCGATCTTGCTGGCGTGATATTGCTCCATTGGGCTCAGGGAAGCAACCTGCCCTGCCTCGACGTCTTGGACCTCGGTTGTTTCTGTCAAATGTCGTGTTAGTATAGACTAACAGTTAAGGTAGGTCTGTCGATATTCACCCACCCCTTACCACTGACCCATCTGGAGCTCCTCCCAGTGGGATGAACGACACTACCGAGGCCGTTACGACGATCTTCTTGATGCTGGACACCTTCAGCGCGGAATGCAGAATCGAAACGGTCCCTTGGACAGCTGGAGCCAGAAGATCGCTGTCCCCCGCGCCTGGCAGTGGAGAGGCAAGATGCAAGGCATAGTCCACGCCGTGCAGTGGCTCGTCGAAGCATCCATCCGCAGTCAAGTCCGGAATCACAGCAAACTCTAACTGCTCGACGTGTGAGGCATAGACTCGCTCGAGTTTGGCCTTCTGCTCAGCACGACGGATAACCAGCCGCACACGGTAACCGGCTTGCAGTACGTCCCAGACCACCTGAGACCCGATGAATCCCGTAGCACCAGTAATCAGAACACAAGCCATTGGATGCGAACAGAGAGATTTGAGGTTATATCAATTGAAGTCGATGTAGCTACAACCATCTGCTGGGCTCTTGGACAGATATAAGGGCAGATACGATGATTGAGCTTACAAATAGACAGCGGAGTTCTTTGTATAGACGCAATCAGGGAACCGACGGGATTAGTGATCAGTTCCTCGGCTTACTGCTATACTGTAGCTCGATTGGGTCCCAGCATGATTTAAGGTATTTTGGCCCCACTCACCAACGGCATTTACGAGCTGCAGTCGGCTTTCTATACGAACCTTACGAGGAGCTATCTATCAGTCATCACTAGAGGCGCCTTTGTGCTTGATAACTATTATGCTCGGAGTGGACATCTTGGCGGAATGACATCATCATCCGCTGCTCTGTTTCCCTCGCTAATCAGATTGTAAGATTTCATTCATCTATACACCTTTCATCGACCTAACGGGGACTATATGCGACATAGATTTGCATATGCTCTTGTGCCTCGCTGATCCTCATGCGGCTGACTTGAGAAGGGCCTTCCGCTGACTCGACCGGGTTCATTTCTTGAAGAGGGTCAGGAATATATATATGTTACGAGAAGGAGTAACTTGCACCCTAAACACACTCCAAGCAGTTCCATTTGATGCCAACTAAGTGTGACAGTCTACACAAGGTACTGGATAATCAGATCCGTAATAGAAGGTCGCACAATTCTTGGTGATTGCCGCGACATCACCAGACCGCTTTCTCACAATACGTAGGTCGCTGCTTTGTTGATGCCTACTTGGTCAGGCTGCAACCAGGCTCCCACTGCGAGACACAGAATGTCCCGATCGGGACTAGCGGACAAAGGCGGAAGTTCCCCTGATTTCTATTTTTATCTTCGTCCACTCTTACTCTCTCACTCTCTCTTCTCTCTTCTTCTCTCGTGTCAACACTCCACATGGCAGACTTGTGAACACACCACTATCTGATGCTAAATGACGCCTTGTGGTGACAGCCGTCTACCGATTATCTGTTGACCATCTCAGCACAGGAAGAATGCCCCCATGATTCTCCCTCTCGCGACCTCCAAGGCCGGTCCCCGCTGGGTCCCCCGCCGCCGATATGGGTTCCGCCGACGCGTCGGGCTCCTCCTGGGCCTTGGCCTAGCCATCTGGACAATGCTCCAAGTCCTCGCTGTTCACCACCGTATCGCCATCGCCGATGCCCGTCCACCTCCCCCGCCGCCCTCCGAGCGCATCTTCATTGCCAGCACTCATTGGAACAACGAGCGCATCCTCCGCAGCCATTGGAACGACGCGGTCGTCGATCTGGTCCAGACCCTCGGCTCGGACAAGGTTTTTGTGAGCGTGCTGGAAAGTGGAAGCTGGGATGACAGCAAGGGAGCTCTGCGCGAGCTGGACACGAGACTAGATCGACTTGGCGTGCGACGCAACATCACGCTGTCCGACAGAACACATCAGGATGAAATCTCCGCGGCGCCCGGGCGCGATGGCTGGATTGAGACCCCGCGGGGGCGGACGGAGCTCCGACGCATTCCATATTTGGCCCGGCTCCGCAATTGGACCCTGCAACCGCTGGAAGACTTGGCTCGCCAGGGGATTACCTTTGACAAAGTGCTTTTCTTGAATGATGTCGTCTTCACGGTATGATCAATCCCAGTCCCTGCAGGAACTGTTGATGTTCGGCTGATGGCAGAGGTTCCCAGATCGACGATGTAGCGACTTTGCTGCAGACCAACAACGGGATCTACGGAGCTGCTTGCTCCCTAGACTTCTCAAAGCCTCCTCTTTACTACGATACCTTCGCATTGCGTGACTCTCTAGGTGATGAACATGTCATGCAGACCTGGCCGTACTTCCGCTCTGCCGCCTCCCGCAACGCGCTCATGAACATGGAGCCAGTGCCCGTTAGGAGCTGCTGGAATGGGATGGGTAGGTGACTTACCCTCTTTTAGTGTGTTCATTACTGACTCTGGCAGTGGCCATGCCCGCCGCGCCCTTTGTATCTGCTACACCGCTGCGGTTCCGTGCAGTTCCAGACTCTCTGGCTCTTTCCCACCTCGAAGGATCTGAATGCTGTCTCATTCACGCCGATAACCCCCTGTCGCAGGCACACGGAGTTTACCTCAATCCTCATGTTCGCGTGGGATATAATCCAGAAGCATATGCGGCTGTGCATCCAGCGCGGGCGTGGCTATCCAGGCAAAGCATCGCTCTAGCACTCTGGAAGAATCGAATCCGACGCTGGACGACCACCTCCTACTTCAAGATGCAGGTCGTCCGCAGTCGTGTCGCGAGGTGGGAGAACGCCCACCCGGAGCAGCAGGAAAGTGGTGATTTCTGCTTGATTAATGAAATGCAGGTCTTAGTAGCCAATGGCTGGGCGCATGTATGAGAGTGCAGCGTCATTCCCTGACTTTTAGACGAGATATTTCAAACCTAAGCTCGGCTTTTAAGTCTGAGAAGCGAACCCTTTCATAACTGATACGTCGATAGCAACAATACTCAATCCGACATAGATTACCCGACCATTACGGTCTTACTACGCGTGTGCCCGATAACGGAGGCTAGTTAGATCTCGTGGTTGATTCAAATCTAAGCGTCAATCTGAAAACAGTGTCACAGTCCATCCAGACTAATCCTCCAATATCGGCTCGGCCCCTTCAAGCCTTTTCACCTGAAATATGATGGAACCCCTTCCGCTCCCAAAAAGCAATAAACTTCTTCACCAAGGAGGCGTCGAATGGACGGAACTTGATCTCTGGGTGATCCCGAAGCGCCTCAACTGTGTTGTCACAGCGATAGACCGGACTGTAACAGCTTGCCTCCCATCTTGTCAACTTCCCTAACACTCGCTCCTGGAACAAGGGCATCAACGGCACCAACAAGGCGTCATGACTCCCGTCGGTTACCTTGGCGAGCCAGTCATTATAGTCGAGCAATTGGACGGAGTAACCCGCCTCGTTGAGAACATCGCAGGTTTCCTCGACGTTAACAGACTTGGTGACATCCGGTGACAGCAGGCTGTAGGATCGACCCAGATTCTCGTTGCGGGTCGCGATAGCCATCATCGCGTCGATTACATAGTCCACTGTCGTGTACTCCAGACGTTGGTCGGCCAATCTGGGAGAAGCGCCAGCCTTGATGCAGCCCACCAGTAGTCGGGTGACGAAATCGTCCGGATTCATAGCTCCTGTCTCGCTGTGTCCGACAACAAACCCCGGCCGATATATGGTTACCGGCAGGCCGCGGTCTCTCATTCGGCGCACCATCGCCTCCGCGGTCCACTGGCTCTGGGCATAGCCCAGGTCATATCGCAGCGCGTGAATGTGTGGCTGTAGGGGCTCATCTTCGTAGACCTGTTCTGTTCCCAGGATGTTTCCTGTTGGGCCCCAGACATCAATGCTAGAAACATAATGAAAGCCCTTGCGACGACCGGTTCCGGCCAGGTGAAGTATATTCCGCGTCCCTAAAACATTTGCCGCGCGGTGCTCCTGATACGATTCGCAAAAGTTGATCTTCGCCCCGAGATGGAAGATCACGGAGGCCCAGTTTGAGAGCCACGTGAACTTTTCCTGCCCTAGTCCCAGATGCCAATCGGTCAGGTCCCCTTCCAAGACCAGAATCTTTCGTGTCATTTCAAAGCTGTTGGGCCACAGATCGTATCGCTCAAGAGCCTGCTGAACGCGGGTCCAGGCATTCACGTCTCCTTTGCTACGGGCCAAGCATGCGATTTGCTTCACGCCCGGTCGCTGCATCAGTTGGGCGAGAAGGTGAGAGCCTAGGAACCCGGTCACACCGGTGACGAGCACACGTCCTTCGCCTTCAGCTTCCCAATGGGGTACCATGTCGATCTCGTCAACGAGCCGCACGTCTTTCATCCAGTCCACGGTGTGGTCGGGTGCCTTGTTATCCTTAGGCTTGCTGGGCTGTAATAGTTGTACCATCTGGTCAAACCGGGAGTGTCTATGGAGGTCGTGCATCGAAACAAGAACGTCGAACTCCTTCTTGATTTGTGCAATCAACGACGCGGCTTGGAGTGAACTGGCACCCAGCAGGAAGAGGTCATCATCATCCTGAACATCCTCGGAGAGGTGTAACAGATGTGCCCAGAGACCACGAAGTTTGTCAACTTTATGGTGTGACTCTTCTCCGTTCGTCATCCCTCCGTTTGTCTCGGGCTTGTTTTGCTTTTGGTCTTGCTTCTGGTCTTGCTTCTGGTCTCGCTTCTGGTCTCGCTTCTCGTCTTGCTTCTCGTCTTGCTTTTGCTCCTGCTTTTCCTCTTCCTTCTTCCGCAAGGCGTCAAGTCGCTGCTGGGTCAGAGCTTTACGGTCCACTTTACCGTTAGGTGTCAGTGGAAACTCGGTCAAGAATTGGACATCGGTTGGAACCATGTAATGAGGAAGGTGCTCCCGGGCGTAACTCAATAGCTGCTTCTTGTCCAGATCTTGCGCGGACACAAAGGCAACCAGAGAATGTTCCTCTCCTTCGTCGAGAGGGGGCTGGTGAATGAGAAACGCAGACTGGACCGCGTCATGACACATCAATGCTCGCTCGATTTCGCCAAGCTCAACCCGGAACCCTTGATGCTTAATTTGCGAGTCATTCCGACCGAAGAAGTCGAGGCCGCTGTTATCCTCGCGCCACTGAGCTAGGTCGCCGGTCTTGTAAAGACGGACTTTCCCTTTCCCGGGAAGACCTAGGTCTTCTCTGCTTAGATTCAAAAACCGCTCTTTGTTCTCTTGTGGGCGGTTTAAATATCCCGGCGTCAGTTGGGGTCCGCCAAGGTGGATCTCCCCTTGCTTGCCGCTTTCATGGATAGGATTCTGGTCCTCATCCAGCAAGACTACCTCGAGCTCCCCTACTGCCTTGCCAATGCCAATCCGGCCCCTGTCGGTTTCGTCAAGTGTAACCTCCTGCATGGTGGCCAAGGTTGCACACTCTGTCGGCCCATACGCATTCCAAAGGTGCTCTGGAGCGCCGTTCTTCAGTACGTTGCGCATGGCTCGCACATTCGCCACATCCCCTGCAGTGATGACGTGTCGGAGAGAAGCAAATGCCGCGGGGTCCTGAGTGCTGGTGATTGTAAACAACGCGGTCGTGATGATCATCACCGTCAGCCGGTGCTTTGAGACCATTTCTGCCAGTGCACCAGGGCTGAGGGCCGTGTCCCGCGGGATTGAGACAACGGTGGCACCCGCGATCAGAGTGGCCCAGATCTCATACAAGCTCAGGTCAAATCCCGGGTTGTTGAATTCGGCGACGCGGTCGCTCTTTTGCAGAGGAGTGGTTGGTGTTTTGTTCGCAAGATGCAGGATGGCTTCTGCTCGGATCTGCACTGGCTTAGGTTTCCCGGTTGACCCCGACGTGAAGAGAATGTGACTTCGCTCGGATGGGTTCTTGACCCCTTTGGGTGGCTCGCCATCTAGTGCCTTCCCACCTGTTGGGGTTCGGAAGGGAATGAGTCTCCAATTTGGCCAGTCCAGTGAGAGGCTTTCGTCGACAAGGATGGCCTTGACCCCGGCCTCGCCCAATAGGTCTCTCATGCGCTCCTCCGGTATCGATGGCTCCAGTGGAACACACATCCCTCCAGCAAAGCGAACTGCCAGCTGCGCCACGACTTGGTACATGCCATTTGCGAGGACGATGCCAACGGGTTCTTCGGGCTGGATGTCTCCCAACTCGTGCGCTAGATGACTTGCCTCTCCTACTAGCTCGGTGTAGCTCAGAGAATTGGTTTCATCCTCGACAGCGATAGCGTCGGGGGTTTCCTGCGCGTGTTTGTAAATGGCTGCCTCCATGGTTGTGTTGCGATCAAGTTGAATAATGTTATAGTAAAGGTATGTCCTGACAATTGTTTCTGATTGTGATTAAGTCAGTGGTGTTGCTTGAATGCTAATGATTTGCGAAGATGCTTGAGATGAGTCCTGTCCTGCTTTGTTCTGCTTTGCCCTAGGACGGAGTGTATGGCTCGGCTTTATATCCTAGTCCTGGCCTACACTCTCGGTGTCAATCTTCGCTCTTACTACGCCTCTATTCAAGTTGACGGGGGTTTCTCTCGAACCATGACGTACGAGACACGAGCCTGAAAACCTGATACATGCGCACTTTGTCTTCATAATAGTTTACAAGATAGGCTCAGTGTTCTCAACCTCGTCATTCGATGCCACAATTGTCGATAGACATGAACTCTAACATTGACTTGATCACGGCTGACCTCCGACGAGGACCCTTCCCTGACGCCAATTCTTATTGGATGGATAAGGATACCGAAAGCTGCATAATTGAGAGGTCAAACCAGCTTGTCGGGTCTTATACTGACTTCTTGTCGAATGGCGGTGGCTAGAAGTAGTGAGGCTACACGTCAGATGACCCGCAGGGGAGACCCCGGCTGTCATTTCCAGTGAATGATGAACGCCTGGGCGCCCTCTTCACAAGTGTACAAAGTGGCGCATCATGGCGATCACTCAAATGACACTTTTTGGAGTCTTCATGGGGTTTTGCACGGCCAATGGCACAAACAAGGTAAGAGGGAAGAGACGCTGGCCCCTTGATGTAAGGGGTGGCGCCTTACGCATTCTTCTGCAGCTTGAGGTCATTCGGCGGCTTGTTGACAATTTCCAAGTTGTGAAGAACCTTGAAGGATTGACTGGCTCCATGGTTCGATATGATTCGCGGGTTGTCTAATTTGCGGTAGTTTGTTGACAGCTTGTCAAACTCACCTTGGCGCACCTCGTGCCGATCGTGCCCAACGCCACCTGATGGCGGTGATCAGAAGGTTTTAATGAGATCAATGACTTCCATTCATGGAAATGTATCTCCGACATGAAGAAATCCAATACGAACGCCTCAGATGAGGCAGATCATAGTCCTATTCTACGTGGCCTCTTCAGTATTATCAGCCAATACTATAAATCCCTTGGGATCCCCAACCAAAGTTTGGGGTAAGACAAGTACAAAGATCCCACTACAAAATCCCCCATCGAATCTCCTTGCATTCTACATCAAACATGGCTGGCCAACGAATTCTCAATTCCAAGCTGCAGACCCCTCTGGAGCAACGCCAGCGCCAACAGCGATTCATGGAACCGCCGCCGGCAGGAACGGTGGCCTCCCTGATTGACTTCGGGTCCAACGATACGCTCTCAATTTCGTCCTCGCGGGTCCTGACCAGGGCCTTTTTGGCGCAGTTGGACGCGCACCCCAACTTCATCGTGGGCAGCACCTCCACCCGGATTTTCGAGGGCACATCCCAGTACCTCGACGACATCGAGCGCGACCTCGCGCGCTTCCACAACGCCCCTGCGGGTCTATTCTTCAACTCCGGGTTCGACGCCAATGTGGCTCTCTGGTCGACCATCCCCCGGCCGGATGACGTGGTCCTCCATGACGAATACATCCACGCCAGTATCCATGACGGGATGCGACGGGGGCGGGCGAAGACCAAGATGTTCGCGCACAACGATCTGGAAGACTTCCGGCGTTGTCTCGAGGACATCAAACACAACCATGGGCTGAAGGAGGGTAAGAATGTCGTCTTTGTGGCCGTCGAGTCGTTCTATAGTATGGACGGCGACGTGGTGCCGATCCGGGAGATGCTGGAGATCTCCAAGCAGGTGCTGCCGCAGGGTAACGTGGTGTACTCGATAGACGAGGCGCACTCGAACGGGGTGATCGGACCGAACGGGTCGGGGCTGGTGTGCCATTATGGGTTGGAGAAGGAGATCGGGCTCCGGTTACACACTTGTGGGAAGGGCCTGGGGTCTACTGGCGGTAAGCTTTGTTTAGTTGCAGGTGGCATTGGGAACATCACTGATCTGGTCTGTAGCTGTTGTACTTGCCTCGGAGACCGTCCGCATGGCAATGATCAACTACTCGCGCAATGTTGTATTCTCGACGGCGCCGTCCTTCGTGACCGTGGCGGCTGTTCGTGCAGGGTATGAGCTGGCTGCGAGCGAGGAGGGGGAGAAGGTTAGTACTTTCTGTCTGGTGTTTAGATCAGTACGGCGCTAATAGCCTCAGCGACGGCAACGCCTGCAGCAGAACACGCGCTACTTCCAGCACCGGGTCGCCGAGCATCCCAAATGGGCTGAAGTCACGGCTAAAGGCATCATCCGAATTCCCGCCTCCGAGGACTGGGGCTCCCGCTCGTTCGAAACTCCCATATTCGCTTTGATCACGCCGCCCGGGCAGGCCAACGAGCTTGCGGAGCATATTCATGCCGCTGGGTATTGGCTGGACTCGGTGCATTATCCGATTGTGCCGAAAGATTTGAGTCGCGTGCGGCTGACAGTGCATGCGGATAATACGGAGGAGCAGATTGAGGGGGTTGTGAAGACGTTTATGGACTGGGCGACGAGGCAGCTTGGGCAAGAGCGGAGGCAGACCAAGTTGTGACTGGCATGTTTTGAGTCGTGGTTGATTTTGCTATGTTTTTGCTTTCTTGGAAGGCGGTTTTAGGCTGGATTGTGTCTTTTGTGCGTGTCGTTACTGTCTGATTTGCTAATGCTGCGACACTGTGCAGTAAACGGAATAGCGCGTGTATAGTTTTGTCTAGCCTGAATTGATCATTCTGTCAATTTCTCCATATTTAAGCAGCGGATGCCCCAGGCGATCGCTCTCTCCCTTGCTTGGTCTTACTACCCTCTTGATCGGCGAATCCAAATCTTACAGAATTGCGTGCACCTGCAACCAAAGCACGCCATGCCCACCCCCAACAACGTGCGCTGGCTAACCGGCGATAACCCGGACGCACTATCCACCGGGATCTAATCTACCATGCCATGGCCTAAGGGCAAATACCCTCCCGGCCAACCCTTGGTATTCGAGTCGAATGGCGAAGACCAACCGCTGGACTGTCGCGAACTGGCGCATTGGGCAGACGGGACCCTGAAATGGACGGCGCATTCACTCAGCAAGCACATCGGCTATAATAGCGGTTATTACCGTCAAGGCCGCAACCGAGCAGGTGATCGAGCCTCGAGTATCCGTCCATACAGCTCTGGATCATATCCTCATCGCCACAAAAGGCCGGAGTGCACGTGCGCTTCCCGACCCAGGGAGGGCCGTCACCCTTGCCGATGCGTACTGTCTGTCTTATATTCCCGCCTGGAATGACTACACCCTCAGCCAGTTGTCGTCCGATGGGTTTACACTGAAGAACGGGTGCCGGGGTAGTCGGCGGCGCGGAACCGGCTGTTCAGGCTACTGGAGGGGATCGCTGCGCTGGAATACGGAATCGCGACGAAAACGATCCTGCTCTACACGCAGACAGGCGAGGTGCGCACTCTGCGCGGCGCCCACTCTGGCGTACGCCATCTCCCATCTGTCCATGCTGTTCGGGTTCCCCGAGCTCGTGGCCGAGCTTGCCGATTACGCGGAGCGCGAACACGCTTCCACGGTATCTGCATGCTTGAGAGCTTACCTGGCCTACGGTCGGGCGTATAACGGGGGCCCCGACGCCCAGCGCGAGGAGTACGGCTTCGCGTTTCCGCCAACAGCAGCCTGGCGCCAGTACCTCGAGACGGACGGCTACACAGAGGACCACGCGTGGACGGTGGCGTGCACGACGGCGCCGACGCATTTCGCGGACGGCGAGGAGGCGCGCGTGGGTTACTACGAACGAGGCGGCGAGGTACAGGGTCTCGGCTCTCTACAATCTCGCCAAGGTGCGCGAGTATCTGGATTGATTTGCGCCATGGCTACTGCTCTTCGTTTTCACTAGATGTTTGCATGACAGTAATCAATCATCATGACGTGTCCTCGCGCGTGTGGTCAACGCCCCCAAGATCGTCACGCAGATGAACAGAAGCACGAAGGCGATCGCCACTATCCCGCAGTACTCGCGCGCGCTCTGTCTCTTCTCCCGCCGCGCGATGATCCGGTCGCAGGCCTCGCAGTGTGAGTGTGGTGTGGTGATTATCGATGTGGCTAGTGGGATTGCAGAGGTGGGATCGTATTCGCCGTGTGCGTGGGGTCGGGATTCGAGGTCATCGTGGTCGGCCTGTGCGACTTCCGTGTACTGTTCGGTGTGTGTGAGCCGGGTAATCTTGGCAGGGGAGGTGTTGCTTACTTCTTCGTAGGGCGGGGCAGCCTCGATGGGTTGTTTGGGCGGGGCCATTGTGTTGGTATGGCGTCAGAGTTTTGTAGGCTATATGGGGAGCTGTGATCTCTAGGTGTGAGATGTTTTGTAGTGTTTGCTGTGTGGCTCTCTTGCAGTGCGGTGGCTGCTCGTCTTAAATGCAAAGGTGCTGCCTAGGATCATAAAGGATGGAGGGTGAGATTGCACAGCCTCGTCTCCTCGGCCTCGCTGATTGGTTGTCGTGGTATACCTACGTCAGGGCTCTTAGCAGAGGTCTTATGGGTGACTTGAAGCCTTCCCTCTGTGGCTGCTGGCTGGCCTATTGCGCTGGGCTGAGGTCACTGCCCTCCTCCTGGAGTAAGCCCTGGACAGCTACTGGATGCTGATGCTGATGGCTTGGTTGATCCAACACATTATACCTTCTATCGCGTGACATCCTACCCAACTGGATAAACTCGTGTGCCTGGAGAAAGGACTAGCCAGCCTTTTTCACCCTTCCATACTACATCTCCGCATGATGATTGTTATTCGAAATGACTGCAAAGGTGATGGAATGAGAATGGAAGCCCAGAAGAACAAAGAGGGGCAATTCGAACCGTCCGCATCGATGATTGGTTGCGCCCCACGTATACACAGCCTAACCCCTTTGGGGGGGACGGCAGCCTGAGGCCGGAATCAGCACGTGCTACCTGTAGCCTTCGAGAAATGTGGCATTGAATTGTGAGAGACTCCAGGGGAGGTTTGGAATGGCAATGCTGATGATGAAATGCGTGTATGTTGTGGCCAGGGCATAGATCGAACACACTCATGTTCATACATGTTACCGTTATCCACCAGCAGAGAGGGTACATGCGACAAGATCTGCTGCATGGCCTTGAGCAGGTTTCTATCGGGGAATACCATGTCGTCGAGGATACCATTCGTTGAGGTTTGTTTGGAGGAGAAAGGAAAGAAGCTTGGCCGACTCGGAGACTCGTCTATTAGACCTTCACGCTTAGTAGCATCGAAATTGAGGACTGTTCATCGGCCGAGAATCTGGTAGCAGTTCCTTGGGGTGGATATCCAACTGATCAGAGACAGTGGCATCGAATGCGCCAGGCCAATGTGATATTTCAGCCCTACGAGCAATATCAGCCCTCCAAGAGGATGATCTGCAGTCTACAGCTGTAGTCAACCTGTCAATCAATGCCAATTCCCCAGTGGAGCCAAATCCCCCTACCAAGTGGGTCTTCCGAGCTAACGAAATCTTCGCTGCTCAAAATCTCAGGGGTTCCGCTCCGTGAAAGCTTTGCCGGGAGCTTTTACCAGATAGCTGCTGCCTATGAATGTCAATCCATCTGCGAAGGCGCGAGCAATTGAACGGAGAACCTTACACGCATGAGCAGTCAAGACCAGACGATTGGATCCGTATAGACCACGTTCTCCACCGGCCCAATCGAGCGCCATACCCCCTCATCCACGCAGTTAGGGCCATCCCAACCGCGACATCGCAATTAGCCCTTGTAAAGCCTCTTTGGCCCATCTCCAGAGCCACAGCCACACGCCATCAACATGACTACCACGCCAACTCCCGTAGACCTGCTTGAAGAGACCATTCTCACGGCCACGAAACTGACCGCGCTCCCCAAAGTCCGGCTGTCCCTTCTGCATCGCGTCTACTGCTTCCTCTGGCTCTGGGGCACCAAGCTCCTAGCGAGCCTCTACTTCACGTACCAGCGCCTCCGCGACCCGCCGGCGGCGTCGACACGCCCGACGCTCACCACGCGGCTCCCCTCGCGCCCAACCCTCGAAACCCGCATCTTCTACCCCCCAACCTACAACCCACGCAGCCCAACCCAGCTCCCGACCTACTTCAACATCCACGGCGGCGGGTTCGCGCTCTGCACCGCCGCCGTGGACGACGCCTTCTGTCGGGCGTGGTCGACCCGCACCGGCATGCTAGTGATCAGCCTGGACTACCGCAAGATCCCGCTGCACGCGTTCCCAACGGCGACGCACGACGTGGCCGCGCAGATCCACGACCTCCTCGCCCACCGGGACGACCTGCCCATCGACCGTGCGCGCCTAGCCATCGGCGGCTTCAGCGCGGGCGGCAACCTGGCCCTCTCCGTCGCGCAGCTCCCCGCCCTGAAGCGCCGGTTCCGCGCCGCCGTCATCTACTACCCCATCGTCGACTTCAGCCACCCGCCCACCCACAAGATGGCCACCCGGCCCTATGCCGACTACCGCGTTGACCATCTCGGCAGCGCCGGCTGGTGGCTCGACTGGGGCTACGTGTGTCCCGGCCAGGATCGCCGCGATCCGCTGCTCAGTCCGTGGTATGCGCACCCCGACGATCTGCCGCCGTGCGTGTATATGGTCGCCGCCGAGTACGATATGTTGCGGCTCGAGGCGCAGGAGATGATTCATCGGTTGGCGGGGTGGGAGGATCGTATCGATAAGGAGGAGCCGTTTGAGCGCGGCGGGTATAAGTGGACTCTTGCTAGGGGTTGTCGCCATGGGTTTACGCATGGCATGCCCAAGGGGAAGAGGTCGAGGAGGGTGGAGGTCCGAGAGCAGATTTATGAGGAGGCGGCGGGCTGGTTGGGGAGGTGTGGCGTTTTGGGGTGATCCGGATATGCGGTGATTTTGGGCCTGGGCTTGGCGGATTGGATTGTAGACTGGATAAAAATAGAGGCTTAGATTTGGGATATAGACATAGACATAATAAGGGTAGATACTTAATTCAAGGAAGATACATACCTAGAGAGCTTGATGCCGCCGGTCGTGAGATGATGTATTGTGGAGGACTGTGAGCGAATCGGTGCGGAAAGAAGGTAGTCTTGGGAAGTGCATATTGCGTAAGCGACTAGTCATATTTATAGTTGTTGTGGAAGGTCTTTTTGATGTGGCAAGGTGTGTACAGGGGCATGTCTTGCAACTTGCGGGTTAGCCGGCATAACAGCAATTGCAGGGCCGATTGAACGATCGCAAAGACCGCATCATGCGTCCACCGCTGCGACAATATCAAGATTGCTAGGACACTGGTCAACCATGCCACACCGATCGATCTATTACAGCAACTTTCGGGTCTTCAGCTTGTTGGCAACCTCCTGGACGATAGCTGGAAACTGGCCCGGCGTCTTGCCCTGGCTAATCTCCGCGGCCTCCTCAAACACATTCTACACCTCGACATACTTGTTGCCGCTGCTCTGTGTAGGATCAATTGCTAAAAGACCTCCCGCATGCGCTCCTGGATCTCAAGACCGTCGAGGTGGTCCCCTGGCTTGCTTGACTGGCTGACAGCCTGGGTCTGCAGGGCACTCAACTGCACACAAGAGAGCATCAGCGCCGCCAGCCCAGATACAATGACCGTGGTCCACCGAGAATTACATTAAGGTCTGGCCTTTGTCGACCGGTCCGTCTTTGAGGCGTTCTTTGACGACATTGGGGCCGGGGAAGATGAAGTCTACAGCTGCCGCGGCACCCATCCACTTCCACACAGCGCGCGATGCCTCCGCATCCCCGATCTAGAAGGTATTCTTGGTATTGGCACGGGCGACGGGAAAGCTCACATCGAGCACAGCTCCCTGGTCGTTGGCCGCACAAAACATCGAAATGCCCGCCATGGCCGCTTCCCCAATCGCGGCTTCCAAGTTCCGGGTGTCGACCGCGTTCTGCTTGCTGCGCTTAATCGCTCACGAAATGGAGATGATACGGAGTTGTGGATCAACAGCGTCGCGCATGGCTTTGGCCGCCCTTTTGCTTATGGACTGCCGCGTCGAGCTCGCGCTGACATGCTCGGCCAGCTCAACTACAAACAGCTTCGCAGTGGGACACACCCGGCAGATCAGACTCGCCATGATCGTCCCATGCCCACTGCGCGACACAAGAAGATTCGCTCTAGGCTCTGTGTATGATCTTGTGCGCAGAAACCGCGCCCCCCATTGATCTTCCCCGGCAGCGGTTTCTCCTCAATGTCGACGCCGTCGTCAATAAGCAGCATCCGCACGTCTTCCTCCAACGCGATCGGTAATCGGAAGTTCTGGATGAACTCGACAAGATTATCCATAGAGGTCAGCCAGCGGGGACGGTGCTCGATTTGTTGTTCCCGAACTCGTTGTAGGGAGGTCTCGGTCTGACAGGTAGCCCGGTCTGACCAGTGCTCTTCTATCTTAACCTGGAGGCCTGGACGACGCGCGGTCCGCTGCGAAATTGATTCACGTTCCTCTTCATTCAGTCGGCAATCCCGAGGCCCTGTTGCAGGTCAGCAGCAGTTGACAAGTAAGCCATTCCGCATCGTTTCATATCCGGCTTACGTGCAAGTCCGGGATTCGCAGACTCTTGAGCTGGGCCAGCCCTCCGTGGTCGCTCCATCCGCGCAGCACCGCGTTGTTTCCGCTCGAGTACGGCTAGACCTCACGACTTCCAGCGCGACACTCATATGTGTATCGACAGGAACGTCGATCTTGCGTCGGTCCCACACCTCGACCTAAAACCTCCGCCCCCAAAGAACCCGCGGCCTATTCGATTGCCTCGTCGACGTGGGGAGGAAACGTCGTATTGTCCACAATGACTCGCAAAATTCACGACACTCCCTTTTGCGCAAAAGCTCGAACACAAATACCAGATCTCGGCGGGTTCCCACTATGCGGAATGGCCTCCACAAAGCGCAAATTCGCAGGTTGCACTTTCTTGGTCACGTCGAGATGCGGAAGCGCGACATACTGAAGCGTGCATCGAAACACAGGCAGTCCAGCCCGCGACTGGTCCAGTCTCGATCGATGTCTCAAGATGATGACTGGTATAGAATGAAATATAGCTCTCTGGCTAAGACGATTCGTTCAGCATACTTTTCCCTCGCTCGAACTCGGGAAACGGTTCACTCACGTCTATCCCGCCCGTACAGAAACTCGACAGTCTGATCCTGATCACGCGTCCTTAGGCAATAAATTTTGAGGTATTCTCGAAATGCCTCTGCGCCTTGCTTTGTGGTGATTACATCCTCGTTTACTTTGTTTGTCGTCCCAAGTCTCTCCCGGCATACTTTAAGTTATCTTTTGTCTGCTCCGTGTGAAGATCTGGAAAGATGGTCAGGGTATTGAACTACGCCTAATATCCAGGACGCTCAGTTTGCAGACACGGACACAGATCTTGCTCATTATGATGTACTGTGCTTAGAGGATTTCTTGCGGGCGGTTGAGTCTGTCCAAGCCTATTAGACTCTGGTGAAAGGAAAGCTGTCTGAAGCGGGCGCCACCGGAAATCACCAAGCGGCGAAGGGCTCAGGCCCTTACACGATGCGGTGCGGCTCGACAACCCAGCTCTTGTCCACCTTCTACTCGAATTTGGGCCGGATGTAGACTTCGTCGACCATGCCAAATTCACGCAAATCATGTGCATTGACAGATTCAACATTGGTCAAAACTCTCCAGCCCCTGGTCGACACCGGTGCGGATCTGGCAGCACACAATCAGAAGGGTTTCACCGCGCTCACGTACGGGGTCGAGACTGGAAATGCGCTCGTGGTCGAGTACCTCACCGCCCGCAGAGCGCGGTTGAACACCGTGGGTGCCATTTGGGAGGCCCACTGCATCACGCCTGCCAGGACTCGACCTTGGACCTGGTGAAGCTGCTTGTTGGTGCTGGGGCGTACGTCAATCTGGTCGATCCGCAGGTCGATTCGCAGTTTCATCAGGCTGCATTCGAGCCTTCAGAGCGTGATTTGAAGCTACTTACTGAATCTGGACCCCTTAGACGTAGTTCTGACGGGCAGTATGCGTGGCTCAACGCTCAACTTCGTCTGCCTTACGGCCCCGGTTTCCATTGTCACCGCCCTGTTGAACAAGGGCGCCCGCACTCATTGTGCTGGATGTCCAAGGCCGAACTACTTTGCATCTCGCAGCCGCCAATAGTGTCGGCCACTTTGAACTCATTTTCGACCAGCGCGAGGAAATCGAGGCACGAGGCCACGTCAGCCCCACTGTTTTGCACCGGATTATTCTCAGTGGGTCGATCGCGCAGTTCGAGGGGGGTTGAGTCTCGCGGGAGCAGTTGGATGTCGTCGTTGACGACGACGGCTGGACCCCGTGGCTGGAACCGTCTCGATCGACTAACTAGCCCGGGTGTTCAAGAAGAAATTATAACCGCCCTTCGCAACCGCGGTGCGGAATGATGGGCGCAGTGCACCTCTCTTGGACGAACGTGGACGGCAGCTAAGATCACGCGGTATCACGGCCATGCTGATAATGAAGTCCGTCTGACTGCTGGAAGAGGCGTATCGAAGAGGTCATCGGATGGACGGGGGTTACGATGCGCGGCGGGCCAGTGATAGCCACTCGAGAGGTGTCGCTGCTTCGTTTACGGGGGCATGCGATGGCTGCTTCATGGTAACCCTCTTCCCTCGCCTCCTGCTGTTCTTCCCTTGCCCTCCTGTTTCATCCGTGCATCCCATTCCTCTACCCCATAAACCGTGGATAGACAGGCTGACGCCGTGGTGGAGCCTCAACGACTATCGACACAAGTGCGAGATTTGTCTGGACTTCAGCCTCTGCTATAAGTACTATCCAACGCGGCAGGAGACAGGTCAGGTTCTCGCGTCGACGGGAGCACACGACGAGTTTTTGACGGTCCCGGTGGAGGGAGGTAACAGCCGCGGGGTCGCTAGCTCGACGCTGGATAATTGTTCATTGCTGCCAAGATTTGTACGCACAATTCTTCCAAATACCGCATTTTCAAAGGACAACCAATGCACTACAAGGTGTCTCCTTTTTCGCTCTACTAAAATCCAGGGTGGATTAGAGATATAGATAACTAACCATCGACCACTCAGTCATCCATACCGCCCATCCAAAGTTCAAATCTTGTGCGTCATCCTACTGCTTCGAACTCTTCCTTCCACTCATCCGCCTGTTGCAGCAAACGCAGTGTCGAGATGGAGAGTCCAAGAACGGAGATTTACCTGCCCAACACTAATGTATGTTGTAGAAGGTATTCCAGTTCTTCCACCTGCTGATCGCGCTGCTCCTCCAGCTGCGTGAGGCACGGCACCGGACCGGCTTTGACATCCGGCTGCTCTGTGATGTCGCTAATGAGACTCCGGTCTTCCTCGGACAGGAGTGCAGCCTTTTCAGCGACCATTATCTCGGTGCAGATTTTCTCGAGGAGATTCTTGGAGCAGTTGGACTTCTGTCCATGGTGGGCAATGGTTGTTAGTGGACTGCATGAGTAGGCGTGAATGGTGAATGATCGAGTAAGAAGGTAAACAGGGCCAAGGCCGGCACAAACAGCAAAAGAGAACTTATCACTGCGGTCTAGGCCTGCACCTCCTTGCAACTGTCCTCGCCATACTGCTAGACCTTCTTGTACTGTCGTGCGCGATCGCGCCCGCTCGTTCTTCCGGTGACCGAGTTGAGATTGCTGACCAGGTCCCACAGGACTCCAGCCTTATCACAAACCGATTTGTACTGTACAACTGATCGCTCGCCAGAAAAACGAACGTCAAATGCGTGGCGACTGGATCGCTGGCAACATTATCCGCTGCCTCAGCGCCCGTTGCCGCTGCTGGCGTCGGGCCCTTGCTTAACGACGTTTTTTTTTATGGAAATTGAATTGAACGCGGCGCCCTGGTTCATTCGAATCGCTGCTGCTCCGGCAATAATGTTGGTGTCACTGGCAGCCGCATTGCTCATGGTTTAAACTGAATTCAAAACCATCGAATGGTTCTTGGTTCAAGTTAGTCAAGATTCCACCCCAACCTTGCTGCGTGCGAACTCTTGGCTAGTGCCTACCAACCTAGGGACGTTGAAAAGTTTCTCCTTCAGCCAGTATTCCTCGCCATCCTTGACCTTCGTCCACGTTGCTTTATGCTCTTTTTGGGCAGTTCCCCCATGGCCTGGAAAGACCACCGTTGGTCATCGCAATGTGGCACTGGCTTTTGGTATCTTTGTCGGTCGCGTCGCACGCCTCATGTAGCTCCATGGCATAGACGTTTCGGCCTTCGAGTTCTGTCTCTCTTGTCGTGGTGGCGTCGTTGCAGACATCGGCCACCGCTCTATGGCCTTGAGTCGGTATGGACCTGCAGATCTCAGCGCAGATTGGTCGAAATACCTATCATCCGGACCTGCTAAACGGGGGCGAGCAGTCAGCAGTGATGGGTAGATTTTCCTGTCCGGTAACAGTGCCTTACCGTGTCCTTCCTTGACTTTGCCCAGGTCTGTCGGATATCCTCCATTTGTTTCAAGCGGTCGTGGAGCGTGCTTTGCATTTGGCTAGTTCGATCAAATTAAAACTTCCAGCTAAGACGCAAGCGCACAAGATGTATACGCTACTCGAGAGAGGGGAAAAAACCAGCACGTACCTCGAAAGTTCGACCAAGAACCAACGAAGAGACATGGCCGTTGACAGAACAATTGCTCAATCAGCAATGGCGGCTGCATTAGACGGAAAGAGACTGACCAGCTCCATCCTTTTGCATCTAGCAGGCGAAAGGCATAGTGAAAAGTATCGAAGGAGAAATGACGAGAGAACCAAGCTATTTGCCCGAGTCCGATGATTGTGAGTTTGTCGAAGCGAGGCCATAGTCACCTGCTGGATGATTCCTCGGGTGCCACCGCAGAGAAAGGGAATTGCGGCGGAGGGCCGTCAGTGCTCGAAAGGGAAGGTGCCACAACAACCGTCATTCAATCGCAGGCCAGTCAGCCACTCATCACGTGGGCCTACAGGTGGCTCAGCAGCAGGTGACTATCCCCGAGCACGAAGCCCTTGAGGCATCAACAACGCCAATTGAGAGAAGGATTCTCGGGACTGATTATGATCTTCCTCTGCAAGGTTGCTCTTTCAAGATCAACTTCTTAGAGGGTTTACGTAGGCACCATCTGTCATTGTATAGTATCAGCTCTAACGGACTGTGATGATATAGAGATATGTATATATGCTTTCCATGCTTCGGCCTTGTGGTCCCAACCTCGCGGGCAAACGGTCAATGAACACTGCCCGTGAAGAGGCCCACAAACTTTGAGGAAGCTGGCTCTACACGATGTAGATGGGGAATGAGCTTCAGGCGCTATTATCAATTCGTAAGCAAAGGAGGAGCGCATGAGACCAGTCTACATAGGTCTTAGGGGTCGTGTGAAAGACACTGAGCACTGTTTCGCCCGCGACGTGCCTCCGCCGCAAATGCTGCCCCAGTCAATTTCAAAAGTGCACTCTGTTCAGTCTCTACACCGAACATGCCCTAAGGGAGATCGAGTGCTTGCTAACCCTTTGCTTGTGCCTCTGACTCGCCCCTGACAAGGAAGATTTCTCGCGCGGAGTGTCAATGTTGCAGAGAGTGGCTGGGATTTCGGTTGGAACTTGTTTTAACGAGTAACAAAGTTGCTAGGTATAACGGGCAGCGCAGGACTGTAGGTATACAGGTTTACTCAAGACATGAATTCCTTTGTGTACTGCTCTTCGTCATAATATCTAGTAACGTACTTCTGGAAACAAAGATGAAAGACAAAAGTTACAGTTCAAAAACGAAGCCGATTCTACGGGCACGGCTCGCGGGTGAGAAATGCCAACATAAAGATCCAGGGCCTTGGATAGCTACATAGAGTGACACCAAACAGAAAACTCAAACGGGTGGACGAAATCAATACTGCACAAGCGATTGAGAGAACAGACCGAAGAATGAGCGAAGCGAAAGACTGGATGAGTGAATGAACGAGAGACCGAACAACAGAATCACCGCAAAACCGCAAAAGTCGAGAAACAAAAGAGAGACTATGAAAGCGACCGAGAGAGCAACAGGAAAATAGCGAATAGGAAAGTCGCCAAGGTAACCGAGTGACTTCTTGAGGGATCCTGCATGCCATGAGCAAACCCTTCAGAGACTGCACTGCACTGCCCTCCTCCTTCGAACTTTACAGTCCCATCGCACGATGAAGAATTTCCAATCCTTGCAAGTCCCCCGCCTCCGTACCGTCAAGATTTCGATCCACCCACCCCAGTGTAGCTCCTCCCTCGAAATCAATGAGCCACGCATCACGATTTTCATCAATCACAACATTGTCCCACTTGACATCTCCCCAGCAGTATCCATTCCGGTGTAGAGTTCGGACAGCGTCAGCCACCTGGTCATACCACTTCTGACGGTCAGCGACGCTCACCTCAGCTTCAGACTCAAGCAAACCGCGCAGGTTCCCGGAAGAAGAAGGGATCAATGTCGTCAAAAGGCCGGGCTGCGTAGTAGTACCCTTGCCGATTACTCCCACTAGCTTCGGTACCCGGAGGATGCATCCCTGGTTGGATAACTGAGTCATCGCCTTCAACATGGTAATCTCCCGAATGAACGGCTCGGTTGCCTTAGCATGCTTGTAGAGGAATGTATTTCCATTGATGGTGACTTCGTAGGCCGTGCTCTGAGAACCGATTTCGCGGAAACTTTCGACGTCGGAAAATTCGTAAACAGGGACATCGACCAGCGCGTCTTCCATCAACCCCCAATTGATCTCTTGGTACAAGTAGGGATCGCCACAAGGTTCGAATGTCACAGTATCGCTGGCCGCGGACGTTGGACGGAGGTAAAGCTTTCTGCGCAACAAAAAGGACTCTATGTCGTTAGGCCGTGGGCCCATGTGCGAGGTGATATAGGATAGGAAATGTGGCACTAGCAGCGATGAGAGCTCCTCCCAGGACCCCCTATTCCTGTATATGTCCATGCATTGGTGGTGGATTGTTTGCTTGGCATGCTTGTCATGCTCGGTCATGGGCGCAGGCGAGTCGAAAATGATGAAGTAGTCGGTCTCCATGAGGCCCTCCGTGTCCTTCACCCTGAGAACAATCCATGCCTTCTGAATATCTCCCTGCTCAACCCCATGGCCGACCCAGTGGCCGATGCCACTCAAAGAAACTCTGAACCGAGATCCCGCGACCTCGATAGGCACGTACGACAAACACGTGCCGTTGACCGTTTCTAAGAAATCAGAAATTGCTTAGTTCAATTGCAACACAGTCTCAGATGTGTCATACATACTCCATGATCTATCGTTAGAGCCGATTTCGACAGTGGGGCTCTCAGGCTGAACAGTGTTGGGAGCATCACTGGAGAGGACGCGGGGCTCGGTCCCGTCCGGAGCATCACTCGGGGGGCTGGTCGGCTCGGTCCGTTTGACGACGTTCTCGTTGAAGCCGCCAGGCTGATCAGTGTTGGGAGCATCACTGGAGAGGACGCTGGGCTCGATCCCGTCCGGAGCATCACTTGGGGGGCTGGTGGGCTCGATTTGTTTGACGACACTCTCGTTGAAGCCGCCAGGCTGATCCGTGTTGGCTGCATCATGTGGGACGACGGTACGTTCAGTTTCCTTTGCCATGGTTGCTGTAAGAGACCAATGTATGGATGAGCTGAGTGTGTATGGTAAAAGGTACAGATGAGATGAATTGGAAAGACCTTCGAGGAAGGCAACGAGTTGGGCTTGATTGCTATGAAGAGAAGACGAAGGAAGGGCTTTATAGAAGAGTCTGCTTTGCGAGAAGAGGGGTGCCTCTTCATATGGCAGCAGCCACAATGACTTGACGAAACTCTGGCTTCACAAAGGTACAACCTGGTAGGAAGAAAAACAAAGCGGGAGAGAAACTCAGGTTGCGATCAGCTAGAGAAAGCGAGAATCGGTATGCTGTTTTTGCCGTTGGGTTCACGCGCCACCGGAATCCCTCTGTGAATATTGCTGTCGGTGTACATACAACCCACTCTGCCCAACTCTCACGCTACAGGCCCTTCGAGCCCATTACTGCTCGTAGTACGGGATCGGGCCTGCATCTGCTGCAATCTTACCACAAGCCCTCATCGACAGAAATGAAGTTCGGTTCTTTGTTCCCGGGCAGTGAATTTTTCTCCTTCAGCCCCGATCCATCAACCAGCAGAAAGTCCTTTTGTCCCTTTTTTGCTTTGTTTCGTTTTGGTTTTTTTTTTTTTTTCTTTCTACCAATAAACCCACTACATTATCTTAATCCGATGCTCTTTTTATCATTGGGCCAATTTGTTTACATTATCGATAGTGGGTCGTATCGGCGGCGGCTGGGCTTCCGCCTGCCCTCCCAGGCATTCTTGGCAACAATAAGCAGGGACCATCTTAATTTTATCTTCGGTTTTGAAATGTATAATTCATGTTTCTATCCTAACTATTCTGAATATGATTATCTTTTTTGTTTCCGTTTTCCCCCCCTCACATTTTACCTTTTGCGCTCTCCCCGTTTACCCCATTTCCCCCCCCCCCCCCCCGACTCCTCAACTACCTCCCGTCTTTACTCTTTCTTTCCCCAAGTGTCATCGCTTGTATGCTATTGAGATATCGATGAAATGATTTCTTTCCGAGCTCCTAAAGGTAGAACTATACCGATTAATTGCGCATCCATTTCCCAACTCTGGGGGGCTTGAGTGTATTGACTGTCACTTGTACTGGTCCGCGGCATGTAATGATTTGTTCCGAGTAAATGGCATATAGTCCAACGTAACCAGCAAGAGATAAGAAAACAAGCAAAGGGAAAAGGAGGACGAGAGACGACTGGAGCAACCAATCCATTGCCGGAGACTTGAGATATTCGGGTGAAATTGTACATCTAATCGATCAACCGGTGAATACCGGGCAGTGTGAGACTTCCATGATTGCTCAACCCGAATCCGTTGCCTGGTAGTATGTTTGACCTAGTCCATGGCTTTTTGCTTGGAATTACTGCTGCCCTATCGGGACTGATAGATTTGAACGCAATGTGAGTTCGGCATCGCTATGATAAATACGAGACAGATGCGTGGCGATCCGATATGGTCCTGTAAGTCCAAGAAGGCTGCTGTCTTGTCAATAATATGCCTATCCCGATCTAACCGGGCAACACGATCGAGATAGACGTGGAGATTGACCTCTGCGGACGTTTCCCAACGCTGGGCTCTCTCCTAGCTTCCACAATGATTGCACAGGCCTGTATCTAGCCGGCTGCAAAGCGATTCAACAGATAATTTTGTAGGAATCAAACAGACACTTGTACACATTATTTCAGTGACCCTTCCTAAAATCACATAAAGGGATACGTGAGCGGATACTTCGCCAAGTGTTTAAACAGTAACAACGAGGGCGTATTATCCAACAAAAGCCTCCACCCTCAGATTGTGGGCAGCTGATTGGGGTCACTTGCAGGCTATGGCGCGATGATAACGAAGGGCTAGTATTGGGACTCCCTTCGCAATTGTGATCGGATTACTTGCAAGTCTTTAGCTTTAGTTCCTGGATCGATCAGAATTAGCCCAGCGTTTGTATTCTTTGCACTGCAGAGTCAATCATGTATAAATTACCTTTCCCGGCGAATCTAAAACTTCCAAGGCTTCACTTCCCCGGAAAAGAACCAATTTTGGAGAGGAGTTTCAATTCTTGGTGTCTAGATGGCAGCGCCGGACCTCATGTTCTTTCATTGTTGACTGGTCTGTTGAAGTATGGATAGCTATCACGAGTAGCTCAGGCGCCCTAGATCGGGGACCTAAGGTTCTCTGGCGTCTACTCTGGCTCTTTGGTCACGTTATCACTAGGTAGCGTGTTGACAATGAATTACACCTGATGTTTCAGCTCAGCTAGGGCGTGATAGAACTTCTCCAGCAGACCCACACGAAACTTCCATTCTGTGTTGTAGCAAAGCCGCGGTAGCGATGAATGACGTCTGGCAGCCAGAGCGGCAGTGTACTAGGTATTATCGAAGCCCACTCTGAGTTAATTACTGAGGCTGCCCGATCGAGGTGCGCCATGTCTATATAAGGACACCAGATTCCACTTCTGAGAATTTCTTCTTTCAATTTCATCAATTCTTCTTGCTTCGTCTGGTCACACATCCCTGCGCGTCCATCACACAGATTCAAAAGCGACCAATTTTTAGTTTTCCCTACAAACCCCATTCATTGTCCAAAAATGTCATCCAACGCCGACGACAACGCCCGTGGTAACGACCAGGGCCACAGCGATGGCCGCAATAGCGTCGCTCTGGGGGGTAATTACAGTATTTTTGGCTTTCAGATCGACACTTTCACCTACGTGAGCTGGGGGCCAGTTGCCCACAGACAAACCTCTTCCCACGCAGGGAACGCGTCCTCCGTCTCCGGAAAAGGGACCACTCCCTCCAACTCGACCACAGGGAGTAATCCTTCTACCGGCAACTCCCGCCAGTCCGCCTCTGGAAAGAAGTGATGACAATGAATCACGGTGACCATTAGTCGATCGACGAACAAGATGGAAGGCTCACTAATTCGCGGGGTAGGACGGCAATCGGAAGGGAGCCGCCGATGGTGGACTGCTTTCGTCCCTACGACTATGACCGGGCCAGGGGGTAAGGGGGGTGGAGGGGGGGTGAAGAGGGATTGTGGGAGTCGACCTGGAGTGGAAGAAGGGGGTGGATTGACATTCGGGGCCCGTGATGTTGGCTTTCTTTCTAATTGTTAGCATAGAGTGGTAGTCACCCGCCAATAGATCCTTTGTGCCGTACTTCTTCCTTTCCATGACCTCCGAGGACAAGAACCGATGACCTAGTAATGGTATCCGTAGTCCTGGCAGTAGGATGAGCCGTACGCTAGAGAATCCTGGGCCCGGCGACCTTGAGACTCAGTATATGCGGCTGTCCTCTGTTTTTCTCCTGTAGCAGCTGCTAAACCTAAGCGAGACTGTGTAGTACTGCTCCCCGTTGGCTGCACTGTTGTATGATGCCGTACTCCTCGCATCAACGGTAATCCTGCCTGAGGCCACGCAGTCGCGGCTTTCCAGCCAACCACTCAGCACTACCTACGAGTTGGCTCTCAGCATCTGCTCCTGTTGCAAACTCCAGATGTGACATAATGGGACTGCTCCTAAGCTAAACACACTTGCCGTATTCTTACCGGCCGGAACGTCTTTAAGGCCCATCGGGAAATAGCCATTGGTCAAGCAGCAAACCGAACGTGAAAGCCTGATCATGGTCCGGAGAAACAACAGCAAAGTACCCCAGCTTGCTGTAGTACCGTACCTAGCTACAGAAATGGCTCAGGCGAAATTGCCTTCACACGCGACTGCTCAATCAACTCCAGATACGGCTCAATAGACTCTCGTGCATGTCTAGGCTTGTTGAATCATCCCTCCCCACTCTTTTGCATTTACCTTTCTCGCTTCGTCCTGCCCGATTCTGTCGCGATACTGAGACCACGGGCGACGTCATGCCCGCGAAGTCCCCTGAGAGATCGAAATGCTTTGGGTTTCCCTGACTTCAACCCGGTGAAAGACTGAGTCGGCAGACACGTCATGCTCTTGCCCATTAACAGCTGTCTGTTGGGCGTCTCGCCGGTTGTGTTTTCACTTTGAACGACCCCGAGTAATCACAGGGCCAGCCTTGGCCACTAAGCTCGGCTAGACACGCCTATTGCGGCTGTAATTACCTGGTATTGCTGGAGAAGGGTGGGTAGGGGCGGACTGATCGGTGCCCCTTTTGCTCAATAACATCAAGCTGGACAATGAATTGAACTCTTTCTCAGCTGCAGTGATCTTGGGCACCCAGAATAGCGAACGCAGAATACAAGCAACGAGACATCCTCATTGCAGCGAGGCTGAGAATGCAGATAGACATATCTTCCCGGGTGAACGAGATCACGCGGCCAGCCGCCGGGAAAGGCGCGCCGGCACAAAGGCCTGGACCCTGCTCTAGGAGAAAGTTGATCGAATTGGCAGCGTTCGAGACGTTTCTATTCTCTCCTCTTTCTCCCCAAGAACAGTTGGAATACTGGCTACCAGATGTCTGAACGATGAATTGTTCCTACAAGGATGGAATTGTAAATTCGTCAGATGTCAACAACTCTGTGCTTCGTGGTTGGGAGGTTAGAAGGTTGGGAAATTTGAAGGGGCAGTGCAAATAAGACATCCGATCTCATCAGAGTGGCGGTTTGCACGATGATAGGGCGGCAGTTACGGCGGACGATTGCCGCCATCGGGCAAATGAGTTTTTGCTTGGTGCTCTGCCGGCAGAATCAATACATTAAGAGGCCTTTCATCAAGCACCTCTCACCAAGCACCTCTCACCAAACACCTCTCACCAAGCACCTCTCACCAAGCACCTCCCATTAAGCACCTCCCATTAAGCACCTCTCACCAAGCAAGTAAATAAGTAAGCAAGCAAGCGAGCGAGCAAGCAAGGCAGCGAGGCAGTGAGGCCTCTTACCAAGCACCTCCTACTAAACAAACAAGCAAATAAGTAAGCAAGGCCTCTTACCAAGCACCTTCCACCAAGCAAATAAGTAAATAAACAAGCAAGTAAGACCTCTTACCAAGCACCTTCTACCAAGCAAGCGAGTAAGCAAGCAAGCAAGGCAGTAAGGCCTCTCACCAAACACCTTCCCACTAAGTAAATAAGTAAACAAGCAAGGCAGCGAGGCGGCAAGGCCTCTTATTAAGCACCTTCCACCAAGTAAACAAGTAAGTAAATAAGTAAGGCAGTAAAGTGTCTTACCAAGTACCTCCTACCAAGTAAATAGGTAAGTAAATAAGTAAATAAGGCTTCTTACCAAGCATTTCCTCCCCGGGAGCTGGCCGACGCGGTAAGTAATAGCAGAATACATAGTCATATAAGTACTCTTTACTAAGACTAAATCTCATCCAATTAATTTCTGTCTGTACCGACTAATTAGCCTAATAACTGACTAAATAAAATGTAGTTTAGAAATTCTCCAAGGGACAGGACCTAGTTCTTATTATAAAGCGGTAAGCATAGCGGTCAAAGGACTTATGAACTCCATTTGCCCGATGGCGGCAATCGTCCGCCGTACGGCAGTCAAGCAATGTGGCTGCTCACGTCGTACAACTTGGCAGGACCCCGAGCCCATTTCCCACTTCCCCGTCCCTATCCTCCTCTGCCATCGGAATTGCCAAAATGACCGTGTAGGCTATGAGGGTACTTTGTCATCGGCCCGTGCTGCCTAGGCGCCTCTGACCGCTGGTTACCAGCCCATTGGACCCAGGGACTTGACTGAGCTGTGATAGGTTCTTGCCCAACCAAAAGGGGGTTTACCATTTCCGATACGCGTATCGGAAATCAGCCTAATCAACAGCTGTCCTTGCTCTACGACGGAGTGCAGTACGCTCTGGCCGTACCATTGATCGCTGAGAGACCCCTCCCTCTACGAGTCTACTTTGAGCAAAAGCGATGGCGGTTGAGGCTCGCCAGAGATAGCAGTGAACCGTTCCTCATGCAAGGTAGGTCAGGGTTGGAAGTACGAAGCCCGCCTGTCATCGAGGCCGCATAATGACGGATAGATGCCCAAATGCTAGCCACGTAGCGTGAGTATCCTGAACACTGTCTCAACCGAGGTCAACGATGATTCATAATCAGAGGAAAAAAGGGGATTAAGTTCGCGCTATGATGTCTACCGCGGACCGATACCAGGTGGAGATCGGAAAGAATTGAGTACTGTAGGCTTCGTCACAAATATGATGGGTTGTTGTTGTTGTTGTTGTTGTTGTTGTTGTTGTTGTAGGCTGTAATGCAATCCGCATAGAGCTTGAAGTGGAGATTCGGGCTTATCGCAGAATCTTCGTGAGAAGTGGGGCTTGGCTGAAGCCTAAATCCTTCCGGTCAGCCTGTCAGATCATATCCTTACAGGATCATGCATACATCCCCAGCGGCAGGAACAAGCAGAGGGGATTGAATCTCTACAGTACTGACTTCTCGTATCCAAAAGTACCTAGAGCAATGAGAGAATGGCTCCACTCGCCAATCATCAGGCAGTCTAAGCCTACCCAACATTCCCAACATCAAATTTGAGACTATTGTCAGGACTAGCCACGCCTCAATCAAATATTTTCAATTGTTTCACGGGGTCCTTCAAGAGAAGCCCGAGCAAAAGCCTGAACCCCAACCATCCTGATCATAATACCAATCTCCCTACTCCTCAACTACGTGACCTAGCTCGCCATCTCCCACTTCTGCTTGCCTCCGGTTCTGCTTCACATTCTCCTGACATGGCTGTCCTCAGTGCACTTCCACCTCCGTCCGGTTCTCGCCCTCTGCAGCCCACCACACCAAGAAATCGGACCGACTGTGAGCGTCAACCTGAAGAACGCTCATTTCGACGACCAAGTGTTCTGCTGCTTGTACATCAACCACAACGAGTTCCTTCAACGATGTTTCCTTCTCCTCCTCCTCCTCCTCCTCGTCCCATTCGTTCTCATCCTCCTCTTTTTCCTCCTCCTCTTCTTCTTCATCCTCCTCATCTTCTTCTTCGCCCTCCTCCGCCTCCTGCTCACAATCCCTACGACAAGATGGGACGACTCCAAAGCTGCTTTCCAACCCGCGAGCCGACGAACCCTCCAGCGCGACATGATCTACCCAAGAACCGCCGCTTGACCAGCAGCTCTCCCTCCTCCCCGCTGAGGCCAAGGTGCGCGTGTGCGAGCAGACGGACGACAGCCCAGCAACCAGGAAGATCGTCTCGCGCCGAACAACGACCGAGGATGCTGACACCGACCTTGTGCTCAAGCTACAGGGCATCGGTCGCCGCCGGTCGATCGCCGTCAGCACCAGAAATGATGCTCCGAACTCCAGTGTCGCTGCACTCGTCTCCTGTCCCACATCACATTCAGGGGAGCTATTCCCCGAGGGACAACCAGCCGCGAGTCATGCACGACCCCTGCATGGTCACATCGACCACACACCCTCCGTCCTACCAGCCGACCAACCGTCTGCTTCCCGACCGCACCCATCGAGGCATATAGAAGCAGACGCTGCGGGAAGGCAAGTTGCAACCGCCAGTCTTCCGAACATACGCTCAGGGCATCGCAATCCAATCACGCGACCATCACCACAAACGTCCGACCACAAAGGCAACACACGTACCACGAGGGCGAACTCTAAAATGCCCCCACAGGATACCATAACCCGGACCCTGGGATTTCCAGACCCAGGAACCTGGGACGCGTGGTCTGCTCGCCACCATCTCCGCCAATTCCCACTTCGCACCCGACCACGACCCAACATGACAGACGGGGCGTTTATCCGGTCGATCCTGATTCGGATCCTCATTACCGGCACAGTGGATCTGACAGCTGAACCCATGGCGTTCAGAGATTAAGGTTCGATACGTTTCCAAGGGCCCCCTTGAAAGTCCCCACTTTTATCCCCGCTACCCTGCATCTGCAGGATTCTGGCTGACGCGGAGGAAATTGCCTAAACCCCTGCAGATCAGTTAGACGCGATTCAATGCGGCCGGACGATCCTGTGCCCTGTGCCCTCACTGCTCTTTGACCCTCCGACCGCCCGGATCGACCACGTCACCCCCCTGAGTACCCTCGAGTCATGCCAAAATATTGTCACGTGACCGGCTGGTCACCCGCGACCGCCCCGGCCGGTGTGCCAACAGTACGGACATCTGGGGTGCGGGACTCTCTCGGGACTCTGGCTTCGTGGGCCTCATTTCCTGACTGAAGTTGCTGTCAGTCGGTCCGTTCATGCGTGAACGTATTGTGGCAGTGGGTCGGAAGGATAAGTATGACTCGGGGGATGTTCACAGAGACGAGATGAGGTAAGGTTCTGGGTAGGGAGGGGGTCTCGGTCTAGATAGGGGTGTCTGGTAACTACATCGACGCTCCAGGGAGTGCGCGATGGTCTTGGGGCTTGGCTATCCTCGCGTGATGGGATCACCTAGTTAGGAGTCTCCTGTGTAGTGCCTTGTAGAACGCTAAAACAATGCTGCGGTCGCAGAAGGGGTCTTGTGCCGGGGGCGATGGGGCATGGATGGTTTTACGCGTCTGAGACCTCGGCCAGAACAGTCGCCTGCCAGCAACATGCGACAGTTCGTGTCATGTTACCTTGTGGGAAGTATCATGTAGTCCCCGGGGTTTTCGATCTCCTTACTGTGTGTGGGTGTGCGTAGGCTCCTCAACAGAGGTGGGCTGCGCTCGTAGTCACGTGACTGCGCCGCGTGTTGACCGCAAGCCAAGCACTCCTTCCTCGCAGCAATCAACATCCTGTCGGTAAGTCATTCTGACGAGCCTGAGGCCTCTCCGAGGTCTGCTCACCGCCCTCCCTACCATGTTGATAGCCTCGTTTCCTTGAGTACCTTGGTAGCCATGAATCTCACGGTTTTTCACGCCTCGGAGAGGTGGTTCCATCACTTTCAGCGCTGGTTCAAGTCAAAGCTGACACGATGGGACTGGGCTCTGCATGGTCTAAGTCATGTCCAGGATGCTGGGGATAGTAAATGGAATTTCCAGTTGGGCTACACTACATCTCCCCCATTGGAGGAGACGCCATCCCACTTCACCATTTCTAAGTTGCATTACAGTTTGTCCGAGCACATTCCGGTATGACTTGAAAGCATCTGCTATCTTCTCCAGCGCAGCGAGGTTCCAGCACAGCGAAGTCCCGCCCGCAATCCAATCTCCAATACCTCCCTCCCCCTACACCACCTTCCCCTGCTGCCACCACCTCCGAAACGGCCGCACACACTCATCCCAAAGCGAGCTCGGCGGCTCGGTGGCCACTAAGACAGCCTCGTAGGCCGTGATCTCGAGGGCCTCCCAGCGGAGATCGACCTCCTGGGGACGGCGGAAGCGCGTGTTCCGGAATAGCTTCCAGGCGAAGTAGAAGACGGGCATCAAGATGGGGAGAACATACCTGAGGAGGAACAGCTTGGGATCCCAGGGCTCGAAGCAGGTGTAGCCGTAGAACAGGAGCACGAAGCTCATCCACGCCAGGCCGATGTACCCGCAGTACGGCTGCACCCAGCCGCGATCCGGCAGGGAGGCGCGGAAGAAGCAGAGGTAGGTGATGCAGATGATAATGTAGTTGAGGATCGTCGCCACGAGGTCGGGCAGAACTTCCACAACCATGTTCTTCATGGCGATGCTGTAGGGCGATGAGGCGCCTGTTCCCGAGCTGGTGCTGTTCAGTGCCACTAGCGTCGGGTCGTTGTAGGCGATGCGGATGCTCACGGCCAGAGCGCTGCCCACGAAGAAAATCATGAACCGCCAGTATACCATCTTGTATGCGTTCTTCAGATAGATGCGTTCGTGCTTCGCCTCGGCGGCGATCATGAAGATGAATTTCGGTCCGGTACAGGTGAACGCAGCAAGCCACAGCCTGGCGAGGAAGCCCTGGAAGCGACCCACCGAGCCCAGTGTCAAGGATTCGGCGAATGGAGTCTCCCAGTGCCGGAAGCCGTAGGCGTCGCCGGCAGGGCTACCGCCAACCATGGTGACGAAGGTGAAGACGAATAGCGTCAACAGAAGAATCACTTTGCCGCTGGATAGCCAGAATCCAGCTTCTCCATACACATGAACAGCGACCACGTTGAGGCATCTATGGGCGGTTAGTGTGCGAGGTACACTGGGCAGCAGCCAGTAGAGACTCACCCGTAGAGCACGATGCAAGCCGCACAGACCGCTGCCGGCGGGATGTTGTCGCTCCAGAACCACAAGACCAGATTCAAGGCGGTGATCTCGAATAGAATCACAATAACTTGGAAGATCAAAGATTCCAACCCGCAGTAAATCCCAGAGCATCGTCGACCCAGTTGCCGGTCATGCGGATGAAACCGCCGCTGCCAGGCATGTAGGTCGATATCTCCGCCATACAGTTGTTCTCCACGGCGGGGAAGACATTATGGATCACAAAAGCGACAAGTAACCCGCCGGGCCCTGCCTGCTGCAAGGCCGTGCCGATGCTGATGAACAATGCAGTGCCGATCACGACCAATTGAATCTTCCTGTTGCCCAAATCCCGGTGCATTTCATCTTGGATTCCGGTTGCTGACAGGCTTTCAGTGTGCGAGCCTGGGCCTGCGGCGTCTGCGTCGGGTCGATTTCCTATTGCAGAGTCGGGCCCCGGTGCTTTTTCCTCGGAGGCGGACATTGCTGCAAGCGCGAACAGGGTGAAGGGGTCAAAACGAGACATTTGAACAATACTTGGTGTTACGAAAACCTACACAGGCATTGGGTCGCATTAGAAAAAACCGGCACAGAGTAGAAGACCGCGTGGAACCAACCGTGGGAGCAATACGAGAGGGCCAAGTCACCCAAAACAACCCGTGTGGGGAAGAATGCGGGGTGACAGATCTGGGGAAAAAGGCCCGCCTCCATTGAGACATGATGCTTGAGACCAGTAGGTTGTGTGGGGGTGGATACGATGCTCAGAATTGAATTGACGTCGCGCCTTGTGTAACTTCTCGCCCGATCATTCCCAAGTCGACCCCTCCTCCCTTTCCCGCGTTTCCGACGGCCACGGCCTGCATGCTCGGGAGATCGGGATCTGGGTCGTAAATAGGAAGGATAATACGCCACCCGCGCGGGATCGACCCCAAGGCGCGTTTCTTACCTTTTCGGGGTGATTTCGCGCCTCTGTTTCTTCTCATGGCTGGATCACCTGCGCAGTCTGTGCGAGTTTGCGGATTGTCGGGTGACGATAGCATTGCTTTTCCAGCTTCACCAGCTTCAATCAAATAGATATATGAATGGCCGTCGTGATGCTCGTCAACTCATCTTTTTCTCGACAGCAGCGAACGCAGATCTTCCTTTGGTCAATAGCACTTTCAACACACGCATTCAAATCTCAACTTCACTTCACCCTCTCAAGATGCCTTCGATCGCCGCCCTTCACCCCGCACCGCCAACCGTGGTCGGCCCTACAACGAAGAAGGCGACCCGCCCGACCAACCCCCTCCCTCAGTGGCTCATCGATGGTGCCCGTGTGGAACACAAAGAGACGTTCAACGCGAAGCGACACTTGAACTTCCAGCCCCCGAAGGGCATCACGACTATGAAGGAGATCGGCCTCGAGGGACACGGGGTCTCCCCCGTTGCCGCCTCGGAGCCGTTCCCGCTGTTCTCCCCCGAGGCGATCAAGCAGATACGCGCGGAGATTTTCAGTGAGCCTGTCCTCAGAGACTGCCAATACTCGTCGAGCTTTGCAAAGAACATGATCCGAGGCATGGGCAGAGAGTGAGTGTCCTGTGACGTTCCTATTGGTGTGCCTCTCTAACCTTCCCATCTGTTTAGACGCGCCCCGTTCACCTGCGACGCGTGGAGCTCCCCGGAACTGCAGGCCGCCGTATCCCAGGTGGCTGGCATAGATCTCGTGCACGCGTTCGACTACGAAATCGCCAACGTCAACATCTCGGTCGAAGATGATCCATCCAATGTGGGCAAGGTCCAAGAAAAGCCCGACACGTCTGCCTTTGCCTGGCATTTCGACAGTTTTGCCTTCGTGTGCGTGACGATGCTTTCCGACTGCAGCGACATGGTGGGTGGGGAGACTGCCATCCGGACCCCCTCGGGAGAGGTCAAGATCCGTGGCCCAGCAATGGTAGGTTTTTGAACTCAAAACCTGCTATTTCTTCCTTCCAGCTGATCAATTCCACTAGGGAACTGCTGTAGTCATGCAAGGACGATACATCGAGCACCAAGCATTGAAGGCCCTGGGAGGCCTCGAGCGGATCAGCATGGTGACGTCGTTCCGACCGCGGGATCCCTCCATCCGCGATGAGCTGGTCTTGACCGGGTCGCGGGCCATCAGTAACTGGTCGGAGCTCTACCATGATTTCACGGAGTACCGGATGGAGTTGCTCGAGGAACGGCTCCGACGGAAGATGAAGGAGGAGCGTAAGAGGAAGGAATCCAAGCGTCCCTTCAACATTTACGACATGACTGAGTTTCTGACGGAGCAGAAGAATTTCTTGGAAGCGACGATCGCAGAGCTGACCCCCGTGGAGGATATGGACTAGTTTAGAGATGCAACCTTTATCTTATGTCAGAGAAGCACTACCATACATAATGAACAAGATGATTTTAATTGCAAGGTTCTGTGGTCGGTATGAAGTTTCCCGTAATGAGGGCACGGATGTTTTGTAGCCCTAAGTCTTACGAAGCTTCCCGACAGGCTTCGGATCGTCGGCTTCATTAACCGTCGGCCCGCTGACAGTGCGGGGTTAATATTGCTTAATCTTCTCCTTCCCATGCTCCAATCTGCCAACAGTTCGCAAGTTGTAGGCTGCTCCGCACCAAGACATTGATTAAACAGCAGCTAAGATGCTCGAGGCTAACCGCAAAGCGCGACGGGCAGCGGCCGCGTGAGTAGACCCTTAGCAAAGCACGTCGATAAAACGTGGTTAGTATTGACTCTACCTATTTTTGCAATAGGTGCGTCGCCTGCCGGCGGAGTAAGATCAAATGCTCGGGCGACCGACCGTGCAAGAATTGCCAACGGCGTGCGACCAAATGCCAATACTCCGACTCCAGTACGCGAGTTCTGGTCTCTGAAAGGTGAGCCGGCCTTGCTATCCATCGCCTCTTGAGAGGGATGTTGACTCCGAGCGAGAGATTAGATATCTCCGCGACTTGGAGAATCGGGCCCGCGCAAACCAAGCAGGAGCAGCCAAGCCCTCGCGATCCTCGTATCCTCATCAAGAAGATTTCCCGGATTTGCTGCACAACCCGACCACACGGGGCTCCGAATCTTCACCCGAGACTGAGTCCATGCTCAGCATCTGGACCAGCCCTTTCACATTGCCTACACCTGTTATCGTGAATGCGGGAACCACGAAACGCAACTGGCGTAGGTTTTGATTTCCCTTCAGCTATACTCCAAATTGACCCGAGCATAGTCTGGCTAGCGCCGACCTCCCCCTGGTCCTTCGTGGCAAGACTCGCCGTCATGATGAGCGGGAAACTGAACATGGATTCGCACCGAACTCTCAAGTTCCACATAGATGGGGACATCTACCCGCTAGATTGGAGGTCGCAGGTCCCGACCGAAGAGTCTCTCGACCCCGGGACTCTTCCATCCCTCGACCACGCCATCTACTCCATCAACAATGTGAAGTTCCATCTGGGCCAGGTATATCGCTTCCTCCCAGATGATTTCTGTGCACAAGTTCAGGATTTCTACGCGTCGCGGGGAGCATACGGAGCCACCCAGTCGTGCATGTGGTTCATTCGGTTCCTTCTACTTCTCGCATTCGGAAAAGCGTTCTCGTCGCGGACGAGATCTCACGGTACCCCGCCGGGGGCGAAGATGTTCTTGCGCGCCATGTCGTTGATGCCGAACCACACGTCTACGGGAAATGATAGCCTGGATGTGATAGAGAACTTGGCGCTGGCTGCCTTGTACCTGTACGCTATTGATCACAGGGAGGGGGCGCATTCTCATGTGAGATAGAACCACCACCAGCTTGATCCGCTAAGCTCACCTACTCATTCAAATATTTTGTCAGGTCGGCCAAGCAATACGCCTCGCACAGCTGGAGGGCCTGCATACGCAGCTCCCCGAACAGGAACTGGGCCATGCGACCGTCGCTCGGTGCAGGAATCTCTGGTGGACGTTGTATATCCTGGATCGCCAGATTTCTTCGTCCCTTGGTCTGCCGATGACCGTCCAGGATTTCGACATCACGACCTTGGTCGAGATCTCCGGGCCAACGCCGCAGGACCCTACCCTGAGCCTCCAAGTGAGGCTATCTCAGATGATGTCCTCCATCTTGAGTAGTACGACCAACTATCTCTGTGCCTAGCACCAAAAGAATTGCTAACGGCTATGCACCAGGGATATATCGGGCAGAGAAAACACAGATCGGTCGTTTTCTGGATGTGACCAGCGACATCCTACAGAAGATGGCGGGGCTCGCCGAAGAAATCGAGAAGATCTTCCCGGCCGGGTTCCAGGATTCCATGGACACGATGCCGCACGAGACGCGATACATCATCTTGCTCTACCACCAGGTACGACACATACCTTGACGTTTGGCCCTCCCCTCAACAGCACTAATTCTCACCCAACACAGTGCGTAATAATGGCAACCCGCCCTCTCCTCCTCTCCGTCCTACGAGAACGCCTCGAAAAGCTCGGCCGCGCCGAAGAAGAAGAATGGCAGAAGTTCCTCGCCCTCCCCAAAAGCCTCCTATCCATCGGGATCCGCTCCGCCGTAAAGACCCTCGAAATTCTATCCGACGAGAACATTATTCTAGGTATGTTGCACATGACCTGTAGTACAGTACATTCGAGCCTAGTCCCGCCAAGCTGATGGATGAATGAACAAACGCAGAGACCTTCCTCCCCTTCGACCTAGAATTCACCTTCGCGGCCGCGCTGCACCTGACAATCGCACAGACGCTCTTCCACCTCGAGCCCGCGGAGCAGTCCCACGCACAAGCGGCCCAGTTAATCCTCGACGAGATCGTCGCGAGCGGGAACCGCGTTGCGGAAGTCCGCAGGGTCGAGCTGGCTCATATCCAGTCGTTGTTTGGGGAGTTTGCGAGCCGCATGGAGGAGGAAGGGTTGCAGAACCTATCTTTACCGGGGATTATGCAGGAAGGGCAACCCGTGCGAGGGAGTGTTCCCGGAGAGGAGGAGTTGTTCCCGCAGGCGGAGGAACCCCCGGCTATAGGATGGCCGGCTTCCCCGGAGAGTAACACTCGGTCCACCACGTTAGCGGAGGAGGATCTATCCCGGAATCTGGATTTCTTGGATACGTTTGGGATCTCGTCGCATAAGTTTCTGTCGATTGTCGATCAGATTGGGCAGCGGGATCTTACGCAGGAGCTATGGGGGCCGCAGGCGGAATAGCTTGGGCGGGTGAGACTGGATCTTAACGATACAGATATACGAGGATATCATTGGGGAGCAGAGCGCATTCATGGAGGGCCGGGGGGGGAGGACTTTTATCCTTTTTTAGTTGACGGTACTTGGGTATGCGTGTCGCCTTTGGTTATTCACTTGGATGTTGGTTGGGGGGTTGAACAATATGGTAGATCCACGTGCTTGGCGCCGTTTGTCGTACACATCGAAAGGCTCGAAAGGATGGACGAGATTCATGAGCGGACTAACCGTCTTTGCCACTTTAAAAGCGACCTTGAGATTAATGCGGGCATGTTATGAGGCTCCGATCGCAAATACTGGATTTACTTGTATTAAAGAGAAGGTATTTCTTGTTGACATAGCTTATGTAGTAGCAACAGTCAGCGTGTGGCATTAGCCAGCAAACAACAGCATGCATCTTAGCCAGTATGATAATCCTTTTATGACTCGTGGCAATATAGCCGCGCCGTAGTGCCTATAATCAGCATCAGGGCAGTATTCCATCACGTGCCCGATCCTTTCCGTCACCTAGCGTGAAACCCCCCTAAAATTGTCAGCCTCGCGTGCAGATCAACTCATAACTGCTGCCTTGTATCCATCTACACTTCTGCGCATCAGCAAAACCGTAGCCATGTCCCCCTCAACCCGACGAACACGGACCAGCAAGCCCAAGTCCCGCAAAGGCTGCATAACCTGCAAGTACGCAGCACACCACCATCCCCATCAATCCTGACCCAAACCCCTGACAAGCTACAAACAGAATCCGCCACGTCAAATGCGACGAAGCGAAGCCCGAATGCGATCAATGCACGCGCACCGGCCGCAAATGCGACGGCTACACGAACGCCTCGCAAATGCAGCTACGCCAAGCCATCATCCAGTCCCCCCCGCGGCGGCCCAACGGACACCTGGGCGCCGATCGGCGGATCGTGCTTGTCCCAGGGACGCGTGAGGAGCGACAATATGTCCAGTTTTTCTGCGTGCGGACGACGCGCGCGCTGTCGGGCTTCTTCCCCTCGGGGTTTTGGGCCCGGGATCTACCGCAGCTAAGTTACCGGAATGCGGCCGTGCGCCATGCTGTTGCTGCTGTTGGGGCGCTGCATCTGCGGCAGCTGCAGGGTCGGCTGGGATCTCAGGGTGGGGGGTTGGGTGGGGATGATGCCTTTACGCTACAGCAGTATAACAAGTCTATCCAGACGTTTCTGCAGCAGATGGGAAGCGGCAACGAGATGGAAGCTGACCTGATGCTAATACAATGTCTTCTATTTGTTTGTTTGGAAATGCTGCAGGGAAACTCCAAGCAAGCGATGAACCATGTGGAGGGGGGCTTGCGGATCTTATCGAGACAAGTCCAGAACAGTAGCCTCGACAGAAGTCTGTATCAATTCTTCTGTCGGCAGGTGAATCAGCTATCGTACTTCGGTCGGCCATTGACGCCGTTGATAGATACTGTATCAAAAGACTTCGCGAACGTCACATCGAGTGGAAGGCTCGTGTTCGACCACATAGACCAGGCACGAGATTGCTTAACAAACATCACAACTCGATCTCTGTGCCTCATTCGCTCCGTACAGCGTCACGTCTGTGCGACCCCACAACACCCACTACATCCACAGCAACTCCAGCAGCAACTGGCACTGTTGCGGGAATGTCACGCATGGCTCCAGGCCTTCGAAGCCCTGGGAAAAAAGCCCGCAGCGACCAGTGGGATGCTCGATCCACGTGCGCCGCTTTCCATGACGTGCCAGTACTACACCGCAATCACATGGCTGAGCACCTGCACCTCGCTGGATGAGATGAACCTGGACCGGTTCCACGAAAACTTCGAAGCCGTAGTGTCGGCGGGAGAGAGGCTCATCGAGCTATGTGCTGCTGATCAGCCCAACTCGAGCACGGAGCACTTCTTCCTTGACGCCGACGTCATGCCAGTCCTGTACTGGACGGTTCAGCGGTGTCGGGATCCGCTCTTGCGACGCAGAGCCCTGCGTGCGTTGTCGACATACCCTGCCAGGGAAGGAATGTGGGATAAAGGACTGCATATTGCGGTCGCACGGAGGTTTGTGGCGTTAGAAGAGGCGGCTGTGACGCATCTGCCCGTCGCGCAGAGGTTTCCAATGCCACAGCACCGAGTGTATGATGCGATGATCGCCAGCGAACGCGAGTCACGTGGTAAGTGTAGCCCTGTGCTTTTCCGGTCTAAGCCGCATGGCGTCGACGGACCTTGGGAGAATAGGTGGGAGATTGTATGTTGGTGAACACGATAAGGCGTCGCTTCTAGCAGAATTTCGATTCTTTAAATAGATTTTTAGGCAACGTTTCTCAGGCATACTCCGAGAATAACATGACATTTCGTGCAATGGTAGCCCCGACGTGGTGGAAGATACGAACAGACCAATCAGACACCCGTCGAGGAATAAGAATTGCACTTAAACTCAAGCTATGGTTTGGAAGTACGAACTGAGCAATCAGCAACGGCATTTGTCCCGTCTTATCCCTTAGCGTGCGGCTGTGGATAAGATCCGAGTGTTTCGGTGCTTGCCAAGACCTTCAGCGGGTGCACCATGCATCTTCGCTGCCTAGGCCTTCCATGCACCGGCACGGGGCTGTGTAGTCTTCGAGTCTGTGGTTGGTCCCTTCGTAATGTCGTGAGGCATCCATAATCTTGTTCCGGTTGACTGAGGGCCTTTATTTATCATGATCTTAGATCGTCCGGCATATAAACGGCTGGCTCCGTCCGCTTAGCTCTCCTTGATCATCTCCCGTATTACTATCCTTCTATATCACCCATTTCTCTCACTTGTCTTCAGCATAGTAGCTCCCACCCGTCATGTCGTCATACAGTCACAAGGAGCTCTCCATCGGTTGCAAAGCCTACATCGAAGGCGTCCGCACCTCCTACGGCTACATTCCATCCAAAAGCGCCGGGATCGCCTTCTGTTTCCTGTTCGTGTTATCGATGATCGCGCATATCGTACAATTCAGCTGGAAGCGCACCTGGTGGTGCAGTCTGTTCAGTATCGGATGCATGGGTATGATCACTCTATTATGCCAAGACAACCCAGTTTATCTCTAACGCCCCAAATAGTGGAAGTCCTAGGCTGGGCGGGACGGACCTGGGCAGCGGAATGCCCGTACAACTCGACGGCGTTCATGATCCAGATCTCCACCCTGATCATTGGTGCGCAACAACTCTACGCCCCTCATACCCCTCAACACAAACACTAACTTCCCCCTCCAACAGCCCCCACCTTCTTCACAGCCGGAATCTACGTCCTACTAGGCCGCATCATCCAGCTCTTCGGCCGCGCCTCCTCACTCCTATCCCCAAAACTTTACCTCTGGATCTTCTGCACCTGCGACATCATCTCTCTAGTCGTCCAAGCCGCAGGCGGGGGCCTCGCGTCGTCGGAATCCGGTACCGTCAACGGCAACACAGCACCAGGGACCAACACGATGGTGGCTGGGATCGTCTTCCAGCTGATCTCACTGACGATCTTCGTCGTCTGCGCCGCCGACTTCTTCCGCCGCTCGCTGCGCCTCGGCTACCTCGACGCGCTGCTGCGCGGCCCGCTTGCGTATTTGCTGGGGGCGATGGTGCTCTCCGTCGTCTGCATCTATATCCGTAGTATCTACCGGACGATCGAGCTCGCGCAGGGATGGTCCGGGTACTTGATTACCCATGAGTCGTTCTTTGTCGGGCTCGACGGGGTCATGATGGTTGTTGCGGTGGCTGCGTTTAATGTCTGCCATCCGGGGTGGTTGCTGCCCGCGGATCATGTGTTTGCGGCTAAGGGGGGATGTCTTGAGATTGAGGACCTGGAGGCACTGGGGGCGTGTCGTGGGACCGAATACAGGGGATATGGGCATCAGTGAGTCGGTAGTTAGTTTATGCGGTGTGCTTGATTTTGGGGCTACGGGATGTCTATAGCCGAGCTTGAGGGTGCTGTTAGTATTTAATTTATGATTTTGGTTGTTTTCATCGGGCTTACATCGAACCGTAGTGTGTTGCCTACACCGTAGCCAGAGGCTTCTCTCCGAGTCAGTCGCTGGTGGAATATGAGTCGATGACGGCTGGGGATAGGGTTGTGTCGGGCGATTGGCCTTTTGATTGGTCAGGACGGTTTACCGTATTTTGACGTACAGTTAGCCACGAATTTGAAGCATCCATTAGAATGATGTACAGATCTCTCAGCCATTTGAGAGTGCATCACAACTTCAAGCAATACTACTTTTGTTCGAAATTTCTGTCAGTGTGTTGACAGAGTGGAGCGGCACTATGGAGCTGGGAGCTCGAAATGCTTTGCCAGCTATTACATATATCCCCGCACAGCTCCCAGTGGACGTCAGGACCCGCTCTGGTCGCCCTTCAATCAGCTCAATCATTATTGTGTGCATCCGCTAGGTAGTATAGCAAGTTTCTTGCAAATATAACCAGAAAGCGAGAAACATTAGAAAGAAATAACAAGAAAAGAACCTCGACTAATGGTGCCGCTGTATCTTCCAGAGTGGTCGTTACCGGGTGCCATAGGAAGCCAACGTTGGTCTTGTGTGCCTCAAATCTCAGGCATCGCTGCCCACTCCCGCTCGTAGTGAATATTCCCCGCCAGAAGTGGAACCAAAAGCAATATCTGCAGCAAAATGGTTATTTACACCCCTGGTTTATAAGAGCCAGCTGGACGCCGCCCGGCTCGAACTTTCTCAACTACACTCAATCAACCGAATCCACAGAGTGTTGTTTCTTGGGCATCTCTTGATTACTCCCCCGCAGCTCACGTGACAAGGTACAACCCTGGACAACCCTTCACCCATCAATAGTCCATCTACAATGTCAGCAAACAAAAGAGCGCGAGCCAACCCCGCCGGCGACGCCCACATCCGCTCCACGGAGACCGAGGAACCCGCACTAGCAGTCGACGAAGCAGAACTCCGCACGTACATCACTAGCCTCCCCGCAGCAAGGTCCAGGAGATCCTCGTCCACGCCGCGAAGACCCACCGGGACGTGCAGGCCCGGATCGACGAGCCGTCGACGCCGAGAAGCGCAAGCGCCAGGCCCACGTGATCTCATTCGACCGCGATTCGGGCCAGGTGTGGAAGGCGCTGAACGTCACGCACGCGCGCCTGAGCGGGTCGCGTCAATACGAGAAGACGTTCGAAGTCGCCGACGACATCCGCTGGACGATCAAATCCATCGCCGGGCAGTGTGGGCCGCTGGTTAATGCGCAGACGCGGTACAATGGATTGTCGGTGCTGCGCAAGATCGGGCGCAGTATCGTGCTTTCGTGCGGGGATACGCTGCCGCATGACGTGCAGAAGTCGTTTCAGTCTGATACAACGCTGGAGAGGGCGATGATGGCCATTGTGAAGGGGGTGGAGAAGGGGGAGAGGGAGCGGGTGATGCGTGAGAACACTGGGGATGGACTGTGGGCGAAGTTGATGCAGTTAACCGAGGAGGCAAGCGAGTATCGTTGCTTCACCCGGCTGGGCGATGTGCTCAGGATGATGGAGGGGGAGGAGATTGAGGTGGATTTGGGGTTTGGAGGGGCTGTTTCTGGTGTCAACGACGCTCCGGGTTATGGTGGACTGGATGGGTCTGACCTGCTTGACGATTACTATAGCTCGCAGGATGATGATGACTATTATTGAGTTCAGTTATGACGATGCCCCGTTTCTATTCCTTGCACTGGGGATATCGCCCTTCAGCCACTGCTTCAGGCAGCCAATATGCCCCGCCAGATCGACGAACAATCATGATTCTCGATCTGTACACTTCTTTATTCGTAAGCACACCGCAATTAGCACAGAATGAATCTTCACAATGTGTAACAAGGACTCTAAGACGCCACCATGTCACCACACGTGACTCTTCGTAGCGTTCGTTAACGCCCTGTGATAAATAACAACAAAGACGCGACGCGACCGACTCCATGTGCTTTCTCTCATCATCTCAACATACTCAGACTTGATTCACACACGCTGCCTATAAGTCAATCATATCCATCTCGCAAGTAACTTGCATAATGCCGAATCCTCATGCTATAAAGCGAGCGCGTACGAGCATCGTCGATGACGCGGTCACTCGCTCATTCAAGACCGATGACCTTCCCCCTCCTCGCCGCAAATCTTTGACTGCACCAGCGATCCCCGACATTGAGCAGTATATTCAAAGCTTTGTTGACAAATGCAGAGAATCTCACCCAAAGCTTCACGCTCAGATCAAGAACACGATCCGGAAGCTCGACCACGTCACCTCGTTCCAGGGCTACAACGAAATCATCGTGTACCTTCTCAAAAGCATTCATCCTCCCATGGACGAGTTTGAAAAGACCAGACTCTCTTCTCGCGTGAAGAACTACATTCTCGCGGTGCTGGAAAGGATCGTCGCGCAGTGTGGCCCATTCGCCAAGTCTGAAACGCGCTATAATGGTCTACCGACTCTACTACAGATTGCACGGAGCTTCATAGATTTCGGGTTCAGTGCCGACCGTATCTGGACGGGGACCCGTTTCTTCGATGGAGTGCTCGATGGCCTCTCAAGATCATTGCTATCAACTATTGAGGGGTTGAGCTTCTATGATCGAGAGAAGATATATCGTGGCCTCGATTCGGGCAGGCTGTATACACAACTGAAGAGGCTATGCAGCGATTGTGGGCCGCGTTCAATGAGCGCTTTTGTTGTGTTTCATCAGGCTCGACATGAGCTTACACGTGGCATCGGGAAGCGGGACATTTCCGAGGATTTTGGTCCGTATGATCGCAAACGTATCGAGTCTTCTCGTCGGATCGACACCGACGAGTACGGCAACTTCTTTCCTCAGTATTCCGAAGTGGAAAAGATCCAGAATATAGTGACAGGAAGCGGAAAAGTTCTGGGCAAGACGATCTGAACAATAGCTACCTGGCGAGATTCCTTAGGATTTGACAGTGACGACAAAGGCGGCAGCTGCCTTGAAGATTATTCCGACGGTCAAATTCTGGTGTAAAATCTCAATGTGCTATTTATAAATCTGTCACTGTCGACTGCTGGCATTTTCTAATCCTGATGTGACAAAGGCGTTAGACCATCTTCATGTTACTTCCAGAATGTACCTCTCATACTATATTGGATAATTTACTGATGCTCTATAAAAGTCAAATCTCAAGTTCCCACTGAAGACACATGCAACCGTGCACTGACACTGCACAGCTGGTCTTGGCACAGCAAGAGCACTACAACTAGCACAGCACGGTCGAGGTATTGTAACTTTTCAACAAGGTTAGGCAAGGTATGGCCAGTTCATCACACTATGTGAAACGAGCGGAGACTTCAGTATTGGACTGTCATCTCCATAAGAACAGCTTTACCCCGAGTACTAGTCTACAGCCTGATTTATTCTCAAGGGCCATAAGGTAGCATGAGCACTTTGCGTAGATTATCAGTCAAAAGAATGAGAAGCATTTAGTGACTATCAACCACAGTGGCAGACATTTGATTGAGGTTGAACTGCGAATAACCATTAAAAGCAGGCAAAAATCACAATATAGGACACAAGATGAAAACAAGCATGAGGAAACAAATGACTCCTACGCTTGGCATCGATCGTACGCCATATTACTGCAATGATCTTTCAGAAATGGTAAGCTAGCCCGATCGGAAAAGGCAAGCTGGCTTAGGGACTTTCCTTAGCGACATTCATGAACAGAGACAGAAGCTCAGTTGACCGAGTGGTATAGCTTACACGGATTCCCCTGATCCGACTGACCGCGCACATACAGGTTGGCTCGAATCTTGATATGAGAACCCTCATTCATCTCTGCTTCACGGAGCATTCGGAGGTATACACGTGGAATCATCTCATGATGCTGTTTAGCTTGGTCGACTAATTCCCTGAGCCGGTCAAGGATAAGCCCCCAAGTGCCGGCGCGAAGATGGATGTACTCAAAAAACATGACTTCGAGGATAGGACCAAGTGGGGCAAGCCACTTGATAAGCTGGGATTCGGTCAAGGCGGCGTATGCCAGAGAAAAAACCTTGATGTGCTTCCACTGCAGGCCATCCAGCAGCGGGGCCACTGTCAGTTTCCCCTGGTTGCGCAGGATCATCATTTTCTCCGGCGCATCCATGTAGACATAAACGCGTTCGAGGTCCGGACCTGAAAATATGGCCCTAGAAAACAGTTTGAGATGCGGGTAGGCCTTTCCCAAAGCTGGTGGTGGGAGTCGGTATTGTGCATGGTCCAGAGGTTGCTGGAAGGCAACAGTGTGGAGATTCTGTAACGGGGCCCGGATTCCAGACCACAAACAGCGATCCTGAGCTCGCGATATGGGGCCCGGGGCTGTGAGCATAGCAGACATGTTCTGGCAAGGAAAGCAGTCAACAAGGGGATTCCGAATTGTTCTACCAAGTTTGTGAATTGCGATGGGTAAATCAAACATTAATTTGGCAGGCACCATGGGCGTGCTGGCCAAGAACTGAACCCTATTCCACTCCATATCATGGCATAAAGCTTCCGGGAAACGATCTCGCTCTAAGAGAGCAATTTGGTGGGGACTTGGCCCTTCTATCGTGTCGAAGAACCCCAGAAAATCTGCTTGTGGCATGCGGGTGAAGCATGATGCCAGGGCATCCACGAAAGACCCAGATCTAACGAGTTGGAGCTGCTGGGACATCTTTCTCGCTGTAATCCTTCTGACCTAAGAGAAAGGTATCCTGTAACTGCAAGACTAGTGATTGATCAAGATTTGTGTCATCATTCATGACGACTGTTACCTCAGGCCGAAGGTTGGGGAGGTAAGGCTTCATCGCGTGCAGCATGTGATGATAATTGTATTTGATCGTCTCAAGCGCATCCGAGGGGGCTTTGTGCTCGCCATCGTCGTGGTAGACCATTCCTTGCCCCGTTAATGTCTCCAACCGGTCTATCCATTGATCAAGTTAGTCTTCCAGTTCACCTTGATGATGTGACGCGGATTCCTGAAGGCTCTTCTCGTGGTCTCTGATGCGAAATCTAAGCCCGACCCGGACAGCTCGGAAGCCCGCTGCCACGAGAGGACAACCTGATAGCTGAATGGCTCTATCCAGCGACGCCTGGTCTAAATTCACGAAGAGAATTGGGCATAGTAGTGACGATGACAGTTCGTTAAACAAACGACAAACCAGGCGAAGGCTTGGAATAGTTCTCCGATGTTTCTGGACTTCCACCGGGCTGAAATCTTCACCCTGCCAACGAGGTATGAAAGAATTCAACCAGAAATCAGCCTTGCTGCTTACCCTGAAGTCTTGGAAGTACTCGAATATCTGGAGGAGTAGATCGTTCGGGACGTCGAAGATTGTGAGCGGCCGGATCGAGGGGCGCGAGAGTTCCATCGCTCTGATTCGCAGAGCAAAGCAATGGGGTTCGAGCTTAAAGAGGATTACACATGCGGTGCATGGTTCGTCTTCAAAGCGTGTGTGCTTGACCGTTCCGAACGAGCCTTGATCGTTTTGCGAATCTGTTTCTTCCAATGCTTCATCGGAGTCAGTGCCTTCATCGGAGTCTGCGGGTCCATTGTTCTGTGCAGGCCCACGATCCTCTTCTCCGTCTCGCTCAGCGACGCTTTGACCGGGCCCATGGTTGCCCTCTGACACCGACTGCTGGATGTAATCGTCCGAACCAGTGTCCTCCTCTGAATCTTCCAGCTGGGTGCTCACTTCGACGTGAGTCAGCCCCTGTGAGCTCTCCTGTCCTCCTTCCGAGTCGTGATGTCCTCTGAATCTGACAGGTCGGCGTCGCCTTCGAAAAAAATCATCGTCCTCTGAGATCCCAGAGTCGGTCTCGTCCCACCATCGCCGATCCCGAATGTCTTGCTTCAAAAGATCGATGTTTGTTAACAGCTCGTAAACTTCTTCCAGCTCCAGGGTTGCACGAGCTCGGGAAAGGAGCATTTGATCGAGATACGCGAGAAGGGCCTCGCCGCGCTCGACTGTGGACTGAGGGCAGCAGCACGCCATGTTGACGCGCTGGCGGTTGTGTTGAAAGGTACGCCTGAGGAACAAGTCAGGATACTGGAATAGACGGGATTTGGTGGAAAGACATAAGTCAAACGGCAAAACTCGAATCTCGACGACGTGTGAGATGGGGAGGGGAATGGGGAGAGGCCGATGGTGTCTGTCACTTCCTTTGTCAACAAACAGCGACATCACATGACCACCACTTAACTTCTGCCTAGCCGGGAAGCAGCATAAACTTAAGTAAAATCGATCACAATCAGGATTGGCATTAACATGGCAGTACAGTCGAAACTGACACATATTTTCCTCAAGCCGTCCTCGTCCATGAAGCCTTGCCCGACCTGTCCCCAGGTGCTCACTCTGCAGACTCTTTCTTTAAAAGACTTCAACAACCTAAATCACCCTTATTCGTTCTATGATCTCATATGGCTTCTTTCTCTGACACCATGATCGATAGATTTTCAGGTGACCTTAAACCGGAACTCATGTGAAACTGTTGTTTCAAAGATTTAGCGGCCACGAGTGAAGGCTCAAACCCAGAGGCAGGGACAACAGCCTGAAAATGTCAATACAATATGCCTGCGTGGTGAATGGATCAACGAACACCTTGCGACTTCTCTATACGAGATGCCAGCCTTTGATTAGACTTGTCAAAAATAAAAGAAATAGTCCTTTGCTAACGAGAATCTCAGAGAGCATGATGCTCTTTTGAATATCAACTTCATTTCTAAATGTTTACTCCACCACCGTCTTGAGTTAACATACGAGTGAGTTGGAATAAGCCTCAACATTGTTAATTTCACACGGAAACTATTTATCGAAAGAGATATGGCGAGGAAAGATCAGACTCTCTCGATCTAGATATGAGCCTCTATCCTCAGTAAGTTACTAGTACCACTTGTGCACAGTACTAGTAGTGAGTTAGCCGCCTCTAGAGCCTCGTTTCCGTGTTTGATAGGCCAACGTCAAGCCCTCAGAGCTGCCGGAACATCCAATATTGGTGATACCTAGTAGATGCATGGAACACCTGAAGCAAACATCCCAGCCCCGACGAAGCACCCTCCTGAGGATCACTTGCGGTTGGGCAGTCAGCTGAGATGAGGGATCCCAGCGAAGGAGATCTCATCTGCTCTCTCTTCCATCATTCATTCAAGGAGACCTTAGTATCACGCACCTCGTTTCACGAGCTGCACATTATTTGGTCGAGGGTCTCGGACCGGTTGCTGAAGATCAGTAAGGTACCCAGCAACTGGATTACTGCATAAAATCATGAACTCAACTACATCATTTGACGAGTCTCACACTTTGGGCTCTCAACTTGGCCAAAATAAAGGCAAAATAGAATTCCACAACCATCCTGGTAAGCTCAAAATCCAAGCTGAAGACCCGCACCGTAATGCCGTTCCTGATCGGCCGATTCTTACATTTGGGCCTTCGAACTTGCCGAGGGAAGACTAATTCTCTGAGCTGAGGTCGAGCAGGTATATGAGGTATGATGAAACACACTAAACTCTGGAAATCACCACCCTCAATGGTAGGTGGCTGGCATGGTTAAGATGGGTAATTTGTCGTTCGAGTATGGTACATATTAACATTTCAACTTTAGCTAGCGACTAGCCTTTAGGAAGGGGTCGAGCTTCCCACAAATTCAAATTATTTTTACTTCTCACTGTCACTACAATTAGACACAGGCCTAGTAGAGAAAAGACCAACTTCCAATATTGTGATTTCATTCTGCTCAAGCTATACGAGTCGAAGAAGATGGCAGGTTCTCCAGCCAATTTTCCGGACGCCACACAGCTGTTAATTGAGCTGGAGCTTAACTGGAATTTTCTCTGTTCTCTTTTCAAGCTGAAACACGACAAATTCCATCATATCTCTGCAGAAGAATCCTCAGAATTGTTGCTCTGCAGCCGACTTAGGGCATGGATTGCCACGAGGTTCCCAATCTAGTAAGCGCGGACGGAATTAGCGCCGGAGAATAGATAATCTTTATAATCACTCCGATCTCTCCGCGGACTTTTGACAGGCTTGACAGGCTCCGATGAGGCCTCTCCTTGCTCCGGAGACACACGGATTGTTCGTGGCTCCGGACTGGTTACCCTTAATTCTCACGGGGACTCATCTATAAATATGTGCCATTCGGTGCATCAAGGTAACCCTACGATAGAAACCATCCGCGCTCTCCAACAGAACAAAAGGTTTCTTTTCCGTTTATAGCTTCTAAACCAATCGACACTTAAGTCAATCCGCAAGCTCACCATGAACTCCTACACCTTCAACATTGCCCTAAACGGGGCGGTCCACGCACGCATTTCCGACCCGACAACCCCTCAAAACAAACCCCTTCTCGTCTTCCTGCACTACTGGGGCGGCTCATCCTCGACATGGTACAAGCTCACATTCCCCGACTCCGCGACATCTCTGAGCGACAAATACACCATGGTGGCAATTGACCTACGCGGTTGGGGCCAGTCAACCGGACCGCTCGACGGAGCCGACGAAAGCCAGTACTCCATCGGCCCAATGGCGTCGGATGTGGCCGGACTCTTACAGCACTTGCATGCCAACAATGACACCCGGCACCTTTTCGCGCACGGCGTGGTGCTAACAGGCCACTCGATGGGCGCCAAAGTCGCCCTGGCCACCTTAACACTCCTTCGTACCCACCTCCTAGACCTCGTCAAGGGCCTGGTGCTCATCGCCCCGGCACCGCCGACGGCTCTGCACTTGCCGTCCCATATGAAGGAGCAGCAGAAGGTGGCATACGAAACAAAAGAGTCAATCACGTGGTCAGTGGAAAATGTACTCGGGCATTTGGACCGATTGAGCAAGGAGGACATGAAAATGATTGTTCGGGACAGCCTGGGCGGAAACCCACTGGCGAAGATGGCATGGCCGCTTGTGGGCATGGCGGAGGATATAACAGCCGATCTGAAGAAGGTCTTGTTATTTAGCGGCCGACTCCAGGGATTACGGGTGAGGATCTTGGTAGGCGAAGTCGATCCGGTCGAGACAAAGGAGCGAGTTGACCAGGAAGTCGCTTCTTTTCTTGCGGCTCGTGGCCTTGATGTCTCTGTCAAGGTTGTTCCTGGCGCTAGACATTTGATCCCCTTGGAAGCGCCGGAGGCTGTTCAACGCGAATTGCTGGAATTCTGATCTGGACTGAATGTGGTGTAGAGTAGGCCTTGCATAGGTAGTGCTTGGCAGGGAGTGTATTTCGGGGAGCTTAGGCTTTTGCTTTCTTTGTTCGAGCCATATATCTTACTCTTGTCTGTTTCACCCACACAAAGCTTTCACACCCTGTAGACTTGGAACACACACATCGGATCATTAAGTCAAAGCGGTTATGAAAGAAAGAAGCCACTGGTGAAGTTGCTTTTAGTCTCACCATATTGTACCATCATAGTCTGCTAAATCAACTTAACTGTGGCATACACCTGTCCGGACTCCTTGAAGTCATTACGCAACACCTGTAGCACGCTAGGTAATACCTGGAATTATAACGTGCATATTGTTCTCTGAAGAAGTGATCCCAACCAGTAGTACTTGTAACTGTTCGAAAATTCCGGAGTTTAATTCTTCTACCCGTGCCAAAACCAATTGAGCAAACCGAGAATTTGAAACCCTTGAATATGAAGCAATGACGACGATCAGGCTTATTCGTGGCGTTCTTGAATGCGTCTACAATCTTCTCCACCTGCTCGTGCAGTCGGTATACTCTGTTCATTCAGAATCACAACGCGATTGGTGTAACAAAGATTTTGGTTGCCCGCTAAGGCCAGAGTGACGGCATGCCCAACAAAGAATATACGGCCTGTCCCCCGCTAATGAAAATAAGCCTGATCAGTTGCTAAATCAATCCCACTCTCGTCTCTAAGACATGCCTTGTATTCTACAAATGAATGGAAAAGGAGATGCCAAGAGTGATCCTGGTTCTTTCCTTGGAGAGACATCCGACAAAGGAAGTTCGCATACACAGTTACAGAAATAGCCACCAAGAAGCGGCAACAAACAACAAAGAAAGCTGGTATCAAATTCATTCGTATACACAACAATTATACCAAAGATTTTAAGCGTTGTGCATACATGTCTCGACCAATGCTCTATTTAAGAGGTCATCTCCGCCTATTTCTTTCTGTTGTTCAATCTGTCTGCCTACATCCTCAGCTCGATAGAATTAATTGAACGCCTAATGCTGCCTTGAACGTCACTTTGAATTAGCAAAAGCACAACCCAGCACGTACAAAAGCCAAGAAGCATCTATTCACCTACTTGCCGAAGACCTCCGATAATGCCACCACTACCATACCAAAGCTCGTCCAAGTCAGCACGAAGCTCATTGAGGGCGACACGAAACTCATCCTCGCCGGCACGGGGCGTCGTCAAGCCAAGTGTTGTTGTCAAGCCGCGAAGACGGTCGTCCACGTCGCGACAATGCCGCAGCTCAAGAGACATCGGGTCTATTATGTCGCCTAAGCATCCCGAGTCACCCAAGGTCATCGTTGAGCCACTCGAGCCCTTTATCGAGCCACCCGAGCTTTCGCAAACTGTCAAAAACCTCGACGATCTACCAGATGCGTCAGATGTGCCAGACGATCCCAATGACCCGAATATCTCAGATATCTCAGATGTCCCAATTTTCCCAGCTTTCCCAAGTCCTCTCGAGTCCTTACAACATAGACCCACGAGTCGTGACAATAACAGGCCATTGCAGCTTGCAGTCTCGCAACCTAGTTATCTCGCCCAGCTCCAGACTGAAAATCCACACAAGACTTTGGTGAGACTCGACATCGACAGCCCCAAGATAAAATGGAAGTTGGCAATCAAGGAGCTCCTTCGCCGTTGCGAAGAGCTGCGCAAGGTCTACCCCAGCATCACGCCCATCGGTGCGGGCATCACCGACCTCCGCCGGCGCCGAATCGCACTGTTCAGCGAGCACGCTGCCGCTCATGAAGCCCCCGATTCCAGTGCGGAGAAGCCCACAACGTTCATCCGTTTTCAGCGCGATGGAAAGGACACATTCGCTGAATCCGACGACAAGGACGCGATCCTCGAATGGGTTTCTGCCATCCCCGAGAATCAGCCTCCGCTGTCCGTGCAGACCAATGGGACCCTACGCCCTGCTGGAAGCACATGGTCGATGAGTGTCAGAGCGGGGCCGGGTAGGATGAGTGTAGGGTCCGGCATCTTCTATTCGGGCTTCTTTGCGGATTTGCCTTTCAGCGTGCGGGGGCAATTCACATATTCGAAAGGCCAGGAAGATTCATTTTTGGCAGATTTTTCTCTGGGAGAAGCAATGTTCGGGGACCAGCAAGGATCAGTCTCCTGGGGGTCTGAAACTGGAACAACACGCTTTCGTAGCCCTTTAACATCACTGTTTTATGCTTTTGGAGGACGATTGTTCCGTAATCTCTCACAAGGGCCACGATGACCTCTGCTCACGGGTTAATTACATGTTTGTGTTTCGCTTTTGGCTTTGTTTGCGCGGAAGATGTATAGCACGGGAACGAGATCAGAAAACAAGATTTTCGAAACCCGAGATTGATTTTTTGATGTTCAGTTATTGAATGTATTCTGTATGAGACGTGCCACAAAAGCTATGCTCGGTGCATTACTCACCTTTTAGAAGCACCATTCTTGAAAATGTTTGTTGGACTCCTGACCTACACACGCTAGTTGATAGAATCAAGCTTTCGTTCCAGAGTAAGATTATACGTTAACTCTCTAGTCTAACAGACACTGTATACGAGTATGTTATGCAAATCTCTCTTGGCGTAGTTTGGTGGTGACATTCCCGTCACAGGGCGCGATTCACTAAACTCCATACCCTTGTAATGTTTTGGCTACTAGTACTAGTTTAGACAATACACAGTGATGCAGTAGTTAAAACTGGGTATACTTGCAGAGGGAGTTTTAGTGAGCTTAAGCAACGTACTTATGTGGAGGTTGTGGTCGAGAGATGCACTCACTACAAAATGCATCACTTTACTGAACTGTATCAAGCCTTCCGTATATGTAAGTGCTATTGTGTATTATTAAGAATAATCTTCATAGACTTCAATGAAGACATATCACCAAAGCACGAAATATTGCATGTCTGTAAAGGCATCAATGCTGGACCTTAGTTGCAGCCCACAACAACCCAGCTCGCCTTCGTCGCATTGACTGGCATACGTTGAGGAATAATTATACAAAGATCAATTGTAGTTCCTTGTCTACGATAACAAGGCTACGTACTGGCAAGGTCCGTGATAGTATGATCTGTTATCTTTGGCAAGTCGCTTTGATGTGTGGACGGAGATTCCCGCAAAGAGCTTGACAAGGAATAAACACGATAAAGACATGCAACGAAGTCCTCTTAATCAGACACGAGATCCCTTTCGGCTCAATCATGCAAGTCTCTACATTGTATACTCAGACCAAGCCTATAAATACGTCTTCATCTACCCACCACCCCAGGACTATCTACAGTCACCAACAATCATAACCTCACAGCTTTCATCTCATCACACATTGACTATCCCCCTGCAATCTCAAGCACAGGACAACTATTAAAAATGATTTTTAAATCCCCAATGACCATCATGCCAGAGTACATTACCAGGGGCGTGCGATTTCATGCAAATATGCAGGAGGTAAAAGGGACCTGGCCTAGGACTGATACCTTTGTGAAGCTTTCAAGTGAGGCACAGGACCGACTGCTCCTGGTTAACAGCCACAGGCTAGAAGAGGGCGAATGCATCAACTGGAATAGAGCGACGCTGGAGCTCGGAGCCCGGTTTCGGGGCATGCGACACTGGGGTTTCCGACCCCTGGTCAAGCAGTACGGGGGGGTGATCTGCAGCGGCGACGACAAACATATCCGGATGTTCACCGAGTCCACGGAGGACGGCGACCCGATTCCCTTCGAACGGGACGGCAGGGTCGAGTTCTGCGCCGATGAGGACTTTGAGATCATGAGGGAGTGGGCTTTGGGTCTTCCGGCGTGTGAACCCCGATCGCTCCCCGATCCCAAGGATTCTAATTTTGTGCACGACATTCACAATATTGTGGGCTATGAAGCGACACCTCTGCATCTGGGGAAGGACTGCACATACACCCTTTATTCTCAGATGTATCCATTACCGAAAGATGTGCATAAGAACGCGATGTATCGAGTGGAGTGCGAGAAATTGGAAAACATAAATGGGGACTGACCGATTACTACTATCCTGCACTGGGTACGCGGACCATGTCCTGACTCTGATGTTTGTCCCTGTTGCTCTGGGTTATGGGTAACCTTCACAGCGTCTTCGTAGATGAAGAGGAAGGAATTAACCACAAATCAAGAATTCACGCAATTTCACTTCGCATCAACAGCATACAGGCAACGGACAGTCGAATCAAGTAGCACAACAGGAGTATAGTCTCTCCTTCCATTCCCACTATCATCCCGCGAAGGCAACACTTGTCTCCACCACTAAATAGAAACCTTGCTCACAGCGCACCTTTCATCAACCACAATCACGAAGCAAACGTACGCGTTCATTTAACCATGTAAATTAGATAACAGCGCAGAGCGCTCTGGGTACATACTGTTCCCTGAGTCCAGTGCGAATCCGGCTCTAGAACATCCTCGCACATACTGGCTCTCAGGCGAGTAACTCTAAACGGTAATTAGCTCCGAGAGTGACAGGGTTCAGCTTGTTCTTTGAAGACCTCAATTCACCTCCTTAGCAAAGCATTAGTCGGTCTCAATGAACCTGCAGTGCAATCCGAATAGCATTAGTGCACCATCTAAATGACATTGTTCATCGAAATGATTAGTCGCTTGTAACTGTAAGCACTTCAAGTATCCTCCCATCAATAAGCATAGGTGGAGATAGGGCCAACGGTGGACGGCGTACGGCTCGAATCTTCACGAAACCTCCGATCTCCGGACTCTGCCGGGGAGAGAGAGGCCGTGCCCATTGTTGGTGTGAATCATGCGGAGTAAAGCCCGAGGTCTTAAGGTAGAGCCATGTCGCGTAGCCCATCTCTGGCGATTGACGTACGTCATTCTCACCACACCATGTAGCGCGAATGGACCACACAGTGACTGTCTTCGCACGCCGGATCTTTGCTGTTGTTCATCTTCAGTTGAGTGGCTTTCGGATGATATGCACAAAATACAGTAACAGTGACGCTGGTAATCTCTTGACGCGCGTGTTTCCCATGCATCAAGCTGTGCTATGAGGGGGACATGGTGAGAAGAATGGCTTGACATCTACCAATGGTTATATTCTGAAATTGTCTCTCGTTTCATCTTCTTTTCGACCTACCTTTGCAACTGCTGGCTTACATGGCTAACATAGTATTGCCTCTCACCTGGGATGCGTGTGAAAATTTAAACATGTAAGCCTGTAGTGCCGTTCTGAATTACTTTTGAATACTCTGATCCGCTGACTTTGAGACAGCTCGTCAATTAATAGGCAGAGCTCTTATCGCTGATTGTCGATCTACCAGTCGGAGATCTGCATAGAGGCTTGCGTAGGCTCCGGACGAGGACAGGGAACAAAACCTTAGTCATGCTCCCGTAAATGGCGCCCCATCCTTTCGGTATCTTTATAGACTGGCTTTGATTAACATCTTTCGACAAAGCACTCTTGAAGGGCCCCCCACCGTACTCTCCCTACCGTGGTTGCCTGTCTGGCGCCACTCACCTCGGTTGCTCTATACGAGACTATTGTCTAAACCTCCTATGGTGGCGTACAGGGATACCCGTGTTCAACAGCACCAACACCGGGAACTTGACTCACTGGATAGACATTACCGTCTGGAAAGGCATTCCCTTTGCTGCCACCACCGGGGGTCAGAACCGTTGGAAAGCTCCCCAATTAGCCAGTTCGTGGAATGGCACTAGAAGCTAAAGATTGGGGCAACGTCTGTCCTTCTGCGACTTCCAGCGCCGAAGGTTACACCATTGATGAAGACTGCTTGAACCTCAACATCTGGTCTCCGACCAGCACCACCGATGCCAAGCTCCCAGCCGTCATGTGGAGTTATCCCGCGCTCTCGACTGCCGTCGATGCGCTGTTCGATGGGGGTGGGCTGGCCGACAAGGGCATGGTCTTCGTCAGTTACAACTACCGCAGCGGCGCTTTCGGGTGGCTCGCCACGCCCGAGTTGACAGGCGAGCTCATCAATGGCAAGAACAGCTGGGCCAACTGGGACATGGTCGACCAGTTCGCCGCCCTCAAATGGATCAAGGCCAACATTGCCGCTTCGGTGGTGACCCGGACCACATCACGGTCATGGGCCAGTCCGCCGGCTCGGCAGCCATGCAGCACATCCTGAACAGCGAGCTCACGAAGGGACTGATTGATGGTGCCATCCTCGAGTTCGGGGTCCGATATCCCCAGGATCCGCTGTGCACAAGCCTTGCCGAAGCCTATCGCACGTTGGAAGTCACCTACAACACCTCCGCCAGGTTCCTATCCAGCCTGAACGTGACCACGCTGGCTGAGGCCCGCGCACTGCCCATGGAAGCCCTGACCACCAACTTCCTCACCTCCTCATACGACTTCACCGCCACCCTCCATTACTACGCGATGCCCGACACCTACCACAACACGCTGACCAAAAGTTTGGCGCAGGACGTCCCCGTGCTAATCGACAACACGAAGGACGAGAGCGGCGCCACGTACGGCCTGAACCTGAGCCTGTCCGAATACCTCGACGACCTGGACAGCACCTACGCAGGCATCTGAGCAAAGCGCTTCCTGGGCCTGTACCCGGCCACCAACTCCGCCACGGCGTCCGGCGCGTACAATTCGCAGTTCACCGGCCGCACCAAGGTCGGCACCTGGCTCTGGTCGCAGCTCTGGCGCGCTCACTACGAGAGCCCCGTGTGCAACTACTACTGGGACCATGCGCCTCCGGGGAGAATGGCCAGGCCGGCGCCAGCGCCTACCACGAGTCCGAGATGAATTACGTTCTAAACAACCTGTATGCTACCGATAAGCCGTGGACCGACGACGACTATCGCATTGCCGAACGGATGAGCAGCTACCGGGCGAATTCCATCAAGACTGGGGATCCGAATGGCGAGGGGCTCGTTCGCTGGCCCGCTGTCAATCCTTTCGCGTTAGTGCAGCACATAGGAGATGGCTGGGCGAGATTCCTGTAGCGTGGAGCGAGAAAGTTGAGCTGTTTTAGAGGTGGTTGCGACGTTGAAGGTGTTTAATGTTGGGTGATGATCGCTAGGTCGAGTGCGAGAAGCCCTGTGAACTGGGACTAAGGGCACAACTATTCATTCCTGAACGACACCTTATTGTCTCTCTCTCAGCATGCTTCAATTGAAAGAAGGGGTTGGATTTGTCTTTCTGGGTTGGTGGGTTGAGAACAAAGAAAAAACAAAAAGAAGTAGTTAGCATGTCCTGGTTTCGATCCAGGGTCCTCCGGGTTATGAGCCCGGCGCTCTTCCCCTGAGCTAACATGCTTGGTGGATATAATTCTGACTCGACAAGTGCTTTATAGACATTAAACAATTTGACATTGTTAATTGTAACCTTTGCAAACACCATCTAGTTGTCTCACAATCATCCTTTCATAGTCTTGGACTGCTCCTCTTATTTTGCTCCCTAAAGAAACGCGTGCCAAGAAAGGCGGTAAATCAAGAATTTCGTGCCTGGATTTGCTTGGCATCTTCAGACGCCTTTCGCGCAATATATATCGCTCCTACAAGGATAACAAACTTCTGTAATTCTTCTATTCGTTTGCCTCAACGACGCTGGGAACTTCCCAGATAAAAAGAGAAAAGGAAAAAGAAAAAGCGAAAGCTAGAAGCTGTGCTGATAAGCCGACGTCGCGTAATAATAGTAGGGCATGGAGCAAAGTAGAATCCCAGGTGGTTATGATTGCATGACACTGCTATTCGCTTATCAACAGAAATATGAACATTATCACACTCATCAAAGTCCTCCATGTCATTGTTCATGAGGGTGACCTTTGTGGCCATGCAAAAAGGAGTGTTAATAATTCCTATCACCTAAGTAGGAGCAGCATAATGGGCTGTATCGGTTGCAAAGTATTCTGTGATGTCATGTGGGAAGCCACAGCCGCAATTTACTGCTTAATGCAGTAAACAAGGATCATAGATCCACGATACAATCCACTTTGCACAGTGTGTATCTGAATTAGATGCAGGACTATTGGAGCTTGGCTGCAGGACGACTTCTGAGATCGACCAGAAACATGAGTGTGATCAGGGACAGTACACGTGTGACATGTCATAAGCCAAAGGTAGAGGATTTATCTTGTACCCTGTTGCGCTGTCTGACCTCGCTAAGCTTCAATTATCAGCCAAACAAGCATCAGCCCACAGTATGCGAGAAGTCGACTGATTTTATTTGTCGAAGCAGGTCCTTCAATGCTGCGCTGCAGATTTGACCCTGGAGGTAGCGGCAAAGACAGCTTAGACAAGTCACAATAAGCTGCCACTTCTCCGCTACTTGCGGATTATCCATACAAATACTCATGGCGCATAAACAATTCCGAGCTCAAGCATTTACGTACTATGAATCCCTCGAATCAGATGTAGGATAATTGCATGGAACGGCCGGATTTGTTCACCGGTTAGGCTATGGTTAGATTCCTTTGCTCCTCGAACCAGTTGTGCTATCTTCTCCTATACCTACCGCAACAAATCCGACCCCGAGCTCCTGAATGAGATATCAGATCTTGGGAAATGTTTCCAACGGCGCCTCCGCAACTCTGCACCCTAACAATGGACCTATTACCCTATTGCCCCTCCATTCTATGATGCCTGAGGCAGGAGTCTATGTCTGAGACATGACTTCGGGTCTTACAGTCACTACTGGTTAGACAGAACCCGGAGACTATGAGAGATGTCTTACCCAGCCCGGGCCTATAGTGGTATTTACTTCATCAAGTTAGGCTCAACACAATTTGTTTCCATTGTCTTCCATTGTCTTGGTATCCAACCCCAAAAGCCCACAAAGGAAAGGGGCACCTCGGCACCTCTCGGCCCGATGATCACCGATGCAGACACGCTATTCCTAAAGCAGACAGCTCCCACTCTAAATTAAGCACACACGAGACTAAGCCACAAAGAGTAAAATTTTACGATCGGCCCATGAATTTCGCTGCTAGCGTTGGAGATGATCGTCCAGTTCCTGCAACGTAACTCTAATCGAGTCCTTATCGATCACCCCTAATATTCTGTAATGCTCTGACGACGACCCCTCTACAATCGATCCCTCCGTGGATCGAGGTCCCGGACGCAAGAAATATGAACAAAAACAAAGAATTCAATTCAAGGTATCTCAATAACTACTGGAACTCAAAGCGACCGTTGATGTTGAAGAGGCGCTCGGCCAGGTTGACGTCGGCGGTGCGCCAGCCACCCTGCTCGTCGCGGAGCTCAGCGCGGAGGACGGGCACGTTGGCACCGCCCTCGATGTCGAAGTACACCCCGCGGGCAGTCTCGAAAAAGTTGTTGCCGCCCCATTGGAAGTGGCCTGTTGCCAATTGTCAGAAAATGTGGTGAGAGAAAAGACAGAAGAAAGCATACCGTCATTGTTGCCGATGAATTGATCCAGGTCAACCATGGCGGGGCGCTCGCCGCCCTGCTCGTCGCGGAGGAGAGCGTGGAGGCAGGGTCCCTCCAGGCGGATGGAACCGGGGACAGCGGACTCGTGGAAGCTCATCTTGTGTGATAGAAGGTGATGGAGGTTGTTGGAGGGTTTGAGAGGATGGAGGGGATGAAGGAAGAACGTCAACGTCGGTGGCATACGACCTTCCTTTTATAACCTGGCCTCTTCCTCCCCCTCCTATTCCCAGAGGGGTCTGACTCCTGTGTCGGTCAGTCTTGCCCCCGCATTGCTCCCTATCGGGTGGGGATTCGTGTTCGTGACGGTGAAGGGTCAAAGGAGCCACTTCTGGCGAGACAGCCACAGTACCAGGTGGTTTCGGATTGGGAGAGGGGCAAAAATGGGGAGCTGAGAGGCTGAGCACTGCGAGGCGTGGCTGAAGCTGTCCAGAAAAGAAAGCTGAATAGTACCCACTATCAGATCGGGTAAGGCGAAGCGGTCTCGATGGTGGGTCAGGGGGGTGGCAATTACCTAATGGCTATTTGTCGTCTTGTCGACGTGTACTTCCGGGTGTAAACTGTCTACAGTCGATCGTGGTGATTTGAACCGGCGACATCGGGCAGATCAGATGGGTTTGTCTGGTTGTCTTGTCGTGGATGTGATTTGTCGTATCGATGGATGGAATTCGGCGTACACCACCACCCAAGCAATACGGGGAAAGCTTGATCGCACACCTTTGGGCTTATCTAACCTACCAAGACCGGAGTCAAGAGCATTGTGAAGAGTCACCTCAACAAGATTGACCGAGAGCGTGTCCACCGTATCATACGAGCCTAGTTGGGACTGCCCCAAGCACATAGTACATCACATTATCCTTGAACTATGTACCTGCTATCGTCCATCTCCACTCAATTGCGGGGACCATTGTTCCAGTGCTAACTCTGCCGATCGCTTCAGGATCTTTCTCAAAGACAGGCAATTGAGGAGATCGGTGTGTCTACGCATCTCTCAAGCTGCCTGTCTTACCGGGGCATCACAAGTACTAAGCCGATGGCCCGTTACACTCAGTAAAATTGCAATACAACTCACATACTTCGAGGCAGACTGTCCCAGCCACTAACTTTCGCTTGGGAAGACAAATATTGGATTATGCGGATTGTATACGCGTCAACGTCCTACAGAATCAAGGTGTACTGAGTCAATGTCTTCCAAGCCTGACACATATCCATTGCTAACGAACCCCTCCTCCACCACAACCTCAAAACTATGATACTCTCATAGACACCAACTCATCCCAAAGCATAAACCGCACCTGGTTCAATCCCCCATTCCTCTATGCCACACTCTTTGAATCCAAAAACACAGTCCATGCGATGTGACAAGACGCAGACTCACGCCCATCGGCAAGTATCACTCTGCCCCGCGCCGTTATTGACACATCCCCAGCTGCAGCCCGAGACGATACTGATTCCTCCGCCGCTCTCGCAGTGGTACAAGAAATCTCCCTTCTGGTTGACGAAGGACCACCACTCGTTGCCGTACTTCTGCTTGATTGCGCTGTCCATGAGCGCGTTGTACCTGGTGTCTACATTTATCAATGATCAGTAAGCATGTCACGCAGCCTTGAAATAGGGCAAGCCTACCGACGTCGTCCAAGACTCCTGCGCAGTAGTTCATGCCCGGGGTGCAGTCTCTTGCTTGGACGGAGGCCGTCAGAGCCAGGGCGTTGACGATCAAGGTGGTGAGGAGCTTCATGGTTGAATGGGATTGAGGGTTGGGTTGGGAGATATGCTTGGTGTGGATGGAGGAGATGGTTTGGGATAACGAAGAACTGGGATGAATGGCAGGGAGGCAGCGAGGTTATATACCCGGGAGCGAGCGATGGATGAAACTTTCTAAGTGTGTGAATCCTTGATCGAAGCTCTATCTCTGATGTCATGACGAACTAATTCTTGAGCGCACCGATGTTGTCCATCTGATGCAGTCGAGGTCATTTTCGAATCAGATGTGCTCTGTCATGCGCAGGGTTTCTATCGTTTGTCGATAGTCGAATGATCGGCAGTGTGCGTCGTTAATGCTATTGCTATGAGTCTCAAGCTCGGTTTCGACAACGTCGAACATGAATATATCCGAAGCATTTACAGAGATCATAGCAAGCATAAGACTATCAGTGGCGTCTCGGACTCATTGCATAGTCCAGCCTGCAGCACCTCCATGATTTCTCGACGGCTGTCGCGATGGGTGTATGCTGTCTGCCTATCGAGTACTTCGCTCTGTAGATTCTTCGCCGTTCGCTAGCCTTACGCTCGGCGCCCCTTGCTTCGAGCAGACAAGTTTCAATAAACCCGCAAGCGCAGATCAAGCCTCACAAGGGTAATGTTTCGGTGTAGAAGTACCAGAGATTGCTAAGTCGGACAATTTGACGTGCATGGATGCAGGTGACACCGACTTGGCATTACTGACTGTCTCTTGTGTTGCACGACGGGGATATGTTGTAGTGCTGACCATCTATATGCAATTAGAAGTCAGCTCCGCTCATCATTGATTCCCCGGAAAGTATTCGGTCGCTTGCGCGATGGCGGTTGTAAGTGAAGTATCTGACCTCCCCGTTCGCGGTACCGATCGTGGAAACGCAGCAAGTCCTTCTCTCCTCATGAGTTACATCATTTCCTTCGGAAGTCTTGTCTCTCTTGTGTTGCTGTCAGACTTTTCTTGCATTTGACTCCAATATAGAATAACATGAGTGCAAAATCGATGGCATTATCTAGCTAGCATATAGAAAGTGTTTCTCAGGCTGACCGTCAGCACATCATTTCAAACCTACGGAACATCATATGGGTATCATACATAGTCAACAATTTTGAGACAGTATTGTTGTGGCTTGATCATTGTAAAAATTATATTGGTTGTCTGTTTATGGTGGCTTTGATGCTCCGCCGCGGAATACCACCTCATTCGGCGATGCCTCGTTCGTGCCTGTTGACATTGTCTGCTTTTCAGACCTCTCCCCGCTAAGACATAAGATGTCATATACCGCTCATCGAAGCCACTGACAATTTTCATCGTCATTTTGTGTTACATGGCACCCAATCCGTCATTGGTGCCGGATGCCCTGCGAGTGGCCGAGCTCGTAGGGAAAAGGTCATGCATCTGCAGACAATGAAAGGTGGAGAGTCACCGCAACGAAGTCTGAAATCCGGACAGTTGCCATTGTTTGCTGGTGAAATGTTCGATGACCTCCAATGCTGAAGCAAAAACACAATGTTCCCGTGTAGCTTCTCAATTACTAGTAGGCCGATGCCTATTGTATGCCTCACTCATCGTCGCTGTCATACGCCACCAACGGCTGTGCCGAGGCCACCTGCTGAGGCTTCGAGGAAACCGAAGCACGAGCAGCGCCTAGTGCGGCTAGCGTACTACTAGAGAATATGCCGCCCTGCTCGGCCTGCGCACCAGGAATTACCGCCTGTCCGCGCTGCTCCTCAGCTCCCTCAAGTGCAAGCTGCTCTGGCTGGCTATCCTCGGTTTTCTGCAAGCCGACGGCAAAGCGCACCTGATCCGGCTCATCGTAGCCCTCGAGGTCGTAGCTGGTCTTCTGTCTTTTCGCGTTGGCATCCTTGCCCTCGATTTGGGCGATAAACTCGGCCGGCAGAGCGCGGCGAATGGCCTCCGCGGCTTGCTCTTCGATGCGTCGGGCTTCTCGCTTTTGCGCCAAGGGATTGGGATCCTGCGTGGCCCAGCGGACGTTCAGAATTTCGTTGTGGTCGAGACTCTGGTGCGCCATTGCCTCTTTCGCGAATTGGGCCATAGCTTCGGTTTTGTAGGTGACCTGGAACTGTCAGCAACCATAGTAAGAGCGAATGTGGTAAGCCACGTACGAATGCAACACCACGGCTGGTCAGAACTCTGATCCGGTCAATCTCGCCCCATTCCGCGAAATGACGCGCCACTACCTCCCTGTTGTGTACCTGGTCAGCATCCTCATCGAAAAGCACCATAGTTCATCCCTGCAGAGAGCAGGAAGCATTGCCGCGTATTTCGGATAATACTTTTGTGAAAGTGGAAGGGAAAGTTGCTTACTCGATATCGTCACTAGAAGCAAGCTCCAGGTTAGTCAATTGCGCGCGGAAACACTTAAGCCGAAGTGAACAGGAAGTCATACCTGACATGAATTTTGCCAACATAGATCGTCCTGTTCTGACGCAGGAAGCTACCCACACCACCCATGTCATCCCGATAGTCGTTGAATTTCTCGCGCCCGAAAACATCCATCTGAGGAGGAGTGATGTCATGGATCGTCGGTCGGCGATGAAGGTATTCGCAGTCTTGACCACGGTGGCAAAGACCTCGAGCCTGCGAGCAGAAAATGCAGCGAGGTTAGCATGGTGTCTCTGAAGTCCCAGACGAGGAATTTGAAGAATCCTTACGAAATGCAGGCAGATGTGCGCGCCGGGCTGCGCGTCAGCCTTGGTGTACCCTGAATCGCGGGCGAGATTACACCTCGTCTTCGCCGCCGCCTGTGAGTAATCCTCCCGGTCTCCGCCTGCCCATTTGTTGTAGTAGATATTGTAGGTTGTGCCGGACTGGGGCTGGAACTGAGCCTGGATCTCCTTGGCCTTGTCGGCTTCGATCTGGACGCGCGCGGGGCGTCGCTTCTTGCGGATGATGCGTTTCTTAACCACAGCGTCAGGCGGTGGACTCGGGTCTTTCGGCGTAGTGTCAGCGTCAGCCATGGTGGAAGAGATGGGTTGTGGACGGAGATTAGTTGGCGTTGGAGGTTGATTATTGCGGCGACGGGATCAAGCAATGAGTGATAAGAGATGGCGCCCGCGGGTGATGACCAGTCACGTGATACTCGATAGCCCGGATAAACACGTTCGCCGGAGCAATGCCTTGTCAGTCAGGCAGCTTACCAACCCACGGGCCATATGGATGCCATCGAACGTTTCGTAGGCGCCTCAACTTCTCTCCTCAGGGATTAATCGTTTCGTCGACGTCGTCCACCTACACATTGGAGAAACAGCACCGCTAACATTGAAAAAACTTGCGATCTCACCCAAAAAACCACATGATGTTCCCTCAACATCTGATGCGTCGCTGTATGCAGATCTTCAGTGGGATAGATTTTGTTCTACTATCGAGCACACCGTGGTTGAGGAACCCTACGTACGTATGGACATGGATGAAGAATGTTATTCAGGGCCGTCCTCTCACCTTGCGGAATCTATAGTCTCTTTCACGGGAGCCTACCATATGATTGACCCTCTTAGGAGATTTGAATACAAAGCGCGAAGATGTAACTCCCGTCTAATCGAGCTTCTCCGCTGGACGGATTCTTTCGTACCTTGCACCCCGAAGGTTGAACCGTTCAGCTCGGGGCTGGCTTCGTGTCTTATTTGTAGGAACTCAAGCAACCGTATCGGAGATTGCCGTACTATTGTGTAGTTTATCCATAATCCTGAGAGTGAATCGTTCAATAAAAGAGCCCGCATCTGCATCCCCTTGGAGCAAGCCACCAACCCAGAAATAAGACACCTCGGACGGAGACATGAGTAATCGAATTGAGCCTGCGCGGAGTCTCAGACTTGACCCAGCACTGCAACCATGTCCAACGAACTCAGGTCTTGGAACGATATCCTCCGGCGCCGCCGTTTCGCTGACTTCTGGGTCCCCTCTACGACCACGTCGTGCATCCCTGACATTTTCTATGGAATCCAAGAGGCACTGCTAGATGTGGTTCTACATGAATTCCCAGAAGTCGAGTACCTCGCTTTATCGCCTGATCATGTTCTCATCCGGGTCGTCCTGCTCGACCGGGGCCCCGAGTACCAAAGCGGCGAGGATGCCCTTCAGACTCTGTTGAACGGCCATCTCCAGCACCTGATGGTTAAATGGTACGGTGAGTCGGAGCCGCCGGCATCTACGGAGCTGGCGTGGTCCACTGCAACTCTGGCGGAGGGGACGTTTGACTTCGTCCAATTGAGCAATGTTCAGTTCTGGAAGATAGGGTAGAAGCCTGGGCTCTAACGTGATCTCCGCAACCTTCTGCAGGTGACTTCTATCATGAAGATAGTGAGTTGGACTGATTCATGATCCGACAGAAAACAAATTCAGCCGATGAGGCTCTCCATTTTTTCTTATTCCATGTTTTATCTCTTCCTTTCGAAGTATCACGAATCCGAGGGACGTCATAGGACGCGCGTGTATACTACCTTGCCCGTAATCAGAGCGTATCAGAGCTTTACAGTTGAATCAGTCAACTAGACCGAGTCTTAGTTGGTCTAGCTTCTGTCAGACAATGTATAATTGACTCGGTCATCTTCCCTAATTGAGCTCGGTGCGAAAAGCCCTTTTCAACCTTTTCGAATTCGCCAAACCGAATCCTCTTCTACCTAGGGCCTAATTTCGTATGAGAAATCGACAGCAAAGATGCTGGATTTAAAGTCAGTTTTGGAGATCGGATGCTTTTGGTCGATCGAAGCTACTCTGCGCTCGCTAAGGACCAATTGGTGTGGCACAAGAAGAATACTTCAAGGAACAATGTCATGACACGGAATGCAATGGGATTAGAGGGCTTAGTGTCTGATTATTCTGAATAGTCACACATGATATTGCCGAGGACGAAAGACATGATACTAGAACGTGCAACTTGGACTTTCTGTCATCCTTCCTGGGAGGAAGGGAAGGGTGTGTATAACATGAGTTGGATGAAGAAGCTGCCTTTATTGAGGATCGGGGGAACCGAGCTGCCTATATCTATATGACTACGGGAGACGGTAACGCCAAAGGCGTAATTACATACATCGGCGGATGAGGAAGGCACCATGACACTTTCATTCTGCACTAATCTATCAAGAAGAAAAAGAACAATCAAATCAAACTCTTCTCCAAACATTTAAACACGCAAAATAACTTTCCCTCAGCATCAAAACCGAAACAAGCCAAGCAGAAAATCCCGTGTATTATCCAACCAATCTAACTCAGTACTACTAGTCAATCAAGCCCACATCTTCCGGAACTTATCATCGAATTCCGTCTTCAGCGTCTGGAACATCCTGAGAACCCGGAGTAGTTCGTTTCTCTTGAAAGCGGCCACCGCCTGTTTGGTTCTTTGGTCCTGGGCATTCTGATTGTATTCGCTGAAGAAGGTCTCGGGGGCAGTGGCGGGACCGGCACCCTCCTTAATATCATCACCGTCCTGGATCGCATCCTCCCAGCTGTCCGGTACTTCGTCCTCCACACTAGGTCCAGAAGATGTAGATGTGAATTTCCTCCTAGCTGACTTCATCTCCCCAATAGAATCCTTCGCCATCGCAGGCAGCGGCGCCCCATCCGCATCAGCGGTATCATCGCCCCCCTCTTCTTCTTGTAAATCTCCACATCCCATCACTTCCAGACCTGGTACTTCTCCCATTGCTGACTGCGCATGGATCTCGAGGAAACTTCCCAGACTCGCCACGATCGTCGCCAATACCAAGGAGAAATCATTCAGACGAAACCACAAGTCGCCCCTCCGGATCATGTTCTCTGTCTCCAGGGCCCTTTTGTTCCCATGCTTGAAGAAGTCATAGAGGTATGCGTTCTTAAGGATAGCCTCTCCATCGGACTCAACTGGTACGTGAGGGATGACCGATTGTTCTAGCCAGACACCCTGGCGCACGGCCTTGCAGAGGTCTGCAATGTTTTTTGCGGGGTCCGGATTGGAAAGCGCAACAAAGGGCGATGTGATCATGGCTTGGGTGGGAGTCTGTGCTGCCCGTTGCGCGAGGATGGTGTCTCTGGTAATCTCAGAAATTGGAGTGCCGCCGCCTTGTCTCAATTGGGTTAAGGGGAGCCGATTATCTGGTTCATGGAGGTGTTGGTCCACGAAGGTCGCGACGTAGGTGGAGTAAATGTCCAGAGTTTCGCGATTGTGTCCACAGAGAATCCGCGCGGCGTTTCGGGGGAGAGAAGGTAGGACGACGGTGGAGGTAGATTGTTTATGGCGTTGGTAGTGACGCTCAAGCACGGAGGTATGAAGGGGTTGCCGGCCAAAAAGGTGTGCCATGACCACCATCAAGGTGCGGAGGGTTCGGCCCGGATTTTCATCGATGTGATTGCTTAGTTTGTGGAAGTAGCCTGCTTTGAGCAGAGCGTGGAGAGCGAAACTGGAGTTTTCCGTGTAGTAGAGATGCGAGATTGCGCCAGCAAAATTAAGTGGAGCACCGGTCCCATCGAGAAGGTGATTGCGTCGCAAGTATTCGATCGAGAAACGTAGATGATGAAGCACCGTGTGTTTCGACTCTGGACCGCCAAGGTAGATTCGTGGGCTGGAGAGAATGGAATCTATGGCATTTTTCGCGAATGGAGCCTGCCCCGACTCGTGGAGTAGGATGCACAGGCGCAGGACCAAGCTGGTGGTAATGGGAAAGTGCCCATTAAGGCCAGGAAGCTTCGAGCTCATGAGGCGACGTATCTTTAGGTCAGGGATAGCCTGAAAGACAACATTACCTAAGTAATCAAACCCTCGCCGGCCCGCTCGTCCAGCAGATTGTCGGAAGTTAAGAGCTGTGAGAAAGACAGAATCCCCTGAAAATACGACTGTCTTGCATGGCATGTTGACGCCTAACGCCAAAGTTCCAGTCGCTATAACCACGCGCAGGTACCCCTTCCTGAACAGTATTTCACACACCTTGCGGTACGCGCGATTCATGCCGGCATGGTGAATTCCTATCCCACGTCTCAAAGCGTCAATGAAGTTATGGGGTACACCGAAGCGCTTCAACTCTGTGGCATATTCCGCGAAGGCCGATCTAGATAACTTCTTTTCATCGGCGAGAGAGAACATGGGAACCGGCGCATGTGGGTCAAATGACGCATATCGATTCGGTTCCTCAGAGGCCGCTTCTCGCGTTTGTTCTGCTCGTGACATATTCATCGTATTGACACTTGTGGCTCTTGTCGCACGCTTTGAGCTAGATCTTTTCCAGTTTTCCCAGCCAGCCAGCTTCTTGGCCCAGTCTCTACTGGAGCCTTTCCACGCTTCTTCAGCTTCTTGCAATTGGATAAGAACATGCATGCAGATCTTCTCGCACCAACCCCGGTCATAATTGAAAAAGAGTGCTGGAAGAGCGTCTTGCTCAGAAAGGGCGCATATGAGCGGTAGTGTTGTCTCTAGCAGGCCGTCCCAGCCAACGGATGTCGATATACCACGGTCTGCAAATGAGGAGCACTGGCTGATGGCTGTGTTTTTGCTTCGAGCACTTTCTGATAGCTCTTTTACCACAGTGTCGAACGGCGAGTCATAGTCGGCCATCCATGTTCCAAGAACGGTTTTTAGTTTAGCCTCAAAAGAGGAAACGTCGGCTTTGGTCATAAGTTCTGGCAGCATGGCTGAGGGAGAGAGCGAGGGGTCAAGAGGAAAATTATTTGTTTGATGCTTGTCCATGGCTTGCCAGAGCGTCAAGCAGTCGCGCGGCTCAAGAGAAAGATCTTCCGGAATACCCCTGGAGCGGTCAACGAGACCCGTAACTGGATGAATAAAAGCCATAGCGGGACAGTCGTCAAGACCAAGCGACCTGCTATTGATGGGTTTCGAAAAGCCATCGAAATGAAACTTGCTTGGTGGATGATAAGTGTACTTCCTCAAGTCCGACCAGCGAGTCTTGTGCTCGACCGTTTTCAAGTCAAGACCATTGGCCCTTTGAGTCATGCTCAACCAACTACTAAACTCCTCCGGATTCCCAACGGTAGCTGAGAGCGCAATTATTGGACATTGTGCAAGGAGAAGTAATTGTTCCCAGACCACGCCGTCGTCGGCTTGACCTATACAATGCACCTCGTCGAAAATGATCCGCTTCACCCGCGAGGACCATGAGTTTGCATGTCCTGGTGCGAGTAGCATGATCTGTAGAATGTGGGGTACAGTGATAAGTACTTGGCATTTTGTCGGGTTGTTGATCCGAGTATCACGAGTATGAATGGCCCAAACAGACTTCCCAGCGTGTTTGTAGTTCTTGGTGAACCGAGCCTCAATCTCAGCGGCGACTTGATTGACAAGGGCTTTTGTAGGTGCCACATATACGAGGACATCGTCATCGCTGTTTTGGAGAATCTGCTTGATCGCGTAGAATCTGGGTACATGTCAGACGGGCTCTTTAAAAAAAATTGGAATCTCACTCACGATATGAACGTTTTCCCTGCACTTGTGGGAGCAACCACAAAAAGACTTGCTCGGGCGTCTATCTGATCCAGGATGTCTCTTTGCCATCGATCAGGTTCAAATCCCCTTACCCTGGAATCCGGTGCTGAATCCATGTTGCGGTCGAGGAACGGTCCTGCGTGTAAAAGCTGAAACTCGCGGGGTGACAGGCCTGTGCGTAAGTTCTCACTTTTGACTCCTCGCAATGCAAATTCAAATGAGAGAGGGCGATTGTCGTGAGGTGTTAGCTTGACATTTGGAAGCCCCAAAGCCGTTGAAGTGTTCAGCATGCAACGAGCAATGTCTTGTGTGATACCCACTTGCGCCTTGGCAATTTGGAGTATATTGTGCCATATGAGGGCCACTACCGCCATAGCTTGAGCTTTCTCACCGCCAGAGCATCGCTCGCGCCAGAGACGAATCAAAGTGCTGATCAAGTACGTTAGTACTTCAGCTTCAACAAGACCTCTCTTCTCTTCCGATAAGTCCTCAAGATAGGCTTTCGCCTTCACATATCGCTTGTCATGACTTGGCTCCTTGTCAAGGATCCTGCGCTGTGTCTGCCACTTCTCTGCTTGCCTTTCAAGAAGTTTCTCTTGCTTTTCTGACAGCTGAGCTGATGGATGAAGTGCTGTTGGGCGATCAGTCTTCCCGTGGTTGTTTGCAGGTTTCGGTTTCGCTTCATTCTTAGATTTGAGCACAACGCTCTCACGTTGCAGAATCCCACCGGTCGCATTTGTGAGACTAATGGCATACTGCGTTATATCCCTCATAAAGCGTTGATCACGACGCTGCTCCCTCCACGACATTGGGGCAGGTCGCTTTGGGTCCAAGTCCCGCTGAGAATGCCAATGTTTTCGTTCTTCAAAGGGTATAGACATTGAGAAACTTGAGTTCGCAGCAGCAGAAGATAGAATCTTCAGGGAGATGGGGCTCAGATGTCTATCAAAAACAGGGTTACTGAAAGTCATGACAGAGCCTGACATACTTGAGGAGTCTTTGGAATCCGAATGTGCTGCGCTTTGCTTGTGGTCCTGGTCCTGGCAGTATTTTGCAACGACACTGTTTCCTGGGGAAATGTAAACCAATATCTCTGCTTGACAGATGCCGTTGAGTACTGATACGAGCAAGTTATATCTCTTCGTTACCCCGTGGTTGTTCAACATTGCCATTGTTGATTCTCGGCTCCTATTTAAGATCGCAGAAAGGATTCTCCCGTCAATCATATCTGCCAAATCACACACAATCTCCTCATTCGAGAAGACTTCTTGCCACAAGGGAGATTGCAGAATGGTGAGCGCGAGGTCATTGTACAATTCCAGATAAGCTATCGACACAGGGAGAGGAATGTCGGAACGACAAGGGCGATCGCAGAGATGGCAGTCGCGCAGAATGACTGCATGCAGTAATAAAGCATGCATTGCGTCTGTGTCCTGCCCACTTTGGTGGCCCGAGTCCCATGCAGCACTCAGAGTGAGGATTGAAACCCATTCACGCTGAGTCAACTCCGTGGTAGGGACCTTTAGGTAAGTCTTCTGGAAGCCTGTCCTGACTTGCTCGCTTAGCTGGCATGTCGTAACCTCATCGCGTTGACCGAGGCCAAGAGCCGATAGCATGCCGAGACTCATCTCAGTCGCCCCGATCGCGTTGCTCCTCGAGCTCGCCTGGATTGTCTCATTCAACACAGACTTCAAATTCAAATCATTCATGTCGCCTGATAATTTTTGTCTAGGCATCAGCAAGCCCTCGAAGACTGTGGAAATGACCTGCTCGTGTCAGTAAACGCACTCGGATGCTGAAGATTACAAGCTCAAGTTACCTTGGTGTCCCGGAATTCGAGACTATTGATGAGGGAGATAGTGTAGCCATGAACTAGGGACCAATTCATGAAACTTCGAAACTGGGCAGCACTGGCCGCGGCGGCATTGTTCCCCTTGACCCCGGTTTCCGGTCGTGTAACATGAGGTATCTCGTCGTCCTCCCACACAGAATCGTCATCCTGCTCATCAGACACATAGAGGTCTTCAGAACTTTCAGGTCCTTTAACCGGAGATTGGTTGTGCTTCGAAACTTCGCCATCATGGCACATGATGAAGTACGCACGGGATGCGACAAGGTAATCGTAAAACTCCTTGCAGTCATACATCTCAAAGCGACGAATCTGTATGGATGGAATGGCTTTTGGCATGTGCCGAGCCAGGTGCTGAATTATGGTTTCACGAGCCACGCGATACTTCGATCGGTTTCCGGAGCTGGTGTGTGGTGGAATGCATGCTTCCGAATGGGCTGAGAAGAAAACGACATGGAAATGACATTTTCGTTGGTGGAGTTGAGCGAGGAACCTTTCTACAATGTAGGTGGCATGAAGCAGCTGGAATCCAGGGTCAAAGTCCAGCTGGCTGTCGGAGAAGGAGCGACGCAGGAGCGAGTCACCTTCCAAGATGAAGAGCTCGTCCCCAGCGTAGTCTCCGACAAGGTCGATAATCCGTGGGGTTGAGATCTTGTTCCTGTTGAGGTTAGTGGTTAGTTGAGGCTCATACTTAGGAATGAGAAGGACTGGACTTACTGTTCGAAGAGGAAATCCCACTTGGAGTTGCTTGGCAACCCTGGGGGCTTGGACATTTTGATTGACATTATCTAGTTCGTGCAAGAGTATAGTGATAAGCTGAACTTGTCTTGGATACTGAGATTCCCAGAGTCTTCGAGGCAACGAGAAGAGTGACAGCGCCAGATATATGGTACCGGATAGGTGAAGGAAGGCTAAGGGGTGTGTTGGCATGACAGAAAGTCAGCTGACCACAAGGCCTGGCTTGGGAATGGCGATGATGGAGTGTCATGTTCCCTGTTTGTATGGCAGCCTTGGCCAAGTGGGAGAAGCTAAGGGTAGAAATTGACAGGGATTTCCACCCTCATTCGCTATAGCAAGATCTGGTCAGCAGTGCCGGTAGCCTGGAAGTCACCGAGCTTGGAGAAAGAGGTAGCGTTGCCAGCGGTTGCCAACCCACGTCTTGTGAAACAAAAAAAGCAGGAGTAGATACATTATAGAACATACGAAGCTGAATCACTCACCACTCCCTCGTACACAGCTTTTGGTCTCATCAAATAGAGAAGACGGCGAACTAGGTGGGTAAGAGCGTGGCCGACAGACCACTGATAAGCGATAAGGGATAAGTGCATGCCTTATCGATAAGGCAGACTCCACTCCCCCGCTCTTAGTGTCCCCCTGTCCATCCCCAATGAGGTCTAGGCCATCGGCATCCCCATCTCACGTGATCTCAAATTTTAGTCCCCCTCATCACGAACGCGACAACTTTGCATGTATCCAGCGATTCTAGCCACCCACTAGCAGACTACTTGCGGAGTCCACGAACACCCAACACATCAACAAAAATGCCACGAATACCCCTCGCCCCACTTGCCTCCCTCACCCAAACCCGCTATGTCATCCACCTAACGACCGGTAAACGCCTCGTCCTCTTCCGTCTCCCCACCATCGAGCCATCCACCACCTCCCCGCCGCAGAAGAACGAAGCAAACGGATGGTCCTACTACGCCATGGAGGCGGAGTGTCCGCACGCCGGCGGGCCAATGCAGGACTCGTCCATCGACATTGAGGATTCCGCCTACGTGGTCTCCTGCCCGTGGCATGCGTACGACTTCAACGTGGAAACGGGGGAGTCGAGCGTCGGGATCAAGGCGTGCACGTTTGCCGTGGACGTGCGGGGCGCGGTGGAATTTGGGGACCAGGTGATGCTGGAGTACCCTGAGGACGGGGTGGGGCTGGTCAGGCTGGAGCCCGTCAGCGAGAAGATGAAGCTGAAGAGGGAGCCGGGCAAGAGTGACGACGCAATCCAACAGGGGGGCGAAGAGATCGGGACCACAGCCGCCACTGAAACGGTCACGGACGACAACACCGCAACCGCCCCCGTTGGGCCCGCGAAGTATCTCGACGATAAGGCGACGGTCTGCGACTGGTGCGCGCATATCCTCAACACGTCGAACCCCGAGCACAAGATCGAGCTGACAGCGCACCTGTTCGCGATCTTCACGGAGCGCGAAGGTACGAGTACGCAGATGGAGATTGGTGACGGCAGCGGCGTGAACTTGCCGGCTATCCCGCCTCGGGATGGATTGGTCGACATCAAGCCCGGCCAGATGCCCCGCGCCGGACGCGGAGGCACGCAGAAGAGCCGGATCATGATGCTGCACGCGCTGGCGAATATCGAGCAGTGGGCCATCGACCTGGCGGTGGATATCTGCGTGCGGTTTGCGGCCTTTCGGACCAATGCGAACGAATCGCGGGGCCTGCCGCGGGCGTTCTTCCATGACTGGTTGAAGGTCGCAAACGATGAGGCGAAGCATTTCTCGCTGTTGCGGACGCGGCTCGAGGAGATGGGCTCGTATTTTGGGGCGATCCCCGTACATCATGGGCTGTGGGAGTCCGCTACGGCAACGGCGCATGATCTCCGCGCGCGCATCAGTATCATTGCTTTGGTGCATGAAGCGCGTGGATTGGATGTGAATCCGATGACTATTGATAAGTTCCGCAAGGCTGGAGACGCGGAGAGCGTGCAGTCGCTAGAGATTATTCACAACGATGAGATTACGCATGTGACGACGGGCCATCGGTGGTTGACGTGGATTTGCGGGCAGGAGCAGACGGACCCGGTACAGGTCTTCCGGGCCAATGTGCAGCAGTATTGGGTCGGGGCGTTGCGCGAGCCGTTCAATACCGAGGCGCGCATGCAGGCAGGCTTGGATGAGCGGTACTACGGCAACTTAGTTGGATATGGCAGAGCTTAGGTGGTCTGTATAGCACGAGGCTGACAGTTTTGTCCCTCAATCTCCTTCTTACCACACGCACAGATGGCTCGACGCCCATGATGGCATAAATCAATCTGTCCATACCAGATAAAACTCCAGCAAACACGCACGCGACCGTCAACATTGCTTGACCACGCCAGCAGGAAGAGTCCTCCGACTCACGCTGCAAGGGTCTACCAAAGCAGGAAGCGCAATCGCGTCAGATGTGCTCATCCGCGCCACCAACTGCCTGCAAAGCGAAGCAACGCAGCTCAATTAGCATAAACCGTGTACATACATAGCATACCCAATTTAGCATAAAGCAACCACCACAACAGTCACAAATCGCATCCCACATCCCACATTCCACCTGTAGATCCCCGCAATCAGCTCTGTCTCCACACATACCCCGACTCGGAATGGGGCAGCAGCCGCCCGGTAGTTCCCGCAGCATCACCACCGCCAACCTCCGCCTCCTCAACGCCGCCCTCCTCTATCTCCCGATCCCGTATCGGCTCATACTCGTTCCTCTGCTGTTGCGCAGCATCATCATGCTTCGCATCCCAGTTTGCCCCCATCCCTCTCACCCTGAAGAACCAGAACGCGACCTACAGCCGTTTAGCATCGCACCCCATTCCACTCCACAAAGCACAATCCAAGCAGATCATAACCTCCCGACGCCATGCTAAGAGAAAGGAAGAACATACCTTCAAGCCTCCCATAAGAACTACCACCACGACAACCATCCAAAGCACCCCAATTTCCTCCGCCCGCCACGGCCCCAGACATGGCCGGGTATACCCCATCTGCACAGCGCAGGCCTTATCGTCGTGGGTGCGGTCCTTGAACGGCCAAGCGCGGTCGTGGATGCTTCGCAGGCCGCAGCATTGCAGGCGGTCCTGGATGGTGCGGATGGCGGGCGCGTTGCGGGCGTGGAAGAAGGCTTGCCAGGTTTGGTCGAGGGTGCAGGCGTTAATAGGCGAGGAGCGCGAGAGGTAGATGAGGGCGATGGTGAGGAGGAGGGTGGAGAGGACGGTGTGGAGGGTGTTGAGGATCGGGGCGAGGAGGGTGACTTTCGGGCGGGTGGATTTGGCGAGGAAGACGGTTAGCGGTAGGGCGATGAGGGTGAATGGGATGAGGAGGGTGGTCAAGATGGGGAGGCTGAGGGGGACGGGGAGAGAGAAGGTATTCGTTCGCGTCCAGGAGATTCTGTGTTGGTTAGAGTGATGGGTGTTAGGGTGGTGGTGAGGGCGCTTACACTGCGATGACGAAAGCGAGGATGGAGGTCTGGAGGATCAGGTTAGTGAGAGTCTGAAGAAGGACGTGATCAACGTACGATGGTGATGAGAAGGTGGATGAAGAACACAGAGTTGAATTTGATAGGCATGATGATATAGTGACAGTCGGTGATGGCCGAGTGTTGTTGTTGGAGAAGATGGATTAGAAGAGGATGAGGAGGTAGGAGGAAGAAGCGGGGTTGTTCCACACATGGGTTGCCTGATCTTCCATTTCCCATCTTCCATTCCTTCCATTCTCCCTCATCCCTTCAACTTTTCCACTTCTAGCTTCTCCCACCATGTCGTGTTAGCGGTAGTACTATCTACCTATCTATACCGATTGCCTTTTCGACGACACCACCCGCTTTCATCTGCGATCTGGATTATAAGGTAGCACCGTCTGAGTCTGATCATCATTCCAACTCTGAGGCACGCTATCAATTAGGCGCAAGGCACATAAGTATGCCGTCGAAACTGCTTCCATACACAGTCTACTCATCTCGCTCGTATCCTAATATCATAGCTTCGAGTCTACTGCCCTCTTTTGTGACATTGGTCGGATCATGATTTTAACCGGATGAGCTTGGATGTCGCTCACTAGCCGTGTCCAATCTGAACTCGGCTCTTTCCCCTGTGGCGGTTCAACGTCGATCGTGACATCCGACACGACGCGGAACCCACATTGTCGGTACAAAGGCAATGCTATCTCTGTCCCTTCTAGATAAGCCTCCATGCCCAGCTGGTCGATGCGCTCCACGAAATGCTCGAGCAAGAGCCGCGCCGCCCCGTACGACCGGTACGCGGGCAGAACCCAAAGCGCCATCCCACCTATAGAGAAGACATTAATGCTCAGCTTCCATCGCGCGATACATCTTCACATTGATCGTGTGATAGGGTGTTGCCAAGTCGATGCAAGAAGAGGTGGCAAAGGACGGCCGACACTTACACACGAACTTGTCACCCATCAATCTTGCCCGCCACCCCCACAGCTGCCGATACAGCTCCTCCGCCAATATTCTTCTTTCGCTTTCAGGGGGAAACCACTCGGCCTTAGGGGCAGCCGTCTCCTCGTAGGGGTTCGGGCCGCTATCATGAATCTTGTACATTCCACCTGCGACAATGCGGCCGCTGGCTAGGTCGATGCATTTCATCCACACCGTATCGTGTGGGTTGGACTGTGCCTCTTGGAGAAGATGCTGGCTCACCGCGGCTCGGGCTTGCTTCTCGGCGAGGGTCCCAGCACCGAGATGAGCAAATGTGAGCTCGCCCACAGCTTGCAGGGGGCTCAGCCAGGATGCCCAGTAACTGGCAATCAGGTCGTCCCAGTCCTTGCCTGGGTTCAAAGACACCGGACAGATGACCAGGGATGGCATGAACGTAGTCGTTGGTGAGACTGGGATTCTGGGTGGGAGGAAGGCCAAAGATGAACGCGGACGACGACGACGGCGGGAGTGCTGACTTGGTTGTATTTGGTGGTAACTGCATTATGTGATTATGTGGGACACGAGGACTGTTTTCTGCTCATCATCACTTCTTTCGGATAATGCTCTCCAGAACTAGTGCGGTATACATACCCCTGTCACCCTTATCAGGTCAAGCTGAGTCAAGAACCTCTGGCCGGGGGTTCGCCGAGTCTGTCTCAATGGCCTCAGTGTTAACACCCAGACAGGAAATGTGGATGACGAGATTGCTGACAGCGTGCACGTGCATTAACTAGGGTATCTACAAGGGTCGGCCCGCGTCTCAACTCCAGGCCCCACTGCATCAAGAAAGCCCTCACGGGCCTGACGGGAAGTCGGCAATTTCCCTGGTAAAGCCACACTTTCTTAGTGCTTACTCCTCCAAGACGCTTAAGCATTCCTTGCCTCCCCCGCCCTCCCCCCAACACCCACGACGCCCAATCGCGTGGAGGAGATTCAAAGACTAATTGCGACCGATATTTGGACTTATCCTTCGCGCTCAACGCTCCGCCTACACAACACTATGCACTTTGGTGGAGTCGGGAAGAGATGGGGTGCTGGTCGGGTGGCTAACAGTAAGGGAGTCCAGCAGAAGAACCGACCGCTTGGGGATGCGTCGCGCGCGTAGACAGGCAGTGAGCTCGTCCAGGCTGCTTTCGTTGAACAATGACCGGATCACCGGAAGACAGGAGGCCAGAAGGCCCAGAGCCGCTTCAATCATGCTCCACCACAACATGGTGGTCACCGTTTCTGTGCCCGGCAATGATAGCCGCAGTTAGCCAAGGGAAAGGTTCTTGGCAAGAGTGGGGCATGGGATTCTCACGATTGAGATCATATCTGGCATCGTAGCCAATATCATATACAATGAGGTAAATGGCCAGTCTTACGACCGACGCGATCACTGCCCTGGGGGGGGTTGGCACATGTTAGCGGAGACGCAACTAGCAAACCCGGGAATGATTGATACACAAACATACATGAACCCAACACAGAAGACGCCCGTCAGCGCTAATTTCTGACCGGTCCGCATTTGGAGTCTCCAGATCTGCGTTTGGAAACATTAGCAGCCACTCCCAACGGTCCTCGGACCACTTTGGCAAAACGCACAATGGGCAAAGGCAGGAGAAAGATCATCAAGTCCGTAATCAAATCCGAAATCACCAGTGCTGCCTCCGCCGCAAGCGCGTTCCCACACTGGCTTTTGACTTCGTCGAGAGGCGCCCAATGGAGATAGATCTTCTCCTTGCACCCGAACAAAAACAGCAAGAAAAACGCCAGCGTCCAAGCAACTAAGGTGCCAATCAGCACATGGAACACAAAGTCCATGCGAGTGTGTTTGTGGACCAGGAACATGCGCCTATAGAAGAACGTGATGGCCAGTTTGATGAGTCCAAGGGCAGCAATGAGAAACAGTTGGAAATAGAACTCGATCTAGCGTTCAAATCGTTAGGAGACCGGTAAGCGAGTTGAGGGTAACCATACATACCTTGGCCTCCTTCTCATAGGCTGACATATACGTGGCCATTGCGGCGTTAGGATCGCTCCCCGCTGGATATGGCGTGGGATAACCCATAATACCTTGCGCATAACCACAGATGAAACACACTCCCATCCCCACAATCAGGAGCTAGAGCAGGTAATGTCAGTTTCCAAAAGTGTAAACAAAGGAAGAGGCAATTCCTACCGCCGCTGGAATTATACACCAATCATCAACCGACAGGCCGACCTTTTGGCGCAATCTGGTAGCGATGCGCAGTCCAGTAAAAGTCGTGCAGACCACAGGAAGGACAATTCCCGCGGCAAGAACCTCTCCCTCTGATGCAAAGGCAAAAGGCTGCTTGGTCCAGTGGTTATTTGCGCCCATGGTGAAAAACAAAGTTGATAAGAAGCAGCTTCTTCTTGGAGAAGATGATGATGATGGTGAAAATGCAAAGGGAATAGATAAGATGGGCCGGAACTTGTGATCTGGGGCCGAACAACGATGGCTACGTATGAATGTTTATGTATGTGCTTCTCTAATGGTATTTTCCATGTTCACCCTGCACTCAATGAACTGCGCCCCCAATGCTCACACGACACTTGGCGATGCCAAGGAGTTGTCCGGCTAATACAACACCTGCTGAAGGACAAATGTTGGCAACCAGGGTAAGTTCGTTGCGAAGAGCTGTGAGGGGTTGGGGATTGGGAAATGGAGCCTTGCTTAGCGTCATTCAAGCTGCAGCGCGCAGTATTTTAAGGCTCGGGTCTGACTTCTCAGCAGCCTGTTGACTAGACCAGCGCGCGACTATTGAGACCAAGAAGACCAAGATGCAGAACGAAGAGGAACACGGACTACTCTCTACAGTGGAGGAGTGTGATCTCAAGCAGGCACATGCAGCTAAAGCAGGCGGGGGCTTGTGTTCCAGCCTCATTGTTGGTATTAGTGCCAAGTCACGCGCTGTCACCGCTCTAGCCCTGGTCTCGATTGCACTCAATATCTTCTTAGCCGCAGGGCTTGTTCGAAGTCGTGACCCCTTCGGCCACGATGGCGCTGTTTCCACACCTTATGGTAAGCGAGACCCATGTCCCTTAAGTCGGCCTACTGCACTCGTACTAATCGAATGAGAAGCGGAGCTCCAGTGGGAGAAGCCTGATACCTTATGGTGGAAAACCGCCTTCAGCGACGGCGACTCAAACGAAAGTTCGGTGGACGAGCTCTGGGACAATGATATTCCTTGGGAACGAGGTATTATTGCGCTGCGGAAGGATGAAGCGCGGCGAATGGGGCTTCCGGAGTCTCAGCCTTTCCCTTGGGATGTCGAGAAAAGCATATACATCCTGAATGCACATCACATTCTACACTGCGTGGTAAGTTTGATTGCAAGACCCCGCACCGCCCCATCTGCATAGACTGCATTGAGGCTCAGGAGGATAACCTTTCCACCTGTTACGCGCTTCAGCGTAACCTCTTTATCTCACTTCAGGAGTTCCGTGACGGCAGGCCTCAAAGCATTGACTACCCACATCTACTGCACTGCCTCGACAGCATCCGCTTGGAAACAATGTGCACGGCAGATGATACACCGCGATATGTGCCGCTAAATGATGTGCATGGCTTTCGGCCGGGAGATGGCCAGCAACGAATGTGTCGCGATTGGAACAAGCTCGAGGAGTTTGTGCAAGACCATGACCCCTGCTACCGCTACGTTTATCCTGGAGACAGTCACGTCTCCAACCTCGAGAGATTCAAGTTCTGTCCTAATGATTCGCCTTACCTGCCAAGGATACGAGAGCACTTTGGCTATCCGGATGCATGGATGCCGTGGCCCGTCGTGGAGTGAGGGCCTGCAATGCTGGATACTGGGTCTTTTAGGATTGGATGCAAATTCGTGACTTCTTCAGTTCAGTCCAATTTTCTGGACGGCTAGCTAGTGCGAGCAACACAGCGTACAAGAGACAGAACCATGACCTTCTGCACCTAGTGCTCCGCCACCTGCCTCTCCTGCCTGGTTAGATTCCAACACCTGGCCTAGAATTACAAGCAGCAGTTGACAGGCTCCATCACCATAGATTCCTTCTCAAAAACATCGCGTGCGGCTTCCGCTTCAGGTAGAGCAATCGGTGTACCCATGATGGGGGCTGCAAAGAAGAGAGCGAGACACACAGCGAGGAAGCGCATCTCAATTTTAATTAGCCTGCGGTCTCATCGGCTTGGGGACTCAGAACAGGGTACATACTGTGTACAGATTTGTAAGGCAGAGACGTCAAGATTTGATATGGTTCGGCGAAAGCAGAGAGGAATTTTCTGAATCGTTCTGGAGTCGCTTGATGCTGGCAAAGAGGGCGAATCTAACTGACCCTCTTATACTTCAGCAGACACAATACGAAGCACAAAGAGACACCAGAAGTCGGCTAAGACGGCAATTCACAAAAGTATGTCTTTACCTTGGTGGGCAATTGAACAGGGATGGGGTCCGCATCGGCGACATGGGGTCGATCGCCTAGTTCCGTTCTGTTCAGTGCGCTTACACTTGTGCTGACTTTAGGGCAGTGGGGGCTTGTGAGACAATTCTCTACATTCCTTTATCTCTCTTTCGAGCTTTCCTGTTTTGGTCCTCTGTCGGCCCACCTACTGATGCCCTCAGGTGTGTGCACTTTGCTGACGCCCCTTCCCCTCCTACATAGTGAGCTTTTAAACACCCATCCCCCCCCGTCTTCCAACGTCCTCCTCGAGCATCATCTGCCATCCTACCTTGTCAAGCCTTTACTATTCCTACCTCAACAATGTCCCCCAGTCCCGTCGACGTGCTGATCATCGGCGGCGGTCCCGCCGGCCTAACCGCAGCCCTAACACTCTCCCGACAACTGCACACAGCGATCCTCTTCGACAACCACGAGTACCGCAACAAAACCTCCCCCTACATGCACATGATCCCAGGCTGGGACCACAAAGACCCCGCAGAGTTCCGCAGCACCGCCCACGAAGAGATCGCGCGGTACGGGACGGTGCAGCTCGAGAACGTAACCATCACGAAGCTCGAGCAGCTCGACAACAACGACCCCCTCCCGCTCTTCGCCGCAGCCGACGCCAACGGCAACACCTGGACCGGCCGGAAGGTGATCCTGGCCACCGGGTCCAAGGACATCTACCCGGATATCCCAGGATACGCCGAAGCATGGGGGAAGCGGATGTACGTACCACCGTTCTCCATCCACCTTATCCACCCTACCCCCAAAACCTCCAAAGAGATTAACGGAAAAAAGCTACCACTGCCTCTTCTGCAAAGGCCGCGAAGACCACCCCGCAACAAACGCAGGGGTCCTGGCCATCCAAACCGCCGCCAACATCCCAATGGCACTTCACCAAGCCGAGAACGCCGCGCAGCTGGCGACCAACGTAACGATCTACACGCACGGCGCCGAAACGCTCGCAGCCGAGCTGAAAGCCCTGCTAGCTAGCAAGGGAAGCGAGGGGGTATTCCGTGTGGACGCACGGCCGATCGCGCGTCTTGCGCTGCCATCCGAGGAAACGGAACCGAACTCCATCGAACTGCTTTTCGAAGACGGAAGTACCGGCACCGAAACCTTCCTCGTGCATAACCCGCTGACATGTGTGCGGAGCCCGCTGGCCGCGCAGCTGGGCGTGGCGATGGCGTCTAGTCCCCTACCGGAGGTGGCGGACGTCGCGGCGCCGGCGCCGGTGCATCAGACGAGCGTGCGCGGGGTGTTCGCGGCCGGGGACTGTATTACCCCGTATAAGGTGGTCGCTGGGGCGATATCCAGCGGGTGTAATGCGGCGGTGGCGGCGTCGGCGCAGTTGGTTGCGGAGCGGTTTGGGCATCCGGCTTTGTTTTAGTGGAGGGTATTCGCATGGGGTGGACTGTAGTCTATCTACTTAGGTATTGAGAGAGGGGAATAATTGCAGAGGATGCGTAGAGTCAAGTAGTTTTGAATTATGATAAGCAGTCTGTATTCTATACGACCTCAAACTACCATCACCACACTAATACTTGTAGACATATCCCAGACACCCTCCACAACATCCATCAACCCACCCCAGCCCTAGTTTTCACCCTCGCCCGGACCAACATATCCTGGAGGGGTGAATTTGTGGGAGCAAGGCTTATATGCACCTCGCCCCGCTGCCACGATGAGTCGAGGCTGCGGTTGCGACGCCACGCAATGCAGGATAGCTCAGTCACATGCAGATATAACCTTTGCGCATCGGCCACATCGCAGTAAGGGTAATGGTGAATAATGCTGTTTGAGAAGGTATTCGAGAAATGTACAGTTGTTGCACGATTGATACAGAATTTCAATTGAATTGCTAGCTCATGCTTTTATAAAATCATTCATACGCTATAAATAAGAAGATCGTACACATCATGCAGAAACACCGGACTCAACCTTGCCGTTCTTCTGTAGTCAAATGGTTAGTATAGTCCAAAGCACCAAAGACCAGGAGACTTACCAGCTTGCGGCTGTACGAGACACCAAGGTTGCTGCTGCTCTTGGAGTCGTAAGGGAAGGGCGCAGTGTAGTTGAAGGTCGCGGTCAATCCCTTCCAGGTCTTCTTGACCTGGGACAGGATGCCGTGGCCGGCCGATCAGGTACCCTGGGTGAGGGGGACAGGCCAGCCAGCTGCGTAGGTGCTGTAGTGGTTCTCGGAGAGCGGGCCGGGATGGGTTTCGTTCATGTACAAGCTGGTCGTGTCGACTTCGTAGTTGACGTAACCGGTCTTCTCGGCTACCCACTTGAACAGATTGGCACCGCAGTCCCAGCGGCCCAGAGAAGGGAGACCCCAGTTGGCGGACATGGAGGCGATGACGGAGTAGTGCGTGTAGAAGGTATCATCGGTGGTACCGCGCAGGTTCTCCGGCACGGCTCCACCAACCAGGAAGGTGTACACGTTGTTGCCGATCTTGTACGTGCCGGTCTCGTCAAAGGTCAGCATGACAAGTGTGTCCTTGGTAAAGTACTCATTCTCCAGAAGCTTGGAGAGAAAGTTGTAGGTCCAAGCACCGGAGGTCTCGATGTTGGAGTCGTGGCCGTCGTTGGTCATGTTGGGGGTGATGAACATGTACTGCGGCAGACGCTCGTGTTCCAGGTCCTCGTAGAAGGTAGTGAAGTTCTTGATCTGGCGCAGACGGAGGGAGTCCTCCGTCACAGAATCAAACAACACCAGGGGGTTGTGCTTGCGCACATACACGTTGGCGCCACTCTCCGGGTACCGGTAACCCTTGTAGCCGGGGTAGGGAAGACCCTCCTGGTACTCTCCCCAGGCGATGTTCTTTGTATCGAACAAGTCTGCAATGGTAGAGACATTGGCGGGAATATGTTGAAAGGCATCGTTATCCATACCAAAGGTGTCACCAGCGGCCGAGGCACAGTAGTTGGGCTCCGAAGGGTGGGTGATAGCCCAGAAATTACTGAGCAGAACACCCTTCTTAGCCAGCTCAGCCAGATGGATGTTGCCAGCAGCCACATCGTAGTCCTGGCAGAGTCAGTCACGTTCGATGCCGGCTGAAATGTTGAAGCAATAATAGAATCAACTTACGGTGTTCTCCAACCAGATGTTCACAAAACGGTTGAACGAAAGGCCCTTGACATTCGAGACAGGTGAATAGGGCAGCACAGAGGCCTTGGCTGCTGCAATCTCCGCCGCAGAAGGATATTTCTCAGTGTTAGTCTGGGCCAGAGCAAGCGACAGACCGCCAAAGAGGGTCACGAGAGACTGCTTGGTGAACATGATGCCTGGTGAATGCAAGGGGAGAGCAGATGGGTGATTAGATCCGGAATGACTGCGAGTCAGAGGCACACAGAAAGGAAGAGAGCATGCGAGCACCACGATCGTCAGTGGCCTTCATATACTCTCTCGATTTTGCGATGTCGGACGAAATAGTGCCAGCCTATGGGGCGCATGTGTTTACATCTCCGCTGCCGATAGGTATATTCAGGACGAGATAAATGCGTCCATGCGATTGGTCACGTCAAGCTAAGCGAGGACGGTATCATTTCTTGGTCGCCAAGTGATATCTGAAAGATATTAAGAAAGCGGGTTGTTCAGCCGTGGGGAGATGAAGACAGAGGAATGCACGTTGCGATTCACTCGGTGCTGACTGGCCGACGGGAGGATGGAAGCAAAAGTGGGCCTGAGGCCATGCGGAGGGCACGTACCCCCGCCAATTTCAACCATTCCAAGTTGCCTGCAGATTCCTTCCGATCGGACCAGGGCTTAGTGACCTACGACTGCATGTCAGGACTGTTGACGTTCAACCTAAATTGATCCTGCAGGACAGAGGAAAGGTACGTTTGAGAAGAAGAAAGAGGGAAGATAGAGAAGGAAGAAAATGTAACAATATGAACCATGCTATCATTGCTTTCATTATTTGCACAGCAAGAACTGAAAATCTATCATCTATTTAATCATGACCAAGCGATGAAAGACCCTCCCTCTATTTTCTCCTTTAAGCAAAGAACTTGGCCTCGCCCTCCTTGAGCTTGCCAGCACCGACCAGTCTTTGGACCTCCTCGGTGTACACGGCCTTGACGGCAGCACCATCCTTACCAGCAGCAGTAAGGCGGCCAGCCAGACCAGCCAGCTCCTCCGCATCGATCTTGCTGATGACAAGATCGACGTCCGCCAAGACGGAGTCGACCTGGGCCGCGGAAGGAGCGTCGTCGAAGTAGTTGACGTCCTTGACGGAGCCCTTGAGCACACGCTTGTTCTTCTTGGCGGCGTTCTTGGCGGCCTCCTTAGCCTTCTTGTTCTGCTCGCGCTCGGCCTTAGCGGCCTCCTCAGCGTCCTTCTTGCGCTGCTCCTCCTCCTGGCGAGCCTTCTCCTTCTCCTCAAGGAGACGCTTGGCCTCCGCCTCACGCTCGAGACGCTTCTTGTCCTTGTCGGCACGGGCAGCCTTGCGGAACTTCTTGATACGCTCGTCGCCGGCGGCGCAGTCGTCGACAAGGTGGCGGAGACGGGCGGTGTCCTCGGTCTTGCGCTTGCGGCGGGCGTTGGCGTTCTTCTTCTCGACGTGACGCTTCTGGTCACGGCTCTCGTTGTCATCGGGAACATCCTCGTCCAGGTACTCGAAGGTACGCCAGCTGTCGAAGTTGTACCAGAAGTTGTAGAAATTCTCGACCTCCTCCTGGGTGCTGTTCTCGTCGCCCAGCTCGGGGACAGGCTGGATGTTGGAGAAGCGGCCCTCGGAGATGAAGACCTTGCGCCAGAGCTTGTAGAAGTTCTTGGAAGCCTCCTTCTTGCTGGGGGGCTCAACCTCGGCGGCCTCGTCAACGGAGTCGAACTGGCGGCGCTTGACGGGGTCGGAGAGCACCTCGTGGGCCTTCTGGATACACTTGAAGAACTGGTCGTTCTCGTCCCGATCGCCGAGGGCGGCCTTCTTGTCGGGGTGGTGACGGAGGACCTTCTTGCGGTGGGCACGCTTGATCTGCTCGGGGGTGGCGCGCCAGCGGTACTTGGTCAGGCCGAGAACCTGGTAGTGATCTTGACTCTGCGAGAATATTAGTATTAGAAGTGGAAAATGAAGCAAAACGAAAACGTACCTTCCAGTCCTTAGCCTCTCTGGCGAGGAGCATGTTGTCCTCAGGCTCGGAAATCTCGCCAAGGTCATCCTCCTCGGTCTTCTTGACGTTCTGCTGGGCCTGGATTCTCTCATCCTCGGAGAAAGTGCGACCGTGACGCTTCTATAGGAGGTGTAAGCATTCAAGTGTGTCAACTTCAGATGGCATGGAGACGTACTCTGCGGGCGTGGGCCAGGAAGAAAGGACCAACGGCCTCAAGGTTTCTCTGGGTGGCGCCAGAGAGGGTGCCAACGGCCTTGAAGTCCTTCTCGGCGCTCCAGCCGGAGGGCAGGGCGGGGAGAGCAACGTTGAAAGTCTGCACGGAAGTCATGGTGGCAGAGAAGAGTGTCTCGATGGGGGATGGAAGAGACAATAGAAGAGAGGACTCCAACGTTGTGTGTCGGCGGGAGGAAAGGCGAAGATCAGCCTGCTTTTTTATTTTTTTCTGCCCCGACTTGCCGCTCCCCTGCGGGCCAATCACGCCCGGCTTGTTTCGGAGGTCATCGAAAGCCTCAATTCCGCTGAGACATTCACTTGTCAATCGTCAATAGTCTGCCCAGACCACGATAGGATCGGTGTACAGTGTATCTTTACCTTTTTCTCACAGAGATACAGCGTTTGCTCTGCAGTACCTTGTTCATAGCACGACCCTTGCCTCCAGCTCGCAGCCACCTCCGCAAGCGATCCGCAGACCCTCGCTCCAAGAGTTATACAATCCAGCCTATATACTCACAACAGATCACTTAATTCTCCTTCCTATCAAATTACTCACTCGCTCAACATGGCTTCCCAAAGTGTCGTCTCCGCACGCAGTGCCTACCGCCAACTGCTCCGCGCGACCCGCATCGCCTTCCACAGTCCGTGCCCCATCAAACAAACAACCCTCTACTACCAGACAATACTAACTGCAGTATCACTCATAGACGACCTCCGGGTCCTCGTCGCAGCGCGTCAAGAAGCGCGCCGCAACTTCGACAACCACCCTCGCCAGGGCATCGACACACCCATGCAGATCAACCACGCCATCGAAGTGGCCAACATCCTGAAGCACAACATCGTGCAAGGCGTCCGGGAAGAAGGCGACGAGAACGCCAAGTGGGGTGCGTTGTTTCCACCTCCTCTGTACACGCAAACATAAGCATCGCTAACACGTGCCTAGAACTCCGCATCCACGAGGAAATCGAGCGCGGTGATAACGACTCCATCAAGATCGCCGGGAAGAATGTCAAGGTGGACAAGGCCTGCTCGTCATGATCATTACAATGGTTGCTGTACAGACATGAATGTCCTTGGGGCTGGTGAGTAGTGGTGGATGGTTTTGCAAATATCTTGCATTGCGAATTTGTATTATAGTATACCCGAACTTTTTTCTCTCTCCTTTCTGGCGTCTCTTTGGGGTATTTCATGGTTTCGATCGGACATGTAGAAATAGATAAATACATACAGATAAGAAAAAGACAACGCCCGCTCTCAAACATACACCATATGAAAGGTCCCTATGCCCCGGTAACCAATGGAAAAGAAAGTAGTGTTGATAGTGAAGAAGGAAAAGGCTTCAATCGCCGTTTAAACTTGAGTACTGGATGTCGCCGGCACCCGGAGGGGGAGCCACGGCGTAATTGCGGGGTCTTTGTTCCTTGCTGGCGTCGTCTCCGGCCGCCGTGATGGCTCTCCTGCCTCCATCTGCGGAGCGCGCCCCCACGGCTTGTCGACCTTCCCGGGCGTTCTTCAACCGCTCCTCCCGATCCATGTTATCTAGCGGCTTGGGCTTACCCCAGCGAACGCGAAGAGGACATCCCTGGAGGACAGCCTTGCCCTGGCAGTGCTTGGCGGCGGCCTCGGCGCCCTCGCGCGTGGCGAAGTTGACGAACGCGGAGTGAGCGCGGTGGGAGCAGATCAGCGAGCGCAGCGAACCGAACTGGGTGAAAAAGGTGCGCAGCTCATGCTCGGGGAGGTCGTCCTCGACGCCCGTCACAAAGAGCGAAGTGATGTTGGGGTCCGCGGGCGGATGAATATCCTCAGCGGAGGGCGGCACCTGCGCAGCGCTGGGGAACGAGCGTCCGCCGCGCCCACCACCACGCAGGCCTCCCCGTCCACCCCGTCCAGGCAACGGCGTCCCCCTCCGACTCTCGCTGGTGCGAATCGGCCCTGGCCCGTTGCCGTAGCGACTGTGGACGACGGGCGCCGCCCCGCTGGACGCGGCAGCAGCACCCCCTTCTCCGTCTTCGGACGTTTCGATCCGCCGCTGCTTGCGGTAGTACGGCTCGCTGTTGGCGAGGCGTCGCAGCAGCTCGCGCGCCTTCTCGTCGGTCTTCTCGTATTCCTCCACCGCCCCGCGGCCTTCCTCGATCTCCTTCTCGTGGCCCTGCGCGTAGTATTCGCGGTTGATGGTGCTTTCCGGGCCCGGCGCGACCATCTTCAGCGCTGCGTCACGGACGACGATGGGCAGCCCGAAGGACAAATCCAGCATGCAGCACTGGCAGCAGTTCTTGAGTCGGGCGCAGGTGAGGCAGATGGTCGTGCGCTTGGTGCGCGCGGTGCGGTCGGCCTTCCAGCGAAAGATGGTGAACGGACGTGTACACTGGGAGCGTCGTGTTAGTATCGTGAAAACAGGCGTGCGCGCTGAGCAAGTAAAGTGGGACATACTAATTTGCATTCTGCGCCGTGGTCCTCCTTCAGCATCTGTACGTAAGGATTGTCCGGAAGACAGCTCTCGCACACCGAGGGGAAGTCGGTGGTCTCCCATCCGGATCGGTTCAGATCCTGCTTGATCTGTGCAGGAGGCATGGTGGGGTAGGAGGAGCTATCTTTCTAATCAAAGCGTCAAGCTCAGCGGAGGTTGGTAGGTGTGGAGGAGTTGACAACGGCAAACGAGAACTTGGATTATCGATAGTCATGGTGGCTGATTGTGGCTGATAGCGTATGTGGCTGGGCGTGGCGGATATCGTGACATAAGCAAATAGTCACGTGATGCCGACGAACAGGCCCGTCTCGACTCGAGTGAGTGCCTCTATCTTGTTTTAGAGGGGGTGAGCTCTTGTGGAGGTGGGGCAGGATTTGAGCGGTCACAACACGAGAATGCACTGCAACCATCCCCTTAATTCAATTAGCACTGTAACCATGCCCGCCAAGAAGCATCTACGAGCAGATCATGTAGAAGAATCGATGGTGCCTGCCGGGAATACGTTGGAGATACGCGAATACGCAATACGCAGTTTCCGCGGTCAGGAACGAGAAGTCGGCGGGTGAAGATCAAGGCGGAAGATGCCTGGCCCTAAGCCAAACTGGGAAAGGTGTGGCTCTAGTCTCCCGTTCGGCGCCACTTTTTTCCCGGCCAGAACCCCGGAAGACTAGATTAGGTCTAGTTTGTCGCAAGGTGCGTGTTGTGGTTGGCTGGCCAGCGCTGCAGTGGTGATTGGCTGGGGAAGTGTCAAAGTCAGTCGGGTTGGATTCCGCCTCCCCTTTCTTCCCCCGTCCATCGTGTTTGCGTGTTACTGTGGCCTTCCCTTTCAATTCCTCCTCCTCCTCTCTCTCTCTCTCCTACAGTCGTCACCTTCTTCCTGCCTTTCTTTGCTGCCTGTTGGCTTCAATTCCCTTCCATTCAACTGGGTCGTGGATATTTAATCGTCCTCTCTTTCCTTCTTCTTCTTCTGGACAACCCTCTTCAACCGGCTTTCCCCCTTTTTATTCCCCACTACCACTTTTAATTCATTCCCACAATGGCTCCCACCACTTTGGAACAGGAGAATCATGTGCGCGACGCTGAGTTCAACCGTGTCTTGCACGGAAAATCCGCCCAGTCGCAGGGTGGTATCGCTGCTATGCGTGGCAAGGATGCTGCTGCCCAGAAGGCCGCTGTCGACGAGTACTTCAAGCACTGGGATAACAAAGCCGCGGAGGACGAGACGGAGGAGATTCGCGCGGTAAGCACTGTGCAACCGGTGACCGTGACCGCTGACCCAAGCTAATCAATCGCAAACTCAGGCCCGCCGTGCGGAGTATGCGACCTTGACCAGACAGTACGTGGCCCCATTCCAGCTTCGCCTGCCATTGACCACCGACTGACCTGTCCTCGCAGCTACTACAACCTTGCCACCGATTTCTACGAGTATGGCTGGGGTTCGTCCTTCCACTTCTGCCGCTTTGCTCCTGGCGAGCCCTTCCGTCAGGCCATCGCTCGTCACGAACACTACCTGGCCCACACGATGGGCCTCAAGGCCAACATGAAGGTGCTCGATGTCGGCTGCGGCGTCGGCGGTCCCGCCCGCGAGATTGTCAAGTTCTCCGACGCCAACGTCACCGGTCTGAACAACAACGACTATCAGATTGAGCGCGCGACTCGCTACGCTGAGCGTGAGGGCTTGAGCCACAAGCTTAACTTCGTCAAGGGCGACTTCATGCAGATGAAGTTCGAGGACAACACGTTCGACGCCGTCTACGCCATTGAGGCCACCGTGCACGCTCCCGAGCTGGTGGGTGTCTACAAGGAGATCTTCCGCGTGCTGAAGCCCGGCGGTGTCTTCGGTGTGTACGAATGGCTGATGACTGACGCATACGACAACAACGACCCCGAGCACCGCAAGATCCGCCTCGGTATCGAGCAGGGTGACGGTATCTCCAACATGGTCAAGGTCTCCGAGGGTCTCCAGGCTATCAAGGACGCCGGCTTTGAACTCCTCCACAACGAAGACTTGGCCGACCGCCCTGACTCCATCCCCTGGTACTACCCTCTGGCCGGATCCTTCAAGCACATGGGCTCCATCTGGGACTTCTTCACCATTGCGCGCATGACCTGGTGGGGCCGTGGCCTGGCCCACCGCTTTGTGGGTGCCTTGGAGAAGGTCGGATTCGCCCCTGTGGGCTCCCAGAAGACCGCCGACAGCCTGGCTCTGGCCGGTGACTGCCTAGTGGCGGGTGGTGAGAAGAAGCTCTTCACTCCGATGTACCTGATGGTTGCTCGCAAGCCCGAGTAGACGGTCTCGGTTATGTGATATCACGTCTGTACAAAAATGTTTTGTGTTTTGACAGCATCCCACACGCGCATTCATAGACAGTGGCGGCGGTCTATGTTCTTTAATATCCGGGTGTTTTTCCATTTGTTCTCTTTCCTTCTCTGAGTGTTATATTACTGCATACCGCCGTGGGATGTTTGTTTTATGTCATGTCCGTTGGGGGCAGTGTACGTATCATTGCTGAGTATGTGCTCATGGATGATGATTTGGTTAGGTTATAGTTAATAGCGGTTACGACATTGTTTAGATTTGTAAGGTTTCTGAGCGTAGTGATCTCTTCACTTAACAATCTCAATCTCCAAGCTCTGGCCTGTAGTGTAAGGTGACCAATACTTCACGTTCCTCAAGCTATACCCCAGTCCATACAGTCTACACCAACCTCTCCAAATCAAATGCCACAACAACCACCTGTCTCCCCACCGCATCCCTCCTAAGCATCAACACCGACAAAATCCCGCCCGCTTCCAAAGCAGGCTCATCCACCAATGGCTCACCGTCAAATCCCATTCCACGCCAAACCACCTCCAGCCCACGCTCCCTCGCCCACCGCGCCACCACCACCTCCCCAGTTTGACTAACTGGCAAAACAAACCACACAGACCGACGATAAACAACAACCTTTCCCCGCGGCCCCAACTCCCCAGGCCCAACCCCCTCAAGCACAGAACTCTCCCACTCTTCATCCCGGCTTCCAGACCAGAAATAATAAACCCACTCGACCCCCTGACCCCGCGTATTCTCACGATTAAGAACATGCACCCCGCCCTCCGCGTCAACAAACTGCGCTTCTTGGTTCATAATTCCGCTACCGGGCGGGAGATCACGCACCCGTAGCTTGGGGTCTTGGGAGTTGAGGCTTTCCTCACCCTCATCCTGAACCCCATGCCCCTCCCTCGCCAGCCCCCCATTCCGGGACAGAGTATGTGGGTAGAAAGAACCAAAAGCAAGTACATCCCCTCTGCACCCCCTCCACTCCACCCCTACCCCGTCATCTCCCAGATTTCCCAGTACAGCAGAAACATAGTACAACCCCTCGTTATTCTCCGGTCCATTGGGCCCGGCCTGCGCCTTGTGGGCTGTCGAGTCTGGCGAGTTGGCACCGGGATACGGGAGGAAGAGACGGTTTGTCCAGGTGAGGTGGAGGCTGTTGCTGGGGACGTGGTAGGTGAGGCCGTTGGGGTAGGGGTTGTTGTTTTGGCCTTGTAGGTAGATTGCTTTGTTTTGGATTAGGCTTGGGCGTGAGCTGGGCGTGTGGGCTGGGGCTGGGGTGTAGGGGTGGAATTCCCCCGTCTTTCTTATCGTTTCCGCGGTCGTGGTGGTGGTTGTACCTGGGTTAGGGTTCGGATCAGGATTGGAGGTGGGGGCGGGGGTGTACAGGTAGAGCGCTTCCGAGCCGGCTCCTGCTCTGTTTTTTTTTTTTTTTTTTTTTTCTTTAGTACGAGTATCTGGTGGGGTGGTGTACGGAGGACAGGCTAGGGGGAACGTACCTCCCGATGCGGTACTCGAAGAACAAGTTATCTCCTGCTGGGACGAAGCGCGGGTAGGTTATTTCCTCCAGCGGGGTGCGTGGATCGCAGCCTGGGAGGTGCGATTGCACGGCCCCGAAAGCCGACGGCGTCCAGCTTGCGGCCCGTGTGTCGGAGGCTAGCCCTGGTCGCGAGATCCGGTAGTGCAGCGTGTCGCAGTGGTGGTCGAAGGCGAGGTGGATCGTGCCATCGCCTGCGCATATCCCTAGCGACACCGTGTTGTGGCCGTCGTCGGTGCGCTGCGCGTAGTCTGTGAATGTGAGCAGGTGCCATTCGCTGCCACTGAGGTTGCGGCGCGCGAGCGTGACGAAGCGTGTCGCTGGGTCCGGTGAAGCCGTGTAGAAGGCGGCGTATTGCGTGTTGGCGATGGTGGTGAGGGCGGATTGTTGGTAGGCGCAGGCGTTGAGTCGATGGGTGGTGTCGGGGTCGTGCGCGAGGGGCGTGATGGTTGGTGTCAGCATGGTGGTGGTGGTGGTGTTGCCCTGATGGATATAGTCTATAACTATTGATTAGTCGCAGTGGGAATATGCTGGTGTTGTTGGGTTTAAGTTGAAGGGATCAATGTCTTGGTCGGCTGTGCCCTAAGTCCAGTACCTTGCTGCCCACCTCAACCTATACACTCACCTTGGTGGTTTATGCAGACGTTCCTCAGCCTCAGCCACCTCTCGCTAGACAAGAACCCCGCGTTGCATCACTCTGCATCGACTGCAATTGTTGGTGGAAGAACTCGTGTGCCACGCCTTCTCAGCAATTTCTCGCGCTGCACTTCCCCGCACTTGAGTCGATCTTGGCCCAATCCATCCCCGAAACCCCTGCCCTTTCGTCAATTCTCCGCGCCACCTGCATATGGGATGATGTCTTCACGTCGATTTGCCCGAGTGAGCTACGAGTGTCAGGAAAAATAAATAACCGATGTCAGGTACGGAGTGTCCATTTAGGTGCAAAGCCCCTGGGTGCAAGGAAGCCTACGGTATCTGCACCGTCTGCAGCTCTACATCATTATGATTGGGAAGAAGTTGGAGCTACCCTCTATAACCAGCGTCGTGTTGGCTATAGCCGGCGTGGTCAATGGCTTGACTTTTGAGATCCCCTCCTCTGTGCCCGCAAATGCAAGTGCGCAGATTGATGCTGCGCCGGTGGGCTTGTCGTGAGTCTCTTAGTGACAAACCCCTGAGACAGAACTAAAAGCCTCAGGTTCGAATTCTTCGCCTTCCCGGAGTACTTTGAGCAACTGTCGTTGACCGATGGCTGTCTGGGTGTGCTGGGCGATGCACTGGGAACAAAGCCCCCGATTCGAATCGGAGGAACCACCCAGTGAGCTCCCTCTCTTGAATCTCTTTTCGTCCAGCTAAACAGCCAGGGACCGCGCAACCTACAATGCCTCCCTATCGTCTGCCGTCTTATATACAGTCGCCTCGCCTGACGACGCACCCGAGACCCTGACCTTCGGCAACTCGTTCATGGAGATAGCCGGCGCCTACGACGGCTCCGTGACCATCGGTACGAGCCCTCAACCCGACCTCAAACCAGCCCTAATACTAACTGCGTAGGCTTCAACCGCCGCCTCAGCAACCTCAACAACACCATCGCAGCAGCACAAGTCGCCACATCCACGATCAAAAACCTATACGCCATCGAGCTAGGCAACGAGCCAAACTGTACGCCTCCCGCACCCTGACCCCCAACAACTCTAACAAGCACAGTCTTCTCCTCAAGCGACCCAATCGCCAACGGCAAATCCTGGACCGCAGCCGCGGACGCCGTCTCGCAAGTCTCATGGCAGAAATCCGTTGGAGCCGCGCTGGACAAGACCTCGATCATCCAGGCCGGCGTATTCTTCGGACTGGGGTCCTACGAAGTGACGAACCTCGTCGACGACGAAGAAGACGCCGCCGCCACGCAATACGTGCGTTCCTTCTGCCACCACTACTACCCTTACTCTGCGTCGACGGCCGATCTAAACGGGCTGATGAGCCACGCGGACATCGTCGACGGCGTGACCGCGTTCCAGGCACAGGTCTCTGCCGCGCATGACCTCGACAAGGACTTCGTGATGGGCGAAACGAACTCAGGTGCGTTGCGCTCTGCTGCTCGGGCTTTTCGGCGGGATGGCTGACACGAAAGTAGCGACCGGAGGCGGTGGCGGCATCAGCCCTACTTTTGGCGCTGGGCTTTGGATTCTGGACTATATGATGCAGGCGGTTATCTTGGGCATCAAGGTGGGTTTTTTCGGATTGGGTGGGTGGATGATTCGTGACTAACCCGTCGGCAGCAACTGTACTTCCACCAAGGTACCATCGGCAACTGTGAGTCGATCCCACCCTACCGCAAAGAGGGTAGCTGACACATCCTCTCAGGTCCGTATTGCTGGTGGGACGAGACAGTCAACGCCCCGTTCTACGGCGCGTATACGGCGGCGCTGGCGCTCGGGGGCGCGGCGCAGGTCGCGCAGCTGGACAGCGGCGACACCCGGGTGGCTGCGTATGCCATCTATGATAGCGCCGGAGCGGCGACGCGGGTGCTGCTGTATAACTCGGAGTATTACACCTCGGGCACGCGGGGCAGCGTCAACATCACCCTGACCGGTCTGGCATCGACGGCGACCTCTGTCTCGGCTAAGCGGTTGACGGGCGATGCGGCGACCACGACGGTTGGGGCCGGGAGCATCACTGTTGGGGGACAGACGTTTGCCAACGGGACGTGTGCGTTGCAGGGCACGCAGGAGACTGAGACGGTAGGGGTTGTGGACGGGGAAGTGACATTCGCTGTGCAGGCCTCGGAAGCGGTGCTTGTTTATCTGTAGGGGTTCCAGGGAAGGAGAGAGGGGAATCAGATAAGATGCCAAGTGATACTCCCTTCCGGGTAATACTTTATACTTCCGATGCTCGGCAATACGGCACAAGCCGAGCCAAGATCTTTGCTTCATCAATAATCAACTCTTCTCGCGTCCCGCCGGAACCCGATCAGGCCGAGGTACCGGCCAATCATCAATTGTAAATCAGCTCAATCCGGAGTTAAGAAATTGATTCCTCGATAGGGAGAATAGCCCGACTGACGCAGCGGAGGGCGAAAATGATCCATGCTTGCTGCCAATCTACCATCCATAGGGTTAAAGGGTGGTCTGATCCTTGTGTTAGTTGTATTTTGTACCATCGATCCTCAATCTGCCTGTCAACTGTTCTTCCTCAGCCATCAGGATGAGTAGCACTGAGGTCTCCGTCGACAAGGCTGAGACGGGCGTCAAGCCCTCAGCGCAACCCGCCAGCGTCTCGTTTTTCGATCCTGCCTTATCGCAGGTCCGACGTCATGTTTTTCTGCAATGGGGGAAGACCGGTGAGCTGAAACGTACGCGTTCGTATGGAACCACAAGCTAACATTCTCAGTGTTAATCCTCTGTACCTTCATTCTGGGAATCCTGTCGCTTTTCTGGGCCGTGCAGTACAAGCTCGAGACGCGATTCCACAAACTAACTGTCTGGGTGGTCGACTTCGACGGGCAAGTCGAGCCCTATCGCAACACGGCCCCCGTCGTGGGCCCGGCCGTGGTCAATGTGATCGAGGACATCCAGCAGACCAACTCCGAAGCATTAGGGTACACGATCAAGGCGCCAGCCGACTTTAACAATGACCCTTGGGCGGTGCGCCAGAGCATCTACGATGAACACGCCTACGCCGCCATCATCATCAACGCCAACGCGACCGCCCTCCTCCGCAGCGCTGTGACAACGGGCAACACCTCGTACGACCCGCTGGGGGCTGCGGAATTCGTGATCATCAGCGCGCGCGACGAAGCGACATACTACAACTACATTTTGCCGCAATTCTGGAGCGTAGACCAAGCGGTGCGCAGCGCATTCGGGCCGCGCTGGATCCAGAACCTCACCAGCAGTTCCGCCAATCTCAACCTCAGCGCGGTCCCGGCACAAGCACTCAACCCAGCGATCGGGTTCACGCAAACGGACCTGCGCTTCTTCGGACCAGCGGTGATCTCACCAGCGACGAGCATCGGACTAATCTACCTGATCATCTTAGCATTCTTCAACACGCCATTCATGATGCCCGTGCATCTGCAGTTCATCAAGACGCCCGCGGATAAGCCGGCGCTGAAGATCCCGCAGTGGCTGCTGTGGCGCATCTGCTCGAACATCGGCACGTACTTCACGCTATCGCTCTTCTACAGCTTCGTGTCGCTGGCGTTCCAGATCCCCTTCTCCAACCCGCCCGCCTCGCCCGTGGAACCGGCCACAAACCCCAACGCCTACGGCCACGGCTCCTTCGTCGTCTACTGGATGCTGAACTGGGTCGGCATGTGCGCCCTCGGCTTCCCCTGCGAGAACATGGCCATGATCATCGGGTTCCCCTGGAGCGCGCTGTTCCTGATCTTCTGGGTGATCACCAATGTCGCGACGGGTTTTTATGCCATTGATTTGGCCCCTGGCTTCTTTCGCTGGGGCTATGTTTGGCCGTTGCATCGGAGTGAGTTCCCTTTCTTACCCTTGCGCTTGCTTTGCATTCCCCTTTCCTGTACCGCACCCCTCGCGACTATACATTTCAGTAATGATACTAATCCTCCGGGGACAATAGTCGTCGAAGCCCTCCGCACAATCCTCTTCGACACGCACTCCCGCATCGGTCTGGACTTCGGGGTCTTGTTCGTGTGGATCGCGGTGTCGATTGCGTTGTTCCCGTTTGCGGCGAAGTTTATGCAGTGGAAGCAGAAGAGAGGATGGGCTTGATACTTTCTCCACTTGGAACTTATCGTTAGAGACTATGGGGAGGGTTAGACTAGATTAGATTTCTTTTTTTCTCTTCATGGATAGAATCTGCATGGAAGTTTGTGTATGTACAGGATTTAATCAATTTCAAGTTTGGAAGTGTTGATGTGAGGGATGGTGACATAATCCGGTCCAATTCTTGATTTCGGTTGGGGGTTCTCCGGTCTGTATGCGATTGGGGGAATCTAGATTTGGGTAGGGGACATTCTTGGACGGGGTTGATACCATGGAACACTACTGCATAATAGAACCAATCTCCCAGGAAAGAGAATATTGATTGACTGGAGAAAAAGAATAACTCTTCACCAGAAGAGAGAGAGAGAGAGAGAGAGAAAAAAAGAATGTCCCGAGGGAGGTTCGAACTCCCGGCCTTGGGATCGCCCAGAAGTGATCTTCCGAGTCATACTGAAGTATGAGACCCACGTGATAACCAACTACACCATCGAGACGACTTGTTGTTGTCTGTTGATTCCGAAGGAATATGAGAAGCTACATAGAAATGGCTAAACCCGTAAACTGGGTTGAGCGGTCATGTAGGTTTGGGCGTTTGTACTACTCTGTACAGGTATCTCTCTCTTGGAACTGATGAAGTAATTGTCGCTTAGTATGCTTCTTTCTGTGGGCTTGGTCGATCGCAATAAAATTGTGCCTTTTCTTGTGGTTGTGGATATTGGAATCTTGGATGAAGCAAGAGAGTAGGATTATATATCCCTCGCACAGCATATTTCGTCCGAGTACGTTAAAGAAGAAGTCCGTACTTTTTTAGTAAATTGTTCGATCTCTATCTAGGTGCACTATATGATACGCAGATATTCAGAATCCCAGTTTAACAGCAACCATAGAGTCCCAAAACTGACTATTGCAACCCAAGAATTTGGGTCGATTGATGCCTCAATCCTCAGGCAGCCACAGCCGGCACAGATAGTGCCCTAAAGAATCACATCCGTGGCACCGGCCCTGTAACTTACTTACTGCCGGCAAGGAATAGCATAGCATCACTACTCAGCGAGTCACACAATACTCACACCATCAGTCACACAAGCACAAGCACAACCAAACCTGCCACATGGTCCCCGAACCACGTCCAGACCCCGACTCAGTCGGATTGAGTATAGGGTTCCCCGGAGAGCAGGGTCCGGGATTCGTGGCAGCTCAGCTGGCATTTGGTTGTATTGGGTTTGTGTCACAGAGGGGGAGGGTTGAAACATGCGTCAGGCTGGTCGGGATCGGGATTTGAATTGGCTGGAATGAGTATCGCTCCTTCTTTCGCGCAATCGAGCTGCAAATCACTACGGAGTTGAATCTGGCGGTAAGTGTATGTGAGGTGAATGGAATTACTGTCTTATCAGAGGAGACACAGCGCACTTGTATACTCCAGACCAGTCGGACTACAACACCATCCTACCGCCCAGGGGCAAACAGACACAGAAAAAATCATTCTTTCTACCAGATCTCGTGAACGACATCACCCTCTAGCATAGGATCCAGCCCAAGTCATATTATCACCCCTTCTCCCCGTTGACATCAGCCCCAACTAAAAGCCCCAACTAAAGGCCCCAGCATCACTGCTTCCGTATAACCGTAAACTCCCTCGTCGGCCACACAACCGTCCACAAAAACGTCGCCGCCTGCACCAGATCCACCACCGGCGCAAGTAGAACCGTTAACACCACATGAACCGGAACATCCAGCAACGCGGTGGTATGACAATCCAGATCCTCCATCAGACAAGCGACCACTCTCCCATGCAGCAGCACAGCCAGGTTGAACGTCGTCCAAGCAAAGAACCCATACGAAACGGAAATCATCCAGCCACCATAAATCATCGTCATCATTCTATAAGCAGCGTCAACGTCAGCCCAACTCCACCCAAGATCCAGTAAAAGAGGATAGGGGACATACAAAGTGAAATGCGCTACAAACTCCAACATATTAAACGCCACCATCACGCGCAGCGGCCAGCTGGGAATCATCAGCTCCCCGCTGTACCACCGTCGGCGCTGGCGAAGGAGGTCCGCGATGGTGGCGGGCGCCTGTTCGCGCGCGATCGCGTTCAGCCATCCGAATTTGAAGCCTTGCTTTGCGGCCTTTGCTCATAAAATGGGAGATGGTTAACTATGCGCTGTCTTTTTTGCTTGGGTTGCAAACGTGTGCTCCTGCATGTCGGAGAGTATACCCACGTAAAGACAGAAGAAAGAAGAAAGGAAAAACTGACATAAAACGCAAACCAATGATCCTCCGTCATGCAATCCGTATCCCATGTCACGGCGTTCTCGACCTGTCCATTCAACAACAAGAAACTGCCGCGCATGAACCCCAGCAACGGCTGCCCGAAGAACCGCACGGGAAGCTGGTATCTTCCGAAGTTCTCGGCAATGCGCAGGATCTCTGCGACGGTCGTGAAGGGGTTCTTCCAGTGGGAGGAGGCGTTGTAGTAGATTGTTCCCTTTGTTCAGACGGTTAGACCATTGGGAATGGGAGTCGGCCTGCGGTGAATCTGCGTACCATCCCGATATCATCTGACCCCCGCTCGATGAAATCCAGACACGCCTGCATAAGATAATCGTCGATCTCCGTCTCTTCGTCTAGATGGAGCACCCAGTCACGCTCAGTCAGATTACTGTGTCGGCGGTACCATTCCAGCACGCGAGCTTTGTGGGTAGCGCGTTCGGCTTGGAAGGAGGGTGGGACTTGTAGCTGTTCGACCCAGCTTGGGAGAAGGTCCCTGAAAGGGTTGTGAGCGGAGTCGACGACCACGACAAAAGTGATGCGGAAGGCTTGGCTGAGTGGTTTCCAGAGCTCGACTGTGTTGAGGACGGTCTGTTATTTTGACGGTTGTCAGTATATGTTGGTGGGATAGTAAGGAAGGGGCCGGCCACTTCCCTGGATGTTGGTCGCTTTGGTGACGAGGCAGACCCGGAAACTGCGAAAGGATCTCTGCTTGGGGGCGTTGGCGTATGAAAATGGTTGGACGGGGAGACACATTCCCCAAAGAATGTAGTATGGGGGAAATTGGGCGAGCAGAAATGGCCCGATGATGAGTGTGATGATGGTGCAATCGCGGGTCCAGAGCACACCCGGCTTCACAATAGCGTCGGGGACTCCGGCCCAGACCATGAGGCTGTAGACTGCTGCAGTGGACTTAGTGGGATAATTTAGAGGAAACTGGCTGGTCGTACTTAGAAATGACAGTAGGGCTGTCAGAGGGAAGATCGCCCAGTTGTAGTTCAGGATCTGAAACAGTTTCCGCGAGCGTCGGTCGAGCAATGGTTTCCTCTCGAGGTCGAGATCATCTTGAGGGCGCATATCTAGGAAGCTCTCAAAATGAACTAGAAAACATTAATGCAATTAGAAGTCAATGTTTCAGGTAAAATTGAAGACTGCCGCGCGTGCGAATCCGCAATCAACGAGGCTATTTGTTCGAGCTCGAGGCGATGAGCTTACAACCATTGTGATCCCGGATCTGAGCCATGTATCCCATATGTATGAAAGGCGCAGATTGTTCCTGATGAATGTAGAAACTTGACGAACCATGGCCTGCAGAAACCCCTGCGAGTCATCACATCGTCCCCGGCAAAAGCAACGAGACGCTGACTGTGACTGCATTAGCGAGAGCCACCGCTGACATTGTTTCGCCCACTGACTAGGCTCCAATCCCCTCTTTAAAACCAGTGTACTCACAGCAATGGCCACATGGCAATAATCATAGTCATGATTGCGATGGATCGGCAGACAAAACTTGTTCGCCGCCCTGCCAACCTGGCTAGTCAAACACAGCCGATTCGCGATGACCACAACCACGAAGTCAACCCTCCAGCCGAGAGCATAGCGGGTTAGCTATAGAAAGAGAGACAGTCGTACAATATAAGATCAATGCGAAGGCGCGCCTCGTGTTCAGCGTGAGTTCTTGATTCACCTGCAGTGTGACAGCGGCCACGCAAGACTCAAGCTGAGAAAAATACCAAATCAAAATATGGCCGTCCCACCGAGTGAGGTAACCAGAAGTTTGTGCAACAGGTTGACTGTAATATCTTGGGAACATCTATTCCAGCTGCAGTGCGACGCTACCTGTAATCGAGGCATCGGTGCCTGTTCATACAAACACAGGTTGGGGAGTCAGAATCATACTTCTCCAGAGAAAGGAACAATCCGAGTCCGGAGATGTTTGTGCACCGCCGGCTTTTGGACCATTGTGTTGCCCTTCGTGATGATAACCAGTAGGTGTCGATTGTTTTGTCAATCCTTAGCAATGAGACAAACAGGGTGAACAAATGGCTTATATATTTGGCCTTCCTGAGTGAGACCAGGTGATCTAGCCACGCAGCTCCAAGAACCCTGCTCGGTGCCACCGCCTGCATGATTTTATACATTCTAATCCACACCAGGCATGCGATGTAAGCAGAATACACGCCAACTTAGCTAGATCATCCAACAGACTATGTATGCCGGTGTGGCCACCCAGCGCCCACAGGATTCATCGCTGTTCAATTCGGTCTCGTCCAGGTCATGACTCACTACTGTCAGGTCTTGAATATCAGTCCAGAACCCCAATGGATCGACCAAAATCAAGACGAGGCCGATCCAAGTTGTCACGAGGACCGCTGCAGTGACTATTTTAATGACGCATATGACGCGAATTACCTTAGCGAGTGCTCTTTCTGTCCGCCGTCTATGGGCATGAGCATTGCATCTAGCACCACAACAGCCTCTTTCTCGTCTATGAAATAACAAAAACCATTCCGCTGCTGACTCTATGTACGGCCCCTCCCCACCACCCACAATCCCCTTCGAGACCGCTGAACACTCACTGTAGTTTATTTGTATCAATAGCCGCCATCGCGATCGTGTTTTTAGTGATACTGCATTCACTACAACTGGATATTCTTGTATTATTCATACAGCTAGTCCGCTAGATCCGCCTGTCACCACTACTGGCATATAAGCCTGGAACTAGAATATTATGAACGGTTTCCCCGCGCTCAAGTTCCCACATTATGCAGCAATATCATTCCTCCGGCCTTATGATAGAGGAACCCTGCATACTTGAGACTCAGCGAGTCGATTTAATCGTGATGCCGGCAACTGCAACCAGCGATGCTTCTTCCGAGAGAATCAAAGACTCCTAAATATGCCCCAGGATATAAGTCACGTTCAATGCGGCTTTATACAAGTATATACACATACACACGCAAAGAGATTCAGAGGAGCCCAGTATCAAGCTAAGCCTTACTCAGGTAGCTCGTACCCACAGACCTAATACCCCTGGCTCTATTATCAACGGCCGCGTCATCCGCCTCCTGAGCAACCCCGTCGACTGAATGGGTGAGCTTGATGTACCCCTCGTCATCCAGATCCTGTAGAGATCTCTTGAGCCATATCCGACAGGTAACAGGTGGCTCCTGCGAAACAATTTCGAGCCTGTCGCTAAGGGCCTGGTGGAGAACTGGGACCATTACGGCGATTTTGAGCCCCACGATCAAGGTGATGGATTTCGGCACGCCCGTCGTGGCGGGGTGTTGTATTGCCATCGATGTCCGGTGTCGATTTTCTTGATCAGATGATATAAGCGGCCTTGTGAGGGCCCGGACTCAAGATAGAGGCTTCAATGGAATCGACGCTCTGCGCCGAGGTCGGATAGAAGGATGTAGAGGCTGCTCGATTCGAGTAGATGAGGTCATCTGGCATGGTGGCGTTTTTTTTTTTGAGGGACTGGCACGCAATCTGGGTAGGGTAGTGAATAGCAAATTCGTGAGGTATAGGGTTTTGTTAATGATTAATTATTCTTTTCCTGGGGAGTATTAACAAGGTGGATTCGCTCATAGGTGGCTAGGCCGTCTATTCCATCTTATCGCGCGGGTATGGAAGGAGGGGCAAGTACCTCGCAACGGACGAGGTGCACTGACAAGCCTCATCGTTGTATCGCTAATCGCCTCATCTACCAGGTTTCGCATGTGTGGCCATCTGATACTATGCATGGGCCTCCCTGCATGGAGTGAAGCGTGCATAGCCCTAGGCCAGATTTAGTATGTCATAACTAACGGGGCGGCTGTTGCAAAAGGCTATGCGAGAACTTGATGAACAGCCCAGAGCAGCTGTTCATGCTGAAACAGAAAGATGACTGGTGGTGTTGGCGGGTAGTCGAAGCACCTGAATCACCTGCTTTTATGGGGAAGTTGTACATGGAACGTTGATAACTGGTCGAGCGAGAGGATAGGTCTTCATCACCCTGCAGCGACCACGTGATTCTGGGATGCAACACCTGACTTGACCACAGCATTTCAGGTTGCTCCTTTGTTACTCTTCCATCTACCTCAACCATCCCTTCGCACAGTTCAGCAATATATCTCCAATTATCCATTGGCATAGAATTGCCAATGGTTGCTGAGCTCCGCTGCAATAACTTATAGCTAATTCCAATGGCTTGTGCGCTAGCTAGTCTATCGAACATGGCAAACGTTCAGGCGGCACTGGAGATGATAAACACGGCAGACCTGTCATCAACAGAACACTTGCTGCTGAGGAATCTCGTTAATTCTGCAGTCTATCCCGAGGACACTGCACGACTTATCACTTCGACGATTGAGACATCGAACTGCAGCGTCGAGACGTCTCTACGCGAAGTCAAGCGGCAATGGAGGAAACTGGCCAGCCGATGTTAGACCGATCTCCCTGCTTGAGAGTATGTGGCTAATGTGCTCAAGTAATGGCCTCTGACAAGATACCACAAGCCCTTCAAGATCTAGCTTTCGAGAGAGATGGGCGTGATTTTACAATGAGGCGAGGGCCAAGTCACGTACCGGGGTCGAAAATAGAGCCAGCATTTATAGTCCCGCCTTCCATGATCCATGACCTCGAGTCAGTGGAACAAGTGAGCTGCTACCAGCCCGCTGGTGTATCTCCCGCTAACACGCAAAAAGGGTGCTTTGCTCCGGTTACTAAGGGCTTTCCTATCCGATGAGCATGTTAACTACCTGAAGAAACTGCTTACCCTGGAACCACAAGATACGGCAACACGTCTCAGAAACATAGTTCTCCTGCCACCCAGTATACATGCAGCTTTTCGAGCTGGACACGTAGACATCAGAACAAGGAATGATTTGGACGGGGGGCCGCCACCGGGTTGTGTGGACGAAACGCTTCTGAAATGCCGGGTAATACTCGAACACCGCCCAAGACTATGGATTCCAAGAACATACTAACACCGGACTCACAGTATGCGATGCGCACACAGTATCCTGAGGAGGTATCAGGGTTGTTTCTGGGGGACGGGACCCCGTTCCGAAGAGGGCTTGTGCACTTCGACCTGTCAACTGCGGACCCCGAGCGTCTGCCATTGCCCAGCAGTTTGTTGATAGATGTTCATTTCCGATTCGCAGCGGCATTGCATTTGTTCTATATTGAGGATAAAGCAGCCCGTGGGTGGTCGTCAGCATCACTTTGTGGGTTTGAGTCTTTCTTTGATTTTTGTTACCTCTTGCGTTCCGCTTTTATTGTGTTTTTTAGCCACAGTGCACCGCTGACTACTTTTTTCAGCTTTGTCTCTTCCCTCCTTCGTCAGGCGCAGCCTTACCTGGCTATGGCTTACATTACCAGAATGTCTCCGCGTAGCATGCTATCTGCTTCTAAACCGAATCGGACGAAAACTCTATCCTCTCGACGCCAGTGTATGGGCCCAGCGATTACCGTTTGGTCTGTACATGAAGCAGTGCATTCGGGCTCCTCAAAACGAACCCAACGTACTGCGACTGATCGAGCGTCAAACATCAATCCCCGCACCACGCCTCATCGACACCTGGGAGCGCGATGGTACGACCTATATTCTCATGACTCGTATCCCCGGTGACCCCATCGAAGACGTGCAGCACCTGCTGTCCTATTCCGAGCGCCGAGAGATCGCGGACGACATTGCCAGATACGTGGCGCAGCTGCGCCAGATTCCAAACAACACTCCATACCTCATCTGCGACTCGCTGGGCGGTCCGATCGTCGACCATCGCATCCCCAGCGGCACGGGCGGACCCTGGCACACGGAGGCCGAGTTCTACGAGCATCTGACCAGCCACTACGGCCCCATGGCGAAGGTCGCGGAGTTGAAGAAGCTGGGCATCCGCGAGCACGAGCACTTCTACTTCACACACTCGGATCTGCACCCGAGTAACCTGCTCGTCGAGCGCGGGCGCCTGACCGGGATCGTGGACTGGGAGTCGGCCGGGTTCCGCCCGGAGTACTGGGAGTTCACCAAGGCGATGTATGGGGCCGTGTGCGGCGGGGGTCCGGTGATGGACTCGATCTTCTGGCGTGCGTTTGGGAGGAAGTATGAGCGGGAGCTGGAAGTGGAGAGGCAGTTGTGGTATATCACGCCCTTTGGGTCGTGAAAAACTTGTTTCTGCCTCACTTGTCGATTTGCACTCTGGCCCTCCCTCAGTCTCTGGCCGGTCATTCCTACCCCCTCATGTCTTTGAACGAATCCTCTAAGAGAAACAAAAGGAACATACAACAACAGCATAAGTATGGCTGTAGTCACCAAGCGCCCATGGAGGCGATGTCGCTTTGTCTTAAAAGTATGAGTTGCCATACGTCGTCGTCATACAGATGTCGCAGATTGAACGGGCAATTAACGGGCGCAACTTCTATGATGAATCGGTCACCTCTGATACAAGAGACACGGCTTTCGGAATAAATATCTGGTAACTCTTCCCGTCATGTATAGCATGCCGCTTCATGCCTCGCTTACTCGCCACGTACTCTGAGGGTTGGCGAAGGCCAGATATAAGCATGTATTTGATCTACAATGCGGCACCTAGGGTCAAGGATATTCACCAGCATTGGAGTGGGGCCCAGGTTGTACTTCGTGGCTGGGAGATAGGAATTGAAGAGCTTTACAAACAGTATAAAGAGCTCCGATTGGTCCATCTACATGCATATCAGGTAGTTTATTCTTTTGAATATGGGAGAGCACAAATTGGCCAGGTACTTACTGATCTCTTACACCTAGGGTCTCGAGAGCGGAAAACAAACTCAAAGAATGATGGATGGCTTCAGAAGTAGGGTGACCAAACTAACAGATAACAGAGTACAAGTGATCACAGGTTTCCATAAAAGGAGACGGGTTATCCACACACGAGACGACGATGAGTTGCACCATTCTACCATTATCAGTGACGCTGCAGACGAAAAGCAGTACAAGTGGCTTACTAGCATCGAGGAGTTCCGGGATGCGATGCTCAGGATGCACGAGGCTTTGAAGGTGAAACAGCCCCAGAAAATCAAAGTATGTTTAACTTCCCTCCTTTGGTCGCATCTAGCATTCCATTCATCACTCACCGACATCGGTCAACTTCTCTCAGGTCACCCCCATAGATGACGGGCTAGACTACAGCGATTTCGAAATGGGTTCACACACCAAAGTGCGAGGAATCAGCTACTATCTACCCAGCGGGCCCCGTGGGAAGACCGAACACCCATGGCACTAATCAACCCACGCTCATGGAACGGCAATGGCCAATATGATTCTGCGTATCCACCCCTGGATCCATCTGCTCGTCCTTGGGATCGAGGATGGCATCTCGTACGCGAAGCCAAACACTCCTTCGCGGACCATCAATCCGAACAGCGTAGCCCACGCCGTCGAGGTCGCGATCATCCATAAAGTCGATATTATTTCCAAGTCGTGGACATGCGCAGGAGCATGAACAAGCTGCGCAGCTCGAACCGCGGCCTACGGATTGACCAGGGGCTCAAGAAGCCAATGGACGAGCCAGGTATGACGCGCCTAGAGAAAGCGATTGCTCGCGCGGCGAGGGACAAAGGGATCCCGATGGTGTGTTGGGCGGCCGACGATATCGAAATCCTCGCCATGGACACCTTGCCTTACGGTGCGGCCCGAGAACAGGTCTTCCGCATTGGCGCCTTGGACTCGCGACTGCAGCGAGACCCCCCGGCCGAGGACAAGCACGCCATCTCTTCCTGCCGCAGACCACAGTCGAGCAAACCGCCCCCAAATTGACCAAGAACGTTTGTTCGTAAGATGATGATCATTCCCCTTCTATTTGGGTGTATATATATAATTCTTATCTGCTCAACTGTACTGAACCACACGCCAGAAGATTAAAAGGTATGTGGTTGCCGTCAGCAAATCCCTTCTGTTGTACAGGGGTGTCCAGGCAGTCGGCTAGTCCGCGATGCTCGTCTTTCACCACGGTACTTTAGCACCAAGACAGAAAAACTCGGGGACAACCGAAAGACCGTAGTAGATTGTAAGTTAGGGTGACCAGGGGGTTCAACTGACTGCAGGTCGGGCGGGGCTTCCCCTCATTTTGCCCTGCACTCTGACTGTAGCTTTGATTACCCGTTGCCGTCACGCAGTATGACCCCTGTCGGTGCAGAGATGGCTGAAAAGTCACGAGCGGGGCAATTGCCCTGTAGTAAAGATTTGCTCGCTAACTAATGAATAAGACTGGTGCTTACGAGCCGCTCTTGAACATTCATTGACTCTACAACCATAACCTCAATCACTCGTTGGAGCAGGAACGATACAGTCCATGACAGAAAAGACATCCAGAATGGCGCATCAGGAGAGAATTCACCCAAATGACTATGTCGCTGAGCCATTGCTCGCAGAGGAAGAAAGAGCCCGGACTCCTCTGCCTCAGGTGTCATTCGAAAAGACCCTCATTCGAGCGCCGAAAAGAAGCTTCATGAGGAGATTTGGCCCTTGGCTCATCCATCTCTGCATTCTACTGAGTTACACACTTGTCACGATGGCAATTGTACACCGTGCCTTCAACACTGGACCGTCAAACAAGGATAGGAACGAGGAGAATCTTCCAGCGCTTCCCTGTAGGTCGTTCTTCCATCTGCTCTCTATCTCCTCCACTCCTCCATCTACCTCCTCCTCTGCCTTCTCTTCTTGTTCAACTGATCACCTGCAAGTACCAGATAGAGAAGGTCTACAATGGGAATACCGACGATTCCCCACAAACATCGACGACAACCCGCTGGCAGGGCCCCCGCGGCCCGAGTTGGAGCGTGCCTGGCATGATCTTCTTCAGCGTGAGTCAATCAACCATCACTTCCATAAATCCGCCCCTCGACCCCGACTATCGCCCTCTCCTCCGGCTTATCACGCGTGCCAAACTAACTAATAATCCCAGACGACAACATCCACGTGCCAATCAGCTACCTGAAAGAGAAAAACCTAAGCACGGTGTACACGAAGGACCACACCGAGGGCATCATATCGTTGAGTGTCTTCCACTCACTGCACTGCCTGGTTCGTCCCCTTTCCTTCTCTTCATAAGCACATACTGGCATGACACCTCCCCAAGACAGCCCTCCCTCAATCCTTGCTAAAAACAATTACCCCCCAACCCCTCCAACCCCCTAATCCCTCCAACTACCAATAAACCCGCCCACTAACAACCCAGAAAAAAATAAAACACATGCTCCACAAAGAAACCTACTACGCGCACCACGACAAGACCGCCATGACACGGGAGTGGAAACACGCCGACCACTGCGTGGAATACATCCGGGAGAGCCTGATGTGCCAGCCGGACCTGTCGCTGGTGACCTTCCGATGGATCAACGACACGGCGCAGCACCCTTCCGCCCCGGGGGCGTTCTACCCGACCAATTTCGATGTCGATGTTCATCGGTGTGCGGACTGGGGGGCTCTTGATCGGTGGGCGGGGCGGCGGGTGTTTGATTTGGCGAGGGTGGAGTTGTTGGATCGGCCTTACTTAGGATATTAGTTTCCAAGTTTTCTTCTGGGGGAGGGGGGATGGTGGGGAGTGTATTTCATACGTATAGTTCAGCAGCTACACCCGGTTGTAAACAAAGAGTACGTGAAGGTATTGCAGTAAGAAGGTACAGTACAGTACAGTCCAGCTGGACACGAAGTAATCTAAATAACCCTCCTAAACCTAACCCCAATCTTCCAAATCCGCGTAACAGCCATAGCAACGACCGAAGCCGACAGCAAAGCACCGCACCAAACGATCAGCCCGACCCAGCACCGATGACCATCCCAAGAATTCAAGAGCGCCCCGGCGATAGGCGTGCTCACGAGCACGCCGCAGCCCACGACCGCGAGGGTCATACCCAGCCGGGTCCCGATCTTACTACGGTCCGCCGAGAGACTGACAACGCCAGCGGCGGGAAGACCCATGAAGGCGCCAGACGCGAAGCCGTACAGCACGCAGTAGACGATCAGGCCGGGCGCGGTGTGGATCGCTATTAGCGCGAAAGTCATGACGGCGCCTACGAGCGCGACGATCGTCTGTACGTTGATCGAGCCGATGCGGTCGGCGTAGTATCCTGGGATCAGTCGGCCGGGTAGCGAGCTTGCATTCATGATTACGAGGATGTACGTTGCGATGGTGTGGGATACGCTCGTCTCTTGGATGGCGTATAACTGGATGTAGTAGAGGATGATGTAGAAGCCCATAAAGCCGAAGATTAGGCCCGTGTTCAGGAGGAGGTATGGGATGTCGCGGAAGGCTGTCCGGTCGATCAGGCTCCATTGTGTGGTTGGTGGCGCTCGCGGGCGCATCACGCTTAGAGGGATGAGCATGGTTGCCAAGACGATGAAGGCGATTATTCGCGTCGCCCAGCCGAAGCCGATGTGCGGTTGCAGTTGGGTGAAGATGAGAGGGTAGATGACGCCGCCTATGTTTTGGGTTTAGAAACTCTGCATGGATGGCTTTGAAGGGCAGACGGTACATACCTAAGGCAGTGCCCGCTGACGACGCGCCCATCGCCAGCGCAGTACTGGCGTGGAAGTATTGCGAGACGATCGTCGGGGCCGGCACGTACAGACACCCGAAGCCCAGGCCCATGGTCAGCGCCTGTGCCAGAAACACCTGCCAGTAGGCATTGCAGAGGCTCGTCATGAACATGCCCAGCACGGTGAGCAAGGACCCCAGGCCCAGCAAGGACCGCACATAGCCTGCGTCGACAATTGGCCCCACGATCGCCGAGACGATGAACATGAGGAAGGCTTGGGTCGAACCAATCCAGGAGATGTCGGAGGAGGATTTCGACGCGAGGAGATCCAGCTCATAGAAGGTCTGGAAGACCCCGAAGGCGTTCATGAGGCCCCTTGAGATTGGTGGATCGATCAGGATGAGAGGCTCGGAATGGTGGGAATCCGGGGTAAGCTTACCATGTATTGAGATTCAGACAGAACGCACCCAGAACTTGCAGCCATGCAAACCAGTCTTCGGTGGGGGTGGAGGAGAACGATGAGGAGTCCTCAATATCTTGTCGAGGTCCATTTTTCTCCCGGTGCTGGTTTCCCTCGGATGAGACAGTCATTTGCGCCATGAATTGCCAGAGGCTAATGTGTAACGAGAGGACTTTTCCTTGTGCTGAGCTGGAGGTGAGATAATTCTGACCTCAGATTGAGGAAGAGGGGTAAATGAGCCTTTCTCAACAGAAAGTGTGCATGTGTCTGACCTCAAGCAGGCAATCAGGCTTTGACAGGTTAGAGATTGATGTTGCCTAGCGTGGTGAGAGGCTGATCATCTCCAGGTCCAGCCAATGTCCGAGATAAGAGTAGACTGGCCAAGCGATGAAATGCTTGTTCTGACGGCAGACTAGAGTCTGACAGCAGAGCCAGCCTTGTGCGATATGCAGGGTCTTTGAACCTATCGGAGGATAAAGCAAGGTTAAGCTCAGCCGGAAGGAATTCCGTCAATTCCCATCAAATGAACCGGGGAAGGATTCAAGGATTAAGTCAAGTTCACTGGCACTGGACTACGTAACCAGATATGTTCTAGCGTCTGACACTCATTCCCCAATCTCTTTGTTTGTAAGGAGGGACTATTTAGGCCCCCAAGAGCTCTCGGCCCTAGGAAACAAAGAGACTAAACGGTTACACAGCGGCCGGACACATGCAGAGACGAAATCCAACGGTAATGTCTGGCTGATAAGAATAAGATTGTCAAGTGCGAGGGGATGTTACTTACAAAAGTACCAGTGAATGTGATACCAGGTACCCATGACATGACTTCAAGATCCAAATTCAGTTGCCTTTTCAGGTAGTCCACTTGAACACCACATACCTCTGAGACCTATTTTAGGATATTTCTGAGCTGAGAGAGTTCCCAATCCTGACACGAAGTACTCCATAAACCCACTGCTTTTCTCCTCCTTCTAATCACAACCAAGTCAACCATGGCTTCAACAAACTCACCAATCGCGAACGAGGAGCCCCTCACTCTCATATCCAAACTTCAACCCCTCACAACCAAACTCAGCAACCCAGATGATGTCGACGCCCGCAAAGAGGCCCTGCAGCTCAGTAAAGCGCTCACCGTGCAACTAGAACAGCCGGAGAACATCGCCGTGGACATGGCCTTCGCGGTACGTGCCTGCTATCAAGTTCTGATATTCCCCCACAGTTCGCCAGCTTACCCAACTCCAAAACAACAGCCCATGATCGCAACCAGCGCGCGCATCGCCGTGGACCTGAATCTCTTCGCGCACATCGCCCAGGCGAAAGAGCCCATCACCGCCGCGAAACTAGCCGCGTTATCCGGTGCAGAGGAACTGTTGATCGGTCAGTCAGCACCCCATGCCCTACATCCATCAACCTATCCCAAAAACCTACGCAGTACTCAACCAAACCCACCTGGCAGCAAACTAACCATCTCAAAATCTAGTCCGCGTCCTCCGCCTCCTCTCCGCGGTGCACTTCATCCACGAAACCGCCCCCCAAACCTGGACCGCAACGCGGATCACACACGCCATGGCCACAGACGAAATTGCAGCGGGCCACCGAATGGTCTCGCGACTGATCGTGCCGGCAATGCAGAGCGCGCCCGCCTACTTCCAGAAGCGCGGGTACACGTGCCCCTTCGACCCGACCGACGGGCTGATGCAGTATGCCTTCCGCAGCAAGCAGACGACCTTCGAGCGGATTGCGGCTGACGCTGCGCTCCTGCGCGACTTCAACACTTTCATGGGGAATACGATGGGCGCCAGGAAGTACTGGGTGGATTGGTATCCTGTTCAGGAACGGATACTCGATGGTTTTGTGGAGGAGGGCAGCAAGGGCAAGGCGTTGCTGGTGGATGTGGGCGCGGGGAAGGGGCATGATTTGCTGGCTTTTAGGGAGAAGTTCCCCCAGGTTGGTGGACGGCTGGTGCTCGAGGATTTGCCGGCGGTTGTTGATGGGTTGAGGGGGTTGGAGGGGGGTGTCAATGCGGGCATTGAGATGGTTCCTTATGATTTCTTCACCGAGCAGCCGGTTGTTGGTATGGTTTCTTTTTCCCCTTGGATCTATCTGAGAGGGATATATTGGGGCTCGACTAACTGTGAGCGTATAGGCGCCCGAGTCTACTTCTACCACCATATCCTCCACGACTGGTCGGATCCGTACTGCCTGAAAATCCTGAAACATGTTTCCGCGGCGATGACCCCGGGTTTCTCGAAGCTGCTCGTGCATGAGATCATTGTGCACGACCAGAAGGCGGCGCAGTTCCAGGCCCAGTTCGATATGACCATGATGGCGTTCAACTCCGGGATTGAGCGCACCCGGCAGCAGTGGGAGACTCTGTTGGAGGCGGCGGGGTTGACGGTGGTGGGGGTTTGGGATCCGGTCGATGAGGGCGGCGATGGGCTCGTGGAGGCTATGAAGCTTTGAGTTTTTGTTTCCTATGGTTTAAGAATACGGTAGACCTCTTTGCTTGTAAAGCGTTCGATCTCAATATCCCGGTCCTCTCTATCAGTCAACAGGAAGTTACTACTAACTAATTGGAGAAAATTCAATCAACAGCCCACAAAACCCTCCCATCAGGACAAAACTTAAACCGATCTATCATCCGCCCAGGAACCTCATCATGATGTTTAAAGCAAGCAGTCCGCTCGCGCGCCCAACGCTCCATCAGCGCCCAATCCCTACACATACGGACCTGGCCCGCACCCGTCCCAGGCGGGTGACCTGGTTTCTGAGGCCCTGCGTACCGGGGAGTATCGTCCGCGTTACAGATCACGTCCTGCCGCAGCTGGTCAAGGCAGTGCAGGACATGGCTGAAGGCGATGCGTTGCGGGAGGCCCTGATCGGCGGTCCAGGCGTAGCGGAAGAGGGTTCTCTATAGCCATAAGCAACCTTGCTCAGTCATTTCAATTAGAAAATGAAAAAACCCTTCTTCCATCCGGGCTTTTTGCTGAACTTGGAGATAATCACCAAACAATGCAGATTATGATATCCCTGCAGCAGATAAACTCCCTTAGACTTGTCCCACGGAAACGAAATCGCCTCCGGGAGATTCTTCTCCGCTATGAAGTTGCTGTCTAGCGCTACCACGCCCGGGTCGCCGCTGAGTTCTTCCCAAAGGTGCGCGACTGCGCTTACGTTGTCGCTTATGTATGCGCTGGTTTCCTCGATGGGGAGGGGGAGGGTGCGGTGGAGGTTGGCTTTGTTGGTGTCGGTTTCTTTTCTTTTTTGCTTGGTTCTCGGGTACAGGGCAGGTGAGAGATGGGTTACGCACCGTAGTAGGAACCTCCTTCGCTTCTTGTTGGTGGCGTCTTTGTGCTTCTGAGCCAGTGGATGAGGAAAAAGAGGTTTGAGCAGGAGAGGAGGATGACTGCTATCGAGAGGGTGGTTAGGAGGATGGTTCTTGGGTTTGGTGCATGGCTGATTCTGGATGCTGGGGGTTCCAGGTGGTCTGGCTTAGTCTCGTTCTCATTCTCAGCGTCATCGTCATCGGTTGAGTTGCGTTGGAGTAGATGGTACTCTTTTTTGTTTGGAGACATGATGAGTGCAGTGTAATGCAGTGTTTACACTGGGAGTGGGTTTATGCTATCGCATCAGGGTGGGAGTTGGCGGGGTTAAGTAGGGGAGATAGAGAGCTATTCCGATAACTGTAGAAAAATAACCGATACCAAAACGTATTTTAATAATTCTAAGCACATAGCATGAATTTTCCAGGCCACCTGTCTCGACTACAAACTCAGTCTACTACCCACTACATACATACTGTGAAGTCCCACTCCACCCCCTGTCCACCCAGCCTCAAAAACACTCTATCCAGCACCCATCAATTCACGCGGCATCCACCCAAGATTGATCAATCTTGGCGGGGTAAGCAACCGCTTCATCAGCGTCTGCCGCAGATTCTACAGTCGTCAGAACACCAACAAACAGCGATAAAGTCCCCGACTATAATGCCTAGAAAACAAATTCAATTCCAAAAGTAAGACTCACGAGTACGGACACTGAGTGCATGGTCTAAGTCGCATGTTCAGATCCAATCAGTAACAGATTTCCACGCCACAATACTTCACGGGTGTTTGGATGGGAACATACGTGCAACTAGAGGCACCGCGCTGACTGCAGCAGCCAGAATCAGGAGCAGGTCGAGTCTCATTTTCGCTTCTTCTTGAAACCGAGATTTTTACGAAACAGCTTGTGGGAAGAGCGGTGGGAGGGCGAAATGAATTGCTTGTAGCACAAAGGAAAGCAGTGCAAGACAGCTTCATTCTTATACACTACACTCTCGATTTGCAGCGCGGAATAAAACCGCTCATTTCTCATCCACTCTCTGCTAATGCATCTCGAGGTGAGCCCGGCTTGCTGCACGTAATTCACATGGCCCGCAAAGCCAAGTGTTGGATGTTACACCTACGAGAGGGGAGGGGGATTTCGAGGCTGAGGGGTCGGAGGATAGACAGTCTGGGCAGATCTGCTTAATGCGTCATCATATTGCATACTGCATGGCTAGTGCGTCTGGGGAAATGGTCTATCTCCACAAGGCAGACAACAGACGCACATTAGTACATGCAGAGACGGATTAGCAATCTGCGTTACCCGGGAACTCTGGGCCTCAGCTTAGGAATCTGCGATTTGCTGCAATGCTTGTCTGTCTCAGCTATTGGTGCCATGGCGGACCTCCGCCCGTGCAGATTCTCGTCTAAATGCCCCAGGATACTACAGCGTAGCAAGTGAATTCCCACCCTCCTCCCCGCACGGATAATCGGAAGTGGAAATTACAGTGCATTACCTTAGTATTAGGGTTGGCGGTCGTACTACTACCCTCCTATCGAGTATATTGAACCCCGCCCCTTCCCTCTTCCAATCGGCTCAAATAAGAAGACACCACGGACATCGATTGACATCAACCAGCTCAACCAGTGACTGCGTATTGTTGTGCAGGACAAGCAGCCTTGGTGTCTGCGTTTGCTTACTGTTGCATCGACTTAGGGGCCAAAAGCCTGTGATGTCTGCCTTCGAGCAGTCAGCCTCCTATCCCTCATACTCGGTAGACGTCGTTGTCTTGTCGCTCCGCTAAACAATTTTGTTGCCGACTCTTCCCGGCGTAAGCATAGTGATGGATGTGCTGAGCCTGAGTGTCGCACAAGACCAACATGGATGTCCGATGATCACGCTTGCTTCAAGCGTCCGTCGACTGCAAGACCTGGCCGCACATGTCGCTCCTAAACGTAACTGACTTTCTCTCCATGCACCCAGTCTTTCATGTCAAAAACTCTGAACCGGTGAATGAACAGTTCTGGCTTACCTCCAGATCGCGGGAACCACCATATATCGGCCATGTCGGAGCCCGAATATCTAGGCAACATTGTCTTGATTCTCGCATGGCTGTTTGCCAGCATTGCCACCCTCGTCGTTGCGACCAGGTATTATGTCCGCCTTCAGATCGTCAAGCGGTATACACTCGACGATGCACTGATCTTACTTGCACTGGTGAGTCAATGGCATGCCCTGTATGCAGATCCAATTCTGATGCCAACGACTGAGTGCCCTCTCCCAGGCACTAGCAATCGGCAATTCCGTCTTCCTGACCATCGCCACCCACTGGGGCCTGGGAACGCATATGGCGGCCCTCTCCCACGAGAGGATCATGTACTCAGTGAAATGGGTGTACTTGTGTGAATTCTTCTCGATCCTGTCGCCGGGCATCGGTCGGATCGCGTATGCGTCCTTGTTGATGAGCCTGGTGCCGCCCGTGCGGTGGCGTACACGGTTACTGTGGAGCATCATTTGGATCCAGTTCGCGGTGGACATCGCGACGATCGCGGTCAGCTTCTCGCAGTGTAGCCCGATGAGGAAGTTCTGGGATAGTCGAGTGCCCGGGAGCTGTTGGCCTGCCACCGTGCAGCGGGACATGGGGTATTTTCAGGGCTGTATGTACCCTCTTCATACCTGCACCATCATTATGTCATTTGCAGCATACTGACTCGCGAGAGCCGGAAAGCCGTCTGCTCCGCCGTTGACCTCGTCCTCGCTGCCTTCCCCGCTAGCATGTTCTGGGGCCTGAACATGGAGAAGAAGAGGAAGATCTCGCTCTCCTGCCTGATGGGCTTGGGTGTTTTGTGAGTTGCTACAAGCCTCATGCTAACCATTTCACCCACTTCAGACCGATAGGTATAGGATATACAGATAGACTGACAACAGCACTCAAGTGCAATGATCGCCTCGATCGTCAAAACCGTCCAACTGAGAGCCATCACATCGCAAGCCGATCTAACGTACGCCATGGCGCATCTCGCCATCTGGTGGACCCTGGAGGCCTATTTCGTGCTGATCGCAACCTCCATCCCGACACTGAGGCCGATCGTCACGCGAACAACCCGCCACAGCAGGAGTGTCTCGTCGAAGAAGCCGTCCCGGCTAAATAGTTTGCGCTGTCGCCTGTCGAGTCATGGGTATAATCTTCGCAGTGATAGCCTGGATGGCCCTGGTCAGCTGTTGGGACATTTTGCTGCCAGCGGTGGTGGGCAGGAGAGTCCGTGTATTGTCGGCGGGGAGGCACATCCGTTGAAGGAGGGTGGTCACGGGGCGGTTCGTCAGGGGAGATGGCGGGAAGGGGGGATTGAGAAAACTACGACGATTGGGGTTGTGTATGGAAGAGCGTCGGATGTGTAGCCTCCGCTGCGCCTGAAGTGTGGCTCTTATGGTTGGTGTTTGGTCGTGTAATCATAAAATCTGCGTTATGGTGGATGTAAAGCGAGGGAAAAGAGAAGAAGGCGCAGGGCCTTAGTGGTTGTATACGTATATGTGGTCGTACTTACTTAGAAAGGTGATCGAGTGCGGCGAGTAGGCACTCTTAACTCGATGCTTCAACGAGAGCATCATAAGTACCACTGCCAAGCGCAGGATGGTGCTTTTGCACTCCACCTTCGGTCATCTAACCGCATGCTTATGGTAGGGCTCATATGAGTGGACGAGTGCGTGGCCCTAGTCTGTACAGTCCTGTGGCACATAGCACCTACATAAGAACCCAGTTGCCTCTTGTTCGCTGACCGTGTGCACTATTCAACCTCACAATAAAACAGCATGTTCAATCTCAACCCTCGATACCAGCCACTAGCCCCCAGCAATGACTCCAGTCGCCCGCGCACTCGTCTGCAGCGCTTCCACCATACTACCTCCTGCTATCTACTAGCATGGCTAATCACCATAGCCATCTCAGCCAGCATCGGCAGTCTAATCGGGCTCCGTCATCGACCATGCGAGTGCTCTGGCATATATTCAAACCGTGAGTACAACAACACGACCGAGCTCCCCTCTCAACCATCTCTTACTCTACCACGAGCCTCAGTTGATAGATAAATCCCTGCAGCAACCATCCCTCTCGACACCCAAAAAGAAACCTTCACCTACAACCGCACATTCGGCGCCGATCCCAGGGAGGATCCCAACACGCAGGCAGCATGGGACTCGATCGTTCCGTGTGAGTTTCCATCCCTCTTTCGGCAGAAATCCACCACCAGTCGCCCTCTCTAACCACGAAAGAGAAAAAAAAGCAGTCGGCCAAGGCACAGTCCGCTACGCCTCCCCAGAAACAGAGCAGATCTACTACACCGTTTCAGCCGTCCACCAACTCCATTGTCTGGTACAAACCTCGTTCCACTTATTCTCTGTTTCTATTCTACCTTCTCGTTGGTTTACAGAATAACCCCCCTGATGACCCAGTCCTTCTGATAGTGATCACGATACTAATACTGATAATGGATAGTGGTCCATCCACAAATCCTACTACCGCTCCCACGTCCACGGAGTCACCAGTACAGAGCACGGCGACGAGCGCGAGCACCACGCTAAGGAAAAAGAGCAGCGGCACATGCGACACTGTTTCGATTACCTGCGACAGAGCCTCATGTGTGCGGCGGACGCGACGCTGGAGCCTGTGGATGCTGCGCTGGGCGGCGTCACGGGGTGGGGGGTGCAGCGCGTGTGTCGCGACTATGTGGCGCTGGCGGGGTGGGCGGAGGAGCGGCGCGTGAGTGATGCGAAGGGGTTTCAGTGATTTTTCGTTTCGTTTGTTGGTTACTTCTGCTTAATGGGTTGAGGGTGGGATGGGGGTGCATGGGCGCATGGAATTCAAAACTTTTATTATAACTACACGAGGTTGTGAGGTTGTGGGCTGGTGTCTGCAGTTGCTACTGCATAGTCTTGTTATACTACTGGATAACCATTTACTAGCTAGGTTGAAACTGTGGAATAGGGCATCGGCCTCGATCAAGTTATACTATCGTCAAATAGGCACAGTTACGGAGAAACGGAGGACTACTATAGCCCTCCCGAAAACAGAGAAAAAACAAACACAAGAGTTAATGAACTTGAACTGGACAACCCATCTGAACTAGCGGAATCAAGTTCCTGAATCCAAAGCACCAGCGCGCGAAAGGCTTCGGGGCCAAGGCAATCCCAATCAGATGTGATACCAGCTTTCCCTACTTCCCTACTCGGAGCACGTCAGTTACCCCATCTCCGCTCTCCCACTATCTCGGTATCCCTACGCATCCCCACACACACCTAAAGGCTTGCTTGCGATCAGCTCAGGCCTCATGATCGCCGTGCAGATTTCTAGGCCTGCGCCCCAGGATAACACGGTAGACCGCGACCTTGATCTGTTCCTTGTAGACGCAGCATGGAATGAAGACGAAGAGCCAGAAAGCGTGGAGGAGGAGAAGCCAATGGACTAGATCCATTGGAGCCTAGGGGGAGGGGGTGAGGTAGATCGCAGCGGGAGCAGCTCACTTGGTAGACACGGAGAGGAGGGATGACTGGCCAGGTTGAATAGTCTCCGACCAGTGCTCGCTTCGGTCTGTCGGGGATGCATGCGGTCATGTTCGTTCGAGACTTTATATCTCTTAAGGTCATTTGCTTGAAAACTCTGTCCGGGTCGCGTTGTGGATAGCTGGAGGTTTTCTTTCTCTCCATTGTTGATAGCTGGCAGATTCCGGGTATTTCTTGGCTCGGCTTTTCAAGCATTGCGAGAACGGCAGAGAGACGCGCATTGAGAGGACATCGGCCTGACAAAGGACTTCACTAAGCTTTGAAAGCGAGCAGTCTGGTCGTTCAGAAACTTTGCTGCTACAAAGGTAATCAGACACATGGTTCTTACGTCTCCGTCTTTTTGTCTGCTTCCTCTTCCTTGCTGCACTAATTTCCTCTCTCCCTGGACAAAGTCTATCGAGAGAATATCCAGTAGCCGAGTGCCGGCAGGGCCTTTCAACCTTCGTCTCAAACAGCCGGGTTTGTTTGGTTCGAGTCTTTCAGTCCCACAACAATCGTCGCAAGCTGCGACTCAAGCCCAACCTCTTGTCAGCCCAAATAGCTGGCATCCTTCTTCAACAACCCCAAAGCCCGTATACAAGGCCAGTCCTTGGCGCACTCGATTGTTTGCAGGTCGGCCACCAGATGCTGATTCGACTCGAGAACCACGGAGCAATGCTTGTCTGCCCCGCCCGCCCGGTACGACAGGTACGCCGTGACCCGACCGTCAGCAGCCTTTGAGAAGCACAGTCCGGGAGGCAATGGCTCTGGGCTGCGATAAATCTGCGCCAGATCCTTCTTCAGGAACTCCTCGAGGAGGTTGGCGCTCAGAGCCGATCGCATGAACCCTTCCTCGGACCGCCAGGACCGTAGCAGCTCGATCGCGTGGCATGGCAGGGCATAATCCGGACTCGAATGGGCGGCCATGTACATGGCGGGGATCATGGTGCTGGTGGCCGTGAACGTGGGGCAGTCGGCGCCGAGATTGCGCATGGCGGTTTCGACGGCGGAGAGCAGGGCCCACCGCTCGGCGATGTGGCCATCGGGCGGCGGGCCGGTTTTGTTGTACGTGGCGGTTCGCACCCCAAGTAAGACGCTAAGGCAGCTGATTCGCGTCAATTCCGCCTCGCGGTATTCCTTGCGGCGGACCTGATGTTTCGTGGTGATTGGCATGGTGAATGAGGTGGTGCCGTACGCGGTGCGGCAGAAGTGCTCGAACTGGTGGAGGTATTTGGTCACGAGTGAGATAAGTCGGTGCTGCTGAAGGTATAACGTGGCGTATTTGGCGTCGAGTTCGTCGTCGCTCGCCTTCATTCCGATGGCGATGAACTCAAAAGCGGTGTGTTCGAGAGGCTTCCAGGTCTGCCGCGCATGAGCCAGGCTGTGGAAGTGGTCGAGGTAGTTCTCGTACGGTTGTTCGTGGATGAACTCGCTATCGAAGCGCACCACCTCTTCATTGCCGTAGTAGAGCGATCCTTGCTGGAAGCCCAAGAACGAGTCCATCACACACTCTTCTACTGCGCCCGTGCTCAGCTCGAGTCCCAGAGGCCGTCGCCGGATGTTCATGGTTTGGATGATTCGCAGGCCTCCGCGGAGGTGGAAGTTGGCGACAGTAACGTTCCCGCACAGTAACTCGGAGGTGATGAACAGTATACAGCACACCAAAATGACTTGTTGCAGCTGCGGGTCACGGGATATGCGTCGCTTGTTGACCAGAGCGATTGAGCGTCCGGATTGCTCCATGGCGTACCGGTACCAGGTGTTTTGCAGCCCCTGGGTATTTTGCAGGATGGTTCGCTCCCCCGGCCGGGGTATACGACCGGCTATCTCGTTGGCTTGGTTCACCGCGCCGAGGGCGACGACCGCATGATATACCGCGGGATCTGCGTGGCACAATTGGAGAATCAGTCTCTGCCAAAGAGGCGAATCAAAAAAGCCCACCAGCTGGGGAACAGAACGGTGCTGAAAGAACGAGAGGCAGCGACCCTCGTCAGACGTCATCTTCCATTGTAGCTTGGTGATGATGGCGGCGTGGATCGTGGCGAAAGCGCTGTCAGCGGCTGGTCGAGCGACTGCCTCGCCTCGGCCTTCCCCAGGGACGCGGCGTGGAGGGAGTCTTTGCACGTCATATCCGTCGCAGATCCGGCCTGTCCGTGTGCAGTTGCCGCATGCATTGGGCAACTCATCACATTTAACCCGACGCACCCTGTGAGAGCGCATGAGCAGGGCGCCAGCAACCAGACGACGGGGTACAACTTACCGGCAAGTCCGGCAGCCCGTGCGGGACCGCTTCGCGTATGCTTTTTGCCGTGGTCTAGAGTGGACAGTGGGTTCGTTCTGGGACGGTGGTTGTGTCGCACCCTCCATCTTGGGAGAACTTTTGGAGTAGAGCAGCAGAGCGGCAGAGCGGTGGGAGCGCGGGACTTGGCCTGCTTAAAACTGCGAGCTCAGGAGTTGCCCTGCGAGGGAAGAAGATCAGAGCGACAGGAGTATCTGTTCTCAAGGCCAATCGCCGCGATAGTTGTCAGGTGTGCATATTAGTTCTACCTGGGCCGATCATCTCGGTTGGCCGACCGAGGGCGACGACTGCGTATTAGTGTGATGCAGGCACGGCTGGTTGCTGGCTCGGATGCAGATCGCGTAGGACTAGGTCAGTGGGATGGACTAACTGACACAGTCCAGCCGCTCCATTGCACGCAGACACACACACAGACCATGCTCATCAAGGTTTGTAGATAATGAGACTCATCTCGAAGGGGCAATTAAGTGGGATCCAGGAACGATGATGATGTCGACTGGGTAGGAAAACACCTCCGTGATAGAGATATGGGAGGGGGCCTGAGTCAGCAGGCTAATCCACAAATCACCTAGCTCACTTTATTGACCCACCAGGATTAGCGAGAGGGCCAACCAAACAACCTGAGCAGGATCATCCGCGACGGATGCACAGACTGTTGCCTAAGGCAGACACGGCAGCCTGAGGAAGGAGCTCGGCAGTGCACAGCAAACTCATTCAGTCGAGGATATGGAGGGTGTCATCTGAGCATGCCATGAACTCAACTGAGCATCTTGCTCCTTATCGTAGAGTTCTTAGTGCAAAGGAGTTGTCTTGAAAAGCATCCATGCTGCAAAGCGGGGCCCCTCAGTTCTATCCGGCAAGAGCAGTGCAATTAGCTTGGACTCTTCAGTAAACTTCAAGAACATAGTTGCAGACAAATCTGTGCACCAAAATAGTGGTTCAATGCTTATCGTTATCTTCATCATATCCACCTGATTAGCGTGCTTTTCAGCTATTGCTAGAGTGGTGGTGGCGAAGTATACAGTATCTTGGAAGTATATATATCCACACAACCTCAAAACTCAGCAGCGGCCTGACCTAGAAGACGTTGCCCAAGAGTTTGGCCACACAAGCGATACCTAACAACTTGTTGAATGTTGGAGCAAGAATAAGAGATATTAACACCATAAATTAGAATCATAACTATAATACAGCCCGCCATATTATTAACCATTAGACATCCCATCTTCCCAACATTATCCCCCCAGCACCATCGATAATCACCCGAAAGCCCCCATCCTCTTCCATGACCCCGTGCGAAAGAAGCTTACAACCCCAATCCAACCCCATAAACAACCATCATCCCCAACACAACCCACCCCCCGAGCGAGACCTTCTTCTCCACAACCCCCGCCCCCTTCTCGGTGCTCGACGCACTAGCCGCACTGCCCGTCGCAGTTCCCGTCTTGCTATCCTTGCCCGTGGCGGAGGAAGTAGATGCGGACGCCGTCGCGCTGGCGTTCAGGTTCGCGCTGCAAAAGGCCTGGGTCACGGCGCCGTTGTCCTGCAGACAGCCCAGCAGTTCCTTGACGGTTTGACCCTGGGCGAGACAGTAGAGTCCGCAGTCGTTGTTGTATTTTGTCACGGAGGCCGGGGTGCAGCATTTGTCCATGATGGAAGAGAAGTTGCCGGTGTTGGGGAGGGCGCAGGCGGCGTCTTGGATGGGGAGGACGTAGATGCTGCCTGTGCAGGTTGCGGCTGCGGCTGCGGTTGCGGTGGTTGTGGACATTTTGGATTTTGGTGTTTGTTTTTGGGTGGTCGTTTTGGTTGTAGCGAGGTTCGTGAGATGTAGAGGTACCGAACGAGTGTGTAGTTGTTAATTTGTATGTAGGGTAGATAGGTAAGGTGGAAGAGGTGTGTCAACGACCGTGTGTGTGTGTGTGTGTGTGCAGCGAGAGAATAAGAGTGTAAAAGTAAGGAGAAAGTACCACGGACAGGCGCAAGGCGGAATAAATAGCCATCACCCCATACAATACATCAACTGCGCCCCACTACTCCGGGACTGACCCTATAATTATCCACCCATCCCCCAATCATTGGGCACAGACCGTCAATCCCTACTATTTCCAGTGCCGAGTGAATCAGCAATACGGAAGGCTGGCGCCACGCCACCACTACCGCCAACATTCACACCCCGGATTGACAGTTCTGCTGTCTCACCACTGCGCTGGCCTTGGGCAGGGGTATATATCTCATGACCGAGAAAGACATTAAGAATAAATTGCTACCGCACTGCCGACTACCACCTCACAGTTAATAATCCTGTAAACACCCATCCATCCCTATTCCACCCATCGCCAACCCATGATTGAAAATGAAACCTAAACTTCACACCCAACCTCCCCCAAAACCCTCCAGGCAACCCCCTCTCGCATCCGCATCTCCCGCGCAACAACACGCTCCATCCACGCCCCAATCCTCCCACTTCCACCATCCTCACCACCCAGAAAACAAGATGCATGCACATGATCCCGCGCAAACACAGGCCCCGCCCACCCGCGCGCACGACACGCCCGCACCGCCGTCCCAAGTAACCCGCGCCCCACCCCGCACCCGCGGTACCGCTGCTCCACCGTCCACGCCCGGATCACCCCGATCGGAGCGCGATCAGAGACTCGCGCGTTGGTGGTGAGGCGATGGGTTGCTTCGGTTGGGCAGGTTATGATCTTGAGGAGGAGGATGCCGATGGGGCGGTTGTTGTAGGTGGTTTTTATTAAAAGGGTTCGGGGTGTTTCATTTGAATTGGGGTTTGGAGGTGGGCTTGGGCTTGGGGAGGGCGATATAGATGCGGTGGGTGTTGGGGATCCTGAGCCTGGGAAGGTTGAGACTGCGGTTGAGACTGAGACTGAGGTTGAGATTTCAGACGGGGGCGTCGGAGGCGTTCTCATTGCTGGTCCTGAGTCTGAGTCTGACGGTGCCTGTGTCTGTGCCTGTGCCTGCGGTGGTGGGTGCGCGTTGGCGAGAGCAGTGACTGTCGCGAGGGCGATGGCGTGGTGCAGGGCTAGCGGGGCGAAGAGCCTTCCTCGTTCTTGCTGCTGCTGCTGCTCCTGCTGCTCTTCCTGTAGAGTCTGACGCTCGTCCGGTGCAGGGGTCGACGATCCGGACCGCGACAAAGACACCGACGTCCCCTCAGACTCGCTGGAACAGCAAGCACACGAACATGTTTCGTTCCACCAGCCCAGTCCGATCGATTCCGCCCGCTCGATGTACCCCTCTGTCACGGTGCGCACGTGCACCAACGCCGCCATCGCGAAGCCCGTCCATGTTGTGAGCACGAGGCTCCAACCTGGAGCTCGGATGTCGAAAGCATTCGCGAAGAGGAGTAACGCACTGCTCAGGATCAGCGGGATGAAGATGAGACCTATGAACTTGGAATGGCTGAGGATGGCTCGCGCGGCCACCTGGCGTTGCTGGGCGATGCTATCGGCAATCAGGCGGAGGGAGACCGTGATATCGTCGCGAGAAGGAGAAGGATCCGTCGTGGTTTCGAAAGTCGGTTCAGTGGATGAGGATGCGTCCATGCTGGTCGTTCGTGATGGTGTGGTCGGATGGAAGGTGGATGAGTGGGAAAGGTTTGTGAGGTGAGTTCACTTGACAAGTTTCAGCTGGAGGTGAGTGTTACTGTGCGCCGTTTGTTTATCCCCCCTGAATGAATGGCTAGGATGAAAACAAGCTATTCCGGTTCCATGGCTCGACATCCCACAACACCGTCCATTCACTCAACGCCTTTTAATTATGGCCTGCTATCTTTGCCAGGTGATAAACTAGTCCTCCGGTCACTACGAAATGCAATTGATCCCATCACTGTCATGTCAAGTCTCATCACCACGCCACGGCCGCTTACGAACTCTCATCCTCGCCTGCCAGATACTCCAAAGTCCGCCCCTTGGTCTCTGGAATTAACCAGGTCGTCAAAAACCCGCACACCATAAACAGAGCGAATATCTGCATAACGTGGTTGAGCCACGGGGTGTCCGACGAACTGATTCCTCCCTGCGCGCCGCGATGTGCCAGCGGTCCGAACACGCACTGCGCGATGATGGCGCCCACCTTGCCGGCCGCAGCACTCATCCCGTGCGAAGTCGACCGGTACCGCGTTGGAAAGCACTCACCAGGCACGATGAACGTCGTAGCGTTGGGACCAAAGTTGAAAAAGAACTGCGCCACCACGTACAAAGCCAACAGCGCGTTTTGCGACTGTTTGAGCGATGCGTAGGCGAAGCCGATGATGATGAACACTGTAGTCAGGATCACAAATCCGACCAGTTGGATTGGCTTCCGACCGATCGAATCGACTGTAGCAACTGTCATCCAGTAGCCGGGGATGGCTCCGGCACAGATCAGAATCAGATTGCCGACTGCATTGCGATAGAAGTACTCGTAGATGTTGCTGCCGCCGTTCCATCCGATTGCCGTGAGGATGATCGAGTTGTTTATGCCCGAGACCATAGAACGCTGCAAGATTAGCGTCGCGTCCAGGGCAACGAACAGAAAATGAGGAAAGACGTACCAATGTCAAGGAAGAACCACGAGCCTGCAGTACCCAGCAGCACCTTGCCGTGTTTCCACTGGAGAAAATGCGACCAAAAATCGGACCAACTCGCCTTGGGAGTCACCAGGTTAATGGTCTCGCTCTGAAGCACGGCCACCCGTTAGACCTCATCCGGACGACCCTCGTGCTTGCCAGCAATATACGCCCGCACATCTTCATCACCCTTGACCAAGTCCTTGGCAATGTCGAAAGTGTAGCGCGGGGTTTCGGGAATCGTCAAGCGATAGTACAGGGCAATGCAAGCGGGCACCGCGCCGAAACTGATAACGATGCGCCACATCTTGTCGACAGCCAGTTGACAGACGTCACCGCACTTACCAACCGTAGCAGCTGTTTCCAACGACAGCTTAAAGGCCACAGTCAGGATCAAAGCCACGATCGCTGCAGCGAACTGTCCGATGACAGTGCCGGCGGAGGTGGATACCTTGATAGCAGTGTCCGAGCCGTAGGGGATCTTGCCTGGACGCTCGGCTGCTTGCTGCCAGTAGACCACACCCAGCATACTCGAACAGAGGTTGATGGCGAAGATGTCGTAGGAGTCGGTGAAGAAGCCCACGCCGGCTACTATGACGGCCCGCACATGACGCCAGCCAAAGGGAGCGTTGTCTATCTGGGACAAGGCCAGGCGACGGCGCTGGTTGGGGTCTTCAATGTGGGAGAGGTTGATGTTGACCGCAGCTCTTTCAACGGAGTTGTCAGGCATAGTGATGTTGTCTGGGACAAGTCTGACGCTGCGATGCAGGGTTGCTCAGTTGGTTGAAGCTGGTGGACAAGATATGAAAGGAGGTGGAAGAGGTGGACGCGCAACGAACAATGTAAGGACTGATTCGAGAGTTGGAGGGGCTCGTTACCATGTCAGCTCGATATCAATGGAAGTGTTGATGAGAAGTCAAAGGGTAGTCCGGCATGATGTCCGAACCAACAGCGTCTGGCAGTTGAGGTGAAGAAAGCAGTCACAGCTCAGGTGGCTGAAGCTGAAGGTCGATGACAACCACACAGTCAAGCACGTGGTCGTCAATTGTGTTTCTGCTTTGACGAAATTTAAAGCATGGCTCATTGTTTGGAAAGGAAAGCAGACGGGGTATCATTATAGTGGAAAGTTCCTGCTTTGAAGATTCGAGCAAGGCTTTACTCAACGGTCAGGAATTCCCAGGATTGAGTATCGACTGGAGAGATGAGATTGATGCCGGTACAAGGACGACAACAGCATTGCAGGTCATTAAACCGACCGAACCGCTATTGACACTCCTATCTTATGGCACCTGGAGATTAGTTGCACCGGTTTCCTTGATTCCCGCCCATACACAAGCCGCCATAGGAACCAGCACTTGAATTGCTGGAGGTTGTTTTGTTTCCTTACCCTAAGTACTTTAGGCTCTGTATTGCACTAGAGCCTCTAAATCCAATACACATAAGGCTACAATTGTTTAACCATCGTGAGTCTGCTGACGGCACGTGAAAGATGCCCTCAAGCCACCTGTGGCTGGAGCTATGCTCCCAAATCACAAGACCGTTAAGTCTGCCACGTAGGTGGCTGGGAGTGTTTCAGACTGACGAAGCGTGTACGGCCTCACTTCGATCGTGGTCGAGGATGACTGGTTGGGCTCTGGCGGGGGAATGATGCGCCAGCCTTGCGAGTAACTCGATATCCGTCTGCTTTGTGTAGGACTTAGTGACAAGGCAGACAGACATCTTGAGCTCTAATGATCTAATGGTAAAGTGGAAGCCGATCTTCTTGAATATCCATGGTTGCCCCTGATCTTCTGTTTATTGCCAGGTCGCTGCTTACTATTTTCAGTCAAGCGGGGTGGGTTAATGTTCGATGACGTAGCCAGGATCCGTTGGGGAAACATGAGGGGTATTTATGAATCTAATTAGTGTCAAGTAAGCAACTTCGACTAGTTAAGATCTAAGGTGCGTTTAAGATTCGGGATAATAGTCGATCATCTGATCTATAAAAAACACTTCTTCTCGTCTTAGGCTGGCCGATATCTGCTACTCCATTCCTCCCTCCATGAAATCTGAGTTGGAGAGCACTGAGGGGTAGTGGGCTGAAGGGGCTGCTGTCGCCTGCATCTGGGTAAGCATCCCTTGGCTTGAGCAGGGCTGCTGATTGCCCCTATACCAAATAGGGTGTCCGTGTATGCAATGGACAGCCAGCTCAATTTGTTGTTGCCAGAAGATTGGGTGTGCATACATGGATGACTAACTGGCGAGTCGGCCATTTGCAGGTGAGGCGGTGGAAACAAAGCCTTGTATTGATGATGGATGGGATGTCTCGCTGTTGGGCAACAGCACGCATGGACCGACCTGATAGTTAGAGGTGTTATTATATGAGCTACTGTCCTGTCTTTTCAACCATCCCACTTCTGCAACAACTTTCTCTTTTTCGGTTCCTGACCTTAGACTTTTCCCTAAACCTTACTTATCCACGGCCGGTGGCTGGAAACTCCCGCTCGAGCCGCTCTTTCCTTATCGTTGATCGTGGATCGATCTGCTTGCCATCATGTCTTTCCCTCCACACGAGGACTTTCTGTCGTCAATCCATATCCTGTTGCTCGATAGCACACGAGCTACTATCCTGGCATCTCAGATTCAATTCGGGGCTGATTTGAGACCATCCCAGCATGCAACCCTCGTCGCACTTGGAGAGGTCGATGTGGAGCTCAGAGCTCTACTGCGATGCATAGTACTGCCGCAGACGCATCCTTCACCTGCAGCTGCATTCCTGGCCTCTCTCCTGCGCGGATGCAGCTGTACTGTGAGCCTGGTTGACCGGCAGCTGCGTCTTTATCACTCCACCTACAGTGCGAGAGGCTATGTCACTGCCTGGTGGGCCCAGGTCATTGAGGCTTTGCAGCAATACCGAAGAATTCTTCGACGAGTTCGTGGCTTATACGACCCAAACAGGTATGCAAGCTCGTTCTCATGGACTTCTTGTTCAAAATAGGAGCTGAATCAATTCAAACATGTAGATCCAATCGCCGTTTCGATGGGCTACCTCTTTCAGCCGAAGTCGAGTCTCAAAACAGCGCGGTGCAACAGCTGCTGGAAGACCAAATCCAATTTGAAGCTTCCCACTGGGACGAGATCTATCAAAGTCAACATGCGGCTGATATGCGCCCGGAATATCCCCCGTCCGTGTATGTTACATCGCCCAGCAGCATCAAGGACGGAGATACCCCGGGTGATCCACCAACACCGCCACAACAATCCCAGCCTACTGAACCGCACAGTGCATTCAGTGCGGAGGCCCTACAAGAAGCTCGTGAACAGGAGCGCAGTCGCATTTATGCAATCCTCAAGTCGATCTGGATCTCCAAGAGTGAAAGTCCACAGAAGAGATCGAGCTGTCTCGTACGCGCAATTCGTGCCAAGTGCGCTGATGGCGTCAGCCTGTTGGCCGACCTGGGCGTGGAAGTGAACCAGCCCTGCGATAAGGATCTCCCATTATCCCTAGCAGCCAGCCTAGGCCATGATGATATCCTCCGGATTCTCATCGAGCGAGGAGCGACGGTTGACAAAAGAAGTGTCTCCGGCAGCACGGCGCTCATGTCTGCAGCCGGAGCCGGCCACACCTCCACCATCGAGCTTCTTCTGGCCAACAAGGCCGGTATCAACGCCCAAAGCACCTCCAAGTCGGCCAATGGCTTCACACCCTTGATGGAAGCAGTGAAAGCTGGGCACCAACATGCGTGCGGACTGCTGATAAGCCGAGGTGCGGACGCTAAACTCCAAAGTCATGCCGGGGAGTCTCTGTTGCATATCGCGATTCAGAACGGTCGCACGGAGATCATTAATCTTGTGCTGAACAGCCATCCCCAGATTGGAGTGGCGGACAAGAATGGCAATACAGAGTTGCATCTAGCTACCACACAAGGCCTGGTGGATGTGTCGACGACTCTACTGCAGCGGATGAACAGTATCGTCAGGATTGCCAATCACAAGAAAGAAACCCCGTTGCATTATGCGATACGCAATCGGAGTTACGAACTTTCCAAGCTCTTTCTCGAGGAGGGTGCGTTTGTTGACACACCGGACAATAAGGGGAGGACGCCGCTGCATTATGCCGTCGAGAAGGATTGTTTGAACATTGTTCATCTGCTGCTTGATAGAGAAGCGGATGTTGATTTTCGAGACTGCAGTGGCAAGACGCCGCTTCATTACGCGATGGAGTTGGCCAACGTGGACGTCATCCAGGCTCTACTGCAAAAAGGTCCCATCCTCGATATTGAGGACAAGAGCAACGAAACGCCGCTGCATTACGCTGTCAAATCTGGCAACCATAGCATCCTGCGGCTTTGTATCGCGCACGGTGTCAGCCCAAGGTGTAAGGTCACCAGTGATCAATCTCTCCTGGAGTACATCATAGAACTGTCCTCGTCCGACGAACAGGTCTCACTTGCTATGTTGCGAGAGCTCATTCGCCTGCACAAGGTTGGACAACCGCTGACTGCCACGTTCGAATTCCCTGCCCTCTCCCAGATGACGAGACAAGGGAAAATCTCCCTTGCCAAATTGTTTTGCAAGCACGATCCAAAGGTCGTGAACGAAACGCCTCCAGCAGATTCAGGGTTCTTACCCCCGTTGCATGAAGCCATCAAATCGGGCCACAAGGAAATGATCGACTTCCTTTGTCATCTCCCGCAAACCGACCTGAACATCCTCGACCACCAAGGAAATACGCCCTTGCATCAGGCCGTGCTAAAGTGGCAGGATGGACTGCCGAGCATGCTAATTGCCCGGGGCGCCGATAAAGACCGTCCTCATGCCACCTCAGGACTACCACCTCTGCATTTTGCTGTCAAGAAGCAATACCTCAAAGTAGTGGAAGAGTTTATCAAGAATAAGACCAATGCTGATCAGCGAGTGGATGGGCCACAGTGTGACTGGTGCAGGAAACATTCTCGACCGGCTGGGATGAACTCACGGTGTGTGCTGCAGGCCATCCCTGAGGCCCGGCGGAAGCCTGAATGGGAAGCCATCAACACGATTCTGACTCAGGTGCTCAATCCGCGGCCTTCTCCGGGCCCTGGATCCGTCTCCAGTGGCAGTGGTCCGAGAAGGAGGGCGGCGCGTTGAGAGGCACGAACGATGTGGTACTTTTGTCATTCGAGATGTTTTGTTTAGCCAGCGTGCATGTGTCCGTATTAAGACTGTAAGGCTTAGAAGTTACGGCTGACGCCATCAGATGTGATAGAAGGCGCTCTGACTCAACGGGCTTATCAATATGTCACATTCCTAAAGTGCTGTGAGCAGGGATTTCCCCCTCTACAGCGGATTGACTGGCTATTTAGAGAAGACTATCCCAACACTATTGACCCCGTCTCCACCTGGTCGTTGAAGCGGTGAGTCTCTAACCCAATCCGAGATGCCAGGTGTGAGAAGGTTGTTGGTGGCGTGCCCTAAGCGATCAAGGCCGGAGCCATCCTTCCGGCCATCCCTGTCCTTAGGGTCGTGTGGTTATCATGCGGGGGTCTTATGCCTTTCAATTTCATCCTCAATGCCCCCATGATTTTGTTTCTGCCCACAGCTCGCGTGGCGACCACCTCAAACATCGTTTGTCCCCTTGTCCGCGCAGCGCGTGGCGTCTCATCCAGACATCGATGCTCGCTTTAAATCCCCCAGCAACACGCCAGCGAGTTCGCTCCGTCGGTCTTTTAGTTCTTTTTATCCCTTCCCCACTTGCTAATTATTAAACAAGGTGTTATACATGCAAATTTCGCAAGGTGAGATGCGAATCTGAACCTCAGGAGGGCCCATCCGACGGCATTGACGGGTCTACCAGCTGCGCTTCCTGCAGACGACTCGGGTTGGAATGCCGATGGAGGGCTCCCTTGGCTGGGGAGCATTACAGCCCACCCTCAAAAAGACGGCAGACCATCGGTCGACGGCGTGAGCGCGCGAGATACCCCTGGCCGAGCAAGAGCACTGAGTCAACCGGCGACAATCATGAAGCTTCCCACTCCACTGGCGGGCCGCAGGGTACCAACGACCGGACGGCGCATGTAGACGTGCCGAGAATTGCGGAGCATTGTAGTAGCTCAACCTCAGACCCTACCCCTTCTCTTGGACTCGATGCTTGCGTGGATATGCTCGGAGACCTGCCTTTCGATATTCAGTTCGGTTTGGATTTGGCGCCGATCGATTTGAATTTCCACAACGGCGAGGGCCTTGGTTCAGCATCGTTACCTCCCCTCGACCACCATTCGCTCACGCTGTCTGCTGCAGATACAGCAAATCCAACGACTCTCATGTCGGGCTTTCCCTCTCCCAACGGTGTCCAGTTGGTACAGCATACCAGTCTAGATGGCAGCAAACCAAGAACAGATGGCAACTCCCCGTGGGAAGTCTCGACCATAGACGTTGAGGAGCAGCACCTGATCCAACAATATCTGTAAACGATGACGGGCTATGCAAAAGTGGATGACTGTCCTCAGGGTGCCAGCAATTGATACACGACCGCGTTCTCGCAGTGCCTCTCGGCCAAGCTCCTCCTCTACGCCATCCTTGCCTTCTCAGCGTCGCATCTCGCACTGGAAGACGGCTCGTACGCCGACAAAGCGTCTCAATTCGAGCAACTGGCGCACGACTCGTTCGCCGCGTGCAAAGAGCAGCACACCTCCCAGCCTGAAAGCCTTCTGTCGGCGCTGTTTGTCTGCGCGAAGCGGATCCACCTACTCGCCGGCAGTATAGAGGCCTTGTCGGAAAATGGCCAGCGCATTTTGCAAAATCCCCTTTCTCTAGCCCAACGCATCGTAATCCGGCTGGCTCTGTTGGACGCCTGCGCGTCCTGCTATTCCCTGGGTGGCGGGAAGCTCGTCCAGGCGCTGCGCCACATCCCAGCCATGTCCTTCATCTTCGACGAGGACATCTGTAGTGTAGCCGCCCCAAATAACAATAGCAACAGCGCACTGATCAGCCTGCTTCGAACGGACCTGCTGTGTATGTGAATTGTCGAACTCGACCTACGACTTCGCCTCCAGACTGAAAGCGAGCATCTGCTTCCGTCGCCTGTCCGGACTGAGGATGTCCGCACGCTGCACGGTCATATCGAGCATGAGATCCGGCAGTGGGAGCATTAGATGTGCTCTCGCGGTCATTCGACTGACTGATACTGTCAGCAATAGATATCACTTTGAACTCCAAAGAGATGAACTTATTTTTGCCCTAGAGTTTGTTCTTGGGCGCATGAATCATGTAGGTAGTGTATTGCTGATGCGACGAGCAGCTGGTGAGTGCAACATCTGCTCGTCTGCCTTTTGAGTTACGACTTTCACATTCATCGTAGCAGAGTTCTCATCTTTTATCAATAACACTGATTAAAACATTTTCTTCCTCCTGTGATGTCACAAAAAAAATTCAATATGCATGAAGAGTTACATAACGAGCCTTTAGAGATATTATCCGGTGCGGTCCCTATTTCAACCATGGTTCTGAAGTGGGCAAGACATCTGCCTGTAAACTCATCATCCGTCCTGCGTGATATGTCTCGAGGATTTCAGCATTCATCTCCTGAGCTGATTTACACGAAGCTCATTAATTCGGTGACTACTTGAGGCATTTCCTGCATGGATGTCATGGCAATGTGTTTCTGACAAATATTGGTAGGGGTAGCTAATAAGTTAGGGTACGGCCGGGCGGTTCTTGCCGCTTCCCTGCGCTTCTTCCTTGATCGACTAAGCTTGTTTGTTGTGCGATCGATTGACGAGGAGACACTTGCAGCATGACATCATGGGTTTATCCATTACATGGCTGAATTGTGACAGTATCGGGATCATGATATGTGGACCACAAGAAGCAACGCTGAGCCTTGCCCTTGCCCGGGTAATTTGAGAACAGCACAAAGCCCCACAAGAGCTATTCGCCACAAGATATGCACGAATGCAGACAAGGCTGAGGGACACCTTTCACACCCTAGGGCAAGAAACAAGCTAGTCCGGAGCTGCATGGTCGAAAGTAGCGGTAAGCTTAGTGCTTACGCTTCTTCATCAATGCTACCCGTATACGAGGTAGTCTGCAGCTTCGTCCCGATGGCGCGATCACCTCGCTACTACGATTGGTAATGTCAGCTTATGAATCCGGAACTGGGTCATGACTTCGCAAAATGCAACCTGCTGTTCTGTGAAAATTGAGGAGTATAAGTAGAGCTAATACGCCCGTTGTCGGCCTATGTAGACAACCTAAACCACAAACCACAGCAGTAACAGCTTGGGCATAATTCAACATGCGTGTGTCTTGGGCGAGTTTGTTCGCTCTAAACTCCCTCTACGGAACCAGCCATGCCAGTCCCTCGCGGCCAAGAAATGAGTCGCGAGTGCAGCCGTTCCACATCGACTTGTCGTCGAGGGTTCCTCGCATGCTAGAGCAGATCAGAAGCACCAGATTGCCGGCAGAGCCCGTCTACGTCGACACAGGCAACGCCAAGGGGATCACATTGAGCGATCTGAAATCGTTCCGAGAAGTATGGCTTACGAACTTTGACTGGGAGAGCGAGCAAAAAGATCTCAACAAGTACGTGCATTTCGACAAGCAGAAAACATCCCTAACCCAAGCAGATTCCACCACTACACCACCGAACTCGAAAAATTGACCATCCACTTCATCCACGAAAAGTCCAACGCATCAAACGCGATTCCCCTGCTTCTGCTGCACGGGTGGCCCGGTTCCTTCCTCGAGTTCGCTCCGATCATCAAGCAGCTGACCGAGCAAGCGACCACCTCGACCGGCGAACCGGTCTCGTTCGACGTGATCGTGCCCTCGCTACCGGGCTTCGCCTTCTCGTCCCCCGCGCCAATCAACTGGACCATCGCCGACACCGCGCGCGTGTTCAACACGCTGGTCACGAAGGTGCTGGGCTACAGCACGTACGCGATTTTCGGAACCGACTGGGGCGCCGGCGTCGGCTACACCCTGTACGACCAGTACAACACGACCGTCCGTGCAGGCCATCTCGCCTTTTTACCGTTCTTCCCATTGACCCTCGACGCGCTTGCAGCGCAGAACATCATTCTCAGTCCGCTCGAGGCCTTCGAAGAGGCCAATACAATGGAATGGAATAATTCAGGCGAGGGGTACTTCACCGAGCAGACCACGAAGGTGCGTCCCAACCCCTCCCAGCCCAACACTACACCACCCCCCACCCCAGCCCAGCCCACTAACTAACTCCCCGGTCAAAAGCCAAACACAATCGGCCTCGCCCTCCAAGACAATCCGGTAGGCCAACTAGCCTGGATCGGCGAGAAATTCCTCAACTGTAAGCCAACCCCCTCCCCCCTCCAAACCGCCGTCCCCACCCTAACAGAAGAAAAAAGGGTCCGACCCCCAAGCCGGAACCTCTCCATCAGTGCTCACGCACCACGAGATCCTGCGCCATGTGTCATTGTACTACCTCACGGAATCCTTTGCCTCATCCGTCGTGATCTACGCCCAGAATCCGCAGGGCTTCAGCACGGTCTACACTCGGGCCCGCACTGATGCGCCGCTGCTGTTCAGTGCGTTTAAGTATAATGTGGGATTTTGGCCGCCGGCATTGGTGGCGAAGACGGGGAACTTGGTGTTTTATTCGAGTGAGTTCTTCCTTCTTGGGGTAATCTTTGATTGGTCGGCGCAGGGGGTATCGGTTGCTGACGTGTGGTGTGTGGGTAGATCATGAGGAAGGGGGTCACTTTCCTGGGTTGGATAATCCGCCGGCCTTGCTGGGGGATTTGAGGGAGATTGGGAGGTTTTGGGGGGGTAGGGTTGCCGTATGAAGAGGCGTATGTGAGGTTGGGGAAATTGGGTGTGGTTGGAGTGAGGAGGTAGTGATCATAAGGAGTGATACATGTGGTTGCTTGAGAAATTGAAGGTATAGACTCAGCTCAAGATATACACAATTGTCGATGACCACGCCACCTCGAACATCATTGAATCCTATTCCCCACACCAGCCCAAAGCCCAACCGGTATCATACACCTCCCAACCCAGCGCTCCAAGGCGGCACACAGAAATAAACAAACCCATGCCCTACACAAGCAGCCAACGCAGCAACCTACCGCCATATCCACACATTAGTTCAATCCCACAACTCCCATCCCCCTCTATAGAAAGGAAAAACTCACCCAATGAACCCAATGATACCCCGGAAACCCCGTAGCAACATAGACCGCAAAACAGCGCGCCGGGTTCAGCCCTAAGAGCCTAGATCAGCCTAGTCCAAGCCCACAGCATCATCCTACCCTCACATCCACAATCCCACCAAAGAATAGAAGAAAGGAAGAGGGAAAACTAACCAGCACCCCCAAACCCCACCCTCGTAAACGCCGATGCCCAACTAACAACCCCCAGCGCCATACCAACCAGAAACGGCGACAGCGCTGCCCCGAACAACCGTCCCTGGCGGGGATCCAGGCCTACACCGAATGAGAAGAACACGAGGATCAGACAGAAGATAAATTCTAGCAGAAAGGCTTCCTGGACAGGGACAAGGCGAGTGTCGATGCTGCAGCCGCCGACTGCGAAAGCCGGGGAGCCGTAGGCGGCGCGCAGGATGAGGCCGGCGAGGGCGCCGCCGAGGGTCTGCGCGGCAAGGTAGATCAGCGCGCGCGGGAGGGTGATCAGCCGGGCGAAGAAGGTGGCCAGCGTGATGGTTGGGTTGAGGTGGCTGCCGGTTACGTTGGAGAAGGTGAAGATGCAGAGGGTTAGGGTGAGCCAGTTAACTAGGCTGCCGACTGTGGGGCCGAGGAAGATTGCTGTGCTGTAGATTCCTGCTGCGCTGCTTGGGGTCGGGGTGGGTATTTGGTTGGTGGGGTGTTTGATGGAGGCCCAGGCTGTGATGAAGATGTTGAGCATAGTTCCTTGGTTCGGGTTAGTCGAGGCTATTGGGATAAGGAATGGGTGAGGAACAGACCGATACACTCGATGAACCCGAACTTCCACAGGTCGAATTCTAGGAGACCACGGAGATTGAAGCCCTCGCGGAGTGTCATCAACGGGGCCGCGTCCGGCACCCGCTTCAATAAGTTTGCATTGTCGGGGTCGTTCCGGTCCACGACCAGCGTCTGGTTGCCTCCGATCCTTCCCGTGAAGGGCTGGATCGTGGGTTTGGCGTCCGTCATGTCCATGCAGGGCTGGGCCTTGGTCTGGGCAGGGGCGGTTGTGACTCGTGAGTAAGGTTGGTTCCTGCAGCGAGGGCGCAACGGCAGGGATGAAGGGGTTATATCTGAGCCTTTCTCATATCCACACGGTCTAAACGACCCGGCAGTGTGTCTCAAATGACACAAGCTTCAATCATACCCACTGGAATATATTAGCGCTAAACCCCTTTGGTGCTGCTATACGGGGTCAAGGATCTCATCATTTTATGGACTGACCGCTTACTCGGTGTGGCCGCGCTAGGCTTGTTCCGGCTGTCCAGGGCACGGCTTCATCGGCAGTATCCCAATCCGGTAAATGGTATCTGACACGGCAGAATTGGGGATATGACTCCAGACTCAATGCTGCAGCCTACATAACGCTTATGCTTCGGTCCAGCTTTAATTGGTTCTGCCCGTGGACCAGCATTAGAAAGTGGTATGCCCCTGGCTTGCGACGTGGCTTTGGTCCTCTTTTCACAAATCCAAATGGCAGAGTCGAGCTATCATAAAATTGACGCAGAAGCCAGAAGAATTTGGTCTATTGCAGTTGGTTTGTTCCGGTCAAAGATGGGAGGAAGCCTGGGGAGCTTTTGCGACCGTCTTCTGGACGGGGCCAATCGCGGAGTCGGCAGTTTCTCTCCTCCAGGTTGAGAAGACAACTGATGTTCGGCAATGTAGTGGTTCCTTGGGCAGATGTCTACTTGACGATCTCAAAATGAAGGGGCAGCGGAACAATGGAATAAGGGTTGAGGATTGGCGTCTGGCCCGCTCCGCTCCGCCCCGCTGCCCTAGTCCGCCGCCTGGAATTGCGAACAAAACCCCTCCTTCATCACTTCCGGGTCTTGATGGACTCCGGGCCGTAGCTACTCAAGTTAGGATCCCATACTAGGTGTAAGAGATGAAGAAAGGATGAAATTCTATGCTAACAAGAACCCGGAAGATGGGAAGGAAAGAGGGAGGAAGGTCCGGCGGACCTTCCTCCCGACTGAGTATAGTACATATACCCGCGCTATGCCTCAGGCATCCAGCTCCCGTCACGTGGACCCCGTCAGCATGGAAGGCCTGACATTAGGTCCCCGCGACCGTGAAATCTGATGAACATGCGAACAAGAATACTTGCTTTGCCCTTTGCCCACGAAAACATGATATGCGTGGCGTTGCCTCTAATGGATATTCACGAGGTACTGTAAAAAGCCCGTGGTACCCTTCCATCCGACTACCATATCCCAATGACCCGCCTTTGTCCCGTTCGCAGCCTCTCCCCTGTATGCACAAGACCCTCAGGTTAATCAGCAGCCGCGAGCGTGAACCATGGCTCTGAGCGTGCTCGCGCCGTCCTCCGCGCAACCCCATCATACCAACCTCGAAGGTTGGACTCGAGGTAATGGGGCTGATTGATAGCTTTGGTGATGCTATTGGTGGACGTTCGGGAGACTTGAATCAATGCCAGTGAGATTATAGCAGGTGGTAATGAACAAGATTTGCTTGGCGCTCCGCCGCAAAGCTCAGACTGGCGAGGCCAGCGCGGATCGTGATAGGCTTTATGCATATCGGCGGGCCGAACAATTTGTCGCTCTTTGTACATGCTGCCAACGCATGGCTGACGCATGGGGATTCTCCTGCTTCCGTTCAATTGGACTCGATAAAAGCAAAGTCTGCAGACGGGGAGGTCAATGCCACCGCCAAGTGGCGCGCGTGACAGCACTGCTCGTATTTAAACCTAAATCACAGAATAAGTAGGGTACAATGCACGCAGTCATGACATAAACCCTTTCCTCCGCGATGTCCATCCGCATAAGCTCCCTCCCACTCCTCCCCGTCCCAACAATCAAAAAGAAAAAACCACAAAATGGGCACCACGCAGTCCACCACCAACTTCCCTGAAGAAAACAAGCAGCAGACCTCCGAACCAACCACAACAATAACAGGCCTCGGCACCGAATGGCCTTCCTCACTCATCACAGCGGAAGACTTCCGCTCCTACATCCTAACGCACTACCCCGCCTCCGCCCCCTGGTAAGCCCATCCCTCTCCTCCTCGCCAATCGAAACCCAAACCTAAACCAACAGAAGGGTCCAAACCCTCCTCAAAGTGCACTCCCGCACTGAAATCGCAACCCGCGCCCTACTCGGCTTCGAAAACAACCCCAAATGGCACAACACGCACCCACCGACAGCCCGCGAAGTGGACGCCTCATTCCGCCAACACGGCATCCCACTCGCCACAACCGCAGCCCGGAAAGCCCTAGCAGATAGCAATAACCTCCCCGGGTCAGCGATAACGCACATGGTCTCCGTGACGGTAACGAACGCCGGAGCTCCGGGGTACGATCAGGCCGTGGCGCGCGCGCTGGGCGTGCCTGTTTCCGCGGAACGGTTCTTGCTCAGCGGGGTTGGGTGTGCGGGGGGGCTTGCTGCGTTGCGGTTAGCGAGTAAGCTTGCTTGTGCTGCGACGGCGAGGGGGGAAGCTGCGAGGATTTTGGTGCTTGCTTGTGAGGTTTGTAGTGTTTTTCTTGCGGCGGAGGTGTTTGCTGCTGCTGCGGGGTCAGGGGATGGGGAGGGGGAGGGGGACGCTGGGGTGGGGATAGGGCCTGTGTTGTTTGGGGATGGTGCCGCTGCGCTGGTCTTGTGTAATGCCCTTGGCATGGCGGGGATGGGTATGTCTGGGAAGTATGCGGTCGTGGACTGCAGGACGAGTATCACCCCTGATACGCACGACGTGATGGCGTATGGTGTTACGGAGCATGGGTTTAAGCTTGCGTTGAGCCGCGAGGTTCCCCGGTTGGCGGTTGGGGGGTTACAAGAGGGATTCCGGGCGTTGATGGAGGCGAATGCGCCATTTGCTGGTGCGCAGCCGGACGACTTTGACTGGGCAGTTCATCCGGGTGGGTTGGCGATTCTACGGGGCGCGCAGAAGGTGCTGGGCCTGGAGGAGGAGGCGCTGCGGGCGAGTTATGAGGTGTATCGGACGAGGGGAAATGCGTCGAGTGTAGCTGTGCTGGCGGTGCTGGATTTGTTGCGTGGGTTGGAGATGAGGAGGAGGGAGGTGGTGGCGGTGAGCTTCGGGCCTGGGCTGACGACGGAGATGGCTTTGTTAAAACGGTTGGTGTAGGAGGCTGTTCGGTGAATGTCTGGGACTGTGACGGGTGTGTTGTGATTGCATGAACCAGATCAGAACATGCAGGAGGCACAGTTCGACCCTGGGCTGCAAGTGTGGGATACTTTGTTCTACTTAAGACAAGGCATGGGACTTACGGCTTGGACTTCCTGAGCGACTCGAAGGCCTTGAGCTGTCAATGCTGCAGATATAGATTCCACTAAGTATAAAACAATGTGTACATGCTAGCACGAAGAACCGAGGCACCAGAGGTATCTTGTACATCGGTATCATGGCAATTCAAAAACAAGCAGGAGAGAGCAAACACTGCGCTACAGAAGCGTAATCCTCAAGACACGCCCCCAGGCAAGCATCCATCAACAAGTAACAGCGACCTCGTCCCCAAGCACAATCAACAAAGCTATACAGGACCCCTCATCTCCCTCCTTCCCCCCTCCCGCAAAACCCCCTCCCCAAGACCCAAATATCACAACTCATGACATCTCTCCACATAAACCCCCAACCTCCTCGGAAGATCCACATCCCACAACTCAGCACTCCTAGCATACGCCTCGACCTTCGAACAAGACTCCTCATTGATATACCGCGCCAAACGGGGCAACTCGCGCGCAGAGGCAACATTAACCTCCCGACGCGCACAATCCATAAAAGCCGGGGGCGCAGCACCAGGGTCATCGCAGAAGTGGCTGCGTGGGGCGAGGAAGTCCTGGCACTGGGCCTCGACGCTTCGGTAGACGGCGTCGAGGTAGTCGACCATGGCGGCCTGGCCGTCAGGCAGGCTGCAGCGGGCGGCGCCGTCAGCGACGACGGGCTCGAGGACGGCCTGCTTGCCGAATTGGGTCCAGTGGCTGAGTTTGGGCTGGCAGCCGGCGGCGCAGGCGTGGGTTTGCACGTTCTGGATGATGTGCAGGGGCAGTTCTTGCATTGCGGTTATGGCGCTGAGGCAGGAGGTGCCGAGGAGGGCGTGGGCGCTGAGGGGGTGCAGGGTTAGGGTTGCCGCGAGGGTGAGGATTTGGATGAGGGGTTGAGTTGGGCGCATTTTGCTTTGTGGTAGCTTTTTTTCAAGTCATGCAAATGAGTTAAGTTATGAGGTGTTGAGTTGTTTGTTTGTTTGTTGAGAGGACTGAAAAAGCTTGCTTCGCTTGAGAAACAGAGGGTATTAGCTGAGCTATATACATACCATTTCCCAATGATCGTCCCTGACGTAAAAGCAAGTGTTAGTGTAGCGGACTCTTGATTCGGGAGTTCGGAAACAATTATTTGTGGTTACTTGGTTCAGTTGCGCAATATTATTCAGGCATTGAAGCTTAGATTTGACCATGACTTGAACGGGATGCAGACATGACTGGTAGCGATTCTTCGCAAGCTACAAAATTTTCAAAACCCAGGAGAACTACAATGGAAGTAATCCTGGTACAAGAAGCTCTAGTAGTGATTCATGGACTCAGTCCATTAGAGGAGGAAGATATTTCGTTTCAACTTCACCCGCGTATCTTACCAAGACTGTGAGACATCCCGAGAAAGGGGGCTCGACAAATCTATTGGATATGACATATCGAGTTGAGAATTTCTCAGGGGTTATTTGATGCGTCGCAAGAAAACAAAGATGCTCAGCTGCAATACAGCAACGACCGGAATTCTCGTACATTAAAGCTTCACATCAGAGGTCAAAACGTCTGATTTAGCTTAGTACTTTCATTCTGACTCTTAATATACTAGACGACCATCATTTGTTCTTTGACCAGGTCTGTTCAAAGAAAGAAGAGGGTGAACAAGACGGAACATACCTGTGAGGTATCACAACCACCCAGAAGCCAAGACAGTTTATAGAACTACAATCTACAATCCCCCTGATGATCGAGATTGCACCTCATCTGTTTTTATACCAGCACGCAAGGACTGCGAGACGATCATCGTACTAGATAATCTTATTACGTTCATGGGGCCTTGCACAAGGCCATTTATCATGCTACAGGCTTTCAGGGGCTAGCCCTCCTATCCCCGAGGTCCTCCGTCAGATGTACCCGAGTCCAGATAGCAACGCTGGATGGTATGAGATGCAATGGTCATAGAAAATAGGCCTGTCATCATATGCCAGGCTAAAAGTGTCAAGCGGCCACGCAAAACGCAAGGCCACCACCAAGGCAAAAAGAACTCCGGAAGATATTTAAGCAGCTAAAGCAGCAGCCTCTTCCTCACCCACTCCGTATCTCAAACGCAGATGGTCTGCAACCATTGCTGAGATGTTGCCGACGGACCTGGCTTTGACAATGTCTCCAAGCGAAACCTCCAATTCTATCTTACGATGCAGCCAATGCTTGATCTGCAGGCTCAGCAGAGAATCAATATCAAGACTCGCATACTGGGCTTTCACACAATATCATACGTCTGCTTAATTTCCTTCATCTCCCAGATCTGCCCCTTGGCCTTCCTGCCACTCTCCGGGACATTTGGAGCCATAGCATTCTGCTCTCGAGCTGAAGGGCCTGTGGAAAGAAGGTGTGAATGACCCTGCGCAGGGCTCAACGGCACCCGTAGCTCGTCCGCGCTTCCATTCGCCTTGTCCTTGCAATCACCGCCACTGCGATGGTGATGGCCCGACCCGCTGATGCGCCTAGACCATATCTTTAACTTTGAAATGGATCCGACTGAACGGTATCCTCCACCAGAGCCTCGCCCCGGAGGGCGGCTGTAAGCTCTTGCCGACGAAGTCCAGAGACTCCGGACAATCGACAGGAAGGGGACGTCTCGCACGAGTCGATAGAGGATCGGAAGGCAGATGGCGATGACTCCGACGCCAATCTCGAGCATGGACCAGAACATGAAGATGCTGACGGTTCCTACGAGATTATCAGTAGTGTCCGTGAGTTGGATTAGGGAGGGAGGTTTTCTGACCGACGTTGTCCTCAGAAGCCAAGCTGTTGTGAGAAACTGCCAACGTTTTGACTGCGATGGTCAGTAAAGGACAAAATACGGAGAAGGTCGATCTACGCGTACAGGCGGGCGCGAGGATGTTACTGAAAAGGCTCAGACGGACGATTCCGCATATCGTTGCACTTAGACAGTCAGTGCTAAGCCACTTTGCCTAGTATACCTCTGACAAACTTACCCCATTCCGACCAGCAGAATCATAACAATCCCAAGTCGCTTGTGTAGGGGCATTTGCAGAGACAGAACCTGGCAATGTCAGTACGATATCGTAGGGAAAATGGGGACATAACCCACAAGAGGTACAGGGATGGCCAAGATCACCAGATCGACGAACACATCTGTTGCAGCAAGGGCGATATAGATGACGAAGGTATGGATGCACTTCATACTCTCAGGATACTCGAAGTTAGCATGGACATCGGGACCGCAGGACAAGATTCGCGCCACCACGAAAGCGACGCCCCAGGCTGCTACCAGGCCGATTAGCGCCCAGCTGGCGATTTGAAATAGCTGTCCCACAAAGATTCGGCGGTAGAACCATAGGACTGACAGTTTGAGACAGGCGAGAGCGAGGGTCTGGATCAGATCAAAGTAGAATTGGAGCTGCCCAGTGCCAAGGCGTCAGTACTCTGCCTTACTGACCGGGAAGAGGGCTCAATTCAATAGGGGAAACCTACGCACCATTGCTATGAAAACTCGAGGCCAGATATCATCCGCGGGGATATTTTCTGCGTGATTTCCGACTGTGTTCGTCGCAGACCCTGTCCGGAGGACTCTTCATCAGCCCATCCACAGCGGGCATGCTGTAGGACAGGATTGTTTACCGATGACCATTATGATTGCGTCCCCTGTCACAAGGCACTATTCGGATCCAACTTGGTCAGTGATATTGTTTTGTTGATCGCGATCGCCGAGGGACAAACTCACCCATGCTGCCAATGTCAGCCAGTCCTCCACCCCCAGGCTCGAACTCTGATATTTGACATAGAGGCGAGCAGCAACAGCACCGGTACCCAGAACAAGAAAGAGAATGCCCACAGTGAGTACGCTGGCTTGGTTGACATATGTCATCTTTGGCGGGTGGCAGAAGTCTGGTGGGGACCTGGAGCATGACGAGCAATTATACGTAGTGCTGCGACGGGCTATGGTGCCGACCGTGCTTACCTCGAGACTGAATAAAAGCACAGCCTTGTTGCTTTGGGGGCCTGAAATCAATGCAATGCAACGTGCAGGGGTGCAACCCTGTTTTTCTACAAATCATATCGTCGCATTCATGCAGGATTAACCATCCTGCATAACGGATCGGGGGTGCAACAAACACCAGCATCTCGCTATCATCGTGCCTCGTGGACTGGAGATTGCGATTGAACCGCTACCTAATTGATCCTTGCGTGCTTTAAAAAGTCTAGCTGCAGACAGTGCTTTACAGACAGCGATTTTAGAAAGTCAACTTTGTTTTCAAGTTCCATCTCTCAGTACCATTCGTGGACCGTAAATGTAGGCCAATCAAGGGATGTAGTGTATTCGTGAAAAGTCTGCACGGCCCCTTGAAAGGGATGAAGTTCACAGCCAATCAATCTAACCAGGCCTAGTGCTTATCTGCAGCTGTGTATGGTTGACCACATATTTGATTTTATGCAGCCTTGCTCAATTCCCTCTACACTGACTAGACAGGTCGCGGCACAGTTACTAAGCTCCGCCAAACCAGTCATGTTAAAGTTCAGACCCGGAAGCTTTATTTGTTGCATGCTGCACATGAATCGTGCCGCTCTGAAATGTCAATCCGGTGTTCCAGGACTTTCAGTGTGGGTGGTTCTCGACGGTGCTATGAGGTGAGGCCACTTTCATGACCGTCTAAAACAATCTTCGCACTATGGGTCATGTTCGCAAGCTCAGTGATATAGAATCATCTCACGAAATTGATCGTACTTATTCGCATCTAAGAATTCGAGTCTGTAGAAAGAATAACGATGAGTCGCAGGCTTGGTGAGAACGAAGTATGTTCCATAGATCAGAACTAATGGAAAGGTCAGCCCTATCGCAAAGATATCACTACGTGATCAGTAACCCAGAACAAGCCCCACTGCACACATGACCACCTGAATAGATTATACATCCACAGCCTACACGGATAGTCATACGCCATGCCCTCACTCCAAATGCGGAAAAGCACAACCTGGTAAGCAAAGCGAGAGGCTAGTGGCAGACGCGAGCAGACGAAGGGATCCATGAGCGACGAGACCGATCACCTCTGCCACCCTAGCCCGATACGCTGTACCAGATCTTGCCCTTTCGGAGGCACCTGAATCACTGTTTGGATGTGAAGAGGCAGATGCAATCAATGTTTCAAAAATGGCGAGATCCGGGACGAATAGAAGCGTAGACCCGACATCTGCATCCCCTTCTTACGGTCGCCTTTGAGGGACATGGCTCTCTATGCATACCGTGCCCGGAAAAGCCAGCAAGATTAATTGAATGATTCATTGATTGATTCATACACGCATCTGTCAGCTATATAGCTGAGTGGCGGCAGGTCACGGTTGAGGAGCCGGCAAGATTGTTCAGGATGACATGCGGTATTTCCGCAAACTATGTGGGTCTAGTCTAGCGAGCGAGTCAACTAAGACTCGAGGGCTGAAAGAGAGTTACCTGATATTTGCCCACCCTGCACTCTATGAAACTAGTAGCCTAGTAGTATGCTAATGTAGTTTGTCCGTTCCGGCTCGGCTGCTGCGCCGCTTACCCCTTTGTTTGTAGCACCGTCTCTCCCATAACCTCGTCTACCTCATATACCAATCCCCCGAGTCAACATCCATCCCCCAACCTCCCAAAATGACCCTACCCGAGGCACACCCCCAGCTGAGTCAAAGCACAATCCTTATAACCGGAGGCTCAGGAGGTCTCGCCAGCCAAATTTTGCAGCTCTTCGCCGAGCGAGGCAGCAAGCACCTGCACTCCCTCGACCTGCGCCCACCATCACATGCCACGGTGGTTGGAGGGACATGACCTTGTGGATAATGATTGTTGATAAAGTCAAGGATGGAATGTGGGGAGAATTCCGAACGGGCAAATCTTTCTGGGGTGGGATGAATGATAGCAACCACTGGTGCATTTGCGTCACCCACATGATGTCGATCCATCGCTCTTGCTCTTGCGGGTAGCTTGGATCAACTACTTCTCGATCAATGTATCTGTAGTTCTATAGTAGTGGTAATTCTGGAGTTGAAGTTGAAAATGTCTGGTTGTCAATCAGAGTGATCTGGAAGACTTCTAAACACAAGACGTTGTCGGTGTGGGATACTTAAAGCTTCGATGATCCCGGCCAAATTCTGAAGGGCAGGGAAGATTTGCTTTCCTGACCTGGCTGTTGCCTTCATCATCGGGGCCAGTCAACCCAGAGTTCCTATCTTGGTGTGGGCCATGCTACATATCATTGACATGTAAATCCAAGTCTTACTAGATGACCTTCAGATAGACGGTAGTGAGGTGCTAATTAATCGCACATTACGGCGAAAAAGTCACAGTGGACGAGGTCAAGCGTGCCTCTAGGCCCACCTGTGCATGACCTATAAACAAACGCTTGAGTCAAACCATTCAGCGTCAATTGAAAATATCGGTAATGAAAGCGGTTGCCGTATCCTTACTAGTCCGTACATGATCAGAAGATAACTCAAAAGAAGAGAGAAAACCCATCTTCAAGAATATTAGCCCGGTTTCCTGCTCAGAGCCGCACACCAAAAAACCAGGAATCAAGGAATAAATAATGTGAAGCTGCCGATCAATGTAGTTGGAGTCTCGACCCCAGAGTCTCCGTCTTAGAGCTGTGCCTACTCCGACTGGAAAAGTGGCCCAGGGATTTGATCAAGAGTAGCCTGCGTACCAATGACGAACACTCGGTAGCGCAGCGCTCAGATAGATAAACTAGAACAATTAGTTGTTGTATAGGAGATTTCTGGTACGAAACTTACCTAGCCAGCATGAACGCTAAATTTTCATTCAAGTTGGGACAATGGCCAACTCTACACCCTTCACACAGTTCACTATCGTGCGGACCTTTGCTTTGGCCAGAAGAATTTGGTCGCTGTACCTCAAGTCCATTCCATTTCTTGAGCCAATATGTCACTCTTTCCGCATAGCACTCAGAATCTAGGATCAGTCGACCAACGGCTCTGCAATTTCTGCATCGCTGATGATACACTCGCGCATTATATCGCTGTTGGGAGTACATGCGAATTGTAATCGCAATCTTTTTGCTCGACCAACCGCTGGAACAACAACCGCGATTTCGACATACGAATCGACCCATAACATTCGTGTCCCGTTCCTCAATGTTGGTATCTTCATCGTCGACGTCAAAGAAGTCTAGTTGAAGCCCTTCCTCGTCTAACAACCGTGCCACGTCATCATGAAGCTTTGGGTGAAGCGACCACAGTTTCGCGGCTTTGCCTCCCTTTCGTGGCATATTAAGTCTGGTTGCCGGTAATGGAGTTTCGTATGTTGGAAGCCTGCGTTGAGAACTCGGAACATGATCTTGGCTGGGTTTATGAACTGTTTCTGGGTGAAAGCATACCCCGCTTCAATGCAGCAGCTGTACTTTCTAAGGACAACACACCACTGCTATAGCACGAATTGACTGGTAGATGTGTGTCTCATGTGCTGTAAGGCGCCGCCATTTGACATACTCTGCCCACGACCCCCGCAGCCTACAGATCATGTACAAATTACTGATCTGGCCTGAGTGGGGATAGAAGCAAGTCTGACATCGGCTCCTTCCACCCTGCGGGGTAGTGCATGGTGGTAGCGAGCCTTCACGTGAAAACTTGTCGAAGTGCGCGCTAAGGCAGAGCGGTGCCACCAAGCAATCACGATGCTGAAAAGTCTTCCGCGTATTGCGACTGACAGAACCTACCATTTGTTCGTGGTATTTTGATTGGAATGTGATTGGACTACCTCTTGAGGGTATAACCAAAGCACACTGCCAACGCATACTCGAGGTTATATAGAGGAAATTCAGTGCCCTTTACCCAGGATAAAGATCCTTCTTACATGGTGTTATCCTGTGAGTAATAGAGCTTGGACAGATTTTGCTTAAATTCTTGTTACGACACAGCGCTGCTCGCTACTATATTAAAGGTAATAAACTGCTGCCTCCTCGGTAGTCAACACTTATCAGCTGCTGTATGTCAAGGGATGAGTCAATAGTATGAATATGGAATTTGACAATGCCAAACGTTTTCAAGCAAATTCATTATCCGGTGCGGGGTAGAGGCAATAAAGCTCGCAGGATGACCCTTGCGCGTACAGACTTGTGGTCTCCAATAATCTGCGTGGCATCAAAAGAGTTTATCTACGGTGTACGAGTACACATGCTGCCTAGTAGATGTCTTGAGATTGAAATTGCTTCGGTAGAGAAGTTTGCAGCATGTCACTGATCTGAGTGTCCTAATTTATTTTGTTCTCTTTCGCGCAGTGTTGGGAGACATGCAAAAAAATAACCCAACGATCTGATAATCATCACACTGGCACAATGTCGATCTGGGTAGAATGTGAGTGAGGTGATTTAACCGAATCAGTTTTCGACGTTGATGAGAGGATTCTTGGTAAGATAAGAAAGTGAAAGCATGGCACATTTGACATAATAGCTAGCCTTGCATTTGCATTTTTGTTATTTTATGGCAGTTTGGGTTGTTCCTTTCATTGGTCGACAGCAGAAAGGGCGCACACATGCCATGATCCTTGCTTTCTTCTTGGCGCGAATTCAGAGAGCTCATCCAGAACGGAAAATCTAGTCAAGTTACATAAATAATTTGTGCTGGAGGCCAAGTTGGACTATGGATACTACGTGATGCCTTGAATTCTAAGGGTCCATAACTTCGTTTCCTTTTCCCCTCATCTCGCGAAGGGGCAGTGGAAAGAACATGTTTTCCGGGGCCGCTGACGGGAACCACATTAGCCAATAATAGATAGCCATTGCAGGACACAGGGGCTCGTGCGGAGCCTTGCAGCTACAGCTCATCACTTGGCATCCGAGCCCCAGTTAGACCTCGCTAGTCTTAACGTGCATCTTATCACGCTTACCACTGGCTTAGTCCCCTGTTGTTATACCAGCAATCCTAAGCTATATCGAGAAGACTAATACAGCTCAGAATCATAGTATTACTCCATGTAAGAATTGGTCCTGATGATTGACATAGAAACTATTTTCACGACAATAAGGCTAATTTATAAGGTAATAAAGAATGCTCTAGCTTTGTATGTAACTCGAGCCACTTAATTGTACAGTACATGAGCACCAATATACCGCTCGCAGCGCTGGGAACTCAAAGCATCCCAGAATGAGTCTTGAAAATTCTTTCATTCTCGCCGCGCAGACAGGAATGACTTGTAGGAGTGGACACTACTAATTTCCATTGATCAATGTTTAGACGAGTTCATAAGTTGTACTGTCAAATATTTCATCAGGTGAGTTACAATTGAGAGTCAACTGCAGTGGGCGGAGAGCTATGCATATGTGCCCAAGTCTTCCGGATTCGGGGGTTACGAGCCGGAGAAGCTGTTACTTCCTAATGCGGAGCAAGGAAAATTGAATGCTGTCAGTCCGGGTGGGTCTTTTCATTAATGGACAGCAGAAAGCCCTCGTGCATGCCATGATCCTTGATTCCTCGGCGCAAATTCAGATAGGCTCGTCTAGAACCAAAAATCTAGACTAGACAAGACGCACTGCATTACATAAATACCTGGCCGGCGGAGGCCAGATTCGACCACGGATAGTGTGTAAGACCTTGTTACTTAATAGTCTCAGTCTCACTTTTTAGTTTTCTCATCTTACGAAGGGTTCTATCCGGGCCCTTTACTTTTTTGCAACATGGTTCTCAGAGAATTCCTATCAAAACCTTTGGATAGCCTCTGCACTGATGAACAACTTGATCTTCTAAACTCTATTGATACCCTTCGATCCCAGGGCATTAGCCATTATGTGTCTCTGCCGCAAATTATTGTGTGCGGTGACCAGTCATCTGGGAAGAGCTCTGTACTCGAAGCAATTTCTGGAGTTTCTTTTCCTGTCAAAAGCAACCTCTGTACCAGATTTCCGACAGAGCTTGTGCTTCGCAAAGATTCTAGTGTCGGAGTTAGAGTGTCTATCGTACCTCATGATTCGCGCAGCGAAGCGGAACAACTGTCGCTGGGGAGCTTTTGTGAAGAGCTTGACGGATTCGATGGGCTTCCTCGACTGATCGATAATGCCAAAGCTGCAATGGGCATATCTACACATGGGAAAGCATTCTCTAATGATCTGCTACGAGTCGAGGTGTCAGGGCCTGACAGACCGCACTTGACCATCGTCGATCTTCCGGGACTGATACACTCTGAGACAAAACAACAATCTGCAGCTGATGTTCAGTTGGTCCAGGATGTGGTTCAGTCATATATGAAAGAGCCGCGAAGCATTATTCTAGCAGTGATCTCGGCGAAAAATGACTACGCGAACCAGATCGTGTTACGGCTGGCAAGGGATGCTGACAAGGCGGGCAATCGAACCTTAGGCGTCATCACGAAACCTGACACCCTGACTGCAAATTCGGAAAGCGAAAGAATGTTCATATCTTTGGCAAACAACAGGGATGTTGAATTCAGGCTCGGATGGCATACGCTGAAGAATATGGATACCGACAAAGGGACTTGGACACTTGGGGAACGGGATGAAAAGGAGCGTGACTTTTTCTCCAAGGGAGCCTGGGCGGAAATGCCATCTTCGTTGGTTGGAATTACTTCGCTGCGAACCCGTCTCAGCAAATTACTTCTGCGACAAATTGCGGCTGAGCTTCCAAGCCTCATTGAGGAGATAAAAACAAAGGAGGACGAATACGTACACCAATTGAAGAAGCTTGGCCAGCCAAGGGCCACTCTAGATGAGCAAAAGTCCTACCTTATGAACATCAGCCAACGTTTTCAATCTTTGATCAAGGCCGCTGTTGATGGCACTTATAACGAAACGTTCTTCGAAGACACCCAATCAACTATAGGATGTCAAAAGCGAATTCGCGCTGTTATCCAGAATCTAAACGAGGCATTCGCAGATCGTCTCAATAGACGAGGTCACTACCGCCAAATCAAAGAGAATGACAGTCAACCCGAGCCCTTCATCAAGGGGCAGGTCTCAGTCACTAGAAGCGGCTTCATTGATCACATTCAGGAGCTGATGAAGCAGACAAGAGGACGAGAGCTGCCCGGCACGTTTAATCCGATGATTGTCGGGGAACTCTTCCTGGAACAATGTCGTCCGTGGGAAGCTATAACACGCCAACATATTCTTACGACCTGGAAGGCAACTCAAACATTTTTGTTACTCTTGATAGGCCATATTTCCGATGAAGCAACTTCAGTGGTTCTTCTCGCTGAAGTCATCTCCCCTGCACTAGACCAACTACGGGAGGTTCTGGTAAGGAGATGTAACGAACTTCTCGAAACCCATCAAAAAGGCCACCCAATTACCTATAATCACTATTTCACGGAGACCTTACAGAAGATCCGCGCTAGCAGGCGCGAAGGCGAGCTGAGTGAAGCTATTGAACGCTTCTTCGGGGTCAACGATCTACAAAGGGCCGTTGCACTCAATGGAATATACCGTCTGCAGGATCTCCTTCAGTCACTTCTACAGTCTAGTGAGCCAGATATGATGAGATTTGCTTCGGCTGAAGCTTTAGATTGCATGCTCGCCTATTATAAGGTACAGTGGATCCTCATAATTCCCATGTTTCCCATGAGCAACGCTGACTGCTGCAGGTGGCATTAAAACGATTTATCGACGATGTCGCGGTTGAGGTTATAGAGGTCCAATTGATTAAATCTCTTACTTCTCTATTCGAGCCCGTTAAAGTATTCAATATGCCACCAGAGCTGGTGTCACGCATCGCCGGCGAATCCGAGGAATCCCGTGCACTACGAGAACAACTGAATAGAAAAATACATATTCTTGGAAAAGGCTTAGAAACCTGCCGACGCTTTGTCGGCAGTCGAGGTATGGGTACGGATGAAATAGAAGGCGCACGCCGACTCGATGGCAAGTCTCGGGACCGGTTTGATCATACTTCGTTGCGCATTGAGCTTGCGAACCATGACGGCTCAGATGCTTCCGGTAGCTCACATAACGAACCTTCTGAGATTGATTACGAACGGGATCAACCTGTCAGCGAAGACTCCGTGATACCCGCTTGTGATCCTCAGCCTGTGGATCTGAATGAAGAATTTGATCAAGCTACAGCGGCTCCAGCAATCATGGGGTATGAAGATGTTTCGACTGAGACTGCTGCCCAAGTGGAGGACCCCTATTGCCTAAGCTCTACAACGAGAAAGAAGAGCAAGAATAAGAAGTCGAAGTATGGAGTATGAAAGTAATGCAGTTCTTGTGATGATACTCTTTATCTGGCTTTTATCGAATGATTGAGTTATTGATTTAGATAGTTTTTTATGCAGCCGAAAAGCTTTCCGGTACCTTAATTTTACTTCAGATGCACCCCTTATCAACAAATTATAGATACAATCTTTGGTTGGACTTTCGCGAGTATAATTTAGGATATCTATATATCAAAAGAGCACGACACGGAGACAAATTAATCGTACTGAAAATACTCAATTAATGAGTAATATGACTTTCTACCCATCTACAACTTTGAGCATACAAAGTTCTAAGTAGAACATAAGGTTTGTTTAGTATCGAACTGAACGTTGATCCATGCAGCAGGTTCTATTTAACAGTCGCAACAGCATACTTTGGCCAAATGGAGGCGAGATTTAGCTTTTCGTAGAAATGTTCTAATGTCCTTTCATGGACTGGTCACGCATGATCTAGAGTTTGCGTTTGTGTTGCAGCATAAATCATGTTTTCTTCAGATTGCGGCATCCTCCATCTCAGTGTAAGGATCGAAAAGAGAAAGAACATCTCCTCAAACGTATCGACATATTGTAATTACAAGATTACAAGGATTGATGGTACTCGTCAAGCAATTGTTCATTATGTGAGAAAGATGTTACCGTACATAAGAATGTTCGGATCCAGACTGTGACAGTCCCTATCAGCTCACAAGGTGTTAATGCACCGGTTTGACCACTTTATGGTCAATGAATGATGTAACCAAGATCTAGCCTAGTCTTCGGGGTTGCAACACGCCTTATCCGCAGGGTCGCAGTCAGTAACTTGAATAGACTCCGGTCACTCCGACATCAAGCTTACTCGGTGTTCATGTTGGCAGCAAAATGAGTTTCCAGTGAGCCTATTGAGGGAGCTGGAAGCTTGTTCGGATAAGAGCTCACCACAACGACAGACCCAAGAAAATCCTTCAGCGAGTCTAGGCACTTTACTCTACGGTACTCATATGCTTTTTTTTTGGCGAAATATGAATACACTCTTCTGTGGAATACATTAATGCCACGGAATACATCATTCTTACCATCCGAAACAATTTTCTCGCTGTGGGAGAAGAATAATTGAGTGCTACGATTTCCTTACTCAAGTTAACGATGTCCATAGTTCTACATATTGTTCTCAATCAGACAACATGGACCGTTACACCGCTACGAGCAACGCCTCCACTAAAGGTAACCCGCAAACGATCATGAGGCACTGGTTTCAGCCCGGCACCGATGAATCATTGTTTGCAAAAGCCATAGAGCTTCAGAGGTGTTATTCCTCGAATATCAACTGTTTTAAGAATCACATGCAAATAGCAGCCGGATATAGTCACATGCCTGTGGTTATACTGCAGAATCCATGCGATAATCATGTCGAAGGTTTCTATGACATCTTTACGCAAACTTGGCTTTGAAAACTATTCGAGACATCCTCAAAGATGTTGGCCTAAACATTGATGACGTTCCCATATTAGACATATATCCAATGATCAGCGACCAATGGGCGCAGACTAGAGCTGAAAGTGGATACTCGAAAGAAGTGTTGCAAGCGATATATAACAACTTAATCACTCAATACCTAAAGGTACTGCAACCAACCACCATCATTGTCTTGCAGTGTGCTACTAACCAGTTTTGATGAGGAAACATCCTTTTCTTGGGAACGTGAATTATCCGGTTGCTCAACGTCTATACTCCTCTATGAAACAGGCAATAGGCGGAAAATCCCGCGTCGAGCAAATTGTTCATCATAAAGTTCACATAATGGCTGGCTTTCATCCCAGCAGGATCTGGCATGAGTATTTTTCCTATGTCAGCGAGTTGACGGTGAACATGCTTGCGGTCTGTTTGAGCGACGACTAGCGGGTAGAGCTCTAGGATATTAGACTCGGGCCTTTAGTTAAACAACTGACTGCCGCCATCAGGGTACTCTTAATGAAAGTTCCTATTCTTTATTCAACACTTACATACAGCCATTTGAACAAGTTCAACAGCTTCCATGATTTAAACACAACAGCATTTTAGATTTTGATTAGAGCTCAGTAAAGATGATCAGTTCTAATTTTCTAAAAATCAGTACTAGCAGTTATTTATAAATTTACTCATCTAATGCTGCATATACTTCGCTATTATTAATACCAAGGCTAATGTAATAATGACTACTAATCAAATATTCCAAGACCTTATCAAAAAGCCAGCAGATCTCTTAGACTTAAACTTCAGTTAAAGCCTCGGCTGATCCACTACTAAAGCACGTGCCATGCTTCTCGCCGCTTTGTTAACTTCTAACCGCCTGTAGAGCTTCCCCATTATGCAAATGATTCTTCAAAATTTCAGCCTCTCAATTGATGGTAGAAGAATCCCACTGTATTCAGCTCTCACGTGATATGTTCTGGTATCTGAATGCTAAGATGCCCGGTCATATATATAAATAGTAAAGAATGTTGTCACATAAACTACCTTGTGTCTAATCCAAGTGTACCCTGTATTCCGACACGTATATTGTAGCAGAAATCCCACTCCCCCATCTCCATATCAGCATCCCAGTGCGCAAGGGCCTCTACATAGACCAGCGAAGATCAGTACACTCAAACGGATCAAGCCCCAAAGCGATTCGACTGGCATTAACAAAATCCCTAAGCTCCCAAAGTCCATCATAGTCTGCGGAATTCATCGTCTCAAGCGGCTCGGGGTCGTCTCGCGCGGGAAGCAGTCCAACCAGATGTGCATTTGGACCAGTGGCTGGATACCCGCACGAGTTGATTGAAAAGTCTATAAGGTGCGGTAATTGGCGTAGCTGCGTGAGGACCATGTACCAGGTGCCAGAATGCAGTTGTACCAAAGACAATTCAATATGCTTGAGACTATCTTTGCATTGATCTATAAGCGCGTGAAAGTGGTCGAACGTGATGAGGACTCGACTGAGGCATAAAGAGGTGAGATGAAGCGCTGGGCTGAAGTGGATAGTGTAGAATGGAAGAACGTCTGTACTGCTGATCCAGAGGGCTTCTAGATTAGGAGCTAGCTCCACTAATCTGAGGAGATGAGCTGCGTGCAAGTCATTCGGCAAGGCGGCGTGCGCGGGAAGTACGGGGGTTTTCAAGTATCGTTGTCCCAGCTCTTTGGTAAATGCAGTGACATGCAAAGCTAGATATTTCAGGCCGTGCAGTAGATCCTCCATGGGAATTCGCAATGGAGTAGAATGGTTGGGGAAAAAGTATCCAAAGTCATGAGCTATAGGAAAGTAGAGCTCAAGCCCTTCTAAATAGGGTAGATTCACATATCGTAAGGCATTGACGATTGCTTTAATAGCAGTCCCTTCGTGGTCGCGTGTCAATGACTCGCACGAGGCTCCGAATTTGAGAACGCGCAAATTAGACAGTCGGGCAAGACAAGGCGACAATAACCCGGCAAGATCCTGGATATCTTGACCGAGGCCCCATTGGCCGTATCCAGTCTCTAGATGGCAGACATGTGCAGCATATTTGCTTCTTGAAATTTCGGCAAATCTTTGTAGGGGATTTCGGCCGCGCCCCGAGGAGCCAATCGAGGCTTTAATATGTTTGAACAAGTGACGCGACGCGGCAGCGCAGAAGTTCCGGCTGACCAAACGCAAGCTTATAAGCCCTGAGCGAATATCTGGCTCTAGCGCATAGGGAAAGAAATCGCGAAACGAGTAGTCCTGTTCAATTGTTGCTACGTGATCAACAATCTTAGGGTCAAGTCAGTATACAGCCTGGTGTCGCGCACAGAGGTCATACCATATCGCAGATTTCAACGGGAATGACCAGTGCCATATTATCAATACCACCGTTGAATCCAGTGACAGAATTGGTGAAGGGAGTCTTTCCTGAAGGTTGATTCTCTTCTCGTTGTGGTGTAGTGAGGGGTCAAATGAGCCTGGTCGGGATGAGAGACGTGTACGACCAATTGTATAAGCGGTATCCGCGCAGAGTATTTAGCGCATTAGACGCTATACCTCGGTTCATCAGCCAAGAATCATCATCAGCGCTAGATTGTTCTTTAGACCACACCAGCATTGACCTATTTTCCGTGGCCGGCGGAGTACTGTAGATTCAGCCCAGTACAGTTCTGCATGATTCATCAGCCGTTTGTCGAAAGCTTTCCAAATAAACCCTCATTTAGAAATCGATTGCTTTCCGGATAGTATTCATTACAGCATCCGAATTTAGTCTTAGATACAATATAATAGTTCACAAGTAAAGTAGCAAGCACACATAGTGGCTTAATCTTGAGTACTTTAATAAAGAGAGTATATATCTGTATAATCTTTAAAGTAACCCGAGAATTTCTAAGCCTTTGTAAAATCCAGAAATAGAATATAAGTAATATACTTATCTACCTCTGAGAAAAAAATATATATTAAACCTTAGCTAGATTGTTTAATTCTATTGTGTATCAGTTCTTATATACTTAGATAACCGTAGCTTTTCACTGTGAAACGTTCGACTTTGAAGGGTTCGGCAACCGCAGCGGGAACCGGGCGGTCGGAGTGGGTGAAGTGCCTTACTGCGATGCGAACAGCAAATCCCGACGAGAAGACTTGGGAGAAGAAGATACTATTCCCCCCTTCCATTGGTAAGAGAAATATGATTTAGTTGTGGGACCTCTCACAAAAGGAAAAAAAAAGGCTGTAGCGGCAGGGCCCGTGCCGGGAGAAGCCGGGAAGATCCCTTCCGCGAATTATGTGGGTCCGGTCTAGTTAGGTAACTACCTATAACCAAGGCTCGAGGGTTTGTAGATGAGTTATAGTCTAAGTCTTTGTATGCACTCTGTGGCACTAGTAGACTAGTCGTATGCTGATGCCCGTTTGTTTGTTCGTTCCGAATTCAGCTGATGTCGGGAAAGTGGTGAGCCGCTTACCCCTTTGTTTGTGTTGCGCCGTCTTTCCCTTCCAACTCTCCCTTCATTTTTTTCTCTTATAACCTCGTCTACATCGAATATCAATCCACCGAGTCAACATTCATTCCCAACAGCTCACAATGGCCATACCCGAGGCACACGCCCACCTAACCCAAAGCACAATCCTCGTAACCGGAGGATCAGGGGGCCTAGCCAGCCGAATCCTGCAGCTCTTCGCGGAGCGAGGCAGCAAGCACCTGCACTCCCTCGACCTGCGCCCACCATCCCACCCTCTCCCCGGCGTGAATTACCACACAGGCGACCTAACCGACACCAGCACAATGCAACCCCTCCTCAAACAGATCCAACCCACGGTCGTAATCCACACCGCAAGCCCAAAATTCGACTCCCCGAACCGAGCCCTCTACAAAGTCAACGTAGAAGGCACGCGCACCATTCTCCAGATCGCCCGCGAATCAGGCACGCAATGCTTCGTATACACCAGCTCAGCCAGCGTAATCAGCGACGCGCAGACGGACCTGATAAACGCCGAGGAGACTTACCCCGTGCTCCTCGAGGAGACGCAACAACCGGAATACTATGTCTACACCAAAGCCCTAGCGGAATCGTACGTGCTGTCGCAGAACCAGCGCCGAGGAGCCAAACAGTTCCTGACCTGCGCGATCCGGCCGTCGGGCATCTTCGGCGTGGGCGACCTGGTCGTGCTCCCGGGCATCCTGGGAGCGTATTTCCGTGGCCGGACGAAGTGGCAGATCGGCGAGAATCGGAATCGGTTTGACTTTACCGAGAATACCAATGTCGCGCACGCGCATTACCTGGCTGCTGCGGCGTTGCTGGATCAAGTCTATGGCTTGGGACACTATGACTCGCCCGAGGATGAGGAGAAGACAAAGATAGATGGGGAGGCGTTTTTCATCACCAACGATGAGCCGCGGTACTTCTGGGACTTCACGCGGCTGGTGTGGGGGTTCGCGGGCGATACGACAAGGCCCGAGCAGGTGTGGGTGATTCCGCGGTCGTGGGCATTGCGTCTGGCTGGGTGCTTGGAGTGGGTGTTCTGGGGTCTGCGATTGGGCGAGCCCCCGTTGACCAGGACAAAAGTCCGGCTTAGCTGTATGACGAGGTATTTTTGTATTGATAAAGCGAAGTCGCGGCTTGGGTATCGGCCGGTCGTGGGCCTGGAGGAGGGACTGCAGCGGGCGGTGGAAGACTGTATGGGTCGGCGGGCTGCTGGGGACTTGAAAATTGCTTGAATAAATATTGATTGTTGTCAAAAAGCGCAATGGCCAAGCGCGTTGCTGGTTTTATAAACGTCTTTCTGTACATATCAAAGTCTTGAGAAAGAGTGACGGAGGAAAGTGGATTCCGAACCGAGACAGCAACCATTAATAGTACTCAGAAAATACCGTCTGTCTAATCTCAGATTAGAGGACCATTTATATTGCAGAAACAAGAAAGAAATCGCAATATATCTGTTCTACTGCTTCTGCAAAGCTCACTATGAGACGGTGATAGCTAGACTTGAGCTCTCAAGTAGATCTATTGACTTATGCAATCTGCCATCTCACTAGCAAATGCACGCAGCGATAATTTACTAGAACCTTGGTGATATTGAGGTTCAGACGCGGTGGATGGTAATTCCCTGGAACCCTAGTGCGCCCTGCCTTACCCTCGGCCATTGTTCAGAAAGTGACTCTACACCCTCACATGCTGAGACCAATATTTGACGAGATAATGATGAAGGCGTGGAACGGAGATGAATTCTGGCTAGCTAGGTAAGGCTATCCATATATAATTAAGTACTAAGTAAAGATCAATAAGATAGACTTATATATATCCTATCCATACTATATTAAAGCCAAAATAAGCAAAAAATAAAAGGCTTTAATAAATATATAAGAACTGTATCATTTACTTCAACAATCAACCCGGCCGAAGGTCTAACACGTATCTAAACTTCACCTCTGCGGCTAATACAGACATTTACTGCCCTACTACTCAATCTATTCAAGATACTTGGAAACATAGCCAACCCTAGGGACGACTTGACTGATGTAGGCTGTGGGATGATGTTAGGCCCACTGTACAGGAGCTCGAGGGACAAGGTATGGAACAAACCACTGTCGACCATTTCAATGACCTGAAGAATTCTCCCGTCATCGTCAAATTTCACAAACCAAGAGTACTCGTTGCGAAAAGGCTGGTCATCGACAGAAACACCCTGCGAAGCGAATCAGGAAAATCGCCTCCCCTTCAGGGGAACGAACACAGAACCTACATCGGATCTGGTGTGGTACGCCACACAGCCGTCTCCCTCAACCACGAAGTCGGGCTCCAAGAACTAGGAATTTGGTGAGGCGTAAGACAGTGAGTGTCAAGAGACATTCCTGTGGCGCTTACATTGAAATGCTTAACAATTTTTCGATGGTTGCCGAAGAATTCGAGCACCTCTTCCTTATTGAAACCCCCTGGCTTTCCCAACGCTTGGAGGGCTGATTCCGGACCAAATCTGAAATGGAAATCAGAGGAATCAGATAACAGCCCGCGAATAGCTTCGATGTTGAATGTATTCAGGTGCTGAGTGATGGCAATCGCCCGCTCTCGAAGATTTATCGACATTGTGGTTGGATTGTATGCGCACACCAAATGGCAGTTACACCACGAAGAAATTTGCGGTTGAAATTGAATTTGCGAAACGAAAAAGAACTGATTCCAATGTCGGGCATGGGACACACATCATAGATATATACTTCCAGCAGGTGTAAGGCGGGGGGGATTTCTTTGGCGTCATTGACTATCGATGATAGATAGCCTGTTGTCATTGGCTTAGGGTGACATGTCAGCTCCACCCCCACCCCCGAACTTGCCCGCAGTGGTCGTGCGTCACGCTTGGATCATGGATTGCATTCAATATAGTCCATCATCTATCAAGACCCTCTCCCTTGAGTGAAGTCGCCAGAGGCGATTCCTGATGCATGGGTCCACAAGGATCCATTCTGCATCATCAACGCTAGCATCTCCAAACTCTCCCCGAGAATGTTTACTAACCTCCAGCTCGTATTTCCTTTGAATATTTGTGCCCAAATCTGAATAACACGTAAACCTAATTGGAAGGTATCAAGTTCTGTGCCTGGATTCGTGAGGCGGGCTGCTACTTGACCTTGATAGGGGTGTACAGGTGCCTCAGCCACAATGCGACTAGTCCACAGTAGAAGACGCTGTTCGCTCTCTAACATAACAATGATGGTTAGCAAACACGGACTGGAATTATAAACAGAACTGCCGGAAAATCGCCGCACCACTTAATGGATACGAGTCCTTGGACTGTCCTATTTGATGTAGCCATCGACTGAGGAACACAGCACATTCCAAATTGCAGACACATTGCTGGACACTCCAGAAAAAGTGCTGACTTTTGGCGACAAAGTCAACACCCAGCTTAACCGGTATGCTAAAAGCATGGGCTGAATGTAGGAGTGCCGGGATCAGGCGAGGGCTGCGATCTACAGGGGGCAGTTGAGCAAGAGCAGCCGCAATGCGAGTGGGATCACGCGTGTTCAGCGCTCGGTGGGGGCCCAGATCGCAGACCAAACGGACGTACGCCAAAGCCAGGAATCCTGTAGACGTGAAAGGGATAGGGCCACTGGGGTTGTGGGGGTCCAAGCTGGATTCTGGAGCGCGCTGCCAGCCGAGCTTCCACCGATGAAGGGCACATCTATCATATCGAATATGAATATTTAGAGCGATGCGGGAGACGTAAATCAACTTACTCTAACTGACCCCGTAGGCTATCGACGCAAGCGGGATCCGCCGCTGCAGCCAGCTGCTGAATCATGAATAATCGCTGCAAAAGGGCGTGGATGAGAACGAAGTTGCCCAGAGGTGACGCGAAGTACGTCTGGGAGGCAGGGGATTGGCATTTCATCAATAGAGTTGCTAAGGCGTCTTGAAAAAGTGGCTGACAGTCCCCGCTCGAGCGCCGGGCTTGGGACCACTCACCGGCGGATTTCGCGTTCCACTGGATGGAAGAGCAGGGTAACCGTAGGTGAATCTCGTCATTCAGAATGGCGGGTGGGATGTTGTAGATGATCGCCTGCAAAGTCAGATAGCAGAAAACCACAAGTTTAATCCGTCGGTCTCCTTCCATTCGAACCCATTCATGCCAGTCTTCGACGCTAGCAATATCTATGTGCTCATTGAAAGTGCTCTCCCGTAGACATCCCGCGAGAACTGTCTGAAAACCTATAGCTTCGCGTAGTAATTCAGGATCATCATCCCAGGTTGCGAAGACGATCAGGAGCAAAAGGGCCCGGACGGTCTGCAAACGGCTCCACTTCCCCTTTTCACTGAGGCTATACGGAGGCCTGGAATCCATCTGTTTTGCCACCCGCAAGCCAACCACTTCTTCGGAATACCTCTGGGTTCGACGACGTGCTTGCTCCATGGATACGGCTTTCGCAGCATCAAAAAGGGACAGTCCTATATGACTTTCAAACCTATATTGGGCCCCAACAGCAGCAATTGCCAGGATGAATTCGGGGGCACACTCGCGGAGACAGAAGGTAGGTAGATGTATAAAAGGCAGATGGTTGTGAAAACCATCAAAATATCCCGAAATGAATCTGGTAAGCGCATGACGGGAGGGTAACACAAAGTCCGGAATCACCGCATGGAACTGTTCGATATTCTGGAGTAGTGCCGCATACTGAGACTGAGTTACATTGCACTGATGAAGAGGGTGCCCGAAGTTGATATAGGCGGCTACAAGAGATTAGCTCCTGTCCCTCATCGGACTAGATGACTTGGTGCAATTATTGGACATACTTGGTTCCTCTTCGTCTACTCCAAAGCTATCGTCGGTTTCCCGGGGAGATGGCGAGATTGTCGGCTGTTCGTGTGCTCTGGACAATTGTCGACCCTGCCGTTGAATCTCTAGACTGGTAGCTTCCAGCGAAGGCAGGGATGATTCGTCAATTGTTAACGGGGTGAGTTGTTGACTGTTCTCGATGTGCGGTATGGCAAACATGTTCCAGTCTGAACTGAGGCCCATAGTGTCTACAAAATCCGTGAAATCTTGGACTGGGTCAAGAAGCAAAGGGTCTGCTATCGAGTCCGTGAGAAAGTTGTTAGCTGTGGTGGTATTGGGTAACGGGCTTGCCGGCGCCGGGGGTATTGGGTGAGTGCCATGCAGGCTTTGAATATCCTGTGCTGCACCTGGCATATAGCTACTACATGTTTGGCGCCAGGATGAATCTGTATGAGGGATTCTGCTACCCAATGATCATATTTTAGACCTAGTTCAAGGCGCTGCCTGGGGATTATCTTGCCTGTTGGAGTGACTGAGGCGAGAGTGTCGGGTGAGCAGATCACGGCGGGTGAATGAAAGTCCGCATGCGCACTTGAAGGGTCGTTCACCAGTATCTTAAAGAGGAACCCTCTTTGTTAACAATGATTTGCATCAACTAATGGGCATGAAGAGAGTGTAGGGTTGGGAGAAGCCGTACGAGTCCGCGCATGGCGGTGAAGATGCTCCAGACGGGAAAACGTGCGAGAGCAAACTGAACACTGCTGTAATTGGGACTGTCTGGTCACCATTATTCCAGAACGTTTTCTATGCATTTCCGCAAGATCAAAGGAGAAGGAGGTATTGATAAAAATTCCAGTGATGACAAATATGACGAAAGCGCAGATTGCGTTGGGGGTTGAAACCTTAAATTATCTAATCAATATTCGATCCAATAGCGATAGGGGATTTACATGTATTGGGGGTGGGGGTGGGGGTGGGGCTTGAATGGAATCATTTATCGTTAACCAACACGTTTCCCCAAGGAATCTAATAGCAATGGGACATATGTTGCTAAGCACATCCCGACGAAAAATCAATCTCGGTAAGATGATTGGGAATGGAGTGGGTTCCATCACCATTTTGTGCTGCTTTAGGGTTGTTGGCGGAGAGATTTAAGGATGGCCTAATCGCCACTACTATGCCCTCTATTAAGATGATTTCTACCTTCGAGCTGGCACTTGATGCACGAAAGAAATTGCTCTTCTCTAGGCCTGCGGACATCTGCAGGAACTTGCTAACTCCTCATTTCCGTCTCCTCCTACTCGATCTGATTGGCCAACCCTCTTCACCTGAGACATGTCTTCTCTTTTCAGAGGCACTACTTTTCATACCCTCTGGTATCATTTTCGACCATCAATAACCCCGTGGTATTCCTGGGATGAACAATGGATGCAGAATCACTATAAATCAGAGCACTCAGATGGAGCTGGCAATGACGTCTCAGGAGAATCCTTCATGCGTCTTACCAAGCACCAGAATCGCGATTTGGAGAAAGCAGGTCAAGTCGACGATCTTCCTAGGCAAGCGACTGGGCCGGTTGATTCCCTCGATCGTTCACAGATTGACAAACGTGCGAAGGAGATGACAGTCATCGTCGATTGGATACCGCTCAATGATCCCGAGAATCCTCAGAATTGGCCTACATCGAAGAAGCTTCTAACGGCATGTCAAATATATGTCTATACCTTTGCGGTTTACATGGGTGGTGCCATCTTCTCCGCGAGTGAAGGTGGAATCCGTGATGAATATGGAGTCAACCATATTGTCTCTGGACTGGGTTTCGCTCTTTACCTGGTTGGTTACGGAGTAGGCCCTTTGGTTTTCAGCCCTATTTCGGAAATACCAACGATTGGGCGCAATCCTCCTTACATTGTGTCTCTCCTCATTTTTGTCATTCTCTGCGTGCCGACGGCCTTGTCAAAGAGCTACGCCGGTCTCCTAGTCCTCCGCTTTCTTCTTGGGTTTTTTGGTTCTCCATGTCTAGCAACCGGTGGTGCCACCCTGGGCGATATGTTCCCGTTGGGCAAGTTACCCTTCGCCATGATGTTCTGGGCCTTTTCAATGACTACCGGCCCGGCAGTCGCGCCCATAATTGGGGGTTATAGTGTGGTGGTGAAGGGATGGCGGTGGACTTCTTGGGAGATCCTCTGGTTGGCCGGCCCAGTCTTTGTCTTCATGCTCCTCTTTCTACCGGAGACGAACGCTGCGACTATTCTGCACCGTCGCGCCAGCCGGATCCGTGCACACGTGGGTAATGAGAAGTACCGCTCTCAGGGAGAATTGGAACACAAACAGACAAATATCCATGATATTGCGTTCGAAACGCTGGTACGCCCGTGGCAGTTGATGTTCCTTGACCCTGTCATCTTGTACGTGGACATTTACAGTTCTCTATGCTATGCAATCTTTTATAGCTTTTTTGAGGTAACCAGCTCTCCTGATCTCCGCCCCCCCCCCCCCCCCCCCCCCCCCCCCCCCATCCTTTCTCGGCCTCCCACACAGCAAAAACAGAAACCTGACAACATGATTACCAGTCATTTCCACACGTGTACGGAGAGGTATACGGATTTTCTCTTGGGGAGCAAGGATTAGCATTCCTAAGTGTAACAATCGGGACCGTGGCTGCGGCTATCTGGTACATCAGCTACAATTACTTCATCGTGGAGCGTCAGATCCGCGCAGGAACCTGGCCTACACCCGAAGACCGGTTATTTTTGGCGCTTTTCTCTACCCCGCTGATGCCCATCGGCCTGTTCATATTCGCGTGGACGAGTCGTTCCAATGTCCACTGGGTTGTGAGCTGCATTGGAGTTGCTGTCAATACGTGCGGGTTGATCACCATGTACCAGTGCGTGTTTTTGTACTTGCCCCTGGCATATCCGCAGTATGCAGCTAGTCTTTTTGCCGGTAATGATTTTGTCCGGTCAGCTCTGGCTGGTGGTGCGGTCCTTTTCGCACGGCCTCTGTTCGCTAATCTGGGGGTGGACAAGGGAGTGTCTCTTTTGGGGGCGCTAACAGCCGGACTTGTTCCAGGGATCTTCATTCTATACTGGTTTGGTGATCGTCTCAGAGCGCGAAGTAGATTCGCTTCTGGTTGAACCAACTCTGGATCTCTGGTGTGGACCGGCGTGAATGGGCCACCCGTTGTGGTAGTGCTTAGGTGGCAGCCAGCAGCATTAGTAAACCTGAGAAAGGGTAGGTTCGTTGCTCAAAATCATATCATGAGCACTGAGATTTGGTTATCCGTGCTAGTGGCCCTTCGATGAGGGGACAGGGACGAACTGGTTCCGTTATCCGTGGAGCTCGCTGTGGCAGTGGGTATGCACGCACTGGAGGGGGCATAGGAACTGGGAGTACACAGCAACGTCAACGGTTGCTACCGAGAAAGGCCATTGCGTTGATTGACTCTTACTCGCGATCGTCTCCGACCCTGTTCTCCGTTATGACGCCCCTTCGAAGAACGCTATACTGAATTTATCAGAGTCGTTTTGTTCTCAATACATGCTCCAATTATAATTGCTGAAGGTCACTCAATCAGAATCTACTCTACGTATTCATTCTCCGATAGGCTGCCCTAGCCACCACAGAGACCCTCAACGCTTACAGACGATACTAGGCTATATCCGTGACTCATACCACAACACAGTAATTATCAAGCAAAGAACAAAGAAAGGAAATGATTTGCGCAGCCCAGAAAGAGACCACCCGGTCTTCCACCAAGGCCGATTAAATCCGCACGGACTGGAATGCGGACATAGAGCTTAACCCGCAGATCAGCATAAATCCGTAATGCGACACGCACAATTCAACATCTCCCAATCAAACAAGCCTAAACAAGCATCCAGACCCACAAATCACTGCTTTCCCCCCCCCCACCTCCCATCCTCAGAAGATGGAGGCCGAGTCAATGATGACAGCGGCAAATCCGCAAAGTCCGGTATATCCGACAGCCAGCCCAAGAACCACGAGAGTATATCAAGCACGGTGCGATACATTTACAGCAGCGCCACACGATCAAGAACAAGGAGACATTATTCACACAACCTGAAAAGATGGCTGCTAAACTCGAAACCCGACCGCTGGGCAAGAACGGGCCCGAAGTGCCGCGCCTGGGCTTCGGCACGATGGGGCTGAGTGCGTTCTACGGCCCGCCGAAACCCGACTCGGAGCGATTAGCACTACTGGATAAGGCGTATGAGTTTGGAGAGACCTTCTGGGACTCAGGTATGCCCTCTCTTTCTCCCCCAACAAGCCCAATACCTATCAAACACCCCAATAACAACCCCAACCCACCCCGCACCAACACTAACAACAACAACAACCCAAAGCGGCCCTCTACAACGACAGCGAAACCCTCCTCGGCAAATGGCTATCCACAAACCAAGACAAACGCCCACACCTCTTCCTCGCCACAAAATTCGGCGCCGAATTCGAAGGCCCAAAAATGATAATCGACAGCTCGCGCGCCCGCTGCCGGATGTCCTGCGAGCGAAGCCTGCAGCGCCTAGGCGTCGACACCATCGACCTGCTGTACGCGCACCGACTCGATGCGAACATCCCCGTCGAGGAGACAGTCCAAGAGATGGCGGATCTCCGCGCGGAAGGCAAGATCCGCTACCTCGGGCTCAGCGAGGTGAGTGCCGCGACGCTGCGGCGCGCGTGCGCCGTGCACCCTATCGCCGCTGTGCAGGTCGAGTACTCGCCCTTCTCACTCGAGATCGAGTCGTCGCAGACGGAGCTGCTGCGCACAGCTAGGGAGCTGGGTGTGGCGGTTGTCGCGTACTCGCCGTTGTCGAGGGGCATTCTTTCTGGCCGGGTTAAATCCCGGCGTGATTTCCCTGAGGGCGATCTTAGGTTGTTGTTGCCCAGGTTTGCGGAGGGGAATTTTGAGAGGAATCTTGAGCTCGTCGAGAGGTTGAGGGCGTTCAGTGAGCGGAAGGAGTGTACCGTTAGCCAGTTGGTGTTGGCGTGGTTGCTCGCGCAGGGAGATGATATTTTCCCGATTCCGGGGACGACCCGACCTGAGGCGCTTGCCGAGAATGTCGGGGCGTTGCAGGTGTGCTTGAGCGACGATGAGGTCAAACAAATCCGCACGTTGGTGGATGAGGTCGAGGTTTCAGGTGGACGGTACGGAGAGGCGTCGTTGAAGTCGTGTTTTGTGGATACTGTGCCTTTCAAGGGTTAAGCACCCTCATACCCTTTATGAATCAGCAGCATACCTACCCTAAACCACCTATAAAGCGTCCCGGGGGAGAACCCCCGGACCCCCTTTCTTTTCAGCTTCCTGGCCTAGATCCACGCTTAAACCAGTCCAAAAAAGATACACTTCCTAGGCACTTCAATCATTATACCAGGAACATAAGCATCCCGTGGGAGAACCCCCTTACCTTCCTTTCCTTCAACTCCTGGCTACCTCCATTCTAACCACTGGTTCTATAAAATATTCCGGGGACGACCCCCGGACCAAGACCTTTCTTCAGCTTCCCGCCCCACTACCGGAAGATCACCAGACAACCCAGCCCAAGCGCAGAGTAAGTAACCCAGCAGCAATCTGCAACAATCACCCAACACCCGCAGCCGAATCAACAACCCAGCATCAAAATCAGCACACTCGGACCCGATGACGCCAACCCGAGAACATCCATATGATCGCAACCGATACACATCATAGCCCCTGTATCAGCCAATCACAATCCCCCAAAATACCCCAGATAATAATCAGGGGCCGTGGCGGAGACGGGAGGGACATCGTACGACAGACAGAGAATACTATCACCGATCAGGCCACTCCCGCTCCCGCTCGGAACCAAATACCCAGAAGCATACGTGACCGTGATGCAGTGCACTCTGCTTTGCTTTATAAATACACCGCTTCTAATTGCCCCCCTTCTTCTACTCCCCAACACAATCACATATACTACAGACAAACAAGAACAACCACAACAATCAACAACTGAAGTCTATTACCTAACAACATTTCAATCAAATTTGAAAATGATGCCCCTCAGCACTCCCCGCCCACCCATGGGTACCTTCTTCAAAACAACGCCACACATCAACCCAGCCTCCCTCAAAAAGCCCAGCAGGTGGTACCTCCCCGTCATGGCCGCCATAGCTCTCGGTATGCCCCAACTCACTCCTAACGCAGCCCAGCTCAAAACTAATGATATCAATCTAGGCTTCGGCGCCTACAACCACTACACCGCAGAAAGTCATACCCCAGTCTCAACCCAGCAAAAGCTCCTGGCCCAGCAAGCAGAAGAAGAGCGACTGCGCAAGAACCGCGCGCTGATGGACGCGTACGGCGATAAGGAGACGTTGCAGGATATTGAGCGCGCGTTGGTGGTTTATGATTTGCAGTGAACCATCTGTCTGGCTACCTGCCCGGCTGGCTGCCCAGCCTCACTGGCACTACGTTCGGAGATATACCTAAGTGTCACTTGGTGGATAATCATTCCGGACTGGTTTCGGTTTGGCTGAGGCGAATCCCACGGGTGGTGGTGTCTTTCGTTTTGCGATGGTGATTGATACTTGGGTTTTCATATGGCGTTGGGATCGTTTCGGGTTTTATGAGTGATGCATTGGGATTGGATTTATGGCTAGCGAGCGGGTTTGATTTCGGACTGGGTGAAGGATGCATGCATGCAGCTGGTCTGTTTTGATTCATTCTTTTTTTTTTGGACATTGGAGTGGAAATAGTCCTATGGACTAATTGTTCCGTGACGGTGATAATGAATATCTACTTATTTCTTCTTTCTACCAGAGCAGCAAGTTCGAAAAGGAAGGGTATATTAATCGCGTAAGTAAACCAAACCAGAGTATGCAACAGAAGGAGCAACAAATCACAGCAACAACCCCATCAACACACCAACCACCGCCCCCCAACCAAACCCCCCTACAACCCTGCCCGCCCCCGAAGCCGCGCCCTTCCTCGCCCCCTCGCCCGTCCCGTTGCCCACCGTCCCATTCCCATACGCATCCACCCCGCCCGTCACCCCCAGCACAGCATGCAAATCAAACTCCCTCGGCACCACAGCCATATCATCCCTGCGAATCGACGCAAAATACAGATCTCCAATGTCGGTGATGTACACGTACGCGGCTTGGAAGAACGGGCGGCCGAGCACGACCTCCTCGCCGGTGCCCACGACGCAGCGCGCGCCCGCCGGCACCAGGTCCGCCCACACGGGGATCTCGAAGATCGGATACGTGCCGCTGGTGGGGTTGAAAATCACCGAGAAATTACGGTCGCAGAGGGTTGCGTCGGGCACGGTGAGGGTTTCGCTTGTGAAGTTGAGCGTTGCGGGGAGGGTTGTCGTGGTGGAGATGATCTGGGTTGTGTCGAAGGGGTAGCTTGTATTGGTATTGGTGGTCGCGCTGGCGCTGGGCGTGCCGTATAGTCTCAGCTGCACCCCGCTCAGCGCCTGTGTGCCAGTCTGGATGAAGGTGCAGTTGCCGGCGGAGGTCTCGGCTGTCGTCTGCCAGTGGGATTCGTTGAAGATGCGGCTGGAGTCGTAGTTCCCGCCGAAGACGAGCGCCCCAGCCCAGAACGGCGCGAAGCCTAGGTTCATGCCTACCGGGAGGGAGGTCAGGTTCGTTGTGCTGATGTTAGTGGGGTTCTCCGCGGTCGCAATCACGGTGCTCTCGATTGTGAGGGTGGTGTCGGCGCCCAGCAGGAGGGCGTTTTCTTCGGTGGTTAAAGGGATCTCGAGGGTCGAGGTGGTCTCTTCGTTGCGCGAGGGGGAACCCAGGGGGGAGACGGTCGCTTTCGGGAGGGAGGTCGACGTCGCGACTCGGGTCTTGCGCGTGGGTGTGGCGGTCGTGCCGAAGGTGATCGGGAGGATCTCAGCGGCGCCGCGGTTGAGGTGCACGCTCGCACCCCAGGCGGCTGTCGCGACGCTGGCGGGCCCGGTGAGCGGGACGTACCATGCGTTGTCACCGGCGTCAGACACGGTCGTGATGGGGAGGCCTGATGCGTCGATCATGGATACCGTCTCGACCGGGGCGGCGGCGGTCACTGGGGTGGTGTCCACGGCGAGCTGCGCGGAGGCGAGGAAACCCAGGCCGAAAACAGTCAGAAGACTGAGTGGCAGCTTGTTTGCCATTGTTGTTTCTATTTGCGATTGTGGTAGCGACAGACTAAGGTCAAAAGAGTGACAGGTACGCGCGAGTAAAGAGTGGCTCGCGAGTTGTTCTGTAATGAATCACGAACACGAAACGATTCAACGATTGACAGCCTATACAGGCCAGAAGGCACTTGACAACCGAAAAGCAGATGTTGACAGAAGGAAGAAAGAAACATCACTCCCTCCTCAGGAAACGTTCCCCTGAACAGGTGCTGAGTTCGGTTCCTGTGTCGCATGGGGGCGAAAGGCAGGGCGAAGGCGACTGCCCTTCCGGCTCGCGGTTTCTGCATCAGTAGACTCAGCAGGGTTGGCGATTTCAGGCACACATTTTGCTGAGCCACGGAAAGCGAGACGCAAGGTCGATAGGATCAGGATGTGCACGAAAGGGCAAATCCGGAGCAGGTTTGGTGTTGCACTGTTGGGGGCGGCCCCAAAGCTAGCATCCTGGCTCGAAGGAGTAGCCTCCCGAAATGATGATTGACGCTCAGAGGCCAGAGACACCATGAATCCTCATCTGTTCCGTGTTGGTCGTTTCAATGCTTGTAGCAGTGAAGCCATGATTGGAACATGTCGGGTGTTCTCCATCTGGCGCTTGTCCGGACCCGGGGATGAGCTCGTTTGAGGGTTCGCATGATTTTAAACGTTGCAGGAGCAATACTCATGACATGATTAACGTATGTCTCATGTAGTTTCAACAAACAGAGATGGAATAAGCATGCAGTGAATTTCGGTGTAGCAATTGAGATTATATCGATCTGTTGAGGTTGGCATTCTGACAGGCTGACAATTGGTTGAAGCTGTGTTAATTTGTTACGTAGGCGGTCAGCTCGCAAAACGTCGCCGGCAGATACTTTACCCCAAAGGCGGTCTGGGTCTCGCTCAAACATGGCCCGATGATGTCATCCGCCTCTCAATCTTCCCCTGGAACAATGGCTCTAATCACTTGGGGAAAACTGTTAGATTAGTTCTCACTACTACTCTGTCAAAACTTGGCTATGACGATGAAAACGAACGGCGTAAACATTTAGTGTCATAATTTCATATCTACCTAAACTTATATACTAGTACTAGCACCTTATTTACAAGGTTGAGCCTCAGAGGCTGAGACAAGGACCTGCATCGCACTTGCATCATCTTTCACTCCCACCAGTCATCCTCAGTGATAATGCCATGGCTTCAGACCATATTTTAAGCAAAGCCGGAGCTGACCACCCAGGTCACGTCCGCGTTGAAAGAGGTCTTGGAGTCAAAGGTGTGAACTCCACCGTTGCTAGCGACGTAGAGCACGTTCTCATAGTGACGGAAGTAGCGGGTGGGGTAGCTCCAGGACCGGATGGAAAGGCCCTGGCCGTTGATGCCGGACTGCGGGCAGAAGGTAGCATCCTCTTTGAACTGCTTGGAGCCGTCGCTGGCGTTGAGCAGGAGGCCGAAGTTGTAGTGACGGATGTAGCTGCCGGGGGTGTCGACAGACTCAAAAGAGAAGCAGCCGGAGTTGGCCAGACCGGTACGCACCGTCCAGCTGGCCTGCTTCTTGAGGGTGGAGGAGCTGGACGAGGAGACGACCTCGGTAATGACAGCCGAGCCGTTGTGGGCGATGTAGCGGGTCGAGTAGCCGGAGGTAGTGGCCCGCAGCGAGATCGAGGAACCGACGGTGAGCGCCTTTCCGCTGGTCAGCGAGGTCACGGCGTACTTGGCGGCGACGATGTTGGCCTGCACCGAGTTCTCGGTGGCATCGGATGGGTAGCCGTAGGTCATCACACCCTCGTAAAAGGTTCCCTGGGCGCCGTTGCTGTTGTCACCGCCGATGCCCAAGATGATGGCACCCTCCTTGCTCATCGGGTTGTAGCCAGACACAGTGGGGCGCGCGCCACTGTAGTAAGTCGACAGCGAGCCGGAGGCCGCGTTGGCGCCGCGGATGGCCCACTTGTTGGGCTCGCCCTTGACAGCGGCCGTGACAAACCGGTGGGAGATGGAGGGGTCGGCAGAGTTGAGACCCTCGGCTTGACCAGAGAACAGGTTGTTCTCGAGATCAGCCATGATCCAAGGGCCGCTGCCCGAACCATAACCCCACGTCTTGCTGGTTCCGTAGTAGATGGCCTCCATGTGGCCGGCTCCAGTATCTTTACTGCTGATCTCAGCGTTGCCGTAGTCGAAGCAGCAGGCATCGTTGTAGTGGGTGCCGTCCAGCACGGCGTACATGCCCTCAGGCTCATCACCCGTAGCGCTGCCATTGACCTCGTTGTTGCGGTAGCCGGTGCCCGGAGAGACAAAGACGCCGTACGCCTTTTGCCCGTTCAACGTCACGGGGGCGCCAATAGCGCTGGCCAGGTTGTCGTAGCCATTGGATTCCGGGCCGTTGAAGCCGCCAGGCGGGGCCTGGGTAAGGTGATTGCCACGGCCAGACTGGTCATAGATAACCTTGATCAGACAGGTCGTACCGGAACAGAAGGTATCCTGGGCGGCAGCATTCGCAACGCCACCAGCGGAAAGCGGCGAGATGTCGGTCGTGGCACTGTCGGAGCCGCGAATCACCTGGTAGAGCGGGCCAGTGTAGGCACTGTACAGGGCACGAGTGGTGCTGTGCGCAGCGATACAGGGCGCCCCGCCAGAGGCATAGATGTCGCACGGGGCGGCGCTGACCAACGAGCCAGTGGCCACGAGCCCTAGGAGGTTTCGGCGTGAGAACATCTTGTATCACTGTGAGTGGGGAGACGGTGGGAGATGCTTGAGAAGCCTCTGGAACATGAACAGGGAGCTGGCAGGGTTTTAAAGCACGTAGTCGCGGGTCTGAGCTTTGGGCTTCTTCACGGCAACAGCTTCAATGCCAGGAAATTACATCTTGGCTCGTTGGGAGCCACTTGGACGGAACATTTTGTTCCACCTCTGAGGCTCAGGAATAGCGTTGTTAGGTGCATTGCTAACTTCTGATCATGCAACGCTGCAGAACGACAGCTCCATTCCGACGGGGTGCATGAATCCTATTCGAAGGTACCCCGCGTAGTGGTAGGCAGCATTGTGAAGATAATGAGGTCCAAGTGTAAGCGAGGAGCTTGTGCCACCGGGGTTTTTCCCATTCTTCTTCAGGGGCAAGACAAGTGCCCGACACAAACCGGTTGTTTAGCGCCGGCAAAAGCTCTGCTATGCCTGATCGGGGATGCGGGGCCCCGGACTGGAATTGACTAGAGACCAATTTCTCCATTGTCCAAGGCACGGCAGGATGATGAAGAGTCGGCCGTGCTAAATCAAGAATGCTAAGCATGGGGGGAGAGAGGGGGGAATGGTAGATCCCGCGGCGCCCTTTCACTGAGCACCGAGGCAGACGGGGCGACAAGGCGAAAGGTGAACGTAGCATTGGGGGACCAGACAAGATTTGAGTTATCGTGTGAGCACTTAGACTCACAAGGATAACAGTCTTCTTATTGGTGGCATTGGATGGATGATCGAGGAGGTTGGAAGAGGCCAGAAACAAAGGTGTTGTTGAGTTGAGTTGAGTTGAAGGGAGTGTCCCGAAAGAGGAGGTTTGCTGCCTTATGCCTCAGGCGCCCATCTCTGCTTACATCATGGGAACAAACAATGCTGTCGAATTATTATTTCTCTGTCTTACCAATCAGTCTTGTGGGCTGGCTCTGGCTTTGATCGATAAAATGAAGAACTGGACTTCCAAGAAGTTTGTGATCATTGCTCCGCTCTGCAGCTTTGTCTGTATTCAAACACCACCCTTTCACATGCACCCTTACCGTGATGCCTTCATGTTTCTTACTCAGACCCGTGTAGAAGGGTATAAATATCAGTATCTGTCCGAGACAGATCGCCGATCACCAAATAGGGCCAGAGGACCTTTCGCGACTACCAATAATTTTCTCACAAAGCTACCTAGGTAATAGTCTCGATCCGAAGAAAATGTCTAACAGCACCGAGGAAAAGGTCATGCAGACCGAGCATCTGCCAACCATACCTGAAATGCATCTCTTTGGCGAAGGGGAGCACGCGCATGGAGAACCTCGCGCAAGACCCGACGAGGCTGTAGTTACCGCATTTCTAGAGAAGCAGAACCGAGCAACCATATTCTGGGACGGCCATCATATTGTGCAGTACTGGCTCCCGCTCGACCCGAACGCCTCGCGCCGCGAGCGGGCCCGCTGGGTATTCTCATTGCTCCGAGGCCACAAGCCTCCTGCCCGGGGCCATATTCAGCTTCTCTTCAAATGCGGCGACACGGAACACACGGTGGAATGGCCGGCAGAGGAAGCGCATGCTTATCATGCTCAGTTTTCCCGGTGGCATGGTTATCAAACTGTGAAGAAGCCCTTGCTCATACCCTGGTGGAAGCATACTCATTTTCGAAGCTGGGAGTCTCGTCGCGACAGGCCTCTGGATTTTGCTTGTTGCCCACTCGTATCGCCAATTCAAAGATAGCTTCTATAGTATGCTACCATCCCTCTGCGGCTCACCAACACGGCCATCGAAAGACAAATGCTGAATAAGGGTCTTGGTGTCTCACTGTAATCTCCAGCACCTCCACTGATTGGACAAGTCAGAGTATGAGGGTCTCGTATCGATATCAGATGCTAAGTCTGCAGAAAAGGCGACTCGAGACCGGCAAATTGTCGACCAGTTTCTGTTTTGGTCCATCTTATCTCGGGTAACGAGTGGGCCAGCTGGCTTGGCACCGTACCTTATTGCTTGCCAAGAGTCTGCTCCTGTCGTGCAGCAGTATATTTTTATGCCTCAGCCGCGCGTGGATGGATAAGGAGTGATTATTTTCCTAGCAGTGTGGGCAGTGAGTTCATCCACTCAGTCGAAAGACCTGCGCAATAGTTAACTCGTCAAGGTATGCTACCGTTCCATGGGACAGCCAGCCTGGGAGTCGGCTGTGGCGCCGAGCCCTATCCTCCTGAGCGGCCCCAGCGGATACGAGGTCACGACTGCTTCAGTCCCGCTATAGAAAGTCCCAAGCCCGACTATAGTATTAGCGGAGCATACATTGCTGGACAAAAGCGGTCATGAAGAAGACGATCATCCACCACCATGCAACGCTGCAGAAGCTGGCCGTGTATAAGTAGGACCTCGACGGCACTGCAGACTCTCCATCAGCACAGTGACAACCACAGCCCAAGAAACGGTACACCACCTTAATTCCATCCTTCCTATACAACCCTTCTGACACGAAATCCCATAGATCCAACCCCTCAACCAACCAAAATGTCCACCCTCCTCAAAACCCTCACCCTCGGCGGCCTCCTCGCCGCCACAGGCGCCCAGGCCGCCTCGCAAACCATCCAGTTCAGCCTGTACTCGGACTCGAACTGCCAGAACGAGATCGTCAAAGAGACGCTCACGTACGAGGGCGGCACGGGCTGGCAGGTGTTCCAGCAGGGCGTGATCTTCAAGGGCGCCATGATTACCGGTGGCACGGATGCCTGCGGCGTGCACATGTGCCAGTACGGCCAGAGCTGCTATGACACGGCCATCGGCAATGTGGATTGGCTGCCGTACTGCATTGTTACTGATCCGGGCTATGCTTATGATAAGATCATGATCAATACTTGCTAGACTGGGTTGTGTTGTGTCTGTTTCGGTGTGATGGTCGGATGTTGTCTGTGTTTGTTTGTTTGTGTTTATGTATGTTGTGATGAGAACTTGTTGGATGTGTATACCATGTGGCTCTTTGGGAGGAATATGCACAATAGAAGGATGCTCCGTCTTTGTGAAGGATGATAGTATTCCAAGGTTTCTCTTGCATGAGAGAATTAGCCTCGGCCACAGTGCACCAGCCACGTGGCTGACTGTGTGGCTTGGCCTGTACCTGGTGACAACGACTACCCTAGGTAGAAAGCTATAACAGATGGATCCCCTATTCTTCGTTTGCCGAATATCGCCAAATTCCAATCTTGACCATACTCCTCAGCACCAGATACAGTTCAGAGAGTATCAGACCATAATAAATTACACCAACCGCATTACAGTACTACTAACTATCTCACAGACCCAAATCCGGCATGTCCAGGCGGAGCGATAAGCGCGATAAGCCCTACTCACCTGATCTCTTTGCTGTTCAGTTTTGTCCCAACCAAATAAAGTAACAATCGTCACGACTACAGTCATGACACTCACTAGCTCTTATCAGACAGACAGTAGTTATCACCCAGTATCTCAACCTTATCGCTGCCAGCCAGTGCTCCTGTTTTACACCCCGCACAGCAACCCAGTAGATTAAGCTTCCCCGCAACGCGTCCAGGCTGGACATACCAGATGCATCCATCCACCGAACGTTTCAATCGCCGAGAAAAATCCCCTCCATCGGCAATTTAAGTCTCCCGCACCCCTTGCATTGCAATTCTTCTCGTTTGCAATTCCCATATCCACCATCCCCTTTTTCCCTCTTATCATGTCACCCTCGCCCCAGATGATGGAGGAAAAGAAACCTCCCCTCGTGAACGAGGACGATGACGTCCAATTGGCGCAGATGGGCCATAAGGCCGAGCTACATCGGAACTTTTCTACCTTGTGCGTTTCTCCTTCCTCCGTTCTGTTTCAGCCTGGTGGACCGGACCACAATTAAAAAGGGATACGGAGTTGAATATATGGCGGACTTAAAGCTGATGCATCGGGTATAGGTCGATGTTAGGTTTAGCTTTCGCTGTGCTGAATGTACGTTTGCCAGCCTACGTCTACTAACTCCCCCGCCCCTTGGTGCTTGGCTAACAGCTCGGTTTTGTATCAAGTCATGGACGGCTCTTTCGGCGAGTTTATCGCTCAGTTTACCGTCAGGAGGTAGCGTTAGTGTTGTCTGGGGTAAGATGCTGATCTCTCCTCGTGGGTTGTCGCGATGTACTGACTAAGAAAGGTCTGGTCACGGCCGGGGCATGTAACCTGTGCATTGCCGTGTCGCTGGCGGAATTCCTGTCGGCGTATCCCACCGCGGGTGGGCAGTATCATTGGGTTGCTGGTAGGTTTGGAGACTTTGTCTGATTGACGTGGATGCTAACTCGAGGTTCAGTTAGTATGTACTGAACTCTCCGCTCGTGATCGCTCTGGCCATCTCTAACAAGACCGATCAGTCTCGTGGCCGAAATGGGTGCCGATTCTCTCCTGGGTGACGGGTTGGGTTAACGTGGCTGGATGGGTGAGTCCACGAAGGAACTGCTGATGTGGATGAAGCGAAGCTGATGGTCTAGGTTGCGCTTGTGGCGACCAATGCGCTGCTCTCCTGCCAGCTGATTGCGGGCATTGTCTCCTCCGTCTACCCTGTGTGTTCTCCCTCCGGTCGTCAAAGGTAGTTGGGGCGCAGCTGATGTTCTCAGGACTTCGACTGGCAGCGATGGCAGTATTTCCTCATGTATATCGCCTACACGGTTCTTGCGTTCGTCGTCAACGGGTTCATGAACTCCGTGCTGCCGATCATATATCGTGGTGCCTGTATGTGAACAGTCTCTAGACTGTGACGTTGACTAACGATCATAGTCACCTGGTCGATCGGTGGATTTGTGCTGGTGTCGATCACGGTGTTGGCGTGCGCCTCGCCGGATTACAACTCTGCCTCGTAAGTTGGGGACTGTGTGTTCGAGGGCTAGCTGACCGCGTAGGTTTGTGTTTACCAACTTCGTCAACCAGACAGGCTGTAAGTACGCCGCATTGTTTCAACGACATCGCTGACGTAAACAGGGCCGGATGGCGTGGCGTGGCTCCTGGGAGTAGGTGCAACATTCTCTCGATGGGCTCTAGCTAACGGAAGGGACCAGTTGCTGCAAGGCGGACTCGGAGTGACGGCCTTCGTGAGTCGCCCTCTGAACTATCCAATGGATGCAGCTAACGAAACCAGGATGCCGTCTGCCACATGATCGAAGGTGATCCACATCCCCATTCCTTCCAACCCAGCTAACCGTCCAGAAATCCCACAACCATCGATTAAAGGCCCGAAAATCATGGTCGTCTGCGTCGGCATCGGCACCTTCACGGGCGCCATCTTCCTGATCGTGCTGCTGTTTGTGGCGGGCGACATGGACGAGGTGGTGAGCTCGAGCGCGGGACCGCTGCTGCAGATCCTGATTCACGCGACGAACAACCGCGCCGGCGCCATCTGCCTCCTGATGTAAGTCTCGGTCCGCCGTTAGGGGCAGCACTAACAGTCCCAGGCTCCCGCTGGTCTGCCTGCTGTTCGCGACGTTGAGCGTCATGACGACCAGCAGCCGCATGATCTTTGCGTTCGCACGGTAGGTCCTGTCCGACAAGAGGCCAAGCAAAGCTGACGAAACGCAGAGACGGCGGATTGCCCGCATCGAAGTTCTTCGCGCGCGTGCATCCTCGACTGGGCCTGCCACTGAACGCCTTGATCCTGACCACGGTCGTGGTGATCATCTTCGGGTTCATCTACCTCGGCTCTACCTCGTAGGTTTTCTCGTCCGTGCAGGGAGCGTGGCTGACTGACGGTTGTAGGGCGTTTAATGCCATTGTATCCGCGTCCGTGGTGCTGCTGGACCTGTCGTATGCGATGCCCATCGCGGTGAACTGTCTGCGGGGACGCCGGACGCTGCCGGAGCGGAAGTGGCGGGTCCCGAATAAGATCGGCTGGGTGATTGATATGGTACGTGAGACTTGTCTGGGCTGTGTGCATGCTAACGAGGTAGATCTCGCTGTCGTATATCGCGCTGACGACTGTGCTGTTTGTGTTTCCTCCTGACCGGCCTGTCACGGGCAGCAATATGAGTGAGTTTTGTCTGTGTGGACGGATGGGAGAAGACATCTAACTGAGGTAGATTACTGCGTTGTCGCGTTCGGGATTATTCTGATTATCTCGTTGATACAGTGGGTCGTGGACGGACGCAAGAACTTCACGGGGCCTCGCGTGGAGTTGTAAATGTAGAATAACAAGGCTTATGAAACAGAAACAGCCAAGAATCGGGGCCATTTGCAACACAGCTGTAACATTCCACCCTCGCCCCTCACGGGAAGTAAACTAAGCCAGAACAGTAACTACACAGGATAATAAATCAAGGTATAAGTAAACACATTCCCCGCACGCATCCTCCTTCACATCACATCCCAACGCAAACATGCACCTCCACCTCCCCCTCCTCTTATCGTCTGCAACAACAACCCTAGCCCTAGGCACCCACCGAATCAACTCAGAATACACCCCAACACAACACGAGCAATCGCAATACCCAATCTACAACCTCACAACACCACTCAACCACTTCCCCACCTCCCCAGAGTACCCAGCAACAAACCAGACCTTTCCCTTACGCTACATCATCGACACCTCGCACTACCAACCCGGCGGCCCCGTATTCGTGATCGCAGGAGGCGAGACCTCAGCGCTGAACCGCATCCCGTTCCTGTCGCAGGGAATCGTGCACGAGCTGGCGCGGATCTACCAGGGGGTTGCGCTGATCGCGGAGCACCGGTACTATGGGACGAGTTATCCGAGCCAACAGCCAGAAGGGAAGATCCCATTATCGAGCCTGAAATACCTGACCACCGAACAAGCGGTCGAGGACTACGCCTACCTAGCCACGCACCTCCCGCCAATCCTAGCCACGCTCTTGCCCACAACCAACAACCATACCAACACCAACACCACCCTCGCCCCCTCCCTCTCCCCGAGGGATACCCCCTGGATAATCTACGGAGGCTCCTACGCCGGCTTCCACGCAGCCCTAACCCGGCGCACCCACCCAAAAACCTACCACGCCGCGATCTCCAGCTCGGGCGTAACAGCCGCGATAATCGACTACTGGCAATATTACGAGGCGATCCGGCTGCACGCCCCAAAAGCCTGCGTGGAGACGCAACAAACCCTCATCGAATTCACAGATAGGGTTCTCCGGTACCCTGCACCCGAGTACAGGGCCCAGCTGAAGGGGATCTTCGGTGGCAGAGCCCCGGGGCTGGACGACCAGGCGTTCGTGGCGGAGCTTACGGCGCCGTTGGGGTTGTTTCAGGATCGGAATTGGGATCCTAGGGTCGGGGGATGGGGGTTCGCTTGGTATTGTGGGAATCTTACTTCTCCTATTATTGTGGATGAGGGAGTGGAGGGGGAGGTTGGGGGTGTTGTTCGGGGTTTGGTTCAGGGGTTTGGGCATGATGAGGGTAGGAAGGAAGAATTGGTGAGGGCGGTGGTTAATTGGGTTGCGTTTATCAGACGGATGGGGGTTTTTGAGGACGATGCTAAGGATGAGATCGATATTGAGGGGCAGGATAAACTCCTCCCTCGCTCCGCCTCCACCAGCTGGAACTACCAGGTCTGCACGGAATGGGGCTACTTCACGCCCGGCGCCACGGTGCCTGCGCACATCCGTCCGCTGGTCTCCCGCCTGCTGACCCTGGAGTACTGGGTCGACATGTGCAATGCCACGTACGGCATCACCGATCCGCCCGACGTGGACCGCATCAATCGCCACGGCGGGTTCGCCTTCTCGTATCCCCGTGTCGCGCACATCGGCGGTCTAGCGGATCCGTGGCGCGAGGCCACGCCGTTTGCCACAGGTCTGCCGCCGCGGAACGCCACGGCGGAGGAGCCGATGCTCCTCATGGAGGTGTCTGCGGACGAGGTGTACGATGGTATGGAGGGGGCGGTGCATCATTGGGATCAGAATGGGGTGTTTGGCGTCGACGAGGGGAAGCGCGTGGTGCCGCCGCGGGGGGTGCGCGAGGCGCAGGGCGAGATTGTTGGGTTTGTGGGGGGGTGGTTGGGAGAGTGGAGGGAGATGCAGGAGCAGCAACGAACAGAAGATATGGCGGAGGGAGAGCGCAAGCATCAGATCATACTCTAACAAGCCTGCTACCAGCAGCCCGAGACAAAAGATACATACATACAACCAATCCACCCAAATGCAAAACTTAATCCCCCGTCCCAATCTCCAAATCCAACTGCACCCCATTGGTAATACTATAATCCCCCAACGTAATGAAGTCCTTAAACGGCCGCTCACCCTGTCGCTTGAGCAGGATCTCGCGCGGCGCCCGCCCGATCTGCGCCGCCACCATGACCTTGAGATTGCCCACCGTATCCGACGGCAGGCAGGGGACCGTCGCCTTGGTGCCGAGGCGGTCATTGACGTGCACCAGAATCATCTCCTCCGTGCTGGCGGGCGCGGACTTCTTTTTCTTCTTCTTTTCTGTCTTCTCGGTGGTGGTGGTGGTGTCGTCTGCGGGTGCGCGCTCGTCGCGGTGCCGGGGCTGGTCCCGGTCTCTGTTACCAGCCTGGTGATCTCGATCGCGACCGTATTCGCGGCGGTCTCGGGCGTCTCGGCTGAATCTATCGTCTCGACTATCGCGACCGTACTCGCGGCGGTCTCGAGGGTCACGAGCGAACCTATCATCCCGACGGTCCCTGAACCTCTCATCCCGCCCATACTCGCGCCGATCATCCCGCCGCGGCGACCGCGCCCGATACCCGCGCTCATACCGCCGGGCATCTCTATCGTCGTCGCGGTCGCGATCGCCGCGCTCGGGCCGCTTCTCTTTCCATCTGAAGCCGCCGGTGGAGGATTTCTTGGGGTGGCGGGGTGGGGAGCGGGAGCGAGAGCGCGAGCGCGAGTGTCTGGGTTGTGGTGGTGGTGGTTGTTGTTGGGGTGGGGAGTCGGGCATTTTAGCGGTGGTTTTTTGGTGTTGTTCTGTAGATGGGGTGGTGACGTGTGGTGCACCACTGACGTGGACTGTGTCCAGTCTTTCGTATGTAGGGGTGTTGTTCTGCAGTTGGTCTTGTGTTCTTGTTCCTGGTTCTGTTGGTGATGGTGGTGGTGGTGATGTGTCGGAGTTGGATTGTTTGCGAGATGGGTGATGAAATGCGATGGATGCGGTGAGTCGGTATTGCAGGTTGGTTGGTGGGGATGTGTGGGGATTGGAGTGTTTGGGCAGAACCTGACCGCTTACCTATTGGGTCATTTCCTGGATGCTGGAGGGGCAGTATAGCAATAGTGACACGGTCAATTAACATGTGCTCCTGGTAGCTATCTACTACTGCTTAGAAGAGATGTAGAGTAACTGAATGCTGTTCAAATTTGGTGCTCATCACTTTCATATCAAGCTACATAGACAGCTCACAATTTGCCGAACGAATTTCCTACATTACACATACACCTTTACAACACTTAAGCATGCTTTTGCAAGAACTCCAGAGCAGTCTTGTACCCCCGCTCATACTCCTTCTTCACCTCCTCATCCTCCAGGTTCGACCGCGCCGCCATCCACCCGTGGATCTGCGTGGGGAAGGTCTCGACGTAGCCCGGCTTGGTCAGGTTGTTGCCGAACTTCTCGACATCCTCGGGATTCTCATCCTTGGATGCTAGAACCGCCATGGGCACGTTGACCTTTTTGGCGTCCTCGGGATCGAGCATCGCCGGGTGGCACTGCACGGCCGCCTTGAAGATGGAGTTGTCCTGGCCGGTGGCCAGCGTCGCGATCTTGCCGCCCCAACAGTACCCGAGGATGGACCAGGACTCGAACTTCTCGCCCGATGCCAGTTGGTTGGCCTCGGACACAATACCGGGGATCTTTGGGAGGGTGTTGGGCGGGGCGGCCTTGGTCTTGAAGAAGTTGCCCAGCTTGTGCTTGTGGTCGTCGTTCTGCGGCGGGAACCAGGTGATGTGCGCGGGGGAGCCTTCGAAGAAATCAGGGATGAACACGCGGTACTTCTGCGAGCTGGAGTGGGCGAGAATGTCGGCGCCTTGGACGGTCTGGTCGAAGAAACCGAAAATGTCTGTGGTTGATTAGACGGTGCAGTTGACATGAGGGAAAGTGCTGACCGTAGATAACCAGGATGGCCTTGGTTGCGGACTCCGGACCGGTAACGTCTGGAAATGTTAGCGGCTTGGATACTTCGGGGTGCTGCTACGTACAGGTCTTCAGGCCTCCGATGGTCTTGTATTCGCCCTTGGGCTGGTAGCCCTTGGCGACGACGGGGGGGATCCTAGTTCGTCAGCAGGGATGTGGCTGTGGTTGAGTCGGGGATACGCACGAGCAGCAGGCCTTGTTCACACCAGACATGGCGGCTGTTGAGCAATGGAAGGGACGTAGACGGATAGTAGTGGGGGAGCTGATGAGAGGTGCGAAAGACCTTCGAAGAGAATGGGTTAGAAGCGGTCTGGAGAACATGTTAGGTGGAATACGCACGGCAGATGCAGAGTTGTAGGGTTATAGCAGTAGCAGTTGAGAGGAAGAGTGAAGAATGGAAGAATGGAGAGGTGGGAGCGATTGAGTTGAGCTGCAAGCGAAATGAGGGGATCCCCACCGCGGCGACGTCATCCGCTTTCTCCACCTTTCCGGTTTCGCCTGTGACTTGCGCAGAAGACGCGACCATTGTTGAGCATCAATCTTGTAAAAAAATATAGCAGCGAGATCGGCTGCTATCAGACAGCTCACAACTATGAGGTAGAAATCAGGAGCCGGGGGTGGACGGCAGGATCAAGCAATGACCGGAGAACATGCGCTGCGCTGGATGCGCTTTCCAGGGCCAGTTATACCTCGATAAGCTATGAAAACTGATAAAGCATAATTGCATGCCTGGCTAAGACCATAGCTAACACAGTTACACAGCTCTTGCTAGGGTCATAGCTTCTTACTGCAACAGCTACCCATGTTATCGACAGCAATGTTTGCCTCACTCCCCAGTACACACAACCCCAACTACAGATAAATCACGTTCCGGGGGAGAGCCCCCGGACCCCCCTTCCCTTCAGCTTCCTGGCTTGATTAAATCCTGATACCAAGGATATAAGCATTTCAGCTCCCTGGCCCACCTCATTCCTTATACCAAGAGTATAAGCGTGTTCCGGGGAAGAAACCCCCGGACCCCCTTCCCTTCAACTTCCTGGCCCAACTCAACCTTTAGACCAATTCTATAAAGACATCCGGGGGAGAACCCCCGGACCCCCCTTCCCTTCAGCCTCCTGGCCCACCTCAATTCATATACCTAAGATATAAGTATTCCGGGGGAGACCCAGACCCCCCCAGCACCCAGCACCTCAATCCCCAATGCTGAATGCGTTCACAGACGAGTCCAAAGTGCCGCCTGCCATCGCCGCAAGGCCGCTATAGGGTTGGCCCCGTTGCGGTCGGAACTGCGGTGTCTTGCGGATGAGACGGCGCGCTGGGTACTCCGTACGGGTGGCCGATCTCGATGGGTTGGATGCTGCGTATGTCACGCGCCGGACACATTTACTCTTGGTTCCGGGATAAGGCGCAGGGGCGTTTATCCGGATGTCGCTGGGGTGTTACCCTGCGTGGGAAATGTAGTTATGGGCTGGGCAGGGAATCTTCCGGATCCGGTACACGTATTTGTTCTGTGGTGGTGAGGATGAGATGAGGGTAAACGTGGGGAGCGAGGGAATGGCAGAGAGGAAGAGCAGCATCAGCAGCAGAAAGAGAAAGAAGTGGGTGCTGATGCTACTGCAGCAGTTACTGCACTCTACTGCTGCACTCTACTGCGGAGACAACTGGTAAACTGAAGAGAGAAAGGCCGGGGGAGCAAGAGGGTTTTCACATGGTCACCATCCAACCTTTAGACAACTGTTGAAACAATCCAAGCGAAGCAACAAAGTCAAAGTCTCTCAGTCAGTCGGTCAAGCAAGCAGATAAGCTACACCCGGCGCCACTGCCAACGCCGACCTCTCGATTCCCGTGCGCCAGCCCCAGAAAACCGAACCAGACAAGCAACCCCATTGAAGAGGAAGGAAGTAAAGTACGGTTTGAGAGAGTGAGTGGGTAAGTGAGAGAGTGTGCACTGCATCAACCTGCATCCCTCCTCCCTCTCCCTTTCTCCCCCAGTCCGACTGACTGACTTCCAGTAATACCCCACTCAGGTCTGGACCGGTCTAGGTCGTTCTTCATGCCGGCACTGGCATTCCTGTCTTGTGATAGATAGATAGATAGTTGGTTAGTTCCGCCGCAGCTGAGAAAGCGTAGTTTTTTCCTGCTGCATACAGGGTGAATACTTTGACTACTATCATCGAAAGAAGTCATCAGAAGATAGGAGAGAATAGACTAAGAGGAACCAACTAGTCGACTCGACAATCATCCTCCTCCCATCGTAAGTGCACAGTGCTCTTCGGATTTGGTTTTCCCCGAAGGAATCCCCGCAGCCGATACGGTATGGTCAGTAACGGTAAGTACCGGTAACAGCAGTCAGGCAGGTCACACGCACCGCCCCGCGAGTCCTAGGTTGGTTGCCAAGCCCTGGCGGCTATTCTTAGCTTCGATAGTCGACTCGCTGCTATACGGAAGACAAAGACAGAGACTGCGGTGGTCTCACTTATTGATTTCGAGAACTGTCTGGATTCGAGAATGATGTGAGTCAAGGGAGAAGATTTTCCACTTTTCTCTCTCGAGTTATTTGTGCTATCTGCATGGACTTTGTTCCAGAAATATATCATAAATGAAGGGAAGTAACGATTTCAACTACCGTGATATATACACTGCCACAAAGTTCGTCGATGTATATCTCCGCATCAAACAAATACCATGAGTATACAACCAATGTCCTGTACATGCAACCCCAGTTATTACTACTGGACTCAACCCATGACATAGAATACTATGCACTCCACCGTAGCGGACCATGCCACGTGATAAGGAAATGAAATGGAATGGGAGACCAAGCCAGGTAGTCTGTAGCCCCGTCAGCGCACTACTGTACTATAGACATTAAACTAGTGAGAGTCGGACACGACCATCCCAGAGACGAGATTAAATTTCGCTTGCGCTGTCATGTAGGGTCGGTTAGATACCCGGTGCCTTGAATTTTGCTTGTGTCTGAGAGAGGGAGGGGAGGTGGTGTAGCGGCGAGTCGCAGGGATTATTAGAGTGGACTAGGCCGCATTCACGCAGAGTGTCGCCTGGACTGGGTATACCGGGACTTTTACTGCAGCGCGAGAAGGAGAAATCCAACATCATACTACGATGGTGGTTGGAGTGAATCCCTCGAGGATTACACCTCAAAAGACCTACATCTAACCCCAACCCACCTCCCAATTAAGCTCGCGCGAACATCTAGCGGCACGAGAAGACCAAAAACACGAACAACACCACGACTCAGACCAAAGTCCCTACGGAGTGATCCCAAGTCCAATCACCAACGATCCCCAGACCGCAACTCCGCGTTGCTTCGTGACAGCCGTCAAACAAGCGTTCTCAGAAAAAAAGCCCACAAGTTAGATCCAACCCCGTCCCAAGAATCACCCAAGATAAGGGACCTCTACAAGGTCCCTCTCGGCTCCGACAAAAACAAACATTGATTAAGGTTGACGACGGTCGCGCGCCCTGAAACGCCTTGTCTTCGTGTGGTGTATCCAAGCACGCCTCAGCCGCACACTTGCAGGTGATCATCCATTCATCCCATCCCATTCTCCAGACTCGGGGGCTAGACTGGATGGGCCTGGATATCTGAGAGAGGAAGTAAGCGAGGGAGCTGAGGGAGAGGATAAGCTACAGTATCTATGGCTGCAGGTCGAGTGGGCGGCTCTCCAGGGGGACTCTCGTTTGATTCGAATCTGTCACTGAGGGTCTAGCTGCCTTGACCGGAACGGGATGGCATGGTTGTACTCCGTATTGAAGTGAGAGGTAAGGTGGTCAGGAATGCTCGTTCAAGCACTCCAGATTGGTGACGGCTGGTATACTGTGTACATACAGTAAAGTACGTATATGCACTCGAGGAATTAAACAGAGACCCCGAACGCCTCTCCGTTCCCTCTGCTCTCAGGGTCTATCTTACTAGTCAACACTCCCCCCGGTAGTCAAGATTCTCGAGTTAGTCCGGTCCGTTCTCCACAGTCGGAAGGCATCCGTCCCTGTCAATCCGTGTGCACATCAGCGCGGGGAAGGGAGGGGGAGAGAATCCGTCAGAGACCTAGGTGGTCTGCACTGATCAGACTGGGGAGGGAGGGGACGAAAGAGATCCTCGAATCGCGAGGGAATGACCCCCCGTCTCCGATCGAATTTGAGTTGGCGAGGGCAGCAGCAGCAGCAACAGCAGCAGTGGTGCAGACCACTAAATGCGTGAAAGGTTCGGTATTTCCGGTAGGGGGAGGAAGGAATAATTTGGGTTTCCGGTCCTGTCATGTTTGCTGGCTCAATCCCGGGGGGGGGGGGGGAGGGAAAGGCCAAAACATGCTCATGCGCAGGGATGGGAAAAATGCTGGGGAAACACATGCGAATTGTGGAGTACAGGAGGTAAAAGAGGAGACGAGCCTCGGAGGACGGAGGGAACCATCTGAGATCTTGCAGTGGTGACTGGTGATGATATTTGTTGACACAGGTTAATTTACTAGTATGCCCAGTAGTTAGACCACAGCATAGTTAGTACTAAGCACTAAGTCCTGGATGTGGCGGTCCATGGCCCACGGACGCGAACCCTCCACCAATACCGACAGCCTGGTTGCTGGCCGCGCCTCCCGTCGGGAGAGGCCAACTGGTGGTGGTGGACCGTTAGCTTTGCCAGCTTGCCAGCTTGTGACTTGGGTGGCAGAGTCCGGCAGACAGAACAATAGAGTTAGCCCTCCGTCCGGCCTGTACGGCGGACACTCCGGGGAAACAACAAGCCACGGGCACACTAGACTAGATTCTTGTTGAGAGGGAAAGCACAGAGAAGCGAAAAAAAAAAGGAAAGGACCTAAGCCCAAGTTGGATTAGCGTCGAATGCACCTGGCAGCCAAACCGCGGGTTTGCCCGGCCAATGGCCACTGCAGGAAATCCCAAGGGGGTGGCTCAAAATCCACCCGGGGGAAAAGGTCTGGCCAATGCCTGCACTCTACAGCTGTACTTGGAACTTTCCCCCTCGTATCTTAGCACTATCCACGTTGACGAGGTGGGGAAGGGAAGAGGGAATGATTGATCTGGACGGTTAGGTTGGACTGAGTCTACTCGGCAAAGAAAAAAAAACATGGGAGAGCGTGCCAGCCGTTAGTCTAGAGAAGATTAGGGAAGAGCGAAGAATGAAAGGCAGACAGACAAGACGAGGCGGGGAGAACCATCCATCAATCGACCTAATCCCAAAATCATCCATCCTCCATCTCGGTTGAATCGTAGATTCAGATTCCAAGGGAGGTGTGCTAGACGAACCAATCACGCGACCCTCCCAACTGCAAAACGACCAGCCGGGAAAGTCTCGGCGGCTGCGGGCTGCAGCAAACGACCGGCATTAGACCAGATCTAGACTAGAATGGCAACAGAGCTGGCCCTGACGCCCGAGCCAGACTCGGAGTCTGCCAGTTCCACCCTGGCGCTAGTTATGGACGGGTATGGCTGGTATGGCTGGTTATGGCTGGTTATGGCTGGGTATGGCCAGCGTATGAGAAAACACGGGCCATCCACCAATCGCCGCCACCATCGGACCCCGGTCATCCATGGGCCAGGATCCGAGCAACAACTTTACTGCCCGTCCCCTGCCAATCGCTTCCCTTTTCTTTTTTTTTTACATCTTTTCTTTGCTCAGCGGACGCGTGCAGACACAATGACCGTAGTCCCGATTAGGAAGAGGGGGGGAACCTCGTATTGGCCCTGACCGAGGAGGGTTCTGCATGCTGCACTGAAAGGAGTTGCTGGTGTTGCTGGTGTTGCTGGTGCTTTTACAGCAGTGTGCCGCTCCTGAAGGATGGTGCGATGGTTAATTTGCCAGAGGAATGAGAGGGAGCGAATCAAACCTCCATTTGACAGTTGAAGCACCAATGTGCCATTCACAGGTGACGGTGCAATGCATGGATGGGATGCTGAGGGCACTCGGTCGGTCGGTGGTCGGTTGGTCGGTCGGAGGCTCGGGGCTAGTACTGGAATGGGACAGACAGAAAGCCAGGCGGACCAGCGACCGTTTGTTTGCCTTTCACGGGGAATGGTTCTTTTCTTTGTCTGTTGGCGGCTTGTTGCCCATTGAGAAATGATGTCTGTGCGGGTCGGCTGTCAGATCGATATTGGATACCGGACGATGGATGATGGGATGGGAGAAACCCCTTGAGTCGAGATATCATCGACCCCAGGGGAGAATCATAATCCAGGCAAGCCAACTTAATATCACAACCACATTAATGATTCCACTGGATCGGAGAGCCATCGAAGCTTCGATGGGCAGTGTGGGTGGATCGGGAGGGTCTCTTCCGTCCAGGAGTCGTCCGTCGTCTTTATTTTCCGGCATGTCAGACCGGCTGACTAAGATGATTAACTGACTGGTTATACTGTCTACTGTCAGCCCAGTCTACCCATCATTCTCTCTCCGTCTGAAACGATAATTCTTCAATCATCGTCAATTATCTGGAGTGACCAGACCACACCCCCTCCAACAGCACCGCACCGCACACTGCTCGCCCCGTCCCGCACAAGCCTAGACTCGGCAGCATGATTACACCCGGACCCAGCAACTGTCATGCATTCCTCGACGCAAGGAGCAGGCCGATCGCTTGCTTGCCCCTTTTTCGTCTTGTCTGGCGTGGTCTCCAAGCCCAAGCGCTCTATCGCGATGATGCGATCGGTGCATCTGATTTGTGCGCCCGCGGGGTTTGATCGCATTTCCGGTGACCAGACGGGGATGGCCATCCCTGAGGATTGAGACTCCTGCTGCGACCAGGGTCCGCTGGTCTGAGACTCCAGACCCGACAGCAGGTCGTCGGTGTCATGACAGTTCTAGAGTATCGTGGGTGAGCCGTGACGTGCAATTCTCCCGTCGATCCTGCCCCCTTCTTGATCTTCTCCTGAGGTCCTGATCGATCGTCGGGCCAGCGTCTGCTAAGCTTAAAGCCAAACTCCACCCAACAGGGAAACAGCAGAGGATCATTCCCTGCTCTTGCTGGGCCGGGGCTGGCCGATCGGTCGTCTGCGCTCCACATGCCTATCCGACCAAGCTTAGACGCAGGGAAGATGCTTCAGTAGTGCCGGTTCAGGGCAAGTAAGAATAGAACTTATCCTTTAATCACAACACCACAAAGTACGGGTTTATCGCCATCCGCGTGCATAAGGGACAAACAGACAAACAGACAGACAGTCAGACTGCCTGACTAATTTACTTCCCGAGAAGGAGGTTACTTGAAGGGGCAACCACCCTCACTATTCAGGTTTACTGGCGGGTACCATTACTACCGCGAGGGTTCTCCCCTCTTCACGCCGGGCATCGGAAGAACCGAGTTTGGCACCCTCATCGCTGGCTCGGAATTGCGGACAGAGTTAGGTTGCTGACTGCTGTTTGTCATGGGAGGTCTAGCCAATTCGATGCTATCTCACTCGTTTGGGACAGAGTAAATCTGAACAGGATGTCACAAGTAAAAAGTAGCATGGGCATGGGCATGGGCATATGAGCAATGGGCAGATGAGCATATGATGATATTCTGGGGTGTCTCTACCCCTCCACCTTTCCCTTAGTGTGTTAAACTAGATCGTGTGGTCGACGGGTTAGACAGTGAGTATTGTACTAAGCGGACTAAGTGTACTGTGTACTGTACTCAGTAGTGGTGGAGGCCACAGCGGAAGAACAGAAAGAACAACAGAAGAAGAAGCAGAGGAAGAGCCGAGAGGGTGGAAACCCTTTTGAGTATGGTAAAGTAGTGTGGTAGAGCCCTGTCAACCACGTTGCCGTTGATCAGTCGTCCAAGTCGTTTAGTGGTCTTAGTCTCCCTTTTGGACTCGGTTCAAGTGGGGATAGGAGCAGTTGCGATCCATGGGCGATGTTCGCTTCGGTAAGACTGACTGACTGCAAGACTGACTGTAACTTGTTGGGGTGATTCTTGCGGTGATTCTTGCAGTCTCTGAGTTGCTGACTCGCTTGTCGCTTGTCTTTTCTTCTCTTCTCTCCTAAACTGTCGTGAAGAATGGATGGTTCGTCCAGACCCTGATCAGGTATGAATACAGGTACGGTACCCCTCGTATCGGTCCTTACCATTTTTACTGTATTGTCCATACCGTACCGCATGAGCAGCAGCAGTGATTGATTCCCCAGATTAGGGGATGCAAGCCGATAGTACTCTATTCCTTCTTCATTGCTGCTGCAGTCCCATCCATCCATGGTTTCTTTTCCCTGGGTGTTGACCTTTCCCTTGGTCCAGGGGACTGCTGCAGAAGTCGAATACTCGCCCTGAAGAAACCACTCATCCCAGACATTCCACCCAGTCCTTCAGGTCAGTCTGTCTCCTTCTCGTGTTTTATTCTGTTTTTGACTTGCTTTTTCTCTTCTGATTCTGTCTTATCTTTCTTGATCGACCCTGTCGAAGAACAATCCCCTTACTGGTGTCCTCTCTGCTCTCCCAGTCTGCCTGTTGACTTCATTTTCGCTGTCCGTGGATTGAACTTACGGGTGGGTAATTTCTCCCTGGTAATCTTTCCTGACCGGAGAAAACCAGCCAAAAATACTTTTGCTCTGGTTCTGTTCTCTCTCTCTCTCTCTCACTCACTCTCCGTGTCTTCTTCTCTTCTTTTCCTTTTCTCTCTTATTTTTCATTTCTTTTCTTTTCTCTTTTTTCCTTTTCTCTTTTTTTTTTTCCCTTCCCTTTCCCTTTTTCTTTCCCCCCCCCGCGCTGGCCAGACCCGGCCTTGGACTGGTCTGGATACGTCTCCATTCCCGGGTTGTTTGGGCCAGCAATGGTTTCTGTCTCTCTGTCTGCCCATCCCGACCAGCAATCATCATTGATTGATTGATCCCATCCAGAATAAATAAAAGAAATAAGAAGCAAGCCCCGGACCGGCCACCCGCAGCACCGAATCATCATTTATCTCCACCTTCTTATCTTCCTTCAATTCCCACCGGACCCTATTACACCCTTACTACTCCTACTACTACTCCTTCTACCATACTCATTAATCATTCACCACCACCACCATCTATCATCATCATCATCCTCTATCTAACCTCGCTACTATTTCTTCCACTTACAACCTCATCTACCATCTACCTCCCTAATCATTTATTATCACCATCAACCCTCTCCACCTTCGTCTACTCACCTCTAGCCTCCCACTTAGCCTTTCGTCATCCCACGGTACTTCGAACTCACCTGAGGATCGCATCGAGCCGCATCTCGCCGCATTTCGCTTGCCTCGACTATACCACCCACGCCTCGGTCCGATCTCCTCAACACAACACAGACCATGTGCGTGTGTGTTTAAATCGCCTTCCTCCCCAATAACTGCCTTGCGACTGGTGTCTTTGTGCAACTGTACAACCAAGACGGGTGGCTTGATTTGCCTTCACACCTTATTTGCTACACCTCTGGGATATGACTCCCAACTGAGCGCCAGTGGTTCACCAAGCCTCGACTTGAGACCGTGACGATCGCGACAACCGGTTGATCGTGAACGATCTGCCCCATCCCGACTCCCCCCGCGAGATCGCTGCTGGCGATCCCATCGCCCCTCCTGGATCCTCCGGACATCTCTGGAGGCCTCCCTGGCAGTCGATACTGGACTCTCGGACCCGAATCTGTCGCCTTCCCCCCAGGAACCCTGTCCTCCACTCTGACCAACCCTGCGGTGAACGTGGTCGATCTCTATCCGTCTACCGGCTTCTCTCGTGATACCACCGCCGCCATGGCTGCCCTTGCGATCCCCCCGCCCGGCATGGGCCCCTCCTCCCTCGAGGCGCTGACGGCCCCTCAGCCGCTGAACACCCGTCGTCCGGGCGCTCCCCCTCTCCCCAGCATGGAGTTGCCCACCCCGAATTTCGCCGCTGCGCTGAAGTACGCTCACCTCCCAAATCCCTCCGCCCTCAACCCCAGCGTCAGCAACCTGTTGACCCCGCCCGCGACGAGTCAATCGGGCGAAACCACTCCCGTCACCACGGCACAGCAGACCAGCGCGGCCGGCGTTCCGTCGGTGCCCGCCACTCCGGACCTGGGTCCGTTCTGGTCGAGCCAGAGCTCATATGGCAGTGCGTCGGGGGCAGCGGCCGCGCGACAGTCGTGGGCATCGAGCTTGAGTCCCTACGCCAGTCGCGACACGTTCTCGCCGCCCGGAAGCAATGCGATCAGCCGCAACCCCGTCCCGTCGTCTTCGGGCGCCGACCCGATCCCCCAGGGCTATGAGATGAACCAGCTCCCTCCCTTCCAACAGTCAATCCCTGTCTCTGCGGCGGGGGTGGCACCCGGCGCCACGCCGCAGCAGCCACCGCACGCGCTGACGCATGCCGTGTTATCTGCGCAGCACGGGCTCCCTAACCCCATCCCTTCCCCACATCCCCTCCCGTCGAACGATCCCTACATGGTCAAGTCGTCGTCCGCCCCCGCCTATAGCACGGTGCAGCAACTGGCCAGTCCGCCAGGGAGCTATTCTCCGTACGGACCCACCGGGCTGAGCATGCACCCCCCTGGCCGAGTCGCGTCGAATCCGCACCCGTCGCATCACCTGAACTACCAACGGCAGCCGTGGCCATCGTATTCGATCCCCGCCTCGAATGGACCGGTGTGGACGAATGTACACAATCCCAACGGACACATGTCACTGACGGGGAATCCACCGATGATGCCTCTGAACTTCAACAGCGGGACCGAGGCCTACATGCAGCGGATGTACGGCGGACACCACCCCCATCCCGGCCACGGCGGGCCAGGACAGACCAACGACCGACCGTTCAAGTGCGACCAGTGCCCGCAGAGTTTCAACCGCAACCATGACCTGAAACGACATAAGCGGATCCATCTATCTGTCAAGCCATTCCCTTGCAACCACTGTGACAAGAGTTTCTCGCGCAAGGACGCGCTGAAGGTATTTTGGACATGTTCTGTACTACGAGGGAGATATGCTAACGGCGGTCTAGCGACATATGCTTGTCAAGGGGTGTGGGAAGGACGGGGTGGGGGCGGGGGCTGAGCCTGGTGCGGCGCGGCCGACGGTCAAGGAGGAGGACCGCAGCGACGATTCGAATGGACAAGCCTGACGATCACGATCGACGATCGACGTAATGCGTTCCGGGGGAGAACCCCCGGACCCCCCTTTCTTTTCAGCTTCCTGGAACCGATCGGGGAACATGCATGTGGGCTGGCGTTGTGTTTGTTTATATTGTCGGGCCGCAGCGTTTCTGTCTTGTATCTAGTTTGGGCCGGATGTTGTTGGTTGGCATCAGCGTTTGGTTTGTATACGTATGTATGTAGTAGAGCGTTTTGGATTCCTCTCTGTCTGTGTAGTGTGGAATATGTTTACACTGTGGGACTTGCGTGAGACGCGGGCGAGTGCAGAGTAGAGTAGTGTGTGCGTGTGTGTGACTTGAGACGGTGAAAGTAGATCCGTGGCCCAGTGTTTCTCCGTTGAGTATCTACTACTGATATTCGTTTCCTGCCAGATACTACCTATATACCCCCCCTTCCCTCTTCTCTCAAGTATATCCAATAACACAACTCCACGAAAAAACATCATCCCATAATCAAATCGAACATAAGAAAAATGACCAAAATGTGCCCCCTCCCCCTCCCCCTCTTACTTCTAATAATCCCAATAGTAAGAACACAATACATCTCCCCCATCCCCTCCCACCCCGCCTCCACCGAAATCTCAGCAATCTACCACGCCCCCAATTCTTGGTTGTCTGAGCTCTCCGCCCCAAAAATCTCCGCCGTGAACACCTCCGCCTTCGAATGGTGGTACTTCGACGCCATCTCCGCGACAAACCCCAACGTCTCCGCCGCGTTCACCTTCTTCACGGCCTCGCCGTCGGCCTTCCCCCTAGCCCCTAGGAACGCAAGTTCGATTGTCTGGTCCGTTGGATTCGTTAGTCTCCCTTCTCTTTCCGGTTCACCGGGAGAACCTGGAGAGGGCTCGGGGGATGAAGACTCCGCTACTCACCGAGCACGTCAATCTGGCAGCGAGGGCAGGGTCGTCAGCGAGATCGGCGTGTCCGGGGAAGTAGAAGGTGAAGGGGAGGGCGTGGTGCTCGGGGATGGGCGCGGGTGGAATGTGGGGTTCTGGGAGGGGCTGGGCGGGTGGGTTGCTTCTTTTCCTTCTCCGCCCGGGAGCCCTTTGGGACAGGGGATGGGTAAGTCGAGAGTCAAGCCCGCGGCTCTATTCTCCGGGCAGCAGCACGGGGCCCCTGCGAGCACTGCGCGGTATGCGCATCGTGCGGCTGCGAGTGCGCCCTCTGGCACCAATATCGATGTCTGGGTTGGGTGGGAGGGGAGTCGGATTTCGGGGAGGTTACGGTTGGAGAATGTATGTCTTTTTTTTCTCTTCTCCTATGCTAGTGTGGGATTTTTGAAAGGGAGGGACGGGGGGGTTAGGGTTAGTGTGTTAATAAAGGCAGGCCACATCCCCGCGCACAGCGTGCTCAACAACGTCGCGCTTCGACCCGTCTCTCCGCCTCGGTCCGATCGGTTGGGCCAACATCGTACCGCATGCCAAGGCGAGCGTGGATCTGGTGGTTGATGGCGAGGTGTTGGGGTTTGAGGGGTATGGGTATCATGATAAGGTCCCCTTCCCTTTCCTATCCTCTCTCTACCTAGAATCGGGAGGGATGCTAATGTTGAACCTGGGGAAAAGAACTGGTCCGAGCGCCCGTTCCACACGCAAATCAGGAAATGGTTCTGGGGCCATGCGCACGTGGGGCCTTACTCTGTTGTCTGGTTTCAGGCCACCCCGCAAAATGGTACCGTGCCTTTTGGGTCGGCTTCGATTTTGAAGGACGGGGTTCCGGTGCTGGGTGGGTGCGAGGCCGGGATTGTTAGTGTGCAGCGGTTGGGGAGTCCGGCGAGTCCGGGATTTGGGGTTGAGGTTGTTATGAGGGGGGTGAGGCTTGTTGTTTCTGGGACGAGGGAGGTTGCGGGGGATGGGGTGCGGTTTTTTCGGTGGGCTGGACTTGTTCAGGGGGTTATTCTTGGGGATGATGTTGGTGGGGGGGTTGCGCTTTTTGAGGAGTTCGAGTTATAAGTTTATTGAAGTGGAGGTTGGCAGGAGGCGGAAAGGAAGGGGGGTCCGGGGGTTTTCCCCGGATACTCTCTTATCTAGTGGTTTCAGATGGAGGTAGGCCAGGAAGCTGAAAGAAAAGGGGGGTCTGGGGGTTCTCCCCCGGATTACGCATATTCTAGTGATATGGACTTGAGGTTGCCAGGAAGCTGAAAGAAAAGGGGGGTCCGGGGGTTCTCCCCCGGGACGGTATATCTCTGGTGGTTTAAGAATCAGTGGTGGTAGGGAAGGAATGTGATATTAAGCGTTTGTTCTGTTACAATGTACAGGGTTAGGTGTAGAGAAGTTAATCGACCATCCATTCCTCGACGAGGCCGCAGTAGTCCTCGACGCCGTAGGGTTCGAGCCAGCGCAGCCTGCCGCCCTTTCTGCGGTAGTCGAGTCCGAGGTCGCGCAGCAGCAGGTCGATATAGGGCAGGGCATCGAAGACGAAGTCGGGGTTGCGCCGGCCGAAGCCGCCGGGGTAGCGGTGCACGCCGAACTGCGTGTGCAGGGTGGTCTCCCACACGAGATCGGGGTCGGCATCGGGCTGGTGCTTGAGCAGCAGTGCTCTGGCGTGGTCTGGACATTTCTCGGCGCTCTTGACAGCGAGTTTATTGCTCATCCAGGCCGTCACCCACAGTGCTTGGGTCTGGGCCACCATGGGGGTGTTGATGGTCATGGTCATGCCGATCCAGGCGATGGAGCGCTCCTTGGCCAGCTGGGCGTCCACGGGCACCATGAACCGGGTCAAGCGCAGGGGATGACTGGCGGCGGCGGGCGCATCCTTCGCCAGGGGCTTGTATCCCTCGACCATCCTAGGAGGACGCTGCAACCTGGGGAACCGCCTGCGGATCTCCTGATCGGCCAACCTGACCACCTCCGGGGCCACGCAATCCCGCGCCTCGGGCAACCCCAGCTCCTGTTCCAGCTCAGCCGGCACAAACTGTACCTCGGGTTTAGCCTTCCACCCAGTCGCACACAGCAACGCCCTGACATTCTCGATCACCGTCCCCGAGCCCAGTTCCACCGTGTCCCCGCGCAAACCCGCCAGCTCGTCGACATGCACGCGCACACGGCCGCTGCGCACCAGCTCGAAGAAATCTGTGGGAAAGTTCAGGATGCTCAGCCCGCTGGCGATCCAGAAGGGGCTGATCCACGGCATCAATTTTTTTGTTTCCGGGTGGCCTGCGTAGTTGTTCAGAGTCAGTACGTCGTTGCGCAGCACCCACCAGAACCCGTCCACGATCTTCCGGCCCAGCCAGGTGCCGTGCAGCAGCCGGCGGGTCGTCGAGCACCCGTCTGCCGATCCCCAGATGCACGGGCTGAACCAGGTCAGCAGCCGCGTGGTCACGAGCTTCTCGAGCCAAATCTTCAGGGGGGTTACGTAGGCCGGCGCCATCCAGGTCGGCCCGTGGCCGGTTGAGCGGATGATCCAGTCGACGCGGTAGGGGGTCGTAGTGCTGGCCGCGTAGATTGCGTCCCAGGCGGATTTAGTGGCACCGAAGATTACGATGGATTGTTCTTTTAGTGTCTCTTTAGACGGAGGAGGAGCGAAGATCTGAGCTTGGTGGTGGCGGAGGTCTTTGATGTGCAACAGCGGCGGCGTGAAGGATTCTTGGCCGCGGAAGGTCGGCAGGTAGGCCTGCGAAGTCATGCCGGTTGCCATGATGAGTTTGCGCGTGTGGAGGGCAGAGGTCGATTTATCCTCGTCGTCGAGGTGGTCGACGGTCAACGTCCAGGTGGTGTCGGGCTCGTGCTGGATGATGCGCACTCGACGCCGCAACCGGATGTATGGCCCCAGCCCGAAGTGCTTCACGTAGCTGGCCAGGTATCGCTGGATCACAGTCCCGGGCAGATGCTCGCCCGGCGCGACGCCAAACGAGTCGTCCAGCGGAAAGTCGCTGAACTCGTACGTGCCGCGCATGTTGTTCGATTTCAGCCCCTCGTACAGCCGGTGTTGCGCCCAGACGCCCCCGACGCTGTCGGCGCCTTCCAGGAGCACGATCGAGGCATCGGGGTGCACTTGGTGGTAGGTTTTGAGCGCGACCAGGCCACTCCAGCCTGGTTTGTGTTAGTGTGAGTTTAGAAATGTTCGCGATCGCAGCGACTGTAAGTCAACCTACCTGCGCCGATGATGGTCACGTCCACCGTCTCCATGTTTGACAGCGGCAGCGGGCAGTGAGCGGAAGTGGGAGAAAAAGTAAAACAGAGCAGGGGCAGGCCTGACAGCTAACGTGCCGATCGCGGGCTTTCTTTTATTTCTGTCTAGTTCCCCCCTGCTTCATCTTTCCCCTCCTTGCCTGTCCACGAGCAAGGAAGTGAGTGGATGATCGTAATACTAAGTAGCACCGGGAGTTGCACCGGTGCTGGTGGCGGCGGGCCACTAACACTGTTAGGGCTAACAGAGCGGGCATCAGGACTCCACACTGAAGCAAAGACAACTTGACAGCTCGGCTTCTCTCCACTCCCTAACTGACATTGGACAAGTTGACACTCGACCTGACAGCCCGCTAACGAATGGTGTAACGGTTTTCCTCGGCATTGCCCCTGTTCTGAGCCAAGGGCCACCCGTTCATCGGACATGGGCCACCAAACGGTCAGTAGTGACTTTAGTCTTGCTCGCTACTCGCCTTCCCTGTTCGACGCTGGTTCGGTGTACTGCACGTCAACTCTCCCAATTAGCGTAGTTACAACCGTCATACGCATGCACGTCGAACCAGGACGGGGAATAGTGGGGATCTGCTGCAGTGGCGCCGCTACGAGTCTGCTGTTTGCCCTCAGGCCCCAGGGGAAAAAGTGATAGATAGCGAGGGAGCAAACATCGGGATTGCACAGATCAAGAATCTTCCCCTGACAGCATAATGTATTCATCATATAACTTCCCCTCGCCTCCGATCGGCCAGTCCTTCGAAAATGTTTCCTGACGATTCTTTTCTTTTTTCTTTGTTTCTTTCTTTGTTTCTTTGTTTCTTTCTTTCTTTCCTTGTTACACCATGGCTGACGACTTCGTCATCGAGGCCTTCACGCTGCTGGCCCTTGCCATCCTGACCATCGCCTGTCGAGTCGCGGCCCGCTGGCTGACGGCTGGCCCTAAGAATTTCGCTCTCGATGATTATTTGATGCCCGTCGCAGGGGTATGCTCACCTTGCTGCTTGCTTACTGCTTCCTGCCTACTGCTTTTTTTTTGTGCATTCCTGCTGCGACAAATTTTATCGCTCGGTAATCATTTCGCTAATTTATGGGGCCTGGTAGGTTGTCTACGCCCTCGAAACCGGCGCCGCCTACTGCGTCAGCGCCTGGTGGCACGGGCTCGCCAACAACTCCATGACAGCGACCCAGCGCGCGACGCTGTCCCCGTCATCCGAGGAATACCGGCTGCGCGTTGGGGGCTCCAAGACCCAGGTGCTGGGTTGGTCGCTGTACACGACGCTGCTGTGGCTGCTTAAGACCTGCATGGCCGTGTTCTACTCGCGACTCACGTACGCCCTCCCGCCTCACTATACCCTTATTTCCATCTCAAACCGTGCAACAAAGTCAATCGCTAAACCAACCCACAAATAGAGCCGGCCTCTACAACATGACCCTGCGCATCCGCATCGCCTACGCCGCCATCGCCCTCACCTACCTCGCCGTCATCCTCAGCATCCTGCTCGGCTGCCGTCCCCTCCACCGCAACTGGCAGATCAATCCCGACCCGGGCAATTACTGCCAGCCCGCCGTCTCACACATCGATGTCTATGTCACCGTCACTCTGAATGTCGCCACCGATGTCTATCTCATCTCGATTCCGTTTCCGGTATATTTTCTCCAGTGTTTGTTGCGGGATGAAGACTGATGAAGACGGGAGTAGATACTCTTCAAGGCACGCCTGCCGTGGCGCGAGAAACTCGAGCTCGTCGTCCTCTTCAGCGGCGGCTTGTTCGTTATGGCTGCCGGCATTCTGCGCTGTGTTCTAATCGTCACGGTATATCCCCCCCCACCCAACTCCCCAAAACCATATTACTGCTTCATATAACGTTCCGGGGGAGAACCCCCGGACCCCCCTTTCTTTCAGCTTCCTGGCCACCTCAATATAAACCCCGGTCCATGCTAACGTATACCCGGAGCAGGCAGGAACAAACGGCGCCTCCCAAGCAGGGAGCTGGGCCTGCCGCGAGACCTTCGTGGCCGTGGTGATCGGCAACCTGCCGATGATCTACCCGGTCTGCCGCCGCATGGCCCGGCGCGCCGGCGGCTACTGGTCGTCGCCCAGCCAGCCCAAGGGCAGCGCCGCCTCCGGCCCGGGCGGCGCCCTGGCCTACCCGCTCTCCGAGCCGCACAGCGCGCACTCGCGCAGGAAGCGGTTCCGCCATCCGCTCTCCCTGCCTGATTCGCAGTGGACGCAGTTTGGAACCGTCAGCGATGAGCAGGTTATGCTTGCTCCTCTTGAGGAGGAGGTGGGGGGGAGGGATCGGGGGGCTGAGGGCGGGATTCAGGTTGTCAGCGAGTTGATTGTTACGCGCGAATAAAAACTCACTCTGTGAGTTATGTGCTTATGATTTATGATATCTGTATATACCTGTCGGTAAGGGTAGATAAAATTTATCTTTGGTATATAAGGGTGAGTTTGGCTAGGAAGCTGAAAGTAAAGGGGGGGTCCGAGGGTTCTCCCCCGGATATCTTTATAGGAATGGTCTAGAGGTTGAGTTGGGCTGGGAAGCTGAAAGAGAAGGGGGGTCTGGGGGTTCTCCCCCAGAACGCTTTAAGAACACTGGCAGCGGTTTAGGTACGGCGATGTGACGGAGGGAATATGTGGCTAGATTGAGGTGAAAGTCGAAGAATCTATGGAGGGACGGGGGTGTAATGCGCGGGGATCGGCACAGACAACGAGGTGGATGTAATTCTCGAGGATGGGCGTTCTTGCATGCCAACCGTGGCGCTGATGTATGTCTGCTAGACGAATCGCAAGATCCTCATCCTGCTGCGGCCATCGGACCAGGGCCCAGCCACGCCTGCCCTTCTGCAGAAGCACGTAGACTGGAAGAAGTGTTTTACAGTCGTGGGCGGTGAAGAAGTCGTAGGCATGGTTGTTGATCTCTACCACCAAGAACGTCCGGGTGACGTGCACCTGGATGGTGAGGAAGAGGATCCGGTTATCGTGTTCCCAGTCCGGGAACACGGCGTCGAGAAATTCGCACGCTGAGGCACGGTAGTCACCCGAGTCGAGATTACATGTCTTCAGTTTGATGACTATCCGTTTGGCCTTGTCGCTCTTGACGATTTCGTCGCCGATCTCTGCGAGATTAGGAGAGATAGTTGCCATAAGTTCTCTGTTGCAGCTGAGGGTTCTTTGATGGGTGTTGTTGCGATGGAATGGTTTTCTTTTTGATGCAAGGGCAGCGAATAACCATACTTGTAGTTACTTCTATGTACCTGTTCATGGGAGCCAGTCATCTGATATCGTATTTCGGAAGCCGGAAAAGGGGAAGTTCCGACCTGTGGTCTAGGCAACAGTTACTATGCCACAGATAGGCTTTGTAAATCTACATCGAAGCCTGGTCGCTTAGAACATGGTATAGGAATGGTCTAAAGGTGAGTTGGGCTGGGAAGCTGAAAGAAAGGGGGGCCTGGGGGTTCTCCCCCGGAACTCTTTCTACAATCGGTGATTAGGATAGAGGTAGGCCAGGAAGCTGAAAGAGAAGGGGGGCCCGGGGGTTGTCCCCCGGAACGCTTGTAGTATTATTGTAAAGGCTGGATATACTGGGGTTGTATTGGCAGTGGCAGAAGCAGCAGCAGGCAGCGCGGGTGGCACCTTCCTTGATTAATGATATGTGGTGCTCTTTCCTAAAACAAACTGAGTGGTTGACTCGACTCCGACATCCAAAACCACACTCCTCCAGACAGTAATTTCATTACAGCACGTCTCTCACCCCTTTCAGCCGGGGTGGAAAGAACAATCACGCCTCCGTCTCCTTGTGGTCGGTGATCTGCGTGGCGTCGCCGCCCGACACGAGCACCTCGTCGCGCTTCAGCGAGGCCTTGACGGGGTTCTTGGCCTGGAAGATCTCGGTCAACTCCTCGAGGGTGCGCTTGCTGGTCTCGACGAAGAGGAAGTAGATGACGATGACCTCGAGGGTGTCCCAGAAGATGAAGAGGAAGTAGTACTTCCATCCGGCGCGGGTGAAGGCGATGCCGGTGACGAAGGTGTTATAGAAGGAGGCGATGTTGACGAAGAACTGGAATTGTCAGTCTCCCTGCTATAGCTACACAAGCTAATACCGTGCAGGGGTCACTCACATTGTTCATGCCCATGCCCTTGGCCCGCGACTCATACCGCAGACACTCGACGGGATACATGGCCTGGTTGGGCGTCCAGCCGGCGGAGATCACAAAGCCGAAGATGAAGATCATGGCAATCTGCGCCCGCGCTGTGATGCCGCTCTTGGCCGTCGGCGTGCCGTCGGGCCCGTCGACCACGTTAGTCGCGTTCAGCGCCGTCACAATCACGAACAGCACCACTACCAGACTGGTTGACACCAGCAGCTGCTGTCGCCGTCCGAACCGATCCGTCAGCAGCGCTCCTGACACTGCCCCGATCAACGACACCACGTTCTGCAGGCCCTGCAGCAGCAGCTGCGTGCTGTTGCTGGTGATGCCGGCGCCGCGGAGCATCTGCGGGTAGTAGTAGCTGACTGGGCCGTTGCCGGACCATTGGCCGAAGAGTGCTATTTAATGCTTAGTGAGCTGCACTGACTCGGATGAAACAGAGAAAGATGGAACCGGGAAGCCTACCCATGAAGATCACCAGCATCGACCGGTACCGCGTCTCGCGCGTGTTGAATAGCTCCCGGTAATCCCACCACCGCTTGTCCGAACCCGTCTTGGAGATGTCGTTCATCATCTCGTGGTATTCCAGCTGCACGATGGGCGCGTTGCGGTCGCCTTCGCCGTGGTACTCGGCCAGCACGTTGAGCGCCTCTTCGTGTCGGTCGTGCGACATCAGCCAACGAGGGGACTAATAAATTAGCCATTAGCACTTGCGATTGACTGACAAAATAAGGATCGCGGCTTACCTCAGGGAGGAAGTAGACAAAGCACAGCACCAATCCTGAGAACACCATCTGCAGCCAGATCGGGATCCGCCAGCTCATGTCGCTCTGGATGTGGCTCGTCCGCCAGGGGATGAACGTTCCCGGGATACCACCGCCGAACCAGAGCACGTTGTATAGACCCGTCAGCGCACCACGGTAGGCCGGATGGGCCATCTCCGACACGTAGGCCGGACCGGCGGTGGCCGAGGTGGCCACGCCGAACCCCAGGATGAAGCGGCCGCCCATGAAGCCGCCCAGGTTGTGGCAGGAGGCTTGAACGCAGGTTCCGATGATAATGAAGATGGCGCCGATGGCCATGCCGACTCGTCGTCCTATCGTACGGGTTAGATCTCCTCAGTCCGACAGACGAAAGAAAGCGAGAACCATACCCTTGAAATCGGTGAAGGGTCCAGCGGTGAACGAGCCCACAATGTTGCCAATGGTGTAGATGGCGTACACGATACCCGTCGAGGGGGTACCGGCGTCCGGGTCGAAGCCGAAGTAGTCGCGGTACTGGGGGTAGCTGTTGATCGAGCCCATCAAGGAGCCATCGTACCCGTTGATGCAGGAATTGAGCATGGCGACGGCGATACAGCAGTACAGCTACTTCATTCAGCATGGCGGCACACAAAACACACGAGACAACAACAATGGCATACCTTGAGCATGCCCTTGCTCGTCAGACTGGGCTTCTGCTGGATCGTGGCCACAGCCAACGCCGCATTGTTGACTCCCTTGACCTGGACATCGGACGAGTCCAGGTGGGAGACCTCCGCCGTATGTTTCTCGGACATGGTGCGAGACGCTTGATAGACAATCTGCAAATTTTGTTCGCGCTGACCTGGGAAAGAGAAAAGCGAAACGGAAGTTGCGCGCGGGAATCGTGGGGCTCATATACCAACGAAGGGGCGACGGGCGAGGGGTGGTGGTGGTGGCATGAGATTACCTGGGTATTGCTGCATGTCTGACTATAGTGCCTCCTGTCACCAGATGTCGCGGAAAATTTCATGGTGTAACGCGCTATGATAGGACAGGGAGGGCAGTAAACCGGCTGAGTGGCGGGCTAAATGCAGCAAGGATGAAATCCCGTATCCAAACGGGACTAGATGAATCTGGGGAAGCTGGGGGTGCCCGAAGGCGACCCTGGTGGGAAAGGGGGCTTGATCGGTGGTAGTCTGGGCCGGACTGCCGCAGGGAATACGATATGGATCCTGCCATCCTGTCATGGTGTTGGGGGAGAGCGTTGGGGTTGATGCATTGTGGGTTGTTGTGGTGGTTGGTGGTGGATTCTGGTTTGCGTGCCAGACGGGATACGGGCCGAACAGCCGGATGAAGCCCCATGGGGATTAGACACGGACTCTCTCTCTCTCTCTTGTTCGGTAGGTTCTCGGCCCTGGAATCCGTACTCGCAGGACATGTGAGGGTTCAGGGTCTGTACCTCGCTTAGTTGAGTTGGCAGAGGCAAGAGGCAAGAGGCGAGAGAATAAGTGGTTGGCCGAACTATAGCTGGCTGAGGTATATCCCCGCTGTTGCTCTGCCCACATGGCAAGAGGACAAGGATCGAGCCCTAATTTCAACCGAGTGGAGGATCAGTGCTCTGTAAATTGCCATCCACGCCGGACTGACCTCTCGCACAGACATATCACTCACTGGATACTGCCTGGAGATGAGTCAAGCGCCCAAGCTACTGCACGAACCCATCTCCATCTCCATCCCCATCCCATCTTTCCATCGCCATCGCATCGATCGGGCGCGAGCTCCGAGTGCCGCTCCACGTGTCCATCTCCAACCGGACATGTGCCATGACCGGCCACGCCATGCCATGCTTTGCCATGCTTGTTGCTTTGCATTCTATCATAGGTATCATAATCTACATACAAACATACATACATCGTACACCCAGCCCAACTAACCGCGTTTTCCCCTCCAAAAGATCACATTCGCCTCCCTTCCTTTTCCATACCCATCCTTCTCCCCCCGGACCAAAAGAAAATGAATCAAACCCCCAACTCCGCCTTCTCCTCGGCACTAACATACAGACTCAACGTATAATACCGCCCGGCAATCAACTCCGACACCCCCTGCTTCTCTTTATGCCCAGCCAAAACCAACCTCGACCCGCCCGCAAACGGCAGCGCAACCCACAGCGGCACCCCGCCACGGTCCGCCCCCGTCCACGCCTCCGCTCCACACGACATACTGCTCCCATACAGCAGGGGATTGAACCCATTGCAGACCGCCTCAGGGATATGCAGCACATTTTCGAGAACAAGCGTGTGTTCCACTGCCCCATCTGTCCCCTCCCCCATTGTTATCATTCCTGAAGATGCAGCGGCAGCAGCATCCACCGTCCGCAACACCCGCAACGCCACCGTACCCACACCTGCAACCTGCAGCTCGTCCGTCGGATTGAAGACGTTGTGCTTCAGACACACGTTCACGGGCCGGTAGCTCGTGAACGCCGCGCGATCCCGCGCGTAGTGGCAGTTTCCGGAGACGATCATCCAGTCGTGGCAGAGCGTCTGCGAGGGATGTGCGGTCCCCGGGCGCGCGCGTTTTAGGTCCGGCGCGTCGAAGTCTGTTTCTGAGAGGGTGCGGATGGACATTTTGGTTGCTTAGGGGTTTCGGTTTTTGCTCGGTTTGAAGGGTTGAACTGGACTGGGCTCGACTGTGTTGGCTGGTTAGCTTCTCTTTCTTTTCAGGTGGTACTACCTATGTACAGTACCTATGCTGGTCGCGAGGGAGAGCTTACTGCGTGAAGGTAGGTTCGATTGTAGGGATGAATGTGGGTGCTGCGTAGGTACTGTAGTGGTTCAATTGAGTGCGTAGAGAGGAATTGAGGTCAAACGAGTGGATGATTGGAGTGGCTAGCAGGAAGAAAGGAAAAGAAAAGAAAAGAAAAGAGTGTGTATTAGGATTTCCCAGAGTGACCGATCCTGGCAGAGACGGACGGAGTTTCTGGCTCCGAATGCGGCCGCCCGTTGGCAGTATATCTTCTTTCGCCGGGCGGTCGGCCGGTCACCGCTTCACTAGTCCAAGCTTGGTTAGTGTGCTCGTGGCTGGAGTCGATTACTCAGTAGTCACGTGATGCTGGGTGTTGCCTGTTTGGGATGTGGATTTGCATCCATGATGCTGTTGGCGATGAGGTTTCTTGGTGTAAACCACTTAGGGTTATACGAGTCAAAGTGATTTCCAGCGGGTGTGATTGAGTTAATGAGGATGGTGGTGAGTTAGAGCTGGACACTTCGTAGTAGATGTAGTAGTAGATCTGTATAAAGCACGTTCCATGCCGGAGACTAAGATGGAGTCTATAAGAATCTCACGCTATGTGTAGAGATTGTAGGATACTCACCCAGTCGTAGAATCTAGAAGACAAACATTCACTTCAGATACTATCATGGCATACATCCCAAAACTCAATGACCTCATCCATCCCACTCTGGCACCCGCGGAACATATATTCCGCTCCCTGAACCCCTCCGCAAACTCTATAAATGATGCCCATTTGACCAATTCACACAGGGTCACCCCTCCAACCTCAACACCTACTATTGAAAATGTCCCACCTCACCTACTACAACTACGACAAAGTCGGCAAACGCAACCAACAAACCTTCAAGTACAGCCAAGCGGTGCGCATCGGCGACCGCATCGAATGTTCCGGCCAAGGTATTCTCCTTTCCCTAGCCCAACCCAACCCAACCCAACCCGCTAATATATGTTGAGATGAACAGGAGGCTGGGACCCCCAAACCGGCGCCTTCAACCGCGAGATCAACGCGCAGATCGACCAGGCGTTCCGCAATGTGGAGCTGGCGTTGAAGACGGCCGGCGGGAAGGGCTGGGAGCAGGTCTACCGCGTGAACTCGTACCATGTGCCGATCAATAATGAGGCGCTGGAGGCTATGGTGCGGAATTTTCGGGTCTGGATGCCCGATCATGAGCCTTTGTGGACTTGTGTTGGGGTTACACGGTTGGGGGAGGATGATATGAGGGTTGAGATTGAGGTTGTTGCTCATCTTTCTAGTTGATTTTGGGTTGAGGGGGTTGGGTTTCTGGATGTTTTCAGGATTGTTTGAGGGGAAGGGGGGGTGTTGTTACAATTGCATAACGGAGAAAGGGGATTCTGTGAATGGTGTAGTAATGGGTGAGAGCCAGTTGTGGTGTAGTGCTATTTCAAGACGGACATGTCATGTTAAGCTATTTCAAGCGATACCTTTGAGCTAGGTCTAGATAAGAATGGTTGGATGAGCTTGGTTATCAACCTGGGAACCTGCATTGTATCAGTTTGCTGCTGCTGGCGCGCAAGGTGAAACCGCGTCGCCGTCCCACAACCGCAACATGACGAAGCCCACGGCGTGCTATATCTGTCATCGCGGCGACCCCAGTGTCGATCTGTGCTGTGATCAATACTCGACGTACTATCATCTCGAGTGCGCATGGAACAGGCATAAGGCGATTCAGTACGGGGTGGACTTGAAGTATCCGAGGCCTATGAGTTGTGTGGTTTGTGGGAAGCCGTGGAGGTTCGGGGAGGTTTTGTTCGAGGGCGGGATATTGAAGAATGAGAAGGGGAGCTTGTGGATTGTGCTTGAGTATCCCAGATTGGAAGGGGATGGGAATGAGAATGAGTGGAGGTGAGTTCTGATTCGGACCTGCCTCTATGTTGCTTTTATGAGGGAATTCATATACCATATTATTGATGAATTACTAGAATTATTGTAGGTACTTGGGTTTAGGCTTGTATTCTATTACTTATTTAGTTACCAAGTAACAGCTTGCATAGTAGAAGAAGGCCGATAGACTACTGACCCGCATGTAGACAGCTCTGTACTTGTGGAGACCTCATATATCTTTTCGGACGACCCGCCTGGTGTCGAATTAGTTTGACAAGCAATGTTACAGAGACCACCATTTGTATACACAAACAAACAAAATATGCTATGCAACTAAACAGTCTCCTTATGCTCCATCTGACCAGCTCCCATCTTCCCCTCCGCGATCGTCGCCCCGAGTTGAAGCCGCTCATTCTCCAACGCCACGAATCGCAGCGGACGTTCGACCCCGGTTGCCTCCGGGACATTATGGACGAAGACTCCGTTGCTCTCCTGCATGAAGCGATCGATGTCCTCCAGCGACCGGTTGGCCGTCTCCGGGTAGAAGAGATACACAATGGGCACAAACGCAAAGTTGAACACCGTAGAGGTGATGTAGAACTTCCCCCTCAGATTCTGGATGCCCACGGGCGTGATCTCCACGACCATGAAATTCGTGGAGTTGGTGGCGGTGCCGAGCGCGGCGCCCTTGGTTCGCATGCTCAACGAGTTGAGCTCGACCGGGAGCAGCCATCTGATGCCCTGGAAGCTTAGGCCGAAGAAGACATAGTAGACGAAGAAGAAGGATACAGCTCGGTCGCCGTACACATGCTTGTTCGCGCCGCCGTCCTCGTCACCGAATCGCAGCATCACCGTGATCAGTAGCCAGCAGATGCCTTATGCGAAGGCACAGACCATTAGAATGCGTCGTCGGCCCTATAGCTCGATCGTCGGGATGGTTGCGTAGGTGAAGTTATTTATGACATTTTGACCTCGATACGGGCTCCAGCGAAAGTCTTCTATCGCTGTAGACAAGGCAAGAGCCTTAACGAAGATGACAACTATGGTAGATTCTGCTCCCCACGAATCATTGATTGGGGAAGAAGATAATCCCGCTGGCGCCCTGTCCCTGTTATCTTGCCGTGATGCGGAGGATTCGTGCTGGCCTGGTACCTCACTGGGAAGGATGAGGTCAGTCACTCCACACTGGACCCCAGTTGCAAGCTGCCCTTGGTTGCTCTTACTATTGCTGAGGGCGTATTGTATTTTGCAAGAGCTATGCCGGGTCGTGAACTCGGTTCCGGCGGATGTTGACCTGCACCTGCCATGGGCAACTTGCCCCTTCCGGACCCACCAATTCGAGCTAAATAGCCAATGAAGCGTAAGATGACAGGGCTTCTATCGGTCCGGTTCCAAAGTAAAAAAACCCCCGATTTTCACATCGGCATGATTCCGAGTATGATGCACCTTGTTCGGGAATTGATCGCAAACAGGGTGACAGTAGCGTTTCCTGCTTGAATTCGCATTGTGTCATAGGGCTCATAGAAAAGAAAAGCGCGTCCGTTCATCCCGAGCATCATCGATTAGATCTGGAAGCGGCCTTGGATCATCGGCGGCCAGCGACCCGGCCCTGCGAGTAGGGATGATGGCCTGACCAGATCTAAACCGAAACACCCCGCATGAGCCGAAACAAGATCGGAAAACAAACCTGTATTGGGTGGAAATGCCGACCGGGGAAGTTCTCCTTTCGATGCCTCCCTGGCACTAGTTGATGGTAGACAATGCGGGAATGTGTATCCAACAGTGCAGATCGTGAAGGTGGCCGGAACCGAAGCTGCGATGGGCCCTCCGCCGGAATCGAGCCAGCTCGCAGTAGTATCTAGATCAGATGCCCCGGAATGATGGCAGCTAGGAAATCATAGAAAAGTATTAGGTCATCTCAATCGGCTATTATACATCTTGACCGAAAAGCACCTAGGATTTCAGCAAGATGACTGCCGCAGACTCGACCCAGGTAAGTGAATCGACACATCTTTCCCTCGATGAGATCGGGGCAGCAACGAGGTAACGGCTCACTGATGCTTCGATTTCAAGGACAACAACTTGGCTGCCGTGCTCAAGCCGGGCGGCTCTTTCTACTACGAGAACCGGGAGCTCCCAGCGATCAATTCTGATAGGGATGTGATTGTAAAAATCATTGCAACCGGGCTTTGTGGCTCCGACGTGAGTTTTCATATGTAACCTCGGGACACATCTTAAAGAATTAGGACTGACGCATCCTCTTTAACAGGTACATTACTGGCAGCACGGACGCATCGGCCGATATGTGGTAGAGAAGCCAATCATTCTGGGCCACGAGTCGACGGGGATTGTGGTCGCTTGCGGCGACAGAGCCAACGGGATTGCTGTTGGAGACCGTGTCGCCCTAGAGCCCGGAGTCGCCTGCAATACATGCGACCAATGTCGAAAAGGTCGCTATAATCTCTGCAGAGACATGCGCTTCGCAGCGACGCCGCCGATCGACGGCACACTTTGCACATACTACCGAGTACCGGCCGAATGCTGTTTCAAACTGCCCGCCCACATTTCACTGAGCCAGGGCGCTTTGGTTGAGCCTCTAAGTGTCGCCGTTCATGCCTGCCGGCTTGCAGGCGATTTGCAAACCAAATCCGTCATCGTCTTCGGGGCTGGGCCAGTTGGACTCCTCTGCTGTGCCGTCGCCCGTGCCTTCGGCGCAACTAATGTCATTGCTGTCGATATTGTTTCGAGTCGGCTTACGGTCGCTAGCAAATACGGAGCCACGCATACATACCAAATGAGTGACGCATCGTCGGAAGAAAACGCCTCTGACCTTCTCAAGGCGGCGGGGCTCGAGGACGGCGCGGATGTGATCTTGGACGCCACGGGGGCGGAGCCCTGTATGGTCTGTGGGTTGCACGCGGTCGCGCCGGGAGGAACCTTCATTCAGGTGGGCTTGGGCCGGCCCAGCGTCACTGTTCCCATTGGCCAGATCTGTGATAAAGAAGTGACCCTTAAGGGCAGCTTCCGCTACGGCCCTGGGGACTTCCAAACCGCAGTGGGACTGCTAGAGGCCAAACGTGTTAACGTTGACGGACTCGTAACACACAATTACTCCTTCTCGCAGGTCGAGGAAGCATTCCAGAACGTGGCAAACAGGGTCGGGATAAAGAGCGTCATATATGGACCGGAGGTAAAAGGGGAGACAGCTAACGCAGTTGTAGCATAGAGCATGGGGACGGCTGTGTTTCATGTCGACCATGAGGCTTTGGGATATATAGATACCAATGTAATGAACTCACAAACCGACTCTCATTAAAGTCCATTCCATGTAGTGTCCCAGAGCCAGTATAGACCATTTTCTACGTTGTTGTGATGCCCATCTTCCCCGGGTGGCGTGAGACCGTTGGAATTTTGCCAGTCGTTTGGAGCAGAGAATGGCCATTCATTCGCCGGCAACATGCTAGTATGATCCAGCAATTGACTTCGATGGGTCTCTCCAAGAACCGGGACATGAAGAGTGCAATCTTGGCTAGGAACCATAACTAGGAACGGCCATGAGCATCGGTAAGAAGATGAAACGGAGATATAGAGATCGCTTACCATACTGGACGGAAGTCAAGCTTTCATTGACGCGACTGGTACGGCCAAAGTTAGAGCTTCCCTGGTTGCTCACCGGCGGGTCTCTCATGTCTAAAGTTGCATTCAATGGTAATCGCAACGTCTCTTCAACCGACATGGGAGGTGGATCAGGTAGAGCTTGATCATTATTGGTGTCATATTCCATAAACGTGGTGGTCTCAGTGAAAGGTGCGAGCATGGCCGCCGACTCGCGACGGAGAAGCATGGTGACCACCTTCTTCAATACCTGCGTGCTTTGTCGGGAGAGTGCTGAGCGTTTTCCCAGGAGATCTTGTAGACGGAGGATGCGGGTCATTGTCCGCTTGACTTCTTGGGCTGTATCGGACAGCGGCTCCGATATGGCCATTACTGCCAAAACAACCGCGGCATTGAATAGGTTAATGGCTAAGAAGGCAACCAAGTGACTGTCGGTCGCAAGTTGGGCAAGAACTGGCAGCTCGGTCACCCTGGATGTTCGAAGGGCTGCTTTCATCCAGAATTCCGAGTTGGCAGTGCTGGCCTGTATGGGACTTCTTCTATGCAACGAGCCCGAGGTGGTTGCCGCTGGGAGGACACCCGAATGAGAATCTTCCATCCCCGGTGACAAATTGCTCGTCCAAAGCTGGTCAACCTGCCTTGAGATTAAAGGGCGGTAGAGCACAATCAGAATGTTGTCATACGTCAAATGGAGTGATAAGGCTTGTAAGGCATACGCTTTGGAGCCTTGCTGACCGCTGGCGCAGAAGTCTCGCTGGAGATCGAGGATCAAGTGGCTGGGCAAACAACGCCTCCACGCATGAAGCTTTTCCGAAGTCTCCTGAACTAAAGTCACAAAGCTATCCCTGACCAATTCTTGAGAGGTTCTTGAAGTGCGGGACCCAAAGATGATCTCGAGTGCCGGGGAAGCGATCAGATACAGTCGGTTAAGTTCCCGCTGATATGTTGAGTAGCAAACAGAACCAGAATTCTCGGATTCCGGGCCAGTGAACGAGGGGGTCTCGTAGATGTCTGCAGGCATGCTTAAGTTGCAGTCCTTATCGTTAATGCCCAACGGCGTCCCGTATGTGATGGAAGCAAATCGATCCCAAGTATAGATTGTCCACCACACTCGCTTCCGTTCTTCAATGTCATCGAGACCCCCTCGCCGGGCCTCTCGATGCATACCAATCGCATGGGCCATCTTGATAGTCGCACCAAGTAAGGTAAAAGACAAGTTTGGGCGCCCGTGATACACATGATGTGAGCCAAAAAGAATGCAGGTCTGTATTGCGGGAACAGATGGATGGTCCATCACATCCACCAGATTACTTTCGACCAGCCGTAAGAGAACCACACTCCAGTCTGCCCAATTATCTTCTGCATCGACCATCTCCGGGCGACTGCGTTGGGAACGGTACCAGGCTGCCATACCAAGCATGACTGCCAGTAACAAAAGGAATGGACGTTGACTAGGGTCCGCGCAGCCATCGGCGATAGTCTGAAGCTTTCGACGGAATTTGGGCTCGTAGACCACGAGCGAAAACCAATGAACGGCATCAAAGTATTCATCCAATAGGCTATATATGGCGTCGATTGCAGGGAACGCTTGACCGACAATGGTAGAAATTGGATGGCGATTTGCGGCCGGGCCAGGCAGTGGCGGAACTCCCTTACTGGCCGAGTAGCCAGGAATAGCTGAAGTGGTTTGTTCGTCCAAGTGTTGACTGCCCAACTCACATATCTTGCGGGCAATACCCATTGCAGACTCCGCTTCTCCTGGCTCAATGGAAGACTGTATTTGATTATATCCGACACGATTGTGCACTTCAGCGCCCAGTGGTGTGGTAACTGGTTCGCTTTCTTCAGGGGCCGTGCCCTGCAGCGGCCCCTCAGCTCGGGTAACGCGTACTTGTCTGAATTGACGACGAGATGATATCCCACGGTTCTCAGACCGTCTGCGTTCAGAGCTTCGGTCCATGCAGTCAGCTTTGGGCCACCGAATGGCTAGAGGTCCGACAAAGATTGCGGAGGCTTACGATGAGGCGGTTCTCACTCGACGTTGGGCTGCAGGCCGCTGCCGGCATTCGACATTAGCTCGAACACATAATGAACAGGGCCAATATGGATCGCACTGCGGTCAATCCGTTAGTCTGTCCATCTATGGAATGTGCCGGAGCAGCAAGTCGCCGTGCCTACGCGAGATTTGTGGAGACGGCATCGTTCACAGGCGCTGGTGACTCGGGTAGGCAGGACTGCGGGAGCCAAACGCGTTCGTCTCGCTTTAGTGAGCAGTGACCTTGATACTGGCGAGACTGAGAAGTCTGCTATCGAAGACTCTGTCTGTTCTTCTTCCATGATCGGGAAGCCGAGGTGCAGGTTCCGGCGGAAGATAAGACGGGCAGCAGACAAAGGGGGAAGAAGAAGAAGAATAAGGCGGGCGGAATGATTGAAGCGATGCTGAGGCGGTGGCCAAGGCGGTGACAATGTCCCCCGCGCCTTTCCCCCGCTCTTCCCATCTCGGTTCAATACTTGATAGAAACCTTCATCTCTCTCATGGAAGTGTGGAGATTTACATCTATTCAATCTCACTCTCTAAATAATAATGACATCGCAATGCTCGCGCTAAACAGACTTTTGACTTCTATCTATTTTAAGAAACCCATCTGACGCCAATACTGCACGTACCCGCGCACTATCCTGTGATCAACAGCCCCAAGGTTCCGCAGCGTGGGCGCGTCCTGGCGCGCACGCGTCGTCGCCAGCAGCAACCCTCCACAAGACATGCGCTCGAAATTGCTGGCCAGCCACTCTGCCATCACACCGGCCGGATTATCTTCTCGTGGACCAGCGAAAGTCTGGACTCGTTGAATCCACTCCTGGAAGGGGAGTAGATTACCCGTGGGTATGCCCAACTCTTGCGCGAGAATAGACACCATCTCTCGCCACGGTTGACGAACAGCATTGTCGACATGATAAACAGATTGACTCTGCTCGGCGAAGAGAAGCTCGCTCAAAGTGGCTGCCACTATATCGACAGGCGTCCAGGAGAGTACACCACTAAACTCAGGTAATGCTTCGAGACTCTGCGCCGATTTGAGCAGAGCGGGTAAATGCTCCCCCGCATTCCAGTATCCACTGAGAGAGGACCCTGCGATCTGTCCAGGTCGCACCACCATCGCATTGAATCGGCTGGGATACTTCATCAAGGTCTGCTGCAGCGTCTGCTCGCAGACAAACTTAGCCTCGCCGTATCCGTTGGCCAACACCCAGTCGATCACGCTTCGATCCTCCGGAACCTCTGGCTCACCAGTCACCAAAGGCCGAAATCCGACTGTGCTGATGGACGATATGAACTGGAATCCAACTCGATCCCCTGGGGACCGGAGACCTGCAATGTCACGAGCCAGGTCAATCAGATTCCGCATGGCTCGAAACTGGGAGTCAAAGCCCGTCAGGCCACGAGCACCATTCATCGGCCACGCATTGTGGATGATATGAGTGACAGTCGCCTGTATGAGATGATATTGCTCGTATGGCAGACCAAGCTTCGCCTCTGCTGTCTCAGTCTCAATCACCGTAATCTTGCTCACGTCTCCAGCAGTCAAAGTGAGACCCCGCTCTGCAAAAGCCTTCTTCTGTCGCTCAAACGGGTCCTCTTTCCCCCGACGGTTAATGCATATGACCCGACTAACACGTTCAAGTTGCACCAGGTGTGCAACTATGTGACTGCCCAGGCTCCCCGTCGCGCCTGTAACCAGCACAGTGACCGATCCAGTCACCGGAATATCAGTCACTGTCGGTTTAGTAAAGCCTTCAATGCTGCGACGGATATACTTGTCAGTTGCCTGCTTCCTAGCAGCATTATCAACACTGGCAAGGAGGCTCACATTAGGCGGATTGGGCCCCAGCGGAAGCCGTGCCCGTTGCTCTCCGGTAGATGTAGCAAAGAGTACACGTTGAACGCTCACTTCAGGCGAATGGCCGTCTGTCCAGTCAACATGACCATAACCCACGGCATGGAGGTCGGCTTCCCAGCGGCTTTCGCTTGTGATAGCGTGATTGCGTCCATCGTTGAACACCCACCAGCCACGGAAAAGTCCAAAAACAATATCGATCGTGAACTGTGGCCGAGTCATCTCGAGCATCAAGACCACTCCATCTGGTCGTAATGCTCGACGCATGTTGCCAGTCGACACCTGTAGGTTTGAAGTCGCGTGCACAGCATTACTGGCAATAATGACATGTTGGGTTCCAACCAGGTCGTCAGCCGGTGGCTTCTCGATGTCATGCACACGGTACTGCACGAAAGGATATTCCTTGAAGCGCCGACGAGCCTGTGCCAGGAAAGCAGGGGAGATGTCGGTGAACGTGTATTCGACCGGGATTCCTAGTTTTGCCAGTCCAGGAAGGAACCACTTCGTACCACCGCCAGTTCCAGCGCCCATCTCGAGGATCTTCAGCGGGCCTGCCCCCGGACGACTGCCTAGCTTGTGTACGAGGCGTTGGATGAAGTCCAGCATCTGCTTGTAGCCGGTGACATTGTGCGATTCCTCACCGTACATCCACGATACGAGCTCTTGTCCCTTTTTTGTTCCAAAAATAAGCTGCAGACCATCCTGTTCGCCCCGTAACACTGAAGCTAGCCTGCTACCCGTATAAAAAGCAAGATTGCTGGCACCCACGAATTCGGGGTAGGTCCGGCTGATCTCGTCGAGCATAGCAGTGCTGGATTTAGTGGTCCACCCCAGGCTTGTACGAACTACAGCCCCATCTACCAAGTCTACCAGGCCAGCTTCCTCTAGTCGGCGATAAAGGTATTGCACCAGCTCCTCGTGCTGGGCGTCGAATTTGATCCGGTCCAATCGCTGGCCAGGTTGCGCGCTTCGAATGAATGAACCCAACTCTTCGAATGCCTCCAGGGTCATGGTTACACACAGCTGCATTTGCACTGGATTGAAGCTGAGCACACGCCCGCTGCAGTTATTTTCGGAGAGAAATTGATCTGTCAGGGCCTTGGTCTCCGCGAAAGCGTCGAGGATGAAGTCGTGTGGTAAATGTAGCTCGGGAGTGTCAGTGCTCATGCTAGTCACTGACTCTGTGGTAGCAGCATCGATAGCCTCATCTGACTCCGTGTCACACTCAGTATAAGAAGTGGTGCTGCTATCGCTGCTTTGATCCGCATCTGCTGCAGCATCGACCGTATCAACTCCCAGCGCTTTCTGCACAGCACGCACAAGGTCGCGAAACGTCTCCGCCTCCATAAGATCAGTCGCTGGCAAGGTGCACTTGAACGTTTCCTCCATTTCACGCGCCAATTCCATTGCCATCAACGAATCGACGCCCGCATCAGCCATGTTCCCATCGTCGTGGATCTCACTGGGGTCCACAGCGCAGAATTCGGCTACCACGCCTTTGATACGTGCAACTAGATTTGAAGCCTGCGGTTTGGACTGCTTTTCCTTCGACGCTGGATCACTTACAGTCGCCTTGGGTGGCGAGACCGCCTTTGTCGCAGCTACTGCTTGTCCAGTCGGCTGGGGAATGACATTGGACCCCAGCTTGCTGAGGATCTTGCTGAAGACGGCCTTCGGAACACATGAATACTTCATTCCAATGAACGTCTCTACCAGCTGGCCTTTTTCAGGGTCAAAGACAAAGATATCAGTGGTATAGAAGCCATCTCCACGTTCATGGGTGGCTAGCACGTCCCAGATTTCGGGGCGCGGCGTGCTCGGGTCAGCATACAGTGGCGTGCGCATCCATTGCTCCATGCCTCTGGCGATGTAGATCTGCGAAGCTGGCCGATCAGTCATGCAATTGATCCAGAACCCCCCAACTTGGCTGAACGAGTCGCACAGAAATGTATCTGCCCAAGTGTTCCCGGAGTACTTCTTTACCACCCGACCGGCTGACTGGTTCCCTTTGCCAACCAGCTTGTGGACTCCACGGTAGGCTTCAGAGTAATCGACAACTTCGGAAAACGCCCGGTAAACATTCCGACCCTGCAGAATATCATCCACGTCGGAGCTTTCTAGAAGCTCCCGGCATCGGCGATGACTGACCAAGCGACCGTAGCGGGAGAATTCGCCTTGAAGCGTGGGATCGTCGGCTTTGAACATCTTGATACGAGCGGAGCAGTGTAACACGCGTGACCGAGCACCATTTTTGGGACTCTCACTGGTAAATGCCATGTCCCAGAGTGTCTTGTCTGTGCTCTGAGCGGTCAGTGTGATGTGGACGCTCTGTTTCTCGTCTAGCCCTAGCGGTGCATCACTGGTGACATTCTTCACTTGGGGTACTCTCTCCTTGCCTTCTGGCAAACTTCTCAGTGCCTCAACAACTATATCAAGCATAAAAGAAGCGGGCGCGAGCGGCGCCGTTTGCGCACCTACATGTCCCGATACGGCGTCACGGTAGCTGGGATGCATGGTATCGATGGAGAATTTGGCGACCATCTTTGCCGCGTCTTGGTACCCTAGAAATCGGGTCTTAGACTTCTCCTCTTTTGCTTCTGTCTCTATGATGGGTTTGGATGCGGGTAAAGGCTTGTTGTCCATCCAGTGTCGACTTTTCTCGAATTGGTAGGGCGGTAGGATGATGAAGTCATACTCGGGCGTCTGTGAGGAATGATGTGCCCAGTACGAGACAGAAACCCCTTCCTTCCACAGTGCCATTGTATTGTCGGTCAAATTCTGGATCCCATTCTTACTTGTGATGTTGACGGCTTGGAATTGATGGTTTGCGGCAGCACTCGACCCCAACGCCCGACTGGCCATCAGTGTGATTGTCGAATTGGAGCCAGCCTCGAGCCAGATACACGATTTGTATTTTTCGGCAAGGCGATGAATAGCCTGGCTGAAGTACACCGGTTTTCTGAGGTGTTCGGCCACAATAGCAAGAGACGGTATGCCACTGGATGGCTCTTGTGTTGCGCGCTCCAGATGCAAAGCTGGCTCACGTAAGGTTATTCCATCCGTTGTCTTCTTCAACTCTGGAACGAGGGAATCGACCAACGAAGAATGGAATGCGTTTGTCACGTCCAGGCATTTGTACTTCAGACGAGCAAATGCTGGCTGGGTGGAAAGCATGACACGCACTGCGTTCATGGCGTCGGTCGCTCCGGCTAATGTATAGCTACGTGGACCGTTGAAGCACGCGATGCTGGCGGGAGAAGTCCCAGTCGAGACAGATTTTGCAGCTTCGGCAAGCAGGCTCTCAACTTCGTGAAGCTCACCATCCACTGCAATCATGGCACCAGGGTCTGTTCCCCACTGGTCGCGAATCAAGGTTGCTCGTCTAGCAACCAGCAGGAGCGCGTCCTCGAGGCACAGAGCTCCCGATACGCAGAGAGCAGTCAACTCCCCGAAGCTATGGCCAACAGCAGCAGCTACCGACAGGCCACAGTCTATCCAAGCCCGGGCACTGGCATATTGCAAAGCAAATAGCTGGGTCTGCAGCTTGACCTGGTCGGCAATCGGGGTGGTCTCGAAGATGCTGGGATAGAGACTTTCATACCCCAATGACTCTAGTGTCCTGCTGCACTCGTCGAGATGATTGCGCATCACTCGCATTGTGTCGTATACTGTGCGATCTAGACCAACCGATGTCGACACCTGTCCACCGAAACATAAGACCACAGGACGGGCGGACTTGGCTGTGCGGATGACTTGGCTTTCGTCTCCATCGATAACAGAAAGTAATTTCGACTCGAGCTCTTTGAGGGAGCTGCAGCTGAATATCAAATGCCGATCGAGTGTCGGGCTTGACTGTCGGGCAGCATTGAACGAGACATTAGCCAGAGAAGCGAGATGGCTGGCAGAAACAGCTTGACGTTGCAAGAGGCTGTAGAACCGGCGCGCATATTCACGCAGACGGTGCTCGTCTAAAGCACAGAACCGGAAAGGAAGGGAGAGGCCTGGAGCGTGGATAGCGGAGGCACCGCCCCCGGATCTAAAGACAGGTGGTTGAGTAACCACCATGGAGGCGTTAGAACCACAAGCACCATAGTTGTTGATCAGCGCGGCACGAAATTCTGCTTGCCATGGTTTTAATTGGGTGTTGATCTCGATCTGGTCATCAGCGGAAGCCTGGATGTGTGGATTCAAAGTCTTGAAGTTTGGTTGCGGTGGGATCTTTCCTTCCTGAATCATCAGGAGCACCTTGACCAATGCGACCATGCCAGAGACCCCTTCGGTATGCCCAACCAGTCCCTTGACCGAACCCAAAGACAATGGAGCTGCTCGTTGTGGACCACCCATTATCTGCTTCACGCTGCTATATTCGGCCGGGTCGCCTGCTTGTGTTCCAGTGCCGTGAGCTTCTACAACTGAGATCTCGTGAGGGCGGATGTGAGCTTGGCGGATAACCTTGTCGAATAAGCCTGCCAGCGATTTTGCATGAGGAACCACGACAGGAGTGCAATTATCGTTTTGTTCTACCGCGGTGCCAGCAATAGTGCCCAGAATCGTGTCGCCATCGGCTAGAGCATCGGAAACCCTTTTAATATAGATTGCCGCAAATCCTTCTCCGCGGCAATAGCCGTCCGCCTCTTCATCGAATGGCTTGCATGGCCCCGTAGGAGAGACGAACGATGCTCCGTTCAAGTTGTCATAAGCCAATGGACTCGTGATGGCATTGGCGCCTCCGACCAACGCAGCCTTACAGTCTCCACTGAGGATCGCTCGACATGCGTGATGGAGAGCAACGGCCGAGCCCGAACATGCCGTGTCGATGCACAGCGCTGGTCCGCGCCACCCGAAATAATGACTTACCTTACCAGCCATGAAGCTACGCAACAGTCCCGTGGCGGCGTAGGCCGTGGCGGGGTGACAGTTCACGTTATGCTCATAGTCCACAGTACAGCAAGTAACATAACATCCAACGTCCTTGCTGGCGTCTTTCTTGTGAAAATACCCGGCTTGCTGAAGGGCCTGGTAGGCGACCTGCAGAAATAAACGCTGTTGCGGATCCAGGGACAAAACCTCTCTCGGCACTTTCTTGAAGAACTTGTGGTCGAAGGCATCAATATCGTTGACGAAGTTTCCCCACCAGGGACGTATAGCGCCTGGCCTCCACGGTGTTTCGTAGTCTTTGTATCGTTGCGGCGGCATTACCATATGTTGGGATTCTCCTGAGCACAGGAGTTTCCAGAACTCTTCGAGATCATCCGCACCAGCCACTCGGCAAGCCATGCCAACAATCGCAATGTCGTCGTCGTAGATCGTCGGCGTCGACTGAAGTTGCGTCACGCGTGACCGGGAATCCAGGTTCAAATCGGCATAATGCACCACCCGGCTTCCCAGGGCGCGCATAAAGGACGGCGGGATGCAGCGCTCAGAGCCAAACTCCACGACAATCGACTGCGTATTCTCCAACTGGGCTCGGTGTACGGCTGCGAAAGTGGGGCCCCATTGACACTGTTGGGCCAGAATGGAGCGCAGAACAACTTGGTGCAGCGGGCCTTCGTAGATAGGCTCATTGGTTATGTTGGCCCAGGTGTGCCGCGACAAGGTGGAGGCATCAGGCAGCTGCAACGCCGCATCGGCATCACACATCTCGAACAGCTCATGCAACAACTTCTGGTGGCCAGGCCAATGAAAGCGGCCGTTGAAGTTGATGTGGTATGCGGAGAAGCCCGCCGCCTGGAGCGATTGCTGCAGTCGGCCTAGGCTGCTTCTCGGCGTCATGATCGTCGCGCGATTGACATCGTACCGCACAGTGATGTAGGCCTAGGGGAGGGCCGTTAGCCGTTGTATTGAAAATGTTTTCAACAAGACAAATTTACCTCCGGATGATCTTCCAGGACATGCGACAGCTCTCCCTCCAACTCCGGCTTCTTCCAGACCGTCGTCAAGGAGGTAAACTTCTCTGTGCTCTCATGCATATCACCCAGTGCCCCAAGCAAGGTGGCCAACCGAATTCCAACGGCACCATACTTCTGCAACTGGCTCTGATTCGCGACGGCCGACGCGACCGCCGCGCTGAGAAATCCAAACGAGAAGCCCACGATCTCCACCACAGAACTAGACTCGGCATCGACGACGCCATGCGCGGCATACTCCGGATGCGTCGTCTGCAGGTAGCGGGAGAACTGGGTCAGATGGGTAATCATCAGCAGGGGGGCATGCTGGAGGTAGGGCAGCGGGAAATGGTGGTCGGCCACTTTTCCCGTGCGGATCCACTGATTCAAATCACGCAGCTGCTGTTCGCCAGGCAGCGCCTGCAGCGCCGGCCGGTACTTGGCGGCGGTGCGCCAGTAGACGGGCAACTCGGCCAGCACGTCCAGCACCCAGCGATTCTCGGGGTCATCCAGGATGACCCGTCGCAGATGCTGGAAATCCTTGGCATCGAAGTGGAGGGCCTGACAGCCGAAGAGCAGGACCGTCCTGCCTCCTGGCGGAGGCGAGAGATGACTGGCCATGAGGTTTGTATGGATGTATGTGTGTTTGCAACAAACAGAGCGAAGCTAGCAGGTAAGCAAGCAAGCAAACAACTGAGGTCCCGCAACGCAACGACCGGAAGCCAGAACCAACGAACGCCTCCAACCTCAAGCGAGTGTACTAATCGAAGAAGGACCGAAGCTGCCGATGAGGTAAGAATCAAGCAACAAGCAAGCAAGCAAGTAAGCAACGCAAACTTCTACAAATCGAGACAGAGAAACAAACAAACAGACACACAAACACAACAACCAACCCTCAGTCAGTCAGTCACTCACTCACTCACTGACTCACCCAAGCACCAAAAAAAAAGAATTCGGAGATAACCACGGAAATAGACTAAGCCGTACGCAATTCGCAGCGAAGGGGGAGAGCACACGGCTAAGATAGAAGGGCAACAAGCGAGCGAAAGGATCACGAGCAACGGAGCGAGCAGAAGAGGTTCATAAAAAACATTAAATCCAAACCAGAACAGCCAGGTTTTAATGCACGGCCAGAGCCCAAGGAAACTCGGAAACAAAGGCACCCGAAGGGGCATGAATGGGTAAAATCCGTCAGTCAGTCAGTAAGGAAGGAGATGCACGGGCCTACTACTACTACCTAGTAGCCCCGGGCAGGGCACTTTCCAAACCCAGTACGTGTCAGTCAGTTAGCTAGCTAGTCAATCTGTCAATATGTCAGTCAATTAGGCAGTTAGTTTAGTCCATAAGGCAAGGCCGGAAAGAAACCGTCGAAGATGGGATGGGGTGGGGGTGCGTTGGTGGAGGTTACACTCGCTCCTGATTCTCAAAGCAACATTTTTCAAAGATAGATACTGTACAGTACATAGATCAATGATATCCAAATGAACCGAGCCAGGCCCAAACCAAACCAGCCCAACCAACCAAACAACAATCTGCCCAAAGACAACACAATAATACTATGAATAGAGCATCATGGACACGCGCTGACAGGCCATGGTTCACTTTCCTTTTCTCGGGGATTTCTTTCCAGTGACGAGCAAAGCAAGAAGAAGGGGAGGGAGGGTTGCAAGAACCAGTAAGCTCGACTGAGAGAGCGAGAGAGCATCATCGAAAGAAACCAGCGCAACGGCCGGAGTTTGTTCGTCGGGTTATGGGGTATCTACTCGGGCTAGGGGGGTGTCATATCCAGTTCAGACTGGAAGTGACTAGGCGGCGGGGATTGGGGTTGCACGATGGAGGAGGCCCGGGGGGTCAGTTTCATACTTGTCCGCGTCAGCTTTTGACGTGGATATTGGCTGTAAGGGCTTCAGGGAAGGTGCAAAGGGAGGGGTTATGAGGGGATCAATGGCTTTTCCGGCTAGAGAGGCGTAACTCGCTTTTCATAAACGAGCATCAGGGCGAAAAGAGGCGTCGGAGTTGCTGCATACCGGAGATAGGCAGCGGAGTTTGGGAAGGGGACGGTTGTTTGCGTAGTGCTTATAGATAATCGAGTTATGGAGATAGGGGATAACGCCTTTTATGCAATCGCTGTATAATTTCACTATATTAGGTTAAACTATTCTTATAAGCCCCTGGCTAATCACTTCGTCCATCCTTTAAGATTAGGCCCTTGATGATATATCATCAGATCCAGCGAGTATCTCTCTCCCCATGCTGATCACCAACCGACCTCGCAACACCACTGCATCCCATGAACCAGCACAGGATGTAACCCCGACTTGAGCGAAACAAAAAACCAAAAGAAGCCAGGAGGCCTTGGCCACCGCGAGACACTCCAGGAAGAATCAATACAGTCAATGTGCATCAACGAAACCAAAGACCCCAAGAACATTGACCTCAACACACAAAAGTATCAATTTGAGAATGGCTCTTCAAACCACCGACAGTGTCGGACTCTGCACCGGATTCTTTACCCTCTCCAAATCGCCCAGGCACTCCAGCAGCTCATGTAAAATGACTTCGAATGAGGGGTCAAGATACGCATGGGCCGTGAAGAAGTCGGTGCACATCATCAAAGGAATTGGGGTCAATGGGTGAACCTTCATGGATATCGACGTTAGCAGCTGCATGACTCGGATGCACCTATATTCCAGCCCTTCACGAAGACTGCCCGTCTGGGACTCATGTGCAGGAGATTGACTGACCTTGAAGTATCCCAACTGCCCCTGCACCTTGACCAAAGCTACCACCTCATGGGCGGCCATCACACACAAACGCTCATACTCAATGATCCCGAGTAGATGATCGCCCCCCGATTTCCATGCGACGGACTCAAGGACATTATGCAGGAACAACACCATGCTTTGCGCAACAATGCGAGCGAACATGATCAACGGATCATCCAGGGTTTGAGGGTTGGATGCAAGGGACTGGATACGAGTGTTGAGAACGGTATGAAGGGCTTGATGGCGGTTCCAGAAGGCATCGAGCGAAGTGGGGAGCGACGCGTAAGGGCTTGTAGGAGAAAGATGCAGGTGAGAGGGCTGTAGTACTTGCTCCATGGTGACAGACTGGCGGTGCGAGAGAGCACGACCAACGACGGTCGCTAGGAGGATAAATTCAGTGAAGCTCGAGGGGTTGGCTTGGTTGGGGTCTGGATTGAGGACGGGGGTTGACGTAGAGTTGGTTGGTGTAGCCATGGGAGGGAAGGCCATGTTCAGGTGGGTTGGTGATGTCGGGGAATGGGGATTCACATAGACATGAGGCTGTGGGTGACCATGGGAATACTGCTGGAAATGATAATTTTGGAGATTCGGGTTCATGACTTCGGACAGGTAGGCTGTTAGGGTTGGCTGCCCCGATTGAAACTCCTCTTCCGGGCTGGGGAGTCGAGTTGTAATCTGCAATTCAACATTAGTCGTTGCATACTCAAATCCGGACTTCAGGCAAGCATACCAAGTCTCCATGTATTGTGAACGGCAACCCATTGTGAAAGCTGATAAACCGATCCAACGAGTATGCCATCCAGAAAGTCCGGCGCTGCTCCTCCAGGCCAATCCAGTCCACCAAAATAGCTTCTTGTTCCCGTGCCATCGTCACCGGATTAGTCGGATCATCTAGCTCATACAGCCGCATACCTAGTACCTGACGACAGCACCGCCCAATACTCATCCACGCTTGTAGAGGTGAGCGTTGCATGTACTCGTAGAGCCCAATGAGAATCCACGCCTGCGCTTGTTCCAGTCCTGCGACCGTTGCTATACTATCCGGCCGGTCTAGCGTATCAAGGATTCGTCGTGACTCGCTGTAAAGACTTTCACGCAATGCTTGAAATTGGGCTGAGAGAGAGGCTGCCACCGCCCACATGGCATACTGCAGACAGACCTGGCTATCAGACTTTTTGGGTTGTCGAGCCCAAACGTGATAGCGCCAGCGCTGTAGGATGGGAGCGAACGGATGCACTCGGTCAAAGTATAGTTGGTCTCTGATAATGCATTAGACTTGACTAGATTCCTGGAGACAAGGGCGAAGACATACAGTTCTGCTCGCATCAGTTCCGAGACTAAGCCTGTCGTCCGGGGCAATGACTCAGGTGTGCGTGGGGATTGAACCTTGGTGGATGAGATGGTGGGTTGAATGTCCCTTTCACACTGCTCCTGCTCCTCTCCTGATGCCAGAACGGCATCTGGAAGAGTCGACAGCGGCACTGAGACCGGTATTGGATCTGATAGAGACGAGAAATCTCGGGGAGGATCCTCCTCCGAGTCACAGTCGAGCACAGTACCGTCAAAGAGACTCGCCATCGGATGATTGATTTCTGGATGCTGGTCTGCGAGACAGCGCTCGAGGGCAGCTGGATCGCGTCAGTCAGCGAGCTCCATACAATGACGATGAATAACACCATACCAATCCTCGTACGCAACGTACGCAGCTGCCCCTTTCGGGGGCCTCGCGGCAGTCTGGTGGTGTTGATCTTGCACTCGATCCCTGTCTCGAAACACACCTGACACTGAGGGCGACGGCGGTCACAACGCACCTTTCGCCGTCGACACTCCTCACAGGCCGACCCAGGGCGTTGTCTAGAGATTGTAGGCGTCGACGTGACCATGTCGGGGCGGACGAAATGTATACACGCTCAACAGTCCGCAGTTGCTTGGTATTCCGAAGGATAGGAAGTGCTGCAGTACTCGTTTCCTGACTTATAGCAGAGCCCGTTGACTCTGAGCCGATGCGTCGATCCAGGCCTCCCTTCGCTTGGACCAACGACTAGTGGGTCGTGATAAGATACCAAAGCAATGGATCGACCGCACGAACCAACTAGTCAGACTAGACAGGACGAACCAGTGGATGGACGAGGCAGTCCGATACCCAGGAAAGGCACATCATCCGGGCGACTCGTGCTTGCTTTTTGGAGTATTAAGCTCATCTACACAGTCAGCGCCCACCAGCCATTCGGGGAGGGGTGTGGCGGGTCGATCCATACGGGCCTAAAGGGTGACTCGGCGTGCGTCCTGGAAGGACACGTTCTAGCTAGTGCGATGTGATGACCGCCCTGCAGGATGCAGATCGCAGCCAGCAGCTTATTCGCTGACTGGTCCTGTTGTCATCTGAACGGGCTTTTCGAACCAGAAGGGCAAGACGAGAGAGCTAGAAATGCCCTGCACTTTGCAGCCTGCAGCCTGCAGCCTGCAGCTGATCCTGGAGACACATCAGGGGCGATGGTGGGGAGAGGTATGAACGAGGGTCGGACAAGCCTTTTGGGGGGAACTATCACATACTATCGGCGCTTGACGGCGAATTGGGGGTGGAGAGAGAGGGTAAAGGGAGGTGGTGGGGGATGAGAGAGAGAAGGACGAACTGTGTTTGTTCTTGCGCTCATGATCTTCAGGGTCCCATCAATAGAAAGTGCCACGGATTTCATCTCGATCAACGTGATCACATCGACGCCTCTCAGCCAGCCACAGGATTGAGCAGCCAATTGAGGATTGGTTGGTCGCCATAGGGCGAATAAGCAAGTCTGAAGGACTGAAGAAGCGAAAGCGAGCGATCGCAGGTTTTGCAGCTAGGAACTGCAGAGCTAACCCTGCAGGAAGTCTGCAGGCCCAAGAATCAAGGAAGCCTATTGTTTTGGTAGATCTGGCCACCTCCTGGAGGTCGAGAAACAATGGGAAGAGGGGCAAACTGCACCTGGGCATACACTGCAGCAGCAAGTGGCAGCGGCAACCCGTAAGCAAACAACCTGCTAAAGCCCTCGCACGGCAGATGTCGATGTTAATTGCCCTGCATTGCAGCTGTGAGGAACGCTTGAACCCAGTGTAATGTCAGTGGGAGTGCAACCCTCAAATGACAGCACAGCGAAGACTAAGATGGGGGATGATCAGGGCTGGTCTGAAAGTCGACGATCAGACTGAAGCGACCGTGCAGGGCGATCAGCACCGAGATCAAGGCAGCTGAGTCGCCAGACATTAGCGCAAATTCGAGCAGGTGGGACTGCAATATGCGGGCTCAGTCAAATCTGGCTGATGCTTTTTCCGACCAGGGACTAGGGTGAAGAGATTGTGAAGTGAAGTGAGGAAGAATGGTCGAGGGGCAAATGAATTAGGGCGGGGAGAGTGGAAGGAATCCTCGATCACCACCTTCCACTCAAACTATTCACAAAGTACAGTACAGTATTCGCGGCAAAAAGAAGTTAACAGAAGGGCACCGAATGCATTTTATCGATCACCAAAAGAATAATCAGCCGAGCCTCGTGTTCATCGGGCCGAGGATCGATCGCCTGCAGCAGTGGCCAGCGATCGACAGCCACTAGCGAAATGTCCCCATTTCGGGCGGGCCGATCCTGGCGCCAATATTCATTCACTGGCACGAACAATTGCTGATAATAATGATGAGGAGGAAGATGATAATGAAGAATTGGTTTGGATACAAAGACTGCCCAGGGTCCAGTTCAGAATGTGGCACACTGTTGTGAGACCTGCCAGCAGTGGGTGGCAGTGTTGGGTATCTATGATTAGAACAGATTGATTCTGTACATATATAGTATGTAGTAAGTATATAGTAGGATCATGTCCTCCGTAGTCTTCCGTAGCCCTCTAGCCCTAGGGTGGATTCATGCCCGTACTAATATTGCCCAGCACCAGCCATGGAGTATGACCACACACAAGACATTCTGGGCCAGCTGCCCCTGCTGAAGTCCTATTCGCACATGCTGCTGCTCTTCCCCCTCGCCAACGACGTTGCACACCCAGAGATCGTGACAGCCCTGGAGTCAGCCATTCACCAGCTCATCGCAGCCTTTCCCTTCCTCGGCGGTAAAGTTGTGCGCGAGGGTCAATCTTCCACTCACTCGGGCGTCTTTGTCGTGCGTCCTCATGCCGCCTGGAAAGACTTCGACCATAAGTTCCTGCGCGTGGAAGACCGCACCAACGAGGTCGCGTCGTATGCAGAGTTGAAAGCGACGGGGGCGCCCATCAACACGTTGCCCAGTAACCTGCTGGCGCCTCCGCGCGTTGCCTTCCCGGAGCCCTATCCCGACGACGACGATGAGACCAACCCGGCTCCCGTGCTCGACTTCCAGGCCAACTGGATCGAAGGGGGTCTGGCGTTGGTGATCGCAGCGCAGCACAACATCATCGACGGCAACGGGATGTTCCAGATCGTCAACCTGCTCGCATACAGCCTCCGCCACGAGCCATTTCCCGAGCAAGCCGTCCGCGAAGGTAACATCGACCGACGCAGCCTAATCCCGCTGCTGAACGACGACGAGCCGATGGACGACCACAGCGAGCTAAAGCCGGCGATCGTTCCCGGCTCACCGTCCGCCCTAATCCCACCAGAGACGAAAGCCTACCTGGCGACATTCAGATGGCGGAACCTGCGCTTCAGCCAGGCGGCCATGGCCAAGCTCTACCAGAAGGCCACTCCGGCTCCAGTCGACGCCTCCTCACTAGACCAGAACCAGTCCACAGAGAGAGAGAAGATCACTCCCAACGATGCACTGACGGCCTTCCTGTGGCAGCGTCTCATTACGCTGCGCCTTCCGCACCTCCCGCCGTTCATGCAATCGTCCACGTCCAAGATCACCCGCGCGTTAGACCTCCGCCGCACCGTCAACCTCTCCCCCCATTACATGGGCCACATGGTCCGCACCGCCAATCTGCGGCTCCCGCTCAAGGAGGTCGTGCGGCTCTCGCTGTATGAACTGGCCGTCAAGCTACGGAGACATGTGAAAGCTCTGCACAACCTGCAGTCCACGCGCAGCTACGCGACGTTCCTTGCCCACGAGGACGATAAGAGCCTGGTGGCGTACGGCGGCGCGGCTAACCCCTTGACCGATTTCTCCTGCTCCAGTATCGCTCATGTCACGGTGCCGGTGTTTGGACCCCTAGGGAAGCCGACCATGCTCCGACGGCCGTCGTTTGAGACCCCGTTGCCGGGCGCGTGCTATATCGGACCGGTAATTGATGAGAGTGATGAGGAGGGCGGATGGGAGGGGCTAATGTGTTTGAGTGAGCGGGAATGGGCCATGGTCAATGCGGACGAGGAGTGGAAGGAGGTGGTGCGTTATATTGGTTAGCTGCTGGATGGCTATGGCTGAACGAGGTGTCATGTTTGTGCGGAATGATACGCGATGTCCGATAGGCACAATGATATGGGCTACAGGCAATGATGCGATGATGATTTTAAGTATCTGGGACCAGAATGATATCCGCGTTTGAGCTGCTGCTAGTGTTGAACCTGCACTACGGACAAACTATTGTGCAAATGGTTGAGATGAGCTCCTCCAGAGTCATACAGTTTCGAAGCCATCGCCAACGTAACTGACATTGTGCTATGCTATGAGCAGACTCGGAGTATAGAGTAGTTTCGATTATCCTCAAGAATGTCTACAGCTGGTTACCTCAGCTACTGATGGAAACCATTCGGCTACAAGGTGAAATGAACAGGAACGGGTCTGATTCTACGTTCTCAGATACTCCATATCCCAACATCATCCAACATAGTATCATCCTGAAAACCAGAGCCTTCAATCCCCCCATTAATCATTTACTCCTACCTCCCCAATCCTCCGAGTAAAGCCACGCAATCCAAGAACCACACAATAAACCCAGGAATAAACCCAAAGCCAAGCCCAAGCCCTCGCCTCGTATCTGACTACAACAACACCAACCCAAAATCGCAAACCCAACCAGCATAACAAGGCGCAAAACTCCGGGCCAAAGCTCACGACTCGCATCCGGCGCCAGATGCGGCGCAAATTCTCGGAGATTTAACAATCTTGCCCAATTTCCAAGCTGCAATGACCAGCCCCAGCCTCAGATGCCACCGCCTGTTACCGTCCGTCGACAGTCACCAGTCACCAGTAAATGGCCCAGATAGCCCCCAGCCCAAAGGGAAGAGAACCCATAAATCCAATCCAAAGCGCCACTGCACCGGCCCGTCCGGCAATCTGCATTCGACAACAGAAATATGTAGCACAACCCATTCTCCTATTCGTCGCGACCTGCTCACACCCTTGCATTAATCCGATACAACAAGAGTAAGGTAAGGAACCTGGTCCATGACAGCTGTTGAATTCTCATCTAGTCCTGTGCGTCCCTTCTCTTGTGCAACACACTAATATACACTAACAAGTGTTTAATCTACGAGAAACCAGCAAGGGGGCAGGAAGGGGGAAGCCGCTGCACAACGACCCGGAGATATATTCATCGCGTCGGATGGAAACCGAAGGATCCCTGACCCTGTCTGGATTTCGGGCAGATGTTGCACAGAGGATTTGAGTTTCTTCTGCTTTTCTTCGATGGTGCTCTTGCGTGCTCTTCTCGTCCGACTGACAGATAGGAATCGAATGGTGGTTCTCGGTCGAAAGATTGACTGGTTCATTTTGGACTGGATTTGGGGCTAGGGGTCGCAGGGAGATTATACGGAGCGATTTTCGGTGGCTAGCCGGTGGCCTTGTGTGCGACGTTATTAGAAGGTTGTACACAAGATTTTATTCCTATGGGTTGGGTCGGTGTGTGAATTGGAACTTACGGCCGCGTACCAGAAAAGTGGCGGGCTCGCGGGATTGAAAGAGACGGATCCGTTAGTTCAAGCCGGATTGTGAGGCCTTGGGGTTTGTCCGCAGGGTGGGTTTGTGATGAACTGTGTTTGCGCTGTCGGGTTGTACAGCCAATTCAGAGGATGATGAGGTGGTGGTGGTGGTGGGTGAAAGGATGTTGCTGCTTCCCCCGTTTGTTCTTCGGTTTAAGGAGGGAAAGGTTAGCCCTACCTTAGGCATTCACTCCCTGGGCAAAGCTAATAGGCGTTAACTCAGTGCATAGACAGACATCGAACCTCGGATGTACGTATGTACTCAGCCGACATAGACACCGTACTTGGCACCCAGACACCCAGCTATCATAGTCACCTCTCTCCCTGAGTACAATCTGTAATGTAGCGACTGTAGTCCACACGTATACAGCTCGCACAAAAGCACACTGTATACTACAACGCACTAACCAAACCCAATATCCAAGAAAGAAACCCAAATGGCCACCGAAATCGACATCGCCATCATCGGCAGCGGGCTCATCGGCACACTGCTAGCCCTAGGTCTCCTCCACCGTAACTCGCCCCACCTCCGCGTTCAAGTCTACGAACAGGCCTTCTGCCATCGCGAGCTGGGCGCGGGGATCGGCTTCACGCGCGCGGCGCGCCACTGTATGAAGCGGCTGGACCCGCGGCTGGACGACTGCCTGCGGGCCGTGGCCACGATGAACGGCGAGGTCGACGACCCGGACTACAACATGCGGTTCGTCGACGGCTACCACACGTACGTCGACGACGACGACCACGGACCCGTCGGCATCGAGGGCAAGGTCTACAAGCTGTACGCGGGGCCGCGCGGGTTCGAGGGGTGCCACCGCGCGCAGTTCCTCGAGGAGATCATGAAGCTCATGCCCGAGGGCGTCGTGCAGTTCGGCAAGCGCCTCGAGAGACACGAGTACCTCGACTCCGGCAGGATTAAATTGGTGTTTGGAGACGGCACTGTGAAAGAGGTCGACGGAGGTCAGTACCTACACAGCCCTATCAAATACTTCCCAGCACTCCTATCCTTGAACCAGAGACATAGCGTCCCGGGGGAGAACCCCCGGACCCCCCTTCGTTTCAGCTTCCTGGCCCACCTCAACCCTGAAGACCAGTTCTATAGGGATATCCGGGGGAGAACCACGGACCCCTGAACACCCCAACCCAACCAACCCCATACCCAAAAGCTGATGATTGGTAGTAATCGGCTGCGACGGCATAAAATCCCGCGTCCGGGACCTCCTCTTCCCAAACGGAGACTACCGCCCCCGGTACGCCCACCAACTAGCCTACAGAGGCCTAATCCCCATGGACCAGGCAATCGCGCATCTGGGCCGCCACCGCGCGCTCCTGCAACACATGCACTGCGGGCCGCACGCGCACGTCCTGCACTTCCCCGTTGCAAACCAGAAGTTGCTGAACGTCGTGGCATTCGTGCCTGACCCGAAGGACTGGGACGTAGCTAGTTTCACGGGCGCAGCGACACTGGCAACTGCGGCAGAGCCAGAGCCAGAAGCGAGCGCAAGCACACCGACTAATACCCCGGATGAACGGACAGGCCCTAACGCCGGAGGCAGCACAGTAACAGCGACAGCTACAAGCACAGAGGCAGAGAGAGAGAGAGACCTAAAAGCAAGCACAGCTACAACGCCGAGCACCACAACAATTAATACTCCGCAGACGAGCCGGACGACTACGCCTGATGGTATAACCCCAACCCAAGACCCAAACCAAAACACACCCTCCACCCCCTCTAACCCCCCCAAACCACAACCAAAAGCCCATGAAGAAACACCAAGAACGCACCTCCTCGAAACCTTCGCAACCTGGACGCCCTTCCTCCGCAGACTCCTCTCGCTCCTACCCCCGAACCTAACGAAATGGCCCATCTTCGACCTATACGAGAACCCGCCGCCGACGTACGCGATGGCGCAGATGTGCGTGGCAGGGGACGCGGCGCACGCGTCGTCGCCACATCACGGGGCCGGGGCTGGGGTCGGGGTGGAGGATGCGCTGGCGCTGGTGACGGCGCTGGGGTGTGCGGAGGCGGATATCGTGGGCGGGAGGATGAGCGTCCCAAAAGCGTTGGAGGTGGCATTTCGCGCGTACTCCGATGTGCGGTATGAGCGGTCGCTGTGGGTGATGCGGAGTAGTCGTGACGTGTGTCGTGCCTATGAGTGGGAGGTGTTCGGGGATGATGAGGAGGATATGGGTGATATGGGGCGGGTGTTTGAGGAGATTCGTCGGCGGACGATGAAGGTTTGGGGGCTTGATGTTGATGGGATGGTTGCTGAGGTGCAGGGGGCCTATTGGCGGGGGACTTGGGGCTTTGCTTCTTTTTCTTCTTGAGCTGGGTTGCAGGGGATTAATCGGCTAGTTTGTTGGTATTTTAGTGGGAGGGATTGTTCATTTGGTAGAATGTGGTGTGTCTGTACTCATTCAATACAGAGGAAGGATGTCGCTTTGAAGATCACATCCAGTATCCGAGTCAGGCAGTTGTGAATAAGTTGAGTGGTGATTTGAATGCTGCCCTAGGCTAATGCTCATCTACGGACAAAAGGCACCCCAATAATTCATAGGAAAAGCTGCCACGATCAGCATCATTCTATTCCAATACATGATCCAGTCTAATCTATGCAGTAACCCCCAATATCTCTCCCAGGATCGGACTCTGCGTCACCGCGTACACTTCCCGCACATAGTCCTCATTCGCCGCGAACGGCTTCGCCATGACATTCGGGATGTATCGCCCCTCCAAATCCGCCATGTTAACATTTCCCTGTAAGAAGCCCGGCCTAAGCAGGCACTGTCGAAACCGATCCACAGTTGACTTCAAGTGACTCGAATGGAAGGGAACATCGATCCCCTGCAGGGGGATGCTTGCTGTTCCCCGTTGCAGCTGAATGGGCCTGGGAAGCCCGTGTGCCGCAGCGAGTAATCCCTTGATTGTTGCATCGACCACCCGCGTCCCCTTCTCGTCATTCATCATCTCCTTGATCTGATCAGGCCCATCGGGTGATTGTGATAGCCCGTCAAGAACCTTTCCAAGAACCCAGAGGTTGGTGTCCTGGTAGAGTCAGTGATCGCCTCGAATGAAGAATAGCAAACCATGCAAAGCAGAATAATGCTGATGAAACAACTAGAATAGACATACCGTTCCTGAACACACGTATTGCTCCCCCTTGACATTGTAATTGACAATCTCCAGTAACTCGCAGCTCGTCATGGCAATTGCCTCAACCAGCCGCCCCAATACAGGGGGGTCGAAAACTGTCAAATGTCAGCGGACTCGTCGCATTGTAGCAGGCAGGAAAACTTACACACGCCTACCCGCTTGGGATTGATCGCCATCATTCCGTACGCTGCTCCCTGCTCCCGCGCCACGGACGCCTGCATCATCACACCGCGGTAGAAGGATAGCTCGGCCAGCGCTGCCAGTGGAATCGACTGCGAAAGAGCCGACAATGCCCCGTATTCGCCCAGAGAGTGGCCGGCATACAATGCATCGGGCGACACGTACCCATTGCTGCGTAAATCGGCGATCACGGCTACCTCGAAGAGCAGAATCGCAGGTTGGGCGAATTGAGTAGAGTACAGTAGTCCTCTCGAGTCGGTGAACGTGTAAGATGTCGAGCGAGGCGTGAGGCCCGGAAGAGCGGGCGTCTCGATGCGCGTATTATCCGGAAGGACAGTCTCGGTGGTAATAGCTAGATAATTCTGTCGAATCTTGCGGCCCCGCTTACCGCCAAAATGGACTGTGATTGATTTGGGATTGTTGCGGACGATGTCCAACACGGACCAGCCTGTCATCGTTAGATAAGTCATATCATGCCAGCGGCCATCGGAACCCTACCATAGCAATTGTAGAGCTGCGCATCTGTCTCGTCCCACAAGGCTTTCGCCACTGGACTTGACTCATAAAGGTCCATTCCCATGCCCTTGCTTTGGCTGCCCTGTCCCGTAAACAGGTAAGCCGTGGCTGGCTGATCCACCGTTGCATGACCTTCCAGGACCCTTTCTCCTCCGTCTTTTCGAGTCACCTCAACCGCAAAGCGCATGCGCCCCTCCACCATGGCTGTGTGCTGAATTTGAACAACAAGCTTTTCGAGTGGCATGACCATACCAGTGAAACTCGAAGTGAACGAGCGGAGGCGAGTCCGATCCCCATGAAGAGCAAGATGTTCGAACGCTGCCACTGTAACTGCCGACGTCAACATTCCGTGACTTAGAGTCCCAGGCAGATCTGCCAACGAAGCAAATATGCTTGATACGTGGATTGGATTGAAATCTTTGGATACGTTGGCGTATGGCTGATTGCTCGGCGGCATCTGCACTTCAAGGGAGGACAAGCCCGACCATCCCGGGGTTTTCAATTTCACCTCCGGAGTGGCAAGAGTCCCTCTGCGATCCAAGAAATCAAGCACCGGATTCCCGAAACAGCTATCGCAGCTATAATTCACCTTACCGACCTCCTTCCAGGCGTAACCTCCAGGCTGTGTGTGCGCGGTTCCAGTAACATGAAGACTCTTTATACCACCTTCCTTGTATATAGTGTGGGTTTCCAGCTTGAACAAGAGAGTCTTCCCAACCAGTGATACTGTATCATCCTCCATGCAAAACCACTCACGTCGTCGGAGTACGGTCTCATCGAGCTCAGACTTTATCTGAAGCTGTCGCTGCGGCTCCTTAATGCGTCTGAAGAAGTCTCCGTCTTCAGCAAAGGTTCCTCGGAATAAAAATGTCGATGTGACTGTGAGAACTGCTTTACCCGAGCGCATGATCTGAGCCTCCACCACGACAACCATGCCTGCCTCCTCCACATATACGGCCCGGACCTGGGACTGCGAACTGACAGTATCACCAATGCGCAGCATCGCCGCACCAGAGCAATATTCAAACGAGTTTGAGCGATGTACCAGCCGGAGGAGGTCACCGCCTAGAACCCGGAGTACCGAAGGTTTGGTGAGGACATCCCAGGCTATGACAATACCGACGCTGATCGGCAAGACATCAGAGTCAGGAAAGAAAAGCCGCGGGTCTGGGAAGGCCGGGCCCACACCCGCGATCAAGTCCTGAAGCACCTGCTCGGTGAGTGTCATCTCTTTCCCGTAGAAAGTATCATGGATACTACCACCTGTCGAGACGTCTTCTCCGAACCATAGGCGGCTGTAGAATGATTTGACACGAGCGTTTCTATGATCCATAATCTCGCTTAGACTGAAGGGGATACTGCTGGGATCGAAGCGATAGAACAGTCTCAGTGGCTCAAGTATCTGAGGGGGGTACAGTTCCAGAACAATATTCACACCATTCGGACTTGAAAGTTTCATCGACGAAGTTATCCGACCTGTATCCTGAACACAGACCGAGATGTCGCCTCGGTCTGCATCATAGTGAAAGATGGCAGCGGGATTAGCTGCAATGAACTGCTGGAATGGGTTCCTCTGCCGCCGTTGATTCTGCAGCAACACTGGCTCTCCTAATACTGCACGAATCCATGGAGGCAAGCTCCGTGATAGGCTTATTGCAGCCGCTGAAACGTGCACAGATCTGTCGTCAAGCGCATCGGATGTCGAACTGGACATTGGGGTGGATATATCATCCACGGCTATCTCCCTCATCCCCGAAATCGACGACCAACTGTCAGGGGTGGCTAAACCACTAGTTGAGCTGGATGTTGAGTCTTCCGAGCAAGTATCACGTTGGACCCGCTCAATGATCCCACCCATGATGTTGTTCAAAATCTCTTGCGCCGACTCATCACGATCGACAGAATACTGTGCAGCCACTGGTCCGTGTAATATACAAACTCGTTCAGGATCCTGGTCAGGCACAGCTTCAATATCCTCCGCCTGCCAAAGAGAGTCCTTTTTGAAGTACAACTCGAAATCTTCATTGAAGGCTGGTATGAAGTTGACGGGTTTCTGGTTGGGCTTTTTGCTTTCCAGAAGAAAGAACGAGACGTCTTCTGGATTGAGTATCTCGTCTTTAGTTGCAGGGCAGACTTCACAAATCGAGCAGAGAAATAAATCTGGGTTCTCCGAGAGCACTGCATGTGTCAGATCGGCGTGACAGTCGATTTGAGCACACGGCAGCCGCTCCAGCGTGCGACTTGCGATACGCAAGACGAAGCTCACATACGAAGGATCTATCCACCGCTTTTGGTGCCGGACGTACATCAGGTCAACCATGCGATGCAGTACTTCGGCGTATGTCATATCTTCCAAATCCACCACAACACCGTGAGAGTTCCGACCAAACCAAGGTTTTGCAAATTCTGCATTCAGGCGTCGTATGATATGTTTCCGATTCTTGGTCAAATATGCGACCCGTTCCTTCTTGGGTAGCTTGAATACTGTCTGATCCATATCTGCCCACAGCTGCACCCCTCGAGTGGCAACCTTGTGAATAGGCTCACCCATTTCCGACCGGACGGTAAGAATTCCTCCAGCTGGCCTGGAGTATGTGTTCGTCCACTGGTCATCAGGAACGCCAGGAGTATTCGTGATGACTCGCTTGACAGCAGGGGAGGTGTGTGCTTCCCGTGCCACCATCAAGCGACTACCCAGCAGAACGCCATCGAAAGGCATGCAAGGGTACCCATGCGAAACAGACCACTGCCCAGTGAGATATGGATAGATGCTCTCGCTATCTCCAAAGCCACTACCAGCGACTAAGTAGATGTTCGGCTGCTGTCGGATACTGCTATATGTGCTCAAAATAGGAGCATGGAAATCCTCATAAGAATGATGCCCGCCGCCTCGACCACCCGTCCACTGTAGAATGATAGGAAAGTCAGGATGCGTCTTGGCGATATCCACGACTTGCCGTATCGTTGATACCGAGCTGGGTTTGAAGCTGATATGACGCAAACCAAGTGTGCGGATATATTCCGAAACGACCTCCCCTGAAGGCACACCCGCACCGATCGTGAGTCCATCGATAGGTACTCGCTCGTGCGAAAGGCGACGCAGCATAGGGACCTGCCAGCCCATTGCACGAGGGCTCGCGTATATGAGATTACAGGTTACACCTCGGCCAGGACGAACATTATCGACCAGGTTGTTGATTGCTGCTGACATATCGGAGCTGTTGCGATAGCCTCCGCCAGCCAGTTCAACATGATAACCAGCATTCATTATGGCCGCAACAAAGTCCCAATGCACAGTCGTTGGAGTCATGCCAGCAACCATTATTGGAGGTGAACCCAGCAAACGGCTCAACCGTGTCTCTAGCGTGACTGTGCCTCCATTCACAAGGCGTGGCTGATATCGCTGGCTCCAGCTCTGAACCCTGGTCGATGTTTCGAGAAGCCGCGGCGAGAAGAGGTCGCGCATGGTTCCAATCTCGGGATCACGAGATTCAAGGTCGCTAGCTTGTATGACCCTGATTCCTCTTCCTTCCTGGACCTTCTTCACCAATAGTCCCAGTCCACCTCGATCGAAAACGATGATATGAGATGGGGTGTGCATGGAGTTTCGCAAGTGTGACGATCCTGTCAATGCCGAGGGCCAATCACAAAGTTCTCGCGCAATAGCATCAAAAATAGTATGCAGTATGTTCCCTCTGCTTTCTCTTAGATCTTGGCCAGTATGCGTATGATACACAGGGATTTTAAGGTCCTCAGCGACTATTTTGTGTTTAAAGAATCGATTTTTCAGTGCGTCTGCGGCTTCTGTAAGGACAGGTGTATGAAAGGATGTGCTGATCGGGAGAAAGCTAGAATGAATCCAAGGCTTTCTGCTGCTGAACGGAACCCGGCTTTGATCCTTGTTAGAGCCGACGACCTCTGTCAGATAGCTGTGGAGGTGAACCAGAGATGTCGACGGGCCGGCCACCACAAATTGATCCAGAGCATTGATCAGTGCCAGATGTACTTCCCCACCAACAGGTAAGACCCGATTCATTTGAGCTATAATTGACTCGAGTCTCCCTCTTTTTACTCCACGCACGCTGAGCATATAAGACGGCATATTGCATTCGTCCGCATAGCCGCTGGCCGAATTTGCTGCTGATGCCGGAGTGCGCGGCGCGCCTCGGTGACACTCCCAACCTAACCAAAATAGAGCTTCTACCGCCAAACCGCTATTTTCATAGAAGCTGTCCCATGAATCGGACATTGCAATGACCGCTGACACCAGAAGTCCTTGTGAGTGGCCTGTCGTCGCTCGAAACAGTGTACGCAACTCGCCCGGGCTCAGGTCCAGGAGGCGACATGTGACGCAGTATCGCGCCAGGCTCAACACACCTATCACCGGCACACTTATCGGTGCTTGAGCGATGTAAAGGCTATCTGGAATGACCGAGTCATTGTTGACCCAGGAGCGCAGGTCCAACGGTTGCGCGCCAAAGTATGGCACACATTCAGGGAGACTTGAGAGTTTGTTGAGTAGATCGCTAACTGTGCCGAAAAAAGAATGTAGCATTGATTCATAGGTGGCGTACAAATTTATCAGCTCTTGTACGCACGTCCGACTTGCTTCGCCTTGGCCACCGAAGACCGCCAGCAACTGAAACCTGTTCTGTTGAGCATGCTGCAACAGAGCACCCATCCGGTTGCGGGCCGGGAGACCGTGGCTTTCAGAGTCGCCGTGCCCGCCTAATTCAAGGCCGCGGTAGTATATTGTTAGATAGTCCTGTCGTCCTTTTGGATCTGGGATTGACTGAACAACTTTGGAGTGGATTTCTTCGTCACCTTGCAAGAATCGAGACTCAAATGCACGTAAAACGGCGGCTAGTGCCGACCGAGGAGAATGCTGTTCGATCAGGAACTCAACGAATTTCAAGCACAGTTCCAGCGGCGACCCCAGATTTCCCTCGTTTTCGTACGTTGATAGCGACTGGCAGAAGGCATCTTTCTGCGACTGAAGAAAATGGAGTTGAGACGAAGGTACCGTGAGCGTCAGGTTGAGCTGTTTCCATATGAGAGATAATTCAACAACTGTCGCTCGAGGACTTGTCAGAAATGAAGGGAAACAAGATGATTGGGATGATTGAATTGAGGTACGCATGACGATCGCAGACGACGACGAACTGAGGCAAGTAGGATATGGATCTATTAGCGGCATGTCGAGATTTCCCATCCTGCGTAGCAAACAACGTTCTCCTCAACTGTATTTAGTAGTGTCATCCCGAGTGAAACTTGGATAGCATCGCATCCGCCGTCCAAGGCACGCATGTCGGGAAATTGGTCAATGGGCCAATTTGACCAGCAGCGCCTCCTCAGTCGCATCCCTTAGAGTGCATATATATTCCGATAGGGCTGTCGCGTTGAGATATCGACCACGAACGTCCAAGCACAATATGGACCTGGGGTCGGTCCAGGGGCCGATTATCAAGGGACCCCTGTCTTGTCAATTCAGCCGTTGGAGGATCTCCTGTATCGAACCGGAGTTTTATCAGGCTGAGACACCCCTTTTGGAATCAGACAATGGCTTTGACCGACCGGAGTTTTGAAGACGGAGTTTTGTTAAATGTCTTCCCGAATACGATCTTTGAACACACCCTCTGTCAGCTTATGCCTTTTTGGAGTCTCTATGCCAATCGGGCTAGACCTTGCGAAACATATAGGGGACTGTTTAAGAACTTCGGTTTCTATCCCTCGAGCCAAGAAAGGAGGCCCGTACTACATGCTGTAGTAGTTCAAAATGCGGGCGCCGCACTCCAGTAGATCGCGTCAACCTGTCGCAGATTTTAGTCATTGGGCCAGATTGAAATCGTTATTCGCAAATAATGATTTCTCGAGTTTACTCACTCCGGTGCCTGACCCAAGTCTGCCTGATAAACTAGAGTCTATATACTGCTCAAGATACCCTGGACGGCAGTGTTCACCCCCTTGTGTTCGTTCGACAGAGAGGATTCGTCGTGACACTTCACGCTGTCATGGATCACTCAATCGGCGGTCGCCCCTTCAACACCCGAGGTGAGAAAGATCTTGCATACAGGCTGTTCATAGAGCTTCTTTCGTAGGTTTCCTCAACGACTTGACGTGGAAGCCTTGTGTCGATGCTGACAAAGTAGATATCAATTGGCCTCCCCAGTGCGCTGGTGAGTGGAGTCTTGACCTGTGTCGGCACACCATATCAGCTAAACATCACTCTTTAGGATCGAGACGCAGGATGAGCTTCTTAAAGCCAAGAAAGCCATCCGGCGGTTCATCGAAATTGGCCCTCGCACCACTCTGGCGAACATGGCAAGAAAATCCGCGGCCATTCACCACACTTTTCATGCTCCGTCTCAATGGGCGCATTTGCAGTTTCTTTCGTACATGGACGATAAGGCCGCGATAATGTACGAGTATCAGAAGAGAGAACCGTCAGAGGAACCCATGGAACATGTCGCATTGTCATCCGGTGTAGATGTTCAAAAGCCAGTGACGCACATTTCCGAAGCGAGTCCCGTAGCATTACCTGCTGCTACGCCTTTTACGAGTTATACCCCAGGCAAAGCTGTCACACTATCAGCAAGACATATCACTCTAGCGATGACCGCACAGAAGCTGCGACGACCGTTTGACCGAGTCCCAATGGCCAAGACTATTCGAGATTTATCTGGAGGTATGGTGTGGCCCGTCGCACGATCGCTAATATGAGGCTAACCAGTCAGGAAAATCGACATTGCAGAATGAATTGACGGGGGATTTGGTAGCTGAATTCGGGCGAGTCCCAGAAGGGGTAGAAGATATGGCTTTGGCAGCTCTAGGGGAAGCACTGCAGGGTGGCTTTTCAGGCAAGCCCGGTAAGCAGATGTCAATACTAATCTCCAAGTTCATGTCGAGCAAGTTGCCTGCAGGTTTCAACCAGGGCGCCATGCAGGACTTCCTGAAGTTGAAATGGGGGCTAGACAAGGCGCAGTCGATTATCCTCATTTGCTTCGCTACCACTGTGGAGCCAGCAGCTCGTCTCACGAGTGCGGATGAGGTTCGTTCGTACTTGGATAGTCTCGTTGAGCAATACTCCGCTTTTGAAGGCGTTGCATTTGTTCCCACCAACGGACAGTGCAGCTCCGTAAACAACTCGTCAACGAGTGGCATGATAAGCTCTGTTCACTACGCATCCCTCAAAAACGAGCATAGGAACCTTTATCGCAAACAGTACGAGGCCTTGGCATCGTACCTAAAGCCAGACGAGCAGGCATCTGAAGGAGAGCCAGTACAGCTCGAGAGTCGCGTACAGGCCATGGAAAATCAGCTGCAGCAGTGGAACGCGGAGATGGACGAACAATTTTTAGAATGCGTCAAACCGATGTTTGACCTCAATAAAGCACGGCAGTACAGTTCATGGTGGAACTGGGTTAGGTTGGACCTTTTCCGATGGCTGAACGAGACTTACAGCAGGCATTTTGATGTGAGATTATTGAGCATCGATGATCGGCTTCGTCGGATATTCAATCGCTGGGAGCCGAGCTGCACAGAGATCGTTACAGCCCAATTGGATACACTCTGGCCGAAGCGGAGAGTTCCTTCGGAAATACCACAGATGAGTGAAAGACATTCAGTCCTACATGAGATATTGCGTCTCGGCGCAAAGTCGCAGATGGCAAATCCCGTTTTTGCCCACACGAAGCCACCCATGGGCCCTAGGACAATGATCTCAGCATCCGGAAAACGGAAATACGAAGAAATACCTCGCAACGTTCGTACGTACCCCGATGTTGTTCGCCAAGGGCGCGCATCAACCACAGCCAGCCTGACGCCGATCCCGTTCGTTCACTTGAGAAGGCGGCGAGGTGGTGAAGACTGGGTTTATGATTCCACGGCAACTGAGATCTTCCATACGGCGCTAGACGCGGGAGTCACGACCGGGTTCACATATGCAGGCAAATCAGTTCTGGTAACAGGGGCGGGACCTGATTCGATCGGCGCAAATGTGGTTCAAGGACTTTTAGCTGGAGGCGCCAAAGTGATCGTGACCACAAGCCGCGCCGTTTCCAGCAGTGCGACATTCTATCAGAATGTTTTCAGAAGACATGGCTCTCGAGGGTCGTCTTTGACCCTACTTCCTTTCAATCAAGCAAGCAAGAAAGACTGCGAGGCACTGATCCAATACATCTACAGTTCAGAATCCCCTGTAGGCGGCGATCTTGATTATATTGTGCCATTCGCAGCGATTCCGCAAGCAGGGGAGCTAGATTCCTTAGGTAGTCGGCAGGAAGTTGCACTCAGAGCAATGCTGGTCAACATATTGCGACTGATTGGATTTGTACGGCGCGAAAAGGAAAAGCGGCGCGTCGACACCAGGCCAACTATGGTGATACTACCCATGTCCTGCAACGAGGGCACGTTTGGTGGGGATGGTCTGTACGCCGAATCCAAGATCGGACTGAAGACCTTGTTCAACCGCTTTCACTCCGAAACATGGTCGGCGTACATCAATATCTGCGGAGCAGTCATCGGATGGACTCGAGGCACTGGCTTGATGCGCTCGTCAAATGCACTATCGGCTGAAGTAGAGAAGATCGGAGTGATCACTTTCACGCAAGCTGAAATGGCGTTGAACATCCTGGCATTGCTAACGCCTAGTGTGACCATCCTTGCGGAAGAGGCGCCTGTGTATGCTGACCTGACTGGCGGACTGGGTTCCATGTGGAATATCAAAGAGCAGATAGCCTCCTGTCGGAGAAAGTTGGATAGTGAGCATCAGCTTCTGGTCGCTTTAATGCAAGAAGATGTTCATCACCAGGCTGCCATTCATGGCAAGCAGACGCGGCATCAACAAAGAGAACCGCTCATCAAGAGGAAGCGTGCTAATCTTGGAGTCGGATTTCCTTCTCTGACAAGTCATCACGACATGACCTCCGAGTTGCCTAACCTCCTGGGTATGGTAGACCTCTCACGCACTGTGGTGGTGGTCGGATTCTCGGAATTGGGGCCATGGGGGAACTCTCACACAAGGTGGGAGATGGAATCGCAAGGCCATTTCTCACTGGAGGGATACATCGAGATGGCTTGGATAATGGGACTTATAACACATGTTGATGGTGATCTGGAAGGCCAGCCGTATGTTGGCTGGATCGACGCAAAGTCGCGTCAGCCCATTCAGGACGAAGACATTCCGTCAAAATACAGCGAGAGTATCTTGAATGGCACCGGTCTGAGATTGATCGAACCCACCGACTTCGACGATTATGACCCATCGAAGAAGGAGTTCATGCAAGAAGTAGCCATCGAAGATGACCTTCCGCCCTTTGAAAGCTCGAAGTCGGCAGCCGAGGCCTTCAAATTGCGGCATGGTGACAAAGTGGCTATACAAGCCATTCCAGGAACTGAAGATTATCGGGTTTTTGTCAAGAAAGGGGCAACTTTGATGATTCCAAAAGTCATTCCTTTTGGTCAGACCGTCGGGGGACGTGTCCCAAGGGGGTGGGATCCTTTGCGGTACGGCATTCCTGACGACATCGTGCATCAAGTTGATCGAACGACTCTTTATGCGCTATGCTGCGTTGCGGAGGCGTTCCTGTCCGCCGGAATCAAGGATCCATACGAAGTTTACCAGCACATCCATCCATCAGAATTGACTAATTGCCTCGGTACCGGGGGTGGCCCTGGTAAAATCATTCAGTCTATGTATCGTGACCGTTATCTTGATCGTGCAGTACGAGGCGACATCATTCTTGATCATTTTCACAACACCATGGGTGCGTGGATCAACATGTTATTGTTGTCTGCAACTGGACCTCTTAAGACTCCAGTCGGTGCTTGTGCCACTGCCCTTGAGTCTCTGGATATAGGTTGCGAGACGATCATGGCAGGAAAATGCAAGATGGCTCTGGTTGGAGGATGTGATGATTATTGCGAAGAGGTGGCATACGAGTTCGCGAGCATCAAAGCCACAGCCAATAGCGCTGAAGAGCATGCCAAAGGTCGACTGCCAAGCGAGATTTCGCGACCGACGGCAAGTTCACGCAGCGGCTTTGCTGAGTCTGCTGGCTGCGGCATCCAGTTACTCGTCAGCGCCGACGTTGCGCTGAACATGGGCTTGCCGATCTATGGTGTGGTAGCCTACAACCAGCTTGCAAGTGATCAGATCGGCCGGTCAATACCGGCACCGGGCAAGGGCATTCTGACTGCGGCGCGCGAAAGGGTAGGAGCGCAAAGCTCACCATTACTCGACTTCGATTTTCGACGCTCAAACTTCGATGAAGAAGTGGCTTGCATCCAGAAGCATCATCTAGGCCAAAGCTCGACAAAGGACGATCCGCCGAGCAAAGATGCGGAGCTATGGCCTGGGCAAGCTGACATCGAGGGAAGCATGAATTTGAGAATTCGAGACGCGCAGCAGCGATGGGCGAATAATATTCGCCTGCAAGACCCCACGATCTCTCCCATGCGGGCAGCTTTGGCTACATGGGGCCTGAATATCGACGATATAGAAGTCGTGTCAATGCATGGAACATCAACCAAAGCCAATGAGATCAACGAGGGGGACGTGATTAACACTCAGATGCAACACATGGGTAGGCGTAAGGGCAACCCACTGCTCTGCGTCTGTCAAAAATCACTTACCGGTCATCCCAAGGCAGCTGCAGGTGCCTGGCAACTCAATGGCTGTATGCAAATGTTTCGAGACGGGATTGTTCCCGGCAATCGCAATGCCGATGACATCGATGAGCAATTGCGAAAATATGCGCATCTGGTATACCCAATGGAGTCAATTCCAGTTTCTGGGGTGAAAGCAACTATGCTCACATCGTTTGGCTTTGGCCAAAAAGGCGCGATCAACGTCATGGTTGCGCCAAGGTATCTGTTTGCGTCTGTTTCGTCCGATATCTTTGAGAGATATCGCACTCAGGTAACCAAACGACAGCGAGTAGCAAACAGAGAATATGTTTCACGGTTGATGAGGAATATGCTAGTTCAAGTCAAGACCAGTACACCGTGGAAGGACAGCGATGTCATGCGTGATGTTTTTCTCAACCAAAACAGTCGCCTCGCCAGAGACCAGTCTGGATTCATTGATGGCACCACGACAAGAGATCACAATGTCTCCGAAAGGAGTAATATCCATTTGGAGTCAGCGACCGAGAGGGCAAACACGGTATCAGCCACTGTCCAATCCATGGTTGAAGCCGTAACTCGACGTTCCAAGCCAACTTCATCAGTCACCATCGGAGTCGATGTCGAGGAGATTGCAAGCATCAACATCGAGAACGAGAACTTCATTGAGCGCAATTTCACGTGGAGAGAGCGCGAGTACTGTCAAAAGGCGCCGAGTCCCCGTGCTTCTTATGCGGGACGTTGGAGCGCTAAAGAAGCAGTCTTCAAGAGTCTGCAAACACCGTCCCGAGGAGCAGGAGCTGCAATGAATGAGATTGAGATTCTCAGTACGGAAGGTATGCTGAGCGTGATGGTTAGTCGTTCCGAACTATCGCTTGCTGTTGAGCAATACTGACCACTATCAGCTTCATGGCAACGCTCATGCTGTTGCTGCATCCAAGGGTATCAAAGACATTGAAGTAACAATTAGTCATACCTCAGATACCGTCGTTGCTGTGGCGCTGGCCACAGGGTAGGCTGGGGGAGTCCGCTATTGAACTGATACTTCGGCCATATCGGAAAGACGTGACACTCATGTTCAGATCACTCGCCCCTTTCTCTCGTTTTCACACCACTTCTTACTCCATATATGGGTCCGTGCATTGCGAGGCGCAGTTAGACAGGCCATCATCAGAGTCATGATCAATAGAGCAGCTGCTGTACCAAAGTGATAAAGATCCATACCCACTACGGCGGGTACTTAATACTTTTGTAGAACCCTTGTTAGTCCGCCTCGCCTGGTTCAGAACCTGGCATGATTGCAGTGCATTGAGCAGCTCAACAGATAGGGAATCGAGAGAAGATTAGATTAGCCAAAGTACGATGTAATGAAGAACGAGTCCCACCGAAGAAAGAGGTCCGTCATGAGGTTCTTTGTGGATAGAACAAGCCATGGAGGAAGTCGCGAGTGCGCGCCCGCGATTCCGCAAACATATGGAAGCGAAGCAGACTAGCCTTACTTGGGATGCCAAGACACCATCCAGCAGTGACGCCGGTGCTGACAAATCTGCCCATACATCGAAGAAGTGATGCTACATCAATTTCATGTCCATTCGTTCTTTCAACCATGAACCATCAGTATGTCGTCCACAGACTCGCCCCAAAGGGTTAAGCCCGGGTCCAGACCAAGGGGAAGGTACACAACCAAAGCCTGCGAGGAATGCCGTCAACGAAAAGCAAAAGTACATCCTCCTCCTGCCTGCCCCGATCAAGTCCCTGCTGACTAACACATCACAGTGCGATGGGAAGAAACCTCGCTGTTCGAGATGTGTTCAATGTGATGCTCAGTGTCAATATTCCGGTGCAGAAGATGGACGTCGACCGGCACCAAAGTCTTATGTGCTTCTTCTGCGACAGCGGATTGCGTCTCTTGAGAAGTTGCTCGAAAGCCATGGCATTGATCCTACGGCGGAACATATCTCCGAAACGAGCGATTCCCGGCCGAACTATGGCGGCGATAATCTGAAAGCTGTTGATATGAACTCAACTGCAGAGGACTTATGCGAGATTCTCAAAGGCCGTCTGTCCTTAGATGAGTCGTTGAATTTCGACCAGGACGGTGAGATGAGGTACTTCGGACCGACAAGCGGACGACTCCAGTTCCGGTCCCCTGGGCCTGACGAGAAGGATGAACTACAGAACGCGTACTCCGTTCCCGAGCTCGAGCCAGTACTGCAGAGCATTGATGAATTTCTCAACTTTCCTCTTTCGGACCCCACGTTCGAGGAAATGGGGATCTCCAGAGCGTGCCAGGACGAGCTAATCAATCTTTACTTCACCTGGGAGCAACCGTGGTATCCCATCGTGGATGAGACTCTCTTTCGAGATAGTATGGACAACCGTGGGCCGTATTGGAGTCCGCTCCTCCACTACTCTATCCTTGCGCTGGGCTCCCGCTTTACGGATAGTCTAGAGGTCCGGAGTGATCCGAATGACTCTAATACAGCCGGACAGCCGTTTTTCGAAAGGGCGAAGACTCTCTTGCATCAGGAAATGGAGCATCCGACATTTCTGACGATTCAGGCTTTGGGAGTGATCGGAATGGTCTATATCGTACGTATTTCGGTTACTGAACATTCTCGTGCTAATTTTCGAATCCAAAGGCTATGGGCTCAGACGCAGCGGGATGGTTACATCACGGGATGGCTAACAGGCTAAGTCTTGACATCGGCTTGAACATGGACCCCGTAGGCTTTGAAGGGACGACCACTATGACTCCCCGCGAACTTCGACTGAGACGGCAAGTGTATTGGACCTTGTACTGTCATGACAAAATGGCCGCCACTTATACGGGCCGGGTCTGCTCCATGCTCGTACGTGTAGCTGGGTAGGCCTCAAGGACAGACTTTCTAACAAGAACAGGACCAACAAGGGGCGGTTGACTTACCGTCAGAACTGAATGAAGATCAGCATACCAACAGCCAGACACCCGAAAATATCCAAAGAACCCTAATACCGTTGCAAAGAGCCATGATAACTCTCTGCCGTATCAAGGAAAGAATCTTATTATCACTGTAAGTTTGCTTGTTCGACAACCGGGTGCAATATGCTAACGAAGCAGATGGGCCCCGAGATATCTCTCCAAGCCCCACGAACGACTAAACCTGCTGCGAACCTGCCTCTTAGATCTCCGAACCTGGTTCTACGATCTACCACAGGGGCTCCGGATCGACCGCGCAAACGATGTTCCCCACGTCTACACCCTACATATGATCTACCACACCGCGAGGATCATTCTGACCCGACCATTCCTGGCCAACGCGGCCGAGAACCAATGCGCAGAGAGGCCGAGTGACCTCCTGAGTGTGGCCAAATCCGTCTGGCGCGAGTCCGCCACAGCCATCTGCCTTACGGGCCAGAAGTATCGCCGTGTTTTCCAGAGCTTTCACCGCAGTCCGATTTCCGCCATGCATTGCACGCTATGCGCCGCGGTGGCGCTGCTGGAGGACCAGGACATTCCCTCCAATGCCACTCACTTAGCGACTTGCGTGACTGTGTTGGACGAACTGTCCACATCCTGGCATCCGGCTCTGTATATTGGAAACAATCTACGGCGGCTGTGTCCGTCGATTTCCACACAGGTGACCCCACGGTCGGGTAGTAGTTCCGACAACAACTTCGATACGCAAAACATCACCATTGGGCCTGGGTCTATCGAGCCTTCCGCTCGGCGGGTTAATACCGAATGGCAGATACACAATGCAGGTGGGTTGGCCCCGTGGAGTCACCTGCCCGGTGACTACGGACTGTTCGACCTACTCAATCATACGACTTGGGATCGGCCGTGGTAGTAGAGCTGGTATTTCGATAAATTTAAGGGCACTCGACTATAAGATCTGCCAGAGTTATCAACGTATGGCCCAACAACTTTATCTCACATAACCTCCTAATATATATAGATGCCTGTCAGCAGATATTCCATAATCTAACAGTCGGTTTCCTTCGGAAAGGAGACATCAACGATCCAACAGTATCCAGACAACCCATACAGACGGGATAGAGCAAGCCCGGCTTCCACAGACTCAATTGATAGATATTTCACTGCTTACCCCTCATACATGGAATGATGGGCTTCGATATGCTCCCATAACTATAGACCCACTCCTGCGGGTACAGTACTAGCACCAATGACAGCGGGACCGGGGCACGCTACTGACGAGACGACCCAGTTAAATCGGCTGAAGCTATGCAGCAAATTTCCCGAGAGAGGATTAGCTTGATGCCCGTTGAATCAGGCATCAAATATGCCCATGTATCGCAATAGCTTCGTTTTAGATTGTGATAGCTACAGACACAGTCATGTTCTAGCACTGCTAATGAAATCATGGATGCATGTTAAAGGTTCCGACTGAGCAAAAATGTGCTTCTCAACGAAGGACTGAACAAGAAGATTGGTGAATACTATACTTTCAAAGATGCTTGCAAAGAGTGGATCTGCACTGAAGCAGTGCGCGCCATCACAGACGCGTTCTACTTACTCACGGTCTTCCCCAACCAGATCAATTCCGGACGTAGATAGAGAGGTCCCCGAAGAAGTCTTCCGGATCGCGCAATGAGACGGTCTGGTAGTGCGAGATCATTTCACAGACACGGTCCGAGTCGGGATCGGTGGCGAGGGGACTGAGACAGAATAGATCAGCCGGAAGATTCCCCAGGCAACAAGGCACACATAAACAAACGTACGTACCCCATCCAGAACTCCTCGCCATTCCTCAACCGTCGCTTCCACTGCTTCTTCTCCTCTTCCCCACACACAGTGTCCCAGACCATAGCGCCAGGCCATTGGATGTCGGCGACGATCTGCTTGACCGGCACGTTCGGGTTGACCGAGAACACCAGTGTGTGCTCGTCGATCTCGAGGAACCCTTTCGGGTCGTTGAGGGGGGTGAGTCCAATGCTTTGCAGGAAAAGGACATCGTTCTCGTCATACCATGGGTCCTGGACGTAGCAGTTGACCCTCCTACCTCCACTGATCCCACGGTTGGCCAGGACGGTCGCCATCGTCTCCACGGCAGCATGCTGGACGTGTGACCGCGTCGAGTAGTGTCCGTTCTGCGTCTTCGCCAGTGTCCCGAGCCCAAACGCAACGATCTTGTGGATGGGGGCTGAGAACTGCAAGGTCGAAAGATGGGACTCCAGTCCCCGACATGTCTCACTTTGCTGCCAATGTCCGCGCATCTTGAGAAATGCCGGACGCAGCACCTCGATGCTGCCTTCAGGGTGTTCTGGGTGCCTGGTGTAAAGAATGGACACGGGAGTCTTGTCTGAGAACATCATCGTGGCACCGGAAGGATGGATATAGGTGAGAAGCTGGATGCTGCTATATCCAATACAGTAGGTCGTTCTACCGCCGATTAGAGCATGGCCCTCATAACACAGCGACTTACATTGAATCGAGACTCACGCCAAATCCAAGCATAGAGCAGGAACAGTCAGGCTATACGTGCTCGACACGCCGTCGAGATCCTGGATCCGGATTTCGTCCCTTCCCTCTTCGATTTGCCGGTCGAGGTCTTCCAGCAGCGCACGGGGAAACAGCGGCTTCCCGGCATTGTACAGCCGTACCACATGCTCGAGACGGCCGAGGGTGTTTTCGTCAATGAAGGCATAGGCCAATTGCTCCGTCATTGTATCTTCTCCTGGGACTTCCTGGGGCGGGTCCCTGGCGATGTGGCCGGCGCAGGGAGTCAAGGTGGAGCTTGGCTGGAAGTCCGCCGTGGAAGCCATCGACAAGGCTGCCGAGAACAATGCCAATGTCTCTCAGCCTGGGGAAGCTGCTACCCATGACGCCCTTATATGTTTTTGGTGGGTTCGCCGTGAGGTTTTCTGCAGATGTCATGTTAGTCCACTAGCACGCGGTTGGCTGAAACAGTTTGCTACTCTCGCGGCCACACCAACTTGAAACGGTGCATGGTGATAGAGTCTCACCACTGTCAACTGCGGCCGAAGGGCTGTGTACCCGACTGCCAACTTGTTGGATATTTGCATCTTCGTGGCATGATTGGTGGGCTCGACTGAAAATTGTCCTATTAATATCACCTCAAGCGGACTTTTAGTCCTGCTTAGCCCGGAGTTGGTTGCTTCTGCGCAGGTTAAAAACCGGTTGGTTGGGCTTAGCGTATCGCTAAACTGAGGTATATTAGGGATATTTTTAACCCGCAGGACGTCGCATGCGGGTTGACCAGGATGCAAATTAGTGGTATTTATTTTGGGCGATGGGACTTGACGTGCATGAACTGCAGACCCCTCCGAGCTAACCTCCGCGTCCACTGTTATAGTACCGTTGCAGTGCTTCATGCCCTTTTTCGCCTAGCCGCAAGCTGCTAATTCAGTTCCAACAGACAACGATCCTCCGACTGGAATCCAACCAAGCTAGAATGAAGATCGATATTAACCAGGATTGAAAGCAGGTTAGATGGACAGCCAACAAATGCTAGCTAATTCCTACTCTCATACAACTCCTTGCCGCGATGATGGAACAGCAAGGGACTGCACTAAAAGTTCTCCAGCCCTCCAACACTCTGACTCTGACCCCACATAATCTCTTTTCTCAGCCCGTCACTCAATGGTATTCTCACGTCAAATGATGGGTACTTTCCCAAACAGACGCTCAGGAATACCGTGGCTCGTCTAAAAAGTAAAAAGAAAAAGCCCAGATTGCGATATAGATACTGTTGCTATCGCAGAAAGGTACGCTCTTCTAGGAGGGCCCCATACAGTCACAATTCTGATCAGGCGCTATATGCGCATATGTCACTGCATTGACAGGCATAGTCTTGATCCACTATGATACATCTACCGTCCTCGAACGCAGACCGACCGCCGTCATGCTCGACAAGCCGCTCCAAGCAGTGGTGCCCCGCTTCACGTTCAGGTAGCTAGATCTTCACCTCCGACACCGAATCTGATCCTGCATTCACTGCCTAGGTATTGTATATTGGTACCCGTGAGCAACGGCACATGAAGGCATAAATGCTGAAGACGATGTTCGAGCAGTTTCCACTAGGATAAATGGCTGGTCCCGGTCGTGGTTGTAGACTGTGACGAGACTGGCTGATCACTGCCATCTGACTGCAAGTACTCATTCATTGACAAGGGAAGGGAGCTGGGCAATCCCCAGCTCCCATTCATGCTACTATTAAACCAAGCCAAGAATCCTCTCAGAGGCCAAGAAAGATGCTGCTAATTGCCTAGTGCACACAATCGGTACCACCCTTCCCTTCCCTTGAGATGCAACCTGCCCAGGAACTATCCAGTACCGGGACCAGCACAACTACCCAAAGCTACAAAGACCATGTCACGAAGACCGGAGTCGTACGGCGCTTCCCTACTTCCGCACACTCCTTATAAGACTACAACATTTCCTCCTGTATCATGATGACATCTGCACCTGAAACGAGAAGCCAAACAAGCAAGACTAGATTCTGACAAGCGAAGAAGGGCTCACAACAATAATTCCTCACCCACATGCTATCACTCCCATCAGAGCAAGAAGCCTACAACCTAACATGCAAGTCATCACGACTCATAGGCTGACTTCTCCTCGTAGAAAGATTCTCTTGCCTTACGGCCATACCCTTCCAAACATCAACCCCAGACCCTCCCAGGCGTCAACCCTATACTATCCCAGAAGTATCAATCCCATACCCTTCTAAACATCAATATCATACTCTCAGTACACCAACCCCGTACTTATCCAGAAACATCAACCCCATACAAATCCATAACATCAATCCAAACACTCCAAAAACATCAATATTATACCCCACACCCCCACCCTCAAGTCCTCACCCTCCCCCCTTCCTCCCAAGTCGGTCACCAACCCGGACACCAACCCAGATAGCAACACCTTGACCAAGCCCCATCACATGACGCCGATATGACGCCTTCCCTTTCGGAGGCCAACAAAAAAGAGAAATTGCCGCGACTGGGACACGAATCCAGAATCTGCACTCCACCCGGTAGGTATAAGACCCCCGGGGGCTCTGCAATGTTAATACCACTACACCACCGCGGCCATGTTGTTGGAGACAGCAGCGATGAAGCAGCCCAAAGACCCTGGACCCACTTTCCGTCCGGCTGATGCCTTAGACTTCAGGCATTCATGCTATGTTTAGAGTGCACTTATGCCACCAATATATGCGGGGGTTAAGATCGATCGTTCTGTATTCGTTTATCAAGATATGAGTCTAGACGTGAAAAATAGTTATTCGAGACTTTGAGTCGAAGGGGCAAAACAAAGCACAACTACGGACCCCCCAACCGCTGCATCCTCACCATCGCCCAATACACCCCGCGCCGCGCCAGTAACTCCGCGTGCGCCCCGCGCTCCACCTCCTTCCCGTGCTCCAGCACCACGATCACATCCGCCCGCTGCACCGTCCGTAGCCGGTGCGCGACCGCCACCGTCGTGCGTTCCGCGCTGGCCCGGTCCAGCGCCTCCAGCACCACTCTCTCTGACGGCCCGTCCAGCGCCGAGGTCGCCTCGTCCAGCAGCAGGACCGGACTGCTCGTTCGGAGGAGAGCCCGCGCGAGCGCGAGACGCTGTTTCTGGCCGCCGCTGAGCATGGTTCCTGCCGTGCCGATGCGGGTGTTCAGGCCATCACTGTGGAGGTCCCTTCGTTAGCATATGGAATTGTTTCCGACGCTTCAAGTGAGATATCAGTGGGAGGCTGGGGCTTGGGGATGACGTACGGAAGTGAGACGACGAAATCGTAAATATTTGCCTCCTTGCATACTTGGATCAGCTCGTCGTCGGGTATGGGTCTGCCGGCGCCGCAGAGGAGGAGATTCTCTCGGATCGTTCCGTCGTAGAGAGTGGGTTCCTGGCTGACCAGCGAGAAGGCCTTTCGGTAATCGTTGACGTTCAGACCGGATATGTCCACCCCGTTCAGCAGGATCTGACCGGCTGTGGGGCTATAGAAGCGCTCGAGCAGTTGGAGGATAGTGGTTTTGCCGGAGCCGCTGGGCCCGACGAGCGCGATAAATTGGCCGGGTCGGATTGTGAGCGAGAAGTTCTGTAGGACGGGGTGCGAAGGGCGAGAGGGATAATGGAAGGTGACATTCCGGAACTCGATTGTGACAGGGTCCGCCGTGCTTTGGGAAATGGATTGTTGATCAGAGGTCTCCTCCCATGTGTCGATGCTTGGTGTACGATTGAACAGGGTGTGAATCTCTTGACCTGCGTGCAGCGCTTTGCTCATGTCCGGGGCGTAGGAGACGACTGCGCCGGCAATCTGGGCGCCCGATATTAACGCCCCAAAACAGATATAGAATTGAAGGATGGTGTATTCGTCCTTTGCGAGGAGTATGCCGCCGTACCAGAAGGCTAGGGCGCCGCAGAAGAAGGTGAACGAGTGGGACGCCGCGTACAACGCGGATGCTTTGAGAATTGAGCGCATGGACCGAGCGGCTCCACGGGATAAGATGGCCGTATACTCGTCGAGAAAGTGTTGCTCGAGGGTCAGAGATGCGACCGATCGGATGGTCGATATGATCTCCGTCGCGTAGATCGCAGCCTCTTGGTGAGTCTTACGCACTCGCTGATCGAATAGCGCGAGCACTCGGAGACGGACGTAGCCGCATCCTGCCACTATTGGAATAGTGGAGGTGCAGACGAGAGCAAGTTTCCAGCCAGCGATGAGGGAGACGGTAATGCCGATCACCAGTGTTGCAATGAAGGTGAGGCTAGAGCCGATGATTGGCCCACTAAGCCCGGTAATGTCGGTGGCTGTGGTCTCGATAAAGGACGTCAGGGCTCCAGGGGAGTTTCTCTTCTCATCGAAGAAGGCTATGTCTTGGCGAATGATGGATCGGAAGGCCTGGTGTCGGGTCTTGTGCGTGAGTCGTTCGGTGGAGCGGGAGAAGCAGAGCCCTTGGCTTATCCATGTGATGAGGGCGAGAACAGCAAGGATCAGAAACATCAACGACCAAAAGTTGATGTCATGGCGAAGTTTGAGATACTGTGTAGATCGGAGAGTTAATGCGTTGATTGACTCGGCGAAGAAAACGGCTTGCCTGTTAAATGTTAGTCGGTCTCAATAGACAGGCGTCACCCACTTACGTTGGGATGATGAATCCAGTCAAAATACATAGCACAAGGCCAATGATTATTATCAAACCTTCCTCTCGGTTCAGCTTACTCACAACTTGAAAGTAGGTTTTGAACGAAGGATTGGTATCTGGAAGGAGCCCGTGATCATCAAGGGTCTTTTTGTCGTAATCAGAGCTGGCTGTTTCGGAGGAGTGAACAAGTCCAGTCTGATCATTCGCCGTGCCCTCCGTGCTTGACAGGCCTTGGATTGCCCCCCCTTCCGTAGTCCTGTCAATCTGCTGCGCTTCCACGAGACGTGAATAGACGCCTCCCAGAGCCATCAGCTCTTCATGTGCCCCTTGCTCAAGGACGGATCCATTATCCATGACAACAATATTGTCGGCGTTGCGTATAGTTGACAGCCTATGGGCAACCACGATAGTCGTCCGATCCTTGGCAGCAGAGTCCAGAGCCAGCTGGACTGCTTTTTCCGACTTTGAGTCAAGGGCAGACGTAGCTTCATCCAACAGTAGGATCTTTGGGTTACTGATGACTGCCCTGGCAATGCATATGCGTTGTCGCTGACCGCCTGACAGTTGCAGTCCTTTCGTGCCCACTTCGGTATGATACCCTTGCGGCAGAGCCATGATGAAGTCGTGAGCGTGTGCGACTTTCGCAGCTGCATGCACCAGCTCTCTTGCTTCAAGCATAGTCCTGTGTGTATCGAGATCGTTCAGTCCTAGCAGGATATTCTCGAAGATGCTTCTGTTAAACAGAACCGGCTCTTGCACAACATATGACATCTGCTGTCGCAGCCAATGTAGGTTGAGGTGCGCAATGTCCACACCATCCAGAGCTGTACACGGATTAGGCCATTGCTAAGACGAATTTTACAGGGTGAAACTCACTGATATGGCCACCAGTCGGTGCATAGAAGCGTTCCAAAAGCCCGATGATACTGCTTTTCCCCGAGCCAGATGCTCCAACAAGAGCCGTGGTCTTGTTCGCTGGAAAGCGCAAAGATACCTGGTTAAGAACCTCTACTGTCTGCCGTGACGGGTATACCAGGCTGACATCATGGAGTTCAACATCTCCGCGTATGTCTGATAAGCGTTCTCCCTCTTCGGAAAGTGGGTCAAGAGGAGACTGGCGAGCAATGGCCTTCAGAATGACGCTGGAGTGTACTATGCTCTTCACAAAAGACTCAGCACTGGGTGCAACCCGCCCAACAGCGAAGGAGCCGACAATGATGGCCATGGTCGTTATAACCACAGCTGATGCACTCATCTCCCCTGTAACAACATAGCGAGATCCTTGCCAGAAGGCCAGCGCGTAGCTGAGATATGGAACCGAGTTCATGGTCCCGATCATAAAAGTCACCGATCGCCGTGCTTTAAGACCCCATGTCTCCCCTTTGTCAATATATTTCAAATATCGCTCGCGCATAGCATCTTGTATCCCGTACGCAGAGACATGGCGGATAGAGCTCATGGTTTCTTCCACCACGGACGCCCCTTGGTTCAGAGCCTCTGAGCTCCGTCTACTGAATTTCACAGCATACAGCGCGCCGAGAAACTCAGCGCCTCCAAGCAAGAAGGAGGTGGATATGAGGATCAAGGCCAACCTCCAATACTCATAGAAAGCAATCACCACTGCCGAGATGAAGGTAGCCAAAGCCGTCAAAAAAGTTGAGATCTTGCTTGTGATGCCTTCCTGAATAATATTCATATCCGAAGTGATGCGTGCTGTCACCTCCCCAGGGCTTAGTGTGTCGAAGAAGGCAATGTTCTGCCGGATGATCGCCTTCAAATATGCACGGCGCAGGTTTCTGGTGATGCGCTCCCCTGAATGATAGAAGCCTACTGTTGCCATGTAGATGAGCACAAACTCGGCCAGCCCAAGGTAAACGTTGAACAGAGCGAGCTTGGAGACATTGGAGGATAGGCTAGAGCTATCATCCTCGCCGTTCGCGTGTTTCTGGAAAGATCGGACCACGAGACCGTAGATGACGGTGAGCAACGGGTTGAGTGCACCAGCGAGTATGGCCGAAAGAGTACTGAGCACAATCAGAAGCATATCGAATCGTCCCACGTAGTCGAACACCGTACCCTTCGCAGAGGATGTGGATGGTAATCCGTCCAGTTGGTGTTGCAATATGCTCTGCGTGCCTTCGTCTAGACCATGCTTCCTAGGACTGTCGCTTGGCTGTGACTCACTGGTTGACATTTTGTATGGGGGTGTTCCTTGCTCCCGGTCCTTGATACAGACAACCTCACCACTCCGACGCTGAAAATAATGCAAGTAGAAACGTCAAGCAAGCCCATGGTCGTGTCTTATCTATCATATAGCAGAGGATAAAAGCTAAGGGCAGCATGATAGACTAACCCGAAATTGTCCCCGCTGCGCTGAGTCACAGTCAGTATTCTTTAGCGATATTATCTGCATGGAACGGCTAGCTTAGGCCGATGCCGAAGCCGAAGCCGGGCGTTTCTGACACCAAGCCGTCGAGCTTCTGCAAGACAAGCTGTAGCACAGAATTATTCTCCCTGTGCTATCTTCTACTTTACTTCTTGAGTCAGTGGTTAGCTTCTTACACGTGTGATTGATGGAGATCGTCCAAGCTTTGAGTGGAGCTACTCGGGGATTTATAGTTGGGCGCCGCAAGCTTCTAGTCACTGGCCAATTCCAGAAGACTAAAATGATAGCCAGCGCCGCGATTTTGATTCCTTCTTGGTGAAAGGGAAAATGAACAAAATACAGGGTATACCATCACATAGATCAAATGCCTTGATGTTAACTGTTGACTCAGAGTCCGCGGAGGTTCTCCCCGGGAGGACGTCTTATATCTCTGATGTAAGATTGAGGTGGGCTGGGAAGCTGAAAGGAAAGGGGGTTCCGGGGGTTCTCCCCCGGAACGCTTTATATTATATGTGTTGCCGGACCGAGTACTCTGATTGCACTAAGAATCGTGGGATTCATGGGTTATCGAGTCTGTCGCGTAGGGGACAGATGGTTCTCTGATGAGAATCACTTCGCATGGTCTCGGAAGAACAGCAACGCTACAGGCGCAGTAAGTCAGCCAGATCCGGGTTTGTCCTGGCAATCGCTGCATTCGCGCTGGCTATGTTATCCCTTTGCAGAGCCAGAGCCTTCAACTTGGCACCCAGCATTCCCACCCCGGAATCAAGCCAGAAATCAAGTAATCCGGACTGTCAGATTACGCAGGCGAGATCAAGGCCATCCCTTGCGTGGCTCTGGTGGGTGTGAAATCACGTGCCTCACACATGGGCCGATCGCATTCCCCGTTCGATCAGAGGTAAACCGGGGTCAAGTCAATGGGGTCAACTGCGCCCTGATCAGATCGGATCAACTCGCGAGCCTCACGGAGGGAATGAGGGGGATTCCGGGTGAAGAGGGCCATGACAACCACTACCATGGAACCGTAATATGGGGTGATCGCCGTGGCAGCCACCGACCGAGAGACTAGGCTGGTCTGGTTGCATCAGCCCATGCAGCGAGCGAGGGGCTGACGGATGGAGGCTGGGAGACATCGGGCCGTCATCTGGCCTGTGATTCAGATCTGCTGGTGATGTACTCGTGTCTGGAGTGTCAGTCTGGTATTGAATCGGCTGTTCTGGATACTGCAGATGAAGCAAAACAATGACAACAATACAATACAACCACCATGAAGAAAGTCCGACGATCGATGCGGCGGTGAGGAAAAGGCGGGCGGCGGGCAAGACTAGCCGGATTGGGTGGGGATTGTTTTGTTCTCCCAACTTGGAAAACATTCAGAAGTTCAATTCATTCATTCTACAGTATCTTTCTGAAGTTCTTTAATTATGCAGTCACTGCTGCCGACAACGAGGTACTGACTACTACTTGACTACGGTACACTACTACTACTTCCACTATCTCCACTCACCCCCATCCCACACGAATTCTCTTTTTCTTTTCGCCTCGCCTCGCTTATCTCTCCTCTTCCTCTTGCCTCACCCCTGACGGCTATCCTGCGATCCGTGGCCGGCTGGTGCCATCATGCTTCAGATCTTCCAGGAGCATCGCAATGCCATAAGTCGCCCGCCTTTCCCCTCGTCCCTCGATCGCCGCTACAATGACCTCCGATAAACAATCCCACGGCCACCTCGCCAAACCATTAACCCCCGCCCTCAGTGCAGCCTTCCACCGCACCCAAACCAAATCTCCTTTGACCCCTCGATTAGCCACGCCCGCCGGATACCGCACCCCTAACCGGTCGACCCCCTCCGAGCATCCCTCCTCGGCTCCTGGCCGGCGGGACCCGGAGCCCTCTCTCCTCAGTGCCAACGTCACCCCTCGATCCGGTTCCCGCACCAGCAGACGAGATGCTACGGCCTCGCCGAGCAATACCCCCTCGAATGGGACGCATTCGCTGCATGTGTCCTGGGCACAACCCAGCCTGGCTCAGGGGCGGTTCCGCACGGAGCGGAGTCCAGTCCGGGGAGGCATGCTGGAGCCCCCCAAAGTTGCCCGACCCAAATCAGTGGCAATAGAGTCCAACCATCTCGCACGACCTAATATCTCCTCCGAAAATGCTTCCGCCTCTCCCATGTTCTTCCACGCCAGTGATGCCCGATCGACAGTGTCGTCATCCGAACCGGATAGTCGGCCCAAGCTGGCGGCCAAGTCGGCCTCCGCGACCACATTCGTCTACGCAAACGGACAAGAGGAGCGACCGGCCCCGATGAGTGACATCGGCGCAGGACCCGCCTCGTATAAACGTCGATCGCTGTCACGGTCGGTGGTCTCCTCCAAGCCCGCCTCGCCCTCGCCGCGACTGCGACCCGCCCGGGTGAACTCGAACCCGCGTTTCTCCGATGGCGCGCCATCTCAAGTCGGCTCGCAGCTGGAAGAGCCCCTGGAACCCAGTGTACATCCTCAAAGCCCGCCGTTGAGCACCGTCTCCGCCCGACCCATTCCCGCCGTGCGTCACCTCAAGTCGTCCAGCGTCGACTCGGCCAGCAATGGCGGCCCGCCTACAATGCCTCACCCCCACAAGGAGGGCCTCCGACCCAGCCCCCTGATCATCTCTCCCTCCGAGCCCAAGCTCGATATCAGCACGATAGCCACCGATCCGCTGCCAGGTCTTCGACCTCGGGTCTTCAGCAACGGGTCGATAGCGTCGGTGGACACGCACGGCTCCGGGATGCAGAGCCCGTCGAAGTCGGAAAGCGGCGGGCCAGCGTGCAACGGGGTGGCCCTGAACGCGCGCACGGAGCGCAAGATCCTGGACCTGGAGATCAGCAACTCGTCGCTGCTCGCCATCAACCGAACCCTGGAGCGCGAGATGCGCAAGCAGAACGCAGAATTGCGGCGCTACCGCCGCCTGAGCCGATCCGGCCGGCTATCCATGGCCCAGTCCTCCCGCTCGGTGTCCGCCACGCTCTCCGTCCACAGCGAGGTCGACGAAGCCCCCAGCGAGCGCTCGTCCGTCCGCTCGTCGCCGGAGGAGCTGTCGGACCTGAGCGACGGCGAGGACTCGATGGTCGACTCGAGCGTGCTGAGCCCGGCCGACTCGCAGACGGACCCAGACGCGGGCCATCGCACGCGCGACGAGAAGCGGTTCCTGCTCGACCTGGCGAAGCACCAGGAGCTGCTGGCCGACAGCCAGCGCATGAACCAGAGCCTCAAACGCTGCCTGGGCTGGACCGAGGAGCTCATCAAGGAGGGCCAGCGCGCGCTGGAGTACCGCGTCCACATCAGCGACGTGCAGCTGGGCGGCCGCGTGCTCGCCCCCGAGGACCTGCACGACCCCCACGACCCGCACTACGTCGTGCCCGCGCCCGCCAGTCCCGGCTCGTCCGCCGCCTCGTCGGACGACACGGCCTCGGACCACGAGCTCTCGGACGACGAGGCATTCGACCAGCCCTCTCCCGACGCGCCGCCTGTCTAGCATCGTCTCCCTCATCTAATACCTAATTCTCGCGATCTCCGCGGCGAGCCCCGCACACCGACTGAAGCTGGCTTCTGGTCGCTCTCATTTGTTGTTCCAGCGATAGCGATAGATTTCTGCTCTGTTCTTCTGGTACTGTTACTGTTACTGTTACTAGATACCCTACCTCGCGTTTAGACTTGCATCCATAGAATTCACCTCCCACCACCCTCCCGCCCTCTCAAACCACAAATATATCAAGCGTTCTGGGGGAGAACCCCCAGACCCCCCTTTCCTTTCAACTTCCCAGCTAAACTCACTCTTAAACCAAAGGAGACATAAAGACCACCAGGCTATAAAGCGCTCTGGGGGAGAACCCCCAGACCCCCCTTTCCCTTCAGCTTCCTGGTATCTCGACCCTCTCAAACCAGAGATATAAAGTATCATGGGGGAGAACCCCCAGACCCCCCTTCCTTTCAGCTCCCTGGCCTACCTAACCGTCAAGCACAGAAATATGATATAATCAGGGGAGACACCAAGACCCTCTTTCATCCCAGAAAACCACAAGATAATCAAACAGGATGCCCATCCCCCACCTGCCCAGGCGACGTATAATTCCCAAGACACGCCCTGTCCCACTCCGCGACCCTCACCATCTCCTCCACACCCCCAAGAAACCCCTTAACCCGACACATCCCATGGCCCCCATCGTTCCCACCCTCGCACCCACTCACCCCCTCCAGCGGAACAGGCTTCCCATTCAGCACAAACCGCAGCCACTCCTCCGTCTCAACCCCACTCCCGCTCAAATCGGGATTCTCATACATCGTCTCCCCACCCAACACCACCCGATCCATATCCGAAGGACAAGAATAGACTTCAGCCACAAAATGCGCGCCAAACGGCGCAATCTCCCCCAACTTGAACCTCCGTGCCGGCGGCTCGCGCACATCACGCGGTAAGCCCTTCCCACCCGGGAAAGTGAAATACTGCATGCCCAGGGCAGTGAGGACGGAGACGATGACGTCGTCGTGCGACATGTCCATGTAGAGCGGCTGGTGGACGGGGAAGGTAGCGGGGTTGGCGTCGAGGGTCAGGTTGATGTTTGCGGACTGCGTGGAGGGGAGCGTGTGGTTGAGGCGGGCGGCGAGCTCGAGGACCCAGCCTAGGCCCTGGGCGCGGCCGGACGGCGAGCCTGGTCCGTAGTCGCCGTAGAATTGGAGGTCCAGCGTGTATCCGTACGCGGACCACTGGTCTTCGGTGAAGAGGGGGCAGAAATTGGAGGAGCCGAGGACGGCGGTTTCGTAGGGGCACATGTTTATGAGGCCTAGGATGTCGATTGGTTCTAGGGTTGCGGTTAAGGTTTTGGGAAGGTGGGGGGCTAGAGTTGTGAGGACTTCGGGGAAGGTGTTGTTTAGGAAGGTTTTTGCGGCGTTGTCTCTGTTTCTCTGTTAGATTGCTGTAGTAAAAAGAAGGGGGGTCCGGGGGTTCTCCCCGGAACAATTTATATCTGTGTTCTTGGGATTGAGTGTAGCCAGGAAGCTGAAAGAAAGGGGGGTCCGGGGGTTCTCCCCCGGGAACACTTATTCTAGTATTATAGAATTGAGGTTGCCAGGAAGCTGAAGGAAAGGGGGGGCCGGGGGTTCTTCCCCGGGACGCTATATCTCTGGTGCTTTAAGGGTAGGGGTGGGGGGGCGTACCCTATGGACCAGTCAGTGTTTGGACAGGTGGCGGCAAGGGTGTTATTGTAGCCGGCGGACTCGGGGATGACGACGAGGTCGTATTCACTGGCGGAGCTGTTGGCATTGGTGCTACTGAAGAAGCCGCCTAGACTCTGTCAGTATGTGCATGAGACGGGGTACTGCGCTGGGGGAGGGACGTACTGAGCCACCAGCGGGCGCTCTCGAGGATGCGGGCCTGGTCGGTGGAGCGGAAGACGGGCTTGGGCCGCTGGGTGCCGTTGGGATAGACGTTTAGCGAGGGGTCCCAGCTGGCGAGGCCGGCGGGGGCGCGGAACAGCGGGCGACCGTACTTGTTCCAGAAGTGGGCGCCGGAGGTCGCCTCGGTGGCTGCGCCTGAGGGCAGCAGCAGCTCGGTGCCCATGAGGTATTTCCAGTCGTTCAGGAAGGCCAGCGGGCCGGTGCCCAGCGAGACGTTGGGGTACTGCAGCCGGTGGTTGTGCAGCTTTTGCGCGAAGCCCTCCATGCTGCCGGCGTCGAGCGGGTACGCGGTGGGATATCGCTGCGCGTGGCGGTGCAGGATGTGCACCTGCGACAGTTCGCAGCCGAGCGGCACGCCGGTCGACACGTTGAAGCCGGAGGCATCTTTGTAGGGTCGCAGATTGCCCCAGTAGGCTGTGATGTCGAAGCCGGGGGGCAGGAAGCCGGTGGGTGCGGAGGCTGCGCTGGATGCGCTGGGGAGGGCTGCGGCGGTGGCGCCCAAGGTGACTAGGACCACCTGGGTGGAGAGCAGCATCGAGGACGGAAAGAGGTTGAGGGTGACGAGAAAGAGACAGACGAAAATGAGCAGGGAGAAGCGGGACGCACGAAGACGCAGCCGGGGAAGAGTCATATTGCACAGAGCGGGAGAGTTAGGGTTATATATTGCAGGTCGTCATTGAGCGGTTGGCGCAAGAGGGACGATCAACGGGGCCAATGTCGGACAAAAGATGCGGACTCCGTCGTATCAAGGGAGAACCTGGTTACATTCCAGCTAGATGACAGCCGTGGAGCCTAGCAAAGGGATTAACCCAACAAGGTAGCTGGTCGCGTGCGGGGACCTTGATAGGGTCTGAGTTCTCAAACTCGGACTAGTTGCAGTTTAAGGGCTCAAACCATGCCTTCTGAGCGGCAGAAAGAGAGAAAAAGCTTATCAAGCGGGAGCAAGACACAGACGGGGCTGGCCGACATCGGGAGGCTGGGGAAAGCTGAAGCCACAATAATGCAATAATCTTACCATGCAGGTGGTACAAGCAAATCAATCTATTATAATCCATCTAAGTATGGGTCACATTATCGGTGCGCGTGGAAGAATCAAACACCAGTCGCTACAGAGAAACATCCCATATCCAATGAAGTATCCAGTGCGAGCCCGACGGCCATCTACTGGAGCAGAATCAATACACAATCGCATTAGAACTAAGCAGCGGTGGCTTCCGCCTCCTCCTCATGGTGATGGTGGTGGTGGCCGTGCTTGCCCTTCTTCTTCTTCTCATCTTTGCCCTTCTTCGTCATCGACTCGGCCATCAACTGCTCGAACGCCATGAAATCACCCTCCTCCTCGGGGTCGCGTTCAGCCTGTAGATTGAGTTAGCATCCCTAGTACCCGCAGTAGGTGAACCGGAGTCAGAGCACTCACCTTGGAGTAGATGTTGCCCGCAATCACCAAAGCGTGGGCGCGCTCGACCCGCTTGTCGAGCTTGACGCGCTTGTCGCCGAGTACTTGGTCGCAGACATCGCGCAGCACACTCTGGATCTCGAACTTGCTGCCCCGCCAGGCGGCCGCCAGGATCTTACCTGTCACCTTCTTCTCGTACTCGGCCTTCTTCTCGTCCGTCCAGTCCTCGCCGCCGCGCTCCTCCAGCTTGGCCATCTCCTCCATCGTCATCTGCGCGTCGATGGCGGTCGAGATGGTCGTCCAGGTCTCCTTGGCGAGAGTGCCCTTGTCCTTCAGCCGCGAGAAGAAGCCGGAAATGCCCAGGAACTTCTGCGATTTGAGAAACGAGGTGGCCTTCTGCACGTAGGTGGCGCCGATGGCGTGCAGGATCTCCAGGCCGAACGACTCCATCTTCAGGTTCTCCACCTCCAGGCGGATCTTCTCCTCGAAGGCGCGGGTGACATCCGCGCCCTTGTCGGTTTCCGTCCACACGCTGATCTTGTCGATCAGCTTGGTGGCCAGGGTGCTGACGCGCTCCTCGCGCGCCTTCTTGCGTTCCAGCTCGTAGGCGGCCAACCGCTCTTGTTGTTCCTTCGACAATCCCTTCTTCTTCTCCTTCTTGCGCAGCTCCTTCTCCTCCTGAGACAGACCAGCTGCCTCCATGCGCGCCTCCTCCTCGGACTTATCCATGATGGCCTGCTGGCCCAAACGGCGGGGCGTGCTCGCTCCGGAGCTGGAGGTGGTTGCGGCGGCAGGCTTCTCAGCCGCAGGCTTCTCGGATGCGGCGGCGGTGGTCTCGGTGGCGGTGGGTGTCGTGCCCTCGGCGGAGGCGCGAGCGGCTTGCTCCTCATCGTGGATGTTGAGCTTCTCCTCGGCGGACGCGGCCAATTCCTCCTCCTCCATCTGTTGCATGGTGATGTCCATCGTCGCGGTCAGATCCTTCATCAGCGAGATCTCACCGATGAGATCGACGAACGCGCTGCCACCGAAGATCATGCTGAAGAACTCCGCCGGATCCTCTGAAGGCGACAGTCAGCGATACCCCTATATGATGTCTCATGCTCTTACCGAAACCGCCACCCGGAACGGCATCCTCCTTTCCAAACTTATCGTAGCGTTTGCGTAGCTCTTCATCGCTGAGAACTTGGTAGGCTTCTCCGATCTAGCCAGTCCGGCCAGCGTTAGCATCTGACAGTTTGTTGTTGGGACATCTCACTCACCGCCTGGAAGCGCGCATGTGCAGTCTCATCGCCGGGGTTCTTATCTGGCAAAGGGTCAGTTCGCTCAAGGGCCAACACGGCCGGGCCAGGCGGACGAACCAGGGTGGGTGACGATAGCCAACTTCCGGTAGGCTTTCTTGATCTCCAGCTCGGTCGCGGTGGGAGGGACGCCCAGGGCGTCGTAGTATGTGGTGTCAACAACCATGGTGGGTGGCTGGAGCAGAGCTTTTACCCGACCACGCGAGGGATGAAGATGATATGACTATCGCTCGGGCTGCAGCAATCACAGCCTGGAGAGGAAGCAGATGCAGTGGTGAGATAAAGGAGACTGCAGAAAGCGGTGATAAGTACCGCAGAAGAGTGTTCTTTGGGTAGAAGAACCACTCGTCGAAGTTGTATTCTCACTCGGGTTGTTTTTGGTTGCCTTGCGACGACTCTTTCGTCATGGCGGGGAGATGTTTTTTTGGGAGCCGATGCTGCCAAGTACTGTCACGTATGGTCATTTTGATCCGCTTGCTGCCAAGACTGGTGGTAAAAAAGGTAAATACCGGGTCACGATGTCCGGGGTCGAGCCGGAGCCAATCAGAGGCGTGGATTGCAACGCTCTCCTCTTCGGCGCGGGAAAAATGAATTGCCTCGTTTTGATTTTCTCCTCTTCCAGTTTTCGCTTCTCACAGCTTGCCTTTTCTTCCACCACTGGCATTTTCTCTTTTCCCTTCTTCCCCTTCCTCTTCTCCATCTTTCTCTCTCACTCTCTCACTCTCTCCTCCCTCCCCTCCCCCTTTACACCTCATATTAATTCCCTCTCTCCATCCTCCCCTCTACCCTCTGTTTTCCTCTGTCCTCTTCTATCCTCTCCTTCTTACGCTACCTGCTACCTCTTACTTCACATCCCCTTCGCTACTGAGGCCATTTGCTCATAGTTACCTGTACACTATTCCACTTCAGTCCACTGAATCTCCGTTGACTCGGTTGTTCAGCTCCTGTCTACCCTGCATCTGCATTGCCCTATAATAATCTGCTTGTTTTTCTGGCCTCTGGTCGTAATCACGTGCTGTGTTCACAATGGGTCTCGCGTCCAACATCTTCTACTACACCTTTCACCCCTCAGAACTGAGGTCGATAGTGCAATGGTTAGTACTGGCTCACGTCCTCGAGCGGTGATGGGTCGTGTGTTTGTGCCAACGCTTACGAAGGGGTCCGTGCCCGTGGTCATAGGAAAGTCTGGCACTCACCCGTTCACGAACGCAATGAGAAGGACGAAACCGAAACCCAGAAGGCCTGCTTCAAGTTCCTCGACTTGACCAGTCGCAGTTTCAGCGCCGTCATCAAGGAGTTACACCCCGAGCTGCTGCTGCCGGTCTGCGTGTTCTACCTGGCCCTGCGTGGGCTGGACACCATCGAGGACGACACGTCGATTCCCCTGGAGACCAAAGAACCGCTGCTGCGGGGCTTCAAGGATTTCCTCGAGCAGGATGGCTGGACGTTCACCGGCAACCGCCCCGAGGAGAAGGACCGTGAGCTGCTGGTTCAGTTTCACAACGTCATCGCTGAGTACAAGAACATGAAGCCGGCCTACCAGGCGATCGTCAAGGACATCACCGATAAAATGGGCAACGGCATGGCGGACTATTGCCGAAAGGCGGAGTTCGAGGACACCAGTGTCACGACCACGGCCGAGTACGATGAATACTGCTGGTACGTGGCGGGGCTGGTCGGCGAGGGCTTGACGCGGCTGTTCGTCGAGGCTGAGTTCGCCAACCCGGCCTTGTTGGAGCGCACGCGTCTGCACAGGTCCATGGGTCTTGTCCTGCAGAAGACGAACATCATCCGCGACGTCCGAGAGGACAACGACGACAATCGGCGCTTCTGGCCCAAAGAAATTTGGTCGAAGCACGTCGCCAATTTCGACGACCTGTTCAAGCCCGAGCATCGCGAGGCAGCGCTTAACTGCGGCTCCGAGATGGTCTTGAACGCATTGGAACATGTGGAAGACTGCCTGTTCTACCTGGCTGGGCTCCGGGAGCAGAGTATCTTCAACTTCTGCGCGATCCCGCAGTCGATGGCGATTGCCACGCTGGAGCTGTGCTTCCGCAACCCTGCGATCTTCGAAAGAAACATCAAGATCACCAAGGGCGAGGCGTGCAAGCTCATGTTCGAGTCCACCCAGAACCTGCGCGTGCTCAGCGACACCTTCCGGGTCTACGCGCGTCGCATTCACAAGAAGAACACCCCTCGGGATCCCAACTTCTTGAAGATCAGTCTGGTCTGCGGACGGGTATGTTTCTCTGTCTTGTTGTTGAGTCAACTTCTAACAATTGTAGATTGAGAAATGGATCGAGACGATATTCCCCACCCAGTCCGCCGAGGTGGCGCAGCGTCGCGTCAAGGGCGAGATGACCGAGGCTGAGCGCAAGAAGAGGCAGGAGGAGGCCGCTACGCGCCAGGATTTGTGCTTCATGATGGGCCTCATGCTGGTGATCGTGATCATTGTGTCTACTGTAATGGTATGTATTCCTTGTCTTGTTGTGGGTAAGCATTCACTGACCAGCGTAGATTGGCACGGCTTGGATGCTGGGCGCGCGGTTCGATCTCGCATGGCAAGAGCTGAAGCAGGGCAACTTCCGGCCGCCCGAGAACATCCGCGAGCTCGAGAACAAGGAGCTGTAGCTTGTTCGCATTTCTACGGAGTTACGACTGTTTTGATACTTACTAGCCGGCTGGCTCATGTTCTATACCTTTCTTCTCGCCATGCCGCCATATTTAATACATTGACTTGACCCTCTTTCCTAGGTTTTGATCTACTTACCTGGTTTCAGGTCTAGCACGGATGTCAAATTGCAATCCAGCCTGTCCATGACTGTGGTTGTGCCGAAGAAGTGCTGATATTGAGCGAGATATCTATCTCACCCAGCGACGTACTAGATGTGTGTCTGCAACTTCAGTGTTGCCGTGGCAAACATCCATTGAGGACCTGGAACATACTGTAATGTCGTAACTAGTCAATTGAATTCACTTTCTGTATTTCCAATCGATTACTGTAGCAATCTCCACTGCAAACTCTGCTGACCAACCCGGCATTTAACATCTGCCGTCGCCTGCTGGCTCCCTTATAACTCCTCCGTCCCATGCTGCTATTCCGTACTTTAATAGCATTCCACTCATTCTCCATGCAAGTCCACCAAATCCTACGCTCCTATATTCCCCGTCTTGCAACCCTTTCCTCCCGTGTACACCCTAACCCGAGTATACACCCCAACCCGAGCATTCAGCCTCTATCCACCTCGCCCAGCACCCAACATGGCCCCCACTCCCGCGTCCACCGATACTCCAGACACAGATCTGCCGCCGCTCTCCCCTAAGGAGTTCCGTATCTACAACCGTCTGGCCGAGCACATGGAGCACTTCGTATGTCCCTCCCCCCACCCCCCTTAAACCTTATCATACACACACTACTCCATACACAACCCATATCATACACAACCCATATCATACACAACCCATATCATACACAACCCATATCATACACAACCCACCCTATACAAAACCCTCCCATAAAACGTCCCGGGGGAGAACCCCCGGACCCCCCTTCCTTTCAGCTTCCTGGCACCCTCAACCCTAAGACCAGATATAGACATATCCAGGGAGACCCCGGACCCCCCTTTCTCTCAACGTCCTGGCAACCTACATTCTATACCAAACAGAAAACCGCAAGAAACGGAACTAATTATAAACAGCATACAAGTTTCAAAATGGAATACAACACCCTACTGAAAGCCACAGACCCCAAAACCAAAAAACCCCCCCTCAGCCCGAAAGCCCTTTTGACCCACTGCCAAGAATTTATGCATCACTTGGACATCCACCACAAGATCGAAGAAACGCACATCTTCCCGGTGCTGGCGCGGCGGATGCCGGCGTTCCGCCGCGAGCTGGCGCTGGTGGGGCAGCACCGGGCGATCCACGCGGGGATGGACGCGCTGGGCGCGTACGTGGCGGAGTGCCGGGGCGGGGCGCGCGAGCTGGACCGCGCGGAGGTGCGGCGGCTGCTGGAGGGGTTCGGGGGCGTGCTGCTGGCGCACCTGGACGAGGAGGTGTTTGCGCTGCGGGCGGAGAATATGCGCTCTTTTTGGTCCATCAGTGAAATGTCTGCGTTGCCGATATAACCTTGGGTATCATTTCTGGGAGGGGTTTAGTTGTAGAACGGGTAAAGGGGTGAGGTTATCCAGGGAGTTGAAAAGAAAGGGGGGTCCGGGGGTTCTCCCCCGGAATACCCTTAAACCAGTGGTTTGGATTGAGGTTACCAGGGAGTTGAAAGGAAGGGGGGTCCGGGGGTTCTCCCCCGGAATACCCTTAGACCAGTGGTTTGGATTGAGGTTGCCAGGGAGTTGAAAGGAAGGGGGGTCCGGGGGTTCTCCCCCGGAACGCTATATAGTTCCTGTGGTTTAGGGGGTAGTGGATGGTGGATGGTGGTTCGAGAGTGGGGTTTCTGATTAGTGGTTTTGGGGTGTGGTCTATATGGAGTTGGGATAGAGTGATAAAACGATATTGTATTGAAACTTGCTAATGTGTAAGACCAAGGGGTATATGTGTAGTGTCTATTGTGTAATTCAAGATATGAATGTTGAATCCAAGTGCTGCTGTGGGTAACCAGTCCGGTGGATGTTTCCAAGGGCCTGCCGAGGAACCAGAGGAGAAATGGGAGGCACATTGCATCGGGGTTCAGAATCCAACCATAACTGCATTCGATCGGTACATAGTTGCGCAGCGGTCATGAGAAGAATAGCCTCTTCTGTCGCGGATCCGGAGACTCCTGCGCTGGGGTTCGACGTTTGCGTGATTTGGCGGTAGCGGGCGGAGTTACCTCACGGTCCTGCTCAGCAGCACCCTGGACCGCCTCTTTGATAGTCTGCCTCGAGAGGCAGTAATCAACATGGTCATTGAAGACCCTATCGTCTGCAGCCTGGGGTCTCGAGCAGATCGGACAATCCCAGTACGCTGGCGCCGTGTCCTGGGCGACGGGCTGGTCCGCCACCTCTGCCGACTCCGAGACCTCTTGACTGAGCTGTTCGATCTCGTTCATCTCGTCCTGTATCTCCTGACGCGCAGCTCGTTCAAACGCTTCCTCCGCACCGATCTCTTGATCGGGAGTGTTATCGGTGGACGGCTCTAAGGCGGGTTTCGGCCGCGTCGTGTTCCCGAAGAACTCGATGCCAACTTTCTTGGTGCTCACGAGGTTCGTGCAGCGGAGCCCGAGCAATCGCAGCTTCAGGTCAGGAATCTCCTTCTCCAGCTTCTCCAGCATCGGCAGGGAGAAAGCGTAGAGGTCTTTGGCCGCATATACGGCTCGAGAGGGCTGGCATTGCCGCGAGAGCACCTCGAACGTGACTAGCTTGACCTTCAGCACCAACGTGCGGCCCTTAAACCCCGTTCGAACGAGGTCCTTCTCCAGCTCCTCGGCCGCCGACCACAACTTCGCGCGAAGTTCCTCCTTGCCCCCCAACTCGCGGAACGTGCTCTCCGTGCCCACGCTCTTCCTCTCGTAATTCTCCACGGGCTGGATCTTGGTCCTCCCCAGCCCCAGGTAGCACTGCATGAGAAAGTAAGCCGCCTTCTCCCCGAACAAGCGCGTCAAGTACGCCCGCTGCGGGAAGATGTCCCCGCACGTCTTGATGCCAATGGCCTCGAGCTCGCGCTCAAACACCCGGCCGACCCCATTTACCTTCCGGACAGGCAAGTCGCGCATGAACTCCAGAATCGCGTCCCGATCCCTGGGCACACAGAACTGCCCATTGGGTTTATTTCGATTCGACGCGATCTTTGCCAGCTTGGCATTGGCCGCGATGCCCGCCGAGACCGAGACCTTGGTCTCGGCCAGCACTTCGGCGCGCATGCGCTCGACGGTCTCCTCGGCGCCGACGCCGTTCTCGGCACAGTACGCCGTCAGATTGAGATACGCCTCGTCGATGCTGGCGCTCTCGAACAGCGGGTCGTAGCGCGCGAAGACGGCGCGGATCTCGGCGGCCTTGGCGCTGTACTTGTCGTAGTTCATGGGCAGGCAGATCAGCCGCGGGCAGAGCTTCATGGCCACGAAGGCGGCCATGCCGCTGCGGACGCCGAACTTGCGGGCCTCGTAGTTGCACGTCGTCAGCACGCCCTTGCCGACCGCCATGGGCACGGTTTTTAGCTCCGGGTGGTCGAGCTCCTCGACCGCCGCGAAGAAAGCGTCGCAGTCGACGTGCACGACGTGCTGTGTCAGGTCGCGCGTGAGTTCCAGCTCTGCCAGCAGCTGGTCCGCGCGCCGCAGGTCCGCTGAGAGGTCGAGCGTCGCCAGGTGGGCTTTGCGGTCTAGAATGCGTGCGATCTTCTCCGTCAGCACCCGGTCGCGGTTCTGTTCGTGGTTGAAGAATTTCGAGCCCTTTGAGGCGTGGTAGATGATTTCGGAGACCTGTGCACGGCGCCCGACGTGGGGTTAGCTTTGTCTTAGTTGAGGGTGGTCTGTAAAGCAGTCTGGGTGAGTGGGCTTCATAATATATAACTCTCACCTTTCGCTGATCCACCGCATCTTGACCCGCTTTGGTCAGGGACGGTCCCAGGAGTTGATACTTGAGGGTTTCATATTCAGCCTCGGGCTTATCCTTGTTATCAGGACGCTCCTCGCCCGAAGGCTCCATTTTCTGCGAGTTGAAAATCGAGGGATGATGACGTTTTTCCGGCGGCGTCGCGCGAGGCAATTATTACCCAAAGTGGGTAAAGCCGTCTATGAGCACGCCTGGTCACGTGGGCACGCGTGCGGTGTTTGTTCCCCGCGGAGGGCGTTCACGTGCACTGCAGTTGCTGTCGCTGCTCATTCTCCCAGCCCATAACATCCAGATTCCATCCTGCGTTCACATGTGGATCCTTGAGTCTGAAGGGGACTTTCTTGAGGGTGTGTATTCCCGTCTCACGGAAGCAAGTAAATGTCAACTGACTGATCTGCAAAGGGAAGCGCGTGTGGCTGCGGCCGGGGAAGAAGTATCTGTTTGGTCGGGTCAAGAAAGATGGAGGTAAAGACCATTCCACCGAGACATTTGCTACCTTGATTGCTGATTACGCCCTCATGAATACAATACAGTGCGCCACGCCATCTCGAACAACACAATCTCACGGAAACATGTTCTGATTGAGATCTCACCCGTCAAGCCCGGCGATGGGGTATGTATTACGGTGCAGACCTGGGATCCTCCTCCCCGCTGACATCCCTTAGTCGCACATCCACACCAAGTCAGAGATCAATGTGACCGATCTAGGGTCGAAGCACGGCACTAAAGTCAATGGGGAAAAGATCAGTGGGAGTATGAAGCTGAGAGGCGAGGACCACGAGCTTCAACTGGGGCGGTATGAGCATTTGCTACGGTAAAGTGCTCGCACTCTGACCCCGTCGCACACCACTAACTTCTATCCTATGTGTTAGGATCGAATGGCATCCCACCGTGCTTAGTTTCTCCTTCTCAAGCAAAGAGCTCAAGGCCAAAGATCCCCTCGCGCGCGTACGCTCCCGGCTGGAAGATCTCGACATCAAAACAATCATCCCCTATGTGGTCGACAAGACGACGCACGTAGTTCAGACCAAACGAAACACGGCAAAGGGGTTGCAGGCATTGGTGAATGCCAAGCACATTGTTCAGGATACCTACGTTGACGCCCTCGTATACGCTGCAACCCCGAGCGACCTGGACAGCCCCGAGTCTCTGTCCCCTCTCGAGGCTGACTTCGACTCGGCATGGCCGGACCCAGCCGAGCACCTCCCTCCTCCCGGAAAAGAAACGACCCAGCGGCCTAAAGAGGCGTTCGCGCCCAATCCCGCTCGATTGAACATATTTGAAGGGTTTACATTTGTTTTCGGTGATGCCACACAGATGGAGCATCTGCAAGACGCCCTGACCAATGGCCAGGGAAAGGTCTTACTGTATCAGATTGAGGACGAAGTGACTACGGCAGAGGAGGTCGCGCAATTCATGAGGAACGTTGCAGGGGATAAGGGACTTGGGAGTCAACGCGACAGCCCTAGCGGTGTGGTGCATGTCCGGTATCGTGCCAAAGGTCGCCTCGAGGCTTGGTCCCTGGAGCTCAGCAATCAAATCGCACTGCTGACTGACCAGCGTGTGATTGAGCAGAGCGAATTCCTCGACGCGATTTTGGGCAACGATGCGGCTCCGCTCTGTCAGCCTCTACTTGAAGAGGCCGAGGCCAGTGAAGAGGCGAACGTCGAGTCTACCCCGCAGCCTCATCAAGGCACCGCTTCTAGTGAGACTGTGGCTGGCGCCGACTCGCAGCCGTCGGAGGAAGTAAGTCAACCGGCAGCACGAAAATCCAAGCCGCGCGTGCGGGACTTCGTCAGTAAGATGAAGACCTTTGACGACGGCTTCGATATCAGCTCTATTCCAGTCCACGCACCAGAGGGTAGTGCAGCGACATCACCTCCGCCAATGGAAATGGAACCTGCTTCTGTCCAGGAATCGCAGCCGCAGAACAGTTTAGACGACGAGGAGGATCTTGTTTCTAGTCTTCTACCAGGTGCTGCGGCGATGAAACGTCGACGAGCCGAGACAGTGCGACCGAGTGTAGACGATGAAGCATCTCAACTCAAAGAGGAATCCCCTCGCAAACCTAAGCGCCAGAAATTAGATGTGTTGGAGGCCGCCCGACAGCATCGTCAAGCCGAAGAAGATGCTCAGCGCCAGCGTCGTGTTGCCGAAGAGGCATCCTTCCAAAATTCTCTGCAAGAGGTGGATATCGACAAGCTGAAAGGACTCGCCATTGTGGAGGAGATGGACATCAAGCCCAGGAATGTTGACGGAGAGGACAGTCGATGGGACGATCGCTGGAATGGGCGGAAGAATTTCAAAAAATTCCGACGAAAGGGAGACCCCAGTCAGCCGCGCTATCGCATCCAGACGGTTATAGTTCCTTTGGAAGAAGTCAGACGGAAAGACTTTGGGGTAGGCGACCATTATTGGGGCGGTGATAGTCATCGATCGACTGAGGTCATTGTGGCGGACAGCCCTCAGGAGCAAGAGACGACGCAAAGCGGTATTGTCGTATCTCGCTCGCAGTCTCTGGCGCGCACAGACTCGCAAGTACCAGCTCCGCGTACTCAGAAACGGATGCGAGAAGAGCGTGAGGAATCGGACAGCGACGATGAACTTCGATTCCGGTTCCGTCGTCGGCGATGATGCTCGAGGATACCCCTATTCTTCATGTATATACTTGAACTAGTCCAAAATTGGAGATCCTTAGTTGGACTATGGAAATTTGGAGAGAAGTCGGAAGTTGGAACAGTAAATTAAAGATGCGGCCAGGTGTGGGGGGGGGAGACGAAGAAAGAAAAGATCCACCTGCGGGGAAAATCTCTTATCAATCCTGGGCACAAGCGAGCAAGTACTTGTACAACAGACTGCAGGTTGGGCACAAGAGAAGCCCGCTGGTATGGAGTACATGAGGACGTGTAGATAGTTCAAGTGTTGTTGTGTTCAACCAGCTCAGATGGCTTGCATTGCCGCCGATGGGGGTGAGCATATGTGGGGGGGCAGAAGGGGGTCTTGCGCTGGCACAGCCTGTCGTCTCCCTTGCAATTCTTTTACCTATCCAGCGGCGAATGCCACCAGATAATGTGGTGCAGCAAGGCAATCGAAGGAGTGACGATATAGCATCATTCTGTTTCATCCCGGGTGGACGGACTGACCGGTTTACCTGAAACAATCAGGTCAATGGGCGAGATCTTGGGGACGTGGAGGCTTTTTGAAGATGGATGGATGGATGTCATAAGTAAACAAATCAGATTCCCTGCTGGATGGTAGAAATAGAGAATAAACCAGGCTCTGATATCAGCCTATCGATCAGCGTCAGGAAGAGAAGGTTGAAGTGTTGTTGTTGTTTGTTGTTGTTGTTTGACGGGCAAGACAGGCCCAGCCAGATCCAGTTTCAAGTTGGCGGTTGGTTTCAACTTCTCCATCCATCCTGGAAATCTCCCCATTCTCTCTTTCTCTTGCTTGTTGTCTCTTCTTCTCTTCTCTCCTACTCCCCTCTTTTCTTTTTCTACCTTAACTTCTTCTCTCCCTCCTCCTTTCTTGTTAAACCATTCAATACCCCCCATTCTCCCTGTCCATTTCCCTGATACCCCTTCGCCTGGCTGCGATCGTCTTCATTTCCACCCTCCCATCCTCTATTTGATGATCCTCCATCCCCATTTCATCCCATCCAACTACTACTCACTCTCAGCTGCCTGACGGCCTAACTGCCGGTTATCGAGTGAACAACACTGCTGGCTGCATCGGCACCGCCATGGACCACGTTGACCGATCGACCTGGATTCCAATCTAACAGCATTCTTTCCCTCTCCGATCTGGAAGAAAAAGAAATAAAGAAAAGTTGAAGCCATCATCTGCTCCCGCTATTTTTATCCTTTCTCCGTCGCACACGAACCCCAATTTTGTCTTGGTCTGACGAATCCCGCAACTCCCACCTGATCTCTCTCAATAGTAGGTGAAGCAAAGGGAAAAAAAAAACTCAGTCTCCTCATCTTCTACTCTGTTCCTTGGAATCACACGACTATTGAAAGACTAATCTTCCAACCCTTCCATCATCAGTTTCTTGTCAGCCTAACTAACGATTTACGACTGCTGATTCCCCCTCTCCTGCTTGGCGTTTTCCTGGTGTTCCATGAGTTTTCCTTTTCTTGTTTTTCTTTCCCTGTGATATCCTCGCATCGCATCGCCCGTCATGATCTCGACTTTTCCTCCCCCTCGTCCCGTGTCCGTCAACTCGCTGGCCAGAGCGTCGGCCTCGACCACCCTTCCCTATGCCAAACCAAACCGATGCACCAGCGCGGAGATTCAGCTTCCCGAGGGACCCGTTCCCTCCGCGGCGGTGGGGCTGGTCGTCTGTCATCAGGGCCCGGTGGATACCGAGATGGAGGATACTGATAGCAGTCCCCCGATAAGCGTCGAGACGCCGCAGGCTTGCCATTCCGGGATCCGGTTCGAAGATCTGCCCATCGAGATCCACGAGGCGATTCTGGACTATCTGTTCGGTGAACGAGCATCCGCCTTCACCTCGTGCACTTGGGGCAAGTCCGCGCGCAGTTGGAATCGGTCGTTGCGTCATCCCCGTCGCAAGGCGCTCTCGAATCTGTCGTTGATCACACCGGTGTGGAGAGAGCTGGTGCAGGATCGGATCTACCGACATAGTCAGTCTTGTTCCCTCACTCTGATTCGGGGTGAGTTCTGATCGGGTTACAGTTAAAATCAAAGGCACCGCAGATGAGTTGGCGGCAAGCGCACGCTGGTTCCGTGCACACCCCCACCTGGCCCCTTTCGTCCGCCATGTCGAAATCTGGATCCCGGTCTGGGGCAAACGCGCGGCCAAGCACTTCGCTCAGCCGCAGCATCAGCAGCAGCCCCCGTCACGGCGGTTCAATGACGAAGATGTGGGCTTCGCCGACCCGGCCGCGTTGCAGAGTGCGATTGTATGGGACGACTCAGACACGAATCACGGCGGCGGCAGTGACTACCGCTACCACTACGCCAGCCACAATGCCACGCTGGAGGAGATGTTCTCGCACGTGCAGACCTGCTTCCCGCAGGCGCGCATCCTGACGCTGGAAGGGGGCCACTGCAAGCGGCCGCCGATGGTGCGGCATTTCCGGGACGATCCGTGCGGACACTCGGGGCGACGGCGCCTGCCGGAGCTGCCGGACATCCAGACGTTCGTGATGCGCGGCGCGTGGAACATCATGCGCGACTACCAGCACTGGGCCAACATGTCGCAGGCGCTGCCCAACGTGCGCGAGTGGCACTGCGCCTACGCCAAGCCCAAGATCGAGGGGTACGAGACGATCGCGGAGGTGCTGCTGCGGCTGTCGCCGTCGCTGGTGCACGTCAACATCAGTCTGGAGGGATTCTACAACAAGGACACGTCGCAGACCGGGTGGACGCACGACGGGATCACCCCGCCGCACCTCTGCCGACTGCTGGGCGAAGCGGCGCCGCGGCTCGAGTCCCTGGCGTTCACCGGTAAGGTGTGCGCCGGCCTCTTCCAGGCGACACGCAACGCCATGGCCACGCGGCCGGCCACCAACAAATCGCGACTGAAATCGCTGGACCTGGTCGTCAAGACGTGCTGCCGCGAGAAGAAGACCGTAGCCCCCGGCCTGGCGTTCCTGGACGACTTCTCCGGCATCACGAACCTGAACTTCATCCGCTCGTTCGAGAAACTCGTCCTCGGCGCCGTGCACAGCCTGCAGCTGCACCCGCGTCTGGACGCCATGCGCATCCGCTTCATCGACCTCGACTCCGCCTGCCCGCCGCTCAACCCGTACTTCCAGCTGCTCGACGGCCAGTGCACGGGCCTGTGGAGCGAGCGCATCCTGGAGACCCTGCACGAGGCCCGGCCCGAGGCTCACTACCTGGAACTCTCCGACGGCATCTACCCGCAGTACGGTCACAACCGGCAGATCGTGGGCGCCGTGTACCCGCGCACGCGGCCTTTGAGTATCCACGCCTCGACGTATAAGGTGATAGCCGATGTATCTAAGCCGTAACTTGCTCGGGGGTGTTTTCGACCGGATATGTGTCGTGGGCATGCTATGTCAAGTAATGAAAAGAACGATGTTGAACCTGATGTTGTAGTAGTTTCTTCTCACCTGCTGTTCTATTCTATTCAGATTTAGTATAATGTTACACTTATTGATGAGAGTGACACTTTTAGTCTATCATCTACCACTCTCAGTGATTATCTATCATACACACCCACATAAAAATAACCCCCACACCCCATCCACAAATTAAATGAAACCCATACCCCCAACATCAGAAATAATAACACCAAGAATCCAAACATTCACCGCAAAGAACCCCACCGACGCAACCCACAACCCAGGCACGAAGGTCGACAGACCCAGGAACTCGAGGTTATACGCCTGCTGGAGCCAGAGAGCCTACACACACACACACCCCCAACCATCAGTATCAGTATCAACACGTCCCATGTCCAACGTTCAGAATAATAGTCATGAGGTAACACAAGACAAAATCCCCACAATGCAACAGAAATGGAAGACGGCGGGGGAAGAGGCACCACCACCCCAAGCAAAAAGAAAAGGGCAAAACCCACCTGCGCAAAAACCCACAACCCCAGCGCCAGCACGCCTTTTCGCGGGGACCGCAAAAATGACGAATAAGGGAGGTAAAGCGGGAGGAAGATTAGGTACCAGAGGAAGTACTACCATTTTATCAGCTCACGCTTACTAATTAGAAGGGGGGGGGGGGGGGGTTTAGTGATTCGATCCGCATTCTAGCTTTTTGACGAATGCTTCAAGCTTCCATAAAGGAAGAAGGGGAAAGGGACGCATACCTGACTCGTACAAACCTTATTCCAAACAACAAACGCAAAAGTCTGCGCCAGCATCGCACCAGAGAGACTCCTTCGCGCGAGGGCCAGCGGGATACACGCGACCGAAAGCCCGAGTTGCGGGAGGAAGGCCCAGCGCTCGAAGCCTGCTGTTCCGGTCCCCAATGTTGAAGCGGAGGCTGAAGCGGAAGAAGCAGCAGAATCATAAAGCAGCGAAGCATACACGGAGAAATTATGGCGATGGTCGACGCGGGTCAGGTGATGCAGGAAGGTATGCTGGAGGAAGTCCCATCCGTAGCGGTTATACATCAGCATATTGAGCGTGAGGAAGGTCGCGAGGGCGGTGGTGGTGAAGAGTAGGCGGGCGGGAGTTAGCAGGGCGAGCAGCTTGCTTGCGCCTTCATCTGCCTGCTTCTTCTTTTGAGGGTGTTGATGCCGATCCAAAAACAAAAGCACCGACACCCCGTACACGAACGGGTAGATCTTGACGTGCACGGCCACGCCGAGCACGAGGCCTGCGAGAGCGACTCGACTCAGCCTTCTAGCAGAGTTAACCGGGCTGGCCATTTCGGCGCCCAGAACAAGATACACCAGCAGGGCTGTGAGCAGGCCCAGCACGCCCTCGGAACTACCCCGCGTGCTGATGTTCGCCACCATCGGGTTCAGCAGCCAGACGCTGGCGTAGCGTAGCGCGCGCGGCGCGGCCATGCCATGGTGCTGCACGAGGATGCGGTGGAGTAGCCATCCGGCGACGATGTCCGACACCGCGAAGAGCACCTTGCCTGCGGCGAAACTGCCGGGCGGCCAGCTCCAGGTCGTGGGCAGCAGCGCCCATGACAGCAGTGGCGTGTACCGGTATGTGGCGCGCTCGTAGGGGCTGCCGCCGGCGGCGACAAAGCGCGCTGCATCGGTGAAGACGAGGTAGTCGATGTCGGTGTATTTGAGCGGGGAGTGAGTGTCTTGGTAGGAGCCGTACAGGAGGAGCACGAGGCGGAGAATGAGGGCCAGGGGGTAGATTTTGCCGGGGGTGAAGAGAGTGGAAGATGATTGAGGGGGTGGCGGGGAAAGAGGGGAAGAAGTGGGTTTAGACATTATGAATGTGATAACATGTGTTGTCTTATGTGGTGGTCATGTATGTGATCGTGGTGATCGTGGTGAGGTTTCTTGGCCTGCCAGCCTGCCAGCCCGATCAGGGGGAGGAGGTGTGGGAAGTGTGACTGTTCAACCGACAATGATGCTGGTGTATGCTCCGTAAACTCTGTTCGCCAAGCCCAGCCAGCTAATGCATGATCACTGACCTTGCCAGTGATCTTCCGTGTCGAAAAGAGTCAATCGATGTCTGAACACACCTCTATCACCACAACATTGGCGGAGTTACGAGTGTTTGTTTGCTGACTACGCGGCGGGTCTCGGCCCGAATCCCGCCAGTTGACTTTCAGCCTGATTCTAAGCAAGGCAACACGGACGAGCCGCTCAGACTCAGACTCAATCAAGCATCAAGATTTGCTCCCTCCTCCATCTCTTGGTGTCGCTTTGACTTCCGGCTCGCTCAGGCCTCGCGGATCCTACTTCTACCTCAATCCTGGTCTGTAGGGCCGAGTTTCCGACTAAGGCCCCTGGAAACACTCATTCATACGATGCACCTCATTTCTCAGGTTTCAATGGTCAATGGTTTTAATTCATAGATTCATAGTCCATACAGCTTCACATTTAACCGACAGCGCTTAACGAATGAAGTAGCAAATCAGAGTTTACCACATGGGAAAACAGAACAGTAGGGGTATGTAACATCACAAACGACAGAATATGCCCTGCCAAGCCAAGCAGAGGCCAACCTAGTAGAACGGTGCTGCGGGATTCACAAAGAACGTCGACTCATTCAGCTGGCCTCCCAGCAGAATTGCGTCTCCACCGTATTTCACATGTCTCTCCTCGAGGCCAAACATCCCAGCATTCCCATTGTCCATTTCTGCAAGCCCCTGCAACAGGTTGTTGTCGCTCCAGCTCAGAAAATCCCATAAATATTGCCCGGCCGAGTCGTCGATGAACGGAGGTTCGAACGGATCCAGAAATCCATTCTCGAGATTCACCATGATCCCGCGCCCGAATTCCGCCTGCGATAGCATACCTCCGGCCGTTCCAGGCAGACCGTCCTCACACAGCGTCGAACAGCTGCCATGGTCAATGCTGCTAGAAGCACTGGTCAGCGCTGAGTTGCGCTTGCTGGCGTCAAACAATCGCGAAACGGCCTCCAGCGTGGACTTTGCCGTCGGACTCCACGATTGCAGTCGCGCAAGGACGAGCATCGTCGTCTCCACCTGCGCCTGACATGCCTCAACGGTCGCTCGAGGATCATCGACCGTGCTGTCGTTGAGGAAAAGTCCCAACAGCGGGACCATGGCGGCCTGGAAAATCAGCCAGACTGCATTCCAGCCTGACATCTGATGATCTTGAGCCTTGGTAGCGATATCCTGGATCGTCGCCTCGGCAATTTCCCTACACCTCTCAATCGCCATCCGCTCCTCCGATCGAAGGACAATGTACGGAACCCGACGCATCGCATAACTGAGGAGCGTAGGCCGGTACAGAAGCATGCGCTGGTTGTAGTAGCGCCACTTCATCACCGTCCTTGTGAAGGCGATCGATTCGGAACACGGCTCGTGATCCTTGAGGATATAAGGAAGATTCTCATACCACTCCAACAACTGGCTGTCCAACTGTGTCATCTCCTGATACTTGGTCAGCGGCGACGCTGCCAGAACCTCTTGGATCTGAGTGGCGATCTTGCAGAACCGCACATTTTCCAAGAGGGGCAGAATATCCAACACATTCCCCTGGAGACCGTCAGTACTGGTCATGGAATACAGAATCAGAGACTGTACCTTCTCGCGATAATGGGGCAGTTTGACAGTGATGGTCGGTCCCAGGCGGCCCATGCTCGGCCGCCCGAGGGTCATACCGCCCCACGTATCCAGACAAAACAACGACCACCACACGCGGCGTTTCTGGTCGGTGGACGATTGCTTCTGCCTGCTCCCTCCATTTTGGTTGTCGGAGAGTTCCTTGTGGAGACCCAATGCTGCGGCCATCCGCAAGGCTGCTCCCATAATAGCATATGCGAGGTTGGGTTGGCTCGTATAATGGAGGTAATAGCCACCCATAAGACCAAGAGTCTGGATGGTCTCCAATTGCGAAGACCCCAGACACTCCAGGTTGATGTACTCCTTACACTTCAAAAAGTAAGTCTGATGCGATGTATCACGAGCCGGAGAGGCTGCTATGCTGCCCAAGGCAAGAACAATGTTCAGAAGCGCCAGCCATTGCTCATCAGCTCGTCTGCCACTATGGTAGGTCTCGCGAAAGGATTGTTCATCCAATAATGGCACAAAAGGCTGCACGTATGTAAAGTATGCGTCAAGCAATTGGGGTTCCGAGGCGCGGCGAAATTCCGGTGTAGCGAGGCGCTGCTGCAACCCATGCGCTGGCCAGGTCTGGCTCTCTGGAGAAGAAGAGAGGTCAATGGATCCTCTGCGGCCACCAAATGCTGGAGTGCGTGAAAGGTGGGTGAGAGATCCCGGGTCCAGCCAGACAATGACCTTGAGCACCGCATGTATTGAGGACACACCTAGGTATGAGGATGGCTGCTGCGCCGAGAGGGACAATGCATTGACATCGTCCGAGATGCCACTCGGAAACGCTGCGCTTCTCGAATTGCGCAGGTGGCTTGTGTGGTCTGGTATTGCCTGGAGGGACTCGAGATTGCCATCTTCACTAGAGGCCGGGGATGTGTGGGCCTCGGCTGATGCAGAAGTGGCTGGGGAGGCTGGATGTGGCGGCTGCGTCTGCACATGCGATGGACCCTTGCCCACCAAATCTAAAAGCTTTTCGCGTGGCAAGTTCACCAGGGTTTCAGCTGGAAATCCGGGGAATAGCTTCTCGAGCACGCCTCGAAACTCATCCAATGTCGTGGATAGCTTTTCCACGTGTCTGTAATCCGAACCTACTCGTTACTTCTGTGCCCCTCCAGACAGGATAAGTCAAACACACCTGCGAGACGGACGAGGATCTGAATACTGGCACTGATCGGCCTTCTTGTACCACCTGCAAGCTTCACAGGGTTTTTCACCGTCACACTTGATTTTGCGATGTCGGCAAGATGTGCAGGCCCGAAGCGTGGTAACTCGGCGGCCGACCGAGGGCTGACGCTGATTGCGTCCCCGGGTCGGATTCGACAATCCGGGATTCTCGAAGCCTTCGAACGTGTGGAACATTGCTAGCGACGATGGACTAAAAGATTCTCGACTTTCAAGATCAGAATAGAATGATGGTACGATCAAGGCATTCTATGGTAGCGTGGTCAGCTAGAAACAGCCATTGGCAAACCGGTCGCAGGAGGACTAGCAAGTGTAATGCAACAGACGGCAGGGATAGTCTGTTTGCTGCTAGCGACGAGTGGTAGTAGGGTGAAATAAGATCGAGGGGGAAAAGCCCCAGTGGGTTACTGCATGAGATAAGCCTAGTTACTGCAGTCGCCACTGTCCTGGATGATGGAAGAGGTCGGCGGGGAAAAATCGACATAAAAGAAAAACGTGTCGCAATATATCTTCACGAACAGCCTGAGTCGGACCACGAGGCGTGTTTTAGCAGCCGGAGACAGCGATCATCAGCCCCCGAGCAGCATCATCAAGCGACATCTCGCACGTCCAAGACCGACACTTTCACGGTGCCCAACAGAGTCCCTGGAAAGCTCGTCCTTGGGTTTCCTTCACTGGTTGAACCTGTCGTCGCCCCCGCAATTTTCCACTTTGATTAAATCCATCATGCAGGAAGTGACCTTTTCTGTCAGGCTTCTGCATGTCTGGGGAAGAATCGGCATCCCATGCATCGTGGGCTCTTACTGGTTCCTCCAGTCAAAAACCCCGGACCCTTCGCCCACCGGCCATGCTTGACACTATATCAAAGGCTCGGCTGTCAGGGTTACATACGAACAACATGAATTCAAAGCCATTACAGGCTCGCCAACACTCGCCCCAAAGGGTCTGTTCTTCACGGTTCCTTGGATCTGCCTGCCGGTTAGCGCTTTTCCCCCTCTCTACGTCGCGCGCAGCTTGAAGCTGAACAATGTCCTTCCACCTATCACGGGGTGATGGATGAGCCCCCCGAATTCCTTCCGTGAAAAGACCTTTCAGGTCCGAAAAGAATTCGACTTTGAGGGGGTGGACTGCTGGGATCTGTCTCCAGGTCACCTGAGGAGAGGCTGGCGCAAACATCGCGATTCCCTGCCACGATAATGGTTCGACGCACAAATTCGCCCACGTTGTTGGTGCACCCGCATCTACCCACGCCAGGACTGGCAGTCATCGCACGATACTCACCCCCGGGCCGGACAAACAATCACTATTCGCCTAGTGGGCAGCCAACCCCATTACAGTTCTGCAGGCTGATGAAGACCGGAGCACATCACTATATTACACCAACAGGGGTGGCGCCACTCGATGTCCGAGCGACCACCGCAAATAGGCAGAAAGACTGCCTGCGTCTGACTGCGAAACTCATCGGAAGTAGTCGGTGTATGTACACCCGATTGAACAGCCTCCATTCATCCGTGTTTCTGGAGCTTACTGCTCCCGAGTCTTTCTGATTCTGACGGGCAAGTCGCTTCGCGATGACTCAGGCAATAAGAGCAGGGTTCGATAAATTTCTCATTCCAGCACATTCGCAGGGTCTGACTGTTGGGGAAATCCGTGTCCGCCAATTGCAGTCATGACCCCGCAAATGATGACCGTCTTTGACACCCTATTTTAATTAAACCCCATGATGGGGGTCGGAGTATGTTGGAGCACAGCCGCCTGGTGTCTTTTGCCCACGTCCAATCCCAAGAGTCATCTGGTCCGTGAGCCCCGGCACCATCTTGTACTATGTAGCTTAGACTCCATGAGTGGCAAAGTCGTGATAGACTTGGGTCCAAGTGCAGAGCATCTCCTGGCATATCTGGCTGCCCCCCCAGCGAGTGTGGTGCCGGAAGAAAAACAAAGCGGCTTCACACCACTTAAGTCGGCTTTTAGACAGATTCCGGGGTACGCAAGGTGGACACCCAATCGCAAAATAGGCTCGACGCGTGTGGCCGGCATTGGTTAGGCAAAAGTGATCAGGCTAATTGCGATGAACGCCAAGAGCGCGAAATTGCTCACTCATCACATGCCTCCTCGAATAGTTAGCGCTCCAAGGAGGAACCTGTCTCCATTTCTGTAAGGTACCCCGGCATTACTGTGGACGCAACGGGAGGCGGGAAGGGCGGAAGCCGCTTGAGAACCGAGGCACCTGGACCGGCTGTTAACATCGACTCCTTGACCACACCATGGTCCTGCAATTAAATGTTGTTCAGTTTCGCTAAGCGACGACGGCCGGACTAGTGACTGGTGTGTCAGCCAATGAGATTATGAACGGGTGCGTCGCTTATTTTGCAATGGATGGAGCGTGCAAGTTCAGTTCAAAGAGAAGTTGAGGGGGTTGAAGTTGTTTAACAACGATCAGGCGGTTTACGTTCAGTTTAACTAGTGATCTTCAGGGCTGTCAGGAACAAGAATCTCCAAGCACAAGGAAGGATTTGATCAGACGGAAGACCAACCATAGCTGCGTGGAGCGTCGGCCGTACCCAAAGCAGTAAAGCAAGGGGAAACGCTTGGAGGATTAGTTTCAGTGAGAGGAACGTGATTTAGAATACATAGCATAGTCCTCTTAGACGTCGCCCAAGACGGGAGAGTTGCTTGTCATATCGCTGCACTGACTCGGGCGGTGATCGGGATCTGCTTCATCTGATCGCGTTGCTCAGTTCAGACACACAGACGATGAGCCGTGGTGGAACTCGCCGTGGTGGAACTCAAAGTCAGTCGATGGTGAGACGCTGAGGATGTTGAGGGCGAAGTGTAGGATCACTGAGTGGAGGTGGATGTCTGTTTTGGGCAAGGAGGAAAGCCCGCCCGTCGATTGCCCGATTAGGCAGTGACAGCACGTGGAATGCGGAGATGCCTCCGTGGAGCTTCCCTTTGCTCTATAGCTCTTCATGATATTTGAGACAGTTCGATATCGATATCAAGATACAAGAGCCTGAAACTCCCCCTGGGTTGCGAAAAGGTGTTCATTGTGAATCATCGACCGGATTCTACTTATCGAGATTCCACCTCCTGTTGCCATTGGCTTGCCGTTACCCCTCCTTAGCCCGTTATGGCGAGTTTTATCCAGCATCCTCTGACCACCGGCTGGTCCTTCAAAGACAGCAAGGAACAATCATCTGATGCTTGGATGCCCGTTGCCAGCGTGCCGTCTGTCGTTCATCAGGACTTGCAGGCCAATGATAGGTGTGCCAACATCAGGATAATCACTATCGCGTCGCATTGACCGTGGGTATATAGATTGAAAGATCCCTATATCGGCTTCAATGAGCTCGAGGCAAGATGGGTCAACGAGAAGTCGTGGTCGTACCGCAATGTCTTCAAAAAGCCGACCGTCCCTGCTGGATCAAGGGTCGTTCTGGCATTCGACGGCTTGGACACTTTTGCCACGGTGAGACTGGACGATGAAATCATTCTTGAGAGCAACAACATGTTTCTAGCCCATCGGATCGATGTCACCAAAGCCCTGGAGGCAGAGGGAGAGCATGTTCTCCACATCGACTTCGACTGTGCCATGCTGCGAGCCAAGGAGCTGCGGGAGCAAGACCCCAAGCACAACTGGGCCTCCTTCAACGGTGACCCGGCCCGACTAGCTGTTCGCAAGGCTCAGTACCACTGGGGCTGGGATTGGGGTCCAGTGCTGATGACCGCGGGTATCTGGCGAGACGTGCGGCTAGAGGTATACTCTGCCCGCGTAGCGGACCTCTGGACAGACACGGATCTTGCGGCCGACCATCAGCATGCGCGGATTACCGCCTCCGCAGAGCTAGATGCTACTGAGGACTCTAGTTACAAAGCCATCTTCACCCTGAAGAAAGACGGGAAGGAAATTACCAGACAAGTCGCCACACCAGACAAGAACATTGCCAGGACAACATTCGATATCGACCAACCAAGCCTCTGGTGGCCGAATGGGTACGGAAACCCAGATCTATACGAGGTCTCCGTGTTCCTGGAGAAGGACCAGATCGAGCTGCATCACGTCTCCAAAAAGATCGGCATACGGACAGCGGAAGTAGTGCAGCGGCCCGACAAGCACGGCAAATCGTTCTTCTTCCGGATCAACGGCGTCGATGTCTTTTGCGGTGGTTCATGCTGGATCCCCGCAGACAACCTGCTGCCCAGCGTTTCCCGTGAGCGTTATCGAAACTGGATTGAGTTGATGGTTGCCGGCCGTCAAGTGATGATCCGGTAGGTCTGTTCCGCTGATTTGTGTATGTGTCGGCTAACATTCGCAGGGTGTGGGGCGGCGGTTGCTACGAAGACAACAATTTCTACGAGGCATGCGACGAGCTCGGTGTGCTTGTATGGCAGGACTTCATGTTCGGCTGCGGTAACTACCCGGCCTGGCCTGAGCTGCTTGAGTCAATTGAGAAGGAAGCCGTCTATAATGTGCGCCGTCTGCGCCACCATCCATCCATTGTCCTCTATGCTGGAAACAACGAGGACTATCAGGTGCAAGAGTCAGCAGGCCTCACGTATGACTACGAAGACAAGAACCCTGAGAACTGGCTGAAGACGGACTTTCCCGCCCGGTACATCTACGAGAAACTGCTCCCGGAGGTGGTGGATAAGCTCTCCCCGAGGACATTCTATCACCCCGGAAGCCCGTGGGGAGATGGAAAGAAGACCTCCGATCCTACTGTAGGAGACATGCATCAGTGGAACGGTAAGACCCAGCTACTCTAGTATCGTCTTTGTGCTAATGGATATAGTCTGGCATGGAACGCAAGAGAAATACCAGATCTTCGACACCCTCGGCGGACGGTTCAACAGTGAATTCGGCATGGAAGCATTTCCCCACCTCTCTACTATCAACCACTTCGTCGAGCACGAGAAAGACAAATATCCTCAGTCGCACGTCCTCGACTTCCACAACAAAGCGGACGGACATGAACGACGGATCGCTACGTACCTGGTGGAGAACTTGAAGACAGCTACAGATCTTGAGGTGAGTAGCCCCAGACCCGAAAGAGACCCGCGCTAATGAGCAGACCTACACCTATCTCACCCAAGTCGTGCAAGCCGAGACCATGATGTTCGGGTATCGCGGATGGCGCCGCCAGTGGGGCGATGAGCGGCACTGCGGCGGCGCCTTGCTCTGGCAGCTCAACGACTGCTGGCCGACCATCTCTTGGGCGATCGTGGACTACTTCCTGCGACCCAAACCGGCCTTCTATGCTGTGGCCCGTGTGCTGGCTCCGTTGGCCGTGGGTGTCCGTCGCGAGCACCACGACTGGAGCGTCACGCACGCGCAGCCTCCCAAGACGAGCAAATTCGAGCTCTGGGTCGTCAGCTCGCTGCAGAAGGAGACAACGGGCACCGTGGAACTGAGGTTCCTCTCGATCAACGACGGTCAAGAGGTTAGGGAGACGGCGGTTCACAAGAACGTTACGATCCAGCCGAACGGCACCACCAATCTCATCGTAGACGGTCTGATTGACTATGCAGTGTATCCCGAGCCACATGTCCTCGCTGCTCGCTTGTGGGTGGACGGACAGGTCGTCGCGCGGGACGTGGACTGGCCGCAGCCGTTCAAGTACCTCGACTTCTCGGAACGCGGCCTGGTGGTGGAGAAGACTTCTGAGACAGCCGAGCAGCAGACTCTGCAGATCAGCGCGCAGAAGCCGGTGAAGTGCTTGGTGTTCGAGGAGCGCGACGGGGTCAAGATCAGCGACAGCGCCATGGACATCATGCCTGGCGACAGCCAGACTGTCACCGTGAGGGGATTGAAGCCGGGCGATTCCCTCAAGTACAAGTATCTCGACCACTAATCACTTGGTCTGATATTCAAGTAAATGAATAGTTATCCAGCCTTTCTTCACTCCAGTCTGTCTCCAAAAATCATCTAATAACCCACAATGGAACGTTCTTGGGGGAGAACCCCCAAACCCCCCTTTTCTTTCGAATGCCCAGCCCAACTCAACCCTTAAACTGGCTTTATAAAGCATCCCGGGGGAGAACCCCGGACCCCCCTTTCTTTCAGCATCCTAGCACCTCAATCCATAGGCCAAGCGTGTAAGCGTCCCGGGGGAGAACCCCCGGACCCCCCTTCCTTTCAGCTTCTCAGTACAGCACATCTACAGATCTTATCAGATAAGCCACCCGAACCCGCCCCACCGCAGAAATGACATCTTCGCGCCTCACCACCACCACAACCACCACCACACCCATCAACTCACTCAATGGCCGGCACAAAACGCACCTGGGACGGCCACCCCCTAGATACTGCACCCCCCGCAACAATGTCCACCGACTCCCCCTCCATCCACGCGATGTTCGAGACCTTCCGCAACGAGCTCGACGAGCACCACGACCGCCGCGAGCGCCTCATCAAAACCAGCAGAGACATCACCGCGCTCAGCAAGAAGATGTACCCCCGCCTCCTCTCCTCCAAACTACATACCTCAGAACTAACAATCTAATCGAACAGAATCTTCTCCCTTCAACGGTCCGTCCACCCAGCCCGAATCCTTAAACCCCAATTGACAAAATAATAACCCATAACCCCCAATACCTCCAACAATCCCCACAATATAACCCCAAGAAATCCACACTAACAAACGAATACCCTCAGAATCCGCCAAATAAACAAACCCCTCCCCCCCAAAACAATCAAAGAGATAAACGAGAAATTCAACCAAATAACCCACCTCTTCACAACGACCCTCCCAGACCTAACATCCCAAAACCAACACCGCTACCAGCGCCAACTCAGCGGCGCAATCCAGGAGTTCATCGAGGCGCTCTCCTTCCACCACTACCTAACAACCCAAACCCTGATCACCCTCCCAGAAGTGCGCGCGCACCTGCCCACCGGCATCCCGCTCACGGAGGAGGATTACCTGATGGGGTTGTTCGACCTCACGGGCGAGGTGATGCGGTTTGCGGTGACGACTTTGTCGGGCTCTTCCTCATCCCCTTCTTCAACGGAAGAGGGGGAGGGGCAGGGGGAGGGGAAGGACAGTGCTACGGCCAAGCAGACAAAAGTCCAGCTGCCCTCCGAGCAGAACGCCATCGTCGTGGATCTGCGCGCGATGCGGGCGGCTATTGAGCTCCTCAATATCCCGCGGCGGCATGCCGGGCTTATGTTCCGTGATATGGGCCGGAAGATTGAGGTCATGCAGGGGTCTGTCGAGAAGGTGGAGCGCGCGGCGTATGGGATCTTGGTCCGCGGGAGTGAGAGGCCTGAGGGGTGGAGGCCGGATTTGAGTGCCGGTGCTGGAGGGGCCGGGGAGGGCGAGGTTTACTAGTTTCCTGTGGAGGGTTCTTATCGTGGGAAAGTGGGAATGCAGTTGTTTGAGTATAGCTATGTTCATAAGAGCAAGGACGAGAGCATGTTCCCAGAAAAATGGATGGACGGATTCCAGCACAATCAAACCCGTTCGCAAGCAAGGGGACCCGAAAATAACACAGATAAAAACGCCAGTATTCATGTCATTCTAAACAGCTGGGAACCGCGGGTCTTCGTCCTCCGTGAGGATACCCTGCGAGATCAGTTGGTCCGGCGCCGGGCGGCTCTGGATCTTTTGGTCTAAATGGTCGGCTAGCATGTGTTTCTCCAGCTCGCGGGCGTTGGCTTGCAGGGCCGGGGCGGCTGTCGAGGAGGGCAGGATGTTGCCTGTTTGAGAGCTTGTTAGCATGATCGCAGGAACAGTAATCTCTGCTAATGAAGCGCTCACGTTCAACGAGTTCCTCGCGATCGGGGCGGTGCTCGAGGTGTTTCTTAAGGTCGTCGGCTTTGCGGTGGCGGGCGAGTTCCTCTCGGGCGGCTTGGAGGGATCTATGGACCATGAGGGGTTAATGTGGGGAACGGGGAAGTGTGTCTTCTTGGGTCAACATACGGAGCCACGTTGGTGTCGAGGAGGATGTGTCGTTCTTTCAGGTCCTGCACGTCGGGTCGATGCTGGAGGTGCTTCTCGAGCGAGCCACGGCGCTCGGTGGGGGATGCGGAGAGAGGAGTCTGGTCGATAGCGTTGGAGTCCATGATGACGTATGGGAGTTATAGTTTAGTTGGCAGGTGTTGTTGACAGAGGAACGATGTTGCGGTGGGAGAGATGAGTTTGGTCAGGAAGTGATGTCCGGAAGAAGAGTCAGCGTGTATAAATAAGTTAGCAGACAAACAAGTCAAAGAAGGATGAGCAGCAGCACGGCTACGTATGGACTGATTGACGATGATGCAGAGTGGGTGTTGTTGTCAGGGCGATTAATGGGAGGGTCAAGTGATGTGAGTGGCAGGCCGATCCACGGGACCGGTCGCCAACTGGTGGCCACTTTGGTTCCGCTGTGACGATGCAGTCACTGTCTTCCGATGTCATACTGTGTACTAACTACTACTACTGGACTACACTCTACCTCAATAGACAATGGGAATGTAGTCGCCAATACTACTCTCCTGGATGAACGAAAATCCAACTAGTCCGGGGTTGATTGTCCACCCTCAAACCACTACGCTAAAGGAAGGAGAAACCCCAATAAGCATAGATCACCGTATGATTGTTTGCAGCTATCATCAATATCATCCATGGCTGTGCCTCGTCTTCGCCCCCAGTACTCCTCTCCGCCCAAAAGATGTCCAACAAATCGATCGTAAAGCGAAGAATAACTGCTATATCTGTTTTCGTAACTTGCAGAGTAGAAAATGTCGAAAAAGCTAGCCTCCTCCAGACAGATTCCGCCTCCCTATACCCCCGGCTTCCTACTAGCAAATTCCAAGGAGGGAAAATGAAAGCAAAAACGCCTCCTCCCACTAAAGCAAAGCGATGTCGACAAGACAGGCAGGCATGAGCCACAACGACACCTCGAGACGTTCGGGCTCCTCGGAATAAAAAGCGGACCACACGTATAGCAGCCCGAGTCTCCTTCCTGGAGCTACTTTCCCATCAGGATGGTCATCGTCGTTAAGTCGAGACTAAACGCTGAGATCTCGTCTACCCAGTTCGGATTCCATGCCATCTGTCCAGGACCCATTCGCCCCATCCATGAAGTCACAGTCGCAAGTCGACACAGGTCGGACTGAAAGCAGCCCCGATTCAGGCAGAAGGACTCATTTTTGATGCTTCAGGTAACAACCGCGTCGGTCTATTTCAGAGTTGGAAAACGTGCGATTCGTCCATCGTCAAATGATCGGACGAACCCTTGCATCAGATCAAGGAACCCAAAGCTTCCCACGACCCCGGCTGTTACCACGAGTAGGGCCCCGAGAGGCTCCCCGGCGGTTATTGGCGTAGTTCCGAGACGCACCCGCCATGCCCCGTGCTGCGCCGGACTGAGTGCTGAGGTCGACTGTGGGCTGTTGTTTGGAAGGGCCAAGCGAACGGCTGAACGAGTTCGGGTCAATCGGCTGAGTGGGGATCTCCATTGTAGCCTCAACGGGCGGGGCCACACTTTTGGCGACAACCGTCTTGCGACTGTTGGCCCCGCGAGAACCACCACCGCGCGATGCTCCCTTGCCTCGACCGCGAGGAACGAAGACGAGCTCATCTTCGTCGCTCTCGTCCTCATACGACAGAAGAGACTTCGGTTCGCTGCTGCTGCCGGCCTGGGTCTTTTCGACATATTTGCATCGGTTCTTGAATTCCCGCTCCTCGTACTGGATGGATGTCCGCAGCTGATGAATGTTCTTAACCGCGATGCCGAACTTCTGTGCCCAAAGCTGAGTCTGTGGATCATTCGTGATCAAGATACAAGTCTTGGCCGCATTCGAAGCATCGGGACCCTGGTGCAGTCGCCACAGCAGCGCGCTGAGCAAGGGTCGGAGCACCGGTGGGACCGTGGGAATGGTCGAGCTAGACGCCGAACGACGATGCCCGTTGGCGCGCTTTGCCTTGTTCCCCTTCGATCCTCCTCCGTTGGTTATCACCTGCGAGTTGGCACATTCGGGGCTGGTTCGAGAGCTTCGGGAAGACGGACGGGAGGGAGCACTGTGGGTGCCGTTCGACGTATTCGAGACTGCATCAAGTTCCTTCTTGAAGTTCAATTTGTTGAGTAGCATCTGGGATAAATCGTCCGGTGAGGCGCCATTCTTCTTGGGTTCTTTGCCTTTCTCGTCGGGGTGCGCCGTCGGGCCGTCGGGGCCAACTCCGTCAATCGCCTCCGGATCCTCCTCGAACTCGGGCAGGAAGAACTTCTCCGCCTCCGCCCAATTCTCGTACTGCTCCATGGGACCCTGCAAAGCAACCCGTTCGGAAGAGATGTTGTCCTTGCCCGAGGTAACCCGGTCGAGGAAGCGGACAGCCTCGCGGGCGTTGATGGCGACCTGCGACCCGGCTCTCTTCAATGCATGGAGGCGTTCAAGGGCTGAGGAGGGAGCACTGATCAGTAACAGCGACGTAAGCGACTCCACTCGACTTACTGTAGAGAGGCACAATCAGAGTAATCGCCCCGTTGGTGGTCCATTTTTTGATTTCGCTGATATTGGTGGTTAACGCCGTCTCATCCACGGCGCAGTGGAAGACCTTGCGTCCGGTCGTCATAATTGCCCTCAGGCGATCGGCAGGACAGGACGCGTTGCTAAAAGTTGATAAGTTTCGCACGGCACAGCGGCCTTATACCAAATAGCTAGCTTTGACGACTGCGACCGAGCCGCAGGCGTGGTTAGCGTGATGCTGGATCCAGCGAAGGAGGTTTGATTAGGATTAATGGAGGCGGAGGAATATGGGAATGTGGGGGCCCTGGCTCGCAGGCAGAGAGCGTAGTGTATCCGATGATAGCCAACCCACGGTGCTTCGATATAGAGGACGGTTCACTCACAATGCAATCCTAATTCACAAAGAACGATCATCTGCAGCATTTTGTGATCTGAACAAACGATTGGGGAAGAGAATAATGAGGCGATCAGATCGGTGAGAAGGAGGAGGAGGAGAGGACCTCCAGCAGCGGATCAACTCCATGCCGCGGGAATCATCGGGATCCTGACTAAGCACCAGTATATTCCGCGCCCGTGACTCTTAGTTTGGATCCATGTGCACATTGACCTCAGTCTTACGATAAGCTCACTGGTGGCTTGCTGCTTAGAGAGGTTTGGTTCTGGCTCTCACGGAAATTCATAGCTGCCATTACATAAGACTTCTATCTAGGAGTCTTCCCTTGTGTACAGTCTATGGCTCGGATTGATCTGACTTTCTGGTATGCGCTGTCGCTCGAACAAGCTGAAACAATGGGAACGAGAGAAGGGAACATCATGTCATAGAAGAAACACATAAAAAAACCCAAGTGTTAAGGTTTGGGCAGGGAATCTTCGGTTGCGTAGTCTAGGCCATTTTCTTGATCAGGCCTTCCTCGGGCTTCACACGCTGTGCCCATTCACTGTCGACAGTCAGCACAAATACACGAGTAAAGAAGAAAAGAGAAAACTCACGTCCAGCTCCCATCGTAAACCCTCCGAAGGTTCGGCTCGCCGTATTCCGCCTCAGCCAATGCGGTCTCGATGATAGTCGCCGTTACACCGGTGCCACAGGAGCTGATAATTGACTTGGACGTGTCAATGTCCTTGCTCTCGAAGATCTTGCGCAGCTCGGGCCCGGACAGGAAGGTCTTAGTTTCGGGGTCCAGCAGCTCCTGGAACGACAGGCTCTTGGAGCCCGGAATGTGTCCTGAAGACAGGCCCGGGCGCGGTTCAGGGTCGGTGCCCGCCCAGCGGCCATAGGACCGTGCATCAAGGATCTCCACTTCTTTCGCACCCTCCTTCCTGTGCTCCTTGGCGATCTCCTTCAGCTCTCGGTACGGGATCACGAGCTTTGAGTCGTATGTAGGGACCGGGTAGTTGGTCTTCTCCGGCTGCTGGGGCTCTCCGGTCTCGGTGGGGAAGCCCTCCGCAACCCACACTTTGTAATTGTTCAGAACATGCACTCGCGGGTGTCCAAAGACGCGAAGGGTCCAGCCGACACGAGGCGCACTGAAGATGCCAACTTCTGCGGAGTCGTACACCACCACCTCGTCGTCGCGTCGGATGCCCAGTTCACTCATGGCTTCGGCGAATGTTTCGGCGGTGGGGAGCATGTGCGGGTATGGAGACTCATGATCTTTGACAGCATCGAGGTCAAAAAACCGAGCTCCCGGGATGCGATGCTTGCGGAAAACGTCGATTCCTTTGCGACCCTCGGGGTCATTTGGCATGAACCAGGCGGCGCATAGAGGGACTACACGAGGGGATGTCGAGATCTTCGTCGCCGGATTCTTCTTCAAGGCAGTGTCCAATTCTTTGGGAGCCACCAGGTATGAAGCAAAGGAATACTGGCGACTCTGGAATTGCTGTCGCGCTTGGTGTGAAGTCGACATGGTAGAACGGACCAGGCGAGTCGGTGAGGGGATAGAGTTACGAAGAGTAGCGAAAGCCATAGTGGAAACAGTAGATCTGAGGGAGTAATTTAGAGATTTACATGCCGATAATCACGATGCGCGATTAATCATCCACCAAGCGGAGCAGCCGGAGAGGGGTGATAGACGAGAGAGTAAGAGGGGTAAAGGTGAGGAAGGGAAGAGTGTGGAGAGGTTGAGGAAGGGAGGAATGAATGAATGCTATCACAAATGCGGAGAGTGAGCGGCCGCCGACCATGTGAAAATCATTCGGGTAAACAATCCCGCTTATCATCGATCCACTTTCACCCAGCCCAGTTCGCTCGCCTGTCTGGCCGTCTTGACTCTTTTGTCCTCGCTTGTCTGCCCCATCTAGTCTTCAATCAACACAATATACTCCAACCATGAAGGTCACCATCAAAGAGTGGAATGCCGTCGCAACCTGGCGCTGGGACATGCCCGACGACGAGGTCTGTGGTATTTGTCGCGTCCAGTTCGACGGGACCTGTCCGACCTGCAAGTTTCCCGGCGATGATTGTTCATTACGTGAGCGCTTCTTCCCCCGTTATCGGAATAAGCTATTGACCTGGATGCTGGATCGCAGTGCTTGGAAAATGCGGCCACTCGTTCCATATGGTGCGATTGCGGAGCCCAATGTCCTCATGCTCAAATGAAACCACTACTGACTGACCGCAGCACTGCTTGATGACTTGGATCCAGCAAGAATCTTCCAAGGGGCTTTGTCCCATGTGCAGACAGAGTAGGTCATTTCTATAACACGATGGACTGGACTATGCACTCACTCGCTGCAGAATTCGAATGGAAGCAAAACGACGAGGAACAATAATCGGTCTCGAGGACCAACTGCCGGCCTTTGCGAGGCATTCGAAGGACCAGAAACTATGATACCCACTCCAGCATATCTGCATAGGCTCCCATCATTACCTTACTTACATTCATGTACATACAAATCCCTTCCTAGCATCACTCTTCCCTCTTGGCGATAACAACAATCGCCGATTGTAATCACGTGATCTTATCCATCCTATTGATAAGGCAGCGAACAACAGCCAATACGAGCAAGCCTACCCCAGACAGAGCTGAGCCGTGCCACTGCACAGCTACCTACCTACCTAGGTTACCTCCAACCCGGAGCTATCACCAACTCACTGCACCTGCCAACAACCAACGCACCAAACCACAACGATGTAGCCAGCCCTCCCACACAGACCACAAACCAAGATGTCTCTACCAAAACACAACAGTCCCTCCCCGCTCTCCTCCTCCCCTTCGAAACACTCCACCCGCCGCACCTCAGCAACCAACGACCCCCCGATCTCCCGCCCTCAAAGCATAATCGACCGCCCACCAACAGCCCAACACCACCACCACGACAACCTTACCCCCAACACGCACCCAACAGACGCAAACCCAAACCAAGGCCAAACAACCACACAAACGCCCCCAAACCACCCACCAGCACCCTCAACTACCGCCGCAACCACAACCTTCCAACCCTTCTTCACCCTAATCGAAGACGCCAACAACACAGCAGAGTACCACCACCCGACAGTGCACTACATTTTCGCAGACGACGACACAGACATCGTAACGGAAGCGACGTTACGGGCATTGGAAAGCGAATCCGATGCGCTCGCCTACGTACCGAGGAAGGGCAAGTCGCGGTCACGAGCCTCACCGCTGCGCCGCCAGCATCAGCCTCCACTGGACGGAGAAGAGGGCGAGCAAGGTGGACCGGGTCCTTACGACGAGGAAGAGGATGAGTATCGCTCTGCGCGGAAGCCGTCGCTTTTACCGGACTCGATTCCCGGGGTGAAGGAGCATTATGTGATTCTGGATATGGACTATGCTGCGCCGGCGGAGTCGAAGACGACAAGAGAAATTGCGGGGGGTGGTGGGGAGATGCTGGTTACGGCGCCCCAGCAGCAGCAGATGCAAAGACAAGGGCAGCAGGAACAGCAGGACCCAGCCGGGGTGGGGAACACAGGGGGTGAGAGGTTGGTAGTGACGGCGGCGCATAGTCTGTCGCCTGCGTGGCAGGTGCTTGATACCCAGCTGGGGCCGGCGCCGACGTTCGAGAATAATACCCCTAATAATAATGCGTCGCAGGGGCAGTCCGTGAATGGGGGCTTGATGTTGAAGATCCGCGGGACGGCCGGGTTGCCGATGAATAATACTCTGCTGGGCAAGGATCGCGATAAGGAACGCGGGTGTCAGCGGCTGGAGGAGATGATGGATCAGTTTGCGAAGAGATTGGCGGAGCTGAGGCTGGTTATTGAGGCTGGGGAACAGCAGCAGCAGCAGCAGCAGCAGGCTGGACACGCGGAGGAGGGTGTGGATGACGAAACAGCCCTTCCTGGTGAACGGGGAACTGACGATGATGGAGCAGACCGAACTCAGCAACACCAACAACAAACACAGGCGGGAGATGCGACGGCTAGGGGAGAACGGGAACAATAGCATCGGCCTTTGACCAACATGGCACTTCTTTCGGATTGGAGTCTCACGCGCAGCGAAAGGCATGGCATCACGACTTAACTGTAGCTTCGACAATCTACTCGTATGCTATTATAGTTATGGAAAGTCACTTGCAGCCTCAAAGAGTTCATGAATGTAGGCTCTATCACATCAAAGCCGGGTAATCGTTCATCCCGCTAGAAACCTATACAAGTTGCAGAACGCCAGGCACCGAAGAGCCCGCACATAAAAATACTCCAATCAAAAGCAGACACATGCAAAACAAAACAATCGAATACCGTCTCCAGATTTATCTTAGCCAAGACCAGGGGTATCTCAAAACGCCTGCCGCAAGGTGCAAGCGGACAGCGTGCTTCCGTACGCTCGAACAGAGTAAACAATGATAAGATCAGGGGGAAGGCCGACGTCTGAGTCTTCGGCCGCTCGGAGTTTCCACAGGGGATACGTTTTCGGGTCCCTCCATGATTCCGGCCATCTTCCGAGAGAGTAACTTTTTGGGCAGTTTGGCGTCACTCGTCGTGGTGCTCGAACAACGTCTCTTAGGAGGTGGCTGCTCGACATCATCACACTCCGTTTCCACAGTCACAACGGAGGACTTGCGTGTCGCCTTGTCATCCGCCGTACTAGGCACGAGTGGTTTGGCAACGACGTTTGCATCGACTTCCCTAAGGCCCGTGTTGGACGGAGTGACGGTGGTCTTGGGTGGTAGAGATCCTACCTCGTCCTCGGTATCATGGAAAACGAAGCCTTTGGCCGGTGTGGTGGCAGGGGAGCTATCAAGCACAGAGATATGTTCTTCCCCACTGAAAGGAAGGGCCGTAAATTCTCTGGAAGTCCTTATCCGGGATTTGATGTTGTCATGGGCCTCAGTCCGGGGTAAATCCGCCGGGTAATCATAATGGCGCTTCTTGGGGGTGGTGCCAGTCGCGACGTACTCTGCAAATGCTCGGCGTTGGATGCTTTCGCGAAGCTCCAAGAGCGGTTTCCTCACGTCGTCTGCCAGTGGAATGGCAGACTCCTGAAGACTAATCTGCGGCTGCATGGCCCCTTCCTGCAGCTCCTGGAGACGACCGCCCAAGTCCGACAACTGCGTGTTCACCGAGTCGTACGACTGATGGACGCTGGAAGACATGTTCTGGAGGCTGGAGAGATGGGCGTCCCGGTAAAGACCGTTCTGAGAGCGTGCCTTTGCAACAAAATCATCCAAAGCTTCCATTTGCTTGCTCATATTCTTCATCTGAGCATCAACAATCCGGACAGTCTCCTCATGCACCGACTCGGTCGTCTTGTGGATGGATGCGTTGCGTTGGTCGAAAATCTGCGAGGTGGTTAGTATCGATTCCGTTAAAAGGCATGAAGCGAGCTGAAACTTACCTCCCAGTCACTCTGCATCTTGGTCTTCATCTCATCCTTAGAAGCGGTCACATCCTTTGCAAACTGCTCTGATTTGAACACCCACTCGTCAACCTGGCGGTCATAATGAGCGGTCGCATGCTCCAGAGAATCACCCGAAGCAGAAAGATCAGTGCGCATGGTGTCGATCTTGCCCTTGAGACGGCTACACTGTCTTTGACGGGACTCCTCAATGAGCGACTTCACCTGTGAAAGCAAGAGATCGCGCTCGGCTTCCGCATTTGCATTCTCCTCTTCCAGGGTCTGTGCCAAGTGCGATGAGACTTTGCGGTTCGCGTCGACGGCTCTGAGGTTCGCTTCCTGAAGTTCCAGCCTCAGTTTATTGATTTCCGTCTTTTGGCCATTGAGATGAGCCACCATATTCTCGAATACAGATTTGAGGTCCCTTCCAAGGGTGCTGTAGGAGGCATGGAGTTGAGCATTGAAGTCTGCAAATTCGCCAATCACCTCCTTGGAGATGCGAGCAGCTGCGGCAGAGAGACCATTGAGGCCTTCGCCAACTTTAGCCTTAACCTCTTCCCGCAACACTTTGATCTCTTCGAGCACTTCGTTCATCTCATCGTGGGCAGCGCATGTCTGAGATTGGGCCTCACGCTCCGCCCTGTCGAACAGATCGTTGGCTCCCAGCAGCTGCGACTTGTTCAACTCGATATTTCCGATCTCCGTTGTAACGAACTCGTTGATTTTGTTCGACATGGCCTCAACCAGCTCGGAATGTTGCACCTGGAAATCTTCGAGTCTGGAATCGACTACCTGGGTCACGTCGGTAACTTCAGCTGCAGACATCTGCCAAGCTTCCTTGTTGGTGGAGTCCAAATCAGTTTTCCTTTGAATCTTTGCGTGAAGTCCGTTGATGTCCTCGACCGTCGTATCCAGGGTGGAAAGAAGACCAGCTCCAATGTCACGAAGATGGGCCTCCGTATCCTCGTGCGCCTTGCGGAGGATCTCCTCTTCTTCGAGTTGCGATTTGGTATTCTTAAGCACGATCTCAGTCTGTTCAAGAACGTCGTTCGTTTTCTTCAGAGCATTTCGTGTTTCTTCATTGTTCTTTTTGAGGTCGTTGAAATTGCTTGTGAGAGAGAAGAGTTCCTGGACCTTGTGCCGCAAGCTAGACTCCATGGACTCGATCTTTGCGCGCTGTTCTTCGCTGACAATCCTTCGAGACTCACTCTCCATAGTCATCTCTTCCCATGCATCAACACTCATGTAAACACCATTCCGATGCCTCGTTGCAATCAGCTCGCCCTTTAGTTTTTCGATCTCAGCTGTGAATTCCCGCAGCAGAGTCTTCTTTGGCATAGTCGAGTTGATTTGTGGTTTGTTGCGAATGTTCTTGGCTCGGAATGCGTAATCCAGGGTGGAAATGGTTTCTTCCAAGTTGCTGCGCGATGGCGAGATCGTAGCAATAATGCATGTCTTTGTTTTGCCGCCGAGGGAATCTTGCAAGAGACGAGTGAGCTTCGACTCTCTGTAAGGTATGTGAGGGCTTTTATCGACCAAAGCATTGATCACCCGGCCCAAAGTAAGCAAGCTCTTGTTGATGAGGCCGGCTTCCGCCGCACGCTTGTTCTCAGCGCCACTGCGCTGGATGTTTTCGCTACCAGCCAGATCAACCAAGTTCAACTTCCCAAAACTTACGTACTCATCGCCAGACTCCGTTGTTCGTTTCGTCATTACGGTAATGGTGAACACCGTGTGACTTCGGGAACTGAGATCGTTGCATTTGGTGGCAGCAACATGGCGCTTGTGGCTCCCTTCCTGGAGAAGCTTGATGCCAGCGGACGCAGAGTCAATGAAAGTTTCCTCCATGCCCTGGACCAGAGTGCTTCCACTGTGGCCTTTCCGTGACTCGTTCTCGAAGATCTTCAGTCTGGGGTTCTCTTCGACGGAGAGGAGGTCGCGCAGCTCTTCGTTGTACAGTTCAATGAAAGAGCACTTAACGGTGCTCTCAGTGTCCTGTAATTTGTGGAAAAGAGAGTAAAGCACACGGGGTATAATGCCGGCATTGTCGGATAGTATTCCCAAAGTGTCCGTCATGTCGCCGGACATTGTATACGTCTTTCCGGTGCCTGTCTGTCCGTATGCAAAAATTGTGCAGTTGTAGCCAGCGAGCATCTCATTGACAATCGGGATGACGACATCTTCATAGACGGTGATTTGATCGGCAGCCGCTGAGAAGACCTTATCGAAGGTGTAGGTCTTGTTGGCCAATGCATTGGGACCCATCGACAATTCCACGGTCTTTCCTTTGGCGCCTTCAGTCGACACAACAACCCCACTGTTCTCCTTGATTTCTCGGTCGTTCCGGCCTCTGCATCGGACAACGACATGGATACTCGTATCTTCGTTGATCTCGCGCTCAAAGTCTCTTTCTTTTCGTTTTGCAGTGATACTGGCGGGTTCGGCCGGCGATTTCGTGGCACGCGATGCACTGGATGAGGGCACCTTGGACGCAATGGCTGGGGATGCCGCCCTTTCTGCGGTTGTCATCGAAGAGCCGAGTCTTCTTGAGGTTGGGCGCGTCGCTGTTCGTCTTGTCGGCAGCCCTGAGGCAGGCCGGGGGGGGCCGGCCATGATGGTCTAAATGCTGTTATCCAAGACGAGATAAGATGCAGCAGATGTACGGATAGGTAGTTGCGCCCGAGACTAAGTAATGCGGAATAGCTTTAAAGCGACGACATGGGTGGTGGGTGGTCGGAGAATTGGGTTCAGGAGGTGTGCTTTGCTGTTATCCGCCGGTGTTGTTGCTCTCCAGTCTCAAAGCGGAAAATGTAAACAAAGCGCCTTCACCGCCCACGTGCCGTCGGGTCTCTCGTCATGCCCCTCTCTCACATGATAACATGCGTTCATCGTCAGCTTCGCTGCACCTCCTGACTGTCATTGATTCTCTGCTGGAACTGTCTCTGATCTCTGCGTGGATATCTGAATAAATTCTGACAGATAAGCTGTTCAACTTCATTTTGGGAACTCTGGTGGTTGTGCCACACCGCAGTCGACGACTGCTCACCCAGCGATAATATACTAACTCAACCCGCCCCCTCACGTCTCCGCCCCAGTATGCATTTGGTCTATATCCCAGCATGACTTCCTCCAGACCTTCACCACAAGTTCAGATCTATCCTGGCAAGGGGCTGGGCTTTATAAGCATGTTGAGTCCTTTTCACTGATGCCAAACAGAACTAACCCTTGCTTTTTCAGCCCTTGGAGCCTCCCTCCACAATGTGCTTACCCGCGTCAAATCCCATCCCCAGACGTACCCCGCAATAGATATCGCATATTCGTCCTCGGAGCCTCTTCGCAAACCAGTCACTTTACAACTTCCATCCAGCGGTCTCCGTCTGCGGTTTGACGGACCGGACCAGAGGCTGCGGTTGATAGAAGTGCTGGACTTCTCCAAGATCACCCTTGTTTACAAGAACCAGGAGGTGCTGAAAGGCATCAAACCACAAGAGCAGCCTGTCACACAGCAAGGGCCCAACTTCCGACATATTTATAATCGCTTGTTTGGTCCTTCTTACCCCGGAGAGTATATACCACCGGAGAACCCCCAGTCACCGTATGGTACCTACGTTTTATCGTATCCCGGTGTCGCTTTCTCTTTTCCGCTTCAGAACTCAGCATGGTCGGATCAGTGTGATTTTGTAGCATTGCTTTCTTCATCAGCCGCCCTACCCGCGACTTCGATGTCCATTTTCCAAGGGTCATCATGGCCGGAAGCTCGAAACAAACTCTTTACCCAGCAGCCACAATACCCCCGTTCCCCAGCGTTGGTGGGTAAAAGCAGGGACTTCGTACCCGATGAGATTGAGGAATTCCTGATCTTCGGAGCTGGCAAGATTGAAGCAATCCGGCGATCAACGCCACCTGCTCAGATCACGTTGTCGGAAACGACTCCGCAGGATCTGATCGCAGAGTTCGGGCCCCCCGATGCGATATACCGTAAGAACGATCGAAGGATAGCTATCCACCGGGCGGCAGGCCGTAGCGCTGGAGAGGATCCTCTTCATATGGGTCCATCTGCTGGCCGCGGAATCGATGTCACAGACCTTGATCACTCGTCCAACAACAGCGTGACTGATGACTCAGATGACGAGAATTTCCAGGCCCACGCATTGGATCCTTCCTCTCTACCGGCCGAATGCTTCTTTAATTACTTTCATCATGGTTTTGATGCCTTTATCTCGTATCCGACAGTATCTGGTCCTGCCTTTCCCGGATCTGACCTTTCAGATCCCACCCCGCCGTCGCCTTCGTCCCAGCTGGTCGTGACCAAGATCATCTTGCATGGGAATGTACCAGGCTCGTATCCTTTCAACCGGCATCGCCGCAGTCGGTGGAAGATCATCCACAGCCCGGCCAGCGATACGCTCACGTCCGAAACTCGGTACGAAGAAGTCTCGGAGCGGCTTCGATCAGTCTGGAAGGGAGCCTACGCCGACGCCGCCGAGGAGCGTGCCCTGCAACGGCCCATGATCTTGAACAGGGGCTGGGGTGACAGTCCTGAAAGCAGTGTCGAGTTTCTGGGCGGATGGGAAGAAAGCACCGGGAAAGGACAGAGAACGGGGCAGGATGGCCATGATGGAGGTTTGGGGAACACGGAATTGTTTGGTTTTCCAGGCCTCCTGTTTGAGGTCATGAAGAATGGCGCCGTGAGCTGTCTGACAGTATATTAATCACTTGCAGCGACTATGGCGACGTTCAAAGGAGCCCTGTATATGTTTCTCATATCACTCACTCGCCGGACAGAAGTTTTAGTAGCATTGAGTATTTAAGAGTAGCATGTGGGCTTGGAATACAGACTTAATCTCAAAAAAAGGCTTCTTTGATTGGTGGATACAGCATACTTTCAATACGTGTAATCCGTGAAATACCCGCGGCGGAGGTTTCCCAAAAGTCCGAGCGGGCATGGACCTGAAACTTGAACCTCCCACGCCTTTCCTCAAAACCAACCTTCCTGGAAGGCAGGATATGATCCAACAATAGTATGGCGGAACTGCCACGGACGCTCGCTCGGTCCTGGTCGTCGACGCTCAAGCTCCCCAAGTCGACGTTCCCCGCACGCGTGACGCCGGCCGATCAGACGAAATACCTCCGGCGATGCACCGACGACCTGTACGCCTGGCAACAGCGTGAGCGACCGACCGACCGGCCCTTTGTCCTCCACGATGGGCCGCCGTACGCGAATGGCGAGCTCCACGTCGGTCATGCGCTGAACAAGATCACCAAAGACATCATCTGCCGCGTCCAACTGGGGCAGGGGCGGCAGGTGCGCTACGTGCCGGGATGGGACTGTCACGGGCTGCCCATCGAGCTGAAGGCGCTCGAGGCGCAGAAGGAGCTCCAGAAGGAGGACGGCACGGTCAGCGCGGCGGTGATCCGCAAGGCGGCCCGCAAGCTGGCGGACAAGACGGTCAAGGCGCAGATGAAGGGCTTCCGCAGCTTTGCGGTCATGGCCGACTGGGACCACCACTGGAAGACGATGGACAAGGCCTTCGAGAAGCGCCAGCTGGGCGTGTTTCGCGAGATGGTCGAAAGGGGCCTCATCTATCGCCGCTTCAAGCCGGTCTACTGGTCGCCGTCTACGGGCACCGCCCTGGCGGAAGCGGAATTGGAATACAAGGAAGACCATATGTCGACCGCCGCGCTGGTCCGGTTCCCGCTCGCGCAGATCCCGGAGCATCTCGCCCAGGACCCGTTGCTGCAGGGTAAGGAGATCAGCGCCGTGATCTGGACGACCACGCCCTGGACGCTGCCTGCCAACGCCGCTATTGCCGTCCACGAGTCGCTGGAGTACACGATTGTCGAGTCGGAAACGCACGGTCACCTGCTCATCGCCCAATCGCGCCTGGAATACTTGGAAAGCCAGCTGAAGGAGGATCTGTCGGTCATCGTGCCGGCCATCCTCGGTTCTCAGCTGGCGGGTCAGACTACGTATCGCCCTTTGTTCAAGGGATCCGCTGCGGAGCCGCAACCCATTATCGCGGCGGACTTCGTCACCGCGGACTCGGGATCTGGTCTTGTGCATTGCGCCCCCGGTCATGGTATGGAGGATTACGAAGCTTGTCTGTCTCTTGGGATTCCCGCTTTCGCGCCTGTGAACGACCATGGCAGATTCACCGACAAGGCCATGCCCAGTGATCCGGCACGGCTCAGCGGGAAAAGTGTCCTGGACGACGGCAACGCGGCGGTTTTGGAGTATGTCGAGTCTCAGGGCCAGCTTCTCACTCAGCATAAGTACGAGCACAAGTATCCTTACGACTGGAGGTCCAAGCGCCCGATCATCATCCGCGCTACGGAGCAGTGGTTTGCCGACGTCGCCGATATTCGCGGTCATGCTTTGGAAGCGCTGAACGACGTCAACTTTGTTCCGATCTCGGGCCGGCAACGCCTAGAGAACTTTGTCAAGAACCGCAGCGAATGGTGTATCTCTCGTCAACGCGCCTGGGGCGTTCCCATCCCGGCTCTCTATCACCGGGGCACTGGGGATGCCGTGCTCACGAAGGATAGCGTGAGCCACATCATGGGCGTGATTGAGGAGCGTGGAATCGACGCATGGTGGACCGACGAAGCGAACGATGACGCGTGGGTCCCTCCGTCGCTTCGAGACGCATCCGGGCCTGGGTACCGACGAGGAACCGACACGATGGATGTGTGGTTCGACAGTGGCACCAGCTGGGCCGAAGTGGACGTCCCTTACCGCGAGGATGGCCGTCCGGCCGACGTCTACTTCGAAGGTACCGACCAGCACCGCGGATGGTTCCAGTCCGGGCTTCTCACCTTCATCGCCCACCAGCTTGCTTCCGGACAGACTGCTTCGCCGCGGGCGCCGTTCAAACACCTCATCACCCACGGCTTCACTCTGGATGAAGAGGGCCGCAAGATGAGCAAGTCCATTGGCAATGTGATGCTGCCGCATCAGATCATGGACGGAACGCTGTTGCCACCCTTGAAGCCGCGTAAAGGCAAGGGGAAGAAGCAGGCTGAAAACCAGGCTCCGGTCTATGACGCGCTTGGGCCAGATGCTCTCCGCATGTGGGTGGCCAGCAGTGACTACACGCGCGATGTGGTGATTGGGAAGCAGGTGCTCCAGACCGTGAACACCAGTCTGCACAAGTACCGCGTGACCTTCAAGCTGTTGCTGGGTGCTCTGTCCGATTTCCGGCCCCAGGACCGTGTCTCGTACGGTAACCTGCAACAGGTCGACCGGATCGCACTGAAGCACCTGTCCGAGATGGTTCTGGCCTGCCAGAAGGCTTGCCAAAATTTCGAGTTCTACAAGGCGGTGAACGCGATCAATCGCTGGGCCAACCAGGAGTTCTCGGCGTTCTACATGGAGGCCATTAAGGACCGTCTCTACACCTACGGCGAAAACAGCGCGAGCCGGCGTGCTGCGCAGACGACGCTGTTCCACATCTACCAGCATCTCCAGGAAGTTTTGGGACCGATCACCCCCATGCTTGTGGAGGAGACGTGGGAACACACCCCCGCGGCGATCAAGGAACACTGCGAGCATCCTCTGCAGCGCGTTGTCTCAGTCCCGGCTGCGGAATGGCAGAACGAGGGGCTCGAATCCGACTACCAGGAGCTCGTGGCCGTCAACTCGGTGGTCAAGACGGTGCAGGAGAAGGCCCGCGGCCAGAAGCAGATGGGTTCGTCGCTCCAGTCGTTCGTCCACATCGTGCTGCCGGAGCACACGACGCCCGAATCGGTGTTTTACCGGGATGCGTCGGAACTGGCCGACGTCTTCGTGGTGTCGTCCGTCAGCCTCGGGGCTCACGGCGAGCCGATGCCGGAGTCGGTGGCGCAGGCGGAGTGGCAATACAGCGAGGAATATGAGCTCCCCAGCGGAGCCAAGGGAACGGTATATGTGTACAGTCCGCAGGCAGGGAAATGTCCTCGGTGCTGGCGGTATGTGGTTGCGGAGAGCGAGGCGGCGGAAGAGACGGTGTGCGATCGCTGCGAGGGAGTGGTGCAAGAGCTGGATGCAGCTGCAGCTGGAGCTGGTGCAGCTGGCAGTGTGTGAGTGGCCAGTTCCTTGATCTGTATTATAGGTTAATTATAGCAAATTCTTTGCTCGTACGTACAGTACAGTATTTACAGTAGTATTTACCTAGTACTACTAGTAAGTTAGCACAAATCTAGATCGGTCTTGCGGGGAATCCTGGCAATTCCCGCGCTGATTGGATGTAGCGAGGATAACGTCATGGACGGTGGCGGCAGTGATTGAGGAATCATTTCATTGATTCCAACTACTACTAAGCAAGTGGGCAAGCACGCACGCACTACTTGTCAAACAATCAGGCAACCTCCCCAGCCTTGGTTCATCTCGTCTCCTCTCGTCTCCTCTTCCTGGAGCTGCCAGTCGGAGCTGCTGGTCTCCTCACCCAATGACTTCTCTGTGACACTCTCCCCCTCCCTGTCTGTTGGTCCTGATTGGATTCCTGCTTCGACCTCGACTTCCATGACGACAGCAGCGAGGTCAGCATGACGACTGCTGCTTGCGATGGTTTCAGATTCCATCCCCGGCCACGAAGCTGTGCGTTCTCGTATATAGCCTCCGCCTTCCTCACTGTTGCTACTGCTTTCCATCCCCGCACCCGCTCGCCTTATCGATAACCAGCTCTTCCATCACCATCATCACCATCGCCTTCACCATCACCGTCACCATCACACAACTGTCAGCTGTCAACCGACTTCACCATGATCGAGACACTCCTCAAGGAGACTTGGCCTGTGCCTAGTCCGACCTCGACCGTGGCGCCCATCCCCACTGTGGTGCCCGGCAACGAACCCATCTTCCAGGAGATCCACGATACCGGCAAGCGGACATTATGGTCAGTCATGCATGGCTGTGGTTGATTGTATGTACCTAGCTAACCACTGCCATTCTACAGGGTGGTCACCGTGCTGATGGCCCTTTCCTCGCTCGTATTCTACGTCTTGGGAGCTCGTGTACCACTGGTAAGTCTGGTGTCATAGTCACACAAGCCATTTCCAAACCACCCAGCCAAGCCTATCCAAGCCCACACAAGTCGATCTATGTCCATCCACCCACCACCCATCACCACTAACCACCACCAGACCAAACGCGTCTTCCACACGCTCGTCTCCCTGTCCGCCACCATCTCGTTCATCGTCTACCTGGCGCTGGCCACGGGCGGCGGCATGACCTGGAAGCTTGACACGGTCAAGCTGCACAACAAGCACGTCCCGAACACGCACCAGGACTACTTCCGCCAGGTGTTGTGGCTGCGCTACGTGCTGTGGTTCCTGACCGAGCCGCTCAGCCTGCTCAGCCTGAGCCTGCTGTCGGGGCTGCCCGGCGCACACCTGCTGGTGGCCATCGCCGCCGACTTCGTCATGCTGAGCTCGGGCCTGCTGGGCACCTTCGCCGGCCACACCTCGCGCCGCTGGGTGTGGTTCACCATCAGCGCCATCGGCTATCTGACCACCGTCTACCACATCAGCGTCAACGGCGCCCGCGCCGCCAGCAACAAGGATAACCAGACCCGCAAATTCTTCGGCACCATCTCCGGCGTGACTCTGCTGGTCAAGGTTCTGTTCCCTGTGTAAGTGTTTCCCATGGGATTGTAGCCAGAGAGCCACAAAGCTAATGGCGTATGATGCAGTACCATCGCGGCTGGAGCTCTCGCGCTCAAGATTAATGTCGACGTCGAGACGATCCTGTTCGCCATCTACGATATCTTCTCCCAGGGCCTGATCGGCTACTGGCTGATTATTGCGCACGACAGCGCCCCCGGAATGTAAGTGCTCGTGCGTTCATACCTGCAAGGAAGCGAACTAACGTGTGACAGCACTCTGAACGTGGACGGCTTCTGGTCTCAGGGCGTCGGCAACGAGGGCGCCATCCGTATCGGTGAGGATAACGGGGCCTAATGTCGTGTTGACGATAGGGCTGAGTGTCAAGAGGATCTCCGGATCGTCTTGGCTACAGTGTGACAATCAGATGTAGTTGATGACTGCAGGCCGGGTGTAAACCTGGCGTTATGACTTGACGTACTACGTACTGTGCTGTGAACTTTCCTAATGTCTGGGGTCCAAGTATGAGTATGATTGCAAAGCAAGGATGCGACAGTTGTATGTTTGATGTTGATTCGTGGTGGATGCCAAAGACATGAGCTGCTAGTGATGAATAGTTCTAATCAATCCAATCCCACTTTTACATATCACATCTCTACCTACTCCAACCCTCCACCCCTACCTCCATATACATAAAACCCAGAGAGAGGCGTTCATGGGGGGAGAACCCCCCAAACCCCCCCTTTCTTTCAGCTTCCCAGCCTACCTCAGCCCAAACCACTGGATATAACCCGTCCTGGGGGAGAACCCCCAGACCCCCCTTCCTTTCAGCTTCCTGGTATACCTCAATCTATACACTCAAAGAAACGTATACCCCAGAATTAATGCCCAACCAAAGCCTCCTGCGCAGGCGCATACCGCTTGCCAACCGGCTTCGCAGCCTCCACAATCCGGCGCATCTCCGCCGCCTCCTCAGAAGAAAGCACCACCTCCCGACTCCGCCAATTCTCCTCCAACCGCTGCACCTTGGTCGTCCCCGGAATCGGAATCAACCCCTGCGCTATAACCCACGCCAGCGCCACCTGCGTAACAGCGCACCCCTTCCGCGCCGCCAGCTTCTGAATCTCCTCCACAATCCGCTTATTCTTATAAAAGTTCTCGCCTTGGAACTTCGGACCTACACACCCACCCAACCAATCAATCAGCATAAACCCGAACCAAGCCAAACCATAGATATAGCCAGCCAACCAGCCATCCCCCAGCTCCACATCCACGAAGAAGAAAGAGAAGGGAGGGAAGAAAAAGAAACGTACTACTGCGCCTGAAATCATCAACCGCAAATTCCATAGGCGAAGCAAACTCAAACCGATCAACCAACCACCCATGGCCCAGCGGACTATACGCCACAAACGCAACGCCCAGCTCGCGCGCCGTCTCAATCAGCCCGTCGGTTTCGTGCAGCGTCTCGAAGGCAGAGTACTCGGCTTGGATGGCGTCGATTCTGGTTACTGTGTCGGTGACCCCCGGCGTGGCGCCAAGTCGTTAGTTAGTAAGGAGTATGGATAAACGTAATCACCGGCCAAGCGGCCCGAAAAAACATACACGCAGAAGCCCGCCGCAACGTCGCAGCAGAACACTCGCTTAACCCGATGTATTTCGTTTTACCTGCGGCGCGGAGGGCGGCGAGGGCGGGGATGGATTGCTCCAGGGGGGTTTCTTCATTCCTTAAGTATCAGCCGGGCGCACTATTCGGTCCGGACCAGACATCCCCAGAGGGAAAGAAAAGGAAGCGAACGAACTCGGATCCACACGATGCAGATAATACAGATCCGGCGTGAAGCCGAGCCGCTCGATGGTTCCGTCGATGTAGGCGTGGATGTGCGCGGGCGAGTTGGTGACGGTCTTGTCGCCGCCGTTGAGGACGTTGAAGCCGCATTTTGAGGCGACTGTTCATTCATTCATTCCATTCATGGGTGAGTTAGTCTTGGGGAGTTTCTTTGAAAGAGAGAAAAAAGCAGAGGATAAGAATACGCACTGAACACTTTCTCGCGCACGTTATGCTTGCGGATGAAATCGCCCAGCAGCTTCTCATTCACGCCCGCCTGGTAGACCACCGCCGTGTCCCAGAAGGTACACCCCAGTTCTATGGCTTTCAGCAGCACGGGCTCCGCTTGCTCTAGTGTAAGGTTGTTGCCGAGCCCGAAGCTGAGGCCCATGGCGCCGAAGCCGGGGACGGGGATCTCGATGTCGCCGAAGGGGAGGGTGTGGACCATTTTCGTTTGCTTGTTTGTGCTTGGATTGTTGCTTTGGGGGTTGGAGGTGTTGAAGGTGGTCTTTATTGTTGCTAAACGATGACTTGATCTGCTTCTTATATGTATGTATGTACTGTACATCTACATGCTACTAGTACTATTTGCCGAGATATCGCTAAGCTACATCGCGAGAAGACCCTGTATCCACAGATCGTCATCTCGTCAAGCTACTGCTGCCAAATGCTGACACTGCAGGTGCAGACTTCATTTGTCCGCTTAAGTCCGGATTACTGTGGGGAATGGCGATATCAATATCGATTGTTATCTCCGGATTACATTCCTATTATCAAGTACATACTTCTTTTTCTCCATCATACCATCCACCCTCCCCGCATCATTAGAACATTAGACATTACCAACACCTCGCTAGTTCAATCCCATGCCATGATGTGAGAATGCCATCTGTTGCGCCAAACAATGCACAGGAAGTAAATATCGCTGAAGATGAGAGAATCGTAAGCGATTCGACCACGCCATCAGAAAAACAGCTCAAAGAAACCAAAGTAAGAGACAGAGAACTGAAGTGAAGGTGAAAGAAAGGTGAGGTGCTCATAGCGTGGGACCACAAGCCTGACCTTTGACCTTGCCACTATTCAGCAGTACCAGCGGTATCATCCTCAAAACGAGCATGGCCCTCACTCCCCTCCCTTTCCTCTTCCTCCTCAGACGGCAGACTCTCCGGAATTTCTTGATCCAGACTCTCAGGCCCAGTAAACGGAATCTCGCCCACCTTCCTCCCCCCACGCAACTGCACCACCTTCAACTCCGCGAGCGGATCCACCCGGTGCGCAACGACCGCATTCTCGTCCACCAGCCGCGGGAACAGAATCGAGACCCTCTTCATGGGCTCACACAGATAGAACCCCGCATCCACACAGATGTCTTTGAAGTGCAGACACTTGAGTCGCTTGACGTCAAACCAGTGCAGGAACGGATCCGCGTCGACCACGAACCCGGTCAGTGTCAGTGTGCGGATCGAGAACTTGTGGCGGGTGTATCCGATGGCCATGGCGCACACTTTTGCTTTCTCGATGACCAGCTTATCGAGATATTCGCCTTCGCCGATAGTGCGATCAAGCTGTCCGGTGCCGTCGCCACTATCCCCGAAAATTAGAGCTCTGAACGAGAGAATCGCCGTAGCTACATAGCGCACTAGATTGGTAAGAAAAACTTACTGATAGACCGGCTCACCGTAGTGCACTTGATTCAGCGTCCACCCGCCCTTGATGTACGGCCAACTCCCGGTGAACGCCCGACGGAAGCGAGGCTCACAGACCATGGCAAGCTCCAGGTCCTCCAGGCCGGTGTTCAGCCACGCCGCCTGCCAGATATAGGTCTGGTACGACTGCACCATACCCGTGATCTTAAGCGAGCGGAGACCGCGGAAGTGGATGAGCGGGAACAGCTGCTCCAGCGGCAGGATCTCGATCTGGATGATCTCGCCCTCTACATCTTCTTCGTCCGCGTCTGCTTGCTCCCCAGCGGGATCCGCGTCCGGTGCTGCGTCTGCTGCTGGGGCGGCTGTGTTAGTGGGTAGGTACACGTCAATGCCCAGCGTGCGTCGGCTCTGCGGGATACGCGCCCAGGTCTCGCCGCCGCGGAACTCTAGGAGTGGGTTGGTCGGCGTGGCCTGGTCCGGAGAGAAGAGCATGATCCGGGGTTGTTGCTGTTGCTGCTGTTCGGTTCCGTCAGCCGCAGGAACCAAGGACTCTTGCTCCTGCTCCTGCTCATGCTCGCCGGACCCGATTCTCTTGCGACTCATGCGGTGGAGCGCGGAGCGGAGGAGGGAAGTGGAACTCTGGTTGCTGTTGGATGCTGTGCTTGGGGACCGCGCGAATGGCTGCGAGCGAGTGCGGCTCTCGGAGCGAGAGCGCTTCGCGCGCTCTGACTTCTGAGATCCGGCCATTAGCAATGTCGAGAACTCGGCTGTAGTGCGGGTGAGGACGTCGCTCATGCTGTAGCGGCGACGCCGCTTGTCTGGGGAACAGGAGTCAACAGAAAGAGTGGTCGCGGTGTCAGTGTCAGTGTCAGTATCAGTGGTGGAAGGAGCGATGAAGGCACGGGCACGACTGGCTTCTTCACGATCGAGATTGAACGGAAAGCGGATGAGGAGAGTCTGGTCATGAACTGAGAATCACAAGCAGGCACAGATATATTAGCTCTCTTGCAACACGTTGTGCTCAGGGAAGACCCGCATCACTGACCCGCGTCGATGAAGTCGTTGATGGGCTGGTTCCATGCCTCGGCGTCCTTCCAGAACGGCGCTCCCAGCATGGTGGCCTCCCAGTGTGCTGCGTGCTCTTCCATTGTTGCGTGCACTTGCCTACAGCTGGGGTGAAGTGTTTGTCTAAATTCAGTAGGAACAAGTGATTGTGAAAACAGGGCAGGCGAAGTGAGCGTGAGGGAGAAAAAGAAAAGATATAGTATAAAACACCAGACGACGCGATGACGACTAACACAAGCTGGCACATACAAAGTAAATCCATGTTTACTGTGTTGGTCTAAAGTGGAGCTGTGGAGCTCACGCTTTGAGAATCTGAGCTGTACAGTCTGTTATTTCTAAACACAGTGAAAGCAACAACACATACCCATGTTCTGTTTACACGAATATAGATAAAGGGTAAGAGGATGCCTACAAACCGAAGACTATCCTTGCGTCTGTCATAACACAGAAATACTGAGAATGAAATCGTCCAATCCGTGCTTGTCATCTTTCCGCAGCTCACTGTCTCTTGTGGAAGCGTAGCGGAATATTCTTCCTCAGAGCCAAGGTCAAGATCGAAGTGCACTCACGCAACGATCTTTTAGCTTCTCCCACCCCTTCCCTGCTATTATCAGCCAGCTCAACCCGAAAGTCTTTGAAAATCACCGCCAGCGCAACGACAAACTCGACCTGCGCGAACTTCTTCCCTAGACAGGCCCGCATGCCATCACTGAAGGGGATATACGCGCCACGAACCGGCTTATGAATGGTGGGATACTCCAGTCCGGGGCCGGAAAGACCTGGGAGGTGCGCATTCTTCGCCAGGAAGCTGTCCTTGTTCCGCACGTCCCATCTTCGTGGGTGAAATGAGCCAGCGTCGCTGCCCCAGTATTTCTCCGAGTAGTGAAGGCTACTCGCGTTGAGATTTACGTTCAACCGAGGCTCCAAGACATAATCTTTGCCCTGATAGTGGATTTTCGTAGCTGAGTCGCCAGTCCACTTCGGGACAGTGATGACAGGAGGATAAAGACGCATGGTTTCGAGCTAGGTAGACGTGAGCTTTTCCTTCGATGTAGATTATCAGACAACCAGTCGTACGCACCATGACACAGAGTGGGCCAACCAATTTAGGGAACATGGTACCGTAGTCCCAAGCTCCAGGGTCCGAGGACATCCCCTTGGTGGCCGAAAGCAAGTCTAAGTATAGCCACTCCTGTACGTCTTGATGCAGCGCGAGAAGTAGAAAAGTGAATCTCAGCGTGGTTGCCGTGGTCTCATGGCCGGCAATCGTAATGATATGCAGATTGCTGATGACCTCCCGGTCACTTAGAGTGTGTTTGTCCTCCGTCTTCCGTGGAAGAAGCATTCCTTGAACAAGGTTCTCCGCTGTGTCTACGTTCTCCAGGTCGCGCTGCGTCTTATCGACCAGCTTCTGCAGATAAGTCTCCAGATCCCGATGCGCCGCAAAGTCAGCCTTGAAGAACGGGACCAACGCCCTGGGTACCCACTTAGGCAGCATCTTGTTCGCAACCGCAACTGTACTAATGTTCTCGTTCATATAGGACATCACCCCGCGGAACGTGAAGTCGAACCCAGCCGGTGGTGGTGTGCTATCCTTGAAGATGTCATCAGGGCCCTTGAGCGTCTCTTGGGGCAGCGGCTTGAAAGGCAAAAGCACCCCGAAACCGGCACCACTAAGAACATTAAGACTAAACTTGAGGGTGTCTTGTCTCGTATCGGTGACAACCAATCCATCAGTGGCTCTGTTGGGCTGCGATTCGCGCCAGTATTGGATGATCTCTTGAACCTGCTGAATCGCTCGGTCCCACACCAGGGCGTTGTTCTTCTCGTTGAACGTCGTTGCCGTGAATCGACGATGATGCGCCCATTCCGCGTCCTCACACTGATTTTATGAGCACAGTGGTTCGGGTGTGACTTGGAAAGGGTGGGATTGCTACTCACCGTGACGACGTTCGGTCCGTACATATCCAGCACCTCTGGGCGAGCATCAGCATCATGTGCTCGTACTCGAAGACGAATGTTCATCAAAGTAGCACTCACTGTACTGGTGAATTGGCTTAGTGAAGTTCTGCCTTGCATTGACCACCTGAGAAACCACAGCCGCATCGGTGACGCTGCAGAAGATACCCCCCGGGTAGACCAGCAAGTACACATCGCCGGATCTTCTCGCCTGTCGATCCTTGACTCGCCAGCGGAAACTGATCAGAGTGTCGTACACGATATCAGCCAGCCGTGCGGGGAACCAGTGCTCGACCAGAGAGGAAAACCAGGGAGTGTTGAAGAAGGCCATGTATGCGATGCTCGGCGAGAAGACAGACACCACATAGGGAAGGCCTGAGCGCTGCGCCACGCGCACGTTCTGATAGAGATCTCGAAGACAGTCGGCGAGGTACAGGCCCAGGAGGCCGAGGATGACTGTGAGCCAGAGCATCGTGGCCGGTTGGTGTCCTCTGCGGCAAGGTATTCGAGACGGGGAGGGAGGGGAGGGTTGCCGTTAGGATGACGAAGCGGAAGCCTGTTTCTGCAGGTTCTGACGCATATTTGAAGGGAAGCAGTACATTCCGCTCATACTCAGTCTCACGGATCATTATTTTCCCAGCTGCTACACTCACATGTGCTTTTTTGGATATGGCGTTCGTCTAGTTGGTTGGTAGCAGTGGAGAGGGTCGGTGACATTCAACACTTCTACAAAGCCATTGTTGTCATAATTGTCATACTGAGGTGACCTATGATATCTCTTGTTTGGTTGTTGTTCTGCAATAGCCACCCCTGCTGACACGACTAATCAGGATGATCCAGGGTTCACATTAGCTCGTCTGAACGATCGGTCAAATGAGGAGCAAACAAAGGCTAAGACTCGAAAAAGTGGGGTGGACAAGGATTCCAGGGGCTACCAATCGCTCCACACCATATTGACACTAGCAGCCTATCTCGATGTGCACAAGAGCAAGCCTGGAGTTATAGCTGTTGCTGATAGGAGATGAATCAACCACTTGCCATCGCCAGAGAGCTGAAGCTTAAATCTACTTATCTTTGATTGTGACACAGAGTGCGACCGTGCGAGAAACAGATATGAAGCCTTGGTCACGTGGTCCCAAATCTAAAGCGGCAAGTAGATATATATACTTTTTAAGGTATGTAAAATACCTCAAGCGAAGCTTTGGTAGGACCCGGTTTGATGACCGATTCAAGCAGCAGTAATCTAGGCCCATGTGAAGTATCTTGCAACAAATACAAAGATTAGTCTCTCATATATTCATGGTATGTGGAGGGGGGGGCGGGATGGCTGAGATGATGTCTCAGAGTATGCCAATTGCTGTGTAACTCTTAGGCTGTCCGCTCTTGCTGGAGAGCATGATTGACTAGGATCACAAGGTCCAGGAGTTCGGCAGATGAATTGACACCTACCCAAGGGCATGGGACGAGGAACTGGTATGTCGATGGTATTGTGGCACTTCTTCCTTGAGTCGGCTCACAGCGACAGCTAGCATGGTATTTATATATCGAATCCAGTGAAATGTCGGGGCTGCTTCAGGACAGGCCCTGTAATTGTCCATTCACCTTGATTTGTCGGGAAAAGACTGCTTGAAGCTGAGAAAAGGGATTGTCACATCAGGGTTGTGGCTTAGAGGGCTCTCCTAAGCATACGTCCCGTCGCTGAGAGTGACCCGAAAGAGGAAGGGGACCCGGGGTCATAGCGATCCCTGGGGCGAAACTCTGGAGGTGGATCTTGATTGATATCAACCTTAATTCTCCTTAGTGCTAGGGAGATCAGATATTTGGATCTCCATAGCACATTCGCAATGGCAAGGTAAGGCACGCATTCTGCCTCTTCAGCGGGTCATAGCGCTTCTCGTACCGGACCTGGAGGGCAGTCGCAATGGGATAATTCGGAGTTGTCTTATAGAGACGTTCGTTCTACGCAATATACTGCTGCTCCGGACCTGAGTTCCACTAAGGCCGAAAATATAGACACGAGTTATAGGATGGCCGCACAGTTCCACATCAACCGTCCGGTAGTCACTGGCGAAAAGGAAGCTTAAATTGACCTCGCGCTAAGTTCTTGAGTTCCTCCTCCTGATAATCATTACATCCGTGACACCGTAAAGTAGCGTAGGTAGACGCGCAAAGTCGTATCTGTGCAGTTTTCCGATCCTACAGCCAAAGAGAAACTTTTTGAAGTCCGTAGAAAAATAGTTCGATTCAAAAAACAATCATGCAAGTTTATCCCATCACAGCACTATCCTAGTACTTCTTGCCCTGGCGCAGGACATCACCGAACTCCTCAAGAGGGCTGCGGATGAGCTTAGTCTCCTTCCAGAGGTTGGGGGTGAGGAAGCCGTAGGTGTTGACGACGGCAAGGAAGGTGGCCTTGAGGGTGTTCTCGAGGGTCTTGGTGGAGCCGGAAGAGCAAGTGTAGGCGTCCTGGACACCAGCAAGCTGGAGGAGACGCTTGACGGCGGGGGAGGCAACGAGACCGGTACCGCGGGGAGCGGGGATAAGCTATCATCTGGTTAGTGACCCTGCTGCAGCGAGTCGGATTGGCGAAGTTGCGACATACTCTGACGGAGACGGAACCACACTTGGCGCTCTGCTTAACGGGCAGAGAGTGAGGCTCACCGAGGTTGGTACCCCAGTAACCGCGACGGACGGGGAGAACGCTCAGCTTGGCGATGGTGATGGCGGCACGGATGGCGGTAGCGACTTCCTTGGAGGTCTTGATACCGAGACCGATGTGGCCCTCGGAGTCACCGATGACAACGACAGCCTTGAAGCGGGTACGCTGACCGGCACGGGTCTGCTTCTGGACGGGCTTGATCTATAAGTGATAACATAATCCGTCAGCACCTGGCCATGCCCCAGCAATTCCCGCGCAACATTGTCCAATTCCGATCCACGCTTCCAATCCTCCGGCGCATCCTGTTCCCTGCACATGCGCCCATTCGTAGATCTTCCTTGTCGATATTCCGGGTGATAATTGAACGTTCGCTTCGTACCTTCATGACCTCATCCTTGAGCTTGGGGAGGAAGAAGTCCACAATCTGGTACTCCTTCACGGGCAGGGAGTGCAGGTAGATCTGCTCCATGCTGGTGATCTTGCCAGCCTTGACGAGACGGCCGAGCTTGGTGACGGGCTGCCATTCCTTCTCCTGCTCCTTGGCGCCACCACGACGTCCACGGCGGCCACGGCCACGGCCACGGTCACCACCACGGTCACCGCGAGAGCCGAATCCTCCACGTCCACGGGGAGCGTCAGCCATGTTGTATAGATATGGCGTTTGGGAAAGGGTCGGAGGGCGAGAATTAACGGACGGGAGGTGTCGTGGGAGGGGTTGTCGACGTCGAGTTGACTTTTCTCTCGCTATCCACAACTGTTTTGGCACCAAGGGAAATTTCGCGGGCGGGTGCGCTAAGCGAGCCCGGAGCCCTATACCCTACGTGATGGGCCAATTCGGGCAATGCGATCGGGAGCCCCGTCCGGGTATATCATGTGACAAGTGGGCTTACCCCATCCAGAGCTCCTCTTGCTCTCCAATAGTCGCCCAGAGTGGCGCTGATTGTTGTTACTTTACCCTGGGGAGGGTGGATGACTGGATGTTAGTAGCTGGTGTCTGTTCCTTATCGGCGGTTATATCATTGCACCCTGCGACATCGTTCTTGTTCTTCCGTCTTATGACTGTTGATTGCGGGCCATTCTTATTGTTAATCGAATCAAGTGTACCTTTGACCAGAAGCTTCGCTTTATAGTTCCAAGCACAATGTTGCGCTGGTAAGTCTTCTCCGTCCGGATGCCTGTCCATCATGTACTCAGTCCTTCAGGTACCAAGCGAAGCTGGCCAAACAGCCGATCCTGACCGCCAGTGTCACCAGCTTGGTATGTCTTTCGCTATTCCCATTGTTTCTCCCCTCGTATATACCCTCCTTGACTCAGCTGACTCAAGTGACAATTAGGTTTTGTTTGGCAGCGGCGATGTCCTCGCTCAGCAGCTAGTCGATCGCAGAGGATTTGACAAGCACGATGTAGCAAGAACAGCGCGCATGGCTCTCTACGGAGGTGGTACGTCTGATCATCAATGCTGACACTCGAGGTTCCCGCTTTTCAGAGAAGTTCTCCTACTAACATTGGCAAGCGGTCTTCGGCCCGGCTGCCACGGCCTGGTACGGTATCCTGCAACGCCGTGTTGTCCTCCAAAATGCCAAAGCTACCCTCGTCGCTCGTGTTGCTGCCGATCAGCTGCTTTTCACGCCCATTCATTTGACCTGTTTCTTGTCGTCCATGGCCATCATGGAGGGCTCCGACTCGATTGAGAAGTTGCGCAACAGTTTCGTGCCCAGTTACAAAGCAAACCTCACCATTTGGCCTCTGGTTCAGGGTGTCAACTTCGCCATCGTGCCGCTGGAGTACCGTGTCCTGGTAGTGAACCTGGTCAGCTTGGGTGAGTAATGGTCTCCGCTTCTATTGAGCAACAACTGACTGCGACGTTAGGCTGGAACTGTTTGTTGAGCTTGATCAACAGCGGCGAGAAATGATATGCCTTTGCTCTGTGCTAATCAGCACTAAATCATAGATACCCGTCGAATCTCCGACTATGATGTTTTGATCTTTTAAGCAGGTCTCTTTCGGGCCATAGCGGGTTCTTGGCATTTGTCTGTTTGCCTTGGAATTCAGTTCGATGATACTTTCTTTTTTTTTTGTTTCGCTAGATCTCATGTGGCTTGAATAGAGCCATATTCATATCGCATGAATAGAACCTAGATACAGGGGATTCACCATTCATACATGTCCGAGCTTCTTGGGTCTCTGTCAGACTCGCTGGTACCATGTGTCTTGTAGCATTGTGCGAACGAAGTGAGAGTGAAGCTTCATCGAGATGAGACAGAGCTTGTCACTCAGACCAAGTCATCATGAATTTGTCACTGTGATATTGCTGTCAGTGACTCCTACCTGAGCTCTGAGCTCTCTGTCATAAGTTCATCATTAGGGTTGAGATTGGGCGGCGGCAGCCTATTAGAGGTCTGGAAGGGAAGGATGCCCAAAAGGGAAAGGTTTCGCTGGCCCGACTTGCGGCATCTCCAAACCATCAAAACTTGATACTGTGATTTTCCGCCGTCTTCCCCGTAAAGTCTCGAACACGACATTCGCCGTGATTCTGCCTGGAGCAGACGCTCAACTCTGACTCAACCTCTTGCGCGTCCTCCGTTCCTACCTAAAAGCTACCTCACCGAGAGTTGCTCCTTCCTTTGGCCACCTCCCATCTGGACAACAAATTTTGCCATCCGCAGTTTTCTCTCCCCTCCGACGACCCCTCGCCTCTTCATCAACCCGACTTCGCGCTTCAACGCTCTCTATCCACCCTTACCTTCACCTAACCTCACATTCTCACTACTATAATGGCTGCTGTCGCTGAGAACGGCCACGCCCCCGTGGCCGACGATAACGCCGCCCCCGTGGCTGCCGCCGAGCAGAAGGAACAGACGAACGGCGACTCTGTCACAGTATTCCACGACCCCGATAACTTCAACGTTAAGCATCCTTTGATGCACGAGTGGACTCTCTGGTTCACCAAGCCCCCAAGTGGCAAGGTAGGGTGCCGACCAATTTATCGAATTCTGTCAACATCCATCTGACCCATCCGTGGTTTATAGGGCGACAACTGGAACGACCTTCTGAAGGAGGTCGTGACTTTCAACTCTGTTGAGGAGTTCTGGGGAATCTACGTATGTTGCGTCGCGTGCTGTGTCCGAGCTGGGTCTTATGGCTGACTGATTTCTGCAGAACAACATCACGCCGACCTCCGAATTGGGCCTCAAGGCAGACTACCACCTTTTCAAGAAGGGTGTCAGACCGGAGTGGGAAGACCCCCAGAACAAGCACGGCGGAAAGTGGTCATATTCTTTCAAGGAAAAGCGCTCCGTGCCCATTGACGACTTGTGGCTGCACGCTCAGCTGGCGGCTATCGGCGAGACTCTCGAGAACGATGGCGACAGCGAAGTTATGGGTGTTGTTGTGAACGTGCGTAAGGGCTTCTACCGTGTTGGTTTGTGGACACGGACTGTTGGCAAGGCCATTCCGGGTGACAAGAACAACACCCGCACGCCCGCCCAGGGCAAGGATATTCTCGAGGCCATCGGCCGGCGCTTCAAGGAGGTTCTCCGTCTCAAGGAGGCGGATGCCGTTGAGTTCTCCGGACACACAGACAGCGCACACAGCGGCAGCACGAGGGCCAAGGCCAAGTTCGTCGTCTGAAGCACCTGCTATGTTGTGTCGCTTTTGCTTTACGATATCTTAACGCGGTGTTTTCGCATATTTTTGCTATGGATTAATGGGAAAGGGCTCTGTGATGATGCGCGGTAACGAACGGGAAAGGATCAGTACAAAGCATTGCGTGTGGGAGGAGGCTCATTCCAAATTGGCTTGCCAGCACTTCGCAGTGAGGTGATGATCTGGGTTGCAGGTCTTTTCCTCAAGACGTATTTCTGACGAGGTTTATACCATATTCTGTTAAATTTCAGTGTTATCCCTCTCGGGATCGGAGAATAAAAGAAAATGATTGAAATTGCTCCACTGGGTTTGCGGGTCTTGCGTGCTGCTTGCATGATTCGCGTCTTCTAGCACTCCCATTTTGATATGACCTCAGTCCAGGCAAGTCGTACCTCAGGTATCATCGTTCTATATGCCATAACACTGTAAATTATGCTCCCTGCTCGACCTAGTAATACAGTAGTAGTGCTCGATGGCAGAAATGTGTATGTGGTGTCCGGTTGGAATGTCCGCGGCCTCAATAGTGACTGCCTACTTTGTGAATTTGATGGAGTGCCATACTACGGCATTTACCTCGATCACTCGTAATCCATTGCCTACATATTCCATCACTCTTCGAGCACCTCCGTATTCAAAGCGCTTCTTGCTCTTCTTCCTTCCTCAAATTCTTCCTTCTTCATCATCCTTCCCGCCTGCCTGCCTGCCAACCTCTTCCCTATCCACCATCCCGTCCCATCGCCATCATATTCCACATACCTTTGTTCCTTTAAGTCCCCTTCTTTTCCTCCATATCCTCTCGTTGCTCCTCTTCCCCCTTTTCATCTGATCTTTGCTCTTCGTCCCTTCTTATCTCCTACTCAGCATCTACTTCCTGCCTGCCTGCCCATTCATGCTTCTTCCTTCGACTCCCCATCTCCTCTTCCTTACCATTTTCGCTTCCCCTTCTCCTTCATACAGTCTTTGCTCCCCTCCTCTACTCCATCCTTTCTCTTCTTGCAGGCCTCATTCTCACCCCTCATTCTCACCCCTCCCTCTCACCCCTCCCACCTTTTCTCAGATCAGGGCAGGCAGTCCGACTTCGTGTCTCCAAGCTCAAGGATGGACGGCAGGCTTCAGTCTCTGGACAGACTGTGAACAGGTACGTGCACCCAGTCCATTGTCTATTGTGCTAATGGTTAGTATTTTGTATTTTGTGCTGGATCGAGCTTCGGTTCGTGACGGCATAAACAGCTTTTATACTCACTGGGTAACCCTTTGAGTTGCCGTACCTCTGTGCTTCCACTTGCAAGCATTCGAGGGCCCATGGACGGGTGGTTGGGTTGGGCCTGGGGGCGCAGATCCGGTGCCGGATCGGTAAGTCATTCTCCTGTCTGAGGTCGTGGGCTTGAGTGGATGCTAACTCTTTGTGATGCGTATATATCTATCAATGTCGGATGGCAGGCAGGGAGGAAGGTTGGTTGGTCTTTTGAGATTGTTCATGTATGTGGTGAGTTGAAGAGATGCTGGTATCCAATATTATATTGTTCTCGGGTTGATGCTTCAAGGCGTGGTATGGTTCCATGATGGGTATGGTCTCTTTGTCCGTGCTGGTCTTCCATAGATTCAATCTTATTTTATAGTTATTCGTGTCTCATGAATGTTTGTCTTGCGTGTTGTAGTAGGCTTGCATTCATGCTTTAAGTTGAGGGCAAAGACCACTTCCTGCAAGTAAAGTATGACTAGAACTGGAACTGAGTCGAAGAGGTACGCTTGCTTGGCGTCATTTCAGCAGGCTTGGATGAATGGCATTGATGGTGTCGAGGACTTGAAATGCTTTCTCTATCTCGAAGCCAACAAGCATCTCCATCGAAAATGCTCGTTAGTCTTCGTGAGTAGAATAGTCCATGATAGGTGGGACAACACAAGAATGTACATTGTCCTTAATGGAATCAAGCTAGAGGATTCGATAACATACCGCATCGGGGATTGAACGGTAAATGCAACGTCAACTGCGACAACTGTAGACAGATTGTGCTAGAGAGATTCTGATCTAACGGCAGGAGAAACCGGCACATCAACCAATAGCTAAATAGCAGGCTGTTGTGGATCGGTTTCTTCATGGACCATAGGCAGCAGCTACAAGATACCTAGCCTTGACTCGTTTCTCGGGCTATAATAATCACAACCGGACCATGCTAGTTTGCACGAGGGCGCCTGCACAATGGTCACACTCAGGTCGCGGGCTGTGACGACGCCATCCGTGTCTGGAATTCGAGGCCGCACACCGACACCAGTCATCCTTCATCTCAACTCTGCCTACTTGCCAAAGCTTACTTGATAAAAGGCGCAACTGGGTCTCTAATGACAGGACATCCGCATATTCCGGGCAAATCGATGGCGGACGGTTGACCATTTACCCACAACTGCGCGAAATTGTGGATCCGTGACAAGATGTGTCGGGACACAATGCTTGGTAGGGAGCCTCTTTTCACTGCACGTCGTTGCAACTGCAGCCTTGTTGTCCCCTGGCGGAATTTCAACTCTCTACCTCCAAGCCTTGCTGAAGTTCGCTCTTCTCCATACGAACGTCCGTGAGACCAGCCAAGAAAGCCCAAGTCACGCTACCTGTGAAGTCGGTTGCTTTTGCCTTCAACGACCCAGCGGTTTGGGCTTGGAGCACAGTTCCAGAATAGCAACCGTGCAGATCAGACGGGAAGCTCAGCCGATTACGGACGCACCTGGTTCAAGCCAAGAAGCTTCCGCCTCTCGCATACACGTAGGGGCCTGTGGCTGATTGAGTCACCCTCATCTTGGCAAATCTCCCGCGGAAGGTCACCGATGTGGTTTATTTCTTAAAGTCTCGCGGGGAATAAAAGGGTTTGGCTTGATTGGCCCCGGACGTGGTAGGCACGCCATCTTGAAGGTATCGGAGGGTAATCGGAGCTCGTCCGGGCTGCCCTTGGAGTCTAGCGTGCCAACCGGCCAAATAAGAGGACAGGAAAAGCCACGTCCACGCCCTTCGAGGCTTTGCGCCCTTAGATATATATGATCTGTTATCTCTCTGGGTCAGTGATGTTTCGATCATGACTCGAGCGGAGAGGTTCAGAGGCCAGGAGGTTGCTGACCATGACGAATCAGTTGGCGGCCTGAAGAAGCAGGCTCCAAGGGATGGGAGGGCGAAGTCGGACCTTTGAAGAATACTTAACCTCAACACAAGGCGCTACCCCACCCAGCACGCCTTTGTTTGTACGCTTTTCCAAACGACCTTGATTTTCTTCCTCTACCCCTCAATGCATCCGTGACACCTCACTGACCTCATATATGTCTTCAACAGAACGAATGAGACAAAGCAGAAAGTGTCTTACGATGCACACATGTTATCTCTCCAGGATTTGCCCTGGCGGCTCGAGCCGATCGAAATGGAACCATACCCCAATGGGGAAGCCTTCGATAGTCGTCAACAACGCCAAGTCCCTGTACAACAATGATCCGATCAGATGAACACTGCTTCTCCGGCTACGAGTACTCCGTACTTGTATATCCCCATATCTTGAAGGAAAGCTAAGGCTGGGGAATTTGCCGACGCCTCGGCTGCTCCCTCGGCTGCTCCATAGACGACAACCCGTTCCCACTCGCCGCTCCCCTTCGAGAACATTGTCTACGCGGAATGGTCTGGATAGCAGTCCAAACTCAACCTCAGCTTCAGCTACAGTCAAGGAGGCAGCACAGATAAGCATAGCGGTGGGCTGAAACAAGAATTGCTATTGCAGAGGGACAAATGCTATCTGGGAAGGAGGATCGAAGTGCGCGTGTCGAGTGACCTGATCTTGGTAATCGAATGCAGATTGTTGACTCACTCGCTCACTTCGCGGGGAAGCCCGACGGTGCAATCATGCTGAGTGCTGATCCTCGCATGGACAGGCGGGGGAACAAGATTTCGAACACACGACAGTGGCCACAGTCAGCGCCCTTCGAGAACAACGACGGAGTTGCCCTCCAACTCCGTTCGAGTCACGAATAAGACACGCCATGCTTATCTACTAGCCTACAGCTAAAAGTGTTTATGTTACCTAACATGTTCCGCTTGCGGTGGTCCAACCGACGGCACGGAAGATTGGAATATTATTCAGTACGAAACGAAGCCCTCGGTCCTGAATAAGCTGGCCATGCATGTTCCCCCACCGGGCTATCCGTTCGGCAATTTCGAATGGCCAGGCTCGGTGGCGCATAAAGACGCAAATCTGATGTGAAAAAGAATGCTCAAACAGGCAATGATCTCGAGTGGGCGAGAAGAGTGGAAGCGAGGGGTGGGAAGAAATGGGTTTTTTTTTTCTTGCCACGAGGGAAAAGTGGAAATTTGGTCTCAATCGAGGAAAAAACATTCCGCACTCACCGGCAAGGCCCGATTTCTTGGCGTTCCGAACTGCAGCCGGGTTTTGCTCCCCAGCAAGCCAATGAACGGCCCTTCCACTTATCTCAGGTCATGCTTGGTGCTGCTTGTCATATCTACGTTTGCTTTCAGCCTGGGGTTACATCGGCATCTCCCCTGCCTCGGCCGTCGCCATTTGCCTGCCTTTCCACCCTCCGATGGGGTCGGCCCCCTCCCATCGGCCATTGGTTCGGGGACGAGTATGGGTCCGCTTCGGTTACTGTTCCTATATCGTCCACCGTCGACGGAGTTATAAGGTGAGGGCCATCTCCCTCTCTCACCTTGGCTCTCTCTGTGTACTTTCCTGAGGAAATCTTCCCTACTTCGACCGTGCCTGTCGGATTAATTCCCTTGTCTGGTCTCTGCCACCATGTCTTCCGGAGATCGCGAGGCTGATATCACTCAGTAAGTGATTATCTTGTCCTTATCCTTGTCTTTGTGTCTCTGTGCGCCTGCTCTACAGCGCAGCGTCGGCTGAGTCATCAATGCCTGCCACACTTTCCCATACTAATACATCATACTTCAGGCCATTCCAACAGGGCCATGGCACCATCACCGAGGTCACCTCGAACGAGAAGGCCTACATGACGGAGAAGGCGCTCAATGACACTCCTGATGGTGAAGAACCCACCCATGAGGAGTCCCGAACCCTTCGTCATGTCGCTGAACATCTGCCTGTGTCTGCTTGGCTCGTCGCTGTCGTCGAGCTTTGCGAGCGTTTCACCTACTACGGAATGTCCGGCATGTTCCAAAACTACATTCAACGTCCTCTCGACGGAAGTCAAGGCCGTGGTGCCCTTGGCATGGGCCAGCAGGGTGCCACTGGTTTGACCACTTTCTTCCAGTTCTGGTGCTATGGTTAGTTCTCCCGTCTCGACCCTCACCAGACCTTTTACTGATCTCAATTTTTTAGTCACTCCGATTCTTGGTGCTGTTGTCGCTGATCAATACCTGGGCAAGTACAGAACCATTGTGGTCTTCTGTATCGTCTACCTCGTCGGTCTCCTCATCTTGGTCTGCACGTCCATCCCGACCGCTCTTGAACATGGAGCAGGTATTGGCGGCTTCATCGTTTCGATCTTGATCATCGGTCTGGGAACTGGTGGTATCAAGAGTAACGTCGCCCCCTTGATTGCCGACCAGTACAAGCGGAAGAAGAGAGCCATCAAGACGACCCCCAAGGGTGAGCGGGTCATCATCGATCCTGCCTTGACTATCCAACGCATCTACATGATCTTCTATGGCTGTATCAACATCGGATCCCTGTCCCTGCTGGCAACGCCTTACATGGAGAAGTACATCGGCTTCTGGTCCGGTTACTTGCTCTGTCTGTGTATGTTCGCCGTCGGTACTGGTGTTCTCATCTTCGGCCGCAAGTTCTACGTTGTCCGTCCCCCTCAGGGCTCCATCATCACCGATGCCTTCAAGGCCTTGTGGATTATGATCGTCAACCGCAACATGGACGCGCCCAAGCCTAGTTGGCAAGCCACCAACGGAGGCTCCAGACCTAATGTGCCTTGGGATGATCACTTCATCGATGAGCTCAAGCGCGCCCTGGTCGCCTGCCGTGTCTTCGCCTTCTACCCCATCTACTGGGTTGTCTACGGCCAGTTCTCCAGCAACTTCGTCACCCAGGCTGGTGAGATGGAAGGCCACGGTATCCCCAACGATTTGATGCAGAACTTTGACCCCATTTCCGTCATTGTCTTCATTCCCGTCTTGGAGACTCTCGTCTACCCTTTGCTCCGCCGCTTGCGCATCAACTTCCGCCCCATCACCCGTATCTCCGTTGGTTTCGTCATCGCCTCCCTGGCTATGATGTACGCTGCCATCGTTCAGCACTTGATCTACTCTGCCGGACCTTGCTACGACAAGCCTCTCTGCGATGCCTCCCTCGTTGATGGCTCGGCCACCGGCAACAAGGTTCACATCGCGATCCAGACCCCTGCCTATGTCTTCATCGGTGTTTCCGAGATTTTCGCCTCCGTGTCCGGTCTGGAGTATGCGTACACCAAGGCGCCTCCGTCCATGAAGTCGTTCGTGCAGTCGATGTACCTGCTCACCAACGCTTTCGGATCGGCCATTGCCGAGGCTTTGACGCCCGCTGCCTATGACCCGGCCATCATGTGGATGTTCACTGGTCTGGCTTGCGCCTCGTTCATTGCCGGTATCATCTTCTGGCTGGTGTACCACCACCTCAACGACCAGGAGGATGAGATGAACGCTCTGGACGCGGAAGATCCGGAAACCTCTGCCCCGGTCGAGCGGGAGGAAAAGAAGGATTCCTCCGAGCACTAGACTCCGGCCAGGATCGCACCCACCCATTCTAATGTATTATAATCTTTGTGTTTAGCTTTTGTGATGTTCGTGGATGGCGTTTTCCCCTTTTTGAAACGTGGTATACTTGATCATCTCGCGCAGGCTCGCGTCACAGCCCATTGATGAGCAGATGCAGTATGAAGAACCCCCATGTGTGTATATATGCCGGGTGTACGGATTGATGTATTTTTATTTTCTACGAGTTACATAGTATAGATCATAGCTAGCATATACTACTCTTTCCATACTCATTATTATCTCCATACTCATATCCCATCTTCCACTTTCTCTCACTTTCCAAAATTCGCCTCCAGCAACCCACATGACGCAGAGAGGCCGTTCTATCCGAATCGCCCGTGGAGCTCATCTTGCACACCATCGGCCGAACCCCAATTCCGGCCCCGTCCCTGCAGTAGTTCAGTCTTGGCGAATCCGCCTGGCAAGGGCTTTTAGGTAACTTGCTGCTGTGTGACCCGCGTTCGGATCACGAAACTATTGCAATTGAACCACCTGATGGCTGCAGCCGCAGTTTCGGTCTAAGAAACAATGTGGGGCTTTGGGGCTTTGGGGCTTAGGGCCTGGGACCTGGGGCGCATGTCTTATCTTTGAGGGTCTGAATTGAAGAGTGGAATAATAAACATTGCTCATTGTTAGGTAATGGAATTGATGCGAGAGGCGCGTGGTCTAGTTTAGTCTGGGTTAGTTGTCTTACAGTAGAGTAGGAGGATGGTTTGTGGTGTGGTTTTTAAATCTCTCTCTCTGTTCTGGGAGTGAGTGAGCTCTGGGTATTTATTTATTTATCTATATATACACTAGTTATTCGGTTAAAATTGGATCAGATATTAGTATTTGATCCAAAGATGAATGAACTGGTGGTGTTTAGACTTTTATTTTCTTTGGTAGTTTGCCCGGGTCTTCTCGGGTTGATGTAGTCCGGTATGGCAGAATTTTTTTTTTTTGGCGGTGCGCCGCCGCGTTGCGGGCGGGAATGAATGAATGAGTCGAGTTAGTCGATAATAGATAACAGCTGACTGGAAGGATGGAAGAAGGAAGGAAGGTAGAAATTGGGTCACTCTCGGGTCCCTTATCCGTGGTTCACTTTTCTTTTATTTTCTTTGCTGAGGGTGAACCATGATTCATGTATGAGTATCTGAGTCTGGTCCACGGTGGGTGCGTACGCGGGTTTCTTTCCGTTTCTTCTTTTGCTTCTGGAAGCTCGGTTTTTTGGTTTGGGTTTGTTTGGGTTTGTTTGGCTTGGCGTGGGACTCTTACCTCTAATGCTGAACTGAGTGCTTACTGCTTGTTGCTCTGTGGACTGTCGACTGTCGACTGTGGGAGTTCGGTTGGATTGTGGATGGTTCCTGGGTCTGGGTGATGGTTCCGGGTTGATGGAGTTCGGCTTTCTAAGGTCTTGTGTAGTTGTTCGAGGTATTTGACCTGTAAGGTTTAGGTGAGGTCGATTGGTCTATCTTTGGATTCGCTATTTTACTTCTAGCATGCTGAATTGCTGGAGGTCTCATCTGGGGTTCGATTGTAGATCTACATGTCGGTGACACAGTCAACCCATTGTGAAATATCATCGCGAGGTGTAAGGCACTGATTATAGCCTGGGTACTCACTCAGTCTGATTGGTTTAGTTGAAGAGCATCCCTATCTTCCATCAGCTCTTTCATCCGAGCGTGAGTGCACACCGCGTTCATGACTACGCTCGTACTGCTCTGCCGCGTCCGACTGTGTCTTGAAGGAAGCAACTCTTGCCTCCAGCGTTATAGATTTGGTGTCGAGCTGGTTGAGGTATAGTAGCTTTTAAATACTGCGTACTTGAAGATACTTGCTCAAGAGGTTGCTGATCTCTAAGTACTAAGAAGTGAGAACCTACTACTGTGAAATGGCGATCAGAAGACAACCGGTCAAAATGCGCTTTTGCCGCCTTGGCTCTAGGTCATACAAGGAGCGAGTTGAGGACCAAGATGTACAGATATTCTTCATCTCTGGATCCCTTTGCCACAGCTTCCTAAGCTTGCGATTAGTTCATGCCCTGGATCGAAAGATAGGATAGTATCTCTATTTGAGAGTGTAGCACGACGTATCAAGCCTTCTCACGAGAATGCATACTTATGATATTACGATATCGACGAGAGACGGCGACCAGAAATAGAGTTCAGGAACGTGCCACAAATCAATAGATCAAGGCATGGCTTTGTGTCTTTTTATTTGGAAACAAATTCGAATTCCATTTACTTCATGCACGCTGGATACGTGCATAGGTAGTCTAGAACTGCAAGGGGTTGATACCTGCAGCTGCTGCAAACTTTTTCTTCTTCTACAGCTATTGAGTGATCTGCGCTTGATCTGTACGGGGTTGTGTTAAGCTTTTCCTGTGACAGGATCTGAAATTGGATGTTTGTTTGGGTTGTTTTGCTTGGTGGTGTGATGCAGTGGTTTGGTGGTTTTGCTTTTAATGGTTAGGGCAGTGGTAGTCAATTGCTAAATCTCTGCTGATGATATTGTTGATGGTTTATTTTGTTCATATGGGGTTGGTCTCATGATAAGTCTGTAGGTCGTTATTGGTGATTGTTTCCCTGCGTTCAGGTAAGTTATTTGTATGTGGATGTTTGGCTGTATGCTCCGAATATATCTATGTGAAGTTGGCCGATCATTTGGCAGTGCTTGTTTGTGTTGCGTGCTCAGAAGGGGTTGTTGAGTATTTCCTGGTGAAACCATATCTGTCATGGCTTCTATAGCAATAGAACTATCCTATCATTATGTTAAGTACAAATGTGCGTGCATGTAGTGGTGATGTGGTTTACTTGAGCTTAGGTATTTGAAGGTCAGATCAGTCAGCCGCGCTTGTAGGATCTATCACTTTGGCGAGTTCCCGGTATACCAATAAACAGGCAAGCTGATTAGCAGATTCTTTTACTGCATAGCACTGAGCGCTTCGTCCTACTGATGTAGACCTCCAGTCAAGTCGGACTTAACACGGAAGAGATCGACTGAGAAGACCCAGCCACAAATCACTGCTGAGCCACAGATATCGCCTCCCTCGGATTGGAATGTGGCTGCCTTCGTTCTACGAACCAGGCCAGTGGCCACTGGCACTGCAAGATGGTGGGATTCCAACTGGGGCAGTGCCCCTCCAGTCGTGACATCGACTCGTTCTCCATCCCAAGGCATTAGGTGCACGTTGGATCTGTTGCTAATTATATCTTCAGGGTCTCCCGGGCTTGTGGAGCTGCCTGCAACCTGGATGATGTGTGGAATGATCATGGTCAGATAGGACACAGATCAATGACGATACGAGCTCAGTCTTCACTTGCAATCACGCCGCGCAGTACAACTCGTCTAAAGAATCCAGTGATGCATGGGAAGACGGATGAAACTTGACGGCATGGTTCGATTCGAATTTCGCGATGCCGTCCGTGGTTGTGGGGTAATCGGCTCCATCAGAATTTAGCTTCGAATCTCCTCGCAGACCGCCATTCGCAAGAGTTGTGTTGGCCTTTGAGATTTGAAGAGGGAGACTTGATTCATAGCTCTGGGCTGGTCTCTGATGCTAAAATATCCTTTGCTGTCGGTTACTGTTCTGGCCGGCTAAACTACCCCGAGTCAAGCACGGCGACCGGGAGATTATAGGCCTGGGCACGGCCGGCCAAGAGTGGGGAGACCGTTGAAGCTCATCCAGCATCAAGACTCGGTGTCATGTCAATGACGTGCAGACTCTGCCCCTCCTTTGCTGTCCCTTTGCTGTGCGTCTGTGGGATATACTTATAAATATTGTCCGCACACACTGCTGGACTATTTGATATAAGCATAGGGCTGTTTTGTAGCCAGTGGATCTGGGGCTGTGGTAGGATGGATCAGAGTCAGAGCGCTCTCTCCTAATTGTTAGGTCGGGGCAACAGGGCGGCACAAGTATGCGCGCACTCTATCTGCAGATGAGCAGACTGGAACACTCTAACGTCCATGAAATCGTGCACGCCTGGAAACTGCTAAGTTGAGGATTATCATCGCTAGTAGATGTATAGATCATATCTCCCAAGGCTTTAAACCCCCGTACCTCACACTTTTCACCCCCCGTTTAGCCCCATCCCAGCTATTTCCCATGTTTCACAAGTCCCCAACTTAGATTATTGTGTTTGATTGCCCTCCTGCTTCACGGTGGGAAAAAGGAGACTCGAGGATCGTCGACTGGTCTGTGCAGTAGCTTCAAGGAGCCCCCTACTAATTATACCTTGGGCGAAAAATTGCTGGCGGCAGATTTTCACCCCTGACTTACTTAGACTGACTGACTGCCTGACTGGTCGTCGGGAGCTAAAGAAAAGAAGGGAAGACTGCTGTTGACGCATTTCTCTGCTAGCAACCTCCTCTCGAGTCTTCTTCAGTCATTCCTTAATTCGGTCGTTCTTTTTCTATACCTTCGTTTCTTCTTGGTTTACGCAGTAGGTACAGTTCGTATTGTAGGAACATTGCCGTCTGCGGGCCAGAGCCAACCAGCCAACCAGCCAGCCATCAGTCATTCCTTCAACCGCAGCAGCAACAAGCAGCAGCAGCAGCAACAGCGCCAGTGGCTCAGCCGCCAGTCTGTCTCACCCGTCACTCTTTCGTTTTGCCCTCCAACCAATTCCATTAATTCTTACCTCAACTCAAAATTACTACTGCCTGCTTGCCTATTCTTTTGCTCACACCCCTTCCATCTATTTTCCTCTCCCTCTTTTTCCTCATTTCACCCCACTTTCTCCTTCGTCTCGACCCCTCGTCCCTGTGGGAACGAACTTCCCACACCCTATCGTTCGCCGATCGCGCTATCATCACCCGTCGTCGTTTCCCGTACGACCCGAGCTTCGATCGCCTCGCCCTTCGAACCAGCGACTCGACTCTACCGCAAGACAGGTCCCAGAGACGCTGCGATCACGAAATTTCGACTTCAAAGCATTCATAGCGTTGACATAATATCAAAATGAGTGTATGTCTCCCTCATTGCACGATCACCACCCTCCGCGACTGTCGCTGCTACCCCTCCCCTGACTCCTGAGCCAATGCGCACGTCGAACCGCATCGCTGACTTCTAAGCCACACAGTACGGAGGAAACCAAGGTGGCTACGGCCAGTACAACCCTTATGGCGAGCAGGGCTACAACCAGAACCCCTACAACCAGGCCAATGACGTGGAGCAGGGCCAGGGCAATGGCACCTACGGTAAGCGCGCCGCATTACACGCCTACAATAAATGCGAGGAAGAAATTCCCTAACGCACCTCCGCACCACCAGAGATGAACGCGATCGCCGAGCAGCCGGCCGACCCCACCACGCTGCTGAACAAGTGCAGAGAGATCAACGATGGGATCGCAGACCTGAAGGCCAAACGCGAGGGCCAGCTCGCGGCCGCCCAGAACGCGATGCTCGACTCCAGCACCGGGAAGGAGGACCAGGTCGCCCGCCAGACTCTGGACTACATCGAGGACGAGATCAACAACGGCTTCCGCTACCTCCGTGACCTGATGAAGAAGATCAAGCAGACTCCGGGCTCGGGAGACAACCGCGTCCAGACCCAGGTCGACGTCACCAGCCGCAACCTCCGCCGCGAGATCGAACAGTACCAGCGGAGCCAGTCCGACTTCCAGAAGCGCTTGCGGGAGCAGGTTCGCCGCCGTTACGAAATCGCCAACCCCGAGGCGACTCCCGAGGAGATCGAGCAGGGTGTCGACAGTGTGCTGTTGGGCCAGGAGCAGAGCTTCCAGGTACGAAAAGCTTCGTTGCGCGAATGGCGAGGGGAACGTGCTAATGATTTGCGCTAGGTTACTGGTAGCCGTACCCGGCAGGCCAACGATGCCCGACAGGCCGCTATGGAGCGGTCGGCCGCCATTCGCAAGATTGAGCAGGATATGATCGAGCTGAGCCGTCTGTACCAGGAGGTTGCGGAGCTCGTTGAAATACAGGAGCCGCATGTGAATCAGATCAGCCAGGACGCGGAGAACGTTGCCGGCAATGTCGCACAGGCAAATACCCAGATCACGGAAGCGATTGCCAGCGCTCGCCGGGCGAGAAAGTGGAAGTGGTATGCCCTGCTTATCATCAGTGAGTATTCCTCCGTTTCTTGGTGTCATTGTATCGGGTGAAACTGACATGTCTTCAAGTCCTCATCATTGCTATCGTCGTCGGTGTTGCCGTCGGTGTCACCCAAGCAAACAAGGCTTCCAAGTGAGGCTAGTCACGCCCGCGTCTCCATCAGAAGCCCATGTTCGAACCAGTCGACTTCGCTCGGATCAGCGCGGTGGTTTATATCGAATCTCCGGATTCACGATCCGACCCCGTCGTCGCACGTTCCCGCCAGGCTGTAACGAATCGATCGATGGCGTCCATTGTTCAAGTCCAGGTGTTTTTGTTGTGCTCTTCTCTAACGCCCATGTCCCATCGCACGGGGCCGATTGCTGTTTTCAAGTTTTGAGTTGTTTTCTTTCTGTTGGAATACCACCTTGTTCTTCTTTTTTTCTTTACTTTCTGCTTCTGATTACCTGGTTGAAAAGCACGCCGGTCACTGCGCCCTCCGTTCTCCTATGTTCGCTTTGCCCCCCACCTCCTGCTCTTTGCTTCCGTGTTCTATCCCTGTATGGTCGTGTATAGGTTTTTTCTTGTACGCGTCTCTGGGGGCGTATGCGGCCATGATGATGACACTTGGTTGGTTCCCGTCGCTACTTGTAGTGGCGAGGGTTCGCGCATGATGGCTAATCGCAGTGTATATAGAGTTGTTGCTGTTCTTTGTGCCTCCTTCTAGGCGCTAGAAACCACCCTCTTCATCAACACCCATCTACGTAATAATCGACTCTAATAATAATGATGCTTCTTTCTTTCTTGCTATAGAGTACTATATTCCCATCACCCGCGAAGGATGACTATGTATATGTGCATGAGTATATTTTGATAAACGATAGATGATAGAAATAATATGTATAATCCCGGTTTACCCCTAGCCACCTATCTACCTACCATCTTAATCTCCATATATGGATATCTTACCTATTAATGAAATAAATAAATACTCAAGATTGTCTCTCCGCCTCCCGCGCTTCTTCCTCCGGCGTCTTCGTCCGCAGCTGCAGCGCATGGATCCCACCCTCCCGACTCATCTCCTCCTTCAGTAACCCGTAGACCATTCGGTGTCGCGCGGGCTGGGGTTTCGATGCGAATGAGGCGGAGGTTATTGTTACGCTGGAAATAGAGGGGTGCGTTAATTGGCTGTCTTTGCTATCGCATTGGCTTTGGTTGGTGGGGCTGGGGGCTTTGTGTTTGATTTGGAGGGCACAGGGTATGGTTTCTTTGGTATAGGGCACCAGGGAACGGGCAGGAAAAACGAACTGAAAGTGAGTTTCCTTCGAAGTGGAATCACGCATGGGCGCGTGGTGCGCGTGTTTATGCGAGTCGTTGCGGATTAGGAGGGTTGTCGGCGTGAAGGCGCTTGTTAACTGTTTTTTCCCATCTTGTTAGTTTGGGTTCGGATTGAGTTCATTTGGTGGGTTGGGGCTTTTGGTGGGTTTGTGTTGGGAAAGATCTTGCCTTTGCGCGGATGAGGTCTTCGACTGGCGTGTTGGATGTCATCTTTTGCGTGGTTGTTGAGAAGAACTTGTTGTGGTTGTGGCTGTTGCGGAGGAGGCCTGCGAGGCGGGTGGTGCGGTGGAGCATTGATTCAATCGTCTTTTGGTGGTGGTGTTTATCCGGGATAGAGTGGAGGAGAAGGTGTTTTGGGTATGAGGATGGCTTGATTGCAGGTAGGCGGGGGATTGTAGGCTTGATGTTGTTATGCTTTGTGCTATCGGTGATTGTTCTGGACTCCCGAGTCGGAGATGGAGATGGAGGAGGAAATTAAGGTCACGGTGAATCTGGTGGTTGTGATTGGCCGGGGCTATAGCATATGCTTATTCAGCCACATAGCATGATTGTTGACTCTACGACTGTCTCGCGCTCTAGTATATCTCAATTCCTTTCACTACTGTCTATTGACCTGCCAATTCTTCAAGACTGTCTGGTGCAGCAGGTACAGCACATGTCGCATAGCCGATAGCCGTTACAGGCTGCAGTAGCCGTAGCAGTACGTTGCCTTATCGCCGCGCCGAGGCCGCCAACCTCCGCGGCAACTCGTCGGAAAATGACATCAGTCCGCCAGGCTCGTGCTGTTTGTTAGCAACCAACTCCATTGTCGTTTACAGAACATGCTCTACATGCTATACTGACCTTCATCATGTCTAGTCACTCTTTGTCATTGATCCTATCACGGCGTTCAATTGCCGCGTCCTGTCTGGCCCGCAATGCTGGCTTTCGGGCTCGTTTGACACCTGCGAGCCGTCGATCACTCGCGTCTCTCCCAAACCTGCCCCTCTTTCGCGCCCTCCAAAACCACGATCAATCGAATCTGGCAGTCATTCACAGCGCGTCGTCTCGCTCATTCACCTACGGCAATCTGGTGGCGGATGTGGTGCAGGCAAAGGAACGACTCGCACAGTCTGGGGGCGGGCGTCAGGATGGCTTGTCCGGAGAGAGAATCGCGTTCTTGGCTGAGAATAGCTACGACTACGTAGGTACTGTTCGGCTTATCCTGTCCTTCGGCATACCTGAGGCAAGTCACTGACTGACGGCGACTGCAGTGACACTACTTTCGATCCTCGCCAGCGACGCGATCGCCCTTCCCCTCTCCCCCGCTTTCCCGACCGGCGAACTGAAGTACATCATGGACAATTCGCAGGCCAAGGTCCTGCTGGCCACGGAGAAGTACGCGGACAAAGCGCAGGACGTGCTGAAATCTGGCCTGGATCGGGAGCCCATACTTGACGTCAAGAAGAAGATCGAAGTAGGAGCTACGAGTGTGGGCTCCGTGACCCTGGAGGATCTCAACGGCCAGCAATCCCGCGGCGGAATGATGCTGTACACTTCTGGAACGACCAATCGGCCGGTATGAGTCCCGGGATCCGCTGCTTGTATCGAGAAGAACAGTGCTGACCAGATCAGAAAGGTGTCTTGATTCCCCAATCCGCGCTGACAGCGCAAGCGGCATCGCTCCTCAAGGCATGGGAGTACACGCCGCAGGATCGGCTCCTGCATCTTCTCCCTCTTCATCATATTCACGGTACCGTCAATGCCATTGTCACGCCCGTTCTCGCGGGCTCGTCCATTGAGTTCATGTTCCCGTTCAACACGGATGCCGTGTGGAAGAGGCTCGCGGCGCCTTTCCTGCCCGAGCCCACCAGCACGAGCAAGATCACGTTCCTCACCGCGGTCCCGACCATCTACAACCGCCTCCTGTCTTCTTTCCCCAGTCTGAGCTCTGAGACCCAGGAAGCGGCCAGGAAGGGGATCTCCCCCGAGAACATGCGCCTGAACATCTCGGGCTCGGCGGCTCTGCCCACGCCCACCAAAAAGGCCTGGCAGGATATTAGCCATGGCAACGTGCTGCTTGAGCGTTACGGCATGACGGAAGTTGGAATGGCGATCAGCTGCGGCCTTGACTTTGCTGACCGCGTGGACGGCAGCGTCGGCTGGGCGCTGCCCTCCGTGGAGGCGCGGCTGGTGGACACCGAGAGCAACGAGGTCATCAAGGCCGGAGAGGAAGTCGACGCCGATGGCCGCGAGCGAGAGGGCGAGATCCAGCTCCGAGGGCCGACCATCTTCCAAGAGTACTGGGCCAATGAGACAGCCACGCGCGAGTCCTTCGTGCCCGGGGTGGACGGCAAGGGCGACTGGTTCAAGACGGGCGACGTGGCCACGCGCCGGGCCGTCGAGGGCGCCGGCACGGGGTCGAGTGGCGATTGGGCCCGGGGGCCGATGTACTTCATCCAGGGCCGCCGCAGTGTCGACATCATCAAAACCGGAGGCGAGAAGGTCAGCGCCCTGGAAGTGGAGCGGGAGTTGTTGTCGCTGTGAGTATCGGACTGTCTTGTGTCTGGAGGATTACGCTAATTTGCGCAGCCCCCAAGTCTCGGAAGCGGCCGTCGTGGGCCTGCCTTCTGAACAATGGGGCCAGAAGGTCGCGGCCGTCGTGGTGCTCAACCCGGAGTTCGCGAACACTGGCCGTAACGGCAAGCCCTGGGGAGCCATGGACATGCGTCGTGCATTGAAGGACCGTCTGGCCAACTACAAGCTGCCGCAGGAGATGAAAGTGCTTACTGGGCCTATTCCTCGGAATGCCATGGGAAAGGGTGAGTGGACCCGCTGTCTTACTGTATCTTGCTAACTCGGCTGCAGTCAATAAGAAGACGCTGGTTAAGGAGGTATTCGGCGCCTAGTCTCAGTATCGAGCTGCCTCGAGCATCTCTGGCTTGAGGTCCCTGGGAAGTTGAAAGAAAAGGGGGGTCCGGGGGTTCTCCCCCGAAATCGTTACTTGGTCTGCTGAGGTATCCCGGGGGGACCCCCCGGACCCCCCTTTCTTTCAGCTTCCTGGCATCTCAATTCTTAGGCCAAGTGTATAAGTGTTTCGGGGGAGAACCCCCGAACCCCCCTTTCTTTTCAGCTTCCTGGTCTACCTCAATTCTAAGGCCAAGTGTATAAGCGTTCCGAGGGAGAACCCCCAGAACCCCCCTTTCTTTTCAGCTTCCTGGCACCCTCAATATAACTCTAGCATACTAAATATATTCAAAAAGTCGACCCGATCTCCCCCCACCGGACATTGGAAAACACAACATTAGTCCCCGGATCCTCCCTCTCAATAACCCGGGGATCGCCCTCGGTAGCACTGCACGGGCCATTGGCCCCGGCATCCAGCCACTGCATGTACCCGGAGGCATCATTCCAGATACTAAACACAAGCACCATGCCCCGCGCCAACGCCCTCCCCATGCCCGCAAGCCCCCCATGGCTCTCAAACGAACTGGCGCCCTGCGCCCGACAGAACGCATCCGTAATGGCGCCCCCTCCCCAGGTCCCATTCCCCCCCAGACCATGAGACCCGACCCTAACCCCATCAACAAGATAAACCCTGCGAATCTCCACCAAGTCCCCCGTATCCGTCCCATCCCGCGTAAGAAACTGCGTAACAACAGTAATCTCCCTCGCAGAATCAACCACAAACCCGCCCCCGAGCCCATAGAACCCCGGATTCCCCGAAGCATAGGGATTAAACCCACAGCCAGAGTGATCACACACCCCGCCCTCTCCAGCCCCGCACTCCCCAGCCCCAGAACCCTCGGCGTCACACCCATAAAGTCCAGAAACACTACAAGAATGCGGCGTAAACGCCGTCGCCCGCGCGTTGGCCTCCCAGATATCCATCTCATTACAACACGCCCCGAGCCCCGCAACATTGGCTGTCCCGTTCACCCACGGCTTGACGTAGCACTGCGCGTCGCAGTAGCCCGTGCCGTAGGCGGCGCCCGCGCGGTTCAGGTGCGCGTTGTACCCGCCTGAGATGGGCATTTCCGACAGGAAGAGCGCGGCGTTCATCCCGCAGGGCAGGTTGGCGTTTTGGACGGTGAATGTTAACTCTCTGTTTAGGAGGTTGAGGGGTTGGTATTGGGGTTGGGTGGTTGTGGTGTTGGTGTTGGTGTGGGTGTTGGTGTTGGGGGGTGGGGCCAGGAGGTAGATCCGGGGGGAGGTGGTTTTTAGTGCTGATGCGTTTCCATTCGTGGTTGAGGTGGATGAGGTGGAGGTTGAGGTGCTGGAGGCAGGAAGATACTGTCGCAGATTCACGGCTGTGTGGTTGCGCTGCACTTCGACCCCGTACGCTGTGTAGTTCGTTATCCCTTCTATGATGCAGTTGCGGGCGCAGGTCGCTGCGTCGGGGCAGAGGGTTGTGTTCAGTTCTCCGGAGGGGGTGGTGCAGGGGGTGTCTGGGGCGTGGAGGGCGTGGATGGAGTGGAAGCTTGCGTCGAGGACTATGCTGGTTGTTAGGGGCGTGCAGCCGTGTTTGCGGGTGCAGTGGTGTGTTGTTAGTTGGGGGTGTTGGTTGGGTGTTTGGCCTGGGGTTTGGGCGTGCGTTATTTGGAAGAGATGGAGGAGGAGGACGAGGAATTGGAGTGTGGTTGTTGAGGCTGTCATCTTGGTTGGGCTGGTTGTAAGTATACTGTCAGTCAGTGGGTGTATGCTGGTGCTGGGTGTAGGGAGAGTACCTGGGTAGGCGGGCTCTTATAGCTTGTTTCTGGGTGGCATGGTTTATTCTAATTATCTAGACTATCTACATGCTGCTTTTGTTGGTTTGCTGGGTAAAGTCTGGGTAAAAGAGCTCATTCCTGTCCTTGAGCGCCGCCGTTGCACTACTATATGCGAAACAGGATCAGCAGGTCTGTCTAGGTTGAGCGGGGTCAGGACAGTCAACACCGAGAAAAGATAGAAACCTGCAGCATCCTGTCTCATCATATTGGCAGACTGACTGCACGTTGCCTGCAATCTCTATTATTCCACCAACTAGATCCGTTGTCTTGATATAGCGTGAAGCGAAAAGCCCTAAAGCATCTATGATTTAGCCGCCCACTCTGAGGTGGACACCTGAACAAGCCCAAAACAAGAGGAGATATAATACATTGGCATGCCATCATACATTACATACATGATCCAAAGCAGGCAGGTCTAGCCAAACTATACAACAGTCTAGCTCCACTCGCCCACCCGCTCAAACGGCCTCACGAACCTCGTCGCCTCCATCACGACCATCTGTCGCCCCATATCAACTGCCGTGATCTTGGCATTCACCAGACTCAGAATGTCCAGCTTATCCGCATCCTTCATCTCCGGGGGCACAAGAACCTGACAACGCACGCCCAACGACGGGATCACCGCGGCCCAGCCCTTTCCGTACATCGTGCCCGCCATACTCGTGTTGTTGTAAAGCTTCTGAAGCATGCACTCGAAAGTTGCCGGCAGTTTGCACTCCGAGAAGTAGAACGCGCGGAACAGCAGCATGCACGCCCAGAACTGCTTGGAGGAGCGCTCACACTCGCGCAGCTGGTAACGCTTCCAGCGGGACTGTGAAAGGTAGCGATCGACGTCTTCCCGCGAGAATGGGAGAGAGGCCGCGTCGAGCTCCAAGGACGCGTCGAGACGACGGTTGTGTTCTTTCTCGAACTGGAGCGCAGCCTCAATCTGGTAATGTGCCAGAACATCGTTGTATCGCCGGAGAGGACTGGTGGATTTGGTGTAGACGTCGAGGCCGAGCGGGGTGTGGTGAAGGGGGTGGGAGGCTGAAACGCCAGTAGGCGGCGCCATGTTAAGCCATTGTTGACCGGCATACTGGGACATATTCTCGCTCGTGACCTTGCTGTATTCGGGGTGATATTGCGTGCCGTCATAGATGGCAGGGATGTTGCGTGAGGAGAGCCATGAGGCGGAAACCCAGCAGCCCAGGTTCATGAGGAAGGAGATAAGGTTCTCTTTGGTCAGGTCGGGAACCTCGTGCGGGTTGTTGTCGTGTTGGCGGAGTCGAATCATGGGATCACCCATAACGTATCGGCCTTCAGTGACCTCAAGCTTTTGGGGCGGTAGAGGGGCGGAACCGACGGACATCGAGACGGAGACGTCCGGCATATGTGGCCATTCCATGGCTCCGTTTTTGCGACGATGTTCACGGAAAGCGAGCATCAGTCGGCGGAGTGTGTGGAAGGTTTCCTCGTCTTCGGAAGTAAGCGTCTCCTGAAGGCCCTCGCGAGTAGGAGGTGGCTGGGGAAACGCTCCTACGGTGAGCGTCTTAGTGTTGTCCTTGGCTCCAGTGGTGGGCTGGAAGATGCGGCGGAGCCGGTCATGAGTGATGTAGATCACGTTCCGGATCTTACCGTTCGCGACGTTAATGTCGAGAACTTCACCCTGAAGGTTCATCTTCGCGCTGAAGGTGAGCGTGGGCCGGCGTGGGCCTAAGCTGAAGTGTTTTTGCGTCAATGAATCAGGAAGCATGGGATAGGTACGCTCTGGGACATAGAGGGTTTGGACGCGCGAGGCCGCCCATTTCATGATGCTTGTGTCGCGGTCAATAAATGCCGTGGGATTGGCGATGTGCACGTGAATCCAGTAGAGGTCTGACCCTGGTATGCGCTCGAGTGAGACACCGTCGTCAATCTCCTTTGCACCGACATCGTCGACACAGTAAACTGGCATATCTCCCCAGTCAACACGCATGCCCTTCATGCGGTCCTCGAGTTTAACCTTATCCTCGAGCTCCTTGCCTTCCTTGACTGCTTTGTCCCATAACGCATCGGATTCGGGAGAGATTCCGTGTCCGGGCAGAGCAAGGTGATGGTCTAGAAGACGTAAGTTTTCCCATGGATGAAAGATTCCTAACTCTTGCAAGAAAAGTGTTGCTGTCAAAGGATCCAGATCCACGGCGCTGTACATGCCAGTGCTGCGCATGATGTGCGAACCTGCAGACCGCATGTGGCCCCTCGTCATCCGTCGGGGAGGTATACACCATTGCTGCAAGTACTCTATGATGATACGATCCGTATCAGTGAATTCCTCGGTGAGTATCTCACGGTAGACCGCACGACCAGTCTTTTTCTTGTCGTCGTTCCGTTGAGCGCTTGGGCCGACGGATGCCTTGGTTGTTGGTGATCGTACAGTTCGGCTCTGCTTTATAAGGCGCTGGGCTTTTGCGATGAACTGCTGTAATGGATGATACCGGAAAGAAACAGGCTCCTTGCCACGGACTGAACTGAGAATAAATTCTTGATGTTCGTGCACCCAATTCGCCACGGTCTCAATCACCCCTGCGATATGGCGGGATCTGACTAGGTAGTGGTTGGCGAATAAAGAGCTCCGATCGTAGTCAATGAGGAAAGAATTCTCGTGGGCGATCCGATGGATAAGGAAGAGAATCGCTTCATCCAACTGGTCCTCCTCGATCCCCAGTGCCTTGCAAGCCAGCTCCTCCAGAGTAAATTCCAGATTCAGTTCATCATCTGCCACTATGTCGTGAATGTTGTCCAGTCGTAGCGCATTCAAGCGGTAGAGTTCCTCGACTCTCGCGTCGAACTCGGTTACTTCCCGGAGCAGATCAGCCCCGACATGTCTCGGGACGCCGCCTTCGATCGCAGATTGAAATTCGAGACTCATCTGAGCAAGGCCATCCGGAAAGTAAGGTAATAGGGGCTCCACCTTTTCTGGAGGCACGAATCCCTTCACGATGTATTCGAGGTCCTTTGGGTAAGCGATGCGCCATTTGCCTTTATCCGTGTAGAACTGCCGTTGCTTGGCGACGGAGCGAACGTAGATTGCGTATGTTAGAAGCCCATCGTTCCTGGAATCACAGACGAAGCGGTCAGTGAGGTTCTTTCCTGGGCTGTTGGTTTAAAAGATTGAAGCATTTGAACGATCACTTACGCTGACAGGGCCACCAGGTCACCTGGTTCCAGGTACTGATTCAGGCCTTCGCCTTCATCGGCCGTATTAAGAAACTCCGCAGACTCGTCTGATGCCCGTAATGCATCAGATCCCGCATCTTGGGTTTCCCGGTTGTCGTTCAGCATGTTTCCCACCCAAAGATCTGATGGCTTCAAGGCGTTCGAGGTTCCGGGCCCTCGGACAGGGTCCGCTGAATTATCGTGGCCCTCTTGCCATTTCTTCAGGTAATCCCGAATATTCCCTTGTTGCTCAAGCTCCAGCCGCAATCGAAGTCTCTCAACTTCAGTGCTCGATTTCAGTAGGTCATCGTCTTGGGTCGCGAGATACTAGATCAAGTTAATTAGCTACGAGCGAAGCGGAGCGAAGCATCACCAGGCAGGACTCACCTTAGATCCTGCATTGAAGTGCCGCCGTTGAGCGACAAAATGCTCATGGGCGGCTTTGCTGCGACATGAGCTCGGGGAGGCGCGCGAGGCGATCCCGCAGGTCCTCACAAGCTTCAAGCTGGAGGCATAGCGATTCACACCAGCCACTCTGTGCGATACTCTCGCCTTTGAGAGTAGCAGGGACATTCTGGAGCACCCATCATACATGCCCACAATCTCAGAGACAAGTCTGTTGCTCGGAGGCAAGAAGAGGCGAGGAGCGAACGGCGGCAAATCCCCGACGCCAAAAAAACCATTGATAGTGCCGGCATTTGCCACTCACCGCTCGGGCGGTAAGAGCTTGCTGCAGCATTGTTAGTCAGGTTGTATAACATAATCGGTAAGCCACCCGCCATGGTAAGCCACCCGCCACCCGCGCCCACCCAAACAGCCTTCCATGAAAAGATAAAGCTTATATATACTATATATCAACAAAATAATATATTTATTTAGTGTTTTAACGTGTAGGATATCTTGTTCTTATATATTTAATTATTCTATATTTACTGTAGTAAGATAGTGCCTGGCAGTAAGATTATTTCTCACCAGTAGCTAATTCTTTAAACTAATTTCTACTAACTTAATTAACTTTATAAATTCTTTTAAATACATTTTTAACTTTATTAATAGTAAAGCTATTTAAACTAGTTATTTAGTAATAAAATCTTTTATTCTTAGTATTTTACTTCTCTAATCTAGTTTATAATTTATTAACTTTCTGCTTAAGCAAAGTAATCCGGTTAAAGATAATTTTATATTTTTTTATAATATAGAATAATACTGCTTTTATTTATAAAAATAGATTAATTATATATTTATAAAAAAGCTTTTTAATTATAGTTTTATATCTCTGTAATTACTTTATATTTTTAGATATTTTTAATACTATTAATATAGTAGTAATACTACTAGTTAAAATAGATTTATAGAATTATATAACTAGTTTACTAAAAATTTTCTTTAACTGGAATAGAACTAATTCTAAAACTTTAAAGATATTATATATAATTAATTTTTTAAAAATAAAAAAATATACTTTTAGATATATATCTAAAAAATTAATTTTATTAATATAGTAGATATCTTAGCAGATTAACTATTTTATTAAACTTCTATATACTTATTTTAATAGTATAAAGTAAATAATATCAAGCAGTTAATAAAAATATAAAGAATATAAAGATATATAAATAGAAATAATACTATTTTAACTATATATATTATCAAATTCTAGAGTTAAATAAGAATTATATTTATTAAAAATTAAGAGACTATATTACCTAATCTACTAGTTTTTAATAAAAGAAATAAAGTATTTATAAAACTAATATAAACTAATATTATTAGAAATCTAATTATTTAATAATAAATTAATATACTAGTCAGAGAAAAAAAAACCTTAATATTATATTTTTATATAAATTTTACTTTTAAAAATTAAGTATAGTAGTAATACTATACCGGCTATATTAATATACTTAATTAAAGTTATTTATTCTTAATTTTCTGGTTATATAAGAAATAGTTTATTTATATAATTAAATTATATAACTATACAGGCTATAACTACTATTTCTATAATAAAGCTAATTTTATTAAAGTTCTATATATCTTAATTAAGAATATTATATTTTTTCTTTATAGTTTTAATATAGTTAAACTACTCAGTTAAAAACTTTAAATCTTTATATTTTATATATTAGATATAATATCTCTGAGAAAATTAATTTTTTAAAATTAGAATATATTTAATAAAATTATATATCTATTTTTTACTTACAGAGATAGTAGAATTTAAGTTATATTTTTAAAAGAAAATTATTATTATATTTTATATATATAACAGTTAAGAATAAAGCTTTTACTTTATAAGTAAAAGAATCTAATTCTTTAAAGCCTCTTCTTTAAGATAAGTTAATTTTATAGAGTTAATATATTTATTTAACTTTATTTTAACTCTTTATAGATATTCTTATAGGGTTAAATACAGAATCTTAAATATATATACTACTTCTGCTATAAGAAGAATTTTACTCTTTTAAATAGCCTTAATTATAAGGCAGATTCGGCCCTCTTAATTTATTAAAGATTTTAATAATTAAGGCATTTTTAATAGAGTTATTAGTAGTTGAATTACTTTATATTAAAGAACATAAGACTAACACGCGCGGGTGGCGGGTGGCTTACCATGGCGGGTGGCTTACTGATTACGTTAACATATTTAGTAAGCGAGCCGGCCATGTAAGCGAGCTGGCCACCGGCCGGCTTGGCAAGCAGTCCTGTATGCTGCATATATCAGAATTCTGATTTACATACAAAATATATAGTAATTTAAATATTTATATAACTGTTAAAATACCTGAAATTAAGCCTCTCTAGTTAGGTATCTTATATATATATATTCAAGAACTCTGCATATACTGCAGCAAAATAATATTTAATAATATAGTTAATTATCTCCAGGTTTTATATCACCAGCTGTTTTCTCTAAGATCTAGATATTTTTAAAAGCTTTATATACTTCCTAACTGTAAAGCTATTTAAGCTATTTATTTAATATTAATTATATTTTTATTTTAAGTTCTTTTTCTTAACAGTCTTATAAAATTAAAAGTTCTTTTATTCTAAAAGAATAACTTGGTTTAAGACTATTTTAGTACCTTTAAAGATATATAATAAAGTAGTTTATATAGATAAAGCCGGAGAATCTATTTCTTAAAATAATTTAAAGATCTTTAACTTATACTTTTTAAATTATTTTAAATTCTTAAGTATTTTAGTAACAGTTAAAATTATTTTTTAATTATTTAGCCAGCTTTTCTTTCTATAAAAAATAAGATTATTTAGAATCTTATTTAAATTAAAAGGAATAATTCCGGCAGCTTTAAAAATATTTTAAATATTCTTTTTTTTAAAAGCTTAAATATAGGCTTTCAGATAGAGATTAAGAAAGTTAATCTTCTTAATATAATAATATCTAATTTATATAAGATATTTAAGAAGATTATTATATACCTACTTTAATAATAAAAAGTAGATTATATTTAATAATTAGTAGAAATAAAAAAAGTTAATAGATATATATACTAGAATAATATTATTTTCTTAATATATATTATTAAATTAAAGTATTAAATAGGAGTTATACCTATTAAAAATTAAAAGACTATATTAATTAATTTTTTAATTTTTAATATAAAAAATAAAATATTTTTTAAGCTAATATTTTTTAATTTCTTAATTAATTTAGCTATTTAGTAATATTATAATATATTATAAAGAAAATAAACTATTTTTATATTATACTTAAATATATATTTTTATCTTTAAAATTAAATATACAGATAATACCCAGCTAGTAGTATTAATATATTTAATTAAAATTATTTATTTATAATTACCTAGTTATATAAAGAATAATCTTTTTTTATAAAAAAAATATATAATAACTTTAGTTATAATTATTAAATCTATAGTAAAGCTGGTTTTATTAAAGTTATAGATATCTTTATCTATAATTCTATATATAATAATAGTAACTTAAATATATTAAAACTAGGTTTATATAATCTTAGAATCCTTATACTTTACTTATTTATAATTAATTTAATAAATAAACTGATTTTTTAAGAACTTATATTAAGAAATAAAGTTATATATCTATTTTTTATTTATAAAGTAAATTTTATCTTAGCTATATTTCTATAATAAGATTATAGTTATATAATAGATTTAAAAGTATCTTAATACTATGTTATATTTATTAAGTAAATAAATTTATTTAATAAGTAAGTCCTCTTTTAAAGGAGTTAATTTATAGAAATTAGTATATATTTTTTTATAAAATATAATTTTTTTAAGATATTCTTACAGTATTAACCAAGGAACTTAAAAAATACGCGTAATTTTATAGATTAATAAAATTTGATATTTCTAAATAACTTTAACTGCTAAGCAGAGCCTGCCTTCTTATTCTACCAAGTTTTTTAACAATTTAGACATTTTTTGTAGAGATATTAATGTTTGAATAGCCTCATATTCAAAGGGTGGGCGATTCATGTTGGGGTGGCCGGCTCGCTTATGTGGCCGGTTCGCTTACTGATTACGTTAGTTAGATGCATTTCATAAATCCTCCAGGTGAATTAGTGTATAGGACAAAAGTTCTACTTTCTGGTGACAAAGCTCTTTCGATAGAGAACATGCTGTCAGAGACATACTGGTGTATCTTGCCTCGACACGCTATTCACTAAAGATTGGAATACTCAAGTGCCTTCAGGGGTTGGTTGAGCACCAAGCCAAGTCATCTTTCATGCTATCTGATCGAATGCCTGGATCATCTCTTACAGTGAAGTGACTTCGTGGACGTGAATGCACCATAACACTGAATGACCTCTCTTCTCAAGGGCTTGACTATTCGGGAAGCTATTGGACAGACAAGAACCGGCCCTTGTCCTCAAAATAGGATCTCAAACGAGGCGGTCTTACACGAGTGATGCAACGAGGTCATAACCCATGTGAGGCCAGCACGACAAATGGCACTCTTGCATGGAGCTATACTGGAAAAGATTCAAGCGAGATTGCTTTCGAGAGGCTCACTCAAAAAATACTGCGAAGAATGAGTGGCCAGCCGCTACCGAGATGGCTGATGGCTCCTACCTGCGCTATGATGCTGCATCTGAATAGTGGCTGTGAGCAACAAGGTCCAGTGCTTAAATCAGGATCAGAAGCACTTCTCGCCCCCAAATAAGCTGGCATAGCCACAGCGCAGAGCTGGGCTGTTTCCAAAAACCGGCTACAACGAAGGGTCGCAGCCCTAACTGCATAACAAGCCCAGCGCGTGTACACGGAGCAAGTGTAGCGAGACAGTGAAAGAGAACCTCGCATCATGCAAATAGACCCATTCAGATGCGGGATAAAGTACTTTACTAGCATCGCACCACCAGCACGCTTCCATCGGTGACAACCACCCGAGCCTCATCGTCTCATTGACTCAGGACAGGGTCTGATCGCTAGACTTAATATAGATGTAAAAAGCGGCTCGAACCCAGGAATCTGGCGACGCAGATCTGCATGCAGACGGAAACGTCTGCATCTATAATAAGATCTGGCAAAGAGCCTGATCCAGTATGATTCAGAGGTCTATGCGTGCAAGCAGGCCGGGCCGCTTCACCAAGGCAAGTCTTCGACCAAGCTACCTCCCAGCGCCAGTCCTTGACAGACGGCTGTCTCAGGTCCGAATAAGCTCGGGTGGCTGTTGGCTAGGAGTGGCTGCCAGACCCGGGGGTGAGAATCGTTAAGCGCCGGGGTGGGTAAGCTCTAAGTCCCTACGCCGGGCGATCGAGATTGCGGGCAGACTGTAAGCGCTCGCTTCCCGGCTCAGCATCCACAAGCCAGCGCGCAAGGAAATGATCGTACCGTGCAGTGAAGAATTAGCGCTGCAGTGAGGCAATGGAGGTTTAGAGGTTGTATGGCTGATTGGAGGCCCCAATATACTAATTCTGTATAGCAGGTCTAGACCCTGAGCTCTTCTTTGTTGATTGTTGAGCTGAGTTGAGGATGAGACAGTACGGGATTATTTAAGGCCTCATTGTCTCGACAATGCTTCAACTTGAGTCAAACAAGTTACTTTCATATTGTCTCCAGGCCTCCTTTATCTAATTCTGTTTCCTCTATCGGATTGTGTTTACACATATACACTCCTTTACTTGCATCCATCTTATAATAATCACCACCACCACCCCTCCCTCCTTCATCGGCGATATACACATATTATACACCCAACTTGTCCTCGCAACCTCGAGCACATACATTCGCCCATACAATTCACATTTTAAACCCCTCAAGACCGACAAAATGCCCCCCTACGGCCTCCTCGGCGCAACCTTCCTCATCGCGCGCATAATCCAGATGTGCAGCCTGATCACGATCATCGGCCTGACAGCGAACTTCATTTCAGAGATCGTGTCCAACAACGCCACACCACCCGCCATCTTCATCGGCACGATCACAGTTGTACGTTTACCCCTCTCCCCGCCTCCTTCCCCTAAACTAAACTAACCTCAATACCCCTAAAAAAAGACAAGTATAGCAGTAATCTACGCCCTAATAACGACAATCCTCTACCACGACAACATCCTCCCGTTCCTGGCGGCCGCCATCCTCGACACACTAATCCTAATCGCCGTGATCGTGGTGGCCGTGATCCTAGGAAAGCCGCTGTCGTACCTGCAATGCAGCAAGATCGGAAGTAATGGAGCCTGGAACGACTCGTCCTCGGCCTACACGTTCGCCACGCACCTGAGCAGCTATCTCGACCATTTGAACGGGAAGGTCGACTACACAAACTGGATCGGGGCGACCAGGGCGGTGTGTTTGGAGGCTAAGTCGATTTGGGGGCTGAGTATTGCTTTGTGGTGAGCACCCCCCCATACTTTGAAACCTGTTGATGGTGAAGGAAGGGTTGGTTGGTGGGCTAACCATGACGATGGCGATGATGATAGTATCATATTCTTCATCTCCGCGATCTGTGGACTCGTTCTCTGGCGCCAGAAGAAGAAGGCGGCGGCGGCTGGGGTGGAGAAATTGGAGGGGTAATGATTGTCCCTGGAGGATGATACTCAATGATTGGTAATGTTGCTGCTGTTGTTGCAGCTGGAAAAGATAATGACGATAGGTAATGCTGCTGCTGCTGCTGCTGCTGCCACCTCTTTTATGGATTGTCGAATCGCGTTCTGCCTCTCCCACGCTTTATCTGACTCCATTTCATTTGATGTTGCTGTTCCCTCTCAAGCACCCCTTCAATTCATTCTCCTATGTCCATCTGTCCGTCCATCCATCCAAAATGTATCTATCAGCAAAGCCCCTAATCCCCCCTACTTCCCATAGTACCAATAATTAGTTACAGCAAACAAATAATCAGCCAGGATAGTCCCAACCGAACTCAACCCAGCCCAGCCCCTAATAGAGAGAATAAACAAAAAGACATACCTAACCCCCCAACACCACCCAGATAAAGAGAGATTCACCCCGAACTAACAGGCGGAATAACCGCAACCTCATCCCCAGCCCCAATAACAACAGTGCCGCCATCCTCCCCCTCAACATCCACATACTCCTCGCGGACGCTAACGCCGCAAGTGCGTAACACAGCGGCCGTGATGCCCGGGTACCGGGACTCGAGGAGCGGAAAGAGTTCGCGCAGAGCCAGCGGGGCGGGTAGACGCTCGGTGGATTTGCCTGTGTAGCTGGTTGCGGTGGAGAAGTAGTGGATTTGGAAGGTTGGTGGTGGTGGTTGGGATGATGACATCTTCTTGGTGTCTTTCTTTCTGTCTTTCTGTCGATGAGGTTCTTAGGGGGCGTGTGGAGTTCGTGCTTCTTTTTTCTTTCTTCGCTTGGGGAGAGAGAGGTTGTTCTTGGAGGATAATAGTTTGAAGAGGGTCTGGAGTCAATAAGGATTTTGAGGTGGGACAAACTGAAGTGAGACTGTCCCGTTCCGATGGTTGACTTGCTAAATGTATGGAAGTTGGAGTAGAAAGATAAGCCGTGGAATAACAAGGAGGGGCGGAACTTGCGATAAGGCAATCTCCGCACCGATCTACTTGGCGCCGCCTTCCCCTTTACGTAGGACATACACTCTGCCTAGTACCTAACAGACACAAAATATTTCACAAGTGGATTCTCCTCCTTCTTACCACAGAGTCTAGTTACCCTCTACTAGAGCCTTAAATGCGGTCACCAAATCCTGCCGAAGATCCTCCCAATTCTCCAGCCCAACGCTGATCCGCAGCAACCGGCGATCAACCGTTGTGTCCGACATAGTTCGCCATTCAATCAGTGTTTCTACCCCTCCCAGACTAGTGGCATGTTGGAAGAATGCGAGCTTGCTAGGGAGCTTGCGAGCAAAATCTTCCGTCTTCATGATGATCGAAAAGACCGGTCCAAACCCATTAGGCATCTGCTTCAACAACCACGACTCGTCCTCCTTCTGTAGACTCGCGTGGAGAACACTCTGAAGAGCTGCCTGAGTAAATGAGTCATCACTGCCGGAAGCAGGATTCTGCGCAGAAAGAGCATCGTGGAGCCATGAAACAAGCTTTGTTGCGTTCTCACTCTGGCGCTGGACTCGAACTTCGAGAGTGCGAAGACTCCTCACACCCAACCAGCTCTCCATGTTTCCCATGACACTCCCCAGAAAAATCCTGTCCTGGAACAGCTGTTGGGCCCAATCCTTGCGCTGGGTGGCAAGCACGCCGCAAAGAACATCGCTGTGGCCCCCAAAGTATTTGGACCCCGAGTGCAGAACCAGATCAGCGCCCCACTTGAATGGATCCTGTAGAAATGGAGGTGCAAATGTACCGTCAACGATAAGGTACGCCCCTCGGGAGTGCGCCTTCTTCGCGTAGGCTTCGATGTTAAATGCTGTTCCCTCCGGATTTACTGGCGTCTCTAAATGAATCACGTCGCCCGCTTCCAATTGCTCCGCGGGGCAGTCAAGGTCCAGCTTCTGAAGCCCCGTCACGCGGCTGAAAAGTGCGATCACACCATGACACCCATGGTAGCCATTTCCGATCGCGATACGGCGAGGATTGAGCAGCGTCAGGGCTGCATGCAGGGCCGACAGGCCCGAAGAATAGCTGATAGCTTCGCCATTGAGAAGGGACGAGAGAATGGCTTCAAAACGGGTGGAGCCAGGCGTCGAAAGTCTGGAGTAGATGTGTGCTGTCTTGTCCTGCTCTTTCTAGGTTGCGACATGATTGTTAGGAGCGGCCAAGAGAAACGAACTCATGGGTACTCATAGAATTAATAAAATAATTGTTGTTTGGAACATACGTCGCCTGTGAGGTCTGCGCATGGCACAAGATCGTCAGGGTTATCAGAATACCGGAATGTAGTGGCGACATGGATTGGAGGAGCAACATCTGAGACCACATTCAGCGCATCGTCCGCATGGAGTGAACGCGTGGAGGTTCCCATTTCTCGATTCGGAGGAGCCATTTTGTACCTCTCCCTAAATCAGGTATAGCAAATGGCCCAAGCAAAGATTATGTACTATGTCACACTGTACTCAATAAAGAGAGAAGACAGGAATGGATCGAGCGCCTGAAGGTGAGTCAAAGCCGGGGGACCTGCGTCACGCCCTCCGGTGACATGAAAAAGTGGGGAAAGAGCTCTCCATGGCGGTGAGTCATCACGTGATCCAGGCGGGGTGGAAATGGCGTGACATCGTGCGGTTTGAAAACAATGTGAGGCGAGGTCAGGAGAGGTTGGAATATAAGAGATCAATGTCTCAAGTTTGGAAGGGGCATGTCAGGTCCATGATTTATCGGCGAAGGGAGCCCATCCGGGATGGTTCGCGGACGGATCCTGGCACGGCGGATTGGAAATTCGTCCGGTCTAGAAGTAGCGCATTAGACACCGATTCACGCAGGAGAAAACCAGAGAACATACCTGCTTCAGAGTCGAATGCAATTGAGATATCATCATGTTCCATGGGATAGTCTGGTGTGTCCAACGAGACAAAGTTGGAGGCAGGATCATCGTCGGATTTCGGCAACGCGAATTTAGCATCGACAATGCGGACGCCAAACTTGCCGGTTTTGCCGAATGACTCGAGGGTGTCTGTGCCCTTGAGTATGAAGTTCATACACCGTCCATAGTGAAAGCCACTGAGAAAAGCCACCAGCTGGACAACTCTGTCGCGGCGGATAACCTGAACTCGAGCGAGGCTCGATTCCCATTTCTTGGTGATGGGGACCACCATGCGACGTCGAGATATGGCGAAAGACGAAGCCACACTGCCAATCCGTCAACATCTAGAGAGAAGCAGGGAACGGAATCCAGGAGACCTACCTGTCAAAAAGCACCTTAAACCCTGTCACGGCCTGTTGGAATGTGTGAAGATCTGGAACGGATGTTAGTTGGTCTTCTTGCGACCAGGAGCTAAGAGACCATACCCTGTACGGTAGCAAAGTCGAAGCGTCTGATCGTCGGTTTCACCATGATTTGTTGCAGGGAATCTGTAAGCTTATCGGGCATTTCAGGAATGACCATGTTCTCCGCGACGGAAACAGTAAGGTCTTTCTGCCCCGGTCGGTATAGGCTAAGCCCTGTCCGATTGTTGACATCGAGGCCAAGCCGCAGCTCACCAGGGCCTAAAGTACGTCAGCTGAGATTCCACGCCGAATGCTGGCACCACACAACATACCGAGATTAAGACGATCCGTAACCGAGCCCCATTCCGTGGCGATGAAGGCACGCAGATGTTCCGAGAGGACAGTAGGGCCATAACCGTGATCAGGTCGGGTATACTGTTCGTCAATGATCGAGATAGTGCCGGCTGGGAATTGGATATGTTCCCTGGCGGGTTTACCAGTGACTCGATCCGCCGGCTGCTCGATTGTAAAGGCACGGATGGAGATGTCGGAGGATTTCGCCTCGCGCTCTTGTGGTAGTATTCCCAAGAGCAAAGAATGCAACATTGTCCGCTCCTCGAGCTCGTCAAAAGCCATCAACATAGACCTCGTACTACCATCCTCCTTGACTTTGAGCAGAAGAGCGGGTGCTCCATCGTCACCACGGAGGAGACCGAAGACCAAGGGAGCGCCGTTTCCGAGAATGTGACGCACGCTGCTTAGGGTTTTGACCTTGGGACTGGTGAGAATCGCTATCCGGAAGCCCTGGTGCTGCATGCGCTGGCCTGTGCCCTCGTTCAAAGGCACGGTTCTCTCGAACAAACGTAAGCGACATTTCTCAACAGGCTCAGGAGGGAAAGCTTTGGGAGTTCCAGAGTCAATGTAGCGGAAGGTCTTGAGAGTGTTCTCATAGACCAATGTCTCATTCTTTTCAGGCTTCAGACTTGCTTCAGTTTTGGAAGTGTATTGAACAATGTTCCAGATGTTCTTGAAATCCTCCTCCTGGAACTGGACATGTAACTCAAAGCCCCGGGGGAGCTTGACGCGCATGGCGTGTGACCGGACGTGCCAACTCACACTTTCCCAAGTAGGGCCATTCTTCTTATCCGACTGGATGATAATATTGGCCAAGTCACTCTGACTGGTTATAGCCGCAAAGACATACCAGTCAGCTCTATCTCGGATTATAGACAATGCGCACGGGATAGGATGTTGCTTGTCGTCATCATCGCTGGATGCGATACAAACATCGACGAACATGCTTCCATAGCTGAAATAACGATTGGTGTCGCTCACTGGCATCATCTGCACAAAGCTGTAAGATTTTCCGGCTTTGTCGGCCAGCAAGGATTTCGTCGCCGTTCCGGATAGAATGGCAGCAACATCAGGAGCAAAGGCGGGATACTCAACCCAGACAGTGCTATCGATGTCACTTGGCGAACGCTCCTGTGAGAGAGTCATGAGGATATTGTTTCTCTTGATGGACATGGCCAGTGAACGCAAATGATTCAGAATCGTTTGACTCAGGCTCAGGAGATCGGCCAGCTCCTTGTTACCAGTCGTACTTGCCACTGCAAGCAAAGCATCAACACTCATTGAACCGTATCGAGCCAGTTCCTCATGTTGTGGAACGATGTTTTCGGTAATCCACAATGCCTTGGCGAGATCGACAATTGCCTGCTTTGCGCTCTCTGCAGGCCGCGTTTGAGGCGACCGCACACCAGAACTCGAGGGACGCGACCGCGCATAAGTTTCTAGTCTCTTCTTCCCACGCAAAAACCACCACAATGCCGCCCTCATCCATTCCGAAAGCGGGGTTCCAACAAGCGGCTTGACACTTTCGGCAGCGATCTCGATTGGATCCCGGAACTGCACCACATACGCCTTCAGGTCTGCAAACGCAGTGTCGCCTAATTGATTCGCAATCGACTTAAGTGTGAACTTAGGTGGCTGTGGACCCCGAGACGTATCCCGAGCGTCCCTACTGGATGACCGGCTTGTGATCTCAGGAACAGGGAGACTGGGAACTGGCTGACGGACTGGAGAGGAAAGAGTCTGCACATTGCTACTAGAGGAGAGTACCGGAGAAAGGATAGGCCTCTCGGACGCCACAGATCGAGTGACCGAGGGATGGCTTGGGGTGTCCTTGAATGGGTTATCCGGGGCAGTTGGCTCAGTCTCGGAAATCGGAGGCGTCTCATAGGTCGAACTAGGGCTATCTGGAATTCTTGGGGCCGGAGATTGAACTTCGTTTTCATCACCGGGCGACGTGGGTTCTGAAAGGCGATGTTGTAAAGCAAGGCCCTCCTCAGCTTGCATCTTTGCCCGAACGCGTTGCGCAAAGGAATTTGACTCAGGGGAAGCGCGAAATGACAGACGGGAGCCTCTTTCTCCAAGACTCAGAGTCATCAGGAAATCTGCATCTTGGGCGTTTTGTAGAAGAAGTGGTTTCCAGTCTTCTGGTCTCGTCCCTAGAGAGAGAGCCTTGGGATGTTCAAGGTTTCGCTCGCGAGGCGTAGGCCCATCATTCGCTCCAATCGAAGTATCGAGACGCAATTGAGGGGGCCCGTCCGTTCCAGAATGGCTGTCAGACCCATTGGATTCCAGACTCTGAGCTCTGTTTCGATCCAGGGAGATTTCCATTGTTGGGACCTCTACTTCGTCACCTCCTTCTCCGATGATCTCAGGCGCCCTGTCGGCAAACCTGACCTTTGCGCCTTTGCGAGGGCGACTTTTGAACGGTGGTTTCGTAAAGTCCGCCATTGAAGTGACATCATGGGCGGCGGCGATCGAGGATGAAGCATTGAGCACATCCTGCGCGGAGGGCCACCGACTGGCAGCGTCAGGACGAAGCGGCCGCAATTCTCGCTGGGTGGCTGTTGCTCCGTAGGATAGAGATTTCGAGCGAGTAGGTCCCAAGAAGGCTTCAATTTGTTGGTCTGTGGCTCCCTTGGCCTTTTTGTCCTTGGAGAACAGCTTCTCCCTCCAGTGTGGCTTCTTGCTCTGTGCCTGTTTCGGTTCCTCGCCGAGGAAAGAGAAAGGGTCCTCAGTCGACATGCTGGCCAAATTTAGTGTGGGTATATTTCTTCGGTTTGCTATAACTTGCTATCGAGCATGGCCAGTTGGTCGAAATCCGTGTTTCTCCACCTGCTCTACAAGTGCTCGTGCGCTGGTTTGAGAGTGTAGATGGGGGGATCGACAAGGGGGCCTGTAACAAGAGTTTTGAAGGCAATCGTAAGGTAGCCGGTGCGAATGTTTATCGGATCAGATGGTGCACCAGTGACTTGGAGAGGGCACACTCGAGATGTTGGTTTCACCGAGTTGTTGTTTGTTATGCGCAGTTGGACGAAACTCCAAAGATGCAGTGGAGAATTGAAGTCAACCAGTGATAAGGTCAAGGATTCGAATTGCGACCAGAGGAGTCGCCTGAAAATGATGGGAATCAGGCGCGATTGCCTTAGTTGACCGATGTGGAGTCGCGGACAAGCGATCTACCAAGGCGAACAATTAAACAACCATTCAGAACCGGGACCAAAGGGAAGGGGCAGGCTGTCAAGCAATGCTCAGGGGCGCAAACGAGCGAGGAAACAAATGAACAGGGAAAAGGCAATCACCTACATTAAAAGGCTAGATATAATGCCAGACAACACTTGTGCAGACGGGTTGAGACGCCTTACAGTTTCTCGATGCGCCGGCTGTACTGTACAGTTGATAAGAACTCTAGAAAGGGAGAGATTGCCAAGCGCCGGTCCAGCAGCTGCTTGTGACTTATTCTGGAAAGTAAACCTGGAGCACGTAAGGAAGGAGGAGGAGGAGGAGAGGTAAGAGAAAGAGAAAGAGAGGAGGGAAAGAAAGCGCACAAGAAGAGGAAAAGGGGAAAGAGAGAAAGCGAGAGATTAGAGGGAATTCATAAAAAGCTCCAAGAAGAACATGTGGGCACAACAATGGGACGGTTGAACCCGTGGTATTAAGTCTCACTTGCGACCGAGGGATTAGATTTGGGTTGGTTTTTGGGGGGGGAGGGGGAAAAGAACGAGGGGGAGGATAAGTTCCTCAGGCAGGCAGGCCAAGGGCCATTCTCCGGTCTCCGCAAATAATTATTGACTATGGAGTTGACTGGCACTTGCAATTCTCCTCAACCATAATAAAGACAACAAGGGTCACCGCGGATTCTCTGCTACACTAAACGTCTGCAGACTTACTTGTTCATCCATCTATCCATCCATCCATCCATCCAGCTAACTGCCCTTCGAGTCAATATTCATCCATCCGCATGAACAATCTGCCCGATGTCTCACCAACCGCTGATCCACCCATACTATTATTAACCATGATAATGATCATGATTGTATGAAGTTATGAACCTAGTCTATCTACTACATTACTTAGTGGTTAGTTACTGTACCTAAGCCACCACTGCGCCCCCAGTCCTCCTCATCAACTTCCTCCTCCCCCATTTTCCGAGCCATAAACATGTCAATCACGTGGTGATAACCAGCACGGCCATAACAGCGGCCCATATTAATCAATGCAGGACCAATAGTAACATCATTCTGTTATGCATCGGTAATAATCCCGGTATGGAGGGTTTGCTGCTTCTGCTATCGGCCCCAATCTAAGCTTACAGGTGCATCAATTGCCAATCCTTTGGAACGGGGCCCCTTGGGTCCGACAATTCTGGCACGACAACTACCGGAGACCATCATCCCCAAATCGATACCACCATCGAAACTGCAATTCATCGAAAGCGACACGACGACGATGACGATGACCGCGACCACGACACTCTCTCTGTACACGTATGCCACGGATGGCAGGATCACTAATTGACCTTATCCACTTATTTCGGGAGTACAGTTAAGTACTCGTCGCCGCAGGTTGAAACTGACGTGGACTTGGGGTGAGACGGGGTTGAATCAAACCGAATCAGCATTGACAGCCCCCCTGTTATCAGAGGAACCGATTTAAGAGGCTGAAGGCCAATGAATGGGGGGGAAAAAGCCCGCGTTGCCCCCCCAGTTGCTGCCCCTCCCCACCCCAAGTGCATTCCGTTGGCTGATCCCAGCCTGAAATCTTGAAACCGCTCCTTTGCCTATCCGAAGTTAGTCTTCTCGGTGGGGCGCCGACGAGCCCCCATCGAAACCTTGCACAGCGAACTTGAAGTGGCACACCCGCCATGGGGATTTCCCATGGGAATGCCTGGCTGCCACTGCGAGGGGCGACGCTGATAGTTATGCTGTTAATTCCTCCATATATCCCATCGCAGCCATCAATAGATACCAACCTGGCTTAGTTCCCCTTACCGCGCCAGTCTCTTCAATTGAGTGTTATGCCAATCAGCCAGAATAGTCTGGTATTGACTAGGGAGCTCGCGAGTCATGGCGATCGACAGAGACCTGAACAACAACTTCATTCATTGTTGGGCTCTGAAGGTACCTACCTGTGCACGCCATACCAGTCGACAACAATCTAGTATAACAAATATATCAAATCAAATACCCATACTAGTGTCAATCCTCTTGAATTCTCCCGGTTGTTGCCTGGTGGACCGAGCCATCCGAGTTGCCAATTTCCCATAAAATTGGCGCAACGGCACGAGACCATCATCGAGGGTCCCTTGGATGATCTTGTTTGCTGTCAATCAATTCCCGCGTTTGCTCGGCAGATCACCGCGAGTGATGGCTGCAGTTGCTGGGCGATCGACCCGTGAGACCGAGTTCGATACTGGGACAGAGTGATGATAAGCCCGTCGCAGACTCATCGCAGCAGCTACCTATACTTGAAACATCTTATACATGGTACCGCACAGTACATCGACATTAAAGCCTGAACATTCGTTCTCTCAAGACAGACTCATGTTCGGGTATCCTCTGGAATGTAACCTTGCACGAAAATGCCCCCAGTCCTGTGTTTAATTCTCTAGTCTAGGTGCACCTTATCGGCACGTATCGTAATATACCCGGCCTTCCGTTCAGGTCAGTCAAGGCAGGCAGTGAGTGCTGCACGATACCATGGGCCTTGGTAGCTGTAGATTTGAGTGCAATTTCCCCTTTTATGATGAGTCCCTGGATTGTTCGGGCCGCAGTTGACAACGGTTGACAACGAACCATCCTGGCTCTTCACAAGTTCGCATCATGCCATACCATGGAACTCCAGCTCCGTCAAACAAAGTCCAGCCGTGGGACATGCCCTTATCCCAGAGCTCCGAAAAAGGGAGGTACGGTAGGTATCTTGCCGGGTAACAAGCTTCTAGAAGCTCGTACATTTGAAGGGAAATGAGAATGACAGTCGGTTACTTGCCTGGGCCAAGAAAGGAAGGTTGCATGCCGGCTTTCCTCTTTCACCCACGCCGGCGGTCCATGTCTCTCATGTCAGCGCAGTAGACTAGGGGCTAAGAACTCGCATTTTGGCCTTTCTCGTTTCTATCCGGTGTGTTCCAGTATGTCTTATGTCTGGGATGTGACAAGAACCCTTAGGGCAAGCTATCTCTGCCCCACGTTCAGCGGGCAACAAGTATTAGCATTCCCTGTCGGGTTGGTAGAACACGGTTTTACATTACTGCTGCTGGTCGATTTCATCGCAGCTATATCTTGACCACACCATCCCCATGTACTGTACCAGTAAAACTTCAAATTTTAACCAAGCTACAGAAGAGTTTCATTGTTTTTCGCCGAGTATGGAAGAGAAAAATCCTTACCAGCGATGGGACATGTGTCCCCACAGTCTCCGGTCTTGGATTCCATGCCAAATAGCTGCCTCATCGGGGCTGGAATATCGATCTTTTTGTTGTGTACGGAGACTGGGCTTCGGAACAAAGAACAAACATAGCCTGCCAATTGAAAGAATGTAGGACATAATGTCCGGTCCAGCACGAGTGCGACGCTGCCCGACGACGATTTAATGCTAAGCTTTCCCTCAGTGTGCAGAGGGGAGAACAGGGCCGCCTTTTGAGGCCACGATAGAGAGATAACTGGGTTGACATCCGCTTCTTTTGCGCCTAGGCAGCTGCACTGTTTCTCAGGGCTCTTCTCCCTTCAACCTCTCTCTTCGCCCCCTATTGCCCAAGCTCAGCTAATGGATTGGCAAACGTCGGGTCTTTCCGTACCGGGGAGAGCGGCTTTCTCTTAGACTTGGACTGTTGTCTCAACTTCACCCTACATGTCTTGACGATGGGCTCTGTTAAAGCGTTTGCGAACCCCGGTGGTCCGAAGGAATGGGGCTGCAAATCAGCGGTGAATTGGCCGCAACCTGCTTGGCTCCCTTTAAAGCGGCGACACGCGCTGTTTGAGGATCTCCCTCCCATCTCGAAGTAGTTTCTCGCACACCGTGGAATCTCGTATCTCGCATTGTTTTAAGTTTCTACGCCATATGACAGCATTGTTGGCATTGCGGGCAACTCATTGTGAGAATTGCGTCTGTAATAGAGTAAAGAAGTAGTCCGAGACATTTCATAGTGTCCAGACACTCCTAGCGCAGTACAGTCGTCGTCGACCAAGGTTAGCAGGCCTGGCGCGGTCACCTTTGGCAGTCAAGAGTCTAAAAGATCATGAGCGGTTCCCACCTGTCATTACTATCCTGAATGAATTTCCGATGAATAGGGCTATGTAGACTACGGAAGAGGTAACTACTACTGTCTTCACCTGATCTTGCCATGATGATTGGAGGAGCCGATCATGGACCATTGCCCAGGAATAGCCTGATGGATTGAACTTGGTAGCTCTCTTCTGACCTGATGGTGCGAACTGAACACATCGTGCTGTCTTAGAGTTTCGATCCGACTGAACCGGAGATACTATATATGCTCTCATCAACATGAACCGCTCTTCACCATAAAACGTACTAGTATTCATGGCAACGGGAAGTCAACCGTTTCCTGTATGTTGTTCTTTGCAGATCAGATAGACACATTGTTGAACTGGTTGTATGCAACCACCTTTGGGAGGAGAAGAGAGACCAGGACGGTTCCGAAGGCACTGCTGGCAATGGATACCAGTTTCCTAACGAAGCCGAAAGGATGGGCTCGTAAATCCGTATAAGTGGCATGGCTGAGACAACCTCAGGGTTTTTCCCCATTTCCGAGACCGAGGGTGTGGATGCTTATCCACCATGAACTTCCTGTCTGGTTGTCAAGCAAGTTTTGTAGGGGCCTTTTCTTTTACTTGACTTTCTTAGGGAGATTCTGTTGTGCGGTCGGACTCGGAGGGGGGGTGGTTTTTGTTTTAGCGTGATTTCCAAGATTAGAAGCCACCACTTCATTGACTGGGCACTTTTGGCTGGCAGGCAGTCCCGCCGCCCCAATCAGTTAACCTTTCAGCGCAGGCTGGTTGGCTTCCCCCCCCCCCCCCGGAACAAAGTGAGCAAACAGGGCGCAGTCAGCAGCTGCTGGGTTTTGGCGCTCTGTTCCGGAGCTGGAAAACTGACTGATGACTGAACTGCCAGTGTCTCTGTTTGACTACTGGACTGGAATTGGCCTGACCTTGGAGCAGAGAGGGGAGACTGCACTGGAGAGGGTTTCGCATTCTCAAACCATGCCAATCTTTTTCTCTTCTCTTCTCTCGTTTTTCTTTTCCCCTTCTCCCTTTCTCTTTGTCAAAGCTGTACGGTCCCAGCTTCAAGCCTAACTGACATCAGACCTATCTCCCGCCCCTTTTCTTACTTACTAACTAACTGTCATCATTGCTACCGATTCCTCGTGTTGACAGCTTAGCTCTCCCGACCTTGCGATAATCCATCCATCCATCCCCCCTTCCCCGCCATCCACACCCCCCGAAGTTATGGTGCGCATCCCCTACATCACTATTTTGGGGGAGATAGAGGAGTAATCAACTTCTCCTTTTCAACTCTCTTTTCATACGCTTCCCTTGCGCCCATCCCAATAGTCCTTCACGTCAAGTCATCCAAAACCGTTCCGTTCCGTTCCCCGATTCATCGCTGGGTTGTTTTCCGTTCGCAAAGGTTCGCGCGGTCATCAGGCTTACTGGGGATATCTTGTGGTTCTATCGTCGAGGCAAGACACTGCTAGGACAACGTGGATTGATTCGTTTACGAGGGGGCTGACCTCCCCGAGGAGGTCATCCCAGCTACCCAGAGGGACCGAAATGAGTCCGCAACGCGGCGCAAAACGGATCGATAATCCTGTCACCATGGTAGTCTCACGTCAATATGAACCCGATGTCCCTGGAACTCAATTATGTGGATTGCAAGCTCGACGATCGCAGCGCTTTCCACGATCCCGACCGCGATGGCGCAGAGGTCGGTCCGTGTTTGGTGGAGTGAGCTGGATGTTTTTGGTCTTAGTAGTGTTGTGTACATGCCCGACTTACGCGGCGTTATTGAATTTCGACAACTGTTTGAATGCGGCTGTCATCGAATCGAATCCGCGACAACTTCAGTTCGTTCCGCTCGACGTGTCGGTCGCTTTCAACTTGAAAGACTCTCTCAACCCCCTCAACATCACGGTCTATGGAAACGTTTCAGGAACGGCTAATGGGGAAACCTATCCAAGCCCGGATAGTCCCGACTGGTCCAACCCGAATGATACCGTGGGAAAGATCGTGGATGTGGACTTTTCAAGTAACAAATTGAGCACTCTTGTGTCGGAGATCAACGTGCTCAGTTGGAATCCATACCATGATGCGTCGGAATTCTGTGACTCTGTCACTCAGGGGAGCTGTCCACTGGGTCCTGTGTTCTACGCTAATGCGTGAGTTCTCCTCGTTTCAATTGCTTAACAGCAGCTAATCAGCTTTGGCCTCACTAGGAGCGATCTTTCCGCCTTGCGAGCCTTTTCCGTCCAACATGACATGCAATCCGCGTACCATTTCTCGACCTTGTCGGCACGCCTATTGATCAAGTCCGCCGATGCGGCTGCCACAAGGATCGGTTGTGTCAGTGTAGATATCACTCCTGATCTCGGGACGTCTCTTCGAAACACAATTACCTACATCCCAGTGGTTATTCTCTTGCTGGTCGGGATCGCTACCGTCACTGCAGCTATTTACAGCCCATGGGGAACTACCGATCCTTTCCACTGGACTAGCAACTATGGACGCGATGAGGACGTCCTTCGTCTAGTGACGCCGGGCTTTGGGGATTGCCTCAACTACATTCAGTTCGCGGTGCTTACTGGTGCCCTGTCATTGGATTACCCTGGCTACTATCAACCTGTGGTCAGCCAAGTTGCCTGGTCATCCCTCATGTTCAACCAAAGCCTCTCGGCCCCCGGAAAGGAGCGGAATCCTGTAGTCGATGGCGTCTATACTGTCAATGCTACCTACGGACTGGATAGATTGAATCAATATGTGGGGTTGCCAACATCCCGCGACATCTGGCCCGGAATGATGGTCTGGATGCTTGTGATTGTGGTCTCAGTCACAGTCATTATTCAAATAGCCTTCGGGCTTCGCACCCTCCATCGTACAATTGCTCATGTGCCGGAAGAAGACCTTCGTTCAAAAAACATGCCTTTCACCATTGGAAACGTCATCCGGATCGTGTTCAACTATTTGCTGCTGCCACTTATCTCTTTCTCGTTCTTTCAATTAGTGATTGCCGGCCATTCTCCAGCATATTGTGTTGTCTTAGCGGTTGTGGTCATCTTGATCCTGGCATCATTCTCTATTTGGACAACTCGCTTGATCGCGACCACGCGCCCTAAATCCTACTTATTCGATGACCTGTCGACGGTCCTCCTCTATGGCCCGCTGTACAACACTTTCTGCGACGATGCTGCCGCCTTTGCTCTGGTACCAATCTTTCTCTCGTTCGCCAGGGGTATTGCTATTGGAGCCTTGCAGCCGTCAGGAATCGCTCAAATTGTGCTCCTCGCCATTTGCGAAGTGGTCTCACTGCTGACCATAGTGGCGTTTCGACCGTTCGCATCTCCCACCTCCATGAACCTTTATCATGCCTGCTTCTCAATCATCCGTTTTCTCACCATCTTGCTAAGCATCGTCTTTGTCCCCTCATTGGGTGTTTCGCAGGCTGCACGGGGTTGGATCGGATATATTATTCTTTTCCTACACGCCCTAGTGCTTGTTTTCGGTTTCTTCCTTAATGCCCTCCAGACCTTGATCGAAGTCATCGCACGTCTTGCCGGAGCGGGAGGTAACGAAGGTGGTGTAACTCGAGGTGGCCTGGTTAAGGTATTTGGTATGCGGCAGCTGTCACGTCGTGTGCCCAGGCAAAGTGTCGGTACGCGTCAGAGCATGGGCTCAGAGGCGGCGATGTTGGCCCATACCGACGACCGGCTCTCTTCCCAATTTGATGGATCCAGACCGCGAAGTCTTTCCGGAAGCTCTGCTATGCTTCTGCACCGGGCGGGTGCGAGTGAAGGCCGTGCTAGTGCCTTCTTCGAGTCAGGAAGCGCACAGGGTGGAACTCACAGTCGAGCAAATAGTAGCGGATTTTTTACGCCATCGACGCCCGGTGGGTTTGCTGGCGCAGGCTATCAGACACCGGGTAGCAATTCTCCCAAGAGCGGACCAGTCTTCGCCATGCATCCGCATGATCCCTATTACCGACCACCCAGGCCGCGCAAGAAGATTATCGAGATCGGCGTATCGAGGGAGAAGTCTCGAGCAAGAAAACGAGCGGCCAGCTATGGGGATGTCGATGACGATATTATGGAAGGCCCGTCAATTTCTGGAAGAAATACACCTGTTCCCGCATACCTCCCAGCACCCAAAGACGATCTCGACTTGGAGGATCCTCGTCAGTCTAGAAAGGACTATGCAGTGCGCGAGGTCGATTTCTATTACCGTGTGAGGGGTCCCCCGCTATCACAGTCAGGCACACGCAAATTGAAGACAGGCCCTGCTGACCCCACGGGCCCTGTTTCGTCTGCGACTGGCTTCTTCCGAAACTTGCTCAGAGGGAAGACCAAGGAGAAAGGGAAGGGATTCGAAGTTGTCCGGAGTGCTAGGGCACCACCGGCAGGTCTATTCCCGGAGGGCGAGGATTTCCATGAGCCGTATGCAGATGAGCCCGAGGAGCCTGGGGCCGCAGATCATGCCCATCAAGAGTCTGATAGTTCTCATGAGTATGAAGATTCTGAAGGTGAGGGTCACGAACGGACCCCGGACATCGCAATCACGCTACCAAACGTTGATACGGGGGGCGCCATTGAGCTTCCAAGTCGCGTAGGCTCTCACCACAGCTCTCAACCTCCCTCCACTGAACCACAGAACACACAGCAAGACAGCACTATCGGCGCACACGCTGAAGAGACATCATTATCACGCGAAATGGTTCCCGAGCCCGCTGCGGGGGAGCCGGCCGTTTCCAATCAGCCTGAAGATTTTACTCCTGCCCAGTCTCAAAATCATCTTCATCCCTCGGCATCCGTGGCTGGCCGATTGCCGTTCAGTGCGGCCAGTTCTCCCTCGCGGGATCGCAACTTATCTATTGCCTCAACAACCGCCTCAACTACCTCCAGCCGTCGGCATGGAAATGCGGAGAACTTACGCATCGAGCGCCCGTCTAGTATGGGCTACGTCGCTCAGTATCGTACGCAGGATAAGATCCATGAAGCCAGTCCAGATGAGCCATCTTTTGCAGGCAGTGCTGCTGAGCTGGTAACCGAAGCACATCACCCAGACGGTGACCGCCAAAGCAGCAACTCAAAATAGTTCTATCTACCCGTGTCACTACTCCGATCTTCCTTTTCCTCTCACGAATCTCCTTCTTATTCGCTGTCACCTTTTCCAAAAATCATTCTGCGCCGGAGTTTGTGATATACGCTTGGGTCTCGCCACATATGCATCATCAGTATTCCATCGCAATCTGCTGGTCAGCGTGTTTCTGTTTTCCTCGCCACTTTTTTCTATTCTACAAGCGTTCCATCTCCGTGCCCTTGTGAGCTCACGGTGCGAGCAGTGTTGGTGAAATTGCGCCCGCGGACTGTCCTGATTTAGGCTATCATCTGTTCATTGCAAGCATAGGGGCTGCATCTTGTATATCTTGGAGTCACTACCTTTTCTTTCATGTACGGAATCTTCGGTAATAGTTCAGTTTAACTATAGTGAGCGAAGCTTGGAGGTTGGACATGTGTGATACTGCTGGATCTCTATTGAGTATACTTGAACATATACAGGGGATTGTTTTCTGTCCTCTTGGGAAAGTAAGTTTTCAATCTGACGTGTAAGAGTACCCGAACCCCCCCCCCATGTTGAGTCGGTTGATGGTTGTCGGGCTCTAAATGGAGCTGGATGCAGATCTGCCGACTAAGCGATAAGGAGGGTTCCGGGGCGAAATCAGGCCATGTGCATGTCTGGATGACATTCTCAACACGAGTACGCCCATTGCTAGGCACCTGATGCCGTCCCATCAGAACATCTTAATGGACCAAATTAGATTCTGCTTGAATGCTGGTCAGTAGAAAGAAATCAGAGGAGGAGAAAGTGCTCTCGTTCTTGATCCCATCCCATAACTAGTTAACTAACAACTATTGAGTAATAAAATAATGATAGTAATCCTTGACCGCCTTTGACAGCCCCGCGGCGACCGGAAACATCGGGTGGGACCCGAACCAAAACAGCTAAACCCAGGCCCGGTCCTATAAGGGCATCTCCACTACTACTACTATTACTGGCACTTTACTATCCCTCTTCCAGTCAGCTCGACTCGATTCGCCGCAACTCACTCACTCCTTCACATCCCACACTCCTCTCCTCTCCTCTCCCCTTCCTCTCCTCCCTCCTCCCATTTGGATGATTTACTAGCCATTTTGCAGTGGCTGTAGTTTGGCTGCGCTCTCTATCTGGTTCCAGTCATCATCTTTTCCTGGGTTTCTGGTCGTGCCCCTCGGATTGTCACGAGGTCGTGGAGCACGCGCTCTTATCATTCATCCAGCCAGCCTCGACGCCCGAAGTCCGAACCCAGTCCCCCCTTTGCCGTTTCGCTGCGACTGAAAGGGATCTGACACTGTGTGACCTGTCTCAATTCCTGTACCTGCCCACAATTACTGTCTAGAGCCCACAATTCATAACCATCTGGTACATAAGCACCCAGCGTCATCCACCGCTTTCCCCCCGCCCGGCTGCCCTTCCATCCTGGCATCACCGCGCCACCCAGTCAATGACGGCCCGTCCTCCAAACGACGGAGACTAGTCTCCTCTTCGGCCCCAGGGACTCATATACCAAAGAATTTCCCACCGCCTCCATCGTACTCCAGGTTAATGTCGTCGTTGTCGAATCCGGCCAGTCCTTCATCCTCCGCTTCCTCCTCCACCGCCGCCTTCCCCGCCACTCGACCCGCCGCTACTTTCAGGCCTCATGCGAGTTCGGAAAATCTGCAGGCCACTGAGGCCGGCCCTGCACGCGATCAGCGCTCCGAACGACGACGATCCACCGTGACTGGGTCAGATCGGAAAAGAAGAATGGTTAGCATGGAGGGGGACGGTTGGCCCCGTCGCACCGGATCAGAGTCGTGGGCAACAGAAGCTGGCCCAAGTACTCGAGCAGGAAGGGTGGATAGCAGGTCTCTGCCTCAGCGATCGTCTCAGATACGCCCTGCCATGATGATGCCTGGTTCTTCCTTTGCCACACCGATCGACCTATCCTCCTCACCGCCGGAGTCGCACCCGTCGAGCACCAATAACACCCGTCGGGGATCATGGTCGCGAGCCCAGGATAATTTCGTGGAATATACTCGACCGCGGTGGCAGCCCGATGCTGAGGTCACACACTGTCCCATTTGCATGACCGCGTTCAGTTTCTGGTATAGGAAGCATCACTGCCGGAAATGTGGCAGGGTGGTATGTGCGGCATGCTCACCCCACCGGATCACTATTCCACGACAGTTCATCGTGCGCGATCCCGCTCGCTCCCCCGCGGCTGCGTTGGTTCCGCCCCGAGCTGCTGCGGCCTTTCATTCCGGAGGCGATGATTCGGTTCACTCGCCTACGACCTTGAACCCAGCCCTAGGCGGCGGGGAAGAGGTGAGACTTTGCAACCCCTGTGTGCCAGACCCCAACCCAGAGCCGCCGCGTGGGTTTGCGACGGTGCAAAACCCCGGAAGGCCAAGTACTGCTGCTGCGACAGGCTGGGGCGAAGGATCATCCTACTATGCGCCGCCGAATTCTCGGCACCGTTCTTATCATTCGCTGTCATCCCCAACTCGGCCCAGTCTCTATAATAGCTTACCGGTGAGTTCGTTTATTCATCGGATGGTGGTCAGGTGGTCGTATACTTAATGCATGTATATACAGATTCAAACCGAGCCTCTCGGGACGCGACCTAGCCGGCAGACAGTTGGCGCAACCGATTATTCGACTTTGGCGGGATTCGCAGGCAGTTTTGCCCCACGATTCCCCGGAATGAATTACGCTGCCTTGGCAAGTCCTCGCTTTACATCTGGATCGGTAAGCTCGTCCACTCGGCCTCTCCCTTATCCACCCGCTGGTGGCGCCAGCTCCTTGCCCGCCATCCCTCACGCCCATCGAGCTCCGCCTGCACGCCCACCTCATGTTCGTGAGCAGGATCTTTGTCCGATTTGTGACCGGGAGCTTCCGCTTCTGGGATCCAACGGGGGCGAGGATGCCCGGGAAGCCCACATTCGGCAGTGCATCGAAAATCATGGTCGGCCCGGGCGCTCAAGTCCCCAGAGCGGCAGTCCGGTCCAGTCCCATCTCGCCGTCCGGCTGGTGACCTTCAAGGCTACCGAGAAGGATTGCATCGGGCACGATGGCGGGTTACAGGAGTGCACGATTTGCATGGAGGAGTATGAAGTCGGCCAGCCGCTCGTACGGCTGGAGTGCCTGTGCAAGTTCCACAAACGATGTATAGTGGAGTGGTTTGAGCGTAAGAAGGAGTGCCCAGTGCATAAGGTCTCCTGAGTTCTGGACTCGGTTCTGGATATCACTCTTGCTGTTGGCGAAGCAGGGTTCCCCGCGGCTGGCTTTCCGCATTCTTATATATTATATCTTGCTCTCGGCTCTTTTTATTGGGAAGGCTGGGGCGGTCCGATTGACTGCCCTTTGTTTATCGTTTAAGCCGGCGTTGCTTGCTATACTGTTGCTATTTTCATCATTTGTGGCGATTCAACTGGTGTTTTGTTCGATGTCAACGGGCTGCCGGGGTGGGTTCATTGCGATTTTGCAATCTAGATCGGAATACAATCAAGTCGTGTTTGCCTACAATTGTTGCAAGGCTAAAAAAACGCGCCCACGTCATCGGGACGTGTCAGCTGTTGGTTATCAAGTCTTGGAGTCTGTCGTCAAAACAGTAGGCTTTTGTATCGTGCACCAAGGCAGAGAAACAGAAAGAGTCACTGAACTGGTTCAAATGACTGAAATGTATCGATATACATTGGGCTGATTGTATCCTTCCTCTTCATATCTGAAATGGACTAATGGACTGGGGGAGTTGAAGCTATCCGGATTGGGGAAATTACTTCTTCCCCTCTCACTCTCACTCTCTTCACTTCTTTCTCTCGCTTCTCTTGACTTGTTCTTACGACTCCCACCTACTTGCTTCTTTCTTTCTGTGTTCTCTCTACTTCCAAGCCAAAGTAAGTATTTCCAGATCGAGTCTGGCCCAGCCACCATCACCACCACCACACCGGCCAGCCTCACGCATCATCGGCCATCGGGGCCCGACCGTCCGATTCTCCGACTTGCGCGACTCCAACTCCGCGCTGCGTCGCCTCGCTCCTTACCTTATTTTTTGTTGTCTCCTGCGACCCCAGATCGTTTCCCGGGTAAGCTTAAGCAAACTGAAATAGTGGTAATCGGACCACTCCCCATTAACTCACTCGAGTCCGCGAGCGGGACGATCTTACCTGGCGATATGCCTTGCTCATGGCACTCCCTGGCGAAGAGAGCCTAGCTGACCATGACATGATATCTACCCCCCTCAGTCTCCGCGCTCCCCGATGGAGCTCGATCCACGCCTGCATGCAGATGGCACTGACGGCGAACGGACTGGCGAACGCGCAGAAACGCGCGCGCCTTACCTCGCAGCCCCTGCGTCCAGACACAGCAACTCGGCCGTCGCCGCCTCCGCCCCTCTCTCCAGAGAGTATCCCGATCCCACCCCGCATTTGCCCCCAACCGACCGGCTGCATTCCGGGCTGGCAGGCTCTCGAGCGCCGGGCCCCTCCTATCCGAGCCCCCAGGTGGCCCAACCGGGCTATCAGCGCCGGTCGGAGTCGATCCCCGGCAACGACCCGTTCCCTACCCCCTCCATCGACCCGAATGACCCCTACGCGGAGCTGAGACGGCCGCGCGCCTGCGAAGCGTGCAGGCAGTTGAAAGTGCGATGCGAACCAGACATCAGCCAGCCCAATGGCAGTTGCAAACGATGCGCGAAAGCCGGGAGGACCTGTATCGTGACCGTTCCGACGCGCAAACGGCAGAAGAAGACGGATAACCGCGTCGCGGAGCTCGAGAGGAAGATCGACGCGCTCACGGCGAGTCTCCAGGCATCGCATGATCGCGATACCGTGCTGCAGCCTGCTCAGCAGCATATGCATCCGCCGCGCGAGGAACCTGCCGCCAGGCATTGGCTGGCCCCCACCCATCATACCCCATCCCATGAGCCCCCGCCTCTCGGCTCGCCGGCGAGCATGATCAGCACGAAACGCTGTCACAGCGGGGAGGCCAAAGAAGCTACGCCTGCGACGTCTCGGGTTTCTAGTCCCGGGGAAGAACAGTCGATATACAATAAAGCAGTCCGGCAGTGGCGTGCTTTAGGGTATCCGTCGGACTCTACGGCGAAGGAAGGGGTTAATGAGGTTGCGGATATTGTAGATCGGGGCCTGGTGAGTGCGGATATCGCTGCGGAAGCATTCTCGCGATTCAATGAAGAGATGGCACTGCAGATCCCCATGGTGGTCTTTCCTAGTGGGACGAAGATGGAGGACGTACGACGGAAGAAGCCAGTGCTGTTTCATGCGATCATCGCCGTGGCCATAGGCACGATCCAGCCCCAGACCCAGATCCCTCTGATCAACGATTTCTACAAAGTGATTGCGGAACGGATCGTTATCAAGGGAGAAAAATCCCTGGAGCTAGTCCAGGCGCTGTTGGTCTGCTGCAACTGGTACACGCCTCCGGATAATTTTGAAGAGCTGAAATTCTACCAATTGACACATATGGCCGTGACTTTAGCTATGGATGTGGGCTTGTATCGGAAGTCAATGCCGAGGGGCAAGCAATTAACCTTGATCAAAGATATTATAGCGAAGAAGTCGACCGAGGTCCTCGACCCGGACTCTCCGGAGACAAGGAGGACCTGGCTGTCGTGCTATTTCGTTGCGGTTCAGTATGTACTCGATCTCCACTTTTTTCCCAGCTCATGGATTGCTGACCATGTCCTAGGGTTGCCGTGTCTCTCCGAAGGGTCAATCTGGTGCGATGGCTTCCATACATGGATGAATGCGTTGAGATCCTGGAGAAGTCTCCGGATGCTTTGCCGTCCGACAAGGCAATGGTTCGATGGGCCAAGCTGGCGCAAATCATCGAAGAGATCTATACTCAATTCTCGAGCGATGAAATCCCTTCTGTCGTGTCCTTCTCGGACCCGAAATCTTTGTACACGCTCAAAGTGCTCGAAAAGCAGCTGGAGCAGTGGAAGAGGGAAACACTACCTGAGCATTATTCACGTAAGCAATTTTGGATTTCCTTTCATGTTCTTTGTTCTAGGTGTAGTGCTCATTGGTTTCTAGCTATCATCCAGCAAGCATACTCTATCGTCAACCTCTACCTACACGAAAATGCCATGCATGTGGACTATGGCAAGGACGAGGCGCGGACAAACAGAGATGATGTTCCTGGCCCTACCCGCGCAACACACATCAGCGCCCTCAGCTCCTGCTTGACTTCCATCCATGAAGCCCTCGATACCATCTGTGCGATTGACGCCGAGAAGCTAGTGTCGGCGCCCACTGTTTCTCTAGCCCGCACGTCTTTCGCCGTGGTCGCTTTGATCAAACTCTACGCCATGGTCTTCGCGCCCGAAACACGTTTGGGCCAAGTGATGGACGCCAGCAGCCTCAAGATGGAGTACTATCTCGACAAAGTCATTCGTCATTACGCAGTTGCCGGGGAACTCCCTGGCGGACGGACTCCGGCTAAGTTCGGAGTTGTGCTCTCCATGTTACGCAACTGGTTCATGAAACGCAAAGACCAGGGTCCGGTACTGAAGGAAGCGCTCTCGGTCTCAGTGTGCCGGGTTTCGTCGGAGAGTCAGAGCCATACCGACGAGAGGAGTCAAGTAAGTGTCATCTGTGAAACAGTTCCTTCCAGCGTCAGCCTCAGTGACCACCGCCACTAACAAGCCCCAGAACCCCAGCGGCGCCGGCCAAACCCCCCTGCACCTCCTCAGCGAAGTCGCCATGGGCAGCAGCTCGCAAAACCGATCCGGTGCCGGACCCTCATCATCATCAGCCGCCGGCGGCGACTCATCGATCCCGTACCCCACGGGGCCAGGCTTCACGAACACCACCAACCACCCATCCGCACCCTCCTCCTCAGACCTCACCTCACACTCCCTGGGCCCCAGCCCAGGCCCCCTCCCAACCGTCCCAAACACAACTTCCACCGACTCGACCACCGAACCATGGGCCCCCTACCCGGCCCCAGCCTCCCGCGACTACTTCCCCGTCTTCAGCTCCGGCATGTCCGACCTACAAGGCTACGCCGACCCCACCGCCACCGCGAACAACGGGGGCATGATGATGCCGCAGGGGTTTTTCCTGCCTGAGCTCGGCGTCCAGATGGGCTTCGACCCGGAGAACCTTCTTGCCCTGCGCAATATGATCGGCGATGGGTTTTTAAATCTGCCGCTTCAAGCTGATGAGGGGATGGGGTTTTACTAGAAGCATACTTTGTAAATATTGTTTTTAGGTGTACATTTTGATTGTAAATATTCCTACTCTTGTTCACATTTTTCTTTACAATGTGAATGGGAACCACTTTCCCCGTGAATCAGTCTTGCCTCCCTCAGAAGAATAAAGCAAAAGCACAAGCACAAGCACAAGCACAAAGGAAGCACATACCACAACCCAGAGTAATACACGCCGTCCAAGAGAGATATACACCACGTTGATACAGTACTTGTACATAACAAACCCCTAATCCATCCCCAGTACAACGCACCTCCCAAATGTCACAGACCGCACGTGCATCCCCTCCATCCAACAGAATAACCCATCCAGCTTCAAGTTTAATAAGATATATAAAACCCAAGGAAAAAAAAAAAAAAAACACCCCATTCCAGCTTCCGACCCAAATTAAGATAATAAATAGTATATATGAAAAAATCCCAGCCTACCCGCACCCGCACCGCAGTCACTATCCACACCGTAAGAACTCTAAGAATCATCAAGGATGATCCCTGTCTGTCCACCCAACGCAGAACCCACCTCTTACCTCAATTCAACCTCAATCAGCCTCTATTTGACCCTTGAAGATCAACGAACCCCGTCCATCACGTGGGGGCGTCGAGCCCTTATCCTTCTCGATCTTACCCTGGTACCTATGGTGCAGGGGCTGTATGCCGTGCTTACCTACTCTCATTGCATTACCGTAGTTATTCCTGCGAATAGGAATAGGAGGTACTGTCCACGTGAGGTCGTTTATGAGCGGGCGGGCGTGGGGGGAGTCGGGAGTCGGGAGTCGGGCCGGCTGCCGTTGTCGTGGGGGTTCTCCTTTTTCCGTGGTTTGCTTTGTTGATTTAATTTAGATAGGAACCGGGTAAATTGCTTTGCTTGCGCTAACTGGTAGTCTGTCTAATGAGCCTGATTTCTTGTTGTGGTTCGGGATAGCTAGCTTGCTTGCTTGTTAGGCTGATTTATTGGGGATGGGGTTGCTGACGGGTAAAGTGAAGGGGTGATTTATCCTGTCTTACAAGGTTTGGGATAATTTTTTGTGGAAAGTAAGGATCTGGACTTGGGGAGATGAGAGGGTGCTAAGAAGAAGTTTGAGGGGAAATTCCTAGCTTGTATCATCATCATCATCTTGGTATTTACTACAACTAGCCCATGACATGTCTGGGCTGGTGTTTAGGACTGTGCGCGTGTACTGTACTTTCATGTCCTGAGATTCTATGGTATCATAAAGGAAATAACTTTTTGAATCGGATTGCAACGTTCCGCGGTTGCTGTAGGGAGTAAATAGGGCAGACGTCTGACTTAAACACAATCGTGATGTGTTCGCTCGTCTTGCCGCCAAAGTAGGCGTGCATTTCTTTGCTTATGCAGACGGGACATTCTGTGATTGCCCCTTGATCATATGCAGTCTGCAAATAAGCGCCATGATGTCGGGCCGGCCGAGCATTGCTGGCCACCGGGTGGCGCCGGAAATAAGCGGCGCAAGCCTCGATGCAACAAACCTGAAGTTCTGTGACATATGAGCCAGCGATCTTCGACTGTAATTCAGCAGTTGTCCAGCCGATTGAAGGTATGCGATCGACACAATTTGAAGCTCGAAGTGTGCCTGACGCTCAGGTCGTTATCTTGCAGTCTGGTGCCATTCTTGACTGAGCTTTTGTATAACAAATGCCCAAGGCCACCCGTTCTCGACCTCTGTCCTGCGTAAAAGATCCAGTAGGCATGTTTGAGCCAGCGAGTCACGGATCCAAGTACCGCCTGCAAGCTTACTGTTAATTACTAACTCTAGATTAAGAAGCAGTATAAATAATAGCAATCATCGCCACGATTATATGACTTACATGCGCAGAGTGCATGCCCTGCCATGATCCGTAAGGCTAGATCATTCTCTGCCGACAGGGCTATGCCGAAAATGGTTCCCAGATTAAGAATGATTTCGTCCTATATTAAAGCGATATTATTAGAATTCGAAGACTTGCGGTTCAGAGTCGCTAACGAACCTCAAATCCCTGGATGGCCTCTCTGATCTGTGGCATCGGTTGCATGGCTTGAAGCTCATGTTGCTGGAACAAGATCTTGGCCATAGAGATGTGTTGTATTGCCGCAGCTAGACTGGCTGTCAGCCCAGATCATACCTAAGAAATCCTTTTGGCGTACCATGTAATGTGTTGGTGAACCAGATGACTGGAAAAGGCCTTCCACATCCCGGATCTCGGCCGGAATAGTGTAACGGCCTGAATGTGTCTGGTTTCATCCTTTCCCAGGCATTAACTCGTTGCCTCAAAGCATTGCCATCAATCGGATCTATGTGTACCGAGTTTTCTGCTCCATAACAGTAGTTGATTGTTTCCGCGAGAAGCCAGATGGCTTTATGCGTCCAGTCCCGGTCATCCTGAGCCGTCCTGTGTTGCCATGCAGGATAAAGCTTCTCTGCGAACGGACTCAAAGTCAAACGTAAAGGTCTTTGAAACATCAACGCGAACTGTATATCCTGCATCACAAAGACCCAGAAAGAGGCTTCTGCAAGTCCCCCAGATACGGCACAGTCTAGTTGGGAGCTGATATATACGGAACCGGCGAGAAGGTGACTTTGGAGGTCATTCGAGGGACTGTGAGCTGTGCATGATACGTGAGCATGTTGTGAATATCTTGCGGCCAGCCTGACTTACAGGATATCTGCTCGAAAAACCGTAGAATTACGGTAGAAGTAAGGAGTATATCAATGCTGATTCCGTAGTCCCTGTTTTCCAGAACCGTCTTGAGGATCTCAATGCATCGCTCATGATATCCATCTGCAGTTTCTGGCGGAACGGTGTTGTTCGTGTAAGAAAGATGGCGCGCTGATATGGCGAGACACGCGTATAACAAGAGAGGGTGTGCGGGTGCTCGTTCGGCCACATCCACGGAAAAATGACTCTGACTATCGCACACGTCTAGCTGTAAACCGTCAATTAGCTGAAGTTCAATCGTGGCACAAGACGGGGGTATAGCACCCAGGGACCGAGTGTCTTTCGGAAATGTCGGAGGAGGAAGGCTTCGTTGAAACTACGCAGCTTCTGTGCGCTGGCAAAATCTGTCGACGGGAAGGGTATGTGTGGGACAACAGGGCGCTGAACCGAGCGAGCTCGAGATGGTCCTGCGAAGTTAGGAGACTGAAGCGAATGCGAGGCAAAAGGCGAGTGCAGCGCCCCGTTGGGTGACGAAGGTAAGTTTTCGGGCGCATGTTTCAGGTGAAAGGGCGAACCATCCAGGGACACCACTCGATAATCCGCCGCAGTTCGGTCTGTTTCATCTTCGAAAGAAACTTCATTGTAGTTCATCAGTGGAAATGCCCTTCTCCCTCTCGAGTCGACACGAACCTTGAGTCGGCAACGAAACCCACACTTGGTCGGTTGGAAACACGAGGTCACTCTCTCCGTATCGCGGGGGACCGCTGGGTCGCAGCGAAGGGTTCTGGCCATGGCGAAAAGTGACCTCTTCTGGTTTTGTAGGCGCGGGTATGCATTCTCGTCCCGATCGCCGACAGCGAAGACACTGGTCCTCGGTCTTGTCACCTGGTGCCAAAACATTAGGTGACTTGAAGTGGAATGATAGAGACTGTCGGCCGACAGCGATGGGCCCGCGGAGAAATTACATTTGATATGGCGCTGGCGGCAGGTCAGACTAAAGCGAGAGCAGCGGCGTTAGGGTGAGCATTTTAACACACGCACACAGCATCATGGCGTGGAGGAATAGTCCAATATAACTCACCATCCCCTCATCACGTTGTGCTCAGATCTGTACTCTGGCTGGTTATCGGAGTAGCCCTGTAAAATCAGCCAGGTCGACAACCAGACAAGGCCATTGACATGAGGTATTAAAAAAAGTAAAGGCCCAGCAGCAACAATAGTCCAGGCCTACTAAGATGCAGCTAGGAGGTGACCGCCCCAGAGACGATGATTAAGATGGGTCGAATAACGTTCAAATGGTTACTTGCCCAACAGAGGATGGTTCGTGCGGAGCGGAGCTCGCCATGGCCTGCAAACGCAAACTAAGAAGTGGAGGGAGAGGCGAAAGGGTAAAAGCAAAGCCCTATATAGATGAAGATTAAGGGAGCAGATCCCATTTTTAGCGCGAACACTGGAGCCCAGTATCATACGGCTCCTGGTGCTCGTTCAGGGGCGTCTCTAGCCTACTAGACACTTTTAACCAGGAGAGGGCGACGACAGCCCACCGTAACGCGTTCATTTTGTTTCCTAGGTGGGATAAGGATGGCACAAGACAGAGAGCTGCAGCAGATGAAGCCATCCGTTGCCTGTTCCTTAGTCTTTGCTGTTCTCCGACAAGCGCAGGGAGATTGGTACAGCCGCGTCTGATCGTTGCCCGAAGCAGAAAATACTCGCAAGCTAACTTGGAAGGGCACCCGCACCGGAGCGTTTCGGTTCGAGCTAGTGAGCAACATTTCGGCACTTTTTATTGCGAATTTTGTCTAGAAGTCCCGTTCATCCTTCAGCCTTTTGATGGAGCTGGCTTTGCATTCTGAATTGGGTATGGTGTGTTATCGTCCTAGGGGGTCAAACCGACGGCAAGCCACAAAGCTCTTGGTGACGCTTATCAAGACTGGGCCCATAGTCATGTCAAATCTGCATTTTCTTCCGAAGAATAGTCATTCGACCACTACCAGACGGGCCTACCACCCGTGGTTTCACTGGCGCCCGGCTAGTCATCACGGTGGCTAGCTCTGTGATTGGCGTGGAGCGATATGTTGCTGTAAGGTCAACCCTCGTCCACACAGGGCTGTGGCGTATGCTTCGTGATGCATCTTGCAACCCTGATGGACGATTCATCCATCTCTGCAATGTCGGGGTTTGTTTGCCTCTGGATCAATTTCCTGCCGCGCTCAGAAGTACAGTATTTTCTTTGCTGGCGGCGTCTCTCCGTATTTGACGAATCAGGTGATGCAGAATGTTTCTACCAGACAAACTATCTGCATGAGAATTATGACAGACTGTACTGTCCCGGAGCCAAGAAAGAGACCAGTAATCTGAGCTCTGGACCCGAGTAAATTGCAGGGTTGGCAGCACATAATGGCAGCCGCCCTTGCCAAAGGAGACATGGTCATGGCGAGGTGTAGATCTGATGCAGGGGTATTAAGACGTGATATGAATGCTTGCGTGCTTTAGATATCAGCCGTGCGCAGGAGTTGGTCGCTCAAAGGGGGTCAATTAGGTACGGAGTGGGTGATTTCAAGAAAGAAGCCTGACGCCACTTGGCCTAGGCCAGGCTCATCCGAGTTAGGTTTGACGTGAAAGTTAACAATGGAGCCGAAAGCTATGTGAGCCAATTGACAGGTGGATCTTGCTCCAGACCCATCGGAGGGTGACCGAGTCTGGCCAAATAGCAGCAGCAGCAGTAGCAGCAGCAGTAGCAGTAACAGGAACTAGCACGACTTGCTTTTGCGAGCGGGAGAAAAGGCTAGACCAGGAGGAAGGCTTGATCATGGAACAGATCAAGGAGAGGGTGCATTTGTGGCTGGGGTTGCCGACAGGAAAAGACCATGCGGGTTGAAGTGCAGGTGATGAGAGTGAAGAAATTCGATGATGTTGTAGTTAGAGTGACAGTGTTAACAGTACGGAGTACCTTACACTGTATGTATACTCAATGAAGTGCGTGCTTGTACTACCATGACTAATGGTGCAGGGCAGCTTCCTATTGGGGAGTCAGGTGACGGACCGGGGTTTCTCTCCGCTTTCATTACCTCATAGCTTGGCCCTGGCCTGCAACTTGCCAACTCGGCTTGACGTGCTGATTCTTTGCTTGCAAAACGCCCATTGATATCTCAAACTCGCCTGGATACCCCTGTCTCTTGTCTAGCTGCTATATATGGTCACCCCCACCGTTGTTCGACACCATCCCGAGTCAGACACATTTCCCGCCCATCATATCTGGGTCTACGGGCCGTAACGGGTCGACTCCACCATCGACCAGCCATCATTACCATAGCTGGTCTTTGACGGACACAACCAAACTGAATCTAAATATATAAGACGGGAAGACACCGGAGGAGAAGAGTTTTGGGGTAGTCTTTGCGCAGGTAACGATCGCGACTTACAGACAGACTTGGTCTGAGCATGACTGACGGACCAGGCCAGTGAACTGCTACATAGAATGTCTCTCAACCGCGTCTCCTACTTAGAGTCCTGGGAGCAGAATCCAGCTGCATTCCGTCATCAGCCTTATCAAGGAGACTCCGAGGACGAGGAAAGCTACCATGATCTGCCAGAGCCCTCCTTATCGTCTTCATTCAGGTCCAATATTAGTCGTCATTCCTTCAGACATCGTCTCAATTTCAACCCGTATGCGGGACCAGCATGGGGGCAGGCCACTGTGGATGAGCCCACAAGTGAGCAAAACCCACCTCTTCAAGCCGCGTCACCCAAGATCACTACGCTCAATGCGGTGAACAGGGAGGAGTCTGCGCCTGAGCAGCTTGCACCAAAAGTGCAGGAGTGGCCCGGTGGCCGGGAGACCACGGGGGCGTTTGAAGTGAGCCATACCAAACGCATCTGTGAGTGCTACATGTCACTACAATACCCCATCCTGCCCCTCGTATCTAAGTACTAAACATCGATGCAGTGCAGGTTTGCATAGCAGTACTTTATTGTCTACTTGCTGCGGGCATAGTCTTTGGATTCGCAGCCATCAAGCCGGTTTTGATCAGAGAGGGTGTCTACCGGGACCAGTGTTCGCAAGAAGAGCTTGACAACAATTCTGACGTATGCTACGGGCAAGAGCTTCGGTATATGCTTCAAACCATCGTATGATCCACAACATAGCTAAAGTCTTTCCCAGGTTGAATTTGATGTTCACCATCGCCGCTGTCGCAACCAACGTCTTTGCTCTTCCAGTTGGGACAATCCTCGACACTTACGGCCCGCGGGTCTGCGGCATTATTGGCAGCATTTCTCTTATCCTGGGTTCATTACTTTTCGGACTCTCTGACAAAGTCCCCTTCGATGGCTACATTCCCGGATACCTCTTTCTCTCCCTTGGCGGACCGTTTGTCTTTATTTCCTCGTTCCACCTTTCAAACACCTTCCCGACGCGGTCCGGCCTCATCTTGTCTACACTGACCGGCGCTTTTGATGCCTCCAGCGCCCTCTTTCTCATATTCCGACTTGTTAACGAGAGCACAGAGGGGTCATTCACCTCGACCAGGTTCTTCCTTCTCTATCTGGTAGTCCCCATCTTCATCATCACCGCCCAACTCACTATCATGCCGGCAACCTCATATAAGACCGCCGGCGAACTCGTCCAAGAAGCGCAAGCCCACATCGTGGCCGAGGCCACAGACCATGTCGACAACGCGATCCAGGACCGCCACGAAGGCGAGCGCCAGCGCAACGACCGACGCCTGCACCGTCAAAGCGTTGTCAGCCAGATCCAAGACCTCCTCTCCTCTCCCACCCTGCAACCACAAGCCCCCACCGACGACATCCCTCCACTCCAACGCGCCCTCTCCCCCGAGCCCATCCACATCACCAACAACAGCACCACAAACACCACCGACACAACCACCACCAGCCAGTCCGACAAACCGCACACCGCAGGCGGCGTCTGGGGCGCCCTCCACGGCTCGTCAGCACTCGCGCAAGTCCGCACGCCGTGGTTCATCCTCATCACGCTGTTCACAGTCCTCCAAATGCTGCGCATCAACTACTTCGTCGCAACCATCCGCCAGCAATACACGTACCTCCTGCACTCGCCAGAGCAAGCCGCAACGCTCAACTCGTCCTTCGACATCCTCCTCCCGCTAGGCGGGCTACTGTCGGTGCCCTTCATCGGCACGATCTTGGACTCCGCCGGCACCCCATCGGTGCTCCTCACGCTAGTCGCAACCGCCACCCTAATCGGCATCCTAGGCTGCATCCCAACCCTAGAAGCCGGCTACGGCAACATCGCGCTCTTCGTGCTGTACCGCCCCTTCTACTACACCGCCGTCTCAGATTACGCCGCCAAGGTCTTCGGCTTCCAGACCTTTGGCAAAGTCTACGGCCTGATCATCTGCCTCGCAGGGCTGGGCAACTTCGCCCAGGCCGGCCTCGACGCCTTAACCTTCACCGTCTTCGACCGCGACCCCACCCCCGTCAACGCCCTGCTAACAGGCACCACCTTCCTGGTAGGCGTCGCCCTGGTCACCTTCGTCAGCTGGCAAGCCCGCCGCATGGCCACGAGCCACAAACTCGTTGACGGATCCTCCGGACCAACGAACGCAACAACAACAACAACCACCACCGAGGTCGTAGAGAACGGTCTCAGCGTTCCAGGCCTGCACGATGGCGTTGACACGAGAGATTGGGGCCATCACCAACAGCGTGAACGCGAGCCATTGCTCCGTCAAGGGAATGATGCGTCAACGGCTTTGTACGGGACCACTCGCAACCATGATTGATGATGATTATTATGTTATGATGATTCTACACGTCATGTCTACCTACCTACTGCAGCTTACGAATTACGCACGCACGCACGCACGCACGCTCTTTCCTTTAGCAGGTCCCGCTGCTTACTTTATTTTCTCTATAGTCCGTACCATGCTCAAGAGCAACAAGGCAACAATGTGCATCGTTCACCTTACATTTCCCCCGCGCTTGATTATTCATTCCTGTTGTTGTTTTTCGTGAGGATTGATGTACTTTAGCCAAGATTCCAACCAGACTACATGTAGAAAAAAATATTTTTTCTTCCCCGCCACAACTGCAAAATCTATGTATAGCGTCTACACAAAAACCGCAGGCTTGCTGTGCTTCTCACTCCGGGAATGTGTCAAATTAGTCGGTTAGTTAAAATATATCTATAGTATCACAAGATTGATCGTGGGAATAAGCAACGACTGAGAAAATTGCCGAAGAACGATGGCAAGACTAAGAAAAGACAGTAAAACATAAAATAAAAAGGGTTATAGATAAAGTAGTGGTTACAAGAAGGGAGTGGTGGACTGCGAGAGCGTGATCAGGGACGACTCGCTCTTCGCTTTCGCCATGTTCGTCGGCTGCTTCGTAACCTTCGTAAAGTCGTATAGTATATTTAGTTTCAGGTGGGGGTGTTGGTAGGGAGGGAGGGTTGGTGCTTGTTTCCTCCGTTGTTCTCTGGTCTGGGGTTGGGGCTTGAGGTAAGCTTGTGAATGAGTGCTTGGCGGTTGAGAGCAGGGTCGGAAGGAGAGTAGAAAGGCCAGTGATTGCTGAGAGCTTGAAGGAGGTCCATGTCTTGGGAAGAAGACTGGTGCTTAAGAGGACGAGAGACCCGACCGCTTCACCTCAAGCCACAGCTTCCGGCCTCCGCGTTCACAGGCTCGGTCATACCAGAGCATCACACGGAGGATCTTGCGTGCTTCATCCCAGGTGTAGATGCCGTGGCTGCCGGCCACTTGACTGATGAGCTCGACGTACCAGGCGCGCTCGGGCCGGTCTTCCGCGGCTATCCCGCCGAGAAAAAGGACCCAGAACAGAGCGGTGCGAGCCTGCGGATGGTCCCAGGAGAAGGGAGATTTGGAGATGTACAAGGCTTCCTGGATAAATGTGGCGAGCTGTGCTAGTGGCGCGCTCTGGGCTTGAAGCGGTAGCACCACACCGACGCCGAAGATGAGACCGGCCAGCCGGCAGATCTCATACATGATCTCATGGGGTTGGTAGTCCGAAAACCGGTCGAATGAGCTGAGGGCAGGAAGGGAGAGTAGATTGTAGTGCACGAGGTTCCGCTGGTCAGAGAGAAGCGAATAATCTGGGTTGCAGTGCTGCGTTGTCATGTGGGACTCAACAAGCTTGATATAAGCTTGCATGCCGTAGAACACCTCCACCATTTCTGATGTGAACCCAATCTCGCGCAAAGGACCAAACCGACGCTCAACATCTACCATGCTGTAACCCAGCATATCTTGCATCGTGAGACCCTTCCGTTCTTCGCGCAGAGGCATGAAATCAAACACAGGCGGCGAGAGAAAAGTGCTGCAAGTGACGAGATCGGAGCTAAACGTGGTGTAAGCCTTTGTCGATGTGAACAACTGCCGACTCATAGATACTTACAAACATAAAGTTGGGGCCAGACCTGGGAGAGTCAGGTTCTCAAGACCGCCACGCATCTTGACCATCTGAGTTAAGCCCTTGATATGCACCAGATTAGGCGGAAGACTGCTATAGATGTCTAGCCACTGCAATCGTTGCATCGGAGCAGTAAACGGCAGCTTCTGGCCCTTCATATGCTCATTGTCGGCCACATTGTGCGCCATGCAGATGACGCTGAGAATAACTGCATCGCAGACCGCCCGGGTGGGGTCGCTGACCTCCCGCGTCACATTCCGAATGGTTTCCGTTTCGCACAATTGCAGCATTTGTTGCTCGGAGGGTAGGAAAGCGTGCGCCGGAATCGTGCCTTTCAACCATTGGACTCTCTTATGGGATAGTGAACCGAAGACAAAGGCCGTGAACAAGGTCGGGTCAGCTAACGCCAGCGGAAACCAATTGGTGCTAGCGGGATTAGCGTCATGGCCAGGTGAAACCGGGGTGAGGCCGGGCCAGAGGACTTCCAGGCCTATACACCATGAGGTTAGTCTATCTTGTGCCCAGGTCTGAGGTGGTGATAGCCAGGGAAGAGGGCCACAAACAATAATATTCCGAAGCCACGACTTCATTCTTTGACATGTTCAGCGAGTTCACAGGATGTGTCTGGAACGGATCGAATCGACCTGCGCCAAATATATCGACATAGCCCGGGGTGAAACACGAGCTTGACGAAGTCATTAACAAGGCGCGAGACCCCTCATCCGACTCCGAAGAATTTGGTCGAGATCCGAACAGCCCGGGTCGCGACTTGTGCGGGGCGGATAGAGAGATATTGTCCGGACTGGATCGATCGGCCTCAGTCATGGGATGATCCACCGGGCTTCGGCTCGACGATCGGATAAGTTGCAAATTGATGGAATCGGAGGGAGCGAATCGAATGGACGGCGATACATTGTGCAGATATTGGCTAGGGAGAGGTGGGGGTGACGGGGAGGAAGAGGCGGAGGAGCTGAGCGGAGAAGTGGCCGGGGGGGTCAAGTAACCCCTATCCAAGACCGTCTGATCCAAGTATCCTGCTGACTCCTCGCTGGAGGAGGTAGACTGACAGGTCACACTGCGGCCATTACTGCTGGTGGCGTGGGGACCGGGGTCGGCGTTGCAGCGTCCACTGGTGTTCGGACAGTCGGGCAGAGCCGAACGATCCTTGGTCTGGTCGGAAATCCATTTGCCGACGTGGGCGCGAACCAGACGCTGTATCTTCAATCGCTCATTTTCGGAGGTTGGACGCGCATTGACGAAATGAATGGCGTCCCTTTTTCGTGCGGAGGTGGCGCTTTTGGTGGAAGTCATTGCTCTGAGGTCATCGCACATCAGGAGTATAGGTATCGACAAAGACCGCAGTTCTTAACCGAAGCCACGGACAGCATCCTGCAGCTCAAACCAAGCGCGTGTGACGATAACCGACGGCAGTTATTCCTTGAGTTATAGCGCCAGGAGGCGAAGGTTGTCTCGGATAGGAGTAAGGATAAGGCTGTGGACCGGGGCCGAGATCGAGGGGGAGAAGAGCGGGAGGGGAGAAGATGGGGGCAAGTTCCGGCGGTCTAGATCGGCAGAGGACGAAATCTGCAGGCGGTGTTTGTTGATAGAATCTGATTGAGAGGTAAAGAGTGGAGAGGATTTGAACTAGCGACAGGGAGAGAGGTGACGAGAACAAATCAATAAATGAAAGAAGGCGAGGAGAGGAGGTGAAGAAGAGAAGGGAGAGAGAAGAGAATAGAATTTAGGGGAGAAGAGCGTGAGAGAGTAAGAGGGAGAGAAGGGAGAGAGTGTGTGTGTTTGTGTGAGTGTGTGTGTGTGAGAGAGAGAGAGAAAGAGAGAAAGAGAAGACGGAGAGAGAAAACAGAGAGAAGCCAAGCAGCAGACGGGAAGGGCGGCGACGGCGACGGAGACCAACAACTCGATCGATCGATTCTTCAATGATCGTCCCCCACAAGCTCGGAAGCTCTCCGAGTACAACAGCAATCTCTTCTTCTCAACTGATCTCCACAAAGCAGAAAGATTCAGCACAAGACCCAGAACCACAGAGATGAATCCGCAGCAAGCGTCCAACAGCCAATTGAATTGACAGCAAGAGCAAGAGCAAAGACGAAGACAGACACAGACAAAAAGAGAGCGGGAGAGAGAAAGAGAAAAAGAAGAAAGAAGAACTGAGCTGAGAACTTCACAGCCAAGCTCTGGCTTTTTCATTCAACTCTGTACTCTTTTTTTTCTTTTTTTCCTTCAGGTCGCCAGTCAACTGCGAATGAATGCTCAATAGTGCCCTCATTGCTTCCCTTCCCTCATCGATTCTTCCCCAATGAATCCTTCCTTCGGGTCATTTCGATCAATTCAAGGTCTGGAACTCCGCGGAGCCACCGGTTGTTGCGGGGGTGGGAAAAGTGTCAACCGATTGTCGCTGCCCTCGATCCCTTTCTGTCTCTCGGTCGGTCAATGGTCAGTCGGACTCCGGCTTGAGCACCATCGACTGGGAAAGTGAACTGATGCTATCACTGGGCCTATTGGTCGTCAGTCGGGTCCGTCACTGGGTGATTGATGGACTTAATCCATCGGTAGAGCCAATGTGACAGCCGGGAAAAGGACATCCCGAAAACCCCGTCCATGGTTTACAAACAAGATGCCAAAGTTACCAAGGCAACTTCACCGTGGGCTATCCGAGGAACCGATGTTCACATGCGCCTTGCCTGCAAGCCATCCCCATACTTACTTTGGACTCAAAAATTTACTCATCCAGTTTTCGGTATCATTACAGCTTTAAATCATACCGGCCTCGGCCCAGACGGAGTAGCCCATACATGGCCAGGAGAGTGGAGAATCATAGCGAATGTGATAAACTGGGAGAAGCCGCCAATCCAATCCGTTGCTCATGCAGTGTGGATAAGTACAATGAGGTCTGGACCATCAGTGATCCATAAATATCACATAGTCCTCACGTAAATCCACGTCGGATCTCAGTCCAGCTCGATCAAAGGATACCGTCCGCCCTCGCCGGTCATCGGGTCCTGATACTGGTCTAACGCCGCCTCAACCGCCGCCATGTACCCCAACACCTTCTCCTCCTGCCACCGGCGGCCTACCACCTGCACCGCGGTCGGCAATCCCGCCATCTTAGTCGCATTGTAATGCTTCCAGGCACCGCGAGACAGGGCCCCATCGGCCCCGAGTTGCTTGAGAACCTTCTTGTACGGACCCGGGAGAGCGTCTTTCTTCGCGTCGACGTGCGACACAGGCACCACACCCGCTGTGTAGTCTAGCAAGTTCCAGAGGAAGGTGTACCCACAAGATGAAACCGCATCATGCATAGCTTTGTGGGGGAGAGCCGGGGTAGCGTTCACAGGGCACAAGATAAAGTCGTACTGCTGTGATGCACCATCCCACCAGGCATGCCAGGTTGCGCGGAAGGTTTCACGCTGCGCGGTCAGCTTCCAAAGCTCGGCGGCCGATTTGGGACCGAAGGTGCGAATCAACTTCGCCCACTGGACATCTCGGCGGACGTATCGCACCCAGAGGTAATAGAGGTATCGCAGTGGACGGGGTAGGTTCGAAATCCGAGTAAGTTGATCCGCGCCCGGGTCGGAGGGCTCGAAACTGTGTAGGTGAGAGTTAAAAGTGACGCAACCATCAGAGTTGAGAAGCTGCGAGGCAAGATGTAGGCCTGTGAACGGGTCGGCCGTGACTGGTGGCTTGATCTCCGAAACTATATGGCCCGCCCCAATGAGAGCAGTGGCTGTGGTCGACAAGGCACGCGCAATGGCCGGGGTAGGGGGGATGACACCTGAAAGTGGTTAGCAAATGTCAGCCTGGCTGGCTCGGAGGTTTAGGCTGGTCCACCCACCATCGCTGCTCATCAAACCGATTCGAAGCCTCTTAGTCTGGGCCTCCTGTTCCTCACCCTCCCGCCAGTAGATGGGATGAACGGTGTAATCGTACTTCCACGGCTCCATTCCAACAATAGCTTTGGTGAAGTAGGTCAGATCATTCAGCGTTCGAGCCATCGGGCTGAAGACACTTGGAACACCTTCTTGGCCCGCCATGCTGGTATGCACGCCGACTTTCGGCCACCGACCAGTGCTACAGCGCAGGGAGTAAATACCGCTCCAGGCCGCGGGAACTCGGACAGAACCGGCAACGTCAGATCCGATACCAATGCGACCGCCCAGTGCCAGCAAGGCACCTTCACCACCAGTAGAACCGCCAGGGGAGTATTCGGGTACATGAGGGTTGAGGCATGGACCCCAAAGAGCATTGGCCGATTCAAAAGACAACAGCGTCACGGGCAGGGCGGTCTTGGCATAAGGCACAGCACCTAGAAAGATTAGACACGACGCGCTACAGCGATCTAGTCAAGGAACCCCATACCAGCATCTTTCAGAAGCTTGGTCATAGGCCCATCTTCCTTGTATGGTTTACAAGCGTACTTGGTGTATCCCAGGGTGGTATCGAATCCTCTGATCTGGAGCGAATCCTTCAGTGAGACGGGAATTCCCGCCAGTGGTCCCTGCAGGTTGACTTCCGTCTGGACCCATGTTTCAGCCTCGGGCAGAAGAAGCTCGGTCACGCAGTTGGTCTTCTCATGAGCCTTGACAGCTACTTTGCCGTAGGCGCGGAGAACCTCGAGGGGCGCTAGTGATTCAGCGTGGACCTCCTCTACCAACTCCTGGATCGGCTTGTTGATGATCGCCTTGTCAGTGGCCGTGAAGGGAGTGTGGTATTCGGCCGGCAGCGAAGCAAACCGAGCTGCTCGCTCTCTCCGCTTGTGATCCCTGCGATAATATCAATGACCAAGCTCGGATGTGAACTTTACCCACGGCTTGCAATGTAATGTACTCATGGCTTGGAGAGGAGGCACGACCGACTTACCGGAGACGACGGTATGTGAGATAATCAAAGGGGGGTAGCATGATGACACCTGCGCTTCTGAGTCACAAAGCCCAAGAGAAGAGGTGGGGACTCTAGCAGAACACTTCCAGGCAAGGAAGGAAAGTAAAGAGAGAGAAATGGGCGACAAAGAAGTAGGGATGGGGAAAGCGGCCTTTTATTGCGGGGAAGGACGCAAGATGCGGAGACATGGCAATTGATAAGCTCGGCGACCCGCTGATAAGCGTGGGGACCAGCCGAGCCCCGGATAACTAAAAGAGCTTGGAGCACTGGCCTGTTCCTGTCCCTGCAAGAATACGGAGAACTCCATATTTTGAGAAAGCTCTACCGATTATCTCTTCTTATAACTCACATTGAAATAACTTGTTCGACCAACACATAGCGCAGCGAGCAGAATCAAGATATGGTCATTGGAAGGAGTGACACGTTGGTTGACTTACTAAGTGCTCACCACCGATAACATGCCGGCTCCCGGCGCGAGGATTACCAAAATGGGCAAGTCCATGCGGATGACTTGAAGCTGGATTCGGCCTTCAACCTCAATAAAGGTGCGGCTGGACTTTTCATTTGACAATGTGACCCTACAGATAAACATCTCATCGCAGAGTTGTCGCCTCCTTGCTTGCGAAATCATCCAACAGAAGCACCTTGATATCAGAAAATGCTGCTAAGATTGCGAAATCTGGACTGACATGCGACCATCGCCGATAGAGCCTCGGTGTCCAAACACGCTCGAGGACTCGCCGCGAAGCAAAATCTATAAGTACTGCACAGAGTGACGAGCTTCAGATGTAACGCCCATTGCGTGAAAATCAACTATTGACCGCCGTTGAAAGAGAGGATGTAACTGCAATGAGACCCGCTCATTATGCACGACCCGCACCATATATCGACAGGCTCCTTCCTATTCCCCCAGGCCTTGACTCGAAACCCCGATTCTCCGCCATATCAAGTCGACTTAGGCACTTCTCGCAGCCAATGGTGAGCATTGAGCCATACGATCACCACGATGACGCCAACGACAAACAAAGCAGTCAGGAAGAATATTAAGAAGCCGCAAAGAATGGTCCGTCTTCTCTTCCGTTCCTGGCCCTTGATCCAATTATCTCTGTACGCCCCAGAACGTCAGCAACCGAACCGAACAACACGGTCTTGACGTGAGCATGGGATGTGAATGGTCTGAGACATACGACCACAGAGTGACTTCTTTCTCCGGAGTGGTAGCCTTTGATTCTTCATCCAGATGGATGGCTGTGGAGAAGCGTCGCCAGAACGCTGGGTCCCGATTTTGAGCCATCTTCCACTTATTGACTAGCAGACATGGGTTATAGCTCGATATGTTCAACAAGGCGAAATGTGAGGTCGAAGGACAAAACCAGCGAGCGGACGAGGTCGATGCGCGACCTACAACCGGGAGTCAGTATGCGCATCGACGGCTACCGGGAGAAGATCGCGTACCTAGTCACGGCTCGAATGGAAGGACTTAGAGTTGCTGCTTCACGCGAACTCTGAGCAGAATTGAAACAAACAAGAAAGGAAGGATAAGGAAAGAGATACGATCGGTCGACTTGGGCAGCTCAAGGGAATGAGTAGCGATAGGGACGTGTTGAAGAGCAAAATGATTGGGATTGTGAAGACTAGGAGGGAGAACAGGCGACTACTACATTGTTGGCTGCTTGGTTGCCAGAGAGCATCAAAACAATGGCCGAATGCTCGGAATCCTATAGTGTCAGGTGGGAATGGCAGGAGGAACTAAGTTGGAATGCAATGTTACCACCTCAATCGGTCACCCCCTGCCAATCATTGTCTGGAGAATTCGTTGTGACAGCCCTGAGAACCAATGAAAGGAAGTCTTCAGTTACCATACTCGGCTTTTCTGGTAAAATTACACTTGCGAGATGACGAACTTACTTAAGCACACTTATCTGTCTCTATGGTAGGAATGGGCAATTCCTTGCAACACTAAGAATAGATAGATTAGTTAAGTATTTCGACTATCGATTGTCCTCCTTTCTGGCCCTGCCCTCTGTTTCTCTCATCCAAGGATCCCCGAGTGCCACAGGAGCGAACTATGCGCCTTGTTTCGGCGGATCATTTGCAGCCACAACCCAGACGGGAGAACATGCCGTGACCTTAATACACTGAAGAAATCCATGGATTCATTGACTGACTGAACCCTCTGCTCAGGCGTGTGATGTATGCATCTGTGAAGTACCTGCGTCTTCTGTACCACTCAGGTTTTGTGCATTTGGTGGCGAAGGTGGTGTATGAACCGTCGAACCGATGCTATCTCAGTGAAGTATGTACTGTACTCAAGGGGGTTTCGGGAGATACCTCAGGTGTCGACAAGGTCCGGGCCATCATCCATGGTTCAGTAGTCGATCTCCAGACATTTACTTCATCAAAACTTACTTATCCGTCAGTCTTCCACCTCTTCTCCCTGATGAACTTTCGCCTCCAAGCGTAAAGCATGAAGCAAAGTTTGAGGAAAGACAGAGGAAAAGTAAAATGATTGATGACGCATCGTGATACAGCTGTGGAATGTTCGCCAGGACCCCTCCCTTTCGCTTGGTCGTCCTGCCGGTCATCTGCCGGGGCTTTCATCATTTACTACGATTCTGTGTTATCTCGTCTCTGGCTTGTTCGGGCTTCATGCAGCTTCTGGTTTGCATCGGCTTTCGTCCAGCGCCGAATCCCTCCGTGCTCCACTTGCATGCGATTCGTTTGCACTTCACCTGCAGATGAGGCGGATTGAGTTGTCGACTTCACGCTCTTGCAGTGCCAGCAAACAAGCCCGAAACAATTGAAACCTCTGAACAACAGCTTCTTTCTTTGGGCTCCCCCGCAGTGGAGCATCAGCGAATGGGTGCCTGACCGCCCGGGCGTTGCCTGTTAATCGACTGACCGCGCACTAAACCGGATTCAATGCGCCAGGCGGATCGCAAGGTGCTGCTCGGCCTGACTGCAGCAGCAGTATCAGCAGCATCACTCACTCGCTCACTCACTCACCTACCTTATCCCTCTGGCAGTGCTCTGAATTTCTCTCTTCAGCCTTGCCCCTCCCGCTTGACTCCTTCCCCCACCATTCTTCTACCTCTTCGACCCCATTGATGCAGTGGCCATTGTCTTGCTGCTGCCAGATGTCCCTCCCGTGCGCCCAATCCCAGTAGCTAGGCCATGTTTTCCGCCCGTGATCCGGGCGCGAGCTTTTGGGGAGTGTTGATTAACCCAGACAAGAGTCCAGCCCCGCTTCTCGAACAGCTCTGTTTAGAGATCGCTCAAATCATTGTAAGTCCGAGCTCGGGGGGTTATATGCGACCGGGAATGAGAACTAAATTTAGTCTACTGAAAGTCGTCCTTCGACGATTACGCAACTGCTGATCTCACGCCCGAGCGCATGGCCACTTTCTATCGCAAGGTCGGCGGAAATTATGATGTGCTCTTTCTACAAACGAAATCCTCTGCTCTGTCCTTCATCTACCAGCGCCTGGGCTGCTTCCACAGCATTCAGCCAACGACGGATGCCTATAAACCTCCCTCCGTCCCCGCGCTACAACCCAACGGCTTCGTGCGATGGCAGACAATACAATTGCTCCTAGACCCGGACGAGCATTGCCGATACCTTCAGAGTGCGGTTGAACTCTGGGACATCGCCAACCCGAATGGAGGCACTTTTCCGAAGACGATACCCCGCGAAGCCTTCCCTGAATCCCCAGACCCGGAAATGGTGGAGTGGCATGAGACCGTCAGCCGACGGTTCGAGATGGACTATGTGAAGAAGAACATTCTGCGCGCATCGCCTCCTAATTTCGGCACATACCACTATCAGTTCAGCAACCAGCACAAAGATGAGGCCCCGTCACCCAAAGAGACAAAAGCGTTCCCCAGTCGTCGTCGGACAACTGCACAGCGTGCCCATGTCACCCCGGAAGAGCCAGCACCGTCGAGCCGTCACCAAAGACGCCGCAGCGCTGGAATTCCCACCTCCACGCGTCGGGTACAATCCACATACTTCAGTCCGCCTCCGCCTTCGCCTCAGGAGTTCGAGCCGTCACCTCGAGCGCCCTCACCGCCCATGTGGGCGAAGTCATCCCCCAAGGCCCGGGGACGTGAGCGCGGGGCTACCTTCTCGCGTCCGGTCAGCCCGACCACATCACCGGGTCACAATCCTTCAGATGCCTCATCCGAGGACTCGCTAGCTGCGGCACAAGAGGCGGCCAACCGCCACAACAGCCGACACCTGCACCCCACACACCCGCACAGCTCCCATGCCCGTCGGCATTCACATGAGGCGTACGCGCGGAAACCGCAGCGTGAACTCTCTCCTGAAGCGCACCGACGAACCTATACCCACCGCGACATGCTCAACTCCCACTCAGGACGACCGTATGACTCCGACGGAGGCCGCCGAACCCGGCCGGCTCGTGCATACGCTGAGGAGCCCATCATGCAGCCCAGAACTCCGGCCCCTATCTTCCACGATCATCCCTTCAACGACCCTCCCGTCATGCCAGTCAACCAGGAACTGCCCCGGTACTCACATCCGCACCCCCATTCACACCCCCCACCCCCTCCGCGCTACGTGAACATGAGCATGAACAACCCCTACGTCGGCCGCCCCCACCCCGACGTCGACATGTGTACTCCTGCCGATGACGCCCGTCGAAGCTACCGACCCTCCAACCCGAGCCCAGGCTACCCAAGTCCGGGTGTCTCCGACCGTACAGCGCGTTATTCTGGGAGAGATGGAGGCGGAGCCTACCGCTCACCGCGATGGGCCCAACCCGCTCCACCGCCCGCGAGAGGTGTCCCCGTGGGCATGCCCGATATGGAATATCCAGTTAGATCGAGACGATCCATGTACGATCGGTAGAGTAGAAGGTGCTCCACAATGTCCCAAGCTCGGCCGATACCTTCCGTCTGTCTCGGAGGGTGGTGTGGGAGTCTGGGAACTAACCAATCTTGGTCCTCTCCAAATCCATCAGCCGGCACTGCCATCCACCTTCAATATCATTCGATCTTCCTTCCAGGTGTTAGTACCACGGAGATATCACTTACATAGCCTCGTCTGCATCGATAAACATCGACCGGGCAACCAGCCTACAGTTTCGTTCCCGGGGAACAGAGCGTTAAGGCATTTCATGGTTGAGTCCGGGGACTTTGGCATCTTCACTTCAGCGCTCTTTCCTTTTCTACCGGTGGTGTTGAGATATGTGACCGCTGACTACTTATGAATCACGACGTTACGAAGATTATGATCATGGAGTCTCCTAGAGTAGAAGGAGTAGGAAGCAAGATACTTAGAATTACAGGCTGTGTTGAGATATATCACGGATAACTGTATATTTCAATTCATCCACAAGGGGATTTATTGTAATGAGAAAGACACTCTAGCTACTTAGTTAGCACGCTATCCGCGAACGTGACGTCTTTGCACGCCGGGCTGGAAAGCACATGAATCTCGATATCACTCATGTCTTTCTCGCCCGGTACCGAAAATCCTTAACTACGAACAAATCTCCTTCATCCGGATCGTTGTGAAGGTCAACATATACCTTCCGTGTCTGGACGACGTACTGGTAGTACCATTTGCTCTGGGAGTTATCGAACAGAACCTTCATAGATCCGGGTTTTCAGGGTCACTTGGTGTACGGATGCGACTGGCCTTCGATACTGAGTTTCTCCGTCGCAGTTTGCAGGTCTTGAGGGTCGATAGGCGAGTTATCGTCTTGTTGCGCTGCGTGCCACGAAGGTAACGAAGGTATTAATACTAGGCGCCTGGGGTAAGCGTGGGAAACACGCAGAAAATTGTAGCAACCCTTGGGCCGAACAGTCTAGGTAGTCCAGTCTGTGAAGTCGGTAGAGTCGAGTCCGGAAGAAGACACGGGATGCGGGGGAATACACTACTTTACCAAGCAAGCACCCCTCGCAGGACCACCGTCAAACACCCTACTTCAAATCACTGTCGAGTCCTGACTTTACCGTAACCTGATTCGAAATTGAGGATCTACGTACGTGTTGGGAAGCTTGCGATTAGTCCGTGTGAGGTCTCAACTTCTGCTGAAATGCAGTTTTCAACTTGTCAAAGATCCGTTTGATTAGGAGGCCACTACTCGTTGTATAAGTCCATATAATTCTTAGTATAAGCATTTCCACTATATAAGTGAAGCTATACATCTCGGTCTTTCGTTTAGTCTCCATTCGCCTGACGCCGCTCCCGAGGATAGCATCGCCACTTCTGACCGACGCCGCCTCCCCAGAGAACCACGACTATCTACAAGCCTCTTCGCTACATACACAAATCAATGCATCAAATCGTAAGCCCGGCTTTCTGGAAACTGAAGCCCTGCTCCTCAAACACCCGACACTTGGCCGTCCGACCCGGATTAACCGTGACACCGGGCACAACGCCCAATGACGCGACGACCCGGTCGCTATTGCCCTGGTATTCCGGCATGTGGTAGCCGCGTTCACCGAAGATTTCGTACGAGTAGCGATAGGCGGGGCCACGGAGGCCTAGGGTCTCGACGTCGGGGTTCGGGTTGCGGGTGCGGAAAAAGGCGGAGAAGATGTCGTTCAAGAGCTGCGAGTGTTGGATGTCCTGCGTGCTGTAGTAGGGGCTCACGTTCTGGGTCTTGCTGTTCAGGGTGCCCCAAATCAGAAGCACGTCGGCGGAGTGGCAGGTCGCGTTCTTGTCTGGGTTGGGAGAGCAGATGGGCGGCGTGTTGACGATGGTTTGGATGTGACCCTGGGGGATGGAGAGTTGGTAGAGGTGGGGGAAGGGCTTGGGCAGTGTGGTGTTTTGAGGGGCTGTGGTGGTGGCATTGGTGATGTTGGTGGTAGCGATGTTCAGGAGATAGGATTGTGGACAAGTCCACTCGCTGTGGGTGAGGGCCTCCGCGGCGACGTTGCGGGCGCTATCGGTGTCGTTGGGGTTCACGAGGAAGGCGTTGGAGGCAATCAGGGCTTTGGCCAGCGACGAAGGGTAGGCGAGGGTGAAGATCTCGGCGAGGGCCAGCTTGGAGGACCCCAAGCTCTTGGTCACTTCGGCGTTGACGTAGAGGGCGGCTTCGTCGGCGACGGTCGTGAATATGACAGGAACACGGTTGGGAAGGCGGTCTTCCGAGAGGAGGGTGTGGAATTGGTCGTCGATCACGCCACTGCCAGTGTCGTCGACGATGGGAAGCATAGGCTCGATGGATGCGAGGAGGTCGCTCGAGTGTAGCCACTGATTGGCGAGGACTTTGGCGGTTGCGGCTGTTGCAGCTTTGAACTCAGTGCTGTTGTCGAGGTACTTGGTTGCGGGGATGGATCGGAGGCAGGATAGTAGAGCGTTCTCGGAGGTGGTGCCGTTGCAACCCACGGCGCTGGAGATGCGAGGGGTGACGATATCGTTATAGACTCCGCGCGTGAACCAGGGGAGGTCGACGGGGGCGGATTGAACGATTGCACCACTGAAAAGGCCATGGGCTGCGCTCGAAGACAGCAGGGCAATCGCGCTCTGGCCACCGGCAGACTGGCCGAAGATCGTGACTTGGGAAGGATCTCCGCCGAATGCTTCGATGTGCTGTTTGACCCATTTCAGGGCCATGATCTGGTCCCTCACACCGTAGTTGCCGGTCGTTGAATTGCCGATAGTGAGCCAGCCGAGAGCGCCAACCCGGTAGTTGAGCGTAACAACGACAATATCGTTGCGGCTGGCAAAGTTACCTCCATCGTAGTCCACCATAGCTGAGGTCCCCATGGTGAACGCACCCCCATAGAGATAGACAGCAACGGGCTTGCCTCTCAGAGGCTTGTTTGTCTGCGCGGGGAGGACAGGGGTATACACGTTTAGATAGAGGCAGTCCTCGGATATGCCGCCGTTGTCCAAGGTGCCATAGCCTGACACGGATTGGATGCAGGAGTTGGACATCTTGGTCGCATCAATATCCCGGGGCCCAGAGTAAGGGCGGGGAGGCGCAAACCGCAGCTCTTTCACAGGAGCATCGGCGAAGGGAACACCCAGAAAGCGAAACGAGCGTCCGTCACGGTAGCCAGTCATGCGATACCCGTCGGACTCAATGGAAATCTTGGACGTGTTCGCAGCTGTTCTGTCTTGATCCGTCGTAGGGCGCACGTCCGATGTGCACAGAGCAGGCAACTTCGAGCCACATGGCACCGAAACAACTTCTCTGTGACCGAGGGAGAAGGCACGGCATTCGTTATGAGCGGTCTGGGAGACCCATAACGTTTCATTAGGCCGGAGGTCTTGCACATGAACGAGATAATCGAGTTGGTACGCTAGCTCTGTACCATTGGCTTGTGATAATTCCTGGGCGAGGTAAAGACTTTCGCCAATAGAATAGCAGCGAGCTTGTGCTTCGAAACTCGAGAGATGATCATGGACGAGGACTGCGGCTGTACCATTGTTTTGAGGGCCCAAGTCGTTGTATTTCAAGGTTTGGAGGGTACCCAGAGAGTTGATATTGGGGGGATGGCTCTTGACAGCTGTTAAAGGTGCTGGCACTGCAAGAGCATGACGGCCCAGTAGCAAGGTGCCCGCAAGAATTTGTAACTGCATCTTGAGGAAAGCGGAGCACGTCCAATGATCACAGATGAACGTTAGAACAGCAGGGCACCAACTATCCTTTTATAATGCCAGACCACAGGGTCGGCGAGAACACTGCGCATAGGCACAGTTTTCCTGTGCTCGGAGTCATCGGAAGGGCAATGGAAGGCGATAGTGGGTTCCGAAGTGAAGCTGGGCCACGGCGTAGGCACCTGCAGCTGATGCAAATTCCGGGGTACCCTGGAAGAATCATGAAGTCACGTAAAGCGGATTGGCCGGATCCTTAGAGCAGCAGCATGTGGCGAAAGCGGGTTATGCAAACCATATCTCGAGCGTTGCCTTGGAATCTTCCATTGCTCAGTGAATTGTTCTATCTAGCCGAGGAGCACGCTATGAATGGTTCTTTCGGCAAAGCTAACTGGGGAAACGAACCCCAGCTTATCCGAGCAGCCTCTTGGCGAGCGGGATTTCTCTCCGCCAGACTGACGGCGCCGGGCAACCGACAAGCAACTGCAAGCCACCGAGAGATTGTTGAGATAGTGGAGATACATGTAGCTCAACGCCGAGCAGCTTAATGGCTAGGGCGTCTTGGTTCGGACGGCATTGGCGCCACATCTCAAGGTTCTCCTGATACGGAATAGACCAATCTTGATGCCAAGCCCAACGTTTGGAGTGTTGTCCGTTTGTCAGTGTATTGCCTAATGACGATGCTGCAGATAGACTGAAGGTGCTACTCAAGACTGTAAACGATTGCAAAGTTGGTTGATCACTGTTTCTGGCGTCAGGCCTTCCTCACACATTTGCCGGATAAAGTATATGCAGCAAGATGCAATTTCTGCTGAAGGTTTCTGCTCAACAATGTATTTCTTCAGCTCTTGACAATAAGAATGATAGCAAGCTCATACATTTCATGGTACAACTTTCCGCCAAAGAGAATCGGGGTCGACCTAGGATCGTTTTGGTCCGAGGCAAGAGACGCAGCGGCCCACCTGACGGAATAGTCTCTGGGGTGTGTATCGACATGATAAATTGTGATTAGATGGCTTTCAAGAGAGCATGTACGATGTGTGTAGCCTCGGAGAGAAGGTGGAGGAAAGAGAGTTGAGACACTGTAATGAGAGGGGCTTCACTTGACTAGCAGACAAACAAACAAACAGAAGAAACATTCAACCACAATCCTAGCATGTACATACAGCAGCATAAACGACCTATATCCAACCTCGTCACTTACGGAAACGCTCGATATCTCGTTGACCCAGAATCTGCTCCTCCGGAAACCAATTGCCATGCATCCCGTACGGTACACGCTGCGGTAAAATCACTCGACCTACGACTTCCTTCATCCCCACGGCATCGATAATCCACAACTCGCTCCGTGAATCTTCTGGTGCCACACCGCCATCGTCGAGCTGGGACTCATCGAATACGTATGTGACGAGCCACCCATCGTCTTCAGACTTGCCATCCTTGCGAGGGATAAATGAGCACTCCTGAGCGTACCACTCATCCGGCAATGCAAATACCTTGATGGGATCATCCTTATCATCAGACACAAGGACTTCAGATATAGATCTCTTGTCAACGCATCCATCCACCTGCGCCGGAGGATCGAAGAGCCCTCGCGCAAGCAGAGCCGCCACATCGATCTTCACAAGACAATCAACCTTAAAATTGCTGATGAAAGCTTTCGCAAAGTCTCCTGTCCGCATGGAATTTCCGTACACAAAGCGTGTTTGCGTCATCTGGAGGTGATGCGGCACATGGGGAAACTCAAAGGGAATCGCGGACAGCGCCCATTGGTGAGTGATCTGCTTCGGAAATTCTTTCGCCGGAGGAAACTGGTAATAGTATAGGCGACACTCGGGACTTGCTGGGGTGGTCGCTTTGGGGGCTTCCAGGTCTCCCATGTGGTATAGGGGGGCAACGCCGTTCATCCGGCACAAGAGCAAATGGACCTGCGTCCCATTGAAAGTCTCCTCGTCCCAGGTGTTGACTGTGTGCATGATCATGCACGGTCCGGTTGTATACCATTCGATCTTCTCAGGCTCATACCGTAGAAACACCCCGAAACGTGTCTGCCCGTGCAGATCATACTTGACTACGGGTCGGTTGTGGCGAAGGTTGAACGGGTCCAGCGACACGGGCAGGTCTATCATGACTGTGTGTTTGCGCGAGACGCCAAGGTCATGCATGATCTTCCCACTCTGGAACCCGGGAACAGGCCGGTTGAGACGAACGGTCCGGTTCGCAGATCTCTCAGCGGGTATGATCGAGTAAGTGACAAAAGGAGCTAGAAAAGTCGCGTGGTAAAGAAACATCTCATCCGTCCGTGGATCAACGTGAGGCTAATCATCGAATCAACACTCAATTATCTGGAATCACGAGATTTGAATACCTACATGAGCCGTGGTCATTTCTTTGAAGAACCCCTCCACGCCTGGTCCGCCGAAGTATGGCTGAGATTTTTCATCCGTGGGCTCCCCTTCTGCCCGACTGCCAGTAAACCAACCGACAGTTCTCAGTGACGGCAGTAAAACACGCATAGGAGGGCCTGTCTCGTTCGTGGCCAGCACTCGCCCATCATGATGCAAGACGTTTGTGTTGGCCGTGCTTGTTCTACGGATAGGCCGGGCGACTAGCCCCCAAAGCGACGCAACTATCAGAGCCATGGCACGCACCACCTCCATCATGACACGGAACACTGTCGATGTCGGGCTTATCAGCGTGGTAACGCTGGGTGTGATATGGTGCAGGCGTGGGTATCGTGCGACGGCATCGTGCACATCGGTGCGGACGTACTGATTGACAAAGGTAGGTCGAACGCCCGTCTGCGCAATCCGCTCGAAGAACACGCCGGTGAGCATGCCATCGCCATCGAACCAATGGAAGTTCCGGCTTGTGTCGACTTGAAGGGGATTGCTTCCGTTGCGCACGTACTGCCCGCCCAGAAGCTCGTGGGGGATTGAACCTTCGTATGAGCAAGGCTGGAAAGACAAGGTAGTGCGAATGGGAGCGTAATTCCCAGCATGGTACCTTCAACTTGGTCAGTTCATTACCGAGACGAGCTCATATAGTACAGGTGAGATGTGAGCTTACGGATGCTTTTTGGGGGCCATCGTGTCTTTGAGATTGGTAGGTCTCAGAAACGAAGGATGAAGAGAAATAGTATACTCCAGGGACTTGCCCATTCAACCTCAGTCTTCCGCATTCAGTGGTCCTATGACCAAGTGACCCGATCAAGTTGCATAGTGGCAATACCGCAACTAGGAACCTGTCATAGAGGTCCATTTCTCCACTGGCAAGACTCCTGGACCACTGGGTCCAAACCCTGATCGAAACAAGTGTTTAGAGCACGACAGCGCTCTAACTCGACGGGAGATGACACCGATGGCTATTTACGTACGTGGTCTGTGATAGAACTGGCCGCCAATTCACTCATGGGAGCACAATAGTGCGAGCTCGGGGCGTCGCTGTTGCGTCTGAGAAACTCAGCCATACCTAGAGGGACTCGAGGCGTGATCATCCAAAATTGAAGAGACTCCGTGTATCTAATTAAATTCTAGACAGAGGTGGAAAGGATCAAGGGTAGGTAGATTAGTATGATAGGATCTAACAATGGCTTGTTTCTTCCCCCCCATGCAGGTGCTATCACTCTCGGTCTTGGTACCGGGCTAGATATTGTTGCTGCGAATGAGCTGTGTCTAACAGAGTTTAGTAGCCTCACATGCAAGATAACCAATGTACTTGTGGATTGAGGACCAAGGGACTTACACTATGGGTCTCAAGGAAGGCGCTTGCGCAACATATTCATAACACTCAGCTACTTGAAGCCAACATCACCCGAGACTCCAGGCAGATGTGCTCTGTTTGGCAGGATGTGTGACGTCAAGACCAGCCCCATAGTCAATTTTAGTGAGTGAAGCCAGACTGTTTCCCTATCAGGCTAGCATCAGAACTGCAACCTCAGGCATCATTCACTCAGCTTAATGCCTGTAATCTACTATTTTCCATGTGCGCATAACAGAGAACCCGAAATTATGTACTTTGATTCCTCATATATCTCGTTAAGTATAGATCGTCAAGAAACACAGGTATTCACAGAGTCTGTCCCTCTGTCCATCCTAGTTACATGCATATGGAACAGAGAAGGAATATTCAAGCAACGTACGCCACCTGACTCCGGACAGGCACGTTCTGATCGGTGTCCGTCGAGGGGAAGCCCTGGACATTGACGCCCTTCCTGAAGAGCAAACAGTGCGTGGAGCCACCGAAGTGGAACATGCCGAGCTCGTCACCCTTGTTGACATGCTGGCCCTCCGCGACGGTGATGTCGCAGGTCGAGACCTCGCACATGCCCACACCCAAGAACGCCATGAGGCCGATATCCGGGTTGTCGCACTCGATGAACATGATGGCGCGGGTGGCCGTGGCTGTCAGGAAGCCCTGCGAGGTGACCTCGCCACAGGCGTCGATGCCATGCTTGTGCTTCTCGGTGGGGTCGGGGTCGCCGATTCCCTCGAACAGGGGCTCCGAGTAGTACGTGCCGTCCACCACGTAGGCCTTGACGATCTTCCCGGAAACGGGGCTGTGCCAGCGGTGGTAGCTTAGCGCGCTGAGGAAAGCCTGGTAGACGGTGCCGCCGTTGAACTGCTCTGCCAGTGGGTCGAACGCCAGCATGTCGTTGATCGAGTAGGGCTGGTGCTTGATCCAGAACGAGTCGCGCGCCTTCACGTTGTACGCGACCTTGTAGGGCTTCGACTCGCAGGCGTTGGCGATCACCTTGTCGTCGTCCGGAGAGGCGACAGGTCGGATTCCCTCGCGGAACAGGCGCGTGAAGAAGTCGTCCCACGACTTGTAGCCGTGGTGCGGCGCGGATGGGTCGCAGATGAACATCTCTTCGAAGTTGTGGTTAGTTTTGCCGCCCAGGTTGGCCACTTCGACCAGGTCCGACTTCCCCGTCTCGCCAAACCAGCCGTTCTTTGAGTCGTCGAGAACGGAAGCGGAGTCGGGGGACTTGAGGAAATCACCCCAGGCGTTGAGGACCTTCTTGAGCATGCGGTTGACGTCGGGGTCGAGGAAGGCGGCATACCCGGAGGGGGTACCCATTGGCCAGTCAAGAATGGCGTTAATGGGCAGGCCGACGAGGCCTACGCGGTGGGAGAAGTCGTTCCAGGAGGGGGCGGTGGTGATGAGGTGGTTAAGGACTTCCAGCATGTGCTTGTAGTCGCGGAGCTGTGGGCAGCCCGTTGGGTCGGTCGCGTAGGTCCGGTTGCGCGGGATTTCGCCGAACATGGCGGACATGAGCAGGTAAACCCTCGTGTTAGACTCAATGAGGTCCTGGAATTCCTTCAGGACGGGGTGGAGCTTATCGGGCTTGTTGCGGTCGACGTGGGCGATCACACCTCCCACCCATTCGTGGTGCTCGTCCAGGGTAGAGGGCATCCATTTTCCGACGCTAAGATATCTTAGAATGAGCAATTAAGGTGTTCGTGCACTGAAGGTATGCTTACCGGTGTAGACGGGGAGCGTGGTGCTTTTGATGGGAATGATGGGGAGACATGATGGGCGGGCTGGCTGGTCTTGGCGGAATGTAAGGGGGATCTGGGGAAGAAGCTTGGCTATTGCTGGACAGGAACGAGCTCGGTTTATACCATTGCGTGTCATATACAAATGGCCTGACAAGGTCGGCGTAGGAAATACACGTTGCATCATGATGATGGTGTAAAGACGGGGGAGTGGATCAAGAAGTGGATCGAGATTGCGAGGCAGGAGAGAGTTGAATTGTGCTGAAGCTGAAATGGACAAGGGTCGGGGGATGGGGTGATGTCATGGAATCATCTTCCGACGATCGCCGGTGTTTGTCGACTGTTTGTACCCAACCACAATCCCATGCTTGACTTCTCGACTTCGCTTAGCGTTCTGGAATCGTTGTCTCGATGCCTGCTGGCCTTGAATCAAATGCCTCAACTCAAGGCTATGTCGTCTTCGTTTACAGACCTTGATGGAGACAGAAAACGATGGGGAGACGGACGTTTCAATCACAAGATAATCTAGGATCTATGATGTTAGGTCCAGGGTCATCAGCTCCTCTGATCAGCATTCTTTATCCCCGGCTGTCCCTGAACTGAGCTTTCTGTTAGTTAACATGGTTCCGATCTCACTTATAGTCTTGCCATCCTCTCCGGCTCCCCCGTCTCTGACCCCGCCTGCTCCATTGCCCATCCCATAATCATTTGTACAACCATGCCAATCTGCTCCTCGGTGTTATCGGCATGGATCGTGACCCGCACCCGTCCTAGGTTCTTCGGAACAATCGGAAACTCGACTGCATTAACCCAGAATTTAGCCTCTTGAAGGCGCTTCGCCAGGTAGCGCGCTTTCCCCGTTTGCGTGATAAATGCGAATATAGCGGACTTGAATTCCCTGGAATGCCAACCTATCTCTGTTGGAAGTCGGATGATGCCTCTGCGCTTGACTTCCTGCCACTGCGGGTGGTTCGTCAACAACCGATAGGTATACAAGATGTTGTGCTGCAGTCGTGCTCGACGCTGTGATCGCATGGTCAGATTCTCTCTCTCAATACAATCTGCGGGTCTGCAAACTGGTTCTTGACTGACCCTATCTCCATCCTCACTTGCCAATGACTCATATCCAGCCCTTATGGCTGCAACGGTCACGAAGCTAGGAGCCGTTGTGAATACGACATTGCTGGTATAGTTCAGCAAGGTTTGCTTGATCGTGTGGTTGCACAGAACGACACCTATCGAATGCATCAGCAGAAAGCAGGGCAGGTGAAGCTGGGAGACTTACCGCCAGATGATCCAAGAGCTTTACCACAGGTTTGAACCCTGATAGCAAACTCTTTTTCCAGGCCATAGTGACGAACTAGCCCTGATCCACTAGGACCAACAAGCCCATTGGAATGAGCTTCATCGATAACAAGCACATAGTTTCCGAGAGGAAGTGTTTCAGACGCTAGTTGAATAATCCCGTGGATAGGCGCCTCATCCCCGTCCATGCTGTATACTGATTCAAAGCAAAGGAAGACCACTTGCTTCCCCTCTGCAACCCCGGGGCTTCGCTCTCGGGCTTCTTCGAGGCGGTGACGGAGGGAAACACAATCGTTATGCCGAAATTCCACAGCCTTGGCGCGTCCATTCTTCATTCCCTGCCGCGCACACGAATGCATAAGCTCATCAAATATGACAATGTCTCCAGGCTGTGGGATCACAGACCAAACGGCCACATTCGCGTCATATCCGGAGCCGAACAAAATCGCGTCCTCTGCATTGTAGAATGTAGCTAGATCGCGCTCAATGTCGGCAAGGTACTGCCTGGTGCCTTCGAATACGCGGGTGCTGGTGCTCCCAATGGTGAAGTCTGGATGCTTCCCAAGTTGATGTAGAAAGGCTTGGCTCAAAACGCCAGAGCTTGAGAGTGACAGGGTATCATTGGATCCAAAGTCGATAGTGCCTTGGACCTCGCTGGGTGAAGCTGGCTGGATGAACCTACCCTCACGCTGACGACGATCCAATGCAAGTTGGAGTTTGCGATAGAGAATCTGTTGTCCCGAAGCCATGTTGTGCAAATTTTAGAACTTATGCAGACCGAAGTTTGCAATCGCCATGCTCCATGCTTGTTTGGACTTTTTATACCTTCCAGCAGCTGCCTTCTTAGTAGTGATCCCATTCTTGACAAACACCTTTTCAACTTCAGGGCAGTTTGTCCCAGTTTCCGCGCAATAAAACAGCCCCAATCAAAGGATATCCGGCTTTCTCGGTCAGAACCCTGTAGTCTTCTGGTGGATGACACGTTGAGAAGCTTATGATCCATGATCTCAATCGGGCGATCGGAGAAACACGACTCTTGAAGGACTTGGCTGTCGTAAATACTCTCATGCCGACCCGACTGGCATATCATCGAAAAATACTGGGGCAACTCCGATGCGCCTGGAAGGGAAACATTTCCATAAGAATCCGCTTAAGCCATGGTTCGAACCGATCGAGACGTCAGCGACACCGACAGCTGGGCGACCTGGGACCATATGCCTGTCTTATCCGACGGCTAGCCACCAAGCAATTGCGGTAGCGAAAGGCGTGGATGTGGCTGGCCTTTGACATGATGGCGTTCGAGTCTTTCCAGTTGAACCAAGGTAATTGTCTGCGATATCGCCCACGCCCTGGTAGTGACTGGCAATGCACTTTTTGGCTTGGACATTTTCAGGGAACCTGGGTATAGACTTGCACATCCACTCAATCGGAAGCCTCTGAGCCACTAACGATCACGAGACATTTCGCAAGGTAACTCGTCCGATTTTATCAAGCTCTGCCACGCTTCATCGGGCTTCGGATAGTGAAAGCGTCAGAGATCGAACTTTGTGTTGAGCTGTAGACACTCGATCTACATGTTTAGTCATGAATAGCAACATATCAGCAGGAATATGAGCCAGACAGCTTGGAATCTCCCTGTGAAATCAAGGGATATACGCGGGCTACCAAGCGCTCTCTGGATCAGGTGTTATTTATTTCATCTATTAGCCGTGGGCGAAGGCTAGTCATCGGCATCACCGGATGGTTTTACAAAGGCAGGCTAGGTGCTTTGTAGACGTACTTAGTTGACTTGAAGTCGCTTGCTAACGGTAAGCTCTTATGCATGGTGGTTTTACCAGCGTGTGGGCAAGTACGGCCACACATTATTGTTGTTTCGTCGCCTTAGCTTCAATGCTTGGATGCCCCTTGGTGAGTCAGTCAACCTTCACCTGATTGTATATCTCCCTTCACTTCGGGGAGAGACTTTATCCGGTCGCGTGCCCCATACTAATCGATCTATCACAGCTGTCCCTCATTTTTGACATGTCGCGCCCCCTCATCGTCCACGGTACAATATTGCACTTCAAAATGTGGAGATTCACAGTCGCGACGAAGGAACTTTTAGATCGACTAAAAGGTCGCATATGGGCAAAACCAATATAATTTGTTTATATAGCTTGATGTTAGCATTTTCGATTCTTATCGCATTCTGAAGTGTACATAGTATTGGAAAGGCTTTCTCGGTGGCAATTCGTTATCGCTGATTTCCCGGAAGTACGGATAGGACACCGTTTTGACCATTGTCAGTGCCACTCTCACTCATCGACCTGATCAGTTTTAATCTGGATTTAACAGCCCAAAATTGGGTTTCTCGGTGAGAATACGCGTCGTTCTGCTGAGAAGGGTAGAGGTGTTTGACCAGGCTAGGATGATACGATGCCAGTCTGGAACACGGAGAAAGATGGATTCCGTGTTTAGCCGAGAGCATTCGGTGTATGAGTACGCGTCTGCCACTACTACAGTATCATAAATAGTACCAGGGATAGAACCAGATACTAATTATACGGATACATGGTTATAATGATTGCCAGTGTAGTGTCCAGGGGATGTCTACCATATTCTCCAGACACAGAAGATAAAATTATCCTTAGTTAATCGTTCGGACAAAGTACGATTTTCTATATATATATATATGCAGTGCCCATGCACAACAGCCCGAATGCGGCAAAACAAACGAACCAAACCGAACTTGTCCGCGAGAATATGCATGACTAATCTTTATCCAGTGCACAACTCAAGTCTGGATCGGCAGGCACAGAGGGGAAAATTTTTTCTGCCATCCGCTAAATATCGGTCCCCTGGAAGACAAGAGAAGAGAACCACCGAATCTATCCCAAGTGATGATGATGTCAGTGGCAGTGGTTAATTAACTAACAGAAATAGACCGACTAATGCTTGATCAATCAACCGACACCGAAACCAGTCGGGTGCAACAGTGCTGAGTAAGATTCTATTTCGAGGGCTAATAACACGGGACTGATATGGATCTTCGGTGGGGCAGACAAGCAAGCAAACCAACTTGAATCCAACTCTGAACCAAGTCAACCCATTGAACCCAAGCACTTCTGAACCAAGCAATTTGCTCAACGGCCCAGGGCCACAGGGCAAGCCCGGTCGCGAAGCCCACTCTGAGTCCTCGACCCGTGGCATGTTCCAAGTTCTCAAGCAGAAACTTTCAGAATTTCAGAGACTTCTCCCAGACCCTGAGAATCTGTCGCCCACGCCTCGACTCACTGGTCAATGGTCACAGCGACGTGGGGCGGGCCAGTCGCGGGATACCGAAGTCTCCACCTTGATCCGATCGAAAATCTGCACTGGCTGTGCCTCCCGTACAGTACCTTGCGACTGAGAGATGAGGTGTGCGTATGCAGTGCATAGTCGCAGTTGCCCGGTGGCCACTGCACAGTACGTTAGTCGAGGGGGAGGGGCAATGAGGCAGCAGTCCGATACTTCTCGATACTTCCGCACTCATGATATACAGATATAATTCGGTGGCAAAATAGCCTGAGTTCAAGGCGCTCTCCCACACTGGCAACGACGCCTCAATTCTGAACCCGTTGCCTCACCGGGATCAGGACACAGGTCTTCACCGCGTCAAGCAAGACAACAGTCAAAACAAATGTTCTAGACAGAATCAGGAGACGAAGAGGTCACAGCCAAAACTGATCTGATCTAACGCAGGCGTTGGAACGGCCGTTTCACCCACCCTACACCACTGTCACCGACTCACCCCAGCTAGAAGGACATACTCAGTGACCATACTAATGAACCCATGTCTCGCTTGCTGTTCCCGTCCCAACCTCCCCACCAACTGTCAAACTAGCAGTTACTTATTTGACCAACTGTCAACAGCCGTTCCAGACTGACACGGGAATAATTTATTCTCTACGTAGATCCCAACAGTCTGCGGAGCCTGCGACGGTGACCACGCTTATCTCAGAGTCCAGAGTGTCTTGAGTCCCAAGGCCAGATACGGCAAATGGGACTGCTGCTCGAACACGACCGGATTTTTGACAAGCTAGAGCGGGCGAAAAAGCAATTTAAGTGGATATCGATCCAGGCAGACTTTTTGTGCTTGGTATGAGAATTATTGGCCGTGATTTATCTGGTTGGACCGAAAGCTGGGTTGAACTGATAGCGGGACACCGAGATTGCTGGGTTTCTCCCCCCTCCCCCCTCCATCAGCATGGGCGAAAAAGTGGGCAAAAGGTCTCCATCATGAGAAACACATTTGTCTCAATTGATCCAATCATGGAACCCTGATATGACGTTTCTTAATTTAGCCACCCATCATGGGCGAAAGTGAGAATGGATGTCTTGGATTCCCACCCTCACCGCGGCCCTACTGCGGGTCAGAGGTTTCGGATGTCTCATGTCGCCTCGTCGAACAATATTGTGGTCGTCGTCATAGTTGGTTCGAGTGGCAGCAACCACTCCAGCTGCGCTCCATTTTTCTCCCCCATCTCGCCCGCTTGGTAGCATTTCTCTTCTGCTGCCATATCTTTGTTGCATTTTGCATCTGTGTTTAATCGACAAGTCACTCGTTTCATTCGTCTTTTTTTCCCCTCTCCCACTTACTCCCGACTGGTCCATACTTCCCACCGTTCGTTCGCTTTCCTGGAGTCAGGGCATGTAGGAGAAAATTGGGTGCCATTCTTATCTTTTGGAGTCGCGCAATTACCGGTGCAGACCACTTTCCTGATGTTCATCACGGAAATGCAGCGCTCGGCGATTCTCATCCTATCGTTGCTGAGCGTCACTGTATTCGGCTGGCCGTACGATGAATCACTCGTTGACTATAATTTGAACGAAAACAAAACAGCAACACATCCCATCGATTACTGGGGAGAATGGTCCGGTCACGACTATCATCCTTCGCCGGATAACTGGCGCTTTCCCGTTTATACGATTTTCTTGGATCGCATTGCCAACGGTGATCCCGCAAACGATGACATTAACGGAACCACATTCGAGCATGTGTTGAACTCGAATCAGATGCGCCATGGAGGTGATCTGGTTGGCTTGATTGATTCGCTGGATTACATCCGCGGCATGGGGTTCAAGGTGTGTAAAGATTCAGGACTTTACCCTGCGCATTCGCTAATCGATTAGGCTATCTACTTTGCTGGAACAGCTTTGATGAACCTTCCGTGGGCCTACGATGGCTATTCCCCCGTCGATACCACCCTTCTCGACATGCACCACGGTACACTCGAGGACTGGCGACGAACCGTGAACGAGATCCATGATCGCGACATGTATGTGATCATGGACAATACGCTGGCAACGTGAGTATATACCCCCCTCGGACCTCGGCTTCCTTAGCTTACACCTCGCAGCTTGAGCAACTTGATCGGTTTCAAAGGCCACCTTAACGACTCGGCTGATTTCGACCCAAAAGAATACGAAGTTGAGTATATCTCAGAGAGGCAGTATGCGGACTTCCATTTTGGGAACGATTACAACGAGACTTGCAACTACCCAAGGTTCTGGAACGAGACCGGATATCCATTGACTGGCGGAGGCGTCGAGGAGTTGAAAGGCTGCTACAACAGTGATTTCGACCAGTATGGAGAATTGGAGGCCTTCGGTAACTTCCCCGACTGGAAGCGACAACTTACGAAGTTCGCCTCGGTGCAGGATCGTCTCAGAGAATGGCACAAGCCTGTTCGCGATATCATTACCCAGCATTCCTGCATTGTGATCGCGAGTCTGGATATCGATGGTTTCCGGTTTGATAAAGCTGTACAGTCCACTTTAGACGCCCTGGGTGATATGACGGCGGTCTACCGTGAATGTGCGAAGAAGTACGGAAAGAAAAACTTCTTCCTTCCCGGAGAAATCACGTCTGGAAATACCTTCGGTAGTCTTTATCTCGGTCGTGGTCGTCAGCCTGACCAGAAGCCCGCTTCAGCGGGCGCTGCTGTCAAGTTGACGAACACCTCGGATGAGTATTTTCTTCGCGAGGATGGGCTTCAGGCACTTGATGCCGCTGCCTTTCACTACACGATCTACCGGTCAATGACACGTTTCCTCGGGATGGACGGTAATTTGGTTGCTGGTTTCGACTTGCCCACCGATTTCATTGAGGCTTGGAACGGAATGTTGGTCACTAACGACATGATCAACGCAATCACGGGCGAGCTGGACCCGAGACACATGTACGGTGTCTCGAACCAGGATAACTTCCGTTGGCCGGCTATCAAGAACGGCACCGATAAGTACCTCCTAGGTTTGTATATTGTCACCCTGGAGCTTCCTGGTATACCTCTAGTCCTTTGGGGTGAAGAGCAAGCCATGTACGTGTTTGACGCCACAGCCTCCAATTATCTGTTTGGTCGACAGCCCATGACCTACCACACGGCTTGGTGGACGCACGGCTGCTTTCACCTGAACACTTCCAAGTTCTACGATTTCCCCAACGAGAAGGGATTGTACGGCTGCCACGATATTACTGTCACTTACGACCAGCGGAACCCGGCCCACCCTCTTCGCAACATCATGAAGCGCATGTTTGAGGTCCGCGAACACTATCCGGCCGCCAATGATGGCTTCTACCTCGAAACCATTTCTCAGCTCACCAAGGATGTCTACCTGCCTGGTTCGTCGACCACGCCGACAGTTACCGGTCTCTGGTCAGTGTTGCGCAGTTACTTCCCAGGCGTCCAGAAGGAGTCGAATGGGGCCAACAATACCATTTGGCTCGTCTACCATAACGATAACAAGACAGTGACGTACGGTGAGAATTGCAGTAACAAGAGTTCTGCACTGCTGGCTCCATTCAAGTCGGGCTCGAAGCTTAAGAATGTTTTCTACCCGTATGATGAGCTCAAACTCGAAGACGGTCCCGGCGGCCAGGACTACGGCTGTTATCGTGGTATGAAGCTGCTTCCTTGGGAGTACCGTGCCTACATTGAGGCCGAGAATTTTATTGAGCCTCGTCCTGCTGTCACCGAGTTTACTCCTGGTCATGACGTGCGTCTGCTCTCAACGGAAGACCAAGCTCAGACAATCGATATTTCCCTCGGATACTCGAAGGAGATGAAGAGTTGCGATGAGATCACAAAAGCAATCTCCCTGAACTCCACAACGCACAAAGGCATTACAGCTTCGCTAGACAAATCTAGTGTTAACTGCACCACAATCAGTGCGAGAACAAGCAAGGAAAACTACGTCGGCGAAATCCCCACGATATGGACATGGTCCGCCAAGTTGAACAACGTCTACCACGGTGTTCACCAGCTAACTGTCAAGAATGTTACCAGCAAATCTGGAAAATACACCGATTCTGTTGACAAGTTCTTGTTCCGTGTTGGATCTCCGACTAATCCCTTGATCTCTCCGTTGATGAACTACTCAACCTCATTGGTGCACAAAACCGACAATGGCAACATCATCGTCCAGCATGAGGCTGCGGGTGCAGATCAGTTCCGCTATTCGACTACATTTGGCCGCAGTTGGTCTAACTGGACTACGTATGAAGGTGGTAACACCACCATCCACGAACTTGACTTTCACGGCACGAAATCTCAAAAATGGAAGGGAACACACGTTCAGGTGCAATACTTCTCCAGACTCACCGGTAGCAGTGCATACGTGCAGGAAGGTGATGTCGATTGGGAGGAAGGTGTACCCCGTCGATTCCCTCATCTGTGGTGGAATGGTCCGTACAACCAATATGGTTATGATTCTGGGCTGGATGCAAAGATGCGTTACGACAAAAAGGAGCAGCGCTGGAAGTACGACTTCGTCACCGAGTGGCCGTCTGTGGGACAGGTCAGTGTCTGGGGAATGGGACCAGGTGGTATTCCTGATACCACAGAGGTCTATGGCGATGTCGATAACTCGTCTGTGGTGCAAAAGCTGCCTCCTTCGTATCTTTCTTCGAACGTGATCAACATCACTGACCTGCCCCCCTTCCCGCACCTTGGGTGGACGATTTCGCTGAACGATGCCACATTCCGGTATGACTTGCTCCCTGTTGGCTCGGGGTGGGCGCAGCTTGTACTCTATATCCTGCTGTGGGTTCTTCCCATTCTCATGGGACTTGCAGGTGTTTACTTGTTCATCCGGACGTTCTATCGCGTCGAACTCAATACGGACGGTAACATGGCTACCAAGGCTGGCGCAATGCCGCTTGTCTTCTGGCGCAGACTCAAAGACAAACTTGGCAGTGACGACGACTCGGTTCACGCAATGTCTGACGTATCAGGGCCGATGGATGTGGCAATCGCTGGCGTTCCTGAAGAAAGACGGACAGTGTTGATCGCTACTATGGAATACAACATTGAGGACTGGAAGATTAAGGTCAAGATCGGTGGTCTTGGTGTGATGGCGCAGCTCATGTCTGCGAACTTGAAGCACCAGAACCTGATCTGGGTGGTACCTTGCGTGGGGGATATTGAGTACCCCACAGACTCGCCCGCTGAACCTTTTACCGTCACTATCTTGGATAAGCCGTACCTCGTTAATGTCCAGTACCACATCGTGGATAACATTACCTACGTGCTTCTCGACGCGCCAGTCTTCCGTCAGCAAACAAAAGCAGAGCCTTACCCACCGCGTATGGATGATCTTGAGAGTTCAATCTACTACTCCGCCTGGAACCAGTGCATTGCTGAGACTATCAAGCGATTCCCGTCGATTAACCTCTACCACATCAACGATTTCCACGGCTGCTTGGCACCGCTCTACCTGCTGCCAAATCAGACGATTCCTGTTTGCTTGTCTCTGCATAACGCTGAGTTCCAGGGTCTCTGGCCGCTACGAACCCAACAAGAGAAGAAGGAAGTCTGTTCAGTCTTCAACCTTCCCGTTGAAGTTGCTACCAAGTACTCTCAGTTTGGAAACGTGCTTAACCTTCTTCACACTGGAGCCAGCTACCTCCGATTCCATCAACGCGGCTTTGGCGCAGTGGGTGTGTCTAACAAATACGGCAAGCGCTCTTGGGCTCGTTACCCAATTTTCTGGAGTCTCGAGAAAATCGGCAGTCTGCCTAACCCGGACCCTTCTGACACTGCTGCCCTTGACGAGAATGCGGACGCTCCGCTCCTATCCACGCAAGAACGAATTGAGCACAAGCTGCAGGCGCAGAAGTGGGCTGGGCTAAACGAGGACCGTGACGCTGACCTGCTCGTGTTCGTGGGCCGATGGTCGAAACAAAAGGGTGTCGATCTGATCGCCGATGTCATGCCGTCAATCTTGTCCGCCAGACCTCATGTCCAATTGATTTGTGTGGGCCCAACTATCGATCTCTATGGTAAGCTGGCGGCGACGAAACTCGAGCGAATCATGGAGATGTTCCCTGGAAGAGTTTTCTCTAAGCCAGAGTTCACGGTCTTGCCTCCTTATGTCTTTTCCGGTGCTGACTTCGCGCTCATCCCGTCGCGTGATGAGCCCTTCGGCTTGGTTGCTGTTGAATTCGGACGAAAGGGTGCCCTTGGAATCGGTTCTCGTATTGGTGGACTTGGCCAAATGCCAGGATGGTGGTACACTGTGGAATCGGATGCGACGCGCCATTTGTTGCATCAATTGAAAAAGGCTATCAAATCTGCGCTCGACTCATCACAGGAAACGCGCGAGGACATGCGTGCCAATTCCGCTAAGCAGCGTTTCCCTGTGCTCGAATGGATCCAGAAACTTGAAGTGCTGCAGCGTACCGCGATCCAAATCCATTACAAGAAGAACCAGGGCACTGTTGTAGGTCCCATGCCCGAATCACAGACTTACTGGGAGACACCGAGTATGCCTGCGAGTGCGCGCAACTCTACTTTGAGCCTTACTGGGCTTGCTGATGGCGGCTCGGACAACTCTCCAGGAAAGGTGATGCTGAACGCACAATCGCGTCTCCAGGAATTGCAGGCGGATGACAACAGGAACAGCGGCCTCGGTCGCAAACTCTCTCTTGGCCGACGAGATGGACCTGGTCAAGGCAAGAAGCTTTTTGGCAAGCCACGCAACAGCAGGATTACTGAGCAAGACGACGACGACCTGACGGACTTCGATGAAGATACCGATGCTAATCAACAGTCGGACTACATCTCTCCCGATGAGGCGATGAGGGCAGTCAATAGCACTCTTGCGGCGCAGGAACTCGGACAGACCCTTGGAAACGGAAGCTCGCTCTCACTGGCCGGCCCTCGACGAGGTTCTCACCTTGTGGTGCCAGGCTCGCCGTCCCAAATCTCGCGGGCTTCTTCTCCACTTCCGACACCGGGCGAGTGGCCTTTGACCCCAGGTCAATTCAGCGAAACCACACCCTTCGCCCATGCTCGCAATGTGTCCGTTTTGTCTTTGCCGTCCGTCGTGGGTGACCACAGCCATGGAAATGAGACTCAGCCTGTCTTTGAACTACAGAAGGTTGACCCTACCTTCACGGACAGCATGGGTCACTTCACTCGGCGCTTTGAGGAGCGTCTCAGGAAGTACGACAAGAACTCCATCAACGACGACTGCATCGAAACCTATTTGATGAAGAGTGAACGCAAGTTCTTCAACATGTACAATGACGCGCAGCTGAAGAAGCACAGCATGGACCGTCCCATGACCTCGCCTAAATCCGAGAATTTCCTCCAGGATACTTCGTATAACCGTGTCTCAGACGCCGGACCGAACTCCAATGAAGACGAGATCGACCGATGGCTCTCCCGTCTGGGGTACAGTCGCCCGATGTTCCTTCAGCGGTTCATGAGACGGCGCATCGGTAACTGGCCTATTTACGCCCTGTTCCTCGGTCTCGGACAGATCATCGCGACCAACTCGGCGCAAATGACCCTGTTGGCCGGTCAAGTCGGTGAAACGGCTACCAAGGTCTACATCATTGCCGCAATTTACTGCATTTCCTCGATCTGTTGGTGGTTCCTTTATTACACCCTGCCATCCGTGATCGTCCTCAGTCTTCCCTGGTTCATTTACTGCATGGCGTTTGTGGTTATGGGTATTTCACCGTTCGGTGCCTCCAGTCTCGGCCGCGCATGGGCTCAAAACGTAGCAGCTGGTGTTTACGCTGCTGCCTCCTCCAGCGGTTCGCTCTTCTTCGCCCTGAACTTCGGTGATCAGGGTGCAGTTCCCGTCAAGGATTGGATGTTCCGCGCCGCCATGATTCAGGGCATTCAGCAACTCTACACCGTTGCCCTCTGGTACTGGAGTCAAAGAGTTACGACGGTCGAGGTTGCTGGTGTCTCCACTCTTGCTCTGAACACCTGGCGCCTGACCGCAGTCGTGATGCCCATCGCCGCCTTGTGTTTCGTGATTGGTGTTATCCTTGCTCTCGGTCTACCGAAGTACTACCGTCAAGCACCGAGCCGTATCCTCGACTTTTACACCTCCCTCCTCCGCCGCCGCATCGTCCTCTGGTTTTTCTTCATGGTGATCATCCAGAACTGGTTCCTTGCCGCCGCAACTGGTCGCAACTGGTCCTTCCTGTGGGCTTCCAAGCATACAAAGACCTGGGAAGTTGTTGTAATGGTGATCGGGTTCTTCGTCGTCCTTTGGATTGCCGTAATGCTTCTGTTCCGGTACCTGGGTAAGGAGCATACCTGGGCCCTTCCCGTCTTCGGGTTGAGTCTCGGTGCTCCCCGTTGGGCCCAAACCTGGTGGGGAACTTCAAATATCGGACACTACCTTCCTTGGGCTGGTAGCCTTACGTCTGGCGCGCTTGTTTCGCGAGCAATCTGGCTCTGGCTGGGTGTCCTCGATGAAATCCAGCAAGTTGGACTGGGTATGATTCTCCTGCAAACGTTGACCCGTGTTCACGTTTGTTTCGTTCTTTTGGCCGCGCAGGCCCTCGGTTCCATCGCAACCATGGCCGCTCGTGGCTTCGCCCCGAACAAGGTGGGACCGGGCGGTGTTTCCCCCGACGTGGGCACCAGTGTTGACAAGGTTGGAAACGCGTGGTTCTGGATCTCGCTATTCTTCCAACTTCTGGCAGCGTAAGTTCTATTCCGTCCACCATTTCATTTTTCGGACATGATGCTAACGTTGAAATAGCTGGGGATTCTTCTTCTTCTACAGAAAAGAACAGCTTAATAGGCCTTGATGTGATCATGACTTGTGCTTTAGTCTTGTTTTGCATATATCCTTTTCATTGCATCTATAGAAGGCCTGCATAGACTCTTTTGGGTCTTTTTTTTGGTTTTGTCTTTGGTCTACTAATGGTGGACTTTGTTCGTGTCTAGCGTTGCGAGTATGAGATAGAGTGAGTGTATATACTCATGAGTACATAGTTCGTTTTCTTGGATATGTATTTTATCGTTTTGAGGTACATACATATACCATTGGAATCTAGTATTAAGCCCCCATACCTTTTTGTTTGTTATCTGTCCCACGAGTAACGAGAATTCCGTGCCCCTCTCCTAAACACCTTGAAAGCAAACCCAGAATGGTGAATAATTAGGGCGACTGTATGAACAAAGTCCCATCCAACTAAGCTACGGCTCTCTTCCTTCGGGCCCAGCAATCAACAAAAACGAACGAACCCCTTATCTCTCAGGAACAGTATAGTACACACAGAAAGATTGGATTTTTGGGGGGGCTGTCCCACCAAGTTCCGCAACCCCCGCCGCGGGGCTGCCCGCTTACCCGGAATGCCCGCCGCCGCATGCAGCCAGCCAGTCAGTCAGTCCTATGCCGCTTCCGGCGCCAACCCAACCTTGCAACCTTGGAACCTTGAACCCACTAACCTCAGCTACAAACAAGTGAAGCTGTTTCCGGTGCTGGGTTGGTGTACTTTTTTGTCTTCCTTTCTTATGTGGCTAGCGAAAGACTGTGCCAGTTCTTTCCGAGTGTCTTGGGTTAAACCATATGAGACCCGAGTAAGTACCTAGAATTGTAGGTAGCCCGGCGTGAGATTTCGATAGTGGTGTGCCTTTTTTTTTTCGTTTCTTACTTGTTTGGCTTAATCCCTGTTGTGGGGCTGGTGAGACGGTGGAAATGGTCTCAGGGAAGATGGGGGGCGTGCATTGGGGGTGAGGTCTGGAATATCGATTGCGCGGACGCTCTGTTGCTATCGCTGCAAAGTACTGTACATTGTCTGCATGTTTTCTTCTATTTTCTATCCACTAGATATGAAGTAGATGTATGTGGAATGCATTGTCTGCTTCCGGGGTCGTGAATAATACTTAAGCTGTAGATGGTTTAGTGAGGGGTCGACCAAAGGATAACAGTGTATGTGCGGTGAACTCGAACTGTGACTTTTATTTTCGGCTTGGATATGGTGAGCAATAAGCTTATAGACTCATCTTGCCCCGCGTCTCGACAGGAACCCAGAGGGCCAGGAGGCCGGCTAGAACGAACATGCCCCCGCTGATATACACGGGGACACTGGTCTGGATGTTGGCGAACATGACGATGATGGGCGCCAGAATGCCGCCGATGCGGTTCGCACCCCCGACCAGTGCGTTCCCCGTGCCGCGGTACTGCGTTTCGAAGATCTCCGGCGTGTAGGAGTAGAGCACGGCGTACAGGAGACTGCTGGTGAAGCTGTAGGCGCAGTTCCAGCCGAGCAGGGCTGTCGAGGAGTGGGCGGAGGTGGAGGCCAGAAGGAAGGCGCCCGTGAGGATGGCACCGAAGGCGAGGGTGCCCTTGCGGCCGAAGCGCGGAATCTCGACCATCAGGCCCCCGACCAGGCTGCCGGGGACGCCGACGGCGCTGATGATCAGGGAGTTGCGGTAGGTAATGTAGGTGGAGCCGTCGCCGAATTGGATGCCGCGGGTCTGTTGCAGGTAAGGGAGGAAGGCGTTGTAGAGGGGGAAGCCAAGGCCGATCAGGGCCCAGATCAGGATCATGAGAGTGGTGGTGCGTGCGCGTTGTGGGGAGGCGAAGAGAGCTTTGAGCGCCGGGGTGCTGAGGACGGCGAGGCGCATGCGGAGATGGTCGATTGGGCGGAGCGTTTGGCGCGCGGGTGCTTGTGCGGAAGGGTGGTGGGTTGGGGTAGTGGTGGTGGTTTCGTTATCAGGCAAGGAGGAGAGTTGGTCGGGCTCGAAGCGGTCTCCATCTTCGTCGGTGAGGTCGTCGATGGAGAGAGTGGTGGTTTTGCCATTGCGTCGGGCGACTTCGTGGATGACGGTCACGGACTCCTCGTAGAGACCTTTGCCCATCAGGTATTTAGGGGATTCGTAGAGGGTGAAGAAGACGCAGCGCGCAATGCACATGAAGAGGGCGATCCCGCCCATGGTGATCAGGAAGTAGCGCCAGCCCATGTTGGCAGACTTGGTGCAGTTGGTGGCCGACGCGCAGGTCATATTGCCGATCAATGGCCAGGCGACGAGGTTGGCCAGTACTTGGGCGAGCGCCCAGTTGATGGAGAGGACTGTCAGTAGATACTGATGCGAGCCGGGCAGGAATTCCAGGAAGATGGCTGAATCGACGGGCAAATTGCCTCCGACCCCAAATGACCATAGGGCTGTGAACACCCCCACCGCGGCAAAGGTGGGCGACCCTGCAGCGATCAGGCCAAAGACGGCAGTGATAGCAATAGTCATGTTGAAGGCCCATCGTCGGCCGAAGACATCGCAGGTGAAGCCCCAGAAGAGCGAGCCAACCAGGAGTCCGATGTTCTGGGCGAGAGACAATAAAGGCGGCTGCGAGACACGGAATTCGTACGATACAGGAACCAGAATCAGGGAGGTGACGATGGGCCAGAGGTTATCGCTGGCCCAACCAAAGCCGATCACGCCGAAAAGCTGCCATTGATACCGACCCATGCCGATATCTTGAATGGCGCGGTTGAGCTGGTCCGCTTTGAAGCGGTAGTCTAAAGCTGCAGCGTCATCGGGAGAGAAAGATTGTTCGGATAGCGGACTCGTGGACTGTAAGGGCTGTGATTCAGAGGTTTTGGCTGAGAGTGTAGTCATGGTAGCCATGATTGGAGATTTATCGAAGCTCGTAGCGTGAGGGTATGAGGAATAAGGAGGAAGAGGAGAGCGGAATTGAAGTATACTTCCGTGGGTCGGCGGTGCGGGGTTAAGTGGTTAAGTCACCTCTCTGGTGGCTGATCGATGGCACTTTTCAGGATTCCGCCAGGCCATCGAGACACATATGCAAAGAATTCAAGATTTGATTCAACAGATTGCTGACAAAAGAGAGCGAGGGAAAAAGGAAGAAGAGGAGTGGAGGGAAGAGAGGGAGGGAGAGAGAGGCAAGAGAAAATGAATCACGACAGGGAAGGAATGACGCGATCGGCACAAAGACTGAGACTGCAGCTCACATGTTCACCAACACCTTGCGTGAGTCTCCGTCATCTTTCTCCCTGTTGCGATTTCATTTTTTTTTTTTTTTGAAAAAAAAAGAAGAAGAAGAAGAAGAAGGGTAAGTCACTATGATGAGCATCATTGATAACTATACACACAAATGACTAACTAATACGTGATGTAACAACTGCCAGGCATCGTTGCGACGGTGACAACGTCCAATTCCAATCCCAATCCCAATCCCACCCTGCATCCACGCTTATTTGCCCGCCAATGCACTGTACGGGGTCAACCCGGGATAAAACGAGGTCGGGATGGTCGGAATCGGAATGGAAGCAGTGAGCCCAAATGCGGTCGCCAAGTCTGCTGCCATCGTTGCTGCCGAATAGCCCGACGGAGCCGCGGTGACGGTGCTGGTGGTGGTGTAGGAAGTGTGCGACGAGCTGTCCTTCAGACAGTAGCCCGATCCGTAAGCAGATCGGCACAGGAACAATTCCTTCGAACCGCTTTCGGTCCAGATGGCGATATCCTCCAGTGTCAGGTCCGTGCAAGGAGCCGTATCACTACACACCACTCGGATCGGTGGTCGCGTCGCGCCGTTCGCCTCAGTGCCCTTCCAGTTCTTGACCGTGATGTTGTTCAATTGCACCCCGTCGCCAGACACTGCAGTCATGCTGCTCCAGTAGCCGTCAATATCGAGCGAGTAAGCATTACCATGCCCTACACACAACTATCAGTTGACAACCATAAGAGAGAAAGGTGAGCCACTAGCCGGGCAGCACAGGCAGCACTTACCGATAAAATTCTCCAGCAGAACGTTGGACACCGTTCCACTCCCGCCATTGCTCTTGATCATGTACATCTGGTTGGACGACCACGTATAGATGTTGCGATAAACAATATCGGTGACGTCGGTGTCAGCTCCCAGCGAGCCCATGGCGCATCCACCGCTCCAGTTGCAGTAGATACTCTCTACCAAGATGTTGTTTGCAGGGCTCTACAGCCAGTCAGCCAGGGCTCAAAATGTTGGTCCGTGCTTGCGGAGAAAAGAGAGCTTTTACCTTGACTGTGACACATTCATCCTTGTTTGTTACCTCGACCTAAATGAGCGTATCTCATGAGCGACAGGGGAAATAATCTTCAGAGGCAGGCTGCGACTTACATCGTGGACCCAGATGTTGCTGCCCCAGACGTCAATCCCGTCCAAACCACCTTCATTGCCACCACGAATCGCCATGTTGTATACCTCGCCGTCAGAGCAGGTGTCCATGGTGAAATGGAAAGCAGGCGCATCCACCAAGATGAGATCATGCACGGAAAAATGGGTAACATCGGTCAATCGCAGAATTCGTGCTCCATAGGTACTCTGCGCATGATATACATAGCCGAATCCCTGCACAGCACCTTTGGAGGTACTACTGAACAGCTCAAAGTCCGTGGTATCAGTGACCGCAATCATGTTCCCACTGGCGGTGCCGGCGCGATAAATGATACCGTCCAGCTGAATTGCGGTCGCGCTGCCCCCCGTGAGAGTGACCCAGGTCTTCAAGGCATAGTCTCCAGATGGGATGTAAACAAGACCTCCGCTTTTGCATGCAGCCCAGGCCGAAGCAATGGCAGTCCCAACATCAGTCGAGTTGTCGGCCACGGCGCCGTAATTGAGCACGTTGCATGTTTTCTTCGCACGCTTGGTCGAAGCGGTAGTCAATGGGCCAACACTTCCAGAAAGCTGACCGCAGACCAGCGCCGGGATTGCACTCAAAGCAAGAAGGAAAAGACCACGCATTGCGTAATTGGGTCAATGGGAGCAGCCCTGCTATTCTTGTTTCTCGGGATACTTCTTCAACAGCTACCGCGACGAACGCAGCTTTTATATTCTAGCAAGAGCCTTCATTTTAGGTCAGGAACCACTCCCACCGGAGAATCTACAACGCGTGCTTCTCCTTAATTCTCCTTCAACCCTGGGAAGTAGGCAAACTGAGATTCTCCGTCCTGTCAGGTCTTGATTGTGGCTTCCTGCTCCGTGACATTGAGTGTCAGAACCCCTTTCCGACGATGATCTCTGCTGTTTTCGCTAGCAAGACCAGTGAAGGTACCGAAGTCAAGCTTCTTCGTCAAGGCTTCAACGCCTAGTCCATCCTTATTCATGGAGAATTATGATTGATTCTACCGCCACGCAAGCCAGTGTCAGCACTACTTGAGCATTCGTCTCGGGGCTTGGGACGCTGATCATCCCCCGGATCAATAGATCAATAGAGCTCGAGTCGAAGGAGTTAGTTCCAGGGGCGGCTAGAGGGTTCATCTCCGCAATTGATGGACATGAAGCCATCGCCTGACGACTTTGCGGGGTACGTGCAGCGGGGTGATGCGTGCAGTAAGCAAAAACCACAAAGCTTCTGCCCTGAGACTCCGGATTGATTTGATGCGAGCATGAAACACGAGATCATGGAGAAAGCAGCTGTCGGGTGAGTGACCCCCGACTATACAGGTCGCGCAAGATACGTCCATTCGTGTCGCACCCTGCGCTCAGGCCCTACCAAGACGGCCCAGCAGCATCTTGCCAACGCTAAGAACTCTTAAAGCTTGAGCAAAGGTCAGGCTTGGATGTCTTTGTCTCACATCGCAATAGCCGAGCCATACGTTATGTCATCCTCATGGTCACCCCCCGAAGGCACTTGACTCGTTAGGCTTGTAGTAAGGTACAGTCCAATTTTTGATACTATAGAGTTCACATAATCGAAAGACAGTGTGCATAGGCCGAGCTGGACCAATCACGGTTATCTCTTGGCTAGTTCCGATCTTAGCATCCCGTGTTCCAAGCCATGAAACGCTCTCTCAACGTCCTGAGGAATATCGACGTGATCGATGAACCCTTTACCCCGAGGCCCATAGCCGTGCTCATCATCTCTCAACCGCGGTATTTCACCCATCAATAGTCCTAGAAAGCGAGGAATCGTCCACAAGCTCTCTGCAGGGATTCCCTCTACATCGTACGCCAACTCATTGTTCTCCTGCAAGCTGACCCGGGGCACTATGATTGGCCAGCTTAATAGATCCGGGGTGGACGGCTTAAAGGCCTTGACGAATGAGGCAATCGTCCTTCGGGCCATGGTGGGATCCTGAACGATAATTACGGAATTAGGTGCCGGGATGGCGTTCCTTTCCAGCAGGCGCCTCGTGTCTATCGCGTTCTGTCCGCAATTCGTGGACTGGTCCTCAACCAGAAGGTTGCCCCCAGCCTTCCGGAAGCCCGAGGCCACAGCCTCGAAACATTTGGTGAAGATGGTGTGAAGCACGCGGGCTTCCGGCTGGCCTTGAATTTCTGGTGCAAGGTGCGCGTACTTGGGGTTGTTCGACACGGCCTCATAGAGGTAAGGGGTTGAGTGGCCAATCCCGCCGCAGAAGACCAGGGTCTTGGTGGCGTGCGGGTTTGCAGCGAGGAATGTGAACACCGCTTCGGCCTGGTAAAGGATGGCGGACACGCAGATCACAATGCAGTCGACTGCATGGGGGGGCGGCTGTGCTGCGGGGAATTGCTCGTGGGCGAGGAAAGTGGAAATCAGGTTGATGTCTTGAGGGTCGATGGTTGACATTTTATGCACGAGTGCCAGTGAATTGAATAGAATGTTTAGGGATAGCTCAATGACTGCTTAGAATTGATCGTGTTTCTCGATCAAAGTTCTGCCGTGGAATAAATGGGACGGGATGGGGAAATGGAGACGGGAAACTGGACTGAGAGCCTTGGAGCCTGAGGAAGTGGATGAACGGATGGCAGATGGAGCCGATTTGGTGCCTTACACTTCAGGCTTCTAGGTCGGGATCAGCTGAGCAGTGCTTAGTAGAGTGAGCAGTTACTAAATGTTCACCCTCTTCGGCTTGGTGGAACTACTACTTGTGCTCAACTGACAAACCCACCGATTGATCAAGATGAAAAGACTGCTCAAACTAGTCAGAGCCCATCCACATTCAACCGCATCCGCTCTACGCGCCTCTGCAGCTCCTCCAGCGTCAGGGATCGCTTCCGTCGACAACTCACAGGGTGCCTCGGCTGCTGCTGCAGAGCTATCAAATGTTCTTGGTACCTCGCTCAAGGACATTGACCTCGATGGTGGCTACCCAAACCTGACCGGATCGTGCTCACCGCTAATACCTTCCCAAGGAAACCTCAATGCCCAGGCACGGGCTCTGGTCGCGCGCTTAGATGATGAAGCATCTAAGTATGAGAACTCACAGCTCACCCCTGAGCAATGCGACGTAAAGTGGACTTGGTGTGACCAGATCTGTCTTTTCCTTTGAGACAAAAGTGCGTCCACTAATGGAATTCAAGCTCTCGGGAACAAGCTCGCTTTATATCGCTCGCATGGGATTGCGCGAGCGAGTCTTACAACCCCGTGCCTGCCAGCCTCCCACGCACTCTCCAAGATTGTGTACTCAAGCATGACCATGTGGTCATGCCTTCTATCAATGGGACTGTCAAGGCTGCCACTTTTACAACGGTCGAGTCGAAGGATACGTCAAACAAAGATGGTCTCCCGCCTGTGTTGGTCATCGCGATCAGAGGTACTGCTAGTACCGTAGATCACATAGTCAACATCAATAGCAGACCACAAGATGCAGGTAAATTTATTGTAAGTCAACGAATTGTATCCGCACTGCAGATGACCATCATCTTGACATTTGCATGTTCTAGGATATCACGCAGTTCCTATCCGGGAAAGAGTCAGCGCAGAAGAAGCTGGAAGCCCATTCAGGATTCTTACACAGCGCTATTGCCCTGAGATCTATTGTCTCCGAAAGAATAGAGGCCTATAGTCGTCTTCACGCTGAACATGGCGGCCACGTTCTGTTCACCGGCCATTCTGCGGGGGGCGCCGTGGCCTCGCTGTTATTCCTCCATTACATCTCACAAGCAAACCCCCAGCTCGCGACGCACTTTTCATGCATTACATTTGGCGCTCCACCGGTAGTAACGTTGCCGTTGATGGACAGCATCAACCACCAGAGACTGCCTACTCATCTATGCATGAACCTCATCAACGAGTTCGACCTTGTCACTAGGGCAGATAAGAGCTATATTCTCTCTTTGCTTGACTTAATACGAGCAAGCGACGATCAGACATCCGTCGCTTCCAATACGGAAGATTCTCGCAAGCAAGGCTCTGGTTCGATATCCGGGTCCTCCGAAGACTTCTGGCCGTTGCCTCGTTCTCTTTATTGCCATGTTGGGCCTCGGATCATTCTGTTCATGCGACTGGAGAGCTCTCATGAACAGTTCCTTCAGTTACATGCAGCTCAAGTATCACGCGAGGAGTTTGATAGATTACTATTCTGTCGTCTTTCCGTACATATGAGGAAATACTATGCGCAAACAGTAGGACAACTTACGGTTGGTCGGGCTAATTGAGAAACTGGATGGCTTCATGAGTGAATATTAGATGCCTTCAACTACGAGACCTTGAATAAGACAATTATGCATATACCATTCGAGCCTTTCAAACGGGGAACACCGGGATAAGGACCAAACCAAGCTCGCCAAACTGATTTTGACTGACGTCAGACAACCTCTGTTTATGTCGGATCTGGCGAGCTTGGGTTACAAACGAATAATCCGATAAGCAACTACGGTATTCTTTGCCTGTTGAATTGTATTGTATGTGCAGTACATTCTACCAGTGGTGAACATGGATTTGGAATGGCTGATTAGACTGATTCGAACGAGATTCCATTCTAGCTAATAGGACCGCATTTGAGAAGCAGGCTTCAGTCATCAGCAGACCACTTCAAAACTAATGTATGCCCAGCCAAATTGGTCTCGGTAAGCTCTGGGCATCCCAGCCTCACTTTTGCACAGCCTCGGACTCGCCGGGCTTTAACCACAAGGCCGGTGCCTGGCCTTGGCGATCCTCGTATTTCTCGGCCTTGTACCCTGGCAACAGAACTTACTCCGCAGGCAGCACATAACTCAGGCACCGAGCTGTGGCTATTTACTCGATCTTATCATGTCTCGGGACTGTGGGTATCCTGAATCATTATCTACCCCTTGATCTTACCTCTCACCAACATACCGTCCTTGCTGCAGCAACAGCTATGTCTTGCTTGAGCGGGCTCCGTCTCAAGCACCGTTTCGAGCGATCCTCACTTCCAAACATAACCAATGCCGCCAGAACCCCGTGGAAATCGATAGGGCCCGCCAATGAGCATTTACTGTCAGAGCTGGAAAGTCTGTACTGGTATGGCGTGAAACTCGAACTAGAAAACATCATACGCACTTTAAATATCTGGCAACAACCAGAGTTCACAGACGTGACAGTGGAAGATGAGCACGACAATGAAGTACACGGCTTTGAGACGTTCATCGACCAAGTCAGTCAGGAGACGCGCGCGTTCGCGAGGCGATATGGTAGCGTTGCTCGAGCCTCCTCCAGGATGAAGATTTGTTCTGATCTGTTCTGTCGATGTAGGAGATGATAAAGCCGCAAAGGCAGCCAGCCAGAAAAAGACCTTGTTCTCTACTATGAGCAATACTGAAGTCAAGGAGGCTTTACTGAAGGCGCAAGCCGAGCAGACTGAATATCAGCGCAGCAATATTGAAACTAAGAACGAAGTTCGGAGGAATACAGAAAGTCGGTAGTCAATGTCTGCTTCCTCCGGTCAGAGCTGACAAAATCTTCTGAAGACATTGTATCATCTTCCGCTATTCAAGAGCGAGCACGTATCCTCCTACAAGCAGTGGGTGAGTCCAACCTGTTCCAGTCTAGCAGTAATTCAATTGACCTTAGGCTTGCGCAGGATTCCTCGATATGGACAAATTGATCGAGCACCGTCCACCGTTGGAAGACCTTGGCTTCTGGGCACGACCTGCCATTCCTCAACGTATGAGTCAACCGCCCAAGGTCCTATCTGTGAGGACCAGAGCAACAGTCTAACATGATCTGTAGTCACTTTTTCTGGCTTTGACGGCAACTGGAATGCCCAATTCGAGCCTCTGAAGTGCTCAGATTGCACCAGCATTATCCGAGGTAGTATGTTTACCAAGGATGTGAAACTGGATCCTGCGAATCAACGAACCGTGTGCGAGGACTGCTACCGAAGAAGCGATTTTGGCAGAGAACAATATACCAAAGTATACAAGCATTGCATCCTCGCGGAAACCATTACTCCTGAATTGAGCCGAAATTTGTGTCGTTGTTTACACATCTCTCGCCTTGACAGCAAAGGACTTCCGCGTGGCTTTTTTCCCATCTCAAAAGAAGACAACCACGTCTCAGCCCCCTTCACTAAGAGATGCAAGATACTAGAACTCAATACTCGAGTCGCCCTTGCGAAGTATGATGGTCTACAGTCTACAGTCCGCGACCACATGGAAGAAGACAAGAAACCCCATGGGTCAGGGCCAAAAGTGAATGGGCGGGCCCGAGATGGGGAGCATAAGCCACCCAAGAAAGTGACGCTGAGAAAAGACCCCAAGGCGGCGCAGCTACCCTTACGGACAGACTCGGGAAAGAGGAATTCCCTCGCACATGACCAGGACTCGAACATCGCTTCAGCGAAGGAAGCCAGAGCGGATGATGATATCCCCCTTTTCTTCCGTCAATTTGCCCAGCAGTACCCTTTCGGCAATGTTCACATGGCTTTACGGGTTGGGCCTCTGGTCATAGAAAATGGGGTTGCACAGTGAGTATATACCTCAATCGGTCAAGCATATTTCCAGAAAACACACTAAGCGCAATTGCAGTACCAAGAAAGGCGCCTTGGTTACGATTCGAGAGCTGCCTATATTCCAGGAGAAGCCTAGTTCTGGAAGCCTAACCTCCCGCCATCCTAGTTTGGCTATCGGCGGCGAGCCTAATAGGCGCCTTTGGCGGCAGCAGCGCCCAGTTGGGAATCCCAAAAGATACAAAGCTATCATGAAGCAGGTGGTCGGGGTGCCATTCACGAGTGCTCTTTCTGGATCTTCTCATGCGGAGCAAGAGTCTGAGATTATATGGCTCATCGTGGCGGCTAGTCGTGGATATTTCGACCATCCGGGGCTCCCCGCCAAAGACCAGCGTAAAAGGCTTGATGCTGCGCTGCAACAGATAATGGACAAGCTCAAAGCTCTTCTTGAGCCAAGGGCCAATGTCTATTTGCAGAGGATTGCGCAGAAATTACTCGATCCAAATACCACCATCACCTGGAGCGCGATCAGTAACAATTGCCAGACTTTCTGCAACTCCCTCATTGACATGAGCACTTTTGAGCCTCTTTTCGACACAACTTCGGCATGTCAAAATGCGAGCGCCGCATCACCGCTGTATCTTATGAGCTTCGTGTGTCCGCAGGAGGGCTATCTACGGAATCGGGTCCGCACGAAGTACGATGTTCCCAGCGGACTGACTGAAGAGTATCTTCTTCGCTTTCACTTTGGTCGACACGATGAGGCCGATGTCCTCGACACGCTTCAGGAGTACTGGTACGACTGGGGTGCATTTGGCGGTACATTGTACAAGTATCAGGATCTCTTTCCCTGGGATTGCACCGAAGCATATCAGCAACGACACCCCAAGTTCTGCGGCTCTTGCAATCTCGCTAAGCACATATGGGCATTCCCATTCGATGCTTGGTCGATAATTGCGCTGCACCTTCACCGGACCCCGCAGATGTACGCCACGGCGAATTCAGGCAGTTGGGGAAAGAATGATGGGTCTTGGATGCGCGACCGTCTTACCGTGCTCACAGCTCTTTCTTTTCTGAATCGAGGGGCGGCAGCCATGGCTAAGAGCAAGAAATTTGTGCAGGGGACTCGATGGCTGCACTCTGCGGAGAAGGGCCTCCGACAGGCAGACCCTTCACTCACCAGGGTGAAATTGGGAGGGATTCATCGAGCTCAGCCATATAGCCATTATTACGAGGCTGGAACTTACAGTCATTACTTCCTCGCCAAGTGGGCATCACGGCCGCGAGCCGAGCAGATTGAGGAATATGAAGTGTTACGCAATGAGCGGGCTAGGAGATCAGATTTCGGTGGCTCCGCTGGCGGGAGATTCTCCTTACCCGGCGATAGTACTGCGGAGAATGAGCCAGCCGGTGGAAAATTCTGGGGCTTCGAGGGCGTTCTGTACGATATCGAGCGCTTACATGGCAATGATACTTGCCGTGGCAGCGGGAATGACGCCTCTGCTCACCCCACCCATGACGATGAAGACCCCGACTCTCGGTTCCAACCTAGCTCGGATCTGGGGGGGGAGGCACACCCGTCGCATTCTTCCAATGGTGTCTCCGCAATCAATGACAACAAGTATGACGATAGCCAAAACACTGCTGGGGCTCCTGCTGGGCCTGCCAAAGATAATCAGTCATCTCGGCAAGACCACCGGGACACGGCCCACTGGGATACCATCCATCCAGGCAAGATCTCTGACGGAGCTGGCCATGGACGAGATACTCAGTCAAGCACTCAGAGCGCAGATAAGGCCGAAATCCGGTCAGCGGATGCTCAGGACGACTCATCCAAGAAGAACCAGTCTGGTGTTGACGACGGTGGGCTCCGAGCCTCCTACCGGTACGGTTCAGATTTCACCTCATGGAAGGGTCACTCCAAGTACCAACATCCCGGCCATGTTGAACACTCCTGGAAGACCAATTCTAGCGGGGGACGATCCGCTGGAAAACGAGGGGGGCATGCTGATTCCGAGCACAGCACGTCGAGTTTGGCTTCCTCCGGGTACGGCCATTCAGGTGATACGGGCGGCAGCCACTCGACATCAGGTGGAGGGAGGTCCAGTTCCTATGGGGGAGGCCGTTCATCAAGTGGTGGTGGCTATCAAGGAGGCTGGGTCGAGTCTCTCATCAACTCCAACAGCGGGAGCAGCCATCACGGTAGCAGTTCGACTAGCTCATACGGCGGGAGTAATTCTTACAGTGGCAGCTCTGGGGGAGGAAGCAGCTCGTATAGCAGTGGTTCGAGCAGTTCTTATGACAGTGGCTCGAGCAGTTCTTATGGAGGAAGCAGCTCGTACGATAGCGGCAGCTCGTACAGCTCTAGCTGGAACTGAATGCCGATCCCTTGCATCAAACCTTCGGTGAGTGGTATGTGGTTGTCAAGGAGCGAAGCTCTCAATATCTAATCGGTATGTGTATGTAGTCAGAAGCTATAACGTGGTTGTTCATTGGCCGAGTTGCCGAAAAGCCGCCAGGTCGCCGAGTGTAGCCGTCATCGATTCTTTATTCGGCCGAATGGGCACTCAACCGTCATCCTCGGACGAGATGTGAACGCGTGACTCATGTTCTCGAAGCTCTCATATTAATCCCTGCATTCTTGGCGGATTCTAGTTCCGATCGCAGTATATATCTGAGTAATTATCCAGGAACAAATCCGGTCGGTATCTCGAGTCGTGACGATCCGCCGCTTCCGTGTCCGCTACTATCCAGGATCCTTTCGAAGGACCACAATTATGGCCAGTGCCAACAACAGTCCTGCCCCCGCTGAGCCCTCCAAGCATGAGGTGGGCTGGCGGAGGGTAGTCCGTCATTTTACCCCATCGTATGGACAAGCTTGCTGCTCGTATGAACTCCAAGAGCTAACATGGGACTAGATGGTTTTCAGTCACCATGGGCACAGGAATCGTGTCCATCCTCTTGAACACTCTACCGTACAACGGCCACTGGCTCTACTGGATCTCCGTCGTGATCTTCGCGCTGAATGTGCTACTCTTTGTTACGGGATGTATCATTAGCCTTCTGCGGTACACGCTGTACCCGGAGATCTTCTTCGCGATGATCAAACATCCCGTGCAGTCGATGTTCATCGGCACCTTTCCGATGGGATTCGCCACCATCATCAACATGTTCTGCTTCGTGTGTGTTCCAGCCTGGGGGGAGTGGACCAGGAACTTTGCCTGGGGGCTGTGGATTTTCGATGCCGTGTTTTCTGTCGTCACCGCATTGTCGTTGCCATTTCTTCTGTAAGCATGCGCTCCATTTTACACTCCTTCAACTCCGAAGAGCGGCGCTCACATCACACAACCAGAATGGCCCACGGAGGCGAGACCCAGCTCTCGTCCATGACAGCCGTGTGGCTCCTTCCGATCGTCAGCTGCATCGTAGCGGCCTCGTCCGGCGCCATCGTGGCCGGCGTCTTGCCCAACGCGCAACACGCCCTCTGGACGGTCATCGTGAGCTACATCCTGTGGGGCATCGGTCTACCCCTAGCCCTGATGGTCATGGTAATCTACCTCCAACGACTGACCCTGCACAAAATACCGCCCAAAGCCGTGATCGTGAGCGTGTTCTTACCCCTGGGCCCGTTAGGGCAGGGCGGATTCGGGTACGTTCCCTCCCCCATTCGTTCCGCCAACCCAAGAAGAGCGCTCGAACTAACCCCCAACGACAACAACAGCATCATGAAACTCGGCAGCGCAGCGCAGACCATCTTCCCGCAAACCCACACGCTGGAGTCTGAGGCCGGTCCCATCTTCTACACGATGGGGTTCCTGGTCGGTCTCATCCTCTGGGCGTTCGGGCTGGTGTGGCTCTTCCTGGCGATCGCGTCCATCGCGCGGTGCCGCAAATTCCCGTTTAATATTGGCTGGTGGGGGTTCACGTTCCCGCTGGGCGTGTTCGCCACCAGTACCTGCCAGCTGGGCAAGGAGTTGCCGTCGAGTTTTTTCCGTGTGCTGGGTACGATTGTGTCGTTGTGTGTGGTTGTTTTGTGGGGCGTTGTGGGCGTGGGGACGTTGAAGGGGGCCGTGTCTGGGAGGTTGTTCTTTGCGCCTTGTTTGGCGGATTTGAAGGCTAAAGAGGAGGACTCGGAGGGGACAACTCGGGGAGATGAGGATGGGGGGAAGGCTGCTTAATTTATTTTTTTCGCGTTTGTAGGGATAGTGGGAGGACGAGGGTTCAGGTATACTGTATACTAGGTGAAGAGGCGCTCCATAAATACTATTTAGTAGAATTTATCCTGGTCATCATACCACGTCTTGTGCCAGTTCCCGTATCCAGGCTGCACGCGAAACCCCTCAGGTACAGTACAGCATCAGCATAGCATGGGTGGGCGAAATAAGCTTAAATGGCAGAATGGGTCTTGATAGGTGGACCGACACACTATGCGGTTCCTGTTCTGATCAATTCTGGGGTCGATTAATTATTTTGGGTGACATATTTATTGATTTTTCTTTTTTGGACATAAAAAAATGATTTTGTGTTGTGGTATTTTTGGGTGGGATTATTTATTATTATTTATTTTTTTTCTCCCACCCTTTCGTAGCGGGAACCAGATCATAATAGATCGCGGTCGTATCGCGCGGGGAACCAGAGATAGACACTACTCTAAGCTGGCAGGATGAGGGGTTTGTTGACCCGGGTTGTTGATTGCGAGGGTACATCTGTAATTCTGTTCAGATGCAATTCAGTTCTCTCATCGAGGCTGTCAGATAGATCATGACTGAGTACTTACTATCAGTCAGTTTGTGTCGTCATTCTCGGGTTGTGCCCGACCAGTGCCCGCTCGACACGAATCCGTGGCTGTGACTGGTCCAGATCACGTGTCTGCCCACCCCAAATAAAACCCTTCCCCCCAAAAAATCGGAAGGCCCAAAATTCCCCCCAGAGAGAAAAAAAAAATAATATATAAGGAAAAAATCAGGAAAACTAAAAATTTAAAATTTAATAAAATAAAAAAAAAGGGACGGAGTTCCATCCACCATCCCAAACAAATCATCGCGCGCGACCTTCTCCAGACTTCACGATCCAAGTATCTCTCCCCCAGTCTATTGACAATCTTGAAGTGCTTGGTGAGTTCCTTTTCTATGTTGCTCTGTTGAATTTGAGGGTTTCTCTGTTCTATTCTCTCTCTCTCTCTCTCTCTGTGTGTGTGTGTGTGTGGAAGAGTGGGTTGTTCGCACCTTGCATTGCTTGTTGGGCATTCCCTTTGTTTTTCTCTCTTTCTTTCTCTTTCCCCCTTTTTTTCAGCTCTCACTTTTTTTCTTTTCCCTGCCCCAACCAACTGCGCGTCTGGTCTTTCTGGACCCGCCGTGATTCTACTGGGGCGAGTTTGGTGTTGTTTGTGGTTAGCCTGAATATCGAAGGGTGTTTGCCTGACAGCAGCAGCAGCAGCAGCAGCGGCAGCCTGGTAGCCTGGTTGCCTAATTGCCTGAGGCTTCCCTGGCGTCACGCTTTCTTGTCGCTTCCGGATTGGGAATCGAGCCGGGATCGTTGCTTGTTCCGACTTGGAATTGTTTCTCACTCACTGCAACGCCGCCTTTTCTCATTTTCCCTCCCCAGTCCAGAGGGGAAAAAAAAATAGAGAGAGTTGCAGACGCGCCCCCGTGCGCGTGTCTGTCTCTGCTGTCTGTCGGTCTGTCTGTCTGTCGTCGTCAACTGTTCCGATTGTGTATCTGCTGGTTGTTACGGTCCAAGGTTCTTGCTGCTCATCCGGTTTCCGATTCTTCCCCCCCTCCTCCGTGATCAACGAAGAGAGAATCAACCGGTGTGGTGGAGTTTGGTCTCGAATTGGCTTTTTCGCCACCCCTCCAGGGCCGCCCCCCGGTGTGTGTGTGTTGAGTGAGTGAGTGTAGTGAGTACGTGAATGAGGTCAGTCCTTTTCCCGTGTCAGTCCCAAGTCCCAGTCCAGCCAAGTCCAAGTTACTCTCACTCTCACTCTCACTCTCACTCTCACTCACCCTCCCTCTCTTTTCCTCCCACTCTCCGCCTTCCCACTCTTAACCCATTTCGCCACTTCCTGCACTTCCCGTGGTCACATGTTCTCCGCCTTCCCCAGTATTTTCACAATTATTTTTTATTCTTTTTCATTATTATTATTATTATTATTATTACTATTATCATTATTCCTCCTCCTCTTCTTCTGCTTTGGGTGGATTCGATATCAACAACCACCCTCCACCAGTCCAGTTCGTTCCTAACCTAAAATAGCCACGCAAATTGTCTTGGGGTGGTGGGATTATCTAATACCTGATTCCTTTCCCCGAACGAAGATGATGGGCTATAATGGTCTTCCGTTCCATCAGCAACGGGCGTCCCAGCAGACTGCGCATCCCCAGCATCAACAACATCATCCGCAACAACATCCCCAGCTACAGTCTCCGTCTATGGGTGCGGCTGCCGCCGCTCACCCACACCATGGCGCCGGACTCACCAGCAATAGCACGCTGCTTCGGGGCCATTCGCAGGCCGATCTAGCCGCCCATTCCCCGGATCCCCGCAAAATGACCCCAGTCTCATCCAGCCCGCTAGTCGGTCTGAACACGGCCGGCCATTTCAGTTCCTACCCCGGACACTTCACTCCCCAGGGTTCCTCGGATCTGCTGTCCCGGAATGCCGACTCGATTGGGCAATTGAAGGATCCCTATCTGTCCTTGCAGTCCCTCCAACGGAACATGAATCCCATGGCCAACTTCCGCACCCATGCCATGAACACGCAGGCCGCCATGTCGCCTCATGCCCATTCGATGGGCATCGCCTCGCCCCAGCAGTCTCTTGAGCGGCTCCAGCAGCAACATCTGCAGCAGCATCGCCAGAGCGCCCATTCACTCCCCAACGCGCAGACGCCGACTCCGGCCGCCGCATCGCCCATGCTCGGGGCGAGCCAAGCCACCCATCAATTCCATCAGTCGCCCTTCCAGCAGACTCAGCAAGCATCTCCTTACCAGTCTCAGGCTCAGCAGCTGCCGCAATTCCATGCGCACTATCAGCAGTCTCCGCATCAGGCTTCGCCCTATCAAACCCAAGCCCAGCAGTCCCCGTACCAACATGCGCAGCAAACGTTCCAGCAGCAGCAACAGGCTCATCAGGAAGCGCAGCGGCAGGCCCAACAGGAGGCACACCTGAAGGCGCAACAGGAGGCTCAGCGACAGGCCCAAGTGGAAGCGCAACGACAGGCGCAGTTGGAGGCCCAACGGAAAGCCCAGGAAGAAGCTCAACTGAAAGCGCAGCAAGAGGCTCAGTTGAAGGCTCAGCAGGAAGCCCAATTGAAAGCTCAGCAAGAAGCGCACCTCAAAGCCCAGCAAGAGGCGCAGCGTAGACAGGAGGCCCTGAAAGCGCAGCAGGAAGCCCAGCGCAAGGCTCAAGAGGAAGCCCAGTTGAAAGCCCAGCAAGAGGCGCAACTGAAAGCGCAACAAGAAGCTCAATTGAAGGCTCAGCAAGAGGCTCAGCGAAAAGCTCAGGAAGCCCAGTTGAAGGCCCAGCAGGAAGCTCAACTCAAAGCACAACAAGAAGCTCAATTGAAAGCCCAAGAAGCCCAGCGTAAAGCCCAGCAGGAAGCCGCCCATCGGCAGGCCCAGCAGCAGGCCCAGCAACAGCAACAAACGCAGCAGACTTATCAGCAACAACAACAACACGCCCGCTTCCAACAACAACAAGCCCAGCGATCACCCTTTCAGTCGCAACCGCAACAGCTCCAGTTTCATCATTACCAACATCACCACTATCAACAACCGCATCAGCAACAGCAACATCAGCAGCAGCAGCAGCAGCAACAACATCATCATCAACAACATCAACAGCAGCAGCAGCAAGCCCAGCAACAGCAACAGCAATATCAGCAGCAGCAGCCACAGCAGCCGCAACCTACTATCAAGCAGCAGCCACAGCAGCCACAGCTACATAATATCAAGCAACAACAACCGCAGCAGCAGCAACATCAGTTCATTCAGCATCATCAGGTGCAGCAGCAGCAACAACAACAACAACAACAACAACAACAACAACAGGCTCATCCAACCCAGACTCAACCTCAGACTAAACCCCAACAGCAGCGTCCGCCACAGTCATCTGCCTCCGCCGTGGAGAAAAAGGCTCCTAGTAAACCACGGAAGAAACAGTCCAAGCCGGCTGCATCGCCAGTCCCTGCCGGGGTGCACATCAACGGGCAGTTTCACCCCGTGTTCCAAGCTCAACTTGGGCCTTCAAGTCAACAACAGCCTGTTACCAGTAGCCCTGTCAAACCCTCTCCCACTGCTCTTACTAGTGCTTCTGCTGCCACTGTCAATGCCAATGCCACTGCCGCTGCTGCCGGCGCTGCTCCTGGGGCTCCTTCTGGGGCTCTTCCGGGTCCTGTCCCTAATGCCATTCCTGGGTCTGTCGCAGGGGCTCTTCCTAGCTCTCAAGGCGAGGTCCAAACTCCCAAAAAGCGAGGTCGCCCGCGCAAGCCGCTCGCTCCCGGGGAGGTGCCTAAACCTCGCAAGCCGAAGAAGCCGAAGAAGCCGCAGGAGATGACCACTATCATCGGTCCAGATGGTACCCCGATCACGGTTCCTGTTCCTCCCCCACCGCCAGCCCTTGGACCTGACGGAAATCCCCTGCCGCCACCCCCGCCCAAGAAGAAGCGACCAAAGCTACCCCCTCTGCCTCCGATCATTTTGGCGGATGGCACCATCATCCCACAGAAGCGTGGTCGTGGGCGGCCACGCAAGGAGGTGACCGGCGACCAGCCCCCAAAGCCTCGGCCGCCCAAGAAACCGTCGTCAAAACCGGGTACGGGACGGCCGCGGGGACGGCCCCGGAAGGCGGATGTCTTGGCTCGGAAGGCAGCGGAGGAGGCCGAGGCTCAAGCGAAAGCTCTGGCTCAAGGGGGTGAGCCGGGTCAGACTTCGGCACAATCGACACAGCCACAGCAACAACCACAGCAGCAGCCACAGCGGCCGCAGCAGCAGGCGCCGTTGATGCAAGTTCAACCCCAACAGCCTCAACAACACCAACAGCCGCAGCAGGCTCGGCCTCAAGCTCATCAAGCGCTACAACAGCAGGCTCAACAACATCCTCATCTCCAGCAGCAACAGGTTCAGCAGCATGCTCATCTCCAGCAGCAGCATCAGCAGCAAGCCCAACATCCTCACCAACAACAGCATGCGCAGCAACATGCTCGCCAGCAACAGGGCCAGCAACAGGTGCAACAACAGGTGCAGCAACAGCCTCAGCAACAGCCCCAAGCTCAGCAACAGCCGCAGCCCAAGGTCCAAGCTCAGGCCCAGGCGAAGCCCCAGCCTCAACACCAGCACCTTCATCAGTTCCAGCTCCAACACCCTCTACCCCATCAACACCATGGCCAGAACATTGTCCAGCCTCAATTCCAAATCCATCAAATGCAGGTCAAGCCCCAACCGCATCTTCAGGCTCATCAGATCCAGTCTCCGCACATGCAGGCTCATCAGATCCAGTCTCCGCACATGCAGGCTCATCAGATCCAGTCTCCTCATATGCAGGCGCATCAGATGCAAGCTTCACATCAGCCTCATGCTGCTGCTCATGCCCAACACCACGCCCAGCAGGTACCACCGCAGGCACAGCAACAGCAAGCTCAACCCCAACCGCATCAGCAACAGCAGCACCAACAGCAGCATCCACAAGCACCTCGCACGATACAAATGCAACCACAAACACATCTGCAAGCCCATCATCCTCAGGCTCACCAGCTGCAAGCCCATCAGATGCAAGCGCAAGCACATGCGCACCAGCACCCGCATTTCAACCTTCATCCCCATCTCCATCCTCACGTCCAGCCTCAAACTACCGATTCCATGACCCTCAATCCGTCGCAGAAGCGTAGCGCGCCTGTGGACGATGATCCCCGAAAACGGGCTTATATCATGCCTCAGCAAATGTAACAGCTTTTTATTATTCCCACCCCCATGTCATCATGCACGCTGCTTATGTCCACCGCATTCTACCTGTTATTAACTAATTCCCCACGTTACTTATTTTCTGGAAGTATCCTCAGCGTTGTATTCGGGTTTTTTTCATGGTTTACTGTGCTTGTCCTACTTTCGTATCTTTATACATGATGAAACATAGCAATCAACATCTCGATCATGTCATAGGCCAGGGCCTACACTGGTCTGCGTTTGGTTTTACAGTTGATCGTGTGGTACTATTTTATGAGTTTTTTAGCCTGTTCTGCGGTAGCTCTTAGCATAGCATAGCATAGCCATAGCCATAGCCCATGAAGCATACATGATTGTCATGGCCGGTTGCCGGTTGGCCGGTTTGAAGCATTCTCCGTTTATTTATTTATTTATTTTTTCCATGGAGCCACACAACCACCCTGCTTCGGAATTGGAAGCATGTATTTAGAGTCGCAGGGCGTTATAATGAATGTATTGTACCTGATTTAAGTATGAGTCACTTCCAGGATTTCGGAGCTAGGAAGATGATCTAGGTCCAGGATTCGATTTGCATGCATGCATGCATGCATGTTCGTTCTTGTTCTCCATTCAATCGAGTTGGGCCGATCTGCCAATCTATATATAGGCAAAGTTAATTCAATTCCCGGGGATACTACTACTGATCCCACTGCTGGCGAACTAGAGTCCTATAGATGCTGCCTTCATTCGTGATGACGATACTTGAATTGTCCAATATCTAGAGTCTATCGCCCATGAGCCTACAGGCACGTACTGGTTTGTGAATAGATAAATAAACCAACAAGAAAAGATACCGGATAGGGAGGCTTACTTGAGGAAGCCTTGAGAGAGAGAGAGAGAGAGAGAGAGAGAGAGAGAGAGAAAGAGCCACAGCAGAGACTACTAACTAACTAACTACTCCCTCTCACCTCCATCCCATACCGTACGTACGTACGTGCGTACAAAGTACACCCCCAGACAACACCACGTCCTCCCAGTTCAATATCCATCACTTACCAATCAATTTCACACCCTGATACTTTGTGTAAAGGGTGGGAGGGGGGGGTGGGGGTGGGGGGGCTAGTTCAGCAACAAAAGACAAAGAGAAAGAAAAGTTTACACAGGACTATCCGCTAGGTGGCTGACGCGGAAATCCATTATAGCAAAGGAAGCCACGTGGTGGCCCGGGTTGGTTCTAGGGGTAAGGCAAAGATACCACAAGCTACGCATGAAATTCAAGCCGGAAGTCTGAAATTAAGCCACGGCTGGATTTTATTTTTTTTTTATTTTTTTAGCTAAGGGATGATTGAGATGCATTGGGTGAGAGATGTTCAGTTGCTATATGCCACATGCGCGCGTTACATGCCTAAAAGACATTCATTCATTCATTCATTTTATCCTTCAGAGTCTGATGGAGTGTAACCGAGGGCCCAAAAAATGATACACTTGTACTTTATGTTGTATAATAATAATATTCATATAGCCCGGGTTTTGTTTGTGTTCTGCGCGGAAGCTCGGATTGTGGGGATTTGGGAAGTATAGTATATATGGATTTGAGATTGGGTTTCATAAGCATAGGGGGTGGTTGTTGTTGTTGCCTGGTATAAAGACAAACTGAAGTTGCTTGTAGTAGCAGATTAATTCAATCATCTACATGAAATCATAATCGGAAAACACTCTCGCTTCTTCGATCCAATATCGTATGATATGTATGGTATGTATGGTATGGTGTGGGAGTTGGGGTAGCCTACTTTCAATTATGTAGCCGTGGTGGTCGCCAAGGGAAGGTCCAGATCAACCAGCCATACCGGATGCCGCAGGGGCGCGTCATCCTCTTCTGGTACATTGCTGCTGCTGCTGCTGCTGCTGCTGCAGCTGCAGGTAGTGGTGGTGGTGCCCTCAACAGCAGCATTAACAAACAACGTCTGCTCCCCAACCCTCAGAGGCACCGGATCCGCCGCACAATGACTCGTCACTTCCACCCGACCCGACACGCCCGGTACTGGACTCATCATCATCATCGTCATCAGCCTCGAAAGCTTGTTAATGATGGTCGATTTCCCGTGATCGATAGCCGAGAAATGCGTTGACGGTTGGCTGTTGTCGTCGTCTCCATCGCCATCGCTGATCCCCACACTCCTGGGATGTCTGTGGTCGCGCCACTGTGCAACCATCGCCCCCCACCCCTCGTGAATATGCCCGAAACAATGCATCCGCGGCCTCGTCTGCGCGATTGCCTGGAAGAGAGCAGCGCAGCCGGCTCGTTCGCGGGCTAGCGTGTAATCGAATATCCCCCTCGGTGGGCCGTGGGTGATTACCACGTCGATGTTGTTGTCTGTGGAGGTGATGTTGAAATCGTGGGAGGCGGGGTTTCTTGTATTTGTGTGGCGGGGGTACTGGAAGCCCCATCCACTGGTCTCGTTGTCACCGAGTAAAGAAGAAGAAGAGGGGGTGTAGGGGCTTGCGTAGATGTTCAGGCGTGCGCCGTTGGGGAGGGTGAAGGCATGAGGGCCTTCGTTTAGGAGGTGGATCTCTCCGGTCTGTTGCTTCTGGGGCGTATCATCGAAAAGCCGACGAGCCTCCCCGTACTCCCCGTAAACTCTCTTCACGAGGTCGAGCTCGTTCTCCAAGCCGGCTTCTTTCACCTTCTGCTGGAAGACGGGAACATCGAGGGTGAAATCGTGGTTGCCCGCGATGACGAGCTTGAGCGGCGCGCGGAGTCGCTGCAGGTGGTGGAGGGTGGTTTCGAACTCGTGCAGATACGAGCTGTCGGTTAGATCGCCGCAGTGGATTGCGACGTCGGCGGCGGCGTAGGTGGTCCATTCTTCTGGGAATGGCTTGCCGTGTGTGTCTGAGAGGATGAGGAAGCGGGTTCTGATGTTCGAGGCACCAGTGGAGACATTCATAATGACTGTTAAGAATGGGGGCTTAGATTGTGAGACGGTGGGGAGTTTGGGGCAATAATGGGTGAGAAGAGGAAGACTTTGTATAGAAGATTTGAAAGTTGTGGGCGAAGAATGAGGTTGTAGAGAGAATTCCGCCTATGAGTCAAGACAGTAGATATCATCGCCATGATTATGTCACAACATTGGGTCTACGTTCCAGTTCCTGAACTACACAATAGCTACGTAGTATAATGGCCTGCCTGCCTGCTGCCATCATCTCTGGGTGTGTATCGATCAGCGTCATGCCAATGATCGTTTATGATCGTGTATCACCCAAGTAACCCTAACCTGCTGTACGATGGGGAGTGTTTTCTATCCGGACACACGCAATGGAGATAGGAATGGGTTCAATTCTCACGAGAAGAGATCTAGAGATAGATTAAGAATGGATAAGAAGAGTTATTTACCCCCAGACACACGACCTCCCCGCCTCGCTCATATACTCCAGCTGTTCGCGCGAGAGCCCTGGCAGGACAAGCCCTACTCTTGCCATCTCGGACAGCAGCCTCACGATCACCCCCACGATCCACCACCGTCACACGGCCCTGAACACCAACAAGTCCGACAAGGACGCAACCGATCCCTGGTGAAACGCAGACAGTAAAAAACTTTTTGCTCTTTGACTCCTTTGATAGAGCAGGAATAATAGTTCCTCCCCATAACCAACAAATCGCACCGCGAACTCTCTTCAATGAAGCCCAGGGCTGGCTGACCATCCGAGCTCCAAACCCATCATTCATCATCCACTTAGAACAAAGCAACCAACCCAATACAAAATCCATAAGCGAAGTACTGTACACCTTCGAAACAAATTATACAACTCCCGAAAGAAGCTTAGATAAAACCCCCTTCCCTTTCTGAGTGAACCGACACCGACAACCGACACAGTACAGTACAGTATAGTACAGTACAGTACATACATACATACATACATAAAACCAACAACACCTGAAAACGGAAGGAACAACAAACGGGCGGAACATATATCCGAACACAGTCCCTTCCCCTGACTCCGTACTCTGACGCAGACACAGCATCATAATGTCAAACTTCAACACAGATGATATCAACAAGCCCGGGTGGTCTAGTGGTATGATTCTCGCTTAGGGATTTCAAAACCCCAAGCATATCTGCGAGAGGTCCCGCGTTCGATCCGCGGCTCGGGCCTTGATATCCTTTTTGTGTTCAAATTTTTTGGGTTGGGTGACTTGCTTGCTGCTGCTTGCTACCTTCAAATGATGGGTCTTTCTTGTTTGGGGGGAATTGATTGTATGGGTGGGGGTCGGTCGCCTTGGTGTTTTTTGGTCGTAGGACGGACTTATTATGGACGCTCAATATGGAATATATAGTAGCCCCCACTCCCTGCGGGTGAAATATCTTTGTTTTAGTCGGTTATATTTATTTATATCTCATTTGTAGATGTAAACTACTAACTAGCCCGAGAGTTATATCTTCTATCTAACCTACATGAAAATCAGAAGACAGAGACGACGGTAGAGGAGAAAAATCTTGAGCCGATTCTTATCACCAATTTATATACTTCATATTTCCCTATATCCACCCATCCCTCATTTCATACAGAGTCACAACGAGTACATATTAAAGCAGGTTGAAGCAAAGCAGGACGACAGCATCATTTATCAACCAAGCAGTCTGACGCTACTCAATCTAAACCCCGAACAGCGCCGCACCATCAAAAAAGACAATATCGCTATTGATATAAGGTACAGAATAAGAATCCCGAAACTAAAATACATACAGACGTTAAAACCAACACAACCGACACATCTATTTACACAGGTAGACTGGGCCCACGTCTACTCCATCGCCGGGTTCTCCATCGGAAAATCATCCCCATCCGCACCGAAGTGCGTGGGCGTATCGACTCGCATGTTGTTCGAGTCCGAATCATCATCCTCATCTTCCTCCTCCGCCGCTGCCTCCGCCTTCCCGGCCGCCTTGGGGCCCTCCTCGTCCTGTTCGGCGAAGGGGTCCGAGGATTCCTCCTCGACAGGGAGGTCGCTCCCGTCTGGGATATCGCTAATATCGATGCCGATGCTCGGGGCGATTCGGCGCACGACGCCGTGGCATTGTCGGAATGCGCGGCGCGCGGCGGTCTGGGTGAAGGATAGGTGGTGAAGCCAGCGGAGGCCCTTCTTCATCTGGTGGGTCATGGTGCGCATGTCGGTTAGGCCCGTGGGCGGCTGGTGGTTGGAGCTGGAGCTAGAGCTGGCTGTCGTGTCGATGAAGGCCTGCCCGCCCGTGGACGGTAGGACCGGCGGCCAGCAGGAGAGGTGGAGGAGGATCGCCGTCGTGGCCTGCATGATATAGTGCAGGATGCACCACCACGGGGTCACCGAGGTCAACCAGGGGAGATCGGGAGTGTCGGGCAGGACAGACAGCAACGAGCAGGCAGAGCGCACACAGATGCGGGCCATCTCGTTCCGAAACTCACCTCGTCCCGCAGAGTTGTTATTGGGATCGGTGGATGAGGCTGGAGCCGGAGGATTCGGAGGCTCCTTGAGGGACATCGACCCCGATTTGAGACCGGAGCGGGTGAGACAGGGCCGACAGAGTGTGATGCGGGCGCTGTAATAGCTGATCGCGAGAGAAGTGCGCTCGCGCGTGTATTGGTTGCGGAAGGCTGGAGGAACATGGAAACTATCATCCTGGTCCCCAGGTGTGAACTGGTAGGGCGAAGGAACTTTCCCGAGCCAGATCTTCAGAATGACATCCAATTTGCGGATGCGTTGTTCAACCTGGCTGGCGCGGTCGCGCAGGCCTTGGATACTGTATACTTTGTTGATGATGGCTTGCGTGATGCTGCAGAGATCTACGAGGAGGTGGAAGTAGAGGGAGGGGCTGGGCGCACAGCTTGCGAGCCAGGATGCGGAAACCGTTGCTTCTTTATCCGATTGAAGGAGAGTGAGTTTGAGACGACTCGTCCGGAGAATCGGATCCTCCAGTATGGGACGAACTTCCGGATTATTCCAGGCCTCCTCCTCGAACGGGATGGGCAGTGGTGTCGCACTGAGACTCTCCCCGACGCAGGAGACTCGGCCTGTGATGGCCGTCAACAGGTGCTCGAAGAGATAGATCGACCACCAAAGACGAGTGCGGGCTTCTTTGGCAGCCCGGGACGTCTCAGGATTTTCGAGGCGGAGATTAATCCCCAGCGAGACGGCTGACCGAAAGGCCATGCTCGAGAACTTGAAGGATCTGAAGTGGATTGTTAGTGCTGAAGTTCCCCAGAATGCAGACGAGCTTTGAACATACCGGTTGACCTGGCACATGGACAAAAAGTAGAACGCCACCAAGAACTCCGCCTGGATCTGCTGGAGATTGGCATGCTCGAAGATGATATTCTCGCCCAGTGTCAGCTTGCGTGCCCGATTCAGGTACGCCACATCATCATAGTCAGCCCCGGTCTCCCCGTACGCCAATTGACAGTAGCGGCTCCCAATGGCAAAGATCATGTTCAGAATTGCTCGCCAGCGGTCGCCCGGCTCGATCTGTCGATTACCCTGGATGACAAAGTGTTTGTACTGCGACGCGAAGAACATCTTGCTGACGACATTGAAGGACGGATGCACAGTCTCCATATAGCACCTGAAGAGGCGGTTCGCCACGTCCTTGGGCGGCAATGTATAGGGGTCGACATCAGACATCGCGGGGATAGCAAGGTCATCGAGGTAGTAGTTCGTCGCCGCCATGGGCGTATCCTGTTTCCGTGCCGCCTGCGGAACCATGAGGAGATGCTGCATCTCCTTCTGCTTACCCTTAGCACGGCTTTTGCTGTCAGCCGCGGCCTCATTAAGTTCCTCAACCTGTTGACTGCGCAGCTCCGCTTCATCCTCCAGCTTCTGCAACCAGGACACTTCGGAATTCTTCCCGAAGAAACCCGTCGCGACGGCCCGGTCATTACGGTTCAAATCCTCATCCACCATATCCAACTCATCGAGCGACCCCACAGACGAGTCATCGGACTCGGTGTCGGACCCAGTATCCATCTCCACCGTTTCCCCATCAATGACCCGTGCCTGCTCCGCTTTTAGTATATCTGTCTGTCCAACAGAAAGGACCAAGACCGAGGCAGAACGACAAGACTCACCCTTAAAGCCCTCCGGATCCGCCGGGCCGTCGGCTCGTCGGCTTCCAAATGCATTTCCCGCAACAGCTGCTCGTACAGATCCACCTTGTTGGACAACGAGCCCAGACGCTTCTGATCGCGTACCCGCTTCACCTCCACATACGTGCAGGTCACATTGTGGTCCGCGCACTGTCGACATACGGGCTTGTTCCCGGCACACTTGACTTTCCGCTGGCGACAAGGTTCACAGGCCCGCTGGGACCGATGCCGCGTAACGCGATTGCCGACGTGGGTGTGGCGGGGGATAGCTACCTTGCCGGCTACTTGAGTCGGTGCTCTCGACGGGCCGGCGACGGTGATATCACGGGAAGAGGAGGAAGATTGGTATTGCGCTACGGGACGGGATCGTCGAGATCGAGAGGTAGTTTGCTGTTGAGGACGTTCGAAGAACCTGTAGGTGGGGGGCCGAGCAGCAGCAGCAGCAGCAGCAGATGATGATGGTTGTGATTGTGGTTGTATAATATAATTAGATGGAGGGTAGAAGGCCGTAGTAGTAGGTTGCAGGCCCGTGGGTACTGTCGGGGGATTGCTTGCGATTTCCCAAGACCATTCCGAGCTCCCACTTCTACTGTCATTGATGCCTCCTGACCCTCCTGATCTGCCTCCTCTGCTGCCTTCTCCTCCAAAACCGACACTGCCACTGCTGGGGGTGTTGATATTCGTGCTGGGATTAGTGGAAGAGGTGGTCGTAGTGAGAATGTTATCAACACAGAAATCGGAATCTTTAAGGGGCGAGATGCCAAAGGAAAATGAGCCCGATGAGTCCTCCATGATGGGTTATGTTGGGAGGAGTTGTGTCCCCCATTGGAGAGTTCCACGATGGACTGCTTGATTGAATGAAAGAACAGAAACAAAGACCGAGACAAAAAAGGGGAGAGGGGGTGGCGCAGTGAAGCTTGATGGAAGGACGTGACTGTGAGAGGGAGAAGATGTGATGTGGGGGAGTTCGGCAGCCATGATGTCATGTCTACCACTTGCAGCATCCTTACCAAATTTCTTTCTTGTCTCTGTCTCTTCCTGATTTCAACCGTAGTTTTGGACCAAGTACACTTTAAGTATGGTATGTACTGTACTGTATTTGCTGTTGCTGCCGCTGGCCACCCTTCGTGGATCGGCAAGCGCATATCAATCATGCAACCATGTCGAAGGAGTACATCAAACAAGTGGCAAAGAGGCAATGAAGCTGATTCCACTAAGGCCTTACACAGTATATAGCACTGTACATCACGAATCACAATTATCTCAGGCCATTCTCGTTGTATTCCATTGATCGAGTCCTCGCATTCCAGACCCCACAGCGCTCAATTCTTGTTGTTGTAGGGCCACACTGACAGCACAGGGTATACTTCATAATGATAATATGCAAACACCATGCATTAGCATCAATCATTATCATGATCATCGTCAGCCTCGTCATAGCACATCCTATTCATCGCCGTATTCTCTCGGGAGCGATCTCGTCTTTGCCCAGGCTCAAGCTTTCATATCGGTCAAGCATCTCAAACAGGCTGTGCTCCCCTTCAATAATCCCACGATAGCGCTCATCCATCTCAAGCTTATCCAATCCCTTGGCATATTCATCCCACTGCGAGGGTGACGTGGACTCCTCATCAAACAACGCTTTCAACTCATCAGAGACAAGATCGGACCCCCGCAGGTGTTTGCCTTGACCCCGGGCACGAACCGTTTGCCGGAACATGTGAAACAGACTTCGCCCCAACGGGGAGCGGCTGGCAATACTGGAGAAGGAGCTGGCCAAGGAGAGGAAGTCGTGATCCAGGATATCAAATGTTTCCGGGTCGAGCATCGTGAACAAGGCCAGGTTGATCGCATACATAGCAAAGTGATGCGCGCGGCTGATCCCGTACTCGCGTCGATGGAGAAGAGTCAGGGCCGAGATGGCGCGAGCAGCGGACTGCACTATATTGGGCCCACTGTATTTCGGGAGCGGACTGAATCCCGGGGGACTCTCCGGTGTTTGAGGAGCCTCAGAGTCGGGACTGGGCTCAGTCTCCCCAGTGTTGTGTACGAAGAGGTTGATGACCAACGTATGGTAGCGCATTCTGTGCGTCTTGTTTAGTGTAAAAGATCATTCCACGCGCGAAGACTGTTAGGCACACCTCAACAAGAGAACATACGGTGGCGGCCTACGGCATGGCTCGAAGACGTCCGGCAGCGTAGCGTACCAACTGCGGAGCCGTTCGAAAAGCACCTCCTTCATCCTCTGCCGGTGCTCAACGGACACCGTAGTCCCATCGATCGTGAAAAGCGTCTGAGACATATCTCTGGCGATCTCACAGAGATTACACGAGTAATCAAAATACTGGCTAAGATAGGAGACTCGGGCAGGTCGGTGGGAGGGGTACGGAACCCAGAGATTGGGGTCCTCCTGATAATACCGGTTTGGCCGCTGCAAGTTCACTTTGTCTATCAGGCTGGGACGTAAGAATTCGGCGTGCACAACCCTAGGACAGCTTTAGACAACAGAAATGCAGATAATCTCGGACTAGACCGGGACTACTTACGTATCAATGTGAAACAGCCCCCAGGCTGACCGTTTGACCGAGATCTCCATATCCTCATCCCATTGCCCAGGGATGAGACTGAAGCTCCTTGGGCCGATCAGCCCTAGGGACTCGCCCGTCCAGATGGCTTGGTGGAGCATGCGATACCCAAGGTCATCTTTGCCAGACATCGAATACCTCGAGCATCGGTTACGCTTTAGTTTTTGATAGTGGCCGATTGACCAACTTACCTTTCGTATAGCAAGAGTGTGCCCTGCAAGTAGGCCAGACTCAATTTCATCGGTTCTTCTTCCCTCAAGCGTTCCGCTTCTGCCAGAAAATCCACCCCCTTAGTTACCACATCTCCGGGATCGACATACGCCTCGGAGTAGTCGGAGAAATGCTATAGGATGAATCCTCGGTTAGCATGCGAGTATGACCAATCCAAGAAAGTAGGTAGATCGTCCAACATTGACCCCGAAAGAAAGTCGACCCACACAAGACGCTAGCTATGAAAAAAAAGAAGCACTCACGCATGCATTGGTGAGCAGAGCGTTGACCAGGAATGGACTGCAGAACTCGGACTGGGCGTTGGCCCGTCGCATATGCTCGAGGAAGACATCGCGGTCGAGGAAGGCATGAAATGGATAGTCCCAGGTGAAATACAAGGACACCAAATGTGAGACGAGGTCTGCATCCTCAGTCACTGTTGTCCACGGTCTGGCGGGGACGCGGTACGGCACCTCGTCACAGAGATAATGGATATCCATCACCTTGGGTCGAAAGGACGGCCCCGCCCCTTCGACGTCGATCACCCGGCGGATCTCCTCCAGCTTGCACTCGGCCTCTTCCCCTACCTTGCTTTCCCCGCCGCCATTCCGGCCCAGGATCTCGTCCACAAACGCGCGGATCTCCTCGGCCGAGGCGTCGTTCCGGATGATCTCCAGCAGCTTCAACCCGTAGGATTGGTCCTCCGCACGCATCACCTTCAACAGGTCGTTCAACATGTCCCGATGATAGCTCAGCTCATCTGCGGTGCGCTTGGCTGCTACCCGCCGGCGCTGGTCCAGGGTCTCATCGAAGATGCACTGCCGATTGAAGGCCCGGCAGTTATCACAGGGCGGCACTCCAGAGCACTGTCAAGAGGGTGGATGGTATGTCAACAACGGCTCCTTTGCTGGGGGGTGGCGTGGCGAGTAACTGCTGCTTTTCTTGCTCATGGTCTTATTCATCCAACCGATAAACAGACATAGATGCAGTGGTACGCAAGGATGGAGGTACTTGCCTTCCGTTTGGACTTTTTGCAGGCCAGACAGGCCATCGAAACCCGTTTCTTTGACACATCGCTTGGTGCCCGGAAACTTCTGTCTGGCGAGCTTTCTCGCGACGGAGGCTTCTCTGATTTGCTAGGCGAGGGCCCAGGGGCGATCTGGCGGTGTTGGCTGCCGAACTCGCTCATTATAGGTAGGGTGAGACTATTGGTGGTGCAATGCAATGCAGTGCTGTACAGACCGGGGGTCGGGGCACGCGGAGTCAAACAATTAACGCCAGCGGCTAAAAAGAGCTGTCTAACCGAGGAGGCAAGAGCCGCGGTTAGAAGGAGAAAGACGAGCAGAAACTTCCTCTCCTATGATTTCCATCCACCCTTCAGCAGTTTACCTGGTGATGACGTACGGCTTCAAGGTACCACCTACGTTGGAGGCGTCCGGAAACCTTGTCCGATGCATCCTCTCTCGAAAGCTGAGCCGGGGGGAATCATGGTTGCTGGATGCATGGCTGCTGCAATGCCAATCACCATAACACATCTGGGAGGAGTATCCGCTCCGAGAATGGTGACGATGAGATAATACCACAGCGAGTTTCTCCGCGCTCATGTGGTTCAATGATCCATCGACCAACTTGATTGTAATCTGACAGTTCGGAGAAAGTGTCCAAAGCCAACGGGAGGCGGAAGCCAATCCCGGATGGAGGATCACATGTCAGGTCGAGACCCGTCAAAATTTACTTTGATTTACTTTGACAAAACACCTTAAAAACAAGAATCATCGGCCAAGATGCAAAGTTAAAAAGATAAAAAAAAAAAAAAATAAAGAAAAGAAGAATTGGACATTACGTACGGTGTGATATCTCCTAACTAGAAGTGGGCCACAATCGGCACTTTTCTCCTGGGAATGCCACCGTGGACCCAGCATGTCTGGCGCCCAGGAGTGGCGTCCGAATGCTTTCCAATTAAAACAACACTAAACAACAAGAAGGATATGTAGCCCTCAGGGAAGAGATCGCTGGAGGGGAGGGGCAAAGAAACAGGTCGCTGGATAACTAAACTAGAAGGTATTGGCTCCCGGGCCAGAGCCATGGCCCGTGGTCAAGGAGTGCCTTCAGATATGTGAAATCACAACATGCTTTCCATCACAAGGTATGATGTAGACAAGAAGAAAAAAAATTGCCTTTCCCTCCTGTAGTATAGACAGATCTATCGGTCCATGCCAATTCCTCCTCTTAGTATCATCCAGATGAGACAAAGAAGCACGACCCCCCAGCCCCTGGGGGTGAGAACTGAATCTCCAAGCGTCAACCAACCATCTAGTGTTCCAGGATACGCAAGCTGCCCTGCACGACGCAGTTCTCGAGCACAGAGCCCGGGGGAACGTCAATGGTGCTGCCCTCGGTGGCCACAATGATGACGGTACCCTTCAGCGTCACGTTGCGGCCCAGGTTGACCGCACCAGTGATGGTGAGATGGTCGAGCTCGACGATGCGAGGGATGCTAGGGATGTGCTTCTGGAAGTCCGAGACCTTCTTGAAGTCGGAACCGAGCTTGATAACGGGGACACCACCGAAGCGGTTGGGGTCCATGACCAGCTGGCCGTGCTCCAGGCGGTAGAGGTCAGACTTGACCAACAGCAGGTCGGAGCAGGTCTTGACGGGCAAGAAACGACGGCGAGGAACGTTGACACCGTGGGCGTTCTTGAAGTGGCGGATGGCGGCACCGACAGCGGTCTCCAGCTGGTAGATGGCTTGGTCGGCCTCACCCTTCTTGTCGGCGGCGATGGACTTCTCGTTGGCGATGATCTCCATCTCCAGCTCGTTCTCCTCAACGACACGCTTGATGGCGCGGAGGTTCATCCAGATGTTGTTGGTGTTGAAGTACTTGAACTTCTTGATGGACTTGAACTCGTTGACGTGCTCCTTGGGGACCTGGGCGATCTCCAGCAGACGGACCTTGCCCTCGTAGTCAATGATGGTACCACCCTTGACGTCAGCCTTGGTCTTGTCGGTCAACTCCATGATGTACTCGGACTGGGTGTCAACCATGTGCTGCAGGATGCGGAGATCGACGACGGCACCCAGGTTGTCAGCGTTGGACAAGAAGATGTACTCGACACCGCGCTCGAGGAGCTGGTCGAGGGTACCGGAGTTGTAGAGCGACTCGAAGACGTCACCGTGTCCGGGGGGGTACCAGTCCTGGAGAGGAGCATCGAAGGACTTGGGAGCGGGGAGGAGGGAGTCCTTGATGATACGGGGGTAACGGGACTGGTTGAAGGTGATAATGTCGACGTTGTGGCCCTGGTACTTCTTGATGATAGACTGGGTGTCCTGGTCGGTGTTGAAGGAGTTCATGAGGACGAAGGGGACGTTGACGTTGAAGGTGCGGTTGAGGTGCTCGATCTGGCGGACCGAGAGATCCAAGAAGGACATGCCCTCACGGACCTCAATGACGGACTTGGGGCCAACGCAACCCATGGAAGTACCCAGACCACCGTTGAGCTTAACGACAGCCAGCTTGTTCAGGAACTCGACCGAGGCCTCGGCGCCCAACTCCTCGTAGCCGACAACCTGGGAGGGCTGGGGAGGAGCGATGCGGTCCCAGTTGACCTCGTTGCCCTTGGCCTTGTCGTTGAGGAATCTGCGGAAGAGAGCGAAGAAGTTGTCCATCTCGGCCTCGAAGCGCTTGCGCTCCGAGGCATCGGGAACAGTCTCGGCGAGGGCGTTCAGGGCATTGCGCATCTGAGAGGCAGCCACACTGGTGGAGGCATTCTCGAAGGCCTGGAGAGCCATGATCATTAGTATCAAGACTCTAAAAAGGAAGGTCGCATAAGCCAAGGATGTGCGCGACCGCGGTCCCACTCGCGGCTCAGTGAACCGGGCAACTCTTCGTAACAGACGGCAGTGCAAGTCGGTCCAGAAGAAGCTTTGCCAGCCCAGACCAATGAGCAGACGGGGGACCAACGTAGCCGACGTACGGATCGAGGCAAAGAAATGACAAAGAAGGCTCAGAACGTCCAACGGGAGCAGGCGATGCGATTTGGTGCAAACCACGACAATGATAAACGCCAAAAGAGAGCGGTAGCGGTGGGGAGCAAACAGGGCTTGACAGATCACGACGAGACGCGCGTAGTACAGCGCCTCTCAGATAGTGTAGAGGGATAGGGATGGGCAACTGAAAGAGGCACAGGTCCAGGTAAAAGATGGGATTGATGGGTTCCAGCCAGTCCAATAACCAACGCCAAACCCGACGACCAGTGACTCAGTCACCAGGCTAATAATGGCAGCTCGGATGGGGGTTCTGTTGATATAATGGAAGGCGATAGCACCAGCAATGAGGGGCACGAGCCGGAGGGCAGTGAAGGAGACAGGGAGTGACATTTATTGTGCAGGGAATATAGATATGGGATGGATAGAGGCGAAATATGGCGAAAGAGCACTGGAACAGGAGCTATGCATTACCCAACCAACAGCTGGCTGCGTACTCTGGCAGGCGCGGCCCTCCATTGTGCTGGTTTCCATGTTGGGAGATCCTGAAGCCCAAAAATGATGACTGGAAAGAAGGCAATAACGACGAACTTACCATGTGAGACTGGGACTTTCCGTGGTGCTTGCCAAACGAGCCGGAGCTGGCATCGCCGGCAGGAGCTCTCAGGTGGGTGGGCAAAGCTTTGGAGGCCATTTTGTGAATGAAGTGATTAGAATCGGATGAAGGAGGGAGGAGAAGATAGAGAAGACGAAGTTAAGGGGGGGAGGAAGAGGAGGAGATGCGAAGAGGTGGACAGAAAACTGCTACTGTGGATCCGCGGCGGTTAGTTAGTGAGTTGTCAACAACCAGAATAGAATGGAAACAGCTGAAACCGGGAAGGGCAAAAGGAAGTGGAAAAGTGGTCAGAAACTGCCAGTGGCCCAACGGGTGGTCCTTTTTATGATGTAGGATGGATGGATGGATGGATGGATGGATGGAGAAATCAACTGAAAGGTACAGGAAGAAATTGCCACGACGCCCAAAGTGTGTTGACCAGAAGATGTCGACAGGTTGCCGTCATGGAGCCGATTATTGGTGCGACCAAAGCAACAACAACCTGACCAGGGGGGGGGGGGAAGAGGAGGGGGGATGGAAGAGCGGGGAATGCTTTACTTACTTTTGTAGAAGAGGGAGGGGAAAAGAGAAAGCAGTGTAAATAAGGTGAGAGATGATTTGGAGGTGAAGAGTAGAGAGAATCAGAAAAGAAGGAAGAACCAAAGAAGTTGACCCAAGGTGGATGGGAGGGATGAGAGGTTATTTATTATTGCTCGTTCCAATGCCTTTCCTTTCTCGTGCTTCTCTCTGTCCTTTCTGTCTTCACTCTCTCTGTCTTCTCTCTCTCTCTCTCTTTCTCTCTTTCTCTCTCTCAATCAATTGAATGATGACGATGTCTAAGACTGGCGGGACAAAGTGGGGGGGAGGGGAACGAACTTACTCCAAGGGGAGGAAAACCACCAGGAGAATCCATACCGAGTCATAACCAATCTTACACTAGTCGATATTAGTCCCTAGTCTCAGGGGAAAGGGGGTCATGACAATACCGGACAGCCAGTCGATACTTCGATAGCCAGTTTAGCCACTGGGCAAAGTAAAACCGCCCAACATTCTTCCTTGGTCGCGGCTAAGAATAGTAGTTGGCAGTCCTGGTCCAGGCTTTTTTACTAGAGGTCGGGTGGACGGGCCCTACAAAGCAGAGCAGAATAGAGCAAAACCCTCACCACAAGAATCAGTGACAGGATGATCGATCGTATCGTTAGTTATCCATCTTTTCTTCCTCTCTCGATGTCGATCCATTACCCCTCCCCCCTCCTCCATCAATTGAGTTCAAATATCGCAGGGCACCGACCGACCGGCCGACAGATAGACAGCATTGCAGATGAACAACTGTCCTGCAGTTTCTACCAGCACATACAGCATCATCTGACAGCTAGTCCCAACTTCCAAGGTTCATTGAACCCATCGGGGAAAGGTCTTCTTCCTAGTCCTTCTAGACCCATCAGCAGCCAGCCAGCATCAATGCTTCGGCCACTTTCCCCCCCTTTTTCAGGGTTCAATCCCCCTACGGACTGCCCCACCAACCTCGTCACCACCATCAAACCGGAGTGGAATTTAAATGAGACCAGCAAGAAGGAAGCTATCATCTCCTGAAACTGTCTGTAGCAACGATAACAACAGCAACAGCACCTACAGAAGCCAATTCCCGCTTCCCCTCTTCCTCACCGGTAGAAACAGTAGTATAGATCCCAAACGGACTGCAGTGTACTGTAGGTCATTTGTATCCAGCCCGCTTACACTATACAATAACAATCAGGACAACTTCACCCCCCGCCCTGAGCAAGAGTAATCCAAGTCTCACTCTCAAATCAATAGATCGATCAATCCCTCCAAAGAACGAGGTATGATATCCGAAGTTATAAAAATCTACGTAAGACCAGGAGAATGAACTATCAGTTTCTAATAATAACCTTCTAGATACTGAATCTTCGGTCTCCTCCGTAGTACTACATAGCCTACCCGATTAATCTCCGTGACATTTCAAAGAAGGAGAAGAAAGAAATCTCCTATCCAAGCTATCCTCAACCCCCCCTTTTCAGCCTCTTGGCAGGTTGAACCAACCCACGCAGCAAAACTAAGATAGATAAATCATAGCCCTAAATCTCCCCCTCCCCTCGGAGAAACCTTCCCCCCCCCCCCAGCCCGAGGAGAATAGAATTCCCTACACAACCAACCAACCGACCCAAACCTAAATCCACCCCGCGACAGAAATCAAAATAAATCCATTACTCCGTACTCCGTAGGAAATGTACGATACTTGAGAATAAGCCAGCAGGATCGATTTCCACTGAATTTAACTCAGCTCACCTCAGTTCACCTCAGTTCACCTCATCCCTCAAGTACGTACTGTAAACAGAGTACCTACAAGGTAGATAACGGGGAGCTAAGTATATACGAACCGGAGTTAGTATCGCCATCACCACGGGCGTTAACAGCACAATGCCCTCCCCTCAGCCGCTAGATTAATAGTGACAGCTGGCACTGGCAACGGCACTGACAGTGGCAACGGCAATAGCACTGCCGCCACCGCCATGGACGCTGGGTTGGGCGCTGGTACTCCTCCCTCCCCCTTCATGCACCATGCACCGTTCATACACCATGCAGAGCATAAGTTTAGCGAGGTCTGGAGGGAAGGAAGCAAGCAAGCAAGGAGTGAGCTATGAGTTACTGTAGAGTATGGACAGATAGATAGTTATCAATCCAAATTTACGACCACTGACACTCTAACTAGAGGTCTCGCTACCCAACTACCTCCCTAATACAAGCAACTGCCCCTCGTAGCCTAGCATCGAACAGGCCAGGAGAGTCTAGAAAAAGAGAACTTCCAAGCTACCGGCCACTTTCTCTTGCCCCCCTCCCCTGTGAAGTGGATTCTTTATGGCCTCCGCCCCACTCAGCTAAAGACTGGCGGACGGCTATCGTCCGGCGCCAGTCATCGACTAGTCTAAGGTATAGGAGGTTCGGCGTGTCAGCAAAAGAGATCCTTTGTTTTGCACACCTCTGAACCCACTGAATATATACATGCGAAAACATAGCAAAGCGTCTGATTCAGCCGCCCATAGTATTCTCATTATCCAAACGCTACGCTAAGTGAGCAAGCACCCCAGGGATAGGTATCACATCTTCGTCCAGCTCGAACCAAAAATAAAGGGGAACAACAAAAAAAGGCAAACGGTAAGAAAGAAGAGGCTTAAAAATCAGCCACAGCAAGGAAAAGAAAATCAGGTCGTTAAGCAATATCGACAATTCACAAGAAAAGTACAATCCCCCCACCCCTCAAGCTCCGCTGACGTTCCGCTTGCTGAGGAAGCTGCGCCGACCGGCCTTCTTCGAATCGGGGCTGTCCATGACCTCCGATGCGGCATCGCCCGTGTTGGAGTGAGCAGTCCCGGGCCGAAGAGTGGATTCCGTCACCGCAAAGCTGCTCCGGATCGTAACCGTGCCACTGCCCGCCTTAACCGGCTTGTCTTGTCCAGAAATGGAACCTTGATCGTCCACGAAGAAGATACCCTCGCCCAGGACCGTGTCCGAGCCGAAAGTAGCGTGGTCCACCACGCGCACCTGGTATTGTGCATCTGCAGTCGTGTTATGCACCCGGCAGTTCTCATGCGACGGGTCATAAAACACAGGGCCGCCGCCCGTCTTATGAGCCTTCGTCTTCAGAACATCTTTGGCGCCCTTGGGGCCAACCGCCTTGATGAAGACTCGCACGTGCGCGGATGGCGGATACCCGCTAGCAGAGACAACCGAGATGGTCGCCGTGCCAGCATCACCTTTGCCGTTCACACCAAGTCGATCCCCATAGTGAGAGGCGACACTGCGGCTGCGCGCGTGCTGCAGTTCGTTCTTGGGCGTAGAGCTAGGCGGAGTCTCGCCCTCCACGAGAACAGCCGCGGGCGCGAGGCTGCTTTCGGTCGCGGGGACTTCCTCTGCCTCCTCCGCAACGTCATCCTCCGCACGGAACCGTGAAATAAGACCGTGCTTCAGGAAAGACGCCCCCTTGATCACGTTGCCACCAACAAATCCCACACCTTTGACGGGGGCGCCGACGATCTTGCCGGGGGTGGCGAACGTGCCGTGGAAGGTAGACGATCCTTGTCGAGACCGGACCACATAGGCAGGCTTGAACAGCAGCTTCAGCCGAATAGCACCGGACTTGCCATCGAGGGGATATGTCACTTCCTTACTCTGGAAAGGTTCCAGGATCTGAAGGTCGACCGGTGTGCCTCCCAGGTAGTCGGCCTTGTCGCCAAAGTCCCAATCATACACGTCGACGCGGAAGGACGCTCCAAGGCGTGACTTGACAGGGGCCTCGAAGAACTCATTCCAGGCCGGGTGAAGCGTCTTCTTCTGCACCTTGGTTTTGTAAACCATCTCATCATTGAGGCGGAACTTGCAGTACGGGTCACTGTAGCCGTTGCGGTCGGCCGAAGGGAGATCGGCGGCGTCCATGACGTCTACCCGCAGGGTACCCATGTTGTTGATACTCTCGGTGGGGTCGAGCTTCATCAGGACCGGGATGTACCGGGCACTGACAGTAATCTTGCTGATTTCGCCGTCATTGGACCGAAGAATCAATTCAGTCGGGGTGTACAAAATCCGCTGGAGGGTCGAAAGTGTGTCGCCCGTCAGCTTGGCAATCGTGTGATCGTCGCTCTCATCCTTGGTATCTTTCTTGTCGATGATGCGCATAGTGATCTTCGAGAATTCAAGCTCACGAACAAAAGCGTCTCCAACTGTCGCCTTGGTGAGCATCTTCGTTAATTGGCCAGATTAGTGAACACTTACCATCCTCAAGCTTTGCCGTCTTCGTACGAAGTTTGGGGGAACTATACGCAGGGAACATGTAGTCATCCATCAGGATCTCAACTTGCACGTTGTGCCGGGAAAGCTGGACCTCGTGGACATTGAACACCAGGAAACCGCATTCTGGAATCATTAGTTAGCAGAGAAGAGCAAACCCCCCGGAGCCCAAGCATACCGTATTTCGGAAGATCGTCCACAGAGATATAGGTCTTAGGAGCTTCCTTGATCGATCTAATGGACATAGTCTCGGAATCCTTAGCGGTTTGCGGATGAGTTCCGTTGGTATCAAGGCTAGCACGGCTGCTCGCGGCGTCCGCATTACCATTCGTAGTGGTTCCGTTGGTGCCGTTGGTGCCATTAGTCCCATTAGGCGCAGCGGATGTCTTGGAGTCGATGCTGGCAGACTTGGAATGTCCGGCCGCACTCTTGCGCTTGGAATCCGTGCTCTTCCGCGTCAGGTCCGTACCCTCCGTCTCACCCATGAGTTCCTCGGACTCCTCTTCCGTCTCTTCTTCTGGGTTGACAACAGGCAGAGCTGGGTAGAATGCGACCGAGTAGTTTAAGGTTCCCTTAGGTGAACCGTTTCCAAGGCGGAGACCACTGGAGATCAGCTGCTTCTCGTCGTCAACCTCATACTCGCCGTTCTCATTCTCGCGAACGTAGTCACCAGCGCTGATCTCGGTTGAGCCGAGTGACCGATCGCTGTTGATGGTTTCCTCGTCCATGACCTCGAGGGTAATCTTCTCGCGAGAGCTGTGAATAGGCACATAAACCACCTCGTCCCATTCGGGGTTCAGGTTGTTTCTGAATGTGACGGTCCGAGCTTTCGTGTAGCCAGAGATCAGAACCCGTGCGTAAGGATCGGACTTGCCCATGGTTTCCAGGTTGCGGAGGTTGGATGCGCTCTTGAAATGGAAGCGCATGACACCGATCGGATCAACGTATCCAGCGCCATGGACCCCACCGACGGCCACTGGCTTCCAGTCGAGGATGAGCTTAGCGCGGCCCGTTTTAGCACCATGAAGATGGAACCATTGCTGGCCCTTCTCCATCATTTTCAACATATCATTCAGCTTGATTTGGTAGGTACCGAGAATGGGGTCCTTGCCAAGGTCACGATCATCCTTGATTACTAGACCCAGGCGCGCGGTCTTCCTGTCGGTGACCAAGAATTCCTTAGCCGCATTCTGGAAGATGGGATTGTTCGTGCGCTTAAGCTTCTTCGTGATGTGGATCTCTTTGCCGTTCAGAAGCAGGACTCCGTAGGGGTTGAGCTGGCCGACCATACTCTTGGACGCATCCAGGTCCTTGGCCTGTTCAACAATGAATCGAGCGATACCGGTGTTCATCTCGGGTGGCGGCTCGACTTGACCATTCTCCAGCTGTCTACCTCCAAGGACGGGGAAGAAGCGGATGTCTGCGTGAACAGCGCCGCGAGATCTGCCGCTAGCCATAACCTCGAGGAACAGACCCTCATGCTCCGGCTGCTGCTCCAGCCGGTCGAGCGGGAAGGTCGCGGTCCCCAATTCCTTATCCTTGCGGAACTCATTCCAATCGTAGGGGATGATGGTCAAGGACTCCGCAAAAGACGTGATAATCACATAAATGGTCTCGTTCCATCTCGGGCTGTCCGTATCATGGATGGTCTTGGTGCGACCCAGCTCGACTCGGTTGTTCAAGGTGACAACGGCGTACGGATCGGGCGTGCCGGCAAAGGCATCGGGGTTCTTCAATTGGCGAGCACCATGCAACGTAACCGCGACCACGCCGATAGCCTGGTCCACCGGGTTTCCGGCCAGCATCTTCGCAATTTCGATGGGGAACACGTTGGGGGCATACATCATCGGACCGAGATTGTTGTGGATCTGTTCCTTGATGAAAGTCTCTAAACCGGGAATAAAGTTGATATCAAATCCAAGGGTATCGCCGCCAAGAGGCTTACACACATAGTCGATCTCCGGTCGGTCCAGGAAGCACACATCCACCCGTTCAATGTGGGGGAAGGGAATCTGTAGCTTGACCTTCACGCGCATCAAACCGCTACAAGCCATATCTTCCACGATTACATCCAGACCCTTGCTGACAACGCCCTTGCCCAACCGGACTTCCAGGACGACCTTCGGGTTGATCTTGTTCTTCAGCTGGCGGGCAGTAAGGTCCATCGTGTCGTTCGGCGTGAAGCTGAATTTCCAGTCCATGATGACCGTGTCAACCTCGGTCTTCGGATACGTCTTAACGTGCTCCAACCGCGGTGGCTTCGAACCGAGGATGAACGTCTTCAGGCGGAGACTATCAAGCATGGCGGGGGTCGAGGTGCTGAGAACCTGATCCACCGAGTTGATGATGGTGTCACAGAGGACCGGGGCGTAAATGGGCCAAAACTTGACCAGAAAACTGTTAATCCATTCCAAACTCTCGGTGTCAGTTTCCAGACGCTGCTTGGCCATTTCGCGGTTCACATCGTCTCGGAAGTTTCGGCGGACACGTCGAATTGAAGTTCGGTAGTAGGTGCTACAAGCGGCCATGACAATGAACACCCAGGCCAGTCCGCCGCCCAGCACGGCCACGACCCAGGATGCGAGACAAGCGAAGATGATGATACCAGCATTGTGGTACCAATCTGAACCAGCGTTAGCTTCGCCGATCGTGTGCAGTCGCCGATCGGCTGCGTTCCTTACCTCCGAAAAATTTATCGTCCAGTTTCCCTTCCAAGAATGTTTGGTGATCAAGCAGAGTGCCCTCATCTTTCTCCTCTTGGGTCGGTTGGTGTTCGAACTGTGGGGCCCAGCCCGTCCGGTCGCGTGCCCATCGCAAATCCTCCTCCGAAGGAGTTTCCCCATTCGTTTGTGCTGTCGCATCTTTGTCTTCTTCCTTGAGGAGGTCGGTCGCGGATTGGGGAGGGGGTAAATCGTATTGGTCGGGGGTGCCATCGTCCTAAACAGCGTAGGAATTAAGTCATGTATTCCCCGCTAAGAAGCTGAAAGATTAGAATCACTCACCTTGTCCGTGATAACGGCGACACCTTTTGGTTTGTGTTCATGGTGGAATCCGGGAGGCAGCCGCTGATTAACCAAGACACCTGTCAGTTACCGAGCTCTTTGTCGATCGAAAGATGAAGGGAAACCTACAGCTCTTGCGGCAGCGGCTTTGGCTTCGGGCGATGCATCGGGGTCGAACTGATAGGCCGGTACGCCTGCCTTCCGGGTTTCTTCTATCAAGGTCTTCTCGACATCCTCTGCGCGGAGATTGGACTGGGGATCCTGTGCGGCATTCTGAGCCACCTCAATGGCTCCTTGTTGCCGCAACTCGCCCTTACTGCCTTCTACGTCTTGCGATGCCATGGCTCTCTAGGGTTGAAGAGGGGAGGAGAGAGCCTCGCGCGGGGGGGGGATAGGAGGGGGTGGGTGGTGAACGGTCACCTATATTGGGAGTCCCCAACCGGCACAACCTGAGTCGGAGGTCAATTGGAAATGTGTTAGGTGTGAGAATAGTGAGGACACGGGCAAGGATCCATGCAGAAAAAGAAAAAGTAGAATGGAAGCAGTGGAGAGTAGGAATTGACAACCGGGCAGAGTGAAAGAAGCTCGTGTCAATGGGTACGAAGCGACTTGTTGGCGCTTGTCCTTTGAGTGGTTGCCTTGCCTCCGCAGCGGGGAGGTGGCTGAAGCACGGCAGCTTCTCGGGGGAAGCTCCTCGGTGAAAGGTGTGTGATATGGGTGTGAGTGAGTGTGGATGGGGGTTGGTGGGTGGCTGTTCGGTGTTCCACTCCCCTACCCAAACCAAAAGTTCTCAGGAACCGGAAAGATAAAGGGTGATGTGGAGTAGGAGTATAGTATAGTGAGGAAGGGGGAAGAGGATTGATTGAATTGGTAAATAAACGGGGAGGAGAAAATAGGCTTACCTTAAGTTGAAGTAGGGAGTTGTTAGAGATAGTGAGAGAAAGAGAGCGAGAGAGCGAGAGGGAGGGGAAAAGCACAGGGAAGAAGAGGGGAAATTGAATGATGAAATGGGGAGACAGACAGTGGACTAGTAGACATTATTGCAGCAGTCAGTAGTGGTGATGATGAAAAGAGACGAGACCGGGAGAGATCCGGAGCAAACGGATTGAGTTCACAGCGGAGCCACTTGCGTCAGATTAGGAAAGTGTCGTGGCTGGTGAGGCCGCATTCATTCAACAACCGAGAAGTCTACAAGAGTACAGAGTAGAGTACAAATACTACTGAGGTCCCTCCCAGCCCGGTCCTATCCTGACTGTGCATTTGCTGGACCATCCCCATTTCTTCCTCAACCCCCATGAATGAATGGTAATACTGGATCAGGTGTAGATAGGAAGAGAACGGGAAGAAGAAAGATCTCCGAGAAAAAAACAAAGAAAAAAAAAAGGGAAAAAGAAAAAAAAAACACCCCAGCTCCGGAAAAGGAAGAGCGCCGATCTGAAAAAGGTGAACCGCACCAAGTTCACGATTTCCAGATTCCGTGGAGCACTGGAGAGTCGGAGACAGTAATTTGAAGGATGTCCATCTTCATTCCCTCTGCCCTCCCCACAGTCACAACCAACTACGAGTAACTCCCAGCCGAAGAGCGGGTTTCTTTTCTCCGTTCGTTCATCTCTGCGCAAGAACAATTCCGAGAGATATTTCGACATGCAACAACTTGCTGTCTACACTGCATTAGGAAGAAGGACTAGTCAAGCCAGCGTCCCAGTCTATTGGTATTTGGTATAGCTCGCACCGCCACGGATCGGAGGAGCTACGCCACATATCCCTTTAGTCCCTTTTGCTCTCTCTCGCGACATTTCCGAACCTCTCGGACTGCCCCTATTATTGATTGGTTTTCAGGAGTTCTCGCTCGGGAACAAGCACCTCTGGGACCCGAATTACAGTGGAACAACAATGGTCAATCAACCAACAATCCTTTCCCCCAGCAAGAATAACCGAGGTGATGGGCTTCTTTGCTTCGCTAGCCCTAAAATGTCGACTCCAACCGGTCTGGGTAAAGATACTGGCCGATGGGTGAGGCTTGAGCACTGAACTGAAGTACAGTACTGCGCTGAATTACAGTGACACTGCATGCATTGATTTGAAAATCCAGCAACACTCGTCTCCAAGTCCAGTCCAGGCGTGTGCCGAGGGTAAACGACCGACAGGAAAGCGGCAAAAAAGATAGATGGGAGGGA